TGGAGTCGATACAGGAGTACAGAGAGCGGATGAACAACATCTGGGAGTCTGTTAATGTCGCGCTGAGACAGGCCAGGGAGGATATGGCGAAGTACGCGAATCGGAAGCGTACGGCGGTACCGGATGAGGGGTACAACGTTGGCGACATGGTGATGTTGTCGTCGGCTCACGTCAATACCGTGAGGCCGAACAAGAAGTTGGAGTGGAAGACCTACGGCCCGTTCAAGATCACGGAGGTCGTAGGAGAAGGTCGTATGGCGCGACGTTTGGAATTGACACCGGGGATGCGTAGAATCCACCCGGTGTTTCATGTCTCGCTGCTCATCCCGTACAAGCCGAACGAGCTTCCTGGGAGAACAGTGGACCCACCCCCTGAGCCAGAGGTGCTGGACACCGGGGATTTGGGGTGGGTGGTATCGGAAATCGTACACTCCAAGGAGTTGCGTTCAACGCGCGCCGGGCGTAGGACCCAGTACTACGTGCGCTTCGAGGGGTACGGGGACGAGCACAACGAGTGGGTTAGCCCCTCGGATTTCCACCACAACGACACGCTGGTGCTGGAATTCCATAAGCGACACCCTGAATTGCCGGTACCGGGCCGCCAAGAGTACGGCGATGCTTGATGCGTTCGGAGCTCGCATCTAGGAGGGGGATCCTATTATAGGCGTCACGTGACGCGCGACCTACGGTGCGCGTCGCCTCGGGGTCTCGTTCGGAGACCCTCTCGGAGACCCTCTCGGAGACCTTTTAGGAGATGTTCTCGTAGACGTCTAACTAGTACCTTGTAGTAGTTAGACATCCGTTATTACATCGCTATGCCTACCGTTACCTTTCCCCAGTCCCGCGACCTTATTACCCCAAGACCCGGCAGGTCGGCTGCCAGGCCTTATACGAAGGTACAACAATGAGTAATGACAAACACGAAAACCCTAAGCACCCGGAGTCCACAGCAACGGCTCGTCCCCGTTCTGCTTAGCGAACTCCTCGTCCCAATACGCCTGGTGGTTCTGGGCGGGAGGTTGCATGTACGTCGCAGCCACCTGCATTCGACCAGCCTGTTGCCGAGCCTGCCACCAAGCAGGTGGAGACCTCTTGGCGTTGCTGCACTGGGCGCTCCTGTGGCCGGGCTGCCAGCAGTTGTAGCAGGGTTTCCCGCCGGGCATCCTCGCAGCGTCCACCTCCATAGGCGTAGCACCCGACGTGGCGGCCGCCGCAGGAGGGGCAACAGTGGTGTTAACCACAACAGGGTTTCGGGGAGCGACGTGGTTACCTGCGTAACGATTCCCGCTCGTGTGGGCACGGTTACCCGAAGACGTGTGCCTACGGGCCTCCGCTTGGTCTTCGTACCGACGGCATTCCATCTGGAACTCCGCCAGCGTCATATGCTCCTGGTTGGGCATAGGGATAATAGCGTCCTGAAAGGCCTGGTTCAGGTTGGCGCGGAAGAACGACCGTTTGCCGTACTCGTTGAGGTTTGGGAGGAGGGCGGCGAGGTCGTTGAACTCGGTGATGTACGTACTCAAGCTCTTGTTGCCCTGCTTCAGAGAGTAGTACTCCTTCTCCGTAGCAAGGATGTTCCTTCCCCCTCCGTACATCTCCACGAGCAACGCCTCGAACTCCCGCCAGGTGACCTGAGTTCGCCCCGACGAGTACTCCCTTGCCCATGCCTGGGCCTGCCCATCCATGTACGACTCCGCGTACATAATCTTGTAAAGGTCGGTGTACAACCCCGGCTTGACTTGGAACTCCCGGTTGCATTGGTCCAGGAATCCCCTAACCTTCTCCTTCTTGCTGCCATCGAACCTGTCCGGCGTACCGAACTTGAACAGCTTCGCTCCCGCTTCCTCCGTGGCCGTTGCCAATCGAGTGTCCCTCGACATCGCCAACTCCATCATCTGGCTATGCATGGTCGCCATCATGGACAGCAGGGCGGAAACGTCCGGACTGGTAGGAGGCGCAGCGGCCGGAGCAGGGTTAGCTGCTGGGGGTGTTGACTGCATTTGTGGGGGAGTCTGCCCCATGTTGTTGGCCGGTGTGGCCTGCGTGGAAGCGGTAGGTACCCCCGTGGCACCTACCTCCGGTTGCTGGTGGGCAAAGACGCACTGGTCGTTTACCAGCGTCTCCCCAGTTGGGTTCCTCCATATGAACCTTCCTTGTCCATCCATCATCTGCATGCTCCCGTCTTTGCTCAAGACCGGGATCGCATCCGCAGGGATGGGATGGACAGCCCTATCCGGTCCGTAACACTGCGTGAACGTATCCATCGTATACGGGGTCTCCTAGTCGGGGTGTTTGGGTGATCCGTTATTCTATAAGGTTTGCCAGCAAACCTGAATAGTAACACACGGGACTAGAAGGTACGGGTAGGGTAATGACTGTAATAACGGATGTCTAACTACTACAAGGTGCTAGTTAGACATCTTCGAGCACACCTCCTAATAGGTCTCCGAGAGGGTCTCCGAGAGGGTCTCCGAACGGACCTCCGTACGAGGTGAAAACCTACATCCCGCGTGTGTACGACATGCGTACCGCGGATGCCTATAATAGCAGCTCTTCCCCCTCTCAATCATCCCGATTGTTTGCGAGTGGTAATCGGACGCAGGTTCTGGTCGCTTGGAGTTGACCAGTGGGTTGCATGCCTTGCATAGCTCGCTGCCATCCGCTTTGGGAAGCAGGCATGCCGACCTCCGTCATGATTTCCCTCGTGTTGCTTGTTGATTGGTACATCTATGTTTGGGGCATAGCCAATAGGTCTTTTCGCTAGGCAGACAGTTTTTCCTCTTCTTGGTGCTATAAGGACGTCTTAATGCAGGTCCCTAGACCAAGGTTTTGCATGTCAGACAGTTGCCAGATGGGTCTTCCATCACGAGCACGATAAGTTATTGATTGTGGAGATGTTTGGGTTCGTCAACTTTGGAGATGTTTGGGGTAGGTTCGGAGATGTTGACCGTCATTTGGAGATGTTGATCGTCGTTTGGAGATTTGAATCTCACAAACTTTCGAATCGTGACGTGGCAAATCTCATGAGCGTATGTGAGCTTGCCCGAAATTGGACGTGCACGCCTGCTAGTCCGAGATTCATCGGGCGTGTATTACGCATCACATGGTTATTGCAATTGTACAAATTATCACATTGGGCTGGCTTGCATTTGCTCTCGGCCTGGACCAAGTGGAACTTTTGAATCGTCTCTTCATCGTCTCTTCATAACGTTCTTAGGCGAGTGTCGCTATAAGGCTTGCCTGCAAGCCTGGAATAGTATCACACGGGACTAGAATCAGGGGTAAGGTAATGAATGTAATAACGGATGTGGTACAGAAGTACTACATTACAGTAACTACATAGGGGGTGTTCTAGATATACTCCGTACAGGAACTCCCATCGGAGGTCCCTGTAAAACTGCCCGATGTTAGAGATCGACTGCCTTGACGGAGGCTATCAAAGAGGATGGTTCGAGTACGTTCTACGGACGCGACCGACAGACGTGATCCACGGACGTGATTGACGGGGCTGACCGCCGGGTGGCTGGTCGCGTCGCTTCGACAACAACATACCGGAGTATATAGACGGTGAACTTCAATGGAGACCTATCCATACTACTATATTAGATAGTTCTCCATCCGTTATACAATCCGTAGGCTTAGAACCTAGTACAAGTCCCGCGTAGAGAAGCGACTAAGGGCGTAGCAGGGCTCACCCTTAACAGTCTGCCTGAGATTCAGTGCGCCCGTGCTGTCCGAGATTCAATGCGCGCGCGCGCGGCCCAAGAATTCGGATCCATGCCCGCTTGCCCGAGATTCCTTTGCCCAAGATTGGCGTCTGCCTGAGATTTGCGATTGCGGTGACATGGCTGCGGTGATATCGAGACGCGCGCGCGGGTCAGGAAACGATGAAGACGTCGATGACGACCACAGCGGTTGATCGGCCTACACGGATAGCTGCAAACGTACAGGTTCGTTCTGACAATTTCATTGATCGCTCTCTCAGCGCGGTGTTGCGTTCTGACGATTTCATTGATCGCTCTCTCAGTGCGGTGTTGCGTTCTGACGATTTCATTGATTGATCTCTTGGCGCAGTGTTGAGGTGTTGAGTGCACGTGCGATTACAACCCGTGTTCAAATACTCTCTCATGAGAAAACAGCACCACAGCCTGCCTGGTACCCTCAAAAGGAGTGATGGCATGAGGGAGGATGCCAGAGTTGAAGATTACCACGTCGCCCGGTTGGTAATCCATCTTGTACTGTATGCTCCAACTGCCAACAAGGAGATGTCCGCCGGTAAACTTGCCGAATGGTGTCATGATGACGAACCCGTGCTTGTCATCCGCGTTGTCTGTATGCAACAGTACCCTGAGGTTCTGAAGCAACGCCAAGCCCAGAAAGGCCATCTTGGAGCTGTACTGTATGTCCGACATGCTCTTGAAGATCTTGCGTAGCCTGTCGAATTGCTGCTTGTACTGAGCGTGGTCGTTGGGGAGAAAGATCCTGAATAGGTTGGCTGCGGCTTGCTGTAGAGGTGCCATGGCATTGAGGAAACATGCTACCGCTTCCATGTCGTAGACGCTGTTGCCCCTGGTATTTGCTGATACGTACGGCACGGTCTTGTAGGGAGTCCACAGGGCGAAATGCCAGACGCCAGCGCCTCCATTGTTCGCGTATTTTTCCACCATGGCCTTGTACGCGTGGTGGCGGTGATCAAACTCTCCAAGCGCCGGAGGAGGCGCCTCCCAGCTGGCGAGAAGCGCGGCGAACGAGTCGGTAAAGTGTTCTATCACGATGGGTCGGGAGAGAGGCGCGATCAGTCGTGCACAATGTGTAGACGGCAGGCAAGACTTACTCGTCATTCAACCCTTGTCTTCCGGTCTTTTCCAAGGCAAGTTGATCCCTCCGTTCAGCTTGACACAGACGATCCTCTTGTCCTTTGACCGAATGACCACATTTCCCTGGATAAGAGGCAGGGTGGTGATGGCTTTGTCCCAAGCGTTCACCCCATCGTCCCAAATCTAATCACATGTCTCTTTCCACTTGAGGGCTTGCTCCTCGGTCAACTTGCTGGTGAGGCTGGTATTTTTCGTCTTCTTGCCGGTGGTGTGCTTGGCCTGGAGTTCGGCGTTGAGGTACAACTGATCATACGTCTCCGGTAGGATGATTTCCGTGTGGCATTGCATGGCTTTGAGAACCTTGTCCCTGTTTACCGTGTCGTCCCAGTCCTCCCATTCGTCTGGGTAGAGAATGCGCGACAGATCGCTGGAGAGGCTACCGGGCAAAGCCTACCCAAGCGCAGGCAGCTCAAAGGACTTTTTCTTCGCCTAGTCCAGACGAGTAGCTCAACACCAGAATCATCCCAGGATTGACCACCGATCTGGGGACTCACTCGACAAGCCGTCATACTTGTGGCCCACAATTGCTGTAGGCAGCATGTGATTATAGTCGCCCTTTGACGCGGATAGGTTGGTTTTTGCGGATAGGTCGATTTCCGTCGATAGGTCGATCGTGGTTGGATTCGAAACAACAACCTTGAGCCGCTTGGAGGATCGCATAACCTGGGAAGGAGTACTTGGTCGCTTGTTTGCAGCTGTAGCAGAGGTTGCTATGGAGGAGGGAGCGGGGGGTAAGTTTTTGCGTCCACGATCTCACCAGCGGTGGTCTGCTTACCGAGCGGTGTCTGCGTGCCGAGCGGTGTCTGCGTGCCGAGCGGTGTCTGCGCTGACAAAGAACCTAGAGGACTGAGCAGGGGGCTAGTTTCTGCGTCGATAGGCGAGCGGGCGGTGTCCGCTTACCAAGCGCTGCCGCAGCAGGAGGCTGAATCGGTTCCGTTGTAGATGATGGAGAAGCAAGCGGTGCTGTTGTAGTCAGAGTTGATTAAGGACTTAATTCAGAATCCGTTGCGGCATGCTTATTCTTGCGCTTGGACCACCACGTCGAGGGGTGCTGTTTGAGGTTCTCGCTGACGCTTTTTCACATGTGGAGGGTGAGCGGGTTCCAGGCTGCATCTGGATTGACAGCTGTGATCGCTGTGATGGCTGCCTTGAGAGTACAGACCCTCGCAATGCTCTTGAATTGAAGGAGGAATTCTCTTTTAGATTGCTGCGCACAAGGGGGTCTTTCATCAGCCGAGCTCACCCCAGCTCTCACAACCCGGACTCACCTGCTTGAACTGAAGTTCCCTCCACCAGCCGTCCTGCCATCTCCCATTGATGTATTGGTTCATGAAAGAGACCTTCTGAGCAGCCTTAGCATATTCCTTCATCCTTCCAACTATTCCCGGATCCAATGCACTAGGTTCCACCAGATTTCGTGCAAGGAGACGAGACCAGATGTCTGCAGTCAAATGGTGCTGATGCAATAATTGGGCCTCTGAGTATAAAAGCAGAGCCACTGCCATATTATTTGCAGTGCTAGCAGGTTGACAAGACAAAAACTGTAAGGTTTCATGGAATTTCCCGGCATTACATTGCTGCCATAGTCGAATGATAATGGACGAGGAGGGGTCACACATGCCAGGCTGTGATCCTGACCGAGTCATGATCGAGTCGTGATTGCGGTCAAGAAGTGATACTCGAGTCGCGGTTGTCGTCAAGATCAATTGATGACCAATGGATTGTAATCGAGTTGTAGTCGTGGTCAAGTTGTGGTCAATACGGCGTAAGCTGTAGATGTTGCAGATACCCTCAATGAGCCGGCAATAATGAATAACACGCTCGCAATGGCAAGTTTGGTGAAAGAAACCCGCGGGTGCTAGCGCTAATTTGGAGTTGGTTCCTGGCGCTAGTAAGCAGACATCCATCATCAGTTTGAAAGCGGTCATGGCGGTCCCAGTATCTCGACAAATCGACTGCATTCCTGTTGCTGAGGCGGGAGGCGATTCTTTCATGACGTCTCTCAAGGGCTGTCTATTTGTATCAACACATTCTATATCACGTTCATAGAGAAAGTAGCCGACAACTTGGCTCGATTTGCTAGAGGGCGAAACACGGACTTATAGACGACTGTATGTCTGTCGATGACGTAGGCGGTGACACGTCTCCCGCGGACATGCGACAACAGACATGGGACCAAGATATGATGGCGACTAGGTGACCAATGATGGCGACAAGGTGATAAAAGATGCAAACGATACCGACACTTTCCCCGACCATGACGATGGAATTACCCATAGTAACACTATCATCCACACACCATAGTCACTACAACACATCATAGACCTGTTATGGAACCACATACCTGTCAAATCTGCCTTCGCCCACCGAGCCTGACTGCGTCTCAGAAAACGACGAAAACCTTTTATATCAAGGACCACCTGGGAACATCGATTCGACTTCAAAGAGAGATCTAGATCCTCTGATAGTTCAACTGTCTCACTACCGATCGTGTGTCGTACACCGATGTAGTCGCAAGCTGGCCCATGACGACAACATCACCTGCATCAACCTCGTGCCCGAGAGCCATTACGCTTGTCTATATCACGTCCAGCTAGACCGTGACAAGAGGACGTGGTCAGACAACAACAACAAGAAGCAGCAGGCAGCCACCGTCATCTACCCCAGAGCAATCAGTCTCTACTTGTATTAGGGGGAAGGACTAACAGTCTATGCGGGGCTAGGCTTAAGGGTAATGGTGTAATAACGGATGAAGTATGTACATACAATGAGCCTATTATAATAAGCATCTACGGGAGACGAAAAAGTAGACCCCTGTGGGGATGTCGAGAGGTGTCTCCGAAGGGACCTCTGAGGGGGTCTCTCGCGGGAGTAGCGAGGCGTCACGTGACGGCTATAACAACTTGTATGAGAGAGCACACTTGCCACGGCTTCCCAACATATCCGGCCGTCAAATCACCTTTCCAGACCAAGCTCGGGATCGCAACTTTACTGTCATTCTGCCGGACAGCGACAAGGTTTCACAGAGACACTACTTGGGAGAGATACTTAACAGATGGATCCGAGATCTGGGCAGCGGGGAAAGCAAGCAAGAGCCTCTTGTACGGTACCTACCCAGAGCAAGGGCTGGAACCAAGCGTTGTGAGTCTTCTAATCGACCACCTCGTCCTGCACGCAAGCTGACCATTATCATCAAGAAGACGGGGTCCCACACCCCTGCCTGTCCGTCAAGCTCATGAGTGAAGCCTAGAAGAACAGCCCATCCTGGATGAAAAGGAGTGGTTCCTGAATCACTGGACCCGCAACCTCTCTGGCATCTCGACAACTGTCAGCGCACACGACTTGGCAATCAGTTGCATTACCACAGCCTCAACCCCAGTAACGACCAATATCCACCACCTGCGATCGAGATCAGTTCAGCAGAGCTTTGTTTGACGTGTGTAGCCGGAACCAAGCAGGAGAAATTACTCAATGCCTGGGATATTCACCTACCGGATTGGACGGATGGCATGTGGTGAGTGGTCGGCTCGGCGCTTACATGACCACACAAAGCTCTGTCGCCCACAGCTCGTCGGTCAGACAATTTGCTCTTCAATACATTTCTAAGCACTCCCGTGAATATCCAGAAGTGGCAGAGCTCCTCGACCTCATCGGTGACCACGATCATCACTGGACCGAGTTCGAGTTGTTCTACCTCGCTTCGACACCGGGTCCCTTTAGCGTTAACCACGTTGACAGGGGATGTTGTGCCACAATGGTGACCATGCGTACCGGTTGCAAGCTCTGGGTTGTCCGGGATTTGTCTGGCCATACTGAGATGGCCCTTTTGCTCAAAGGTGATCAGATGTGAGTAGTGACAAGGACCTCTTCAACACTCACGCTCACGGCTCCTTCTTTCCTGGTCCACTCGCAGGATCATGCGCCCGGGCTGCCAACCCTGGGTGTACACTCCCAGTCCTTCCATCTGTCACAGCCAAACGTTCCTCAATTAAGCATGGCTCGACCTGCACCTGCAGGCAGTAAAGGATGCGACCGAGCCAGTCGAGATCAACGAGTACCTAACTCAAGCGAAGATCTACATGCTGTTCCTCATGGTGGCCCTTGCAGATGAAGAGTGGGTCACGTTCTGCCGTATCAATTGAGAGAGCCGGATGCCTCATACAAAACAGCTGCTGGATCGGTTTGATGGAGACCAGGACGACTACATTGGCTTTCCGCCCCAGGCCGAACTGGATCATGAAGCTCTGAGCTTTACCACATTGATCAGCAATCTCCTCCAGCCTCAGACGATCTGGCTGCTGCAAGGTCTACAAGGAGAGGCACGTGAGCTTTGGCCAATGTTTCCACCATCGTCTAGGTTGGCCAAGAAAAGACGACGGGGTTGACGTGTGCATCAGAGTTATAAGCAACTTGGGGTTGATGTTGTTTGACATGGTGATGATGCAATGGATGACTCTCCACAGCCATAACTCATGGGCATCCCGTCTCGTTGTCCGCATCTGGTCTCGTCGTTCGTGATGTTGTCCTGGCAAACCGGACTCGCGGGACCTCCTGCTTGACCGCGATCTCATTCTTCAAATTGCTACTGATTCAAAACGACTCCCTTGCTGCACTCGGTAGCCCGTACCTTGGTCTCTCTCCTTACCCTCTCCTCACCACCTGATCCAAAGCCGACTCGACGTCTCCTTTGGGTGGCCATCCATCTGATGGAAACCCCGTCGTCTCACCAATGCCTGCGCACGCCCGCTCGATGCCACCGCAGCGGCAGACCTTTCTTCGAACGTATTTGGAATGACAAACTTTGACTGATTTTTGTATCAAACAAGGTGTAGAAAGAAGCAGCCATCCCCTCGATCACTGGCTGTTTATCTCAAGAGAGTCTATATCACGTTCTTTGGGAAAGTCCACAAACAAGGTTGCTCGAGGTGTCATACGCGTGTCTAGTATGCAAGGGTCGTTTGTATAGAGCATCACTTGTTATTCTGTTAAAGCCCTTGCAGCTGGGACAAACCAAGACTGTCCAACTGAGGACTAGCTATCTTGAACGCATGTTCACATTTTGAGTTCTTTCGGAAAGTCAACAAGTCTGTTTCACTGCTCTATCCATGCATGTTGATATCATAGCTGGTTGCACGCTTTTGCTGACCCTTGCTGTTCAATGCCAAACGACCAGCACCCATCTGTTTATGAATCGCAACATGATGTGGCACTCGTCTGCTTCTGATGATCCAGCCACAGTTGATAGCGGCAAACACATGAACAAGACTGGCCGCAAATCCACAACGTCCATGCGCTCCTGCACATCAGAATCAGCCGCGCTTGCAATGATTGCCGTTTCATACCCCACCTTTGATGCTATTGTCTCTCCGTCCGAGGATATGATTTTGGGTGTTCCTCTGGCCGAGTGCTGCTTATATAGAAACGCATGCAAGTGGACGCCTGCCCCAATACCAACAAGACTCTCCATTCAACATGCTAAGAACAACTGTAAGGCCTGGAAGCGACCCCCGACGGGGATCCCCCTGGACAGGCTGATGGGACGCAGGAATGAGGCAAGGTACGGGTAGACATCTAAATGTAATAACGGATGTAGAGCTATTACAGAGGTACTAGTTCTACATCAAAACAACAACACCGAAAAGTACCCCCGGCGGGGATAGGATATGGGAGTTGCACACGGCGCGTCTGAAGCGTCACGTGATACCTATAACATCGCCCTCAACCCCCTAACCACTACTTTAGTTTATCGATTCAAACCGACTATTCGTATGCGGTCACATCAATCAACTTGGATCTTGGTAAGCTTGGACTACATTCCTTCTCCTCAGTCAATAGATCGATAGCTCACCATCATTGTTGTGGTCCATCATCATCCTCCACCATCCTACCACCACCCTCACTTCGTCCTTCATTGTCATCCTCCACCATCGCCCTGGCCATTACCCTTGCTCTATTCTACAACCTTGTCGCATGTGCTCAAGCAGAAGTGCTGCTAGACTAAACCTTGCTCCAAACAACGCACCCACCGTCAACTTGCCCTCTCAAGGTGGAAGGGGATCAGCACGGGCTGGAAGAGCAGGTGGTACGGCTAGGGGTGGCACAGGGTCAGGCCAGGGTGGCAGAGGGTCAGCTCGGGATGGGGGTACAGCTCGGGGTGGAAGCGTGAGTTCTTTCTCATTTGTCTCTTTCTTCTCGTTCGTCTCTCCCCTTCTCTTTTCGTCTTTCCCCTTCTCATTGGTCTGTCCCCTTCTCGTTCATCTCCGCTCTCTCTCTCTGTTCACATTATTGACCATCCATCTCTGTTCATTTTCGTTCGTCTCTGTTCCCCCCGTCCACCCTCAACAAACACCACATCATCACCCCTCGGCCTCCACACCACCACGCCTCGACCAACCACGCCTTTGCTTATTTCCACGCCTCCATTCATTTCTGTTACCGCCACTCGGCCAACTATGCATCCATTCATTTCCGTCACCATCAACTCGACCGACCACGCACCACGCCTCCGTCCGTCACCACCACTTGATCAACCACGCCTCTGCTCATTTCCACGCCTCTGGTCATTTCCGTCACCATCACTCGATCAACCACGCCTCCGTTCATTTCCGTTCGTCTCAGTTCCATCCACCATTCAGCGCCGCGCCAGGGTGAGTGGGGTTAGGGGTCAGGGCCATCTGCGCATCGGCTTACTTGGTGCTGGTTGTACGGTTAGGAAGGTAGCCATATTGTCAATTATCTTGATGAAACCAAGTCCGATTCCAAAGACAACGATGACGAATACTATCCAGACCATGATGATGCCAACGATCATGCCCATACAGATGTGGAAGATGTCGATGCCACTTCGCAAGTTGATGCCACTTTGCAAGTTGATGCCACCCCGCAAGGCAAGGGCAAGGACACGGGCAAAACGTACCGACTGCCTGCTCTCAAGGCTCTCGCAATGGATCCCCATCTTCACCAGAACACATCACAGTGTCGAGACTACTTTCGAGAGTGGAACAGAGGCAAGGTAACGGACGAGGAACGTAACGACTTTGCAAACGACTTGAGTGGCCTTGCCAGTTGGCTCAGAAGCAAGTGGATGACCGTCAAGACGGATGTCTCCATTGATGGGCCCGAGTTGAAGCAAAAGGTGAGTGTCCCAAACCGATCATACAGGGACTTATCACCAACATTGCCGTCATATTGTGCAGATCTCCAAGCAACCCTTGCCACCTGGGAAACCATCAACGCCTTAAGCAGACACAGCACCTCTTCTCAAGAAGGGTAGCTACAAGATCACCTCGTCCGAGGACGTTCCTTTCTATCATGTGCTCGACGACGCCTTGGCCCTCAAGGGGTTGAGTTCTGTCAAGCCCGAGAAGAAGGAAGAGCTCGTGTCCATGATGCCCAACGCATCTGACAGGTCCATGGCAAAGGATACGTGAGTCCTCAACTGGTCGCCTGTCAATTTCCAATAACAGATGAGCTTACGATATGGACGGTATGGGTTCTTGGCCAAAGCCAAAGATGCACCTCATGACTGGCGTGTCAACATACCCTGAGAGAATGGTAACAAACAGGTTCACAACACAGAGAACTTGGGGCTGCCAGAAGACGGCCACAGGGGTACCATTCATCTCGGTCTCCATTGTGAATGACGTGGCAAACACTTTGGGCCTTTCAGTGAGATTACGGGGAGTCACCTGCGCAAATGTTTGCATACAAGAGTGGAGTTTTTACCAACTTGTTCTTGGCATCATAGGCACAACCACGTTGTGCAATTCTACACCGCCACGCCCCGTTCTTTTGCATTGTTGGCAGCATAAACTCTGTCTTGGAACCGGTCTGGGGCTCTGGGCCAAGTGGTACAAGAACGTCTGGCTACTCGCTTGGGACCGCACTGGAGGTAAATCCCTCTCCATTGACAACTGTCAACTGTGGTTGCAGATGGCTCTCTTCTGTAACAAGCAGAGCGCACCCCACACGCACAACAAGGACACCCAGTACTGCTGGGTCGCCATGTTTTGTCACGGCGATTTCACTGGCGGCAACCTCATCTTGCCTCAGCCCAATTTCGCCATCAAATATGACCAGGAATGCTCATTTACCTTTGTTCCGACCTGCTCCACCACCATCACATCTTCAAATTCAATGGCACACGCATAGGCATGGTTAACTTTACCCACAGTCAAGACATCACAGTTCTGCAAGACGACTTGCAAGCCTAGGTCAATGGGGTCAAGTGGGAGGAACTCAAGGTCAAGCATGAACTTGATAGGCGAGAAAAGCTTTGGGAGCGGAAGAAGGAAAGATCCGCAGGTACCACCAAACCCAACAAGAAGATGTGCACCAAGTTCAAGAAGCGCAACATTGTGCGAGAAGAGCAGGTCTAGGTTGCCATTGGTGAGCCAAACAAAGCAAGAGAAGAGGGAAGCGCACCGCGAACTTGGACAGATGAACGAGGTCAAGACAATGCTATGAGCGCGGCCGATGGTATTAGGCCTGCCTGCAAGCCTGAAATAGTGTCACGCAAGACTAGATTGTAGGGGTAATGTAATGAATGTAATAACGGATGTAGTACAAGGGTGCTACATTACAGCAACTACATAGGGGGTGTTCTAGATATACTCCGTATGGGAACTACCATCAAAGGTCCCTGTAAAACTACCTGATGGGGCTGTGTGGTACAGGTGCCGCGGGGACTATAACACCAATGTCAGTGACTTCTGCATGCATGCCTTTATCACCACTTGGAATCTTTCCACTCACAGCCTGACCTCCTGCAACAGGAGCAAATGAGTGGCGGAGATGACATCCTCGATGTCCACGAACATTTTCTGGTATATGGTCCAGATCTTGCTGCCGGTGATACACTTAACATAAGTGAGCCAGCCGGGAAGATCCACATGAGGCTCTGTGAGAGCATAGGCGGAGGTGAACAAATACCAAGCGTTGGCATCGATCAAGTCTGCTATGGTTCCCATGTCAGGCATCCTGGCAGACCGTTTGACGTGTTTGATAGCAGTCCATCCGTGATTTAGTTTCCAGCCATCTCCAAAAGAACTGGCAGTTAGAGACGCTGGGACTGAGAGGCAGTTCATGCCTATGTAATTGGTGGACGACGGCAGGGACTGCCAACACATGTCCATCATCTCTGCCATTGTGGTCTTGGTGATCCTCCCAGGATCTTTCCAGGTTCGCCAGTAGGTACTGTTCATCACTATTGTACGTGTCAGCAGGTCCAGTTGTATCACAACAAGAGAAGGATAGAGAGACACAGGGAGAGACACAGGGAGAGACGCAGGGAGAGAGTCAGAGCACTCACTATAACATGACAGCAACTCACTGCTCAAGATGGTCCCCAGTTCCCTCCTGATGACCCCTTCAAAGTTGTTGGTGGCACCCTGTACCATGGCCAGTCATTTCAATATGCAGCCAACATGCCTGTTTCAACCAACATGCCTGTTCCCCTGTTGGACGAGCCGAAACAGAATACACTCATGAGGAGCATTGTTGGGTTTCCAGACGACCATCAAGCCCTCGTCTGCCTTGCCTGGGCGTAGGCAAAAGATGCATCGTAACGCAAGTTCCTTTGCAAAGCCCTGTCCAGATGAATGTTGCAAGGGTTATTTCAAAATTGAGCGTCCCCTGAGTGATGAGGGGCCAGGAGACAGGGATGCTTGTATGTGGTCTCGGTCTTTCGTCAAGGTCTGACCAATGAGGAAGGGGGCCTGATGGGGTATGCTCCTGATTGGTGTTGAATTGCTGATATCGTTGAAGCGTGACGGGTGCTCTGCGTAGACACTGCAAGCATCTTCCAGCATAGACAGCAGGTTCAAAACATTCGTATCTGGCTTGGTTGTTGTTGGTTGCTATTTGGAGAGTGCATTGACACTTGTGGCAAAGCGGAGTCCGACTCCGACCATCATCCGGTATATCGAAGATGGGAGCCACCGTACTGTGGCATAGCTTGCAGGCCAAATCCGTTGAGTTGAAGTGGTCTGGGCGATTTAGAGATATGGCCATAATGTATGTCTCACATGGATGGGCTCTTGGAGGATCAGGACTTACATCACACGTTGGGCTGTGAGTTGAGCTCATACAGGTGTTCGAGCACTTTGCACGCCCACACTGCACGCCCACCCAGCCCCTGTGGAAGTGGGCGTGCGAAGTGGGCGCGCAAGATCACATGATATTGCCTATCTGCACGCCTAGGATGGCGACGCCCACCAGATGATTATGTTCGGGGCGTTAAGTCGCCATCGGCTCTAGCGAATTGCAAGACTAGTCAGGAAATTCTCGACAAACGTGATATAATATCCGTTGGAACAAACAGCCAGTCGGCATAGACACACATGATCATGCTACACACTCTCTGGTCCACTGCATTACAAACTTTACAACAAGCACCTGTTCATTATTGTGTTCGTATCGCGGTATCCGTTCTCCATCCGAGTCATCAAGTAGTCGTGACATCGTTTCCTTCTATTTCGGCGGCCTCTCCCCTCGCCGCGGTCTCCTTCTGCTTGCGCTCCCGTACCCGGAGGGCAACAATCTTTTTCATCAAGTCTGCCGTTTCGGTCTCGAGGTCCTCGATTTTTTTGCTGGTTTGTAAGTAGTCACGTCTAAGGCTGGGTGGAAGTTGGTTGATTTGCCTCGGAGTCAGGCTGGGTCCAAACCAGCGCTTGTCTATGGCACTGAGCTCGGGCTTTTCCGGTCGAGGTGGTCGAGCTCGGTCCGCCCTTGCTTGAATGACGCCTACAAGGCTGGAGAAGCCAAAGTCGTCCTTGTTACGTACGGGCGTTTTGGGCTTGGCCCACGTCTGGCTCAGAGGCGCCGCCGACCTAGCATATCGGGCCGCAATGGACGAGCCACTTGTAGGCGGCGCGACATCTCTCCGGGGCGCAGAGGTAGACACGTCGGACAGTATCGAGGCGATCGATGGCTGTGCGCGCTGATGTCGCGAACCGCCAGCAGCCCGGATCTGATGCGAAAGCTTGCTAGCGAATCCCGCGCTTTTGAGACCGCCTTCCAGTAATGGGCTGTTGTTCGCCTGTCGCGAAGCGCTTCTCGATGGCGCTTCATCCACCGCTTGACGGATCGAGGAAGGAATAGGCTCCAATTGAGGCGACATGGTACTCTCGCGGATAGCAGGCCCGTACAGGTCTGAAGACGGCGACAGAGAACGCTGGTCTCGCACCCTGTCCTCTGAGACGGACGCGAGGGATTGACCAATAGAGGGCAACTGTGGCGTGGGCGTATTGCGTTGTGGCTGATCCCGATCGTGATTGACCTTGCTGATCACTTGATCTATCTTTTCAACAATATACCCTTGACCAGCTCCCCGCTCAGACTTTTTGACGATCGTATGTAAAAGGTCGTTTGCACCTCTCAAGCCGGTAGTATATTGGCTGGCATTGGCAGGAGGAACGGGCACCTCCATCGGCGTGCTCGGCGCCGTACGATATACCGATTGATCCGTTTGTTGTCGCTCGAAAGCGGGCGAACGCAGCTCCTCAACCTTGGCGTCGTTATCGACTTCAACGTCGACCCACTCGTCATGGACGTATTGGCTAATGTCAAAGGTCTCGCCCTCTTCGCTAATGTACGAGTAACGCACTTCGTCCTGACCCATCATCGAGCTTCGCGAGCTGCGGACGACTCCACGATCGGCCACCACGACGTCGATTCCCTGGTCGGCGTTGGGATGCGTCGACAAGATGGCCGTCTGGCGGGCTTTCGTTGCAGCGCGTTGTTCAGCGATGATCTCTTGAGGGGTTTTCGCTCTTTCCGTTGGCGCCTCAGGAGCTGCGGCATCAGACACTCGACGCTGTTTCAAAGCTACCTCGTCCATGGGGAGTTTTTCAGGGTTTGACATCCCGACTGTCCTCGGGCCGATCCTTCTCAGGAAGAATACCGGATCAGTCGGTCTAAGATCGTGCTCCTGTGCAGAAAGCTCCCTAGCCCATTCGCGTGAACGACGACGGTTCGTCACGCTCTTGTCGGCAATCTTGAAGATCGGAGGGACGTCATAGGCATCCATCAACTTGCTCGAGGCGTGTAGTACCCGCTCTGTTTGGTGCAAAATCAGCAAGGCTCTCTCAAAGCACGACTGTGGCATGAACTCACCATCGCCATGTTGCGTCCTGACACCAAGGCCATACCTCACCCGCAACATACTCCTGCGTTTGCCGACCTTGTCTTCTACATCGTCGCCTCCATCTACGACGCCCTCGGTGATACCGAATCGCTCAAGGGCCGATTCGATGGCTTCTGCGACTGTGGCGGTCCTCGAAAGCAAGAGGTACCGTTGTCGCGCTTCATCGGGAGGAAGTCGAGGCGACTGTTGAGTGGCAGAGCGCTCCTTGACCATGGACCTCGGCAGAATGGCTTCGCTTTGTGGGTCGAACATCATTCCGTCAGGCAAGTCGCCCAGCTCGGCAACAACGTGCAGGGTGAAACGTGCCGAAGGCGAAGTGATGGAGTCTGACGGCGGAAGGCCTTGAGTACTGATCGGAGCAGGCTTGTTGTCTCGTCGACCTGCTGCTTGACCGTTTGAAAGGGTGGGACTATCGGCATATGCATCGTCCTGCTGGTTTGGTGGTGTTTCCGCGCCATAGTCGCCAAAGTAGCTCGTCGGTTCCCTGTCTCGGGGCCGGCGGTTGAGGAATAGCTTGACATTCGAGTCATCGCTAAAGTCGTTGAGCGAGAGCTTGGCGATGGCCGGATGCATCGACAAGTTGGACGATATCGAAGAGATGGAGCCAACTGACGAGCGCTTGACGGTTCTGGTCATCGCATCTTGTTCCTCTCCGATCCTCTGACACATCATATTGAAGGCTTGTAAAGGTCTCTGGCCGGAACCGAGCGCCAATTCTTCTCCGCCGACCTCTTTGATCGTCAGGAAATACTCATCGAGATCGCTCTCACGAGCGCCTTCAACGCGGAACCTTTGCAGGGCCTGCTTGACGAGATCCCGCGACGTAGTCGTGTCGTTCAGCAGGACAGTCTTGAAGGTATACTGCGTATCGACGTGTTCGCCCGAGAAAATGCGCAATACGTTCAATAGCGGTCCGCCATGAGAATTGGCCGGGTTGAGTATGATGCTCCCGGGTCTAGCTCCGTTGTGCGATCCGGTCGCTCTGGCAAGCCGCTGCGCTGCTGACGACTGAGCTACCGTTGCGGCTGCTTGAGTACCATAAGCCCTCGACGCATCGATAGGTGGCGACGAACCGGGTGATCGAGCCATGTATTGTTGATACAGCGCTTGTTGTTGTTGATCGATCTGCTGTAATCGGATCCCCTGCGGTGAAACGGCGCTAGGCGAGTTTTGCCCGGATCCAGACGAATAAGCAGGTCGGGCGGGCTGGAATGGCGAGGGGTTCCGATCCCCTTGCATCTGCATGGGTGGCGAAGTCACGCGGCTAGGCATACGGATATCAGGCGAGTCCTGCAATCTCGAAGGATAGTCGTGCGATTGTCGTTCTGATTCGAAGCTAGCCGCTGAACTACCTTCTGTGAACGAGCCAGACCGTTCGTCCTTGTTCTTCTTGTCCTTGTCCTTTTTCTTGCCAAATAGACCGCTAAACACGCCGCTCCGTTTCTTCTTGACGATGGTCCCGCTCTCCTCGCCATTCTTCTTGTCCTTCTTGCCGGGTTTCCTCCCTGCCTCGTCGTCATCTCGTCCTGCCGACGAATCGGGCGAGGTGGACATGCTCCTGAAACTGCCCTGGGTGTTGATAGAGGTGCCCCCGAGTGACGAAGCTCCGCTCGCGTCCCTCTCGCGAGGCTGTTGTTGGCCGGCGTACGGTCGTCCGTTGGTCACAGGTCCATGGCCATTTGCCAGACGAGAATCCTGCTGCTGTCCATGCATCTGCTGTTGCTGCATTTGCTGATGCATCTGCTGCTGATATTGTTGTTGCTGCTGATGGTGCCGCACTTCTTGCTCCGACTGAGGCTGACGTTGTTGCACGGGCTGTCCTGGCGATTGATGCTGCTGTTGTTGCTGTGGACCTCCTGTCTGCCCTCGCCCTGAGCTAATATCGACCACCTTGCTCTCGATCCTCACTGGCGGACCCAACACCGTCGGTGCCGACCCGTTCACTTGCGCCACAGCAGGCGTCATGGTGATCCGTTTGGGCTCCTGATCAGGCCTCAATTCCGCCGGATCCATCCTCGTCTCGCCGACCATCCCGCTCTGTTCCTGATGCTCCAGGTGCGCAGGAGACTGCTGGACCATCGGCCGTTGAGGCGCTGCGACCGAGCCTGACCTGGCCCTGACTACATTCCCTGGTCCATTCGAGGCGTTGGACCTCGCCGACATGTCGCCTGCTGCTACCCCGAGCTCACGCTGTTGAGCTTCCGCCAGACGTCTTCGCCGTTCTCGTTCTTCCCTGACCGCAGTGTCGTCCCATTCCATCCCATCGTCGGGCTCCATCTCGTCCGGATCGATGCCCACTCCAGCAGCCGATCCAGCCGGCGCATCCTCATACCGATCAGGCGTCCCCGCACCATTCCCCCGATTCTGAACCTGGTCCGCGAGGCGTTGTCGCTCAGCGACCGGATCTTGTCCTTGTCCCCGTCCGACATCGCCTTCCTGCGATCTGCCCACGACGCCTTCCTCGGTCCCGAAATCCTCTTCGCTCTCATCATCCTCGTACCTCCCTTCCCCTTCATCCCCTTCATGTCCCATCCCAGCTTGCGCATCCACCTCGTCCGCGCTCCCGGGGTCCTCGTCAGATCCGCTCTCTTCGCCGCTCGTATCCGACCAGGTCTTGCCCGGATGATCGACATACGTCGGTTCGGCAAAGATGACCCGGCGTTTCTCGTCCCCACCAAAGTCGTCCCCACCGCCACCCGACGCATTGTTGCTGTTGTTGTTGTAGTTGTTATGATTGTTGTAGTTCCCGGGCTGCGCGCTGTACGCGGGTGGAGGGCCGAACCCCGGTGGCTGGTTCCTCATCTGATGAGGCAAGAAATCAGGTCCCCGGATCTGCGCTTGGATGTGATGATCCAACAAGGCCTGATGCCGTTCTTCCATCGTCGCCGCTGCGAGCTATACCACCAGGACCAAGACCAACGATACCAAAAATCAGCTTCTCTTACTTCTTTTCTCACTGCATCGCGTCGGAAGCTAGAGCCGACTCACATCGACGTTCCTATACTTGTTCAACCTAGCCAACCTCTCGAAAGGCGTCTCTATATTCTCTGCCGGGATATACCCTACTTCCTCGGTCTTGAGCACCTTGACGAGCCACCAGTACGAGTTGGTATCGTCCAGCAAGATCAACGAATCTCCTTTCATCACCGAAGCTTGGCCTTCTACCGTCGCTATAAAGGTGTGTCTGATTGTACGTCATGAAGCGGGAGAGCGAATTTGAGTTAGCTCGGCTTGACAGGTCGTGTTTGCCGGTGAGGAAGAGGAAGTGAGGCTTACAGAGCGTAATGCAGCGTGAAATTGATATCCTCATCCGGCATCCCTTCCGAACTCGCATAATCATCATCATCATACGCCTCTTCCGCATTCCCATTCCCGTTGACATTCCCATTCCCATTCCCATTCCCGGCAGCATTGTGATTCGCATTCTGGTTATCGTGGATGATGATCGTCTCATCCCCTTCACCATCACCATCCCCTACACCATCCCCACCACCATCTCCATCAATATCTCCATCGCCGCTTCTCGCTACTTCTCTTTCTCCTGAACCTTGTCCGGTCTCACTCGTCTTCCCTAGACCCTGCTCGGAAATAGCCCCGATGGAGTTGGCATTATTCGGGTACGGGTTCGTACTCGAATTCGTACGCTGTTGATACCCGCTCCCGTACCCTCGGTTGTTGGCTTGGGTCGTATCGATGGACAGGCTTTGTCTGGGTTTAGAAGGGGGAGAGGAAGAATCGGGGTGTTGTCGTTGTTGTTGATGCTGTTGGAGATGATTCAGTTGTTGGGGATGATACTGCTGTTGCTGTTGTTGCTGGCGCTGTTGCTGCTGCTGCTGTTCCGGATGTTGTGATGGAGACAAGCCTGACCGTACGCCGGACTGTCGGTACCGTCCATCATAAGGACTCTCCATCTCGTCATCCTCCTCGACGTCCATCGTCGAATACGCCTGGTTCTGCTGATCATACTGTTGATGCTGATATTGCTGTCGTTGTTGTTGTTGCTGATGGGACATCATCATGGTCGTCATCACTTGGATCCTACAGCTTCCAGGTTCGTTGGCCTTCGCCTCCTCGACGTCGTAAAGGTTGCTTGCTCGATTCCCCCTTGTGTGAGACGGATGGAGAATGACCTCGGCGGAATGTACGTTCCAGGGCGCGTTTTCCTGGGTGAGGGCCGTTACAGCGGGCGGTAAGATGTTGCTACCCTGAATCTCATGAGTGCTTCGTTCCTACTAACATGAGAGACCGAGAGTGTTGATGCATGTATAGAGTATGCATGTATGTGTATGTATGAGTACATCTGTACGAGATTGTTGATCAACCCTTCTCCTGGGAATTGATCAAGGGTCTCCCTCGAGTTGATGATGCCTTTGACGCGACGCGTATCTCGGAAGCAAATGACGAGAATTACGTCAGAACGCTTCGGATGCTTATCAACACATCGGATGTATAATTAGCTACCGGGCATCCGATTAGATGTTCAAGTGAGCAAAGTTGCAACTCTCCGACCCGTTAGATATCAGATACAAATCAACCTCGGCTCATCATCGACAGAGTTGGGATAAGAGTATATAGCCCAGGAGGTTCCAAGCTGCTCATATACCTGGTCCGCAAGATGGCCAAGGAACTGTCAGATTGGATAGCTCCCTGGGTGGACAACCACTACACCCGGCATGGGACCGACCTCGGTCGAGAATACCAGGACGGGAAGAGGATCCAGATCATCCGGGTAAGTTCATCGGTTATTATATACGGCTGCTAACACTGACTGACATTTGCGATGTATATACGCCAGTTCGAGACATGGAGAGATCTTAACAATCCGCAAGACAAGAAACAGATCATCGCGCTCGGGACGGACAAGGTCCATTGCGTCAGGCTCGTCTTCGATTCCGACGCGACCGACCGGTACTGCGAGTAAGTCTCCCGGATACCCCCACGCTCAAGATCACTGCTCTTGTTGGATATGACGCTGATAGCGGCCATGGCCAGACAACGCGGCCCGGGCAGACCCATGACGGCCGACCTTCGCAGCATCTACCGTCTCAAAACCTACCGCTTATCCCTTCCTCTCCTCAAATCCACTCGAAGGAGTCCGTTCTTGGAAATCTACGTCAAGGACTGGGAATGGTGGTGCGGAGCTACGAGCGAGATACAATTCTGCGAAGACCCGATCGATATGAAGATCCCGCTGGAGATGGACGAACAAGCGAGGGTTCACCGGGATTGGAAGGAATCTCGGGATCGTGATCACAGTGAAGACAGGGCGATCGGGGCGGGGGTGGCAGGAGGAGAGATAGATGTATATGAGCAGTTCAGGCAGGGTGGGATGGGAAAGACGACGGAGGCGGTGAGGAAGGATGCGAGGGCGGCGCTGGCGATCTTGTGGCAGGCACATCGGGGGGCTCTTCAAGCCGAGACGGTCCAGATCGCACCTGCACTTGTCAATGATGCCAGCGCCAGCGCCAACGTCGGTAACAAACCAGACGCCCATATCGATCAGGATCCAAATCGGCATCAGGACCAAGATCAGATCGACCCGAGGATGGATATCGACGACGACGACGAAGAATCCCCGCCGAACAAAAATTCCTACGAAGCGCCTCCCTTCCAAATCCCTCCCAACCCGAGTCTGAGCCATCCAGATCCGACACCAACACCTTCCCCCTCCTCATCCTCGCCGGACCCAATCGTAGAGAAACTCCGAGCGGGCGGGTCGACCCCGATGGAACTATACGAGCTGTTGGTCAAGAGGCAACTCGAGGGGAAAAACGTGGATTGGGCTTTCAGGCCGGCTCGATCATTGGGTGGGGAGGCGGGGTTGACCAAGATCTTGGATGGGATCACAGGTGAGTGTTTTGTGAATCGGGCGAATCGCGCTCGAGAACTGAGAACCGGCGCAGAGGCTAATCGATATGCCGATCTTTTGGTACATAAGTGTTCGGTCTGAATCTGGACGAAGAGCTGGACGATTCGGATGAAGAGGCCGAGATCGAGAGACCGATCGTCGACACAAGACGACCGCGCTCACCTACAAAGGAAGTTGCCGGTAGTTCGAGAGCAGGGAGGATGATGAAGATGCGGCCAGCGCTTTCCGACGAGGATGACGATGGTGATGGTGATGAGGGCGATGATGGTGTTGAGACAGAGGTCATCAGCGAGGAGAGCTCGGACGACGACCAAGATCAGAACGAGACCCAAGATGCGGACAAAGTTGGGGATCGAGATGAGGTTGAGGGCGAGGTCGAGACAACGATCATCGCCACGCCGGCAATCTCTACGCTGCCCAAAAGGGAAAGAAGTCCCACTTACGAATGGTCGCTTTCACCCCCTGAACCGAAAAAGGCCACAAAAGAAACCGAGTTAGCACCTGAGGGAGAGATCCGACAAGCCGGTCCTCTACCGGAGACGACCACCGTGGCCGTTGCGGAAGAGGTCGACAGTATGTTGATGATCCCTCCGAACAAAAGCCCGGAACGAGTTCCTATCGAGCAGGAACTACCCGACCATGCCGAGACCCAAATTGCGGCAAGCCTAAAGTTGCCAATCAATCTAGCTACGGAAAGGCGATCGACGACTCCTGCGCAGAACGATCTGCCAGATCCGCCTAGAGCGCCCGCGCTCACCCTGCCGAAACGTCGACCCAATGTCAAGCGGATCCGACTTGATACGCCATCATCAGATGAGGGCGAACCACTACCCAGCGTGTTGGGCAAACGAAAGACTTCTTTGTCGTCAACGCCTCCAGCCGAGGGGTCGGAACGGGAGAGCAAACGCTTACAAAAGATCAAGAAGTTGAAGCTGCTCGAGGAACAGATGAAGAAAATTCAAGCGAGCATTGATGTCGACGATGAGGAGGAGGATGTCGAGGAAAATCCTGTTGGTGTAGAAGAGCCGTCACAAGTCCCCGAGGAGCCGGATACTCGGCAGACCGAGGTTCCGACCGAGGACCTACCGGCGTCTGGCTTGGCCACACTCGCGGGTCATGAGGCAGTGGCATTACCAATGACAAGCGAATCAGCCAACAAGCCTGACAACTCCCCACCAGGAAACGCTGTGGGGGAAAAGATCCCAAGCGTACTGCCCGAACTACCACAGCGCCCAATACTGAATCAGCCCGTCCGCCACGAAGGTCTAACCGTCGGTGAAGTCATTGCGATCGGAAACGAATTCCGCGCTTTCCTGCAACAGACTCGCCGATGATGATGATGATGCATAATATGACAGGCGCATGCAAGATTATAATACACTACACATGTAGACTATGCCATTATTATGTACCAGGTCTATTCGAGATAGGCCGACAAGTCGCCTACCAAGCCTTCAATTCGCTTCAAGACCTTGCGGGCCGCGCCTTCCACGGCACCGTTCTCGTCCTGCAGGCACTCGCTCAAGAATTCTGCGACCGTCTCTGGTGCGAATTGAACGAGCTCTTCCTGGTTCTGCCACGCCTTTTCCAGCACGATCAATGCGATCAGCCTCTCGTTCGCATTGTCCGACCGGGTCGTCATGAGAATGGCCATATTGAAGGACTTGAGAACGCTCTCTGACGTTGTCGATCCGGCGAACGCTCCGAAACACTCGGCCAAATGTTGTGCTTCTTTGACATTGTCCGATTTGAGCCTGGAGAGTCCCCCAATTTGCGATACCAATACGGGAACCATCGCCTGGTATCGTTGCTCAGTCCAGTAGACTATGACGAGATTGGGTTTCAAGTCAGTCGCTTAGGTCCTTACAGAGATGACAATGACTCGTAAGACTCACCTGCATCGTCGACCTGGAATGACGTCGTCAAGGTCGCGATTACGGATCGCCACAGCTCAGTGTCTTTGGAGGGCTTGATCGCTGCGGCGCTCAGAATCTCGGTCGTCAAGGGAGACAAAGTGTTCAAGTACGGGGTCATGATAGACTGAGCCGACGATCGATCAGCAGATGATCCATGTCACATTCGCTCCGACTTGCGTGACTTACCCTAAACTTGCTAAACAGGCCGCGAGTAATCCGATAAAGCGAGATCTTGCGTCGATAGAGCACGTCATCGTCTGAGAATGGCATGAGGATCAATACGAGCTTGAAGTCTGTTCACCTTGTTCTTCGACTTACCTTGTGGGTCGGTATCCGACCTGATAGCAGCCCAATCGTACATCCTGCCGAAGAGTGGCTTGAAGGTTGCTTCGTTCAACTTCTCAACCATGTCCAAGAACGCAGGCAGAATGAGACTCTCTGTGATGTTGGGATGCACCGGGTCGTTGCATAGATCGAAAGCGTCCAGGAACAAGGCAAAGACAGCCTTGACAAGCGCAGGCAACGAAGCCCTGCTCGCATGTCGGATTGTCCTTTGGACGAGCCGGAAATATTTTTGCAACGCCTGTGAACAGCGGACTCTTCAGCTCAGAATGTTCGGTGTGGTCGTAGATGTCACTCACGTTATCGGATCCACTCAGCAGCCGCGACCAAAGAGCGACAACGACTGGTAACAAGTTGGGCGTGGGTACCCGTTTGGCTACGCTGGCGATCAGTGCATCGAAATGCTTGCCCGACCCGCTGACATCCACCTGGATAGCAGCAAGCAGCGAGTCGCCCAGCTGTGCTGGAGCCATGAAGGTGGGCACGGCCATGACGACAGCTCCGATGAGATCGATGGCCGAGTTGACGACTCTCGTCTCGTCGGTTTCGGAGGATAGCTTGTCGCGGCTCAACTTGAAGAGCGGCGCAATGTGTGGGATCATCCTACTTTCCAAGCGTTTGCTATGAAGAACGATACTCGTCAGCTCTTGCCTAGATGAGAGAACTCGAGCTCGAATCGCTTACGTCAAGTCCACCAATAGATCCATAGCAGCCAAAACTTCGGGACCGTTGGTATCCAGCTGAGCGATCTTGGCAAGAGGCGCGACTGCCTGTGCAACAACGACGTCTTCTGTGTCTACGACAATCCTGGTGACAGCACTGATAGCTCGAATGGCCAGAACCTGTAGCGATGCTTCAGTCCGATCGAGGATCGCATAAGCAGCTCGCAAGATCTCTGTCATGACGTCGCTCAAGCTGATTCGAAGATCGCTCCTGATCAACGGGACCCGCTCGACCACGAGATCAAGAGCTCGCGCGACAAGCTGGTAATCCAAGTGTGTGATCAGCAAATATGCTCATAAGTCACCAATGCGGAATCAAACCCCTCAACTCACAGACGCTTGGTCCCTCGATAGCAAATCCTGAGTGACACTGATGAAGCTGTCCACGGTAATCTTCTGCAAAGCGGCGTCGAGAGTGACGGCAAGCTCAATCTGAAACGCCTTGGTGTCGAATGACGCGGAGAATTCGGAACGTGGCTTCGCAGATAAAGCAATGAGCTGCCCAATGATGTTTCGGATCGCCGCCTGATCCTGCTGAGATGCCGAAAGCCCTTGCACAACGTCCCGCACGATATCAGTCATTACCGAAGCTCTCGGTCCGAGAATGGCTTCGGCACTGCGATGCAGCGGATGTGAGCGAATTCAGGGGGGTCGGTAGCAACCGTGATGGGACTTACTTGTCTCCAAAGAACAGGAAGGCTCCTTCGTTTTCCTCAGTAATGGTTGACGACAACCTCGATATCTCGCTCAAGATGTTTGAGACGGCCTGGAGTTAGATGCAGCTTAGCATTGGACTTGCGACGAACTCTTATGGACCATGGCACTCACTTGCAATCGGATGGAAGGCTCGAATCGCGCGATAAGGGACTTTGCGAGGCGCGACGAATCGCTGTCAGCCTTGAGCCTCTTTCCACTGGTCGCCAACAACATGATGATCGGTGCGAGGAAATCCGAAACACCCATACACGTGACGAGGTGGACGTAGAAGGGCAGAGTCCTGTGTTTGGGAAGCCTTTGAGCCATGTCCGCGAAGATTCTCAACAAAGGCCTAGCTTCGATGAAGAGGCTGAGTTCGCTATTGGTCTTGTCGCGCATAGATTGTACGATGACGGGAACAGTACTCTCGACAGTCTTCTCTACCACGGAGAAGCTGTATGCATCATCCCTCTGGAAATCGCTAGACCCCACGTAGGTGAAGATGGGCATGACGTTGTGTAGAACGGCGTCGGGGACCAGGCGAGCGAGACTGCCGATGAAGAGCAATGCCATCTGCGATGTGCGTGGGTTGCTGGAACTTCGGATGAGCTTGACCAGAACCTCGACACCGAACGACTCGCCCTGGAGCTGTCGCTTGTCTCGGATCTGATCCAGGATGTTGATCATCAGCGTCAACAAGGACTGTTCAACAAAGTCGGCCGAACCACTGTCGATGTTCTTCCTGTGGTCTAGGATAACGGCGAGGGTATCAAGACCAAGGGTCACCAATCTAGGATCGACAGGGATGTCGGAAGCGTTCCTCGACTCCAGGAAGCCCATGAGAGGAGCAATCGAGAAGGTCGGTTCGGAAACGTCTTCCGTCCTGGTTCGCTTGCTACGAGAAGTATCCTCTGGTTCGCTGACCTCGGTAAGTTTGCGCAAGATGTCAACCAATCCATCTCCACCCAGAGGCATGTCGCGAAGCAAAGCCTTGCATGTTCTGCGAGACCCGTCGCTAAAAGACGGCAAGCCTTCGATGACCGCCAATACCAGCTGTTCCTGCTGCACGAGGCCGAGCTGCGCGAAGACGTCCTTGTTCAACCTGGTCAGGATCAATTCCCGAATCGTGTCCGAAACCTGACCCGCTCGTTCCGGTACATTGCGGTAGACGAGAGAGAGGACAACCTTGAAGAATCCTTCATGGTTGCCCTTGGCGAATTGCTTGGCAGTAGATAGGTCAAGCACGTCAAAGAGCGCCGTGAGGAAAGCGTTAGATTTAGCGACCGAAAGTCGCTTCAGACAAGCAATCTCCTTGCTCTGGGGCTTGTCCAGATCCTCGAATATGCTGGCAAGACCGTCGAGTTTGGTGACTTCGCTAATTTGGCCCAGACTACGCAACAACTTGACTCGAGGTCCATTCAGCTTCCAGCCTACGACGTGTGAGGTCAGTGACGCGATGATTGCGCGGCAGATGTTGGCAGCCTTCTTATTTTCCGCGGTAGCGGGGTGAATCAGGCGTCCATGGATGATAGTCAGGTAGTCCTTGTCCGTGATCAATCCGGCTGCCTCTCGCAACAGGGCTTCGAGGTAGAACCTCGATTCTTTGGCCTGAAGAAGCTTGACCTTCGAGGTTTCAGGACCGTACAGGTCGTCGACCGCATAGATGTCGTCGATCGCATTACCCATACTGGCATGGATCTGATTCAGGAGGGCGACACCGGCCTCTCGAAGCGATTTTGCCTCGTCCATCAAGAGCATCAAGACGGATGGAATCAGGCACTGGAAATCGGTACGAGATTTACCATCAGAGTCCCCGCATGCAGCGAGGTAGGCATGTCCGTGGCTTGCGGCACAAAAGCGGATGTCGACAGGCTGCCTCTCGTCGGTCCAGGTGTCGGCCAAGAAGACGAGCGATCGCTCCCGTAGCTTCCCAAAGACGGAATGTAGTATCGATCTGGCTGTCGCCGACGACAGGGTGCTGGAATTGACCAAGCTGTAGATGCCCTTCAAAGCGGTCCTGACCGACTCGAGCTCGTTTACATCAGAAGGCATGACCCAATGGCGAATCGCAGGTGCCAGCTTCATGTGTCGAATGCCAACGAGACAATGTTCTTGCAAAGCGGCCAAGGTTTTGGCTTGAGTGGGCTTCGAGTACATTCTGTCCGCCACTTCGGCCGGTTTCAGAGCCGCCTCCACGTCGTCATAGACGGGCCATCGAGGGATGACCTTGTTGAGCTCCGACAGGACGAAAGGCTGGACGGCAGGTCCGATCTCGGCCAGGAATTTGGAAACAACAAAGAGCGCATGAGCTCGGACCATGTCGTTTTGCGAGGCGGTCTGATCCAAGAGGAACTTTGCGTTTCCGGTCGCTAACGATTCACGAGCCAAATTTCGCGCCAGGATAGTTGAAATCTTGTCAATCTTTTCCTTGTTGGTGTTTTCATCATTGTCTTTGCCTTCGCTCTCCGCAAAGACCGCCTCGATGCCCTCGATTGGAGGCACCGAGCCAGCGGGAAGCGCCAACAAAGCTTTCCAAGCGGCAGTGATAGTGACCTTGCGCGACTTCGTAAAGATCACGACGGGGAAGATTATCTGACGGAAGATCTTGCTTTGAAGATGCTTCTCATCGGGGAACCTCGCCGGGAGAGCGCTGGCGAATGTCACGTGCCTGACGACGACATCCCGCTTGGTTTCCCCCTTGTACATGGGCACAGACAGAGCATCGACGATCTCGGTCGGCTCTAGTAAAGACATGACGGCCTCGCCGTGCTTATAGATGGTCTCGATAAGCTCTCCCTCGTTTTCCGTCAAGAGACCCTTCAAGATCATCCGGATCGATTGTCGCTCTTCCGGCGTAAACGAATCGATAGCACCAAGCAGCTGATCGATCCCCTGGATCCGGCTGGGCAAGTCAGCAGATACCGCCTGGATAAAGGGCGAGATATCGTCCTCGTCCATGCTGATATCCATCGCAGCATCCTGCCCATCAACGTCGATCGCCTCGCCGATATCCACCTCCATCTCGTCCGTTCTTCGCGACTTGCCCGATTGACCCTTGGGCAGCAGGGCATGGTTCCCAGCAGCCTTGATAGCCGAGGCCACGATGTCCGGATATCTCTGATCCAGCAGACTGTTCAAGTACTGTCTCGCCGTAGAGTCCTCGCTCGTCTCTCCTTCACGAACGCTACTACAGTGTTTGGCGATCGTCTTTTTCACGATAATCGGGACGTCGGTCTCGTTGATGATGTTCCTGACTATTGACGATCCAGCAGCGGGTCGTCTCAATGTCCAACTCGTCAACATCTTCAAGCTCCTCTCCAGCTTGAACTGTTTGGCGCTGGCAATAACCGCCTGAGAAATCCGTTCTTGATGCTTGTGCGTGCCAAAGATTCTCTCCCAGTCGGATCCGAGGTCGAGCATCCATGCTTCAGGAGCGTGTTCTAAGCAGATCATCAGGGTCAAGATACGGTGGACCATGTCGACGTCCTTATTCGAGGCTAAGCTGGAGATGATGGCACCGTAGGGAGCCGATGCAAGAGGGATGGATCGGACGAATAACAGCATAGGTGCGTAGACCGCAGGCTACCAGGACAAGACACGGTTAGCGATGACTGCATCTGGTTGAAATTCGATACGTCAATGCAAACGACTCACAGCGAAATCAGGTCCGCCCCGCTCTACGGTCACCGCCCTGACAAATCCTTGTACTAGCGCCTTGACGACATTCTCCGGAACCCCACCTTCTCCCCTAATCTTCTCTAGGAACTCCACCAAGATAGCTCCCCAAAAGTTCAACAGCGTCCTATGTGTGACTCCCTCTTCCGCAGCTTTCGGAAGCAAGGCCAGTACCCTCTGGAGGATAAAAAGCGACTTGTCTTTGGCCGGTGCCATGTACCGGATCAAGAGTGATCGATCAAGGGTCTGAGGGGACTTTTGAAGAGGATGAAGTAGGCTGAAGTAGGGGGATTTGTTCGTGCTCTCGAGGCGGATGATCGCGAGCATACGGGGGAATTGGGTAGAATCGTGGTAAGGGAGGAAAGCTTCGATGACGGCGTCGACATTGAGTTCATGTACCCTGAGGAATTTGACAGGCAAGATGACAAGCAGAAATGATTCTTAGCCAAACGCTGTTTCGCATGATACGGGTCTGACAGCAGGCTCGCTCGGTACCACTCACCTGAACCGCCGTACCAGCCATTCGAAGCACTTGGCCCCCGATTTCAGAGCCAACCACTGTGACAACCTTCTCAGACAGACTTCCAGTTTCCCATCCAATTCCCGGTTCGTCTCTTTCGGCAACATCATCCTATCCGTGGCTTTGCTCGTCTCGGAGAAGAAATCATCTTCGAACCGCTCCATTCCAGGATCTATCTCCAACAACTCTTCAAACCCGGATACTGCTACATTATAGATGGCGTCCAAGTCCATAGAGGCCGCCTGAGCGGGAGGGAAGAGGTATGATTTGCCGCTGGGTGCTCCATGGTTCGAGGTGATCCGGTCAGCATCTAGGGAGGCAATCCCTCGGAGTTGTTGTGCGAGAGAGGTGGTCATGGTGGAGATCTATATTTTTCTGAGCCGGATCTTCTGACCAGGAAGATGGGCGTCCAGTTTTGGAGGGGCGAGGTATTGGTACAGTAATTGTTTCTGAAATAGAGATACAGCGATACAACCAATACATGGTCTTGGACGTTTGACCATTACAAGCTTGTCGAAACGCTCGCTGAGGATCGAAATCTCGCGATTCACTTCAAGTCACGTGACAAGCTGAGAGAGCCAGGCTAAGAAACGGTTACTATAACTTACGGTCAGAGCATCGAAAACGACAGACCTCCCCTCGTGTACCGTTAAGATCATGCTCAAAAAGTGAGAAGATCCGGAAATATGCTCGTGATATGCCATAATAATACAACCATTCATCTCCAAAAAACCAACAAGCCCAGCCCAGGAGCGTGATCATGCTTGCGCCGCTTGAATGGCCTGCAAGATGTTGCTCGACTTCATCCCCGTAAGATCGATCATCTTGCTCGTCCCTTCCGCTGTACCATACCGAACAGAATAGAGATGTTTCAGTGGCTCGCTCAATGGCCGGATGATGGTGCAGAAGGGGTAGGATTTACCAAATTCGATCGTCATCCTCGGCGTCCTCCTCTCAGCCTTCTCCTTGGAACCCTTCGACTCTTCCTCGGCAGCCTTGGTGGCCCGCTCTTGAATCTCCGGATCCTTGGCTTTTGTACGTGAGCTAGGTTTCCGGTCGACGTGGAATTTGACGGTGGGGTTCGAGTAGGCCAGTCGGGGAAGGGTTGTTGATGTGAATTGTCTGTGAGTGTTTATGTTATCAGCGGTGATGTCAACTTCAAGCCTTATAAAAGCCTCAAGGGCGGAGACCTTCGAGCTGAAGCGGTACCCGAATGAGGCTAGTATCTGATCGTCCTACTCACTTCACACCCCGTTCTTCCAAGTTGGCCACATAGCTCAACACGACCCCCCTCACTGAACTAGGTAACGTTTCGGCCCCAGCTCCCACTCGGAGTGCTTGAATAGCTTGTACCGCAGGGAGCTTTTTGAGAGATTGCTTGGTCATAATTGCGGTAGTATCGAGTGATCTTATGAAGGATAAGGGTCAGCATATCAGCATGCGACAGGGTCTAGAAGTTATGGGTCACCATGAATCGTTTCGATGATGAGAGATCGGTAGGATAGCGGACATTGACACATTTTTTACTGACGCCATCCGATGTCCGTGATGTTCGGGCGCCACCACCCCGAGGCCGGTTGAACCGATTCGAGCTCGAGCTGTACACTCAACGGACCTACACCTTGACGTTTACCGCTTAGAATCCAGGAAGGAAGGGGAGCTCCCACACGTTGCACGGAATAAAGGACCCTTCACTTTCTCCAGTATCTGTCTTTCGCTATCAAGGGAATTTGAGAGTCGAGTTGCTGTCACCATGTTCTCCGCCGGACTCAAGAGTAAGCTCAACACGTTCAATCCCTTAGTAGAATCTTCTTGGATAGCTCATCATTATCTCTTCTTTCGTTCTCCCTCGTACTTGCTCAATCATCAAACGGAATGCCGCTCTACGTTTGGAAACACCTCGACTTCACAGCCGTCGTCGGTCTAGCCTTTGTCCTCGCGATGGGTTTCCTGCTCGTCATCCTCTCGTGTGCGCTCTGGGCGAACTGGTTGCCGCTATTAGTCGGTGAGTACGGCGGGTGCTGTCAATTCAACTGCAAAAAACCACCGAATTACAGGCTGATCTCATGGCACTCGGCGTTGACTTGGGGGAATGATAGCGGCGACATTCGTCATTGCGCCGATACCCAACTCGTTGTGTTCGAGGTTCGCAGGAGCAGACGACATCTCCCCGGAATACAACAGGTGAGTCCTCTGAGATCCTCTCATTTGTTTCTGCAGAGACCGTGCGGGTCTGCCATCACTGCCGCCGAGAGGAAACGTCTAACTCCCGCCTTTATATCGCAGCTCTTATACCGACTTTGGCCACTTCCTAACGGGCATGCTAGTCGTAGCAGGGTTTGCCGAACCCCTCTTGTTCTCGCATGCCAACTTGGTCGAACCAGCTGCATGCTGGATGAGCATGATCGGTGGCGGCCTGATTTACGGGACGATCTTGACGTATTCGGGGTTGTTCGATGAGGGCAAGGGGTATGATTTCTAGATGCCAGAAGTGGAAGATGGTAACGAAAGGGCAGGGTGTAGCAGCGTTGTAATTGTATAGGTCGGTTTGTATCGATCGAGATCCACGGAGATACCTCCTAAATCAAGAAGCAAGAACCATATCGTCAGCTCGCAGCCTCGTCAGGTGCTGATCGATGGGCGGAAGCAGAATTTCCCGAATCGGAGGTCGATCGTTGACCTTTGACGGTTGCGACGAAGTTACGAAGTGCTCCGACACCTCTCCTCTAGGCCTTTAACCTCTCTGAGTCTTGCGCTATCTTGAGCGGCCTTTCCAGTACATAACGAAGAACAGCTCGAGGTGAGAACAAGATGTCTGCAACGCCCGCACCCAAATACATCATCGGTAAGAGCCTTCCACGCTGTTGAAAAAGAACCCGCCCTGAGCTGATCCTCTTTATCGCACATCAGAGCATATGGAGGAGGATGACGATCAGACCCGAACACTACCGCCATGGGTCCTCTTAGAGTGAGGCCAACTCGTCAGCTACCTAGGATCAACGCTGATGGAGGCCCGCTTTATGTAGATACGGCCAGATGCTCAAGGTCGCTTCCCCGAGTTCGACGGTCGGGTTCACCTCCCTCTCGGCGTCGACTCATGCCAGCATTAGCACCCAACTCGACACTGTCGTATCTCAGACCTCGTCGTCCTCATCCAAGCCTCCGGCGAAATTCTTTGCCTCCAAGGAAAGCATCCTCACCTACCTCGCCTCTGCTTCTCCTCCTATTCCCATCTCCAAAGTCTGCCTCTTGGACCCCAAGGCGCCCAAAGCTCTCTGTCCGGAAGACGGTCAAGCGGGCAAGTTCGAGTTCTTCCTCTTTGGAGGAATTTTGGGAGACGACCCTCCAAGGGATAGGACGGGCGAGTTGAGGAGGATGGGCTTCGAGGGGAGACACTTGAGAGATGTGCAGATGACGACGGATACGGCATTGCACGTGACCAAGCTCGTCGTCGAGGATCAGAGTGAGTCGGCAGAATAGGCTTCTTATAGATTTAAGGTTCTCTGATGAATATGTGTGGAATATAGTCCCTCTGGAAGACATTAAATACGTCGTATGTTCAGGGTCTCGGTCGGTCGGTCTGCCTTAAGCTGATAATCGACCATATTTGCAGGACTACCCGACCATCACCTTCAACCCTAGAGAAAGCGTAGAGATGCCCTTCCGTGAGCCTTTGTTGATCGACCCCGTCCTGCTGAAACACATCTGACGTCTGCCCAATTCACCTTTGACACAGGATACGTGGCGGATGAGAAGGGAGAACCCATCTTGCCCGAGGGGATGCGCAAGCTGCTGGAATCAGACTTGAACCGGACGTTCGAGTTCTGAGTGGTGTTGTACGATCATGTACGGAACATATCAAGCGTATACGACGAGAGTGCCAGATTTTGCGTAACATGGGAGATAGCCGGAGATCCTTCCACGCCGTCATTACGAGCAGATGAGAGCATTAAAAGTATAACGGCGAACCGGAGCGAAGAGAAAACACAAACACATGTTTACAACCACCTGCCCAACCTAGCATCCCGAAACAAGATGTGCAGACACTCAGAAAGCCTTCCAGTCCTCGTCCCAATTCTCATCGTCCTTCGGCTTGTTGTTGTCGCTGTTAGCTTTCCCGCCCCTAGGCTGCTCGACCGACCGTCTAGGTTCAGAAACGTCGTCCCTGAATCCTCCGAGCGCCGCCGCCTTGCCGTCATCCCAATCGCCCCAACCATCGTTATCGTCATGATGATTCCCTTGCTGTCCACCTGACCCGACCTGTCCGTACCCTTGATACTTGCTAGGCCCGTCCGATCTCAGATGTCCCAACCGGTCCGTGAAATCCAAGTCCACTCCAGCTCGTTCTTTCGCCAGCTGGTTGGCCCTCGCCCACCCTTCCCCGGCTACGCTGCTCAGCCACCCCGTCGTAACTTTTGCTTGTTCCGCAAACTTGCCCGTCAAATCTTTGCCCTGGGCGCCGTACTGTTCTCCCAAACCCCCTAGACCGCGTTCGTTGAATTCGCCGACGGTCTGTCCGGCTTGTTTCATACCCGGCTGAATGACCGACTCGTTGATCGTCGACCCCGCTGCGGCCACGGCAGAAGAGAAGAGACCCCATCCTTTCGTCAGCGCCGACAAGGGGTCTGCCTGCAGGTCTTGCAGCGAGGGCACGTTGTGCGAGGACATGGCGAACGAGGGGTGGGAGGTGTTGCCACGGGAAGGCTCGATGGGTGCCGAGCCGAATCCGACGTATTTCCCGCCTGTTATTGTCAGAAACGCATGTCCGAGTCAGTCTGGGCTTGTCCCTCGGATTTTCCAAAATGGAATCCCCATCACTCACCCTGACTAGGAGCGATATCGTCCCTCCTGCCCGCATTAGCAGCACCAAGACCTTCGAAGAACGACTCGTTCCTGCTCTTCTGCGTCTGTCCAGCTCCCAACTCCCCATTGGCAGCCCCAGAAAACGGGCTCGCCGTCCTGCTACCTCCAAGGCCGTTCATGTTGTTCTGACTCATCAGCGGGCTATTTCGACCGCTATTGTTGGTGTTGTTGTTGTTGTTTACGGGATTAGGCTTCTTGTTGAAATTGGCAGGAGGAGAGGATTTCTTGAATTCCCCACCGGCGACTTCGGTGTTCAACTGCATGTGAACGAAATTGATTCCATTTAGCAATTCAACGCACAGCGGAACTCGATCCGATTCTCGACCTACCTTTTCCCGATACTGAGCTGCAGCCCACGTCTTGTACTTTTCCGCTATACTCTGTTTCTTCACATACCCACCCTCCGGTCCGTAATTCTCCATAAACTCGCGAAAGGGGGCGTTACCGCCGTGACGCATCTTGTTCATCTGATCTTCCGACCACTTGTCCATAGTCAGCGATCGGATGAAGGACAGGTGTACCCCAAGACCTAGAGCAGAGAGAACAGGTAAGGTAAGTACAGGTGCGGTTTGAACAAGGACGAAGTTGAAGGAAAAAGGTACTCGCCTCGATGAGCTCCGGAACATTCCAAACAGACATATGTTCCATAGCTGACAGAAGCCCATTGTGGACTAGGGGTTCCGCAGTCCACGCAAGCTACGAAAGAGTTTACGGGTTGGTGAGGATGAGCGATGTAGACCGAGGGATCGAACAACTCGTCGTGACTCACACTTGTTTTCGGGTTGGGCCATCAGGCCGAGTAGCTCCTTTTTCTGATAGTTCTCCGCCATCTTTGCTGTTGTTCCTTCACTTGATACCGCAGCCTGACACTATATTCAGTAGTCAAGGGGTCGTTGATCGTTGATTGGTTTCTGATCTGAAGAAGAGGCAGGTTCGACGAATCTGATCTGATTGCGACCTACTGGACCATTGCTAGCCATGCTTCGGGCCCATTGTTGCTCGCTGCAGACAGGGCTGAGACTCTGCGTTAGGCCGAGGAGAGCAGAGGTTTGCCTCCGTAATTACATCCGGTACCCATTCATCCCCCTGCCGGTCCCGGTGCATTTGCCTGCTGATCCCCGCCGTTCCTGAGTTTTATCCCTAGCGCGCAACCTCGCACACCGCAAAGAGGAACACCTTCTGAAGAGGAAGATGGTCCAGCTCTGACAATGTATGACATCTATCCTACGCTCACCCAGACATCACGACGAACAGCTGAGAATAGGTGACTGCTAAGCAAGACAATGGACATCTCTGAAAGCCATGCCACGCGCCGCAGACGAGCAACATCGTCATCAAAGTCGAAGTCGAGGTCGAGGTCGAGACTGACGTTGGACGCGCCGGCCCACCGGACCTCGACCTTTCTTTTACAACTCCTCGTCTGTATCCTCAGCGCTTCGACGCTAGCCACAGCACAGACGAATACGGAGACGGATCCCGAGTTGGCGGGTGATGAAGCTTCTTGTCTCTTTGGGGTGGATCAGAAGGAGATCAACAGGTTGTTCTCCGAAGGTCAGCTCTCAGCTCCTGTCTAGATCGCATCGGTCTCTCTGTCCCCAACAGCTTTTTGAGCAGACCGCTCATCTTGTCATCTCGATCCCACTCGCAGGCGGCCCGACGACACGTATCCAGCTCTGTCAACGTGCAGAGATCCACCTTACCGGCCCTATCATCTTTACAGGCAAGAACCAAGAACTCTCCACCCAGGGTTATCCTGACGAGGACGAGAAGAAGGCCGTAGTCAGGATCGTCGGGGGACGGAGTGGGACGGCCATCCAGTCAGTATAGTATCAGTCTCGAGGCATTAACAGTCTTTCTCTCTCCGCTAAAAGAAGGCTATCATATCAACTCGCGTCGTGATACCTTTTACCAGGGGAGACTGTCGACGCTGCGCCAGGGTAGCGATCAAGAACCTGATCATCGACGGTAATCGAGCATCCCTCGGTCGGATCCGCGAACCTGGACAGGCAGATCCTTCGTCCTCCTCAATACCTTCTTCTTCTTCTTCTTCTTCTTCACAGACGAGCGAAGAACTCGAGGACGATGGTGGGGATGGGGACGAGCTGGATCTGGAAAAGAGGGAGGCGAGCGCGAGGAGACAGCACGAGGGAGAGCTGAACCCGGGATCCGGTTCGGATCCGTCTACTCGGGATGGGCAAGAGACGACAAGAGAACGTCAGGACAAACAGGTAGTCGAAGAGGTATTGGATGACGGGGCAGAGATCTCGGGGAGTACCTCTCCGTTGGTCTTGTTGGGAAACAACGAAGGGCAGGTGGTCAGTAAATGCGTGATCAAGGATCCAAGGTAAGGACGAACGTTCTCGAATGGGGGCATGGTCGAGTAGCTTATGCCCGTTCCCTGGTACGGTAGAGGTTGGACGGCCATCCAGGTCAGGGAGGGAGATAATCTCTCGTGTCGGAATGCCAGGATCTCGGAGAATACGATTGTGAGCCTCCCTCTTATCCATGTACTGCGACCCGAGCGATTGTATCCTGGCTTACCGGTTTGAAATTGTTTTCGCTCTTTTCCTTAGGGCCCGGCAGGAGAGGAATGGATCGAGAGCGTGGATGGAGAAGATCCGGATGACGCTCCAGGTGGACGACCCTTGGCTTCGGGGCTGAGCTTGGCTTGTCAAGAGAGCGTCGTCACGGGAAACGTGAGCCGACCGAGGTTCCATCCCAATACAGCTGCCACTTGACGGCTCACATATTGCCTGCCTTCCGATCGATGTCTTAGATGTTTGTGGACATAACGGATGCTTCCATGGTTATTTACGGCTCTCCCGGCTCGCTCATCGACGATAACACCATCCGGGCGCAACACCGCAATTCGATGGGCGGGATCTTGCTGTCAGACTATGGACCCTGGGAGGGAAACTATACAAACACGCGGGTCTCGAGCAATACGATCGAGGCCGATGAGGGAACGCTCATCAGGGTCGGGATCGGGTTGGGAGCTTCGATCCTCTCGGACGACACCGAGTCGGTCTTGTTCGGTGGGATTGTCAGAGAGAACGTCTTGAAGGGGTACGGTATGGGATACGGGATCGCTGCTGCTGGGTTGAAGGACTTCGTCGTCGTCGACAACGAGAGCAAAGCGAGACATGGCGGTCGGTTGGGCGATCGGTGTCTTGTCCCACTCGAGGAGGATGACATCGCCGCCAAGGGGATGACCGAGGAACAGAGGGATACGGGAGTGATCAAGAACCCTAGACCGGCGGCCTTCCTACGCAACAGCAAGCTCATCGAGGGTGGTCGGTGGCAAAGCGATTTCATCGATTCGAGCTTTTTCTACTGTGAGTTTGGTAAACAAGGGTTCACTCGGTCTTCTTGCTAAATTGAGCTGGGTCATGTGGGACATACTTCTAGTGGTCTGCCTGGACCCCGAGACTGACGGTGAACCGGAACCCGTCAAGCACAAGGCTAAACATCAGCCAGTGGTGATAGACGATACGCTCGACGAAGACTTGGTAAACTGCGGAATGACATCGCTTTGCTCCCTGACTTTCCGCTGACCGAGAACTCGTTTCACCTTGCCGTAGGCCGCGACAATAGAACGGTTATCCACTCGCGTCAAGCATGATCACAAGAAGACAAAGGTCTCGATCATGGAAAGGATCATCTCCCACTCGCAGACGAAAATGTTGGAAGCGATCGCTGCGTTGGGCGCCAAGGTGGAAGTGCTGGTCGAGCGAGCTGGAGTTGACAAGCGGTTGGAAAGCAAGGCAAAACAGTTGATGGGTGATGAAGGAGTCGAAATCCTGTGAGTCAGATCTGACGGCTCTCCTCGAGGCTTTGCAAGCTGACACTCAAAGTTTCCTGGCAGATCTTCGCTTGCGCACCTATCCGCTCGTATTGCCACACTAGAAACGGAAAGAAGGAACACGCGAGAGACGCTCGACAATTTCCGGAGGGAGTTGATGTCCCTCGGCAAGAACTTGGATCGAGCCAAGGTTTGTCCAGCTCAGATCAGATGTGTATGTACTTGCTGACCCTTCTTAGAACAGGCGCACGACACCGCGGTCCTCCGCGAGATCTCGGAGATGTTACAACCATCAAAACTCGGCACGAGAGGCCTCGTACCTCCCGTCTTCGCTAATGCCATCTCTGTCAAGAAGGCCAGGAACTGGACCCTCGCAATCGCCTACTTTCTCGGTGTGCATGTCGCGGCCGGCGCCATCTACTACTGCTGGAGGTGGCTCGTGTCGAAGCGATCTGCATCGTTCAGGCGATACGAATAATGGTTCTTGCCGTCCAAGATGACATAGATGCGTGCGCAGGCTTGCGCGATGTGTATTGCATATACGCCTTAAGAAGCGTAATTTCCATAGTTGTAGCACAATCAAGACTGCTTGACGAGTTTCGCTAACAGGACGCCTAATCCCTCGTGTTGCAAGCTACCATCGTGGGACCCAATCAACGATTCGTTGTCGTATACCAGTCGTTCACTCTCGCCCAACTCGCTCTTGAGCCACTTGAACCAGTTCAGGCTTTGCCGTTCGCTCAACAGCTCATCCTCCAGCGCATGGGCTACGACCAGTCTAGGACCGTCCGTGGCCTTCAAGAGCTGCCAGACTTCTTCAGGCAGACTCTCCGTCGACTGTTTCGGGACGGACGCCTGATCCCAGCTTCCTCCTACTTTCGAATCGGTACCGAAAGCCTTTTCGACGAAGAACTCGTACGAAGGGTACTCGTCGATCAGGTCGTTCAAGTCAAAGATGCCATCCAAGAAGGCCATCCCCTTGACCTTGCGCATGACTTCCAGCATGCCTTCCTTTTCTTCGGGCGTCCATGATGTCTCTGAAGGTGGGCCTGGGGGTGGAGGTGGCCAGATCATGATCATCATCCGGGCTTCGACGGGGATGTTGGGAAGGAGGAAGACGAGGTTGGAAAGTATGGTAGCTCCGCACGAATGTCCAGCGAGGTAGATCGATCTGATCCTCGTTTCTTGGTACGAATCAGATGCGGTGCCGAGGTATGAGCCGACGTTCTTGGGATCGGTAAGCCAAAGCAAGCTTCGGGCGATGTCCAGCTCGTGCATCGGATGAACGGTAGATATCCGCTCGGGATGATCCGGGTGATGCGAGAGTCGGTAGTTTGGCACTGCGATTATCAAATTTTTGGCCTGGCTCTCGGGTATTTGGGAGCTCAGCCGAGAAGGCAGGTCAACATGCTCCGACTTGTCTCCCCTGACAGAAGGGAAAGACTCATCGTCAGCTTGATTCAACAGCATAGACTGGTGGACAGGCGACGATTCTGCTTACGTTCGCCATGCGCCACCGTGTATGAATACCTACAGATTGAATTCGTCGAGCTAAGCAACAGCTGATATGACAAATGAAGCTGGGCACTTACGAGCAAGTCGATGCCATCTGCAGACACTTCTATAGAATCCGGCATATAGATGTCGACTTGCCTCATCACATCCTCGGCTGCCGAAGGATGTTCGTATGCGTGTGTGCTCTTTCGATAAGTTGGCGGTGTCATTGTCGCAGATTGTACTCGGTCTGGATCGTGGAATAGGAGTTTATGCAGCATGCAGGATACGATCAGGACAGGAAGAGGCAAGCAAGAACAAGTGCTCGCAGATTGACTAGGATATCGTCTGAACGGTCAAGTCCGTGAGCTTGCGAGGCTGACATCTTTCACGCGTCTCTCCCGTGTGCGTCATCCTCTCCCCCGAAGGCCGGGGAGTGATGAGAGCCAAGACTCTGGCTGCGGTTGTCTCCCTCCTGGCTCCTGGCCCTGGAAGCTGGACAAGCTACGAGCTACATGCTACATGTCCGTTCTCTAACAGTCCTCGATAAGAGGTTGCCAATCCTCTGCCATTTCAGAAGTCGACTCAGAGTGATCACCGATTCATCCTCTCGATCGCGGTTCTCTTCCCCTGGTCGCGCTCAGAACTGAACCCTCGGCGATCAACGGATCAAATATCAAGTTATCTGTTAGGTATACCGGTGTCGATTGCGCTGCGACGAACTTCAACGAATCAACATGGCAGGATACCCCCAAGTCGTTTCCCCGCCCCCAGGGATGATACCCGGAGCTGTAGGATACAGCTCGATGTCTCCCCCACCCATGGCAGGATACGCGCAAGGGTACCCTCAACCAGCCGCCATGGGCTTTGCACCCATGCCAGCGTACGGAGTACCGCAGGGCATGCCAGCGATGGCTCCGAGAAATTCTCAACAGTTTGCTACTCCGCCTCAGCACAGTCCCGTCCCAACCGGAGCTACTCAACAGAAAGGAACTCTACGGCCAGGACAGGAGATCAGGGTCGGCAAGCAGGTCGTCGTGGTGGAAAAGTACCTGAGCGAGGGTAAGCGATTCATTTCATGTCGTTGAGATACTGCTGAGAAAGCTCTGATCGTACGCCTTGAATCATACGAATAGGAGGATATGCACACGTCTACTTGACACGGTCGCAGCAACCCATAGGTCTGAACCGGCTGACGCGGCACTGTCTCAAGCGGATAGCTTTCCGGGATGATCAGGGGACGGACATGCTCAAAGAGACGGAAAAAGAGATTCAAGTCATGAAAGCACTCAGAGGGAATGATCGTATCGTGGAGTACCTGGATAGCGAGATGAAGCGCCTGGAGAGCCGGAGAGAAGGAGGCCCGGGATGGGAGGTGTTCATCCTGATGGAGTTCTGCGGGGGTGAGTCTGCGGGGCACGGATTCACGAACGTACAAGTGAGGTCGACTCTGAATGCCTTCTTTTCGGCCCGTCGCTCGTCTCGCAGGTGGAGGAATCATCGATCTGCTCAATAAGCGGCTGAGGGATAGACTACGGGAAGACGAGATCCTGACCATCTTTGCCGACGTCTGCGAGGCCGTTGCCCATATGCATACGCTACCACAACCCTTGTTGCACCGCGATCTCAAAGTAAGCTTCCTTCTCGGGCGATATATATTTGGTCAGATAGCTAACCGTACTTCGGTCAGATTGAGAATATCCTCTGCACCCCAGCAAGTACGACAAACTCGTCCTCGTCATCAGCGATATCGTCATTCCGTTACAAGCTATGCGATTTCGGCTCGACTACCTACCCCGCTTCACATGCACCGAGATCGAAGCGAGAAGCGGAGGCTCTAGCTTACGACCTCAATAGGCACACGACGTTACAATATCGGAGTCCGGAGATGGTCGAGCCTCTTTTGGGATTGCCGGTCGGGTTACCAGCGGGTGAGTTCGGCATCGATTGATCAGCTTGGTTATCGCTGAGGAAGCTAAGACCGCGTCGTGGGTTTCCTCGATAGATGTCTGGGCCCTCGGCGTACTGCTCTATAAACTCTGTTATTATACGACACCTTTCGAAGAGCACGGTCCTCTTGCTATCGTGAACGCGAAATACACCTTCCCGGCCTACCCGGTCTATTCGCCTGTTTTGCAGCATCTGATAGGTGTGCAAATTCGCTCTGCAGCACGGAGAGTTGCAGCTGATCTCATCTTTTTCCCCGTTATGCAGCATCTATGCTGGTGGAGCAACCAGCTAGACGACCGACGGTAGTCGACATCCTCACCAAGGTGCACCGCCTCAGAGGGACTCGTCCTGATCGCGAATACGTTAGTACAGGACGGACTTATCAGGCCAAGCTAAGGAGTTCTTTCACTCACTACGATATGGACCTCTTGTGCAGGCAAATCCTACCCTGCAAGTCGGCTCGTCCGAAACTAACAGGACGACGCCATCGCCTACTCCAGCTGCTCCCGCAACGGGAAATCTGCTCGACTTCCGCTCGCAGGAAGATGTTGCTAGCTATCGAGCATCTCCGAGCAGCAGCCAGACCAATCTCGCTGCGACCATACAGCCACAAAGACGAGGACGTCCGACAAAGACACCTGGAGCCAACTTGCCCAACACGAACCGTCAACCTGTGGCTGACAAGCCTGTGTCAGCTCAGCCAGTACCGACTTTCCGAATACAGGTCACGGGAGACGGGCAGCAAGAGACCGCTGCCAAACCAAACTTGGCCAGCGACATTAAGCGCTTTGCGGCGGACTTCGGGGATTCATTTATGCCCGAAGCTGGTTTGATCACTCCTGCAGCTGATGCAAACAAAGACAGTCAGCTTGGATTTGATGATGGCTTTGATGGCAAGGCATCAAGAGCTATCCCCACGCCAGAACCGCTTACCTCGGCACGCACAACGTCTCCCATCCCTACCAACATTCAAGGCTTCTCTGGATTCGGTGATTCTTTCGCCCCGCCAAAACTCGGAAACGTTGGACGTCAGACTAGCTCCAAGACGATCTCCCTGCCGGTGCCGTCCGAGATGAAGAGCTCGTCGCCAGCATTGTCTTCGTCTTCGGAGCATTCGAGCGCGTTCGAAGACAGGTACCCATCGGTCGAACAGCTCGCTGCCAGGCAAGGTTCGGGATCGGATGGCTTGTTGGTCAAGTCTCCGGAAACGATGTCGAAACCTTTGCGACCTTCCTTTGGTCGTCAAGGTAGTTCCGAGGTCAATCCGCGAGGCCTGTCTTTTCATCAACCCAGTATCACCGGTGGGGCCGCGGATGACAACCAAAAGATGCGGTTGCTCTCTATTGACGAAGCACCTCATGCTCGTTCGACGCACGTGACCGGTACCGCCTTTACTTCTCTGGAAGGCAAGAGCCCGGTCAGGAACACGCAACCGAGTTTCGACCTACTTGATAGCATCAACACGGACTTGGATTCCTCTTCCAGGCCATCAGCATCTGCTCTGCCACAAAACGCAGAGGTTCGACTTGATACCGGATTCCAGGAATTGACCGACTCCGAACCTTCGAAAACGACCGACGATGGACGGCTCGGCACACCTGCTACCGAAAAGGAACCCTTGATTTCTTCTCCTACCACGATGGAATCATCAACCGGACGTCAAGGCAGTCTACCTAAAGACCTCCTGACGGGAGGTAATAACGGCAGTTTCGACGACCACAACTATGCGGCGCTTTTACCTTCCGGACGTGCTACAGGCAAGAAGCCCCCGCCTGTCAATGCGAAGCCAGCGCGGTTCGGAAACCAGGTGTCAGGTGCACCTCTATCAGCCGGTTCGCCTGTGGCACCGGGGGGACAGGGAGTGTTGGCTTCGTCTTCGATGGCCGCTGCGTCTGAATCGTCGAAAGCTCCGAAACCTAGACCTTTACCTAGTAAACCGGATCATCTGCGTCGGCCCCCTGCATCCCCATCCAGATCCGGCAGTCCGCGATTACCACCCTCGTCCTACTCTCCCGTATCTCCTGGCCGAGTGTCCAGTCCGCCAAGCACGGCCAGGAGTGGGAACGGGAACGCGAACGCGAACGGGCCAGGTTTCGCTTCAGGCGAATATCCGAGCCGGCCAGCGGTCGTCTCCCGTCGAAGTTCTATCAACGAGATGGTCGCCAAGTACGAATCCCTCTCTTCGCCTAGACTGGAGAACGAAGGGTTCGACCCGTCGTCGGTCCCGAGGGCGAGAGGCCAGACGGTACCTAAACCCGCACCTAAACCTGTTCAACTCAAAGTCGGCTCTCAAGGTCAAGGTCAGGGTGTAGGAGTAGAGCAGGATACAGGGTCGGGCCTCAATCGGAGCCGGTCAATGTTCCTCCCCGCTGATGCACCTCGTCGACGGTTGACCCCGGAGATGGACCGGCCGTACGTCAGGCCAGGAAGGCCGATCACGACTAAAGGAGATGCCGGTGCTGGACAACCGGACCCAGAAATGGATGGCGGAGGGAATAACAAGGGCGTCAATGCGTTGATCGCGAGATGGAACCAGGGGACGGTACCCGCCCAGGGAACCCACCCGTCCGTGGCGAAAGCCCGAGCGCCTTTGGGTTCGGGAAGAAGGTTGTAGTAGTACGATCGAACGTGTAGGATAGCCACTGTCTGGTACATATAGTTTGTAACTTGTAGCTTGCTACCCTGCCGGATAACCCCGTTGCACGTTGCATGTTGTCTCCCATTCTGTTGTACCCCTCTTTTGATGACGATTTCCGATGACGAATCACGACGGGAATCGTTTCGCGCTAAAGGACCTGGGGGAAGCGAGATCATCAATCAACCTTGATCGAATTGATCTTTGGTGGCGCAGAAATGGGCGAGGATGTCGATGGGGCGAATGCGCAGCAACAGGTGAAAGCGACCCATCATCAATTCGATCAATCATCATTGAGTGAAACTAACCTGCCGCTGGGAGAAGAGGTGGATCCGATTCATCTGCATCTGTCGCAGTCGCACGAGGTGGCGCTTTTGATGGATAGAAAGCGTCGTTCGTTGTAAGCGAGGACAATCGGCGGAGATCCACTTTCCTTCCTTTTCGGCCTGATCAGCGGAATGATACACATCAGATTCTCGCAAGGTCAAGAAGACGGAGAGAGTTCGACAAAATAACTAGTCTGGATCACCCCTTCGTCGGTATTATCGTAGTTGTTGTGCGTTCAACGTCAAATACTGTTACACCTTTAGCTACTCGAATAGCTGATCGCCTCACAGTCTGAGACGTCTTCAGCGGGTTTCAAATACGCACCCCCTCGACACCAAGATGCAGGGCATCTTTCCCACCAAAGCTTCTGCATCGGTCACTACTTCTCAAGTCACCGTATCCTCGTCTCCTTCTCCCCCAGAGTCCTCATCCAAGACCCTTACCACCCCCGAGCTCGACCAATCTCCCGTCCTGGGTTCGCCTTGCTCTTCGGGATCAGTCCGCAAGAACAAACGGCCTCCTCCGGTCAAGATACCTCAGTCTCAATATTCCCCGCCGATTCCACCACATCAAACGTTTTCGCACGGATCCATCGTATCTGAGCAGCCCGATGTGACCAGCGAGGACGAAGACATCCCCATCTATTTCGGAGATCTTCCTGCACACCTCTCCGGGCGTCGACCTAGTCCTGGCATTCCACTGGACGCGAGCTACGAACATTGCGGCTTCCTCTCGTCTCGATCGAGCTCCTTTGGCAACTGTCTACCTACCTCGCCTTTGCCCAAGCTATCTGCGGGTTTGACAGAGTCAGGATCGTACCGTCATCCTCTCGAACAGCTCGACTATACCAAAGACACCACTGTCATCAAAGGATTTTACGGTCCGATCAATCCGTTTGCGGCCAGTGCACCCACGACGTGCAAGATCAATCCTCTAGTCGCCGTCACTCCGCCTGTCGAAGCTATAGGTCTGGGTCTACTATCTTCCCATACTCGAAAGCGTCCACCTCCGAGAGATATCACTTCTATCAGCCTCGATAAAGGATACGGCAAAACCTTGAAAGGGTTACCTCCGGGAGGCCTTTCCGTACCCGCTTCTTTGCAGACGTCGAAATTGCGCAGAGAGATCGGCGGCCTTGGGCATATCAGGTCCAACTCGAACGATTCTACATTTACCGTCTCGGCTTACGAAGGCCTTCCTTCGGACACGCCACAACAGAACAGCGTCTCCCGGTTTGGTTCCCAGTTGGGGGACGATCAAACTCTGCTAGCCCGACGACACATGCTCCTCACCGACCAGATCTCACCGAAAAGCGTCTGCCCTCCGCCTCCGTATCCGGAACAGGAGCAGCGATCGAGAACAAAGACGGAACCCACCCCGACATCCCCCACTTCATCGACCCATGCGGAGGCCGGATTCTTCCTCTCACAGATGGACAGTTACCTCGCCCAACACGCGGAAAACCATCATCCTTTCAAAGCTCAGATCCGCGTGCCTCAATTCGGGAGTTACGAAGCCCCAGCCCGATCTGAGAAACCGACGTTGATGCTCGACACCTCATGCCTCCTGCCTTCCAAGCAAGCTCGGAGCGCTATCGAGGCGACGACGAACCGCCGCATCAGTCATCTGAGAAACAACTCGGGTCCCGGTCAGACTGCTTCAGCATCGGCCCTAGCTTCAGCCTCAGCTTGGACCCCACTCCGCCGAGATTTCGACCAGAGCACTACCATTCAATTACACATCGATCAGGTCAGTCGGATTTCTTCATCTCAACCCTGTGTACCGCGGGACGGACACGCCCTGACTATTTCTAAATCCCGATTGTAGGAGAACTACCGCACCCAACAGCCCATATTCAAGTATACCCGTACGCGGAGCGCCAAAGCGTTTCAGGCGCGACCTAACGGACGGCCTCACACCGCGGGAAGTGTAAGGGATACGGGAAAGCAGCCTTTTGCCGAGACGGGCTGCGTGGAATTTCGGATGGAGAAAAAAGAATTGTGGCCGTACCATTATTCGGTCAGTAGGTATGGATGCTGCGAATGGCTGGATTCTCGCTGACAAGTCTTCTTTCGGTCGACGTTCAGGCTCTGGAACCGCTGCCGACCGTGCGCAGGATCTTGATCAACGGGGACGTGAAACACAACTACATCAAACGCCGTGTTTCCCTCGGACTGCGTACCAACGGTGTATACCAAGTCTTTGGGACTCACGAGAAGGGCGAGGTAGAATGGAAATTTGAATACGTCGTTGAAGATAGGCGTTCGGAAGCCACGGGCAAAGCCATCAGCGGGGAGAGGGTGAGCATGCAAGCGCAAACAGCGAGACCCCGTACATGAGACCTGACTTTGATTGTACAGGTCATCATGCCCCTGACGTTTTCGTGCACACCCGACTTTCTCGATAGCAATCCAGCCATGCGGACGGGATTTGTCGGCAAGGTCAGGAGGACGGTCACCCCTCCCGTCTTTGCGACCCGAGTCCCACCGCCCAGCTTGAGCGCCACATCGAGCGATCAGTCGCCGTCTCGGACCGGGCGCAAGACCCCGTTGTTCTCTTTCTCCAGGACAGACAGCTCGATCTCCACCGATCAAACCTCCCCCGCAAGTCAACATCACGACAGCCCACAAGATACTACCCGACCGCTCCGTTCGAAAATCTCCGCTTCTCTACTGCCCTTTGGAAGCAAATCCAAGCGCCCATCCACCGCCCAGCCTCGCATGCCGTCTAGCCCGCTCTCCCCGTTAGCCACGAGCGTGTCGGTCAGCTCGATCAGTCCCGGTCGAAAACTCTCGTCGAACAGCGATACGAAAAGCAATCTTGGGTCCAGGTCGCCGGAGACCTCTTTCATCTCGCTCGACGCTGGCGTCACGCCGTTACTACCCAGCCAAAAGTCAGCTGGATTTATAGCCAGATGGACGCCCAAATCCATTCTCAGAAAAAACGACCCGCCACAGCTGCTGGACACCATTGAAAGACTGTGGCGCCTGCCAGACCACGAACGACCGTGAACGATACGATCGAGTGTCCCCACCTCCATGTTTTCTTCTTTTGGGACAGCGCTTGATGGTGGTATCGTGTTCATCTGTATTATATCCATACACCAGTGTACTAGAATACGATAACGGCGGGCGATTACCCGCTATCGCCGCCGACCCCGGTTCCCACCCCACTGGGGCGGTTCGTACCCGATCTGCTGCAACATCTGTTCCTGACTCGGTAACGGGCCTCCTCTTCGCCCAGCGACGGTTTCCTGACCTTGAGGTGGAGGCAAGAAACCAGGAGGCGGACCGTTGTGGTTGTTCTGCCTTGGCATCGCTCCAGCTCCGGGTCCATATGACTGAATTGGAGGTGGCATCCCATATGACATATTAGGCATCGGGTTCATCCCCGGCAAAGCTGACGGTGCCATCTGTTGTGGTTGTGGCTGCATCATGGTAGGCTGAGGCATCCCCGGAAGAGGAGGTATCTGCATCTGCATCGATGATGGTGGTGGTAATGTCGGTGCAGGCATAGCAGCAGACAATCCTGGAAGTGCGAAATCGCCCGGTCTCGTCGTATTCTGGGCGTTGGGAATCGGTCTTGTCGTTGATACTGCGGCTGCTGCCGGTGCGCCCAATCCAGGTAGAGGCATCGCCTCATCTATCATACGATCGCGATAGACGTTGTTAGCTTCACCTGCCACCCACACAAGCCGTTCGACCGCCAAGCACTCACCCTGATCGTCCTCCTCGACCCTCTGCGACCACTTTGGTTTCCCAGCCGCCTCGCTCGCCGCATCCCCGATGTGCCACCTATCCGTCTCCTGCCCTCCCGTCGCTCTTGCCCTGCACCAGAACCGCGTCGAATAGTCCTTGCTCGCCGAAGCTAGCACGTAGCCGAGAGGATGGTAGTCGAGCGCCCAGACGGTGGAATCGTGGGCCGCTTCGAGCGTGACGACCGGGGTTGTTGGGTCCGCTTGGTCGATACACCAGTGTGAGATGGAGCCATCCATCCCGCCTGAAGAGAGGATGTTGCTATGTACCGGATGCCACGTGACGGCTACGAAGCGATTAAAAGCGAGTCAACAACCTCGCCCACATCCGATCCCTTTCCGCCTGGAGTACGACCATGACAAGACTCACAAGTCACCTCCTTTGGATGTCCCTTGAGCGGTTCCAACTCTTTGAACGTCCGGATGTCAAACAACCTGACGAGCCCATCTCCACCAGCTGTAGCGACCAAGTGTCCGTTCCTACTCCATTCGAGAGCGTTGATTACTGCCTTGTGCGTTCGTCTAGCATGACACGGTACATCAAGTTGGAGCGGACACAAGGAGTCAATCAGTACCTTGACATCTCTGACAAACCTCGACGTCTACTCACAACGTGCTCAGATCCTTGCCCGACCTCGGATCCCAAAACTTGACCAACATGTCCTTGCTCCCACTCGCCACGAGCCCTTTGCTCGGGTGCCAATCCACACACCTCACATCCCATCCGTGGCCGCTCAAGACCTTTTCTTCCTGCCGACTCCCAAAGTTCCAGATCTTGACCCCTCCATCGTCTCCGCCGGTGACAAACTTTTCGTCGTTCGGGCTAAACGAGATCGACCTGACCGCCTCTCTATGCGCGGTCAACGATTCCAGGTTGTTGATGGTCGGCGTGTAATATTTGAGTATCCCCCCTTGGTCGCCGGACAGGAAGAAGAGACCGGAATGAGAGTAGGCGAGCGAACGGATGGGGTGATCGTGAGCCTGTTTGAGGGATTCAAAGTTGAAGGTGGCACCGTTCCAGATGGTGAATTGACCCATCTGATTGCCTGTCAGACACCAGCGGCCGTCAGGTGCCCACTATCAGTTTCAGGGGGGTCAGAAGGGAAGAACAAAGAATCCAAATTTCGTGTTAGCTCGATATCCGTGCGGTATGGAAGCTCAGAATGAGAAAGGGAGTCCCAGACTCACCTTGGCGACGCTGATCGGACTCCGTTCCTTGTTGGTCGACCCGTGTACGAACACCTCGCATATCGAAGCGACCGGATTTGACATATAGGCTCCTGGTGGGAGGAGCTGAAAAGCGTCGAGGCAAGAGTCAGAAAGCAATGAGTCATGTCGACTCCGAGCCTGGAATGCGACCGCAATGTAGGTTCCCGAAGCTCACCTTGCACATGTTGGAGGCTCCTGGGTAGACTACGGGTGGTTGCGGTAGTCCGGATCTAAGTTTGCGTAGCTATACCACCGAGTATCAACCAGATGAGTAAGCCTGTACGTCTAGCCCTGTACCACACTGCCTCCTCCCTTGGAATCTCGACTCACCGTCTGCCACCTCGCCGCTCCCGCCGAATAGTCCACCGTCCGTCTCGGTTTCAACCGTTTAGGTGCCCTCCCAGCGAAATCCAAAGCTCCTCCCCATTGTTCTGCGGCAGCGACCGAGTTGTTGTAGATCTCCTCCTTGATCTGCTCGTCCCGAGGTGGTTGGCTCGGAAGGAGGTGTTTCGTGGGTCGCCATGGTTGACGGCGTTTCGACGCGGGAGCCTGGATGGTGGATTTTGGATCAGGTTCAGACATCAGAACGAGAGTGGTAGGAGGTTTTGCCAGCTGTATCGTGATTCAGAGACCATGGTTATGATTACAGCAGCATGTCATTAGAGGACTAAGTTGAACAGGTCCCAAGGCCGATGATTCCATGGGGTCACGTGATTCCTCTCTCTCTCGGTCGCCGAGACACATCCCCGCTACCTCGATGCCAACAACCTTGATTGTATGGTTACTTGTACTCTCCCTCTCTTGCTATCAGCACGTTGATCAAGGGACCATCAAATTCCAGACACACTCGGCGAGAGGCCATAAGGATGACATCTTACGATGGAGGTTACCCCCGTAGATTCACCCCATCGCCATCGCCATCGCCCTCACCGTCAACCTCGCGGACCTCACCGCCCCCGCCAGAAGTCTTGACGTTTGACCCGCAATACCCCGAGTCGCAATACGTACCCCGTGGGATCGGAATCAGCCGGTTCTCGGAGGACGACGCTTTCGAGCAGAACGATCGGAGGAGGTCGAACGGAGGTGGCGGGCCTGGTGGTGGTGCTGGTCGTGGTGGTAATGGGGATGACGGCGGGGACGATAGCGAGGACGACGGACAGGACGTGGCTTTCGAGTCGGTCGACCTGGATGGAGCAGGAGCTCAAGGACAGCTCTCCTCGCAGTTCGCTCAGAGCCTATACCTCTCATCTCCTACTGCAGTAGGACTCTCACCCACTGGCCACATCCTACAGCGCTCTTCCTTTGCCTACGGCTCAAACTCTAATACGGACGATCCTCGATACAGCGAAGATGCGAATGCGAGGAGACCCGTCTCCGCCAACGGACACGCCTCAAAGTCGTTCTTTAACATCAGCCGGTCTACTACCCCACGACCAAATCCGAGGACATCGTCATCACACGATTCACACCCGATGTCTCCGGCATCTCCGTCTGCTACGGTCGGTCGCCGGACACCCGACCCGTCATCAGCGAGAACCACGACATCCAGCTCGACTTCAGCTTCAACCTCTCCTACACCCACAACCCAACCTCGTCCCCGTATCCACGCACCGCCAGCCATCCCTCACTCCTTGAACCCATCCGTGATGGCCGCCCTGACATCCAACCAATACCCATCCACGGCCACCTCTTCTTCTCCGCAACTCACCGCCTTGCCCTCAAAATCGGCTAGCGGAGCGTTCTCTCTCTTGAAACGCAATTCCTTGTCCCTGACCGGCAGCCTGAGGAATGCGAATGGGGGTAGTGGGAGTGGGAGCTCGGGCTTGGACAAAGTGAGGAGTCGGACGAGGATGGTCCATCTCCCACCCAAGGATAAAGAGGAGGATCAGGCGCATTTGGAGAGGTGGAAGAGCATGATGGAAGAATCCAGGTCGGCCGGTACGTGCGAAAGTCTCGTATTCTTGGGCGTCCTTCGGATCGCCCCGCTATGATAACTTGGTTCGATAACCAAGTCACTGACCTTGATCTCCACACCCGTGCAGAACAAAAACGCCTGTCCGACGCCGCCCGCCGCGCCTCTGAAAAGTCTAAACACCAAGCAGAATGCATACCCATCTGGGAAGGGGTCATCCTCCCTGCCGGTGGTCCGAGGGAATGGAAGAGGCTCGTCAGGGCGGACACCAAGATGGGGGAGTTGTGGTTCGAGGGTATCCCGACGCATTTGAGGGGGAGGATATGGAGTGCTTGTATAGGGAACGGGTTGGCGCTTTCCAAAGGTGAGAGTCGGGTCGGGTCGATTCGAGTTGATCTTGCCTCCCCTGATATCATACTGATCTGACGGAACATTATCATCTGGCAGAATCATACCGAGCTTGTGCATACCGAGCGAAAAAGGCCATCGAATCGAACCGTTTCCCTGCCGATGTTATGCGACATATCGAGGACGACTCGGTGGCCACTCTTTCGACGACCAAGCTGTACGGGAAGAACGGACCGATGGTGGAGGATTTAAGAGAGTTGTTGGCCGCATGGTATGTCAGCCGGGTGGACGAGGGGATGGGTTATGTAAGTCGAGTGATGCGGTCAGGTCAGATATGGAAGTCCTTGGTCGCTCATGCTTCAGACCCGACTCGTCGCAATAGGTCCGAGGGGTACACCTCCTCGCGGGCATGCTGTTGATGAACATGAACATCGCCGTGGCCTTCATCTGTCTCCGAAATCTCCTGGATCGACCTTGTCTCCGAGCATTCTATTGCGGGATAGACGAAGAGGTCGAAGCTTACTACCGAGTAAGTTCCTCCCAAATTCAGAATACATAACTTGATTAGCTCCCGCTAAAGCTCCTCCTAATATTTTCCCTGCGTAGATATTCGACAATCTTCAAGCAGACCTCTTTCCCAAGATTTATGCCAATTGCAAGACCGTCGATGTCCGGATTCCTTCGACGTATTTCACCACCTTGTTCTTGCATCAGATCCCGTTCGAAGCTGCCGTACGTGTGTGGGACTTGATTATGCTAGAGGGCGACGGCCAGATCTTTCGGATCGGCCTGGCCATCCTCTCGATCCTCGAACCGAGGTGAGTTCTACTACAGATTGAGTGGCAAACAGTTTGGTTCCATTGCTTACAGTTTGACCTATGTACAGGCTGTATTTCCCTGACAAGAAGGAGATACAGAGCGTGTTCGACGGAAGGAACGCCGCTGCCCTCGCCATTGTCAACCGGGAAAAGGAACGGGCCAGACTCAAAGGCGTGACTTACGATGCCGAGGACGATGGCGTCTTGGCCCCATTTGGCGTGAACGAGGACGCGATCTTCGACGCCCTCAGTAATGACAATTGGAAAGAGAGTCGTTACGAGCGGTTGCTGACAAGGGAATTACCCGAGTGATGCACGGGGCCTTTGGGGAGAAGTAACCGTCCTTCCAAGGCGCGTTCTATAATGACAGGAGATCTCATGACGACAACACATAACGAACCCATACCTATACGCATGTAGATAGATACAGTGATGCTCTCGATCCAGGATGCCATCAAACGACCCTTATCCTGCCAGGGGCAGACCACACAGCTCGCAATCGTTGTTGCTGGGTGGATTCTCAAATGTGCAGTGAGGACAAGCCTTGGGTCCACTCGGCTCCGCAGGTGCCGCGGAAGATCCCACGACGCTGCCACCGGCACCGTTGATCTCGTCCAACAGGTGCTGGGGAATTTCCTCGAAGCCGTCGTTGCCCATCGTCTGAGCGGGTTCTGTTGGGAGTTTTAGCGAGTAGTCGATATCAGCGTCGGTGTCCGAGGATCAATTACCGGAAGTACTGATCGACATACTAGCAGCTTGTAAAGATTTGGCGATCTCTATCAGTGCACTCCAGGCATCAGATTTGAGCAGGTCCGGCAACGCGGTAGCATCACCCGTTTCGGACGCGGTCACAATCCTCCCGACGACCTTGAGCGCAGCCTGTCATCAAGAAACCGTGTTAGCAAGACCACTTAGTGCGTACTTGCATCGTCAACACCCACATCGTCAAACAACCCAGATTGAGGTAGGAAACAGAAGAAATGCCAATCGCTAAAGGCCTTGACCAAGGCCGATTGCTGATCCTGCGTGAGATCGTCTATCGTAATGACGTCCTTGTTATCGAGATCGGGAATGATCTGCCTGATCTGTCGGGCGGGTTTCTCGAGAGTCTGGTGACTGTCAAATCGGTTTTCGATGGGAAATTCGAGCGACTTGAATAGCGGTCGGGGTTGCTTGACGAATCCGTGAGTAAGCTATAGCATAGCAGGGTTAGTCATCTCCGGACATAAGTGAATGAAGGTAGGATGGAGCTCACGGTCACAAGCAAATACTCCACAGGGAAACATGGCTTGGCATTCTCCTTCACCTGGAGCCCGTACTCGTTCTTGTGGCTGAATTTGGAGTAAACGTAAATAGCAGGTCTATGCAGGTGTGATCCTATTCTAGTCGCTCACCTGTAGAAGACGTCCGGCACGTATCTCGTGCTCTCCTCCTGTTTCACCCTGACCGTGCCAGGATCCACACTCGCTTCGATCATATCGGCTTGTACCATAGCAACCCCCTGTTCCGCCACTTGGAACGCGAGTGCTTCCGCTCCTCCGCTTTGATCTCCCGTGAGGACACAGGTCACGAAGCGGGAGGAGTAGGTTCCAGTTGGAGACGATCTCGTGGCGGTGGGATAAAGAAGCTGCATCTGCGCCGAGAAGATTGTCTCCAAGCTGGAAAAGAAATAGGATTGACCATGTCGCTTGTATTGAATCTTGGTCTTGTCCTCTGGCTCACTGATCGAAGGGAAGAGGATTAGATTAGAGCATAGACAGGCCGGTGGGTTGGACTCACGGAGTCAGATCGGTGTAAATCATACCGACGATACGGAGGTCCGATGAAATGTGCTTTGCGACCTCGTTGACCCTCGTCATCTCCTCCCGGAAATCGTCACCGAGCCCGATCCCATCAATCTCATGATCTTGCTGAATCTCGTGGATGGCTTCCACCACGGCCTTGATACCCATCGGGACCTCTTCGTATGGTTGGTACCTCCCAATCAGCAGTCCGAAACGTTGGTAACCCGTCTTTCTCCACGAATCCAGAAACGAATTGATCAGGTCGGCCGACGCGAATTCGACGTGGTCGACCATCCGATAAGGTTGAGATTGGAGCGTAATGGCGGAAGGCTGACATTTCGAGCAGATTCCTGCTGGCCATGAAGCATGAGCACCAGATGGGCAAGGGATCGCAACACGGTAATTGAGAGGGGTGAGAGGCGGTAAGTTGGCTGTCGATGATGTGTTCTGCGAGTTTCCAGCCTGCAGCTTTGTCAGGTAGGCGTGGTATGACAGGTGCTTGATCTGGTGCTGAGTGTGATATTCTGCGTCGTATGGCTACATGCAGGACTCACTCTGTGTCAGCATCACCACGACAATATGAGACGACTTGACAGACTTACCTCGAGCGGCATACAGTAGTCACACATTCCCTTGCCTCCGTGCTTGCACATCTTTTCGTCCCTCTTCCTCGGGATCTTTCCATTCTTGGCCCTCCAGAAGTTGTCTACCGGCATCTCCTTGATTTTGGATAGGTCAAATAAAGGCTTCGTAAGTGCCGCTTCATTGGGACCCCCACTGATAGTGGCGTGTCCTGAGCGATCTCCATTACTGCCCGTTGGTGCCGAATGCAGCTTCGACTCGTCTGCTGGAACAACCACGGTCTTGCCACTGAGTGTCTGTGCCGTACGTTGCTGTATACTAGACGATGATGGTACCGCTACGGGCGCTTCTGTCTGCGCCGCCTCGGCTTGGTAAGACAGGAAGAGCATGTCTCCATGACTATTGCATGAATTAGCTTTGGCGACAATCCGAGGAGCCCAGAAGCTACATCTCGACCCACTTGAAACCCATATCTCCCACTTTCCTCCCGTTCAGGGCGTCCATAGGAACCTCTTCTCCACCTTTTGGTCGATTAGCTAGCTTGACGCTACCAGGAGCAGCTCGTCCCGGGATAAGGGCCACGATCTGGAACATTACAAGAAGCGTTATTATGATCAGTAAGCCAAGAGATCGGCTTTTGAAAAACGAGACCCACCTTCTCAGCAAATTCTTCCCCGGGTGTATCACCCTGCACCTCTATCCTGAACGAGCCATCTGGCGACCTGATTCGAAGAAGCTGATCGAATTGTTCACAAATCAGCTAGTAGCTTCTCGAGTTGCTTGATGCGTCGTCCAGCTCACCATTGTGTGGCAACCGCTATGGCTTTTGTTGATGACTATCAGACCAATATATCTAGTTACCGAGAAGGTGGAGTCGTCTTTCCTATGACAGGTTGTGGTCAAACCAGCCCACAGGCCACAGAAGTCGAATTGATCGACCTCCCTCTCGCTTGTTCATCGTCATGATCGATACTCGATTTGCATCCGCGGTACCCTCAAGCGGATGACGAATCCCAAGTTCTACGAGCTACGAGAACAGGGTGGTTGTATCTGTACATCGTACATCTACTTATGAATACATCGATAGAGCTCGGTGTCTCCGACCATCACTAGCTATGTCTACCTTATACCTAAGTTATGCCTCATCTAACCGTTCTTTCGGTCCCAATACACCTGTCCTGGTTTCTCGCCCATCCAATTATATCGCTTAGGATTCGTTGCGGGTGGAAGGTTGTCGTTCATTTCGAGCAGGACGTCCCGTCTCGCAAGCTCTATCAAGATTCTCGCCACGTTGGTCGCATCCTGTATAGTCCGTCCAACAAGAAACAGTCGGTATACGAACGAGGCACGGCATGGCGCATAACCCAGACTTACATCGATGCCAGAGTGCTGCCGACCTTGAAACTTGCCCATATTCAGCGCCTCCAACTGTCCCGCCAAGTTTCGATAGTATTTTGGACTCCGTCTCGACCATCGATGTGGTCCGGGTCTCGTACTGAACCGCTGCGGACTGCCCTTTGCCGGTAAGGGCTCTTCCGGGCAATTCGTCCGATACCAAGTCTCTGTGAGATAATTCTTCATGGCCTCCTTGATGTCGATATAAGGCCCCGAGAAGTAGGCGGGGTACGGTTTGGCGAATGTCGGGGGTTGCAGAGGTGTGATATGCAGCTGCTTGGGGATCTAGAGGAACGGCATCAACCAATCAGTACGCGTGAGCTCAGCATGATTGTGTGCGGACTCACGAAATCACGCAGATCCCATGGCTAAGAATCATCGACTCGCGATCATCAGCACCGACCGTATGAAGCGCGGCACCTCCGTTCACTCACCCCGTCCGTCACCCACGACGTCCCTGGCGTCAGCTTTCCATCCTGCAGCAATCCATGCTTTCCGAGCCATTTCTCAAACTTTTCTATGACCTGTGGAAATGTCGGCGATTCGTCTATCGTTGTCTGTACGACTCGAGTAAGCGGTGGATAGATAGGTTCATATCAGGTCAGCCTGACCAAAGTATACGCTGATCCGCCGCATCCTGATTCGGTGGTGCTTACCTGAGTGATCCCTGTCAATGTAGTACAAAAGGTCGATAGATCGGGCCTCCATGTCGGCCGAACATAGGAATGGAACTGATCCACAATCTTCAGTCGGGGCAGATCCTCCTCGGCAGACGACGTTGAGACTGGACTTGAGCTCAGATCCGTCTGGGAATCCGGGGTCGATTTTGATGGCAAGGAATCATTCAGAGGAGGTGGTGAGGTCAAGGTGGTCGCGCCGTTGTTGGAAGCAGGTATGGGGCTGGATTTCGAGGGGTCCACCAGGGTGGGTTTATCGGAAGGACTCCGTTTGGATGATTCCGCTCCGGATCCTTCCCATTGTACGAGGATGACCGGAAACTCCTAAAGACACCGTCAACAAGTAGAAGAGTCAGCAAACTTGAGTAGACCTTGCAGTCTGCTCTTTCAGGGTCAACCCCCGCCCGTTACTTACGATCACCTCATTCGGCCAGTCTAGCGTCTTATCCGCTATACATGTGGCTTCCACCTGCCTCACCATAAATTACATCGGTCTTAGCAGACATCTCATAGAATCCTCGTCTTGTCTTTGACTTACGTCGAAGCATAGGAAAGACTTGACCGGTTGAGGCCGCCTGGAAGGCAGGATGATCATGGCTTCCTTCGCAACCTTGGCGGCCGCGTCCTTCTTGTAGGCGGTCGACAGGCGTCTGTATAACGTCATCCGATCGAAGGCAGTCAATTACGAATTAAGAGGTCTAGATCTTTCCTCTGCTGACCTGATCAGCGTCTCCTTCTTGCCGTGATCGTCCAGCTGGAGTTGGGAAAGCGCCGCCCTCAGCTCAAGGACTGTTGAGCGAGATGACACCCTCTTTGCCATTCACTACGCGCTCTACCGTCCGTCGACCCTGTCACAAGAGATGAGAGTGGAGATACGAGGCCGTTTCTATCTCAGTCTATGACTCCGACTGGTTCTACGTGGGTACTGGCTGAATTATTGAGGTAGCCCTGGTCGACGACGACCTCTGTTCGCGATCAAGAGACGCGATCAGCGAGATCTGCCTTTTCGGAGAGAGCGAGAGCTTTCGGGATCAATTAGCTTCCGCATCTTCGGTCGCGTCACCGTGCTCTCTCTCTCGGCATTGACCGAGGTTCGAGGAGCCCCGCAGGCGGTGACCTTGGAACGAGGATATCATCAGCATCGCAGCTCATCAGATCATCAGAGATCTCTGATATCAAGGAAAGCTTTGACAGATTAACGCCCTTCCTCAGTCTCACTTCCATTGAGACTATCTTATCTATTCGGCATAATTTCACCAGGAAAGAGAGCAGTCCAAGCGCAGCCGCAAAGGACCTCCGCGAAATCATGACAAGCCGGCCTCCCTCCGCCACGACCAGGCCTCGGACGGCAATGTCGTCCGCTCGAGCGGGCTCGGTCAGACCGAGTGCAGGCATGGAAAATATGGGCGAGTGGATCTGTGCTGTCTTTCAGTCAGGGGGTAGGTCCCTCTTCACTTCGCCAGTGCGTATCTGTTTGTGCTTGTCGTATTGAGGGTCATTTGATCGCACGTCCAGGTATGGGACAAGAGATCGGGATTACCTCCTTTGACAGAACATCTGGCACTGTACGTCGAGTCTCGAGCAGGAGGATAGACCGCTACCAGACCTCAGCTGATTCTCTGCTTGACTAACGCCATATGAAATCTCTAGACGCTAATCACACAGGCAAGTCCCCATACGGTCGGGGAACTATCGTGAAACGGAATCAAGCACTAATTGAATACATCCGTTGTGGTTGTTTCGCGTTACCAGCTCGTCGATGGTCAAAGTAAGTCGGGTTCGCAACTCATCAAGTCGCTCGCGACGCTAATATTTCAACCTCTTGTCTTTCACTAGCTTTCCCAAGGACCCTACATCACCTCTTCCTGCATCCACCCGTCACCGTCCTAGTTCCCGACAACGCTCTCGCTTCCTCCCTCACATCGCGCCCAGGAGCCCGAAACTACCGATCCTCCAATGTCGCTGCCAAAGATGAACCTAGCCTTCTCGTACAATGTATTGAAGCAAAGACGGGTATCCAATGTCAAGCTGTTCCCAGAGCGCATTGGAACCGCGATGAAGGTGAGCTACTATACGAAGCGTTTTCGAACTTGACATGACCGACCAGTCTTCCTTGATCCATAGGATTCACGAAGATACAGGAGTACATCGTCGATGATACTCAGAAGGCCGGAGTATTTATGACGGTTCATTCCAAGTAAGTTTGTCTGACGAGCGACTTAGCGTTGTACTGAAATCGGGACGAGTGCATTCCAGATACTTTGCGGTCAGTGCAGCTTCCGCTCTGTACCACCACCTGTCTACAGTGCAGGGGATCGGGTTCGCCCCCGGCAGTCAGAAGATCATATACCAGGCAGCTGAAGGTCAGTTATCGTGATGCCTTTACATGGTACCTCTAAGATATTGGACTGACCGGCGGAACCTATTCCCAACCCATAGGAACCATGTTCATCGACCCCGATACGGCCAAGAATCTAGAACTCGTCTGCAATGCTATCAGTCCGACCTCCAAATCAAATCTACTAGGTGAATACGCCTCTCGAAAAGTCTAGAAGTAACTTCCTGATTCGGTTTGTGATGCAGGCGTAATGAATAGAACCCAAACCAAGATGGGATACCGGGTTCTGAAAGCTTCGATATTGCAACCTTCAACTGGTAAGATCTTTGTTGTAGCCGATTTATGCGAGGTGAATCGTACTGAGCTGTATTGAACAGTCCCTAATATCATTGAAAATCGTCTGGACGTCATCGAAGGTGGTGTTTCGCAGGACGATTTTGTGCTGCCAATACGCTGATATGCGTCTGTTCAGAGCTATTGCACAACGACGCAATGCATAACGGGCTGAAAACGGCTATCAAAAGTATCAGTGCAGTAAGTCAGGTCATCTTAACGCTGGGCTTGAAGTAGCTGACGCTGCCTGTTTCTCCACAGTTCGATATCGACAATCTGCTTGCCCAGGTAAGCGTTCCGACCGATGTGTCAAATTGATGGGATCTTACTATATCGTTCTTCGATAGCTCTCGCGAAAAGTATCGAGGGCGGACGCCAAAGCGGATGAACAACGCCTGAGCCTTGTCCTAGCCTTGAGGTCTATCACAAAGGCGATCGATCCTCTGACCGAATCTCTCAAGGTCGCTAAGAGCGATCTCTTGGTCAGTGCTAAGGAGGTGAGTCAATGCCAATATCACCGTAAAGGTCGGAGCTAAGGCAAGGGAGGCTGTAGATGCTGTTGGATCCGAGTACAAAAGAAATTGAACGTTTGATTGATGGTGAGTCTCGGCGCAGTCTTGATCACGCTGATTCACTAATCGTGATCCCATCCACAGAAAGCATCAACGAGGAAGCCACGGCACATCCTGGAAGAGCTCTCAACCAAAAGACGCTGAAGATCTACGCAGTCCGAGCGAATACAGAACCGATGCTAGATGTCGCTCGCGGCACATACAAAGAGAACATGGAAGATATACATACGTGTCAGTCAAAGCTCATGCGTATCTTCGAGGAATGACGAAGCTGACCTATTTCACAGTCAAGGAGGAGATTACCGGTTCGTGCCGCCTATCGTTGTTCGCAACTTTGGTAGTTTCGACTGATTGTAAGTTGTTCGACAGAGGAGTACAAGCTTCCATTTGGACTTCAATACGCAAGCGATACGGGCTTCAAGCTGAGTATCAAGGAGGAGGAGCTTAGCGGTCCACTCCCGAAGGGGTTCCGCCTGATGTCGAAGAAGAACGGAAAGTCAGTCTAGCCTGAGCTATGTCTTATTTTTTCGAGCTGATGGGAGTCGACTGCAGAATGTTTGTTACTCACGAACATCTGGTGAGTGAATGACCTGTGGAACGCGGAGGCTGAGCGACTGATGGACGTCCATGGATCAGCTCAAGCTCAACGCTCGTATGAAGGATTCGGAACGGGAAGCTTTCCTCATGAGCGAAGAAATCGTGAACAAACTGATTGATGACATCGTGAACCATATTGGTGAGTTTTTCGGTGTTGCACTCCCCTGTTTCCGTAGTCTAATCAAACTCGGAATAGCTTGCTTGTACTCGATTTCCGAAGCCGTAAGTCATTTCGAGGCTCCAGCGAACAGCAGAGAAGCTGATCGTGGACTGCAGGTGGGCAAGTTGGACATGCTGTTGAGTTTTGCAGACATCTCTTTGTTTCAAAAATACGGTCCGTCATCAAGTCCGAGATGTATCTGCCTGTACTGGAATCTCCATTCCCTTTGACGACGCTGCAGTCCGCCCCAAATTCTCGACTTCTCTCGCCGTGAGTTCTCGAATCTTGGGTGTCACCGACGACCAGGTTTACAATGACCTTCGTCTCTATACAGATCAAAGGTGGGAAGCACCCTATTCTGGATAAAATGGCAAACTTTGACTGCGTTCCGAACGATGTTTACCTGTAATGCCCACGCTTAGCTCATCAGCTACAGCGAAAAACTCACCGAAGCGCTCCGGCTACAGATCGCCTGGCTCCCATTCATTCCTTCTTATCCAGGGAGCAAAGTGAGCCATGATATACCGAGATGTGACGATTCACGGTGATCGTACCTCTTCCCATCCCATAGTATGGCTGGCAAATCTACCTATCTTCGTCAAGTCGCGTTACTCGTGATCATGGCCATGTGTGGCTGCTAGTCAGTCATTTCACGATACCTCACGAAACAACCGTAGAGCGCAGCTTACTAAATTGCCTCCTTTTGTTCCTTAGTGTCCCCGCTGATTTTGCAAGTATCAAGATACAAGATGCAGTGTTGACTCGGCTCTCCAATGACGACTCGATCGAAAGGTCCCTCTCGACCTTTGCGCAAGAGATGGCCACCTCTGCGATGATTCTCGGTAAGCGCGAGCTCATTTACACTTTGCCATTCACGTGCTAATCGATCTGAGGGATAGGTTTGGCCACAAAAGACTCTTTGATCCTCATCGATGAAGTGAGACCCTTGGATCATCAATCATACGTATATGGAAGTTAATAAAAGTCGGTGTAGTTGGGAAGGGGCACCGCGCCTGTGGAAGGAGCAGGCATATGTCAGGCGATCGCGGAAGAGCTGATCCGTCGCAAGGTTTGTTTTCTCGACATCTGTTTGACGCATCATGCTGATGAATATTGTCGTGCATATGTCCGATCGATACAAGTCGTTCGTCCTGTTCGCTACCCATTTCAGGGAATTAGCGGAGACGCTCGGTCCCTTCCCAGGAGTCGACATGTAAGGGGGACCGTTCTTTTGCCTTGAGGATCCGAATGACTGACTATCCGGGCTTGTTTTCCAGGTTGCATCTTCATAGCGAGGTGAGCAGTCTGTTTCCTGGTGTTAGATAACCCCAAGCGGTCAATCACTTGGCTATTTCCAGGTGAAGAAACGGTCTGATCGGAACCAGTTTGCAACAACCTATTCGTACCGAGTCGTCAAGGGTGAAGATACCAACGATGGGCACTATGGTAGGCAATGCTCTGATTGCTTTCATAGTCTAAATGCTTACAACATCCACTGCGACTGGTTGAACCCTGCCGAATATCATTCCAGGTCTTGAATTGGCGAAATTGGCGGCACTGCCTCAGGACATGTTGGACGTCGCGGAAGAAGTCGCCTACAAGCTGGAAGAGGCGCAGAGAAAAGGTAAGTCCACCACAAAGTAGAATCGGATTATCAACAAGCTTGAAGCCAGATCATACCTTCCTTATCAGGTCATGCTAGCTCCGAGAGCCGGTTCGCGGCTATCAGAAGGAAATTGCTGCTGAACGTAAGCTACAGCTACAGCCCCCCGCTTGCCATATATAAATCGGACTCATTCGCTGTTTCCAAATCTAGCTCCATGCCAAACTCAAGAAGGTCGTCGAGATTTCCACCCTTCCCGACAAGGAATTGAGGATCTACCTGGATAGTCTCCGACTCGAAACTCTGTCCGCGCTCAAGGAGGCTTACTTGCAACACCATCGAGCCGATGAAAAGGCCGAGGCGGAAAGTGAAGCGCAGAACCAGGACGACCAAGAGGGGGAAGAGGACGCTAAGCAGCAAGATTCGGACAGCATGGACACTTCTTCGGATGATGAGGAGTAGTATCCGCAGTAGCATAGAAGAAAAGCAGCGTTTGACCGGAAGCATGTACGGCACAGCCAGCAAGAATGTCGAATGAAACATGAAGAGCTGCGACGCGCTTTACGCACATCACGTAATTCGCTTACGAGACGTTTGAACGATCAACAACACAGCTCGCGAAGCTGTGCGCAATTCCGGGGTGGTTCACTCTTTTGATCGCTTGATCACGATTCGAATGATACAAGTCCGACATCGACATCTTCTCATTTGCCTTAGCAAAGTTTTTGCCTTAGCAAAGTTCCCAATCCTTCAGTTTGACTCGTCCTTCATTCCTGACCCGACCAACTTAGCTAGGATGGCCCAGCAATACTCTGATCCATACGGTCACACGCGACCCGAGATTCAACATGGCTATTCAGAGGATTCGAATGCCTCGGGGAAAGACCAATACGTCGGCAACAACGATCAAGCCAGACCTTACTCTCAAGCAAACTACCCGATCCCTCAAGAGAGGATGTCATCGTACGACAGCTTGCCAGAAAAGTCGTTTGCGCGGCCGCCCAAGGCGGAAGCCGATGGGACGGTCAGGCGGAGTAGGTTTGTCGGTATGGCTGCGAACGGGGAACGTCCCGCCAGTCAGTGGACTCAAGGTGAGTGTGCTTACTTTCGACGTCCCATGAAACTAGCCATGTTGACTGAAATACTTTGGCCGTTCCACGCTCAGGTGTCGACGTCCCGCCTAAAGCTACCGGCTGGTTGCGAGAATGGCGAAAAGAGAACAGAGCCAGCTGGGGAAAGGTATGCAAACCCCCGGTGATCGTGTAGCTTACTTGACTATACTGACGACAAAGCTTGATCGTACTGCTTTAGGGTGGTGGTTGGAGGACGTTCGGACGATTCTTCTCCTGCTGTATCCTGAGCACCCTCTTTGTCCTGATCTCGGTCGTTTTGACCATTGCTATGGTAAGCTCCTCGTCTCCCTCGGGATAAGCAGCACGGATCTGGCATGAACAATCCTCTTCCCTTCTTTCAGTGGGTCAGGCCGCCCGACATCAGGCTCTTTGATATCGACATCCCTTCATCGAATGCCGTGTCCATTACCACCTCCTCGCTTGCCCTCAACTTCAGTCTGATTATTGGGTAAGCCACCTACCGCTATGCATAGCAATGTTGCCTCTGTCTACGTGCTGATCATGATCCGTTGGGTTTGGCGAACAGCGTGACAAACCCCAACTGGTTCTCAGCTGACTTCAAGGAGATTTCCGCTGTGTGAGTCAAGCCTTCGATTGCATTCAGCTCCTTGTCTACGTGTGCTGATCAGCCTATCAACCGTTTCAGCGCCAAATGGCCCGGTCTTGATGCAGAGTCAGTATAGGAGATGAGTACTGTAACACGAACGCAGATGAGATATTGACGGCTTGCTCCTGGTATCGTTGTGACAGCTTCGGAGGCGGATCGCTTACCGATATCAAGTGAGTCTCGAAGAAGCGGAAGATACGGATTCGTGACAGGACACTTACCGGACCAACCGTTGCGATCTAGATTCGGAGGGAACAGTGCCACGAACTTCTCGTTCCCCTTCATGGTCAACTACTCTACCGACCTCGACCCGCAATCGATCGTATTGTCCAGCTTGCTCGGTAAGCCAAACTTATCAAACTTAGCGATCGTACCTGTACTGAGAAAGTCTGACATTTCCACTTACAGAGAAATGCGGAAGTGTTCCGCCTGGCGATATCACTATCGACTACGACCTGACCCTCAAGCTGCACATCGTCGCCTTCGATGTGTCTCCCACCATCTCTTCCAGTGCATCGCTGCAATGCCCGGTCTCTGCCGCCGATATCAGGGTATGCACCGACTCCGCTACCAATGGGAGACTACTTGCTGATCGCTTCTTCTGATTGATAGAAAATCGCTGGCGCCACCAAGCGTGACGACCTACCACTCCTTCTCGACGCAGAATAGCTTGCTTTTCGATCTCATATGCTCTCTGTACATCATGATACCCTTGATCCGAATTTGTGTCACTCTGACGTATCGCTCGATTGCGAAAGCTCATGCATCTCATCATTCCGTTGACGTGCAACTCAAGGTGTTCCCGGGTGATTAGCTAGTCTAAACGATACAATCAGGTTACTATATAGGGTCGCTAGCGTGTGAGCCGCGAGTCGTGTTTGGTCTATCTTTTCACCCTGCCGCCATGTTCCTTCTCATAAAGCTTCTTTACATGATCACACAGTCCTTGTCTTTCCCGCCTTTCCCGTCGGCACCGCCTTCCGCCGCTCTGGCTAGTAATTCGTTTCGACTCGCCCCCGGAGCGGCGTTGACAGCGGCCGAGCCAAAGTTTTTCAGGCGCTTGTCCGCTCGCTTGTCGCCATTGTCGGCTGCCATACGGTACCACTGAATAGCGTTCTGAGGAGAAGCAGGTGTACCGATTCCGACCTGATTCAAAACGAGCCATAACGATGTCGTCAGCTCTTGCCAGATTAGGTAAAAACGAATGGGTGTCACAACGTGCATGCGGTACTGACCTCGGTAAAGTACCCAACGGCGTATTGCGCCTTGGCCAGTCCCATCTCTGCTGCCTTTTTAGCCCATAAGAAGGCTTCGGTATCGGACTGCGGGAGTACGCCGGGAGATCCGACGAGATACCACGCCGTCAATGCGAAACACCCGTCCCGATGATCTTGTTGAGCAGCAATGTTCTGTCGTTGAGCCGGAGAGATGCGCTCATCAGATGCGCTGGCTTCCGGTGCGATGTCAGCATGAGGTGACTCACGTAGTAATGAATACTGAGCGCCGCATCCATGGGACATCCCATCTTTCCATATTCGTAACATTCTCCCAATTTGACGGCGCTCGGGGCGTACCCCAGTTCAGAAGCCTGCGCCAACAACTCGGTCGCATACTCCAAGTCGACAAAGAGGACGTTCTCGATCCCCCGTTCGTGCAAGAGTGCGAGCTCGTGGAGAGCGTGAGGGAATTCAGCGGAAGCGTGTTCGGCTGATCGTTTGAGCCATTTGACTCCCTCTTTTGGGCGTTGGGGGAGACCGAGCGACCCGTTCAATTCGGCTGTTCCGAGTCGGTACATGGCACCAGGATGGAGAGCCACGGCTGCTTTCCTGAGATGAAGAAGGCGGAACTTTGTCAGGGTTCCCGCATGAAAAGAGCGATCCCCCGGCCTGGTTCTGCGACCTACTTGTAAAACTGCACAGCCTTGGCGGTCTCTCGTCGACATCCCCATCCGTGCTCACAACACGTCCCTGCCCGATAAGCAGCATCAGGATGCCCATGCTTGGCAGCCAAGACGAACAACGGGAACGCCCGGTCAAAGTCTTGTCTGGCTCGAACTGTTCCGATACCGTTCGCATAACAATCGGCCAAGTAGTATTGAGCGTCAGGATGACCCCTATCGGCGAGTCGTTTCAAGAGAGCTGTAGCTTCTTTGACGAGATCCTCGCGTTTCTGCTCGTTGATGGCCGAAAGAGGAGCTGTGGTGGAGGACAAGTTGGGATGGGTCTGGCCGTCCGGAGCGGTGTTGGCGTCGAGGGATTTCGCAGCTTCGATCATGAAGACGGCGAATTCGAAGATGAGTTCCGGGTCGTTGGTCTTTTTCGCATTTTCTCGGTAGAGTTGGAGGGTCTTTTCGTTGGAAAGCAAAGCTGCCTGTTCACCGGGTCGAAGATGGGCTGCGAACGTTCATGGCATAATCGGTATTCAGCATGCGGTACTGCTGCGAGCTGTCCCGTATTAACATATCGACTTACAGTTGTCCAGAAGAGGCGTGGGCTGGATAGGTACAGGAGGCATCCGACCTTGTCTTTGTGATTGCGCATAGGGGTCCATCTGATCGACGGGCGACATGCCCTGATCATAACCCGGCCCGACACTGGGTTGATAGAAGGACATGATCGTTCCAGATGGACGTGCCGTGGTCGTCCGGAATCCGCGTCAAGGTAAAAGTCGGGGCTAGCCAATCCTGGTTGAGGTAAAGGCCGGCAAGGAGGTTTCGTACGTTTGCGTGTCCGTTTCAGCACATGAGTGGTCGGTAAAGGGGTCGTCGAATGAGGTATAAAAATGGTGTGTGATCGTGAAAGGGTCTGGCCGAGACGGGGTGTTGTCTGCTCGTAACGTCGGTCGTAACTGGGATGAGACCAGCAGAAGTGGCCGACGGTTTAGTTCGTAACCCAATCGACCCAGCTTATTCAGAGGCCAGGGTGATCATATCCAGATGAATAGACATATTCCACCGGATATAAGTTGTTGCATATCGACGGGTTTGAGCACGGAACACATTCTCTCTCTCTCTCTTTGCATCAACAACACACGAAAGGCACGCACGCACGGCGGCCAGCGAGCTGAATCTTAAAGGTCACGGACTTGAAATAACTTCGCATGTCCGCGTCGAAGGTGGCAAAACCCTTCCTACTCACTACTCCATATCACGATTCTCTTACCGACAGCCCGACTGACGAACATTTGATGGCTTCTCTTGCTTTTCAGCCGTTGCCTGAGAAGGAGGACGAAGAAGCCTGGATGAACATAACAGCAGACGATCATCATCGCGTCATCAAGAATGTCTAGGAAGCCCAGGTATCCCGGCGGTCAGCCCATCTACCAAAACGCACAGCTCTGCACTTATCGATGACGTCAAAAACATTCCCTTTTTGGCCATTCGTTCAAGATCACGGCGCAAAAATACAGCAGATACGGCGGAGCGCAGAGAGGACTACTATCGGCTGGGACAGACCCTGAGAAGCAGTAAGACTCATTGCGTCAGATGACATGGCGTCACAACTAGGCGGGGACAAGATGTCGTCATTGGGAACATGGACACAGCACACTCACCTCGCCGATATCGATATCGATATGGGTTCGTCACGACTCCTCCTGCAGGCTGTACAAGCAGGACTTGAAGCACGATACGATGCCAAGCCTTTGCGCCAGAGATCGACATCGGGACTTCCTTTGATCTGGTCGGCCACATATGTTTGCCGAGCTTGCCGACCCATGATTGACGGTCCGAGGTTCCAGCGGGTGAGCTGGGGGGATGGCGAATATCCAATGGAGGGGATGCTTCTTCGTCCGCCCGGCCGGATCGCGTTGAGACTTTCGGCTTGGAGGCGAAACTTATAAATACGAGCCTCTTTCGGGTATGGGTCGAAATCACGAAAAGGTATTATCAATCTCAACCTCGTCTAGTCTCGTCCAACTTCTTCTCTTGTATTTGATGGTCCGATTCAGCATGACATCCAATACGAATCCGTCGGACCAGCAAACTTCGCAACGACAAGGGGTCATCGAGATCCCTCGCGGTCCGAGGCTGATACGACGACCTCTCTTGCACGCGGCCACCGTTCCCATGTTCGGTGCGATGCAGGCGACCCCGACGATGACCTACGGACGATCACCCACAGCCATGCACCTATCCGACAGTCCGAGGACCTGGGGAGCGTTGGATCAAGCCATGGGCGGTACACCTTCGAGGATGATCCAGATCCAACAAGGAACGCCCAGTACTCTCGTGCTTCCTTACGGTACCATGGGAGAACGTTTCGACAAGGGTAATTCCCCCGACTGGAGTCCCGGTATGGTCCCCTGCAACTCGCCGATCGATCTGAACAAGGGGAATTCGGTGAGAATGGGGATCCACCCCGTCATGCGCGGGCTGAAACATACTCCCGAATCACATGGTTGGAATGCGTTTTCCGCCTTGGTAGAAGACGTGCCGTCAAACAATCTCATCGCAGCGACGAATCCGCAACAGCCCGCCTCAAAAGTCCCCCACGATCAACCGAAACCTGAACGGACAAACGACTCATGACGTTGATTCGGAACGGAAAAAAAGACTCCCTTTGTTGTATTCATACGTGGTCAAGTGAGCTCGTGAAAGAAAGATGTATAATAGCTTGTGCAATCGTGAACAAGACATGAGGTGTCTACAGCAATCCTGAAATGCATCGGTTTAATCTCGGTCGTCGTAAATCTGTCGGAGAACGAAAGAGTCAATAGTGGTTTCACCAAGCGAAGGTAGAGCAGGAAAAGACTCACGTTCCATGTCTGTGGTAATATTGAAAATCGCAGCGCGTTGTCCGATCAGCGATCGCATATATGTAGCCCTCAACTTTCAGCTGCAACTGACCTTTCTCCACTTGAGACCCCGGTGGTCCTTGATCGGGCCGGTAATTCCAAAGGCCATGCCTCGGAACCACATGAAACAGAAAAAGACGGATCCGGCGAGGACACCGAACCAGATCCACTTTGCTCGATTCGACCGGTTGGATGATTGAAAGACGAACGTGTCGAGCATGTGGCCAATCATCAAGACGGCGAACCATAGCGTTGGTAGCTGCAATGCGGCGTGGTGAGTGGCGGCAACCTCTTCCGAGCTCGCTTTCAGCACTTACGTAATGATGCAGGTATGTCACCCGCCCCATGATCAAGAACGGCACTGTAATGACAGTGTTTAGATTTCTGTGGCGGGTCGCGATGATTTCGCATTGGCTTACCGAAATGCGTGAGCCACCCGCCAAGGGCAAGCTTGAAGACGTAGAGCCAATCGTCCCATTCGCCTAGACCGAACAAACGAGTTTTCAGTTCATGCTCCAACCATGCGATCTACGAGCACACTCACCTTCGGCCCAATCTCTGTACTGTCTTTGCATCCGCATCAAGTAGGTCACGAGCGTGAGACAACCGACAATCAAGGCCACACCGCCTCCCCACCAGATAATGGGTGTCCCGAGCAGATAGTACTTGATCTGATTGTCTCCCCAGCCGCACATACGAAGTCCCAGGTGCAACCAGGGCCAGTCGAGCGGTTGCGAAGCCAAGATATCGTCCTTGTCGGGATCGGGAATGAGCGCGTTGTTCGAGGTCATCATCGCCACATTGAGGTGCCAAAAGTCTTTCCAGAATGGCGACTTGTATAGTTTGGCATCGCCCGAGGGTACTATCGAATTTCAGATAATGGATCAGCGTCCAGTGCGACATGATTTGCTCAACGATCGGGCGCTTACGTCGGTCGTTCCAATGACTCTCGACATTCCACCAAGTATGGGCGTCTGCGGGATTGTTCTGCTTGTCACAAGTCACCTCGATCTGCTTCCATCCCCACTGAGGCAAGGGCACGTTGGCGGCCTTGAGGTAACAACCCAAGACTTGATGCCTGAACCGCATCCTCGTGGTCAACGCGTGGATCTTGTCAACGTTTTTCTTCTTGCCCAAGATCATGTCATCAACGACCTCGATGACCCAATGATCATGTACGTCGCCGACGGTCAGGTTTCCATAGGCGGACACTTCATAGTTCTCCTTGGTCATCGGCGCCGGAACCGTGTGCGAGTGTATGTTCCGGGTGGTGGGTACGTGCACGATCCTCAGCACGTCCCCGTCCCGGACATACTCGAGCTCGGCGTCCGGGTCCACAGGTTTACCGCCCCAAGGAGGATAGATGTAAAAGTTGTTGTTGTCGTCCTTGTAGTGGTAACAAGTGACTTGCTGCTGCAATGACCCGACAGGGTACGTCTGGACATGTGAATGCAAGAGCCCGCCTCCGTATCCGTAATTCTTGAGGGTGAGCTTGGACCCGTAAGCGATCTCTAGGGGAGACTGAGCAAAGTCATTTCCTCTCAAGTGTGCCTGAAAGAGCGAGCTCATCTGAGCGTCACCCGGTCCACTCCGGTTGAGGATCATGAAGTGAAGCTTGAAAGACATGGCGTAGACGCAGAAGGGAATGAAGATCAAACAGAGCCCTCTCGCCAACCAGTGGCGGATGTAGGTCATCTGCGAACGATGACGGCACGTCAACATTGTCGATCGGCGACCTCGACGCAGCCATAACGCACCTTGGGCATCCTGAGATCCCCAAACTTGTTCCAGAGATCCTCGACAGTGTAAAGCCCGACAAGGGCGGTAGCTCCAAAGAGCCCAACCCACTTGACACTACGCAAACCGACCGACACTATTAGCTAACCACCTCTTCAAATATCCCCATACCAAAGACGACTCACCTGCAAACGCAACCGATTTGCAATCCGGTGAAGACCAACCAGGCCCACCAGTCATCTCCGAACGCGCTAGCGAACGCAAACACAACCGTTATTCAGGTTAGCAACACAGGCAACGTGAATGGAGACACACTTCCAGTCTCTCTGCCTCTACGCTTTACAGCGACTCACTCGTGACGTTGATTATGGAATTTGACGAGCCCGAGGATGGTGGTAAACGTGAAGAACAAGAGCATCGAGTCGAGCAGGATAAATCGCGAGATGCATAACCAGCCGACATCTAGACGACGACAAAGACACATACAGTGTCATATTAGCGACCTCGTGCTCGACGGCGCTTGATGAGATACGGAAAAGTGGTAACGCACCGAACAAGACGCAGAGTGTGACCAGATGCCTAGACTGTCTGGACCATCCCAACTCTCCTGCGGTCCACCAAGCGACAGGGACCATGCCCACTCCGAACATGGCCATCAACACCCTCATTGTCGTGTACGGCACCTTGTCGCCATACGGCGCCCCGCTTTTGAAATCGAACCCTCCTCCGTAGCCACTCAAGACTCCGACGAGACCGACGAGCATCTTGCCCAACGGCGGGTGGACGTCAAAATAGAAGTCACGGTTGATATAGTGACTCCCGAATTTCCCGAAATGGGCTTCATCCCAGACGACATAATCTGCTGCGCCAATCTTCCACAACCTGGTAAACAGGGACAAGGCCGTGTAGAGGGCGGTGAAAAAGATCTCTTCGTTTTGCATGATCCATTGGGGGACATTCTCCGGTCGACGAGAGGTCATCAACGGGATCCCACGTCGACCCCCTGTCCGAGGTCCCATACCGAAACCCTTCGAGCCGAACATCTTCCCCTGTTCGTCATAGGCTGGAGACGTGCTACGCTCGTTTTCCATCAAGAGAGCATCTTTCTCCCCGTCGAGGTAATTGACGTTCGGGTCGTTGGGGCTCGCAGGGATAGTAGGTAACCCTCCTACCCGTCTCCTGGACATTTCCGCCCCGAGCCCACCTCCCAACCTCATATCCAGCTGTTCTTGGGACTGCATATCGTTTCCACCCTTTTGATGATAGAGAGGCAGAGCGAGTCCTTCTCCTCCTCGTCGATGAGCGTTCTCGTCCTCGACCTCGTAATCGTCGCCTCCGTAGTTGTTGTTATGGCCGGTGTTCCCGACGTACGTACGATACCGTCGTTCACGTTCCAGCTCTTCCACCGAATTGTAGTTCGAGTCCGAGTCGTTCAGGTCGACAGTGACGCCAGCAGGGAAAGAACGGGGCGGAGAGTCTCTCTGTGAAAAGTCTTCGGCTGGGTGAAAGGCGACGTTGGATGCAAAGGTATTATGACGAGATTGGGAAGAGGGTTCTTGATGGTTCTGACGGAGTGTCCTCTTCATCGAGTTGGTACCGGCTGTAAGCTAGATTTGGCCGGGCCGTCGTTCGATCGGCTGAAGTCGTCGCAGTAAAGCAAAGATGTTCGTATTCTTGGTGGTAGTTGTGCGAATCTTTTGGCGGTGTTGTCTGGTGCTGGTATTCGATACGTTACGAGTGCTAATGATAGTTGATGGGCACAGCTCAAGGTGACAGCATGCCTCTAGGATCTGGCGTCACGGGGTTGTTGACTGGGCGTTGTGGTCGTTCCTGCTTGATGCCGTCCGGGTTCTACCAGCTACCAGATTACTACTTCCAGGTTGATCTGGTACAGACTTTTGGCACAGCGACTGAGGTCAGGTAGAAAGGATCAATAACGAGCGACATTATTGAACGGGATCGACCCCCCTTTGTGACGTGTGACGCTAGGGAACTACGATGCATAGCCCATCGCCATCTCGACTCACAAGTTTCACGTGATACATCGACGCAGCGTTGCCCTTGGCGAGTATATAATCACGACAAGTCGACAAGCTCAGCACTCCTTCCCCCACTCGACCCCCTCTTGACCTTTTCTCTTCAGTTGATACCTTCCAGTCTATATTTGCGTCACCTACGTCCAGTTGCAAGAACCACTCCCGCACAGAAAAGACAAAACCCTGACCGGCGAGCTCCTGGGTCTCATCCCGTCTCAAAGGTCCTGGTTTATCTCGCCTGTGTGGAAAGTGCCTTGCAAAGTTTTCTCAGCGACAAGGGGATGTGATTTTCTTTGGAAGCAGAGAAAGAGTTTTCTTTAATTCGTTAGCATTAATCATCCCAGTTCGTAGTTTCTTCATAGGCTTCCGGGACTCTTCCTGGTAGCTCCGGTGGAACAGCTCGACCCGTACGATGCTCACATGTAGTCGTTGTCGTTTCTTGTTTGTATATTTACCATGCGATATCCGATCCATCGCATTCAACTTGCAACTTGAATGATAAGACTACTGAAGATCATTTCGGCATCGTGCCTCTTCCACCGGCAGCCAGTTCAGTAACCTCGACCTCGTGCCATCCTATTGAGCTTCTATACGATCTATACGCACCATGCACACCTTTTACACAACCCTCGACTCGTTCAACCCGACGGACGCGGTAAGCCTACCTGCTCTGACCCCTCTTCGATTGCTATCAAAGCTGACCTCCGACCCGTCATATCCGCCCTTTCCTCTTCTTGGTAGCAAACAACTTCTCTCCTAACCCTTCTTCCCAACTCCGCCCGCGCCCGGATCCTCCGATACAGACGACAGGAAGATCGACACAGATCGTTACTAGGCTGGTTGTTGCTGTTCAGATGGAAAGAAACCGCTGGGTTCGCAGGGAGGGTATTGGAGGATCTGGTCGGGGTTGGGGAGGGAGGGAAACCGTTCTTTGTGAGTACGCCACGAGTCGACCTTCGTACTCGCTGAAGGACGACTTTAATCGATCCGTTTCGTTTGATCTCAAGCTGATCGCCGGCGTCCGTCTGAAACCTATATATCGCATCTTTAGAAACCGACTGGCGAACCCAGTACTCCAACCCACGTAGACTATAACATCACGCACGATGAGAACCTGGTCATGTTCTCAGTCAAGACCTACCGTGACTCGAACCGCTCCCCTTCACCTACCTCTCCAGTCCCGGAGAACACTTCTGAGCACATTAGCAGGAGCGACAACATGAAGAAGAAGAGGAATCGTCAGGCCCCGATGATCGGGGTAGACTGTATGCGTCTGGATAGGGAAGTAAACGAGTTGAAAGCGCTCGACGAGGTCTTGTCCGATCAGGTCAATCAATTCAGCTCGGAAGGGTAATAGCGTAACACTAACTGATATTTGATGTTTCTCCGTGGACACAGCTCGGGGAGCACGAACAACGCTTCATTCCGCACTTCAAAGGTCCTACCCTCGACATATCTCCATATGCGGACAACTCGTTGAGAGAACGGATGGATCACCTTTTGACGCTATGGACGGTCAAGGAGGCGTATACCAAGATGTTAGGATGCGGACTGAGCATGGACTTTCAGACGGTTCAGGTGATCTTTCACGATTCGCTCCAGAGGTTGTTGTTCACCCCGCCGACGGGGACGGATACCGGGAGCTCATCGAATTCCGACGTGAAGACGACATCAACATCGACACCGACCGAACAAATCGACTCCCGATATAACCAGCGAAAGAGATGCCACCTTTGCGATCCCGCTGCCATGTCCATCCACCTAGACGGCCGGGACCTAAAACAGACAAGTTCGGGGCTCTCGTACCAGCTGCACGCCCGGTTGGGCAAGATCACCACCGAGCTTCGGCGCTGGACCCATTCCGACGATAGCAGGGATGACAATAGAAACCGGAAGGGCACTCAGGAATACGTCTGGGCTTGCGTTTGGTATGCCGAAGCAGGGGACGGGGTGGATTGTGAATCTTGGTCGTTGACACGGGTCGATGCGGACGAGTTGTGTGCGCTTGCATCGGAAACGACGTGATTTGCCGATTTGTCATTACGCGGTACTGCTCTCGGATGAGATAGACAGGATTGCTGGCTGAGATGCGCCTATTCTGCAAACCCACTAAAAGATGTGAGCCATCGATGTGAGGGTCGGTCAAGAACCCGAGCATTTCAGTTTAGATATTGCTTAAACAAAAAATATCCGCGTCAGGCGAGCTGTAGTGTAGTTGGTTATCACTTTCGGTTTTGATTGAGTTCAATAACATCTCCGAACGACTCCGGTTCGAATCCGGGCAGCTCGTTTTTTTGGTCACCTTTTTTGCCTTTCTCTTTGCGTCACGTATGGACAGAAATGCGCGATCTCACAAAGTAAACAAACTCGACCTCCCATCACGCTTCTTTTGACGACCTCCACCACCTTTCTATCGATCTACCTGAATGAGATCATGCGGCCATGCAAGGGTTTAGACAGTCAAGATCAAGATCATCATAATCAGGTTGCCTCTAGCCTCTAGATAACCACGGAGTTAGAGACTTGCCGGGAAAGTTCACTTCCTCAGGATACAGAATGTCGTCACACCGCCGGTCCTTTCCGGCGCCTTCGTTTCATCCCGGCAGTGATCCTCTCACCGACCCATCTTCAGGCGACGAATCCGATCCCAATGCCATTCCTTGGTTCTTCGAATTTGTCTCGTGTTCAATATGGTAAGCCATCGGTCTTTCTGGTCGGTATCTGCGGTCGCTGCTGAGTGCGTCTACCCTCTACCAGTAATCATGACCTCGTTGAAACACTTCAGTCGGATACTCCCGAGCGATTCTGGATGACGGAATGTGGACATTTTCTTTGCGACAATCACACTCGCGAGTATCGGACCAAAGATTTTCTATCGTCTCTTCTTCTAAAGTGTATGTTACGTGCTTTCCAGACCTACCCAAAGTCTGCACTCTATGCGGCACAAAACCCATAACAACCACTGCTTTGGCTGGCAAAGTGAGTGCGATGTACGGAAGCTTCTTTGACTGGTGGCTCATGCTCCTGCAACTTGACACAAATCGTTAGCTCGAAGCAGAACTCAAGCCATGGTTCAAGAACCCCACAAGCGACTTGAAGAAGACTATGAGGACAGTAGGAGTAAGTACGGTCGAAGAAACTTGGCTTGGTCATAGCTAAGGCTCGGCATCACGAACAGTTTCAGACAACGGAGATGGCTAGGGTGATTCGCGAGCTCAGGAAGCAAGTTGCAGTACAGAATGTGAGTTCAAGACACACTTCGAGGCTTTGAGGGCGACTAGACGACGCTTGTCAAAATCAGACTGCACTGGAAACAGCAAACAGGCGGGTCCAGGGTGAGAGACGACTTAGGCAGTAGGTCGACCGGGATTACTGGTCTTAAGGAGCATCGTAGCTGATTTCGAACTCAGGGAGTTGGAAGGGTCGAAGCAAGAGGTTGAAGCATTACGAGCCGAAGTCGAGTCGCTGCGGCGTGGTCGTCCGTCTCAAGGTGCTGCAGCCTCAACAGGAACGCTACCATCACGGCCGAGCAGACCTGCTGCGAGAGCCCCGGTTGCGCAGGTAGACGACGATACTGGCGGGTTTGGGGAGCCTAGATCTTTCGCTCAGGGGAACGGATCGAAGGATGGGCAACAACTCGATGGGTTCGGTCGTCCGATGGCAATAGGACGTGACGACTCTCGGAAACGACAGAGACAAGGAACGAATCAGTGAGCAATCTGTACAGAAAGCCACAGAGATAACTGATCACTGATGACTCTGCGCTTTGCTATAGACAATCTGGACCTCACTCCGAAGGCAGCCTTCATACTCCTTTCATTCAACACAATCCGAACCCGAGAGGTCCCGTACCACCCGAACGTTACAGCCTACATACTCGATCGAGCGGGTTATCAGACAGCGGTCTTGGGAACAAGCAAGTGACAAGAACAGAATCCAGGCAGAGGATGAGGGAGCACTTGACGTAAGAATTTCGCGCTATTTAGTATCGGCGACAGTTGAGCTGATGAGATTTGTTTCAGCGATTTCGAGTATCAACCGGAGAACCCTGCAGTGATACCAGCTCGTGCACTAGACAAGCCGTCCAGAATCACTCAAGCCATGCCGACACCCGCCAGAATCCCTCAGAGATCGCAATTCAAGGCTCCAGGACCAAGTAGGCGGCCGCTACTATAATAACAGACAGGTAGCCGAGCCTGACACAACCTCCGGGTATTTACAGTTCGCACAGGTTCCGTCATCCAAACCGGAAGCGACCCTGTAGCATACGACATCCGTTCCGCTTTCACGCCGGTTCAAAGAGCGCGAAATCTCGCAGGCAACTACAATACTTTACAGGCGGCAAGATACGGCAACCCTTCGATGACTCCTTCAGGTCTCAGAACGCCCCGTCCAGCCGCTTTCAACCGTGAACCCTTCGTCCCCCATAGGCGTGCCTTTTGATGAATCAGTCCCTCGAAACACGCCAGCTATGCCAGAAGGAAAGGTGTTTGTGCGCACCCCGCCAAGGCCAATGTACATGTCTTATCCCATAATTGACAAAGTATCGCACAAGCTACAGAGTTCTCATCCCGCTGCTTCACGCCACAGGAACGTCATCCTCGGCCTTTCTCTTCAGACTCGCAGTGACATCATTCTCCACCTTGACCGTCTCTCCGGGTTGTACGCCACTCCCATCCAACGAGGTCAGAGTGCTATGCGGTCCGGGTACACCGGTAGGAGCTTCAGGAATCGGCGTCGTCGCGTACTTGTCTTGCAGGTTGGAAGCCGAGGGAGCCGCACCGGATGCCGAGGGGATTCCGCTCGTCTGCGCAAAGGCAGGGGGTTGGTGACCCTGGTCAGGGAATGGAAGGGGTGCGCTGGAAAGAGCAGGAGATGAATGTCGGTATTGAGGTTGTTGAGCACGTTTTTCGGCCTGGGGAAAGGAGCAAATGGAGATATCAGTTTGAGGGCAAGTTTAGATTTACCGAAAGTAAACTTACGGGAGAAGCATCCGCATCCGGCCAGATGACACCATTCTGAGCGGGCATGACGGTCACCACGGATCCCAATGCAGAGGGAGCTGCTATCGCGCTCGCTGGCGATCCCATCATCCCGCCAGGAGGACCGAAGGGAGGTACGCCTATTGGGCTGGGCATACCAGGCATGCCCATTGGAGGGAAAGGCGGTCGGAATCCAGGAGGAGGAGGGAAGGGTAGGTTACCGGGCATTCCAGCTCCAGGGAAGGGAGGCATCGGTGCACCGGGGAAGGGAGGGAAAGGAGGTGCCATTCCTGGAGGAGGCATGAACATGGGCGGGCTGCGAGAGAGATTCACATCAGGGATGAGTATGCCGACCATCGCTGGCTGAAGGAGTTGAATCACTTACCCTGCCGGAATCATGCTTGGCGGCGGCATACTTTGAGCGCATCAATGTCGAAGTTCAGCCGATGACCCGAAAATTGCCGCTGTAAGGACTCGCTGACACTCACCCTGGCAGACCACCCATCGGCATACCCGGAAGCGACCCCAACTTTCCACCGCTCATCAACATCTTGTGCTGTTCGAGCGCCAACTTCAAGTCGTTCTCGCTAATGACCCCGTGGTAGATTTTGGGCCGCTTGTTCGGGTTCTGCTGTTGATTCAGGTTGACACCAAACTCGGCTTCCTTCTTGGCCTTCCATTCGTCCTTGTCCTTGGCTGGTACACCTTCCATCCCGAAGATCTCGACGTCGTACCCATCCCGTCCAGGCAGGGTGTTTTCCAACCTATGATAAAACCCCGGATCGCGTCAGCCCAAAGGATTGTGCAGGTGGAAGAGCAATCAGGACTCACTTGTCGGGCTCCGTCTTGTGGACCTGCTGACAATGCACCATCAGACCTCCCGCCGTATTCAACTTTCTTGGACAATGCCGACACTTGAAGTGTTTCGCCTTTTGATGTTGCAAGAGAACTATAGCGTTCAGGTCGCAGAGTCCTGTCAGTTCGAGGTGGATGTTCAAGACAATTGGATTTGAAGCGTACCTTTCTCATCTTCAAACTCTCTCTCGCAATACCAACACCACGGCTTCAAGGTCTGATAGAATCATGACGAACGAGGCCCCCAGATTCAGCGTCGGAATTCATGCCTGTCTCTTTCCGCGACGTGGACTCACGAACTGAGTCTTCTTCGACTTCTTTTTGGCCATCTTGCAGGATTCTCGAGTTGAGCGGGTCTATTTGGAGGGATCCCATCATTAAACCCTGGGATACCTGTCATGAAGGGGTTGAACGAGGATCAAGTGCATGTCGCAGAACGGCTCGGTCCCCAGCAAAGGGGGAGCAGCTTCGATGGTCGCAACGTTGAGCTGAGACTCGCCGCGCTTCTCGACTGGTCGAGGGTGACGATTGAAGTTACAGAGTCGGGGTAGAACCTTGACAAACACATGATGCCACACCAATTGAACATCGACTCAGCACATCTGCTCAGCTAAGCCACACCTACACGGATTGCTTAGTGCCTCGTCAAAGATGTCTCTGACCCCCGTTCGACCGCTCAAAAGAGCTGCCGAAACACCGACGGCCGAGCAACAACGAAGACCAGCATTCCAGACGACTCCTTCTCGAACACCCGGTACCCCCGGTCGTGGCCCTAGGAGCCGGTACCGAGACCAAACGCCCACACTGAACACGCCTAGAGCTCTTCTTGCACGAAGTCAGCTTGGAGGAGCAAGGCATAGAGATGTCGGCACCAGCGCTTTGCGTAGAGAGTACTCGGTAGATCGATCTGTTCAGCACGATTATTACGATTATCAGGAGGAAGAGGAATTACGGGATTTCCAGCAAGATACCGTGCTCGATGCGTTCAAAGGGCTGCCTGCTGGAACGATCTTAGCCAGGGATACGTTCCATCAGGCGTTTGTGCAAGGGAGCGTCCCGGATGAAGTTCGGCACGCCCTGTTTGATGCAGGTGAGTTGGGTCCAGTACTACAAAGAGATCTAAGCAAGCTAACATGTCTGTTTATTGGGTACAGACTTTGCCAATGACAGGTATAGAGCTGTGATAGACTCTCTTACCGGGTTTGCGGCTGTTTCGACAACTCAAGAGGTCTTTGCCTGGAATTACGCCAAGGTAAGCGGCGGGTGGACCAACCAAGACCGAATACACGCTGATCTCGAGAGATCATATCGTGCGTAGAAATCCTTCGCTTCACCAACATGTTACACCTTCCATCCCGAAACACCCACACCCTTCGTCGTCTTCGTCCCTTCCCAAGTACCTCAAACGCGCGAACCAGGCATCGTCCTGGTCGATTCTGTCGCACCAGAGAGCAACGGAGGAAGCGGGGAGATATTGTTGTATGACAATGTCACGCTGGCTTTGACTGGAGCTCAACCGATCAGGGGCAGGTTAGGTTTGAAGGAGGGTGAAGCGGTCTCGAACCTGGACCGAGTAGATGTGAGCGATATTTCAGCGATCTACACTTGTTATTATGACTCGAGCTAAGCTAGCTTCGAATTCCAATCTCCAGGCGACGACGTTATTGATCTCTACGAAACACGCCCGCGTGCTTCGCCAAAACATCGCCAGCAGCGACGGTCGACCGTTCTTGAGTCTCCCGACTCCGTTCATCAAGCCGAACAACACTTGGCTCTCAAGGTCCACCGACGTGCTATTCGCCGGGTCCGGATCCGACCAGAACGAAGGCATTCTCGGCCTGTCCATCGGCAAGGAGGATATCGACACGACAGCCTTGTCTTCGTCCTCGATGGGGTCGAGCTTGGGCGTGAGCATCTTTATGGGAACCCCTCGTGCACGATCTCGAGGTGTCGAACCCAACGTCGCTCTGAGCGGAATTGGTATGAAGCGGGAGATTTGGGTACTGGGAACGAGCAATGCTTCCGGATGGAGTGTCACCGGCACAGATGCGAAATTTTTGAAAGAGCTAGCCATCTTACCCGACGTCGTGTCTCATGCGGAGATGGCAGGGACTTCTGAAATCAGATTACGAGATGTCGCTACGCTGGATCACGGGAATGTCGCCGTGCTTCTGTCGTTCTCAGCTTCAGGAAGGACGGGTAAGACTGTAGGTCCTACGTCTTACGCCATCGCTGTCGTCAATCCGTCAAAGGAATCGGGTGAACTGGTAGAGCATCTGGTCAAGCTTAGCTATACCGCTGTGAGTCCAGCAAACATGATCTTCGAAGCCCTATTTCGTCGGGGAGATCTGAATGTTTCACGTTGATAGGTCGAAGATCCTCGTCCTGTCGCCAAAACGCGATTGGCTGTACCTCAGAAGGCAAATGTGGCGTTTGTTCAGCTGTCCGGCGCGATCGTAACGGTATCATTAGAAAAAGGTCAGACGAACTAGCGTCGTATCATTGAAGCGAGTCAAGCTGACGTGTTGAACATATGGTCACAGAGTCGTTATACCAGCAATCGACCACTTTTAAAGATCCGGTTCAGAACCCTATCATCGGGATTGGCTTCGATCGCCAATCATTACTGAGCCGCGCTGGGAAGAGCAACGAGGGCAACGTTCGGCTTACTGCGTTTGCGCCGAGAAGCGGATTCATGGGGGTCGAGGTGGATCCTATCCGTCTGTTTGACTTCCAACCGAGGCGAGTACTGCCGACATTCATGACGATACTGCTGTTACTGACCCCAGACAATTCTGCCTTATCAGATCGACGGCGTTAGCTCGTCGAGCTCAGTTGGAGAACAAGATCGAACAAGCCGTATTCTTCGAAGGTCCTGCCAATCCCTTGACCTTCAGTCTTGCTGTTGAGAAGGCCGCGTCGCTCGAACAAGCGCTTCTTGCGGTGTCCGATCTGCTCGTCACTTCCAGTAAGCGATTCTTGCGAAGTTTTCGGATACAGCTCAAGCTGATGCGAAATCTCGATCCCCATAGAATCAAGCTATCTCAGCGCAAAGCCCAACGAGAACAAGCTAGAGGAAAGACAAAAGCGACTTGAGAATCTGATCCAGTTTGTCCGCCAGATGGGGCTGCTGGATGACCTCAGCCAGGTCGTCCGTAAGCAACTTGCAGCGGACGTGACAGCTCTCGCTGTGGGGATAGATTTGGCGGAATTGCTATCCCAGGAGGTCATGCGAGGGTACGCAGGCAATACACGAATGAGATCAGAGCGTACTCCAGGCGCTGACACTCCTCTGATCACTGGACGATAGAGATTGGGGGTTGGGGAACCCTGAGGACCTGCTGCGAATGGCGATACAGGAGACTGTCGATGCACACGGAGATGCTACAGACGCCGGGGGCTCTATCAACAACGAAGCTGTGAACGCCTTCTTCGACAGACAAGTGAGTGTCCAAATATGCATCGTAAATTCTCTAGCTCATGAACGGTATCCATGTCAGATTCGCGACATCCCAGCGATGTTGCAATCCCTACCCGACGTTGTGAACAGACATCTTCCTGCGCACTCGAATGGCAGTCACGACGACGACAACGATCGATCCGTGAGATGGACAATACAAGCGATGCGCATCCTGAGCGCCGCGATGCAACATGCCGTTCTGGGGACACGTGAAAGGAATATTGAGGTGTATGAGCTGGATGAGCAGCTTGTCGATGTGAAGTCTAGCTACCTCATGGACAACAAGACGGTCGCTACGTTGCAGCACTTCTACTTCAAGGCAGTTGATAGCATCAGCAAGCTCTCCGAAGCTTCGAGGGTCTCGCTCAACGGCGACCCCGACGGATATACCCCGGCGACCGCCCTCGACGAATTGCAGGATGGACTTCGGGCTCTTGTCATACCCCTTCTGTTCGCTTTGGAGGAGCAAGCCAAGATTGAGGCCATGTAAGCCGGTTTTGAATGAGGTGCTGCTGAACACTGCTGACGGTGTCCTCAATCTCCTCAGCTTGATTGAGGGGAAGTCGGATCAACGAGATGCCGTTCAATCGAAAGATTCTCTCATCAAGGACAGCCACCAAACGATCTTTCCGCTCAGTAGGTTCGAGTTTCCCTTGCTTCAGGTAGTCGCTCTGCTTTATTAACACGTCTTCTACAGTCACATTCGATTCCGGTATGGCCTACCAGGTCGCGGAATTGTTCGAGAGACATTATACTCTTGTTCAACTGGCAGTCCATCCGGACGTGGGGTCGCAGGAGAGGATCGACGCGTACATGAGCGGAGAGTTTGGTCGCAGCGAATTGAGCGCGGAGCTCGGGTACCGATTCGCACAGGAGCTTTTCAAGCACTACCTGGCGGAAAGTACGTCTGGAGAGCATGTGGCATGACCCGCTAAGATCCTTATACTGACCTTTCCACTCTACAGAACAATACTATGCAATACTGAGCTACTCTAGCGAATATCGCAAAGCAGTATCCGATTTCCTACGACGAACAGAGCGGCATGATTTGGCTTGGCTGCAATTCTTGGAAAAAGGGAACTTGCAAGATGCTGGAGAGACGGCTTATAAAGCGGCTTCTGCGGTGCAAGCGGCCCAAAGCCAAAAAATCTTGCTTAGCATCTTCAAGCTTACGCACGCAGCGCGAAAGGCGAAGGGAGAGCGAGTGGATGATTCGAAGGTCGACTGTAAGTCGGGGCGCGATCTCACCTTTCGAGTCCCGCTTACCTTACGCTGCTCTGATTAGATTGTGACAATCAGTTATCTTTGATGAAGACAACTGAGATGTTGAGGTCAAGAATTCGCCAATCTGGAGCTTCCAGCGACGTTCATCGGACGGCTCAATCCTATATGGCCGGACGTGTGACTCGACTTCAGGAAGGTGGCTTCGCGGCCTTGGAAAAGGTTAGTCAACGTCTCTCAATCTTTGCAAAAGAGTGATAACTGACAGGTCCCTGCCTCTTTCAGCTTTGCTACGAAAACGTAGTTGCATTGTTGGAGGGTCGATCAATAGATCGCGAATCTTTGATCGATTTGCTGACGGTCAAGGATGTGAAATCGGCCGAAGATAGGGGGGATTTTGTTTCGGCTATGAAGGTGTTGCGAGACTGGCAGCAACAAGAGGTGAGTTTTTGTCGCTGGATCTATGCGATTCCTTAGTTCTAAACAATCGGGCTTTCGAAAACACAAGCCTGCTGCGTTGAGACGTCAGACCGCATGTCTGCGAACCATCTGGAGGCGTTTGTACTTGGTTGACGAGTAAGCGAGCCTGGTAGTACCCTTTTCGCTGTACAGCCTTGACTGATGTGAACGATATCGATCCTTGGTAACAGCTGGAGCGTACTAAGCGATCCGACAGAGACCGAAGCGGCCAAACAAGACTGGCTAGGGCGCACTTGCCTCTTGCAAGTACTCTCGTGGATGCGAGGAGAACGTGAGTGACCTATTCAATTACTGGTACTTTGTCCGCATGCTGATCGATTATTTGTCGAGCAGTCTCGAGCGAGTTCATCGTCTCTCATACAGCGGCAAACATCCTTCCCTCTGAGGAAGATTCAAGGCGACGGTATGCGATCATTGAACCAGCGAATCAGAATGGCCTCAGCAGGGACTTGGAAGAGGAGGCAGCAGTACTCAGCCAACGAGAAGGGCTTTCTGAAGGGGTCATCGAGACTCTCACCGCAAAGGCGGCGGACGCTTAGGTTGCGTAGGTAGAAGCAGGATCCATAACGACCTTTATGTGACGGCACGATTATAACCGAGTCACGAAACAGTAACGAAACATTTGCCACTAGACACCCCTGAGCACGGGGGCTCGAGATCCTCACTGCGCGTTGAAGGCGATATATTTTGATAGAAAGACATAAGAAAGCTCAGTCGCCGGTCATCAATAGTGATTGACACGTGTATCAAGCATTGTCGTGTAGAGGCGCTTGCAAGCAGGCTTCTATTCAGACTCGCGAATAAACAGACTCGTAATAAACAGACTCGTAATCTCGTAATAAACAGACTCGAAATGATACTAAACAGACTTGTATGTAAACCTGTCATCATACTTGTGTTGGACTTCGTCAACGTTTAGGCTGATCAAACTCGCTTGGTCAGCGTTGAGCCATACTGAGACTAAAGTCCTTCGCGCTACTCACTTGGACCCGATGTCAAGCGATAGCTGCTGGCTTCGGCCGTCCTCAAAGATTTTTGGAGCGTTTATTGTAGTCGTTGTCGGGCTGATCGGGATAAGCTCGCTTGATGGACGGGCCAGCTGGGCCCATCAGGTCGTGCTCCTCCTTGGGCGCGAATCGAAGCTCGGCCTCCTGTACGATCTGGATGATCTTATCGAAACACGCCATTTCCTTGGGATCCGGCCCGGACTCGATTACTGCCGCCGGACGGTCCGGATCGTTTTGGCTGGCGGGAGAATCCAAATCCGTCTGACATTTATCCACGAGCGCTCGCCAAGATTCCACGGCTTTGGTGTATGGTATCACAACACAACTAGCCTGAGGTCTCGTGCTCAGAAGTCTACACATCAACGATTTATCATGTAGCTCGACCAGCTTACCGCCCTGAATTCTGCCGTATCGGACCACAAATCCTTCTTCACGTCGAGGCGTAGAATCTGTGTCAAACAGTTCTCCACTATCGTCTTCGAATTCTTACCTTCAAGCGATGCGTTCGCTTGAAAAAGTAACCAATAGAGGGCCGACTCCCAGTCGTCTACGTATCGATGATTGTAGGCTGAGTTTTCCAGGTCTTTCTTCATATTTGCGATGTCTGTCTCCTGGGCGGCAATCTCTTCGGGCCCATCAGGGTCGCCCTGGCAGTGCCTCCGGAAAGCCGGCAAGCCTCTTTCGAGCCGACCAAGCTGCTTCATATCCTCCGACAATATGTGGATTCGTCTGCTCATGAAATAGTCATTGCCCGCGCGGCAGTCTTCTTTGTTGACGGTACCGTCATCAGGTGGATTTACGATATCGCCAAGTTCCCCTTTCCTCGCTTTGAGAATGCGCGCATTCCCAAAGTCTACCAAGACGCATCGCTGGGGTCCCGCCGCCTCGGTCATGAGGATGTTTCCGGGATGCAAGTCCCGGTAATGAATTCCTGCTCGATGTAAGAACCTCAGGGTCTGCAGGAGACTCCTTGCTACCGCCCAGAGCTGATGTATATCGATTTGATCCGGAATCCGAGTCGCGCGAACACAAAAGGTCGCTATCGTCGAGATCAACTTTTGGCCGTTGAATGTAACCCATTCCTTGAGTTTTAGTGGTTGAGACGAGGTACCTAGCACGCGACCGATAGGAATGGGTATATTATACTCGACCCCCGATCCCGGTTCCAACTTGACTTTGCGCTGAATCCACTCGAGGACATCCAATTCGTGGTGGACAAGATCCCGCTCGAGCCAGGCGCTCTTGATGATCAGCTGCAAATCCTTCCCGGTAGGCATCTCCAGTGCATCGTCCGACTGCGCTTCGATGTTGACGGCCCAGACGACAGTCCTCGACCCCAAAATCTGGCCATTCGTAAACAATCGCTTGACGTCCTTGATCGTATACTGCTGAACTTGATGGGTCTCGTTCATGATTTCCAGCGTCATACCTCCTTCCAGCATCCATCGTTTATATATCAGCTCCACAGGCCCGCACAGGAAAGCGACGATATCGACAATTTTCGCATGGTCGTCCTTGTTGGCGAAAGAATATGCGGCCGATGAACTGTAGGCTGAAGCGTCGGCGTACCATAACCTCAAGCTCGGGCCGCAGAGCGTAAAGAAATGGTTGATTCCCGCGATGCTACCATGCCGGAACGATTCCGACTATACTTATATGAGTAGGAAGATCATATCACGGTACAGCGAGTAAGCGTCAGATTCCGTGCGGTTGGATTTGAGTACTTTAAGCGCTTACGAGATACCGCAAGATCTGGCCTAACAACCGGTCTTTCAATTCGGAAGCCAGGGTCACTTTGACTTCTCCAAACGCAACACTGGCACCGTCATCACCGACGACGTCAATCCTGGTGTTCAATTTCCCACTGAGAGGTATGTCCCATTCGAAGTCGTGCGAATACATATAAGACGAGCCTCGCGATCGAAATATCTCTGTTTGAGAGGATCCATGTGATCCGGCCATAGTCTCCTCGAAGCGAGGATCAGAGCTGAGTATGCGAACAGCGATGATATTGGCAAAACGGACAAACAGATCCTGAAGTCCCTTCTCCCGGTGGTTTTCTTCTTGCTCACGGCCTGCAATACCAAACCTTGCGATCTCTTGAACGATGTTGCCCAGTTGAGAAGTAGCATCTCCCATCTCGTTTACTAGGACCTCACAGATATCCTTGTGTATCCGTCGCTTTTCCTCGGACATGGTCTGCTCGTCTGGTACCAGGTCAATCATCTTCGGATCGAGTTTCCCTTTGCTATGTGATACCAGGTCCGCCTCGATGTAAAGCTTCTCCCGGATGCGTTCATCGTCCTCACTAGCGTTGAATCGGGTCGTCTCTTCCGAGGGATAAAAGTCCCTATATCCGTTCATCTGTTCCTCGGGCTCGGGTTCTTCATAAGGATCCACTGGTTCGGGACCCAGATTCTTTTCCTCTATCGGATCGTACTCCTCGACCGGGTAACGCTGAGTATAAGTGCTGTACTTCCGATCCGGTTGCGGGTACCCTTTATAGCCGCTAGGAGTCCACCACAAAGTGTTAGAACGTCTATTGCCCTTGTCACGGACCCGATCGTCTGGCGTTACATCTCGTCTGATCACCTTGTAGGCAAAGGGGTGACGGCCGCAGAGAGGTCTGTTCTGAGACATCGAGGTTCCTCGAGACGTCACTGGAGGGCTTGACGCAGACGACTTATCATCTTTGTACATCCTTCCGATGGTCTGCGAATCTTGCATTGGCTACGGCGTCCTGTTCCAAATGCCAGGGTAGAGCGGTAGCTACTCGCAAGACAACAAGGTTAGCTAGGGCTAGGTAGGTTACTGAATTACTCGGGTAACTAACTTGTACGCTACTCGAAGCTGATGCGACTCTGTTACATCTGCATCCGGCTTTTGCTTACGTAATCGCACATAATCTGACGATTCATCATCATCATCATCATCGCACCTCGATGTGCCCCGATGGGTGCCATCCTTGCATCCCGAAGACTCGTCTTGCGTCCTATAACCCTTTAAACTTGCTCAACATAACCGGACACAGGCTTCAGAGAACTAGACTGTGATATCTGCATCGATTCACTCAAAATCCGATAACCAGCAACCCCAGCCGTACGATCCCGGCGAGAACAGCTACTCAGGATGAATCACGGCAACTACGACGGTCAGTTCTGCCCAAACTGAATATCCTTCGCTCCACATTTCTGACTTCTTATTCTTTATGCGATGATATTAGATGACGAAGAGGAGGACGACTACTCCCTTCCCGGCGCTTTCGGCGGAATCCCCGCTGCTCGTCAACAAGGATCCAGTGCTCCTCGTCAATTCGCTCAAGGAGGCATCTTGTCTCAACTCATGGGAGGTATGGGCAACTCGGGGTTCGGTGGAGGATACCCGGGGATGACCGCTGGAGGGATGATGGGCTATGGAGCTCCCAGTCGACCGTCGTGAGTCTGACCGTCCCAATCTCGATGTCGATCGGTCAAGGTTTCGTCATACCGTCACTTTGCGGCAAACTGACTCTGACCGTTATTTACTGGGAATTTAGGGCGTTCGACGATTATTACAAGGCATTCTCCGTAGCTTTCCTTCCAGGTCCCGAGAGGCCTACACTGGCTTACGGCGGAAAAGGTACGCCGAACTCGAACTTAGCTACTCCATAGCCTTAGCTGATGATCTTCTCGCCTTCGTAGTGATCATGCCCCCGTCCGCCTTGGCCAAGCTTAGTAAGCCTATCCTTGTCTTACATCCATCGTCCAGAAAGACTCAGTCTGATGATGTTTCTCGTCTGAACTGGTGTAGCCAACCTCGATATCGCCGGACCCTGGACTTTCCAACTTCGGAACCCCAAGAACCCTTCTGAACTCTGCACGCACGGGGGTGTTCTCGAATTTATCGCTGATGAAGGATGTGTCTACTTGCCAGCTTGGGTCAGTACTGATGGGATACAACTTTTCACTCGCATTTCGTATGATATCAGTACTGACTTTCTTTCGCGTCTTTCCGTAGATGATGAAAAGGCTGAAGCTTGATGAGGGGGAACCTATTCGGTTGACAGGAACCACGCTGCCAAAGGGTAAACTGGTCAAGATTCAAGCTCAGACGCCAGACTTTGTCGAAGTCTCTGATCCCAAGGCAGTGTGAGTCGGGGGCGATGGCATCTCTGTCGTGAAGGCAGAAGCCTGGATCATGGTCAACTGACGACGGGAACATTATGTGATATCAGGTTGGAGACGGCTTTGAGATCTTACTCGGCGTTGACGAAGAACGACATTATCGAGATCGAATACAACATGATCCACTTCGAGTTGTTGATCATGGAGACAAATCCGGATGGCAGCGGTATCAGCGTGATCGATACCGACTTGGAGGTGAGCTCAAACAACGTTCATCGGTTGTGAGCAGCCACGGACATACTCAAGCGATCCTCGTTTGCATTTCAGGTCGACTTCGAGCGACCGAAGGGTTACGTCACACCCAAACGGGCACCCGTAGCATTGCCCCCTACCATGGCAGACAAGCTCAAGATCGATGTCAACGAACAAGTCTCTTCCTCGGGTGCTCCTACCCGACCGGGTTCCGTCGCCTCTAGCAAAGCTGGAACGGCAGCAGGATCTCTGGGGGCCGAGAGCGCTTTCGAGAGTTTCAAGGGGATGGGATCTTCCCTGAACGGAAGGAGGACGAAAGGCAAGGGCAAGAAGAAGGAGATCCAGGAGGTCGATCAGCATAGCAAGATCTTCAGGACCGAGTGAGACTCGACATGCGGATGCACGCCAGAGAGATTGTTTTTCTGATTCTTGAAGTGTTCTTCCTTCTGGCAGCAAATCCCGGTTCGTGACCAACCAGAGTTTGGCAAACGAAGAGAGAAAGGTTCCGGCACCACTCGTCCTTCCCTTTGGCAAGCTGTTCTTCGGATACACTTACAAGCCGTATGACCCTTCCAAGGATACCAAGAAGGTCGAGCCGGAAGATGGCGCAGGAGTGAGTCCTTGAGCTCGAACAAGGACACGGGTCCTCTTTGCTTACAAACCTCTTGCATCAGGCCCAGCCGCAGCCTTCTTTCGCAGGTGCAGGAACTACGCTATCCGGAAGAGGCGCACGCGGTCCTACGGCTGCATCGGGTCAGATCCCCGTGACCCCGAAAGTCAAGGAGGAAGAGCCCAAGCCGGACCCATGGGCGAACCTACAGGGCGGTTCGAGCTTGAACCGTCCTTCTGGTGGTACAGCCATCCAGCCGATCGAGATTGACGATGATGACGACGAGGACGAGGGGAATTACGTTGGGGTCGATTCTGGCTCGGAATTCAACGGGTTTGATGAAGACGACGACGCCATCATGATCGACTCGGATTGATCGTCCTGGGCCGATCGATAGAAATGCATGTGTTTCCCTTCTCTGTAACTATCTACCTACGTCTGCGTACTACCCCGGGCATCTCCTGTAGCCTTATATCAGGTTCTTCCAGAATGTTTCAAGACGCAAGACGGGGTTGTTTACGATTTGGTCGAGGTCGTGTTTGAGCGATTGTCGGAAGCAAAATTGAACAGTGAAGCATCCTCCAAAGCTTCTGATGATTCTCAGATCTCAGATCTCTGCACATCGTTGTCCGCATGATCGCAGTTGCACAGACCGAGCAATCAACAAGCAACAAGATCACACAGCATCACCCGAGACCGCAGGGATACTCACCATAGACAATGACTGACCATCGGGAAAAGAAGCGAAAACGCAATGATCAACCGGGATCCGATACAGCTAGGAAGGAGACGACGAACAGTCAAGGGCCAAGCAAGGTTTCAAACCAGCAATCGACGCAGGTCGACCCTGTTTCTTCCGCTCTAGTTCAGACGGCTGATGAGCTGAGCAAGCGAGAACGCAAGCAGGCCAGAGCTGAAAAGCGGCGTCGCAAAGAGGAGAAACGGCTCAGGAAAGAAGCAAAAGCTTCGAAGCAGACCGAATCGGCCGCTCAGAACGAGGCTGCCAGCACGGTCCAGATGATAGACCCCAGGCTGGAAGAGACAAACGGATCAGGCGAGGATGTCACTTTACATCGGGCGACTCCGTCAAATGCCTTTCCAGAAGACAATCAGGCTTCGGCACCTGGTTCAGAAACCGGGGGTCAGCCTCCTCGGAAGAAGCTCAAAAAGAACCAACTCGAGCGGTCGCCAGAACGAGGCTCGTCATCGTCTGCAAACCAGAAAGACGCATACAATGGCGAGGTTAACCGGCAGGCCTTACAACCGACTCCTCCGAGTCCTCCTCCAGAGAACGCAGAAGCCAGCGGGTCAGCTGCAGATACTGGCTTCTTGCGAGCCAAAGGCAGACCTTCGACCCAGAAGAAGCATGAGCAATTGGTGGCGATGAATCACGCGGAGATTCTGGCTACGAAATGGCTGAAGGCACCGGAATTGAAGGCCTTGGCGGAGGAGAACGGTAAGAACAGAAGTGATGACGCAGAGGAGGCTGTATAGGCATACTGATGTTTACATGTGTATACGGGGTCAATCAGGTATAACATGGAAGATGGGACCTTTTACCTTTTCCGAAAAGTCGCAAATCAGACACTTTCTGGAACAATACCGTGCTGTACGAGTCCTAGACAGCTTGGTCCGGCCGCTCAATATGGTTCCGCTCATACACCCTCGACACAGATCCGTGGGCTTACCGAGCAGCAATTGTCAGACGTGATCAACGCTTCTGGCAAGAACGCTCGGGTTCAGTACGGCAGTTTCTGGAAGGATGTCGGTGCGTTCCGGCTTGACTCTGGGCATTGTAAAATTCGGACAGCTAAAAGAGGCAATATCTGTACTGCTAGCCATGTCGGTTCCTGGTCGGCCGCTCATTTCGGTCCATGCACACGTCAAGCGCGCATACGAACCGACCGCCAAGAAGGGCCCCTGGACTCGGGAGGAGGACGACGATCTGAGAGCGTAAGTACCGCTCAATCCAGTGATGCGTATCGATCTCGTTTTGCGCGACCGACGACATTATTCTCGCATTCTTCAGGGCATTTGTAGAGTTCGGGCCGGATTGGACCAAGGTAGCAATTCGGGTAGACAGATCGGCGGCGGATTGCAAAGATAGATGGCGGAATCACGTTGCGCACTCGGAGGTGCGCAAAACAGGTGCGTCAAGCTGTTCCACAATATGACTGTGCGCACGGTACTGATAGGCGTGTTCTATGTCGCTACAGGCTCTTGGTCGAAAGACGAAGCAGAGGCCTTGCGTCAGTGCGTTCTTGAAATGGCCTTCATTTCAGGCTTGCTATTAGAGGACACGGAGAGCGGCATCCCTTGGGCCACCATATCGGCGAAATTAGGTAACGTCAGAGGACCTGCTCAGTGCCGTATCAAATGGTACAACACGTTCTTCGTGCTTGCGTTTGGTTACCGCCTCGCTGAATATCAATCTGGTACGCATCAGGACCGACGACATGTTGCCTACTCTCCTGTCGAAACGCAAAACGAAGTGGAACGCAAGTGATTCGGTTGAGATGCTCAGAAGGTAAGACAAGGAAGATGCGGACTTGTTACTACCCTATCTCATCTTGACCCTATCGCAGACTGATCGCGATGAACCCTGGCGATACCTCCGAGATTCGCTGGCATACTGTGCCTCACGCCGAATGGAACGCGAAGAGTGGTCACGTCATCCACAAGAATTTCAACAAGCTCGTCAAGGGCGTTCCGAATGGCAAGCAAATGCCAATGCAAGGTGGGGCGGTCTCAGACCAGTTCGATCCGAATGATATCGCTGACGGGTCAATCCCCCCAGAACTCTTACAAACGCTTCTCGTTCAAGCTCGCAAGGACGAGCAGAAAGAGATAACCCGCAATCAGGCAAAGGATCTAGCGGCTCTTGAACAGGCGCAAGCTACCCCGGCCAGTATACTCGCCAGCACTCTGGCTCATCAGTCCAGGTACAAGTCCAAGGCAACCATCGACGACTCTGACCCTGATGCCACGGATGTAGAAGCATGAGCAAATGCTCGCTGAAGCGCGTGTATGAATCTAGCTGCGGTGCAGACCGAAAGTGCACACCTATATTACAGGCGATTATTGCGTTACAAAAATGAGTATCTCTAGTCAGCTAAGTGGTTTCATTACATCCATGGATTATCGTCGATATCTTGCAGGGCAGCGAGTACTTTCGGTGCTTTCACCTCGCGTACGATATCATCCTCCTCGATCTGCCTCTGAGCCTGTAGGTTATCTTGTTTGTGAGCTTCGGGCGACTTCCCCAGATTGAAGCCCTCGTCCTCGCTGTCCGAACTTTGCTCCCCCGGGACGTATACGTGTCTTATCACGTGAGCATTCGGCTCTCCCTTCTGACGTTCGTGTTCCATCGCTTCCATCACTGCGTCCTGGTCGTCTACGATAAGATCGATCGCATCCGACGGCAGAGGTCGGTCCGACGCCTTAACCGGCTTATCCTCCTCAGGGTCCGAGGCGTCATCTGCCTCGCCGAGCTCGAACGGCGATCTCGGTGCGGTGAGGTGGTGGCGTGGGCTTGGGCTTTGGTCTCCTTTACGATCGCCCCTTCGGGTCACACGCAAATGATTGCCGTCGTCTTGTTCAGGCTTCCACGCAGAAGGCCTCTCGGTGTCGCCGTCGTAAAGCCACTCGTCGTTTGCGTCTTCCGCACCATCGATCCTGACATCGGACAGCTTTGTCGGGGACCGCTTGTTGTTGTCGCTGACTTTCTGGTTTTGACGAACAGACGAGGTGACAGATGACGATGATCCTGCTCGATCGAGAGCGGCTCCGTTGGCCCCTGTAATGTCGTAACCGATTGGGTTCAGCAAGTGACCTCAAAGAAACGAGTCTGCAAGGTCAGGACGTACATTTTCCATATACACCACGCTTCTTCTTGTCCCGCTTTGCTTTACCTCCAGCCTTCGTATGGGGTCGGCTGGAGGAACCGCCTTCGTCGCTATCGCCCTCGTCATCGTTCTGTTCGTGCCCTAGAAGTCGCTCGCCGGCATCGTGCGCCTTTCGCATCCACTTCCCAGCAAGCACGCCATCTTCCTCCTCCCACAGCTTCTGCCTAGCCTTTTCCTGGCTGACATCAACGTTGGGATACCCGATATACTCGATCTTCTTTGCTCGAGAGTACATCGATTCCTCCCACTCGTCGTCAGGTCCGGCGCCTTCGAAATCGAGGCTGGGTGCATCGGACGAGTCGGTATCGCTGTCGTACGGCCTGGCCTCGGAATGATGCAAGATCCTAGCCGTCTGCTTCGGAAGTAAAGGGGCATACGCCTCGCGCTCGGCCAGTCTGCTCTGGAGGTTACGACGCATGGTGTTGACAGGTCCACCTTCACGGACCCTGCCTTCGTCGCCCGGTTGCTGAATCCAGTATTTTTGGGTACCGCCCTTGCTATACCGGAGTCCCGCTCGAATACGTCGCATCCTGCCGTCCCCGACATGTAGGACACCTTCGGCAGGCTCATAAGCCTGATAAGAGACCCCTCGACCTTTGAGCGTGGCTTTCGAGTCTTCCCAAACGTCGCGGGTTCCGAAAGCGTCCCGTAATGCATAGAAGAACGGCATTCGCGCCTAAGATGAGAGCGGGGCAGACATTGTTGGTTTCAGGTCAATCCTGGTGGGATATGGACTTTTGACTCACGCAATGCATCAGATTCTCGTCGATATAGTCGCTCGCTTGAAAAGCATATTGCTGCGTTTTTCGATCAGATGAGCGTTCCATGTCGCATGGCCGCCGATCGAATCTCCCGACTCACATGCGCGATCGCAAAGAAGGGCATCTCGAGGCAGACGAGCGAGTCTGTCAGCGCCAATGACATGTGCTCCTTGTCGGTATAAGCTCCCACTAAAGGGGTGTGCGTGTCTATCAGTACGGGCCACACGTATTTAATAGCTGGATTTGCTCACATCGCTTAATCGCGCGAATGGCGACAAGGAGCGATACGGCGAGACCTTGCCAAAAGGAGAAGAAGAGGATTCCCTTGACACACAGAAACTTGGCTGGAAGCAGCCACGTTGACGGCATGAGTTCCGTATCGTATACCTGACTTTCGCTTAGCTACTCACGAACAGGCCTATAGGTGAGAAAGCAGGTCGTCAGCGGGACTAGAGATATTATCACAGGCTCCCCTATCTGCAGCTTACCTAAACGGCTTGAGATCCTTGCTGACGCAAACCCAGAACATGGCCAGACAGCTGCAAAGGACCAATCTTCACGTTCCTGCATTCCTTAGCTGAATTTCCAACCTGAACTTACTATAGACTCAGGCAGATACTTCCGTTGTAGACTACACTGATGTAAGTATACCCAGAGTCGAACGAAAAGTCTCCTTCCCGATAAGTGCCGGTAGCCTTGAGGATGACGGTCGCCAATACGAGGATAGGTTTGACCTGTACGTATTCTGACGACCCGAAAGCTTGATCAGCACAGCCTTCTGACCGATCGTCAAGAGCGACATCCTACTAACGCAAGATGCCTCGTTTCAGGTTCAATAGTACCCAAGGATCACTAATGTCCATCGGCTTCAGAAAGATATTGAAAGGGAATGGGTGCGGGATCGGTTGTCTTCCATGCAGCAGGATCAAAAGGGATCGCTCTCCTCCGAGATAGGAGACGAGGAGTTGGAAGAAGCAGTAGATGACAAAGGCCTACGTAATCGAGAGTTAACAAATTGAGCCGATAGATATGAGCATACATGTCTCTCCTTTAGCTTACCTCGTACAGATCCCTAACGGTATCGATGAAGAAGGCAGCGTCGAGCGAGAACAGAGCGATAAGGGAGGCGATGGCATATAGCGGTACCCTGCAACATGAGACGGGTTAATCATCAGCTCGCTTCTTAGTATACTACCACAGCGCCCTGTACCCACATGAGCATAATCCTGACTACTGATCGCTGGAGTAATGGCCTCCGATAGCTCTTGAGCTGTAGATAGACCGACCATATCGAGACGACGGTAGCTGCGGGACAAACGCAACGGACGTCATTGGTGAGCCGTGACGATAGACAGACAGATGACGCAAGACCTACCGATTCCAGAACAGACTCCACAGACGATCAACAGAGACTTGGGCAAAAGATTACCTGCACCGCCTCCTGATTGTGCCGAAGAGGATGACTCGTACGACCCAGACTTGTGCGAGCGATGCGGGGCGGACGGTGTCGGGTCCTTGGGGAATGAGGGTAACGACATCGTGTCGATGTACGTCCCCGGCTTTGACGATATCTAGACTGTAGAGTCGAGAAGCTAGCCGTAAGAAGGTGTATGAAATCGAGGATGACGCTGTGCGGGAGAGGTGAGGACGAAACCATCAATATTAACATCGCTATCAACCCAGCTATGCCATATTACGATCGACGTCCGTTGGTCCCTTCCGCGCGGTGACCGAACTCGAATGACGACGTACGGCACGGCATCATTCAACCTCATCCTTTGATCGTCCTCCAGGAGAAGGTAGCATGGAGCGATGACATGGTATCCGGACAAATCTATAAGGATGCATCGCACGCTGACAAACACAAGGTACACCGTTCACAGCCAAATCAAGAAGAAATCGCTAGCGTAATCCTGCCGGCGACCTCGCTCGAGGGTCGGCATCCTGCCAGGACGATGTACTGCTACTCCCTTGCTCTGGAGATGTCCGTTTGCCCTCATCCCGGTAGCCCCCGCTCCCGCTCCCTGACGGCTTGTCGTCATCGTCCCCATCCTCGAGGAAATCGTCGTGATACTTGAGCCCACGCCGCTCATCGTCCTCGTCGTCATCTTCGTCCTCGGTCAGGTCGTTCTCCGCAAAGGCGTCGTACAGGTCCTTACTACCCGGTTCTGTCGACCTGCGGTTCCTCGACCCCAAGACGCCCATAGGTACCTCTTCCGCGACCGGCGCGTACTGACCCCGCTCTACCGAGAGTTCTTGCATCATCTTGTTCTTGCGTCGGACCCGCATGAACCAAAAGATCCCACCGGCCGCGATGATGGCCAAGAGGAACACTCCCCCGCCTCCCGCCAACCAAGTCTTGTGCTCCTTGACGGCATGCACTCCCGAGTCGTACCAGCTCTCCTTGTCCGAGCCATAGTCGATGCTTCCATCCTCATTGACGACCGCCTCGTCAGCCCCAGGTCCGGTAACGACGTCGGGCTCGCTCGTCGGTTTAGTATGTGCCAACCCGGGCTCATGAGCTTCCCCCTCGGCGCTCCCATGGTCGTCAGGGAGATGGTCCGTCGGTTTAGGCTTTTGCGAGACGGTCCCGCTAGGTTTGGACCCGGTCTGTTCCTCGTCCGATTCGCCGAATTCGGCCGGACTCCAGTGTTTGGCCTTGGCCGGATCGACGACTTCTCCCCAGAGCTGTAGACTCCAGCTCTTGAAATACCCCACCTTGTCCGGATTCACCATGTCCTTGACATGGATCTTCCAGATACCCACCGGGTCCTCGCCCCTGATGAACCGACATGTTCTCTTGCACGTCAGCCTCGACAGGTTCTCTTCACTCTGGGATGTCCGGGCCCGACTTAGACTCACCAATGTTTCATCGACATGAACTTCCACCCTTGCAACCCGTTCGCATCCTCGTCAAACCTCCTCTGCCTGGCCAAAACGCTCCTAATACCATTCGGGCTCGTCAATTCGACCTCGACGTCTCCTCTCCGCTGATGATCGATCCAGACCCGGCAAGTGACGTGTTCGAGCGTCTCAAAGTTGAAATCGTCCAGCATGTCTTGGGTGACTTCGTAAGAGGATTCGATGCCCGATTCGGTGATGAGCAGACCGGCTTGAACGGTAGGAGTCTCGATGGCGATCGGGTCCGTCTCGTTCGTCGTCTGATCCGGAGTCGCGACCGTCGGTGCTCCGTCGTCTTCGTCCACCCCCAAATCAGCCTCTTGCCTCTTCTCCGCTTGTTCCCCCTGCTCGTCTTCCCCTTGTTCGTCCTGCCCCTCGTCCTGATCGTCGTCCGTCGGCGTAACGGGCCTCTCCCTCTCCCCCAAAAAGATCGCCGGCGAATCAAACCAAGCCTGCGGTTTCCTCAACTCCCACTTCCTCGCCTCCTCTACAACCCTTCCTGCGTCGATCCTCCCATACCCATACTTGTAGCTGAACCACCTCCCGCTGGCCGTCTTCTCCCAATCCGGATCTTCCGGGTTGAAATGGACGGCCGTGTGGATCAGGACGTGTTGCACGTCCCGCCACGATAGTTCCGGTCGGACTTGAAGGGCGAGGGCGACCACTCCTCCGGCTAAAGGAGCTGCGGCGGACGTTCCACCATGAGCCGAAGTGCAGGAACGTTTCCCGACATCCGTCGTGTGGATGTGATCCCCGCTCCCAGAAGACGGCGCGACGACCATCATCGCCGCGCACATTTCCGAGTAATAAGGGTGAAGCCCCTTCCTGTCCACCGCCCCGATCGTCAAGCTAAAGATCGAGTTGGTATACCCATCAAAGTTGCACTGGTCGTCCAGTCCACCCCCGTTTCCGGCTGCAAAGACGAAGACGCTCCCCTTGCCCCCTCGTCCCCTCTGGACCCCGTTGACCATGGCCTTCAAGATCAGACCTTCCGGAGCGTCCATGGATTTCCCATCGTCGGGTGGTCCCCAGGAACAGGAATAGACGTCGTTCTTCTGAAACTCGTAGTTGAGCGCCGCGGCCTCGTCGGCATCAGAGATCGGAGCCGAAAGGATCCGGATCCCCGAGATCTTGCTACGGTAAGCGACACCTACTCCGCAGACATCGTTGGGAATCGCGGCGATCTCTCCGGCACAACGAGTCCCGTGCTGGTCATCGGAAAGACGAGGGCGGGGCAAGGGGTCGTGGTCGTTGAAATCGTAGGAACCTTCTGCAAACTATCGGGGGACAGGTCGGATGCTCAGTCCATCGATGCTTTTCCGCCACGCACAGCTGTACGAGGTGACGATACGCTATGCCCTGTACTCACAAAGTTTCCAGCCAGATCGTCGCTATCCATATCCAGCCCATCGTCGATGATAGCTACCGTCACCCCCTGTCCTGTAATCCCCTCCCCCCAGGCCCCGGTAACGTTCAACTCTACTTCGGGCAACTGGGTGTTCACCAAGTGCCATTGAGAAGGAAGGAGAGGGTCGGCGAGCCCAAGTTGCGTCTGGACGTAATTGAGTTCAGTGAGGTTTTGAGGCGGGTCGGAGGTCACTGGAGATGGGGAATGTTGTCGTTTAACACGTTGACGAATGGGGAGGTGGGAGATGTCCTTGATCCGGGTGGTACTGGGAACATCATGACCAGGCCCTGACCGACCCTTCAGACCGTGGCCTTTCCGTCTTAGTCCCATCGACTTGGATCTCCGTTCCTTCTCCTTCCAACGCCTGATCACCGCATGTTCAAGACTCTCGCCGAGTTCATCCCGTCTTGTTGCCCACTCCTTCTCGCTACGGACCAACCAATGCCCATCCAACTGACCTATCCGTTCGACCCATTCCGCTCCGACCTCGCTGGCCAATTTCTTCGCTTGTTCGGGTGTCGTATGAGGCGAGGTTTCGAGGGAATAGTAGTGGTGGGTATCGTAGTTTCTCGGAACTGGGTGTGATGAAGATAGGGACGAGGTGGAAGACGAGGCGAGCGGGAAGAGGACCAGGGCGAGGGTGAAGAGGAGCTGTGGCCTCATATTGGACGTGGTGTGTAGAGATGGTCACACCGAGGTGATCTCGGGTTTCCCGGAAAGCCGAATATGAGCTGCGTGCAGAATGCCAGCAGTAGCACCGTCACTGGATGTACGAGAAAGCAAGACGAGGTCGAAACTTGTGCGAGTCTGGCCCAAAAGTCGCAGCTCGTTCAGAACGCAGCGATCACCTCCCCGGCCGTGTCCAATTCACTCGGAAGCAAACGAAGTACCGAATGCCGTAATGGATGTCCACGTTGGGTGAGATTAGCGGACAGTAGATGATTATCTTGGATTGATGATGTCCGTGTTCGTGTGTGTGTGTTGTCGTGTTGAAGCATGGGAGTGGGGAATGTGGAGGTCGGAGGGGGAGGATCCCACTCGATCGTCATCGATTGATGGATATTTCATCGACACTTGCTCTCGGATCGAGTGTTACTTGGAGATAAGGAAACAGGTCTACGAATCCCAGCATAAACGGTCACTAACCCCTTAGATAGTCGCACAATCCACAGCCGCAGTCAATCTAGCCACCATACTATCACTCCTCCGTCCATCCGCTTCCCTCAAGAGTCTTCCTCCTCGACTCGCTCACTACCGTATCATCACCCGTAACCTCGCAACGACTCCGAACAGAATGGGTAAAGAAAGCGTCTGTATCGTCGGGAGCGGTAACTGGTGAGCCGGTCCTGCATTGCCTCTATCCATTTCAGTACAGTCCTTCTGACACACCGATACCTCTTTCTCTCTCCCAAACATCGTTCTCTCCTCGCTCATACGAAAAACCTCGCAGGGGCTCGGCGATAAGCAAGATCGCAGGCCGTAACATCCTCAACAACCCTCACCAGTTCGAAAAGAGGTTACCCATGTGGGTATTCGAAGAGACCTTGGACGAGAAGATGGGTGGGGGGAAGTTGACGGACGTGATCAATGAGAAGCACGAGAACGTCAAGTAGTGAGTCAAAGTCGAAAAAGAGTCTTTTCGAGGTGGAGAGGTGGAGAGGTGGAGAGGCGGACGAGGAGGGGGTGTTCTCCTATATAACGACTCGCCTTTCAAATGCTAACATTTCGTTTTTGTACAATCTTTTTCAGTCTACCCGGAATTGCTCTTCCTGAGAACGTGGTCGCCGTACCCGACGTCCTCGAGGCGGTCAAGGGCGCTACCTACTTGATCTTTGTCTTGCCTCATCAATGTACGTGCTTCCTCTCTCCCGTCTTCGATCCCGGATTGTGGACTGATCATCCGACCTTTTCTCTCGTCTGCTTCATGTTTACATGGTCGTATCGGCGTTGATGATGTCAGTCTTGGGAAAGACGATCGAACAGCTCAAAGGCCACATCCAACCGGGTACGAAAGGGTTGACTCTGATCAAGGTACGCTTCCTACCCTCCTCTTTCTTGCCTCTCCCTTCCCCCTGCTCTCCTTATCTTCCTCTCGCAGCCCGTAGGTACTGACCGCTCATATTCACTCTCATTCCCCGCACCGTGCAGGGAGTCGACGTGAAGAACGACAAGATCCAGATCTACGCCGACTTGATCGAAAAGGAGCTGGGGATCAGTTGTAGTTCGCTCTCGGGGGCGAACATCGCTAACGAAGGTGAGCTGATTTTCAAGTTCCGGGATCCGTCTTGATTCTCCTTACATATGACCGTCGGCTGAGAATGTTTGGTTTGATCCACGGAAAAGTCGCTCAGGAAAAGTTCTCCGAGACTACGATTGGATACCGGAACGAGGAGGAAGGCAAGGTCTGGAAGTCAATCCTTGGTGAGTCCGAAACACTGCGACATTTTCTTCGTCTACATTGTTCATCTTTGTGCTCGATCGCGACGCAGATTCGGAAAAGTTCAAGGTCAGCTTGATCGAGGATGTGGCTGGGGTTTCGCTTTGTGGGGCCTTGAAGAGTGAGTCGCCACAAAAGACACGGCCGGGCTGTGAAACTTTGCGGGCAGTATGTGGGCTGACGGAACACGACGACGACTGTAGACATCGTTGCCGTAGCGGCCGGTTTCATCGATGGGCTCGAGTGGGGTGATAACGCCAAGGGTGAGTTTCATGTCCTGTTTCCGAGACCTACAACCGAGGGTACCATCCGGCTGATATTCCGCATTCCGCCCACCTCAGCCGCCATCATGCGAATTGGACTGGTCGAGATGAAAAATTTCGGTCTCGAATTCTTTGACAATGTCAAATCCGCCACTTTCCTGGAAGAGTCGGCCGGTGTGGCCGACTTGATGACGAGTTGCATGGGAGGGAGGAACCGAAAGGTTGCCGAAGCATTTGCTAGGACGGGGAAATCATTCGATGAGCTGGAAAAGGAGTTGCTCGGCGGGCAGAGTGAGTTTCCAGTCTGGGCGAGGTTTTCGACATTCTTGCTCAACCGCTTTTCGGCGACCTTACCTTTGTAGAACTGCAAGGCGCCGCAACGGCCAAGGAGATCAACAGTTTCCTCAAATCAAAGAAGCGGGTCGAGGCCTATCCCTTGTTCAAGGCCGTCTACGAGATCGCTTACGAGGGGCGGGACGTCGAGTCGATCGTCACTGGCGTTTCAAAGTCAAAGCTATGAGCGCGATGTGATGATTTAGTTTGCAGCATCGAGAGGGAATAGAAGCATGAATATGGGCATTTATCACTAGTCGTCTAAGTTGTTATCATGAGAAGAAACCAAATATAGATGTTGTGAATCGGTTACGAGCCTGTTTTCCGTCATCTCAACCTCCTGGGTCTGCGTTTATATCCTTTCTCCGCAACCTAGTGCCTTGTCTTGCGCTATACCTTGACAGCCTTCCAGAACGAAGCATACATATTCACTCGATCGATGGCGAGCCCGGTCTGTCTAATGTCGATCGGCTCGACCTCAAACCCAGCCAGCTCGAACCGCTGTCGGTACCAAGGATATTTCCCCGCCGAACGCCAGACGGCCATTCCGCCCGATTTGAGGACTCGTTTCATCTCGATGATCTCGTGATCGAGTTCGCTGTGGAGCATATCAAGCGCCTCCTCTGGGCTAGCGTCTGTCATCCTTTTGTACCTGTCCGCAGGCATGGGCTTGGACGGATCGATCCGGTCGAACCAGTCCAGAGAATCCATGACGATGATCTTGGTCAAGGATCCGTCGCCCAGACCGGACAAGACGTTGAGAATGGTATCGGTGTGCAGTCGGATGTTCTGGGTCCTGCCGCCGGACCGGCTCTTGAGCGCGTTGAAACCCTCCGGCGTGAGGTACAAGGGGCACGAGGAGCGAGTGTATTTTCCATTCAAGCACTGGTGAAAAAGACAGGTGATTGATGAGTCGGTCGCTAGAACTCTGATGGAGGAACATCAGATTCGACTCACCAAAAAGTAGTGATAGGCTCCGTTCTGACGGTTCAACAGTGAATCCTGTTAGCGTTCGACGGCAGTCAAGTTTGGTTAGCTGATCGAGCCCACCTTGAATGTGGCAAGGCCTGGTAGCGGGTCAAAAGTGCCGGCAATAAAGGAGGAGATGTCACCGTCCTCGAGCAGGACCGAGAGTTGGTTTCGAGGAACTCCCAAGGCGTTCCAGCAGAAGACTCTAGAAATACAAGGGGAGACTATCAGTTCTGAGGAGTACTGATGAATGCACTGGATCGACTGACGGTGAGGCCAGGACCGTCCGCATCACCGGGTTGAGCAGTACCCAGCGAAGTTTTGACGCCCAGATCTTTTGCTGCTCGATGGTCGAATCTGCGTTGATGAAACGCTGGACATCTTTGGTCACCCCCATGGCACGGAAAGCAAAGTTGGCCAAGCGGATGGCCCATCCGGAATATCCTTGCAGAAACCAGTTGGTGGTGAATTGGTAGCTGTTCGCCTTCCAATAAGCGTAGGTCCCCCTTCGTTATGCAGCGTCATATGCTTAGCGACCGAGATGATAACAATCGAAATCTGAGTACTCACGATGAAAGGTAAGGCGACAGCTTGGCGTCCAGAAGCTTTTCGAACTCGGAATGACAGCCTTCACCGAACATCTTCCAGAAATCAGCGTACTCCAACGCTTTAATAGCTGCGAGCTTGAGTTCTAGGATATTGCCTTGACAGCTGTAATTCTCGACATAATGTTAGATGATGTGACTGATTGTCGACCTCCACGGGCTACTGACGGGTTCATATCCACAGAATGTACCTCAACTTGTGCCTTGATAGCATAGTGGAGAACATTGTCCCCAGCACTGGTGATGCAAAGGATCGAATCGCCATCCTGGATCTGTAACTTTTCGACGTCTACAGCAGGATCCTCCCACGTCCAGCCATAGATATGTGCTGCGATGACCATTTCGACTCAGCACTTGTTCTGTCTCACCAGTCCAACAAAAAGGACTCACTCCGGAATTCCTTGTGTACTTCCTGTTCTTCGTAGGGCAAGCGCCACTATCGAAGCTGGGATCTCAAACTCCGACTTCAATCGCTTTGAAAGGCTCAGACCACTTACTGCGGATTGAGCTCTTTGTTTCACTACCCTTTGCGCGACTACGGCCTGCTGGACCGTATCATCCAATGCGCTGGCACCAAGACTGAACTCGGTGAGGTCGGCCGCGTCCTCTTGTGTATTGGCTTTTTGCCACGGAGAAACCGGCGTCAGAAGGCCGTGCTCAAGCCGAAAATTGGTCGGTTGTGGGAGTGAGATCGCCTCAGGAGTGACGTCCTGTCGCTTGTCACCGAGATAGATGTAATAAGGGATCTGGATCGCCCAAGGCAGAATGAACTCGTTGCGGGCATAGATCTGCTTGCGTCCGGCGAATCGATATTGTAGGTATTCTGGAGACGCATTGCAATGTCAGTGCAATATTCGACAATCACACCGCTCCCACGCGTACCCATTCGGTCCGGTTTTAGGTGGACGTGATCAAACGAGAACCAGGTAGTCCAGAACCAGGTACCAAAGAGGCCAGTATCCATGTTCAGGTCGCTAATGTGCGGATTCTGGTTCGGCGACGTGGCAATATGCTTCAGCGTCACTCGAATCATGCATCAGCACGGAAATCGACGTACCTTGTTCTTACATCTCTTTGCGTAAAAGTCGACGACACCCATGACGCCCTTCGGGTCGAGCATATCCGACATCCTATCGAGTGCTTTGTGATACGGCGGAATCTGGAGAATGTATCGTCAACCGGCGTCCGACACGTCTACTATAGATCCACGAGACTGCTCACCATCGACAAAGAATAGCTCATCGTGATCAAGGCCGCTTTACATTGACGCCCATACTTGTCGAGTGGGAGCTTGAACTTGGTAGCGTCGCAGTGCACGACGTGAACGTTCTTCCAGCGGCGCTCTTTGAAGCGTTTGTGCGCCACCTCTAGCAAAGGCTTGCAAAGATCGACCAGATAGACTGCGTCAAAAGTCGCAATAGGCATAAATTGGTCCATCGCCTCGATGTTATACCCTATTCATCGGTACGAAACGAACGCCCCCGAATAAGTGCAAGTCCGCGCGGCAATCGGAAGCAATACTGACCGGTGCCTCCTCCAAGATCGACCCAGATCCGAGGCTGTCTCATGAGGTTGGGCGAACTAGGCGTGACTTCATATCGAGCTTTCAATTCGGCAGCGGCCAGTTGGAGCATCGTCTCCCTGCCCTTCAATAACGCGGTCCTGGTCGCATCATAGATATCGGCTTGGGCGGTGTAGAAGGAGTCCAGATGTTCCGACTGGGATGAGCCCTTGACAGGCTTGAAGAAACAGCACCAGGCGAATTGGATAAGACGCGAGACATTTTGAGCCTTGTAGAGTAAGACAGCAGCGATGGAAAGGATGATGGTTGCGAAGCCCGCAATGACAGGGTGTTCTCCTGTAGCACCGGCGATTTTGCTATTCGGCAAGGCGTCCATAATGAAGTGGTGATCGAAGTAGCCCCTCGAGCTGTCCAGAGATTCCTGGGCCTGCGTCGACATGATGTATGTCTTCGAATTAATGTCAGTGCAAGTCACAGAAGTTCACGTTCACAAGTGTTTTGCAGTTTCCCAAGAAGCTGTGTTTATATCTATGAACGAGATGATCAGCCGCGCGGAACGAGATACGCTCCATCTCCGCGAGAGTCCGAGCTAAATCGACGATCTAATCCCTGCCGCCATCGGGTCCGACCGAAAACGCCGTGCACTCTCTGCTGTTGGATGGGACCATGAGCCCCAAGCTCACAAGGCTACTCACTACACGAGGCATATGAGGCACCGCCATTCACCACTCAGGCCGCTCAGAGCGGTTCGGGCATTGCGCTATTGCGCGTTTCAGGATTAGCATCCGCAAAATCGCCCGAACGAACGTTTGACCGTGCGTTTCCCAGAACGTGGGTCTGCCAGATTACCAGCTTGTTGTGGTTCGTGAACGTGCCCGTCCTCAATATTCTTCCGGACCACTCGCTTGGCGGCAGAGGAACGAGAAGGCCATCGGATCGTTCCCGTGCTGCCATTGAGCCATATTCCAGCCAAAGGAGACCCCAGCGCATTCGAATCGCGATAGCTGTCTCATTTCCGAAGCGCAGAAGTGGCTAATTCGTACAATCCAGCAACGCGCGATTTGACGCCCTGTCCGTAAGCAAGGTTGAGCAAGCCGTTCAAGAATCCCCAGCTCTTCTCTTGTGAAGGGAGAGGATAGTCTATGACAATCCAATCATATCAGTGCTGCTATGTCGCCTGACGGTACGCTTTGCCGCCACATACCCAATGGTCCCGGGATTCCGGTTTGAATCAGCTTGAAGAAGCGGTCTTCTGAAACAGCCTTGATCGAACAGAGAGATCTCAAACCCTCCGGACCACCTGAAAGCATGCGGGTGAGCGATAAGACAGGATAGTCGTAGGCGATATCTGGCATACCGAATCGACCGAAACCACTTGCGTTCACTCCTCCAAATGGCATAGCCTGATTCAAGTAGAAGACGCCAAAGCTGAAAGTTTTGGGATATGAGCGTGTTACATGGATACACGCAACACTCTGCGACATACTCGTTGATGGCGACCATTCCGGTTTTCAAGGCTGCTGCGACTTGACGGCATTCGGTCCTATCGTTCCCGAAGACCGCTGAACCGAGTCCGTAGCGTGTACTGTTGGCGATAGCCACAGCCTCCTCGATCGTATCATACGGCATGACCGTCATAACCGGCGCAAACAACTCGTTCCTGGCAATGTCCATGTCGGCGTTGACGTCGACGATCAAAGTCGGCTGAAAGTAGTGACCGGATTTCCAGACCGGGTGATCGAGCCGTTTCCCACCAGCCAGGATCTTGGCGCCTTGTTCGACGGCCGAAGACAGAGTTGCCTCCAGCTGTTCGAACAAGCGGGAAGAAATCATGCTTCCACAGTCAACGGTTGGAATCAGACCATCCTTTTCACCGGGAGCGGAAGAGAGCGAGGGACCACATCGTAAAGCTGCAACGCGGGGCTGCATAGTATCGATAAAGTCTTGGTAGATGCTTTTATGCACGATGAAACGCTCGATCCCGATGCAATTTTGGCCGTTGGCTTGGCTGTGAAGCAGAAAGGTTAGTGTCAAGCATACGCGAGCAATGCTGAAGTATACCCAGCTTACAAAGCAGCACGCATGTACGTCGACGCGAAAAACTTGAGGTTTGTTGTAGGCAGTAGTACGGCGCAATCTTTTCCTCCGAGCTCGATGCAAGTAGGTATCAGGGATTCGGCAGCGGCCGTAGCTACTTTCTGCCCAACTTGCTCGCTGCCGATGACTATAGCACAAAGTCAATGATCAGCGTCACGTGAGAGATACCATAATGAACATGCTCGACTGACAAGTAATATGCTTGACGAGAGGGTGTTTGGTGACGACGTCCGCGTCTTCCGGATAACAGCAGACCAGCTGACGGACAAAAGCAGTAAATTAGCGAATGATGACGCACATAGCTCAACCAAGTTCACCTGGACAGCATCAGGATCCATGTTGACCGCTATGAGCGTGGCCTTGAGGGCGTCCACGATCCACTTCGAACTCCAATAGACAAGCTCGGAACATCTGGCGATACCAGACATGAGCGGTCAGCGAGAAGTGTTCACGTTTTTTCTGGCCGAGAGCACGACTGACTTGAGCACCACCGTATTGCCTGTAAATAAAGCGGCGAGGATAGGGGACAATGCATTGTGGATAGGGTAATTCCTGTTACGCCGGTATCGTTAGCGAAGATGCGAAATCGAGATCATAGACAGCGCGACGTACCAGGAAACAATGGCACAGACGACCCCAAGTGGTTCGTAGAAAACCTACAGACATGTATGATAACGCGTCAGCCTTAAACGTAGCACGATCGGTCCCCGGGATTTCCTGCTCACCTTCGACCGTTTGTGTGCTAGCAACAAATTTCCTGGCCGAGACTCAGGTATAATAGCCGCCTCACCATACGCCAGCAGATAGTCGATCTTTGATAAGACGGTCAGGATTTCACCGAAAGCCCCATCAACCTCTAGTGTGCAGGAGCGCGCAACATGTCAGTCTCGACCGCGAGTCCGGTTCAGCTCGGTCTGTAGCTCTCATACCTGTCTTTCCCGTGTCTCTAGCTCCAACTCTGTCCAGGCCGCTCGCGATCTTGTCAGTAGCGAGCACAAGGAATATACGGGTATCAAGGTGTAGCTTACCGGACGATATCCCTGAGGTTGGCCATCATCCACTTCTTGAAGGTTCTCAGGAGTCGCCTTCTTTCCACGAACGTAGTATGCCGCTGAGCCGGGAAAGCTCGGTGCGCCTGCTCTATCAGTTTCTTGAGTTGATGCTTAGATGGAACAGGCAAGGTGTCTATGTGATACTGTTATATAAGCTAGGACAATTAGCTCCCTGGTGATCGAGAGGTCAGGTTGCGCAGAACTCACGCCGGTCGAGGGATCGTATGCGGTGATGTACTTGGTATCCTTGTCGTGCAACCCATGCCCAGCGGGAAGAAGAGTTGGATCCTGCAAATGCGATTGTATTGAAGGGTTTTCGACGATCCTTGATGTCCATGATGTAAGAGTGGACTGTTTCCCCGCCGAGCGCAACCCATCAACGTCGAACTGATCGATTTCTTCATGACTGTCAACTTACAACAGGAATCGCAACATGCACATCGGGAGTCTGCCGTTCCGATATATAGCCGTCCACCCAACTGATCAAGGTAGGAACCCAGGTAGCCACGTAGAAACTGAAAATCCCCACGATTAGATCCAGCGTGGTCTCGAGGTAGATATTATCCTTGATAGGCTCCAACCGCAGACACCACGGCTTCCGGTCTTTGTACCGAGCTATGACGTCTAGAGACCACATCTTGACGGAGATCTCGAAGCGTGAGGTACCTCTTTATTATGACCTGACAGACACAGAGCTAGTCCCCTCAAGTATAGCTAGTAGCTAGTAGACAGTACATATCTATATCATCGTTGAGTGATGAGTAAACCTGTTCATTTCAGCACATCCTCGACTTTGTGGTCGCTCGAGTTTCGGAAGCGATTTTGCTTCCGAGAACAACGGTCGGTGTCCCGAGGAAACACAGGGGGGAAGGGGGGGTCGAACTCGCGTCCGATTTTGGCCCGATATCGCGTTTGTAAATATCGGGCCAATATTCGACCTCACTTCGGGGGTCCGCGTGGGGGGCATCTATCGGACGAGTATCGGTCCGCGCTTTCTTTTGGCCTATTTTACTCCCGCGCTTAGCGCGAGCGACGATCACCGAGGGTCCGATTTCACAATATATATAGGTCGTCGACTACGATTTCGATACAATACTCTACTACTATACTTTCCCCTCTAGTCCCCCATCGCTCGCCTCCAGTTTCGACTCACCTAACAACAGCCTTCTATCGGCCTTCAAGTATCCCTGTAACGACCCCGATACGACCTCTCTACGACCCACACCTTACGACCTTCTCGGACTTCTTACTTCTTGCTTCTCGGTTCTTTCCTGTCCGACATGTCTTCGGTATGTGCCTCGTATCGTCTCTATATCACGCCAATTATCAGCTTGATCTGATCTCAATCCGCCGCTGCTTACACACAGCCCCCATCATCATCCCCGCTATCGCCGGCTCAAAGTAAGCACAGTCATCGAATATCTTGTCGTTTCCATGCCCATTACTTGCCAGTTACTCATCATCTTTATCCCTCCCATTCAGTCCTTCAAAGACAGGGTGCAAGCCCTACTACGCCCACGCCATCCGGTTCACGAGCGGGCGACGGTACCGTCAGTGAGTATCGAGCTTCCAACTAGCATCTATCCCGCCCCATTTTGCTCACATACACGTCGGTTTCCTCCCCTATATCAGACCCCAACAACCTCCATCTCCGTTCGTCGCCTAGGACGGAAGGGAACGGGACAGATGGGATCGATCCTAACCTCGACCGTCCAGTTGACGGCCTTGACGATGTAAGTCACGTCTATCGGTCCGATATCCACCTCACAGCGGGTCTGATATGTCTCCTTCGTGTTTCCGTGTTCCCGCTTGCAGATGTTGAGAGGTGCACTCGATGTCAACGAAGTAGGTCACCAAGAACGCTCTGGTATCTGGCAGATAGGGTTCTGATATCAGCCTTTTATATCACTAGAGTCGCAAGCGAAAACGGGAAGGGCTTGGCCTACTCGAAGATGAACGCCCTCCGAAACTTGTGAGTGCTACCGAAAATCTTACTTTTATCTGACTTCTAACTCACCTTCAACTGGTCCGATAATGCCTTTCGATAGCCTCGGATCACCAAAGTAAGCCGTCACCTTACCGCTTCCAATCATCCCGATATCCGTCCACTGACTGCCCAATATTATCCCAATATTCATAGGATCTTGGAGACTCGCTTACTCCCGGTGTCGAAGATATTCAACCCCGAAATATGTTCAAGCACATCGAAGAGTTAGTGAGCCGACTACAGGCCCGATTGGAGGAGGTTAGCCGCCTCCGGACCCAGTTTGTCGCCCCGTCCTCCGCCAAAACGATCAAGGAGATGCAGGTCCTGCTCGACAGACAGGCCCCCTATCTGGATGAAATCGAGGCTGTATTGGGGGAGATTCTGGTCGGATTAGCGCCGATCTTAACCGTGGCCGACGTCGCCAACACCGCTCGCAAGAACTGCAACCACGCCCTCAAACACCTTCAGGCATTGGAGGCCGAACGGGAGATCATGAGGAAGGAGATATCGGCCGTCAAAGAGACCGCCAACTCCGCCAAAGACACCGCCAGTACGGCACTTATCGGGCGAGGAAAGACCCTGACTTTGGCCAAATTGATGGACGAAATCAAGAAGAACCCCGACCTCCAGCTTGCCATTGCTTCCTGCAGCAACGGTAACAGGAACCAACAGGCTCCTAACACCCCTGTAGCGAGCGGTTCGGGGACCTCCAACTTGCCCGCCACTCCGACAGGAACGGTCGTGATCCCTTCGACTCCGACGAAAGAGGGGCGTGCGACTGACGTAAAGGCTTTGCAGGTCAGTCTGATATCGAGCTGATATTCAACATGCATTAGGCCAGCGGACTAACCAATACTTGTCCGATACTCGACAGGCATGGGCTCACTACTACGTGAAGAAGGCCATCGGGATGAATTGTCGATACGGCTTGGCGAAGACGTCGAAGGTCGGATATCTCCCCGAAGGCCAGTGGCCTCAACCCCTTGAAAACGGCGAAAAAATGCTCGAAATCGAGCTCGGCAATGGCGAGAAAGAGCTCGTGTGGAGACCGGACTGGAAGAAGACGAAGGAGCCAGAGTCAGTTGCCTGATATCTTCCAAACATCGAGGACATATCCGGCCTTTATTGACCTTACGTTCGACAGGTGGGAGCCGTTTATCGTTCAGGTATCGAACCAGATCCGCAACACCTGGAACCCCAGAAAGGACGGCGAGATCCCCCTCGAATGCGATATTCAAGCGACTATCACCCAGTATACGGTCAAGCGTGAGGCCCACCAAGAGCAGAGTATCATGAACGGCGGCCCTCCCCTGTACGCCTGGCAGAATCGAAGGAAGACCCAATCGGTAAGCGATATCCCATCGATAATCGCCAGTTAGTAGGCCGAAATGTGCTCACTAATGGCTGATTATTGGACCTTCCCACATCCAGATTCTCAAAGATCGGGCTGCAAACTTCCTGAAATCGGCCCCCGGTCTGGCCAACAAATACAAGGTATTCGAGCGATTGACGGTCGATACCCTATTTGCGCCGACACTCTGGCCGGTCGATGACCCCTTCAACCGTCTGTGTTCGGTCCTGGAACAAACTGGCCCCAATGAGCCTGATATCGAGACCTCCGGGTGGTACATCTTCCGCCGATACGTTCACAATGGAGCCAACGACGAGGTGATCCAAAACGCGGTCGAAGTCACGTACCCGTATTGGCTCTCTGACGAGGTGAGTTCCAGCAGATATTGGACTGTTAACTGGCTTACTGATGGTCGGATATCTAGGCTATTGAGGTTTCCGCTTACCTTGACGAGCTCGCCGCCGACGCCAACGCACATCAGATGATGTACCAAAGGAGGTGGCTAGCCCCCAGGCGCTATTGGCCTCGTATCGTACCAAAAATCAAGGATCTTCGGGCCCCCTTGGAGACCGATCGATCCCGACCTGACCCCAACCCCGAACTCAAGGGTGCCATCGTTTATCGGTCGATGATTCATCCGCAGGTTCGGGCTGATTGGGAGGCAAATTCGCCGGAAATCTGGGCTCTAACCTACCCGGATCCCCCTGCTGAGACGCCCGCCGGTGTTATCGAGAAGACGTGGCAGCAGCTCACCGTTGGGGATGAAGCGGCCAATTCGGTGAAGTCGATCTTCAACAAATCGGCTCGAATGCGGACCTGTCCGAAGGCCGATATCACCTCGATCGAAGGGCTCCGTACTCTTGCTATCCAGTATGCCACTGCTGATCAACAGGTCCAGCCGGGTTTCGAGCAGCCGGGCGGTGTACAATTGGGCGCCTAATCGGGCATAATCGGGTGGGTTGTTGGGTCGATTTCCGATGGTTGATGGTTCACTCGATAGGTGTTATAGCGACACGCGCGTACGCCGGACTCGAGTCGTACCAACTCCGGCGGAGTTGTTCAAGGAGCATATCGTATTGTATCACTTTGTATCAGCATTGTAGTATATAGTCTTTCATCTGTTATTACATCTATATACCCTAGTCCTTCGTTCTACATTACTCCCGGATATGTCCTCGCAGGTATACATCGAGCCGGTCTTCCCTGGAGCCTTCTCGACGCCTAACAGAATAACAGATCATCCGAGTTCCCCGAGTAATGACTTGAACGTAGCAACTGGAGAACCGTTGGTGCTGAGCAGCATAGGTTCTCCCTCTCGGCCGGAGGCTCATATTACGGTCACCGGCACCTTCTACCCGAATGGTACTCCGACGGAGACGGTCTTGATGATCGACTCAGGAGCGACCAGTTTGTTTATAGACACCGAATTCGCCGAGCAACACGGATTCGACCTCATTCCTTTAGAACGACCCCGACCACTCCTGGTCATTGATGGGAGAGAGATCTCTTCCGGTGCAGTTACACACCGGGTACAAGCTAGACTACGTATCGGTAGACATACCGAAACGGCGTACTTCTACGTATGTAGCCTCGGAACTTTCACAACGGTGCTCGGCCTACCATGGTTGAAGGAGCACAACCCCCGAATTGACTGGGAAATGAGCGCAGTAGCGTTCGAAGATAAGTGCGTCCAGAACGGATGTACACCAGCAAAAGAAATAGTATACTCCCCCGTGGATTACGAAACGGAGGAGAAGGAGTTACGTTCAACGGACCGAATCAAAGGAGGGGTCACCGAAGAACTAGTAGTGGCCTACCTCAAGGCCAATGATGAAGAAGAAGAGAGGGTGAGGCGTCCCGACTTATGGGATTGGGACGACAAGCCAGCGGAGAGTTTCCCGGGAGACCTGGACCCTCCCGAATATATGGAGACGTTACGGAAGGTGGTACCGGAGAAGTACCACGCTTTCCTCGGAGCGTTCTCCAAGACCAAGGCCGACGAGTTGCCGGCACATAGAGACTTCGATCACTCGATCGACGTAGAGGAAGGGAAAGTACCCCCCTTCGGAAAACTCTACAACCACTCCGAAAAGGAGAGCGCCGAATTGAAGCGCTGGATCAAGGAGAACCTTGATAAAGGTTTTATTAGGGCTTCGACGTCACCCGCCGCAAGCCCCGTATTGTTTGTCCCGAAGAAGGGAGGAGAGCTCAGGCTCTGTATTGACTACCGGCGTTTGAACGCCATTACCACAGAGGATCGGACTCCATTACCGCTGATTTCCGAAACGCTCGACAAGTTAACGACAGTGAAGATCTATACCAAGTTGGACCTCCGGGGAGCGTACAACTTGTTACGAGTAAAGGAAGGGGACGAATGGAAGACAGCTTTCCGTACTAGATACGGACTGTTCGAGTGTCTGGTGATGCCGTTCGGATTGACGAACGCTCCGGCGACGTTCCAAAGGTGGATGAACCATGTGTTCAGGGACCTTCTGGACGAGTCCGTCGTAGTGTACCTGGACGACATCCTCGTGTTCTCTCCCGACGAGACTGCGCACGAGAGACACGTGAAGGAGGTGTTGCGAAGGCTACAAGAAAATGGGCTGTACGCCAAAGCAGAGAAGTGTGAGTTCCACACAACAGACACGGAGTTCCTTGGATACGACGTGTCCCCGGGAGGGGTGAAGATGAACCCCTCCAAGGTGTCGTCCATAGAACAATGGGCGGCGCCTCGAAACCTGAAGGGACTACAGTCGTTCCTGGGTTTCGCCAACTACTATCGGAGGTTCATCACGAACTACTCCCAGAAGATACAGGGGATGACGAAGCTCCTGAAGAAAGGAGTGCGGTTTCAATGGAACGAATCCGCAGAGACTGCGTTCGTAACGCTGAAGAAGGCGTTCACGCAGGCGCCTATACTGGCGCATTTCCAGGAAGATGCAGAGGTAACGTTGGAAACGGATGCCTCGGCCGGAGCGATTGGAGCAGTGATGTCGCAGAGAGGTTCGGACGGAAAACTCCGACCAGTAGCGTTCATGTCGAAGTCGTTAACTCCCGCAGAGCGGAACTACGACGTCCACGACAGAGAGATGCTGGCCATCGTCTACGCCTGCAAGATATGGCGACACTACCTGGAGGGACCTCACCCTATTCGGATCTTTACCGATCACAAGAACCTCGAGTACTTCCGAACGGAGAAGCTACTGTCGAGGCGACAAGCAAGATGGTCTCAGCTGTTGAACAGTCTGAGCTACACCCTGGAGTACAAGCCGGGGGTGATGAACGGCAAGGCCGACGCCTTGAGTCGGAAGGAGGAGCTCCTAGAAGAGAGCGAACCAAGACAGACCGAGACGATGCTACGGCCCATGAATCTCTCGGCTACAGCGCGGGAGATTCCTCCGCATCTACAGATCAACGGTACCCTGCCAATTCCCGGCGAGGACCTCCGGAGAGACCTGTTGCAAGGTTACGAAGCGGACGAAGTAGTCAAGGCCATCTTGGAGAAGATGGAGAGGGAGCCCAACGAGCAGGGTCCCTACAAGAAGGATGGCGAGGGGTTCCTAATCTACAAGGGACTCCTGTACGTCCCTGATGTGGAGTCGGTAAGGGTCCGACTGATGAAGTACGTTCACGACGGCAAGCTCGCGGGGCACTACGGGCGAGACAAAACGGAGGACCTCCTCTCGAGAGACTTTTATTGGCCCCGAATGAGAGATTGGGTAGGCAACTACGTGGCCTCGTGCTTGACGTGCCAGAAGAACCGCCGTCCCCGACAAAAGCCGATCGGAGAATTGGCCCCTTTACCTGCGGCGAGGAAGCCGTGGTCGTCTATCACTTGGGACCACATCACGGACCTCCCCGAGTCATTGGGCCAGGATGCAATCCTGGTAATCGTCGACCGCTTCAGTAAGCGGGCACACTTCATCCCGTGTCGAAAGGATAACAACGCCTCGTACCTGGCGAAGTTATTCTTCTCCCATTACGTCAAGTTGCACGGGTTCCCTGATCAGATTATCTCGGACAGAGGAACATTGTTCATGTCTAGCTTCTGGCGGGATGTATGTGCTTTTGCGGGTGTCGAGAGGAGATTCTCGACGGCATACCACCCGGAGACTGACGGACAAACGGAGAGGAGCAACTCGACGTTGGAACAGTACCTGCGGAGTTACGTGAACTTCCAGCAAGACGACTGGGCGGAGTTGTTGCCTCTGGCGGAGTTCGCCTACAACAACTCCAAGCATTCCGCCATAGGGATGTCGCCTTTCATGGCCTCCGAGGGGACTGACCACAAGTTCACCATCCGGATGGCCGAAGTACCCAATGAAAGCGCGGATGAGTTCAGGGAGCGACTCTCGAACATCCACGAATCAGTAATCCGGGCGTTGGAGCAAGCAAGGATGGATATGGCGAAATACGCCAACAGAAAGAGGCGACCCGTTCCCGACGAGGGAATGGAGGTCGGGGATCAAGTGATGTTGTCTACGGACCACATCAAGACGGTTCGTCCCAACAAGAAGTTGGACTACAAGACCCTCGGACCTTTCAAGATCACCGAGGTCGTGGGAGATGCGAAGATGGCGCGAAGGTTGGAGCTTCCCGAGCAACTGCGGCGGGTACACCCCGTGTTCCATGTCTCGATGCTGATTCCGTACAAGCGGAACGAGCTACCCTCGCGGGAACAGGTCCCGCCTCCTCCTCCAGAGGTGGTGGATAACGGTGATACCCAGTGGGTAGTATCTGAGATCGTAGATTCGCGGAGCAGGAAGCGGGGACGTCAGACGCGTACCCAATATCTGGTGCGGTGGGAAGGTTACGAGGATGAGTATAACGAGTGGGTACATCCGGAGGACTTCCACCATGACGACCAAGCGGTGCTGGATTATCATCGACGATACCCAAACAAGCCGAAACCTGCTTTCGAGGAGTACGGCGATGCCTAGGGCGTTCGGAGCTCGCCCGTAACGGGGGGATCCTGTTATAGCGACACGCGCGTACGCCGGACTCGAGTCGTACCAACTCCGGCGGAGTTGTTCAAGGAGCATATCGTATTGTATCACTTTGTATCAGCATTGTAGTATATAGTCTTTCATCTGTTATTACATCTATATACCCTAGTCCTTCGTTCTACATTACTCCCGGATATGTCCTCGCAGGTATACATCGAGCCGGTCTTCCCTGGAGCCTTCTCGACGCCTAACAATAGGGATCGAGGTTATGCGAGGACTTAGAAAAAAAAAAGAAGAGAAAAAGAAAAAAAAAACAGCAACTATCGCAACAGCATCGGTCCCAACATCAGGGCGATTTCAATAGAAAATGTTTCATAGATCCGACCGGGCGAGCGAGGGGTTTCGTATGCGTGAATGTTGTAATATCCCTCCGGCCAATATCATACCTTTTTTGACACAATATGTGCCCAATATCAGTCCACCGATTGCGTTGACTTCTGCGAACGTGAACGCGACTCTTACACTCACCGCTATACTCGATTGCATGACATCGCTGACCAAATCGGTTGGCTGTCTATCTGACTACTATCGGCCGGAATTTCAATAAGACTGACGGGCCTTAATCCTTCGAAGAACAATGGAGATGTCACAAATGCAGTAAGGTTGTCGAATGACCGAGATTCAAACAGATGGGCGTCCAAAAACTGACTGTAATCCACAGATTAAAAGACCGGCTGTTAGCCACATATTTGAACGACTGGAGCCACATATTTGGTCGACTTAGGCTTACTGTTGGTACACTGGATATGGGTAAGCAACACCCTCGTCTACAAAGTGTGTTGCAGCCTTGCGTCCGATTACCATCAACAAGTCCGTGGCAATGGGGTTCGCGGGCAACAATCTGACACGATAGATGCCAGCCACGAGCCACATGCCTGCCCATTGTGGTACTGCATTGAACAAATCGTTTGCACTCCTCTGCATGTATAATGTGTCCTTGTAGTGCGACATATGGCAGGTCCGATAGTTCCCCGATATGCGGTCGTTCCAGCCGCGAAAAACTTTCCCTGCACCTTCAAGCGTCTTGTATTTGGTGCCCATTTGCAGGATGGTGATCGCCCCAGATACCAGACCGGCATTGGCCCCATTTCCCTCAATTACCCACCGATGTTCAGGGTACCGATCCTCAAGCGCTTGTCGAATGGCCTTCAGTGTGCCTGGTGGGACCTCTGCTGTGGTCGGATGTTTGCCCTCCATGTGAGTGTTAACTGGCACGATATCGTCCCCATTGAGTGCCGCCGTCATCTGTTGACGATCAGCCTCCATGTGTTCAAGAAACCGGGTAGCGACTGTTCCATTTGCCTGATCACGTCGGATGAATTGTCGATGGATATCCATCAATTTCTGGGCCGCCTGTCGCTCGATATCTGTCCCAGCCTGATCGAACAGTAACCCTTGCTGCAGACTGGCACAAGCGGCCTTATATCGGGCAGTTAACAGGGTGATTTCGATCTGTTTTCCGTTGGTATTGACGGCTTTCAACAACTTGCCCAGCCGTTCCCCCCCAAAGACCCACGTGGATGGCAGGGGTCCGAACTGCAAGATATCCTCCCACAAGTGGACGACTTGATGCCAGTTAGGAGTCCGCCGAATAGAGGGATGTAGGCGGATTATAGCGGCTTGCCATCGCGTTATTACAGTGGCAAGACAGTCGACCTGTTTCCGACTGATAACTGGCCTCAAGGCCAGGATGTTTAGCTCCGATAGTAGTAGGCAACACTCCAGTTCTGCGGCATCTAGAATGTCGTCTCGAGACATTTGGTGCATCGATGAGGGGGAGAACTTCCGCCATATAACAGGCATGATAAGGGGGACATATACCTCTGTGAATGTACGCCACTGTGCTGAAGTTTTCGAGCCACTGTGAGGATCTAAGAAGTGGTCGGGAATGGTGTGGTAGATGCCTGTCGGCACAACAACCTTCAGATGTCGAACAGTTAGACAGGCATTGTCGGGCAGGATATCAAGCGCTTACCTGTGGAATATATTTCTTGATAGCGACCAGAACTCTTGGGGAGAAGACAGGCTGGAGCTTGTCGACCCCTCGACGTTCGCGTTGTGTACCTATATTGGGCGCGATAACACCCACATGGGCGCTGGATGTTGCTTGTTGTGATGCGCGATACGTGATTTCCTGGCGAATAACAGCCAACGCATCCGCCTGGGATCGGGTCTCATCCTCGTTGGTTGGTTGTCCGTCATCCTCAGGATAGTCACTGTCGCGATCTTCCTCATCCTCTTCGATTATCGTGCCCAATGTAGGGCCGAAATCTTTACGATAAATGCCCTGACATAAGCACTTCTTGAGGTACGTTTTGTTATTCCCTTGTAGCAGGTTGTGCATTGCGTCAAAAATGGTTGCAGCAAATTTGTCGAAATAAGGCAGCAACATGAAGGCTGAAAGCTGCCCAATAACCTTCGAATAATCGGCATTGCGCAGGGCCGCTCGCTCCATCGCAGGAGTGAAGATCTTTGCCCGATAGGGGGCCGGTTTAGGTCCTCTGGTGTCCCGATTGGCATATTCCCAAGCTTGCCGTCTGCGCTCAACTTCCGAATGCAATACATCTTGCAATCGATCGTGCTGCCATCGGGCCTCTCGTATGGTTCTTTCGGTCCCGCTATGCTGCTGCAAAATGGCCGAAGTGTGCTCGAACGAAGAGCGAAGTGCAAAAGCTGGAAAGCATAGACAACCGGTTATGAGTGCCATTCAGGGTGTTTGTAAGGCAGACATAAGGGCGATATACCATGGGTGTATATCACCTGGTCGCGGGTAGCTTTGCAGCGCGAGCACATCTCGTTCTTGTTCATCTGAGCGGGGGCACCTATCGTGGAGGTAGCGGCCGGTCTATCGGCACAAATGGCGGCCAATACCAGGCGGCATAGCCGGCCGTTAGGGGACCCCGGAGTCCTTATTAAAATGGGTTCTTGCCACGCCTGTCTGAACTCCATTGCGAGAGCCAAAAGGAACTTGTAAAGATTGACCTGTCGGGGTTCTCTTGGGCCTATCGGAGGGCATTAATGGTAAATTAGAAGTCTGTTGGTGGGCAGATATCAGGGTGCTAACCGGGGAGTATTCCGACAAGGCATATCATGTTCTGTACAGACCTCATACCCTGCGGAAGATTGATCGCCTGAAGGGAGATATGTCCTATCGAGTTGGCCGATGTTGCCATGTTAGAGTTCAGATTAACCCAGTCAATAAAAAGGTTAAAGAAGATAGTCGGCACTTCTTCGTCCGATACTAGAGGGATACCAGTCGGCCCAACAATAGTATCGATGTGTGCCCCATCATATTGGTCACGATATATCTTCTGGCCGGGGAATCGGGCGTCGTCCAATTGGGCCCATAGACGCCTTCTATCTTGCCAGTTAAATGCAAGTTCTTCGACTTTTGGATGAGCTAGAAGTCTTTCAACCTCATATTTCAGTGGTATCCGCGCAAAATCTAGGGGAACGCGACCAGTAATCGGATCAAAGTCCTGGCCACATTCAGGGCAGTTTTTGGGGAGATTGGTGGGTAAGTTGTTGGAGGGTGCTGAGGTGAACGACATCGTGGTCGAGGAAACTGCATACATCACATGTTGACAGTCGTGATTGGGGCAGACGGGATGCGTGATAACAGGGGCATTGATGCCCATTCTTCGACGGACCGTCTTCATTGTTGTAGCCGGGCGGGGGCCTAATAGTGGCTGATAATCGGGCCCGTCATTTGCCTGTGCTCGTGCCGATTCGTCTATCATCTCTGCCAACCCTTGCATGGATTTAAGGGTGAATTCGACGGTGTCGCGGGGCACTCCACTAGCTTCAAGATGAATGCAGTGGGTGTAAATCACTCTTTCCGTGAAAGTGATCTCATGGGCTGAATAGCTGTCGGTTATGTGGGATAATAATTGCTCGTTGGTAGCCGGATAGCTGAGTGTTGTTGGTATGGGAAACGGCCACTCTCCCATGAAATCGTGTAAATACACGCCTGGCTGCTCTCTAGACGTAATGTTGCTGCTGCGGGTCCGAATATCAGGCAGATCGGGGGCCAAAAATGGACCAGGGGTAGGTGACATACCAGGTGTCGGAGATCGAGCTGGCGTGGAGCGACGATCGGGCTGTCGGTGATCTTGTATCAGGTCAGAGATCATCTCACTATCTGACATCAGATCAAAATCAACACCCGGCGGACTCGATGTGGGGGATACGGGCGGCCTATGGATCGGAGAGTTATTGACCGGTTCGCGGGCGGTTGACGGGGAGGCTACAGGTCCTGATAACGGCTCGATTGCCAGCCGTTGTTGGGCTCTTTCCCGTGCCATATGCTGAATATATGTCTTGCCCAGAACCAATCGCCCAGTTCGCCCACAGGTACGACATCGACAGATACCGGACTTGGTCTTTGGCTACAAGGGCCTCAATATTAGTCCATCATTTACCAGAGGTTGCCCAGATACACTCACGACACTGGCCTGTAGAAGGGCTGGACTGAGTAAAGCAGGGGGGTAGGGAGCGGAAAAGTCGAGGGGCATAGGAGCAATGTTTGATGGCAAGGGGGTAGTTTGATGTCTGATAATTGGCAGATTGATGGGGTTCTGGGGTAGAAGGTGAGGCTTTTGATCGCTTGCGTGTGGAATGAAGGACTTAGCGAGAATCGAGAGTCGATCAGGCCCCACTAGAGGATAGATAATAGGGCGAAGAGTCTAAGCAAAACTATCGGGCAAATATCCAACCCCCCCGCGCGAAATATCGACCCCCTCTCCCCCCTGTGAAAGCTCGAGCTTGGAATTCGATCATCTGTCACTTCTTCCTTACTGTACCTGTTATCACCTTTTCAATCCCTCTCCACCCTTTCTCGCAGAAATACTCTGCTATCTTTCATCATGTCTGCAGTCGTTTCGAAGAAGTTGAAGTTCAAGGGCGGTAAGCGCAAGGCGGATTGAGCTGCAAGTCCGGAAGCGTCGACTGACAAACTGCGTTCGTCATTTTATCAGAGAAACCCAAGAAGAAGAAGAGATCTCATAAGGAGGTGGATGAGGGCGGAGTTGAGGAGTCTTCAGGAGATCCCAACGGTAGGCTTCTTTCCTCGGTCATCGGTCTTTAAGCTCGATCGAAGCTCAATTGAAGCTGACAAAACGGGGACCGTAGGCTGGATCTTTCCTACCGATGCAATGGAGATTACCGGGCCGTCGTACATCTTGTTACCGTCCAATCCGCCAACCTGTCTAGCTGTAAGCGTTCCTCATAGTGCTAAGATGATCGAATCACCTTACTAACTTGGGAAATAGTACGAACCGACTCGGCAACGAGTATTCGCGGCACCGCTCACCCTGCCTGTCGCGCCAGAGGGAGAGGATGAGCTCAGCTTCAACGAGATCATGGAAGTGGTAGAACCGTCAGATATCAACCACGTCTGGGTTATCTCCCGATTATCAGGCTCAGAGGACGTCGTATCCCTTCGAACGAGTTCGTGAGTCTGGCAACTATCGTTCGCATCTATACTATACACTTTGAGATATGGACTGAACGTTTCTGAACATCGATAGCGGTACCTTCTTGACGGCCGCATCATCGGGTGTCCTTTCGGCTTCGACACCATCCCGAGGACCTCTAGAAGCATTCGTACCCACCTTGACGGTCGGTTCATCGATCCACCCTACGCTATCCCTCAAGACATCCTCAGACAAATACCTCTCGATCTCTATCAATGCCGAGAAACTCACTCTGGGCAAACCCCAGATCGAGCTCCGAGCGGACGCAGACGAGGTCGGGCAGATGGAAGGTCTGCGGATCAAGTGTCAGCGGGATTTCGTCAACAAGGCGAGGGCGGAGTTGGCGGGCGGTCCCAAGGGCAAGAAGCGGAATACCGAGTCGGGGCGAACGATCGATATCGAGGGTACGCTCGAGGATGAGAGGGAGAGAAAGTACGTCCGCCATGATGCAAAATAGTTGGATCAGAATCAGAAGCGCTGAGTTGGATCTACGACATGATAGCGCCAAGTTCCAGGCATGGAATCTAGGCAAATCTGTGGTATCTGACGCGGATCGACATGACGTCAAGAAGGCGAAGAAAGAGGGCAGGTTAGCAGAGGCCATGTTGGACAGGCGACAGAAGCTGAAACAGTGAGTACAGGCTGGTCGCAATATCAATGAGTGGAATGCTGACGCTATATGTCTGTGGCAAAAACCTGAGTGCAGTGACAAGTATTGTTGATTCGGTAGTATGGGCTACAACAGTGAATGCACCTGTAATTCTGATCTACCGTTACTATCCAGTGATACAGTTATCCTTGAGTTGCAACTGTGCTTTCAGCTGGACCGTCATCTCCAGCCGGAATTGGGCCAGTCTTCACAACGTTTGGCTTGATCTTCTTGGCGCTTGGCGTGACAGAGTTCCGTTTGCTAGCTAATGTCCTTCGCTTCTTGGTCTGCACGGGGAGGACGTTGATGGTTTGAGAGGCTTTGCCGACAGCCAAGTTCTTGATGACCGGATCTGACAAATGAGTACTTGCCTAATTCCGAGATGATGGGAATGAGTCAGCATCGAATGTCGGAGTATGATGAGCAGCAAACTTGCCTTGACGAGATCGTCTGGTAACGGTTCAGGCAGGCGCAACTTCAGGTATCGTCTGGCAGGCACTCTTTTGAGCTATTCAGAGGCACAATAGTCAGCTCGTCGTAGTTTAGCTTTTCCGTGCCTGTCACCAACTCACGAGCTGATTGAAGATTCTCGCTTTGAAACTCTTGTTGGGATCATCGCCCTCGACTCCCAACTCATCCTCAAGCTCGGCCTGCTTAGCGGTAGACTTTCCAGACTTGAACGATTTGTTCTGTAAGATATCCTCTTCCCCATCGCTCCAGCGCTTTTTCTTCTTGCTGTCCCGCTTAGGCCGCTCGGTAGATAGACCTGCCGAGTCGGCCGGTTCCGCCTTGTCCTTAGGTGTGCTCTCCGTTACATTTGTGTTTGCGGGATTAACCTTTCCGTCATCCGTAGCGCCGGGCTCCTGAATGACAATCGTGTCATTGACCTTTCCCTTGTCGTTTTCGGCCGTATTGCACTGATTGTTTGCCAGGCCGGGCTTTTGTATCACGATCATATCGTCATCTTCGTCCTTATCCCCGCTGGGCTTCTGTATCTCGATCGCATCGCCATTCTTCTCCCCCTCTTTCGCGACCTCAGCCGGTACCTGCACCTGTACCTCTTTCTGCTTCTCCGCCGTCTTCTTATTCCGCTCCGCCTCTTTCTCCTTCTCCCTCTCCAACCTCTTCCTCCGCGCTTCCAAGCATACCTCCATCTCCCTCCCCACCACCTTCACTCCCATCCACGTGACCTCGGCCATATCCTCAAACCTGATTGTCAACGGCTCGACTCCACCAGCAGGTATTGTACAGCCCCCGATGGAGTAATCCCGATCTTCTTTGGGCAGCCCTAGGCGGGCATGGGCAGAAGGGTCTTTTCGCCGAGAACGTTTACGGGCGGATTCTGAAGTGGCTTCGTTTTCCGGGAACCATCTGCCCCAGCCTTTCGATGGGAGGAAAGTGGAGAGTAGCATATGACCTCTTCTACCCGGGACGGGGCGGACCGCGGGCGTCGTTGTCGGTGTCCGCGATCCTTGAGAGAGTACAGGTGGAGGTGGAAGCGTTACAGGTAGAATCGAAGGAACTGGAGGTGTCGACTCGGTCGGATGGTACGAGATGTAGGCGAACGGGAAAGGGAGGACAAATTTGACTGCCGGATTCTCGGCAAAGGAGATCAATATCAAAGGATAATCCGGGATCGGTGGGAGAGGTTTCCCGGGAACAGGGCCGGTCTTGCTCGGAGTGTACACCATCGATGGCGATGCGGGTGCCGTCTTGGTCGCAACTGCGGGCATGACGAGCCTTCCAGTACCCACCCCTGGCCTTTTCTTGGCACCGCTCCGGATGTATCCCATGACATCTCCAGCCGCCCTCTCCGCTAATGCCCTGTCCAGAGGTAGATCATACCCCTTGTCCAGGATCTCGACGACCCCACCGAGCTTTTTCAGCTCAGAGTAGGTAGCTTTTTTCGATTCAGCGCGATCGAGGAGGATGGCTAGCCAGGGATGGGCTCGCGCTCGGGCGTTGACTAGGTCGATGAGTTCGCGAGTCTGTGAAAGTCGAGGGAACGTGGTGGTAGTTAGCGAAACAATCAAGTGATCTTGCGATAAATAGTGAATGAAGGGAGATGAGGAGAACGTATACTCACGATAGCAGGTGGTGGAGCGATCGGACCGTGAGGACCCATAGTAGTCTGTCCGGGTGGTCTAGGCTTCTGGTCTGAAGCTGGGACTTGAGATGGTGGTCCCGGTGCTCCCGAAGTCGACCTTGGAGGACCTGCTGATGCGACAGGTCTCACCTTTTCCAGAAGTCAATGGGTCAGCGACAGGTCACTCTCAGGACTGAAATCCGGCTGATCGACCCACAGGCATGGGCGAAGATGATTCCGTTGTTGTAGTTCTCACCAGCGTCGAAGGAGATGATCCCACTGCTGACGGTCTCACAGGCGTCGAAGAAGATCCTACCGTCAAAGGTTTCACAGGTGTCGACGGAGACGATCCTGTTGCAAGGGGTCGCGGCAGAGACCGAGCAGGAGGGGGAGGAAGAGTTGTCTGTGGTACCTCCCATCTACATTCCCAGAGGTTGACCTGGTCTATCGTGATCGGCCCTAATGCCAACCGACAGGTGCCCAACAATCTCAACCGATGAGGAGGAAGGGGGTCTTCTTCTGCTTCCTGGACGGGATCTGGTTGTGGCGTAGGGGCAGATGCCGAGGCTTCGGTGGTATTACTTTCGGTCTTGTTCTTAGTCCTCTGTTTGGGACCTGGTTTCGTTTTAGGGACAGGAGATGTGAAGATGGGGAAGAGCTTGTTGAGGTGGTGTTGACGGGTCTGACGGAGAGCTTGTAAGGCAACTAGACTGATGATGACAACGGGTCATGATTCTCTCTTAGATCTCTTACATCGAAGCCTGCTGTTTTGTCACACCTACTAACCTCTTCTTCAAATCCAGCAACGGTGTACCATCATTCTCGTCGACATCCATACCATCAGCTTGAGCACATTCGTAATCTAAGGAAACATCCTGCGGTACGTTTGATGTCGGAAGGTTGACAGCCTGGTCGCGCCGGTTCGTCAGCGGCGGCGGTTTCGATTGCTTGGACATGGCCAGACTGTTCCACGCCAAGCGAGTCAGTCCTGTGGTTGGCGTTGTTGACTCGAAAGAAAGGAAGAGGACTGTTGAACACTTATATGGGACCAACATCTAACTGCTGTATCGCTCGATTAAATGATCACGTGACTCGAGAGTTGACCCCGAGTCATTCTCGACCTCAAAGGTAGCTATATAGCTATACCTTTGCTGATCAAGAGTTATTCTTACCTTGACAGTTCAATTCTTCACTGCTAAAACCGACCTGCATCTCTTACGGATAATCGTTGGGAAAAGAACCTCAAACATGGCAGAATCGATTCAACAAGCCGTCTCGGACCTGTCCACCAAGGTCGCAGAGACCCTGGGCGTATCCGGTCAACAGACCGGTCAGGAAAAGACTCGAGGTGGTGTAGAGACCGCTGCTCAAGGAGGTGAGCTTGGGTGCCTTTCAACATCGAAGTCTATATATCCGATCACGTTGATGATCCAAAATTTCCAACTTACATTCAGAGCCCATCTACGTCGATGAAAAGGCCGGTTCTGATGGGCCCGAAGCTCAGGGGACCAGCACCACGCCCTTCCTTACCATTCTGCACGCCATGCTCACCTCCTTCCCTTCCCCTACCGCCGCTCAGGATCGACCCATCCTGGTCCGTAAACCCGACTCGCCCGAGGTCAACGACTGGCAACCCATCAGCGGAGCCGCATTGAAGAAGAACAAGAAGTTTGTCGACGCTCACTGGAAAAAGGTGAAAAAGGCCGAGGAGAACAAGGAGGCTACGGAAAAGGCTGAAAGGGAAAGGGAAGAGCGGGATGCAAAGAGACGAGAGGAGGCTGCCAAGATCATCTTGAAGGAGGATACCAGCTTGCCTGCTGCTCCCAAGGTGAGTCTAAAGACTGGGTTTAGAGATTCGAAAACGCCGTTTTCTGATCAGTCGGTCCTTTGCATGCGATTCCCGTGCTTCACCCTTACCACACTTATAGGTCAAGATCGGACACCTCGCCGAGTACCGTGACAAGCGTGTCCGAGTCTTCGGTTGGGTCCACCGTCTCCGTCAACAAGCGCAGATGACTTTCATCACCCTTCGAGATGGTACCGGTTACCTCCAGCTCGTCCTCTCCGGCGACCTTCACAAGACCCTCGACGCTCTCGACCTCGTCACCGAGTGCACCATCGAGGTGACTGGTGAACTCAAGGCCGTTCCTGAGGGCAAGACCGCTCCGGGCGGACACGAGCTCGCCGCCGATTGGTGGAAGATGATCGGACGAGCTCCTTCCGGGACGGACTCCTACGCCTCTCTGTTCAACGAGCACGCCGATCCTTCTGTCCGTCAACGACTTCGACACTTGGACCTCCGTGCCGAGACTCCGGCTGCTATCATGAGGGTCCGAGCGGCGCTTTTGAACGCCTTTAGGAGGTTTTACGCCAACGAGACAGTACTCGAGGTCACCCCGCCCTGTATCGTCCAGACGTCGGTCGAGGGAGGGTCGACGTTGTTCAAGTTCGACTATTACGGTTCAGAGGCATACTTGACCCAGAGCAGTCAGTTGTTTTTGGAGACGTGTTTGCCCAGCTTGGGAGACGTCTTTTGCGTGCAAGAGAGTTTCAGGGCCGAGAACAGTCATACCCGACGGTGAGCACCGTGTCCGATTGAGTCTAGTGATATCGCAATCTAGAACGGCGGAAAAGCTGACAACCATGTCTTTGCGCGCCTTCTTCTGCAGACACTTGGCAGAGTACACTCACGTCGAGGCCGAGCTCGCTTTCATCACCTTTGACGACCTCCTCACCCACATCGAGAGCATGATCTGTGATTCCGTCGAATACGTGCTCGCTGACCCGGTCGCCGGAAAGCTCGTCCGAGAGCTCAACCCCAACTTTGTCGCCCCTGCCCGACCTTTCCTCAGGATGGACTACAAAAAGGCCATCGAGTGGCTCAACGAACACGACATCCTCTTCCAGGACGATGACCCAGCCCAACCTCCTCGACCTCACAAGCTCGGGGACGATATCGCTGAAGCCGCCGAGAGGAAGATGACGGACATTTTGAACGTGCCCATGTTCATCACCGGGTTCCCCAGGGAGATGAAGGCGTTCTACATGAAGCGAGTCCCCGAGGACGAGCATTATACCGAGAGTTGCGACTTGTTGATGCCCGGTGTCGGAGAAATTGTCGGAGGGAGCATGAGGATGACCGACTTGAAGCAGTTGTTGGAGGGTTACAAGGAGCACGGAATCGATCCCAGCCCTTACTACTGGTGAGCGCAGGGTTGAGACGAGTTTCGGTAAGGATAGACTGCTGATCGCGGCAACTCGTGATGATCTGCAGGTACAACGATCAGCGAACTTACGGAACCATGGAGCACGGAGGGTGAGTGTCGATCTGGCAGAGCTGTGCAACCTTGTATGCCAAGAGCTGACCCGTTCATCGCTCTCTCGCAGATACGGACTCGGAACCGAACGAATCCTCGCCTGGTTGTTGAACAGGTACACTGTCCGAGAAGTCTCGTTGTACCCTCGTTACCCGGGACATGCTCAGCCTTGAGGTGGCATGGTGACATGTTAGACGCAGAAGGGGTGTGGACATATTAGATTCTCAGATTCCATCGCCACCATCGATATCATAACTAGCCATCGATGGTACAGGACTTCTTGATCGACGGTTCATCGAGACTCGGACTGGGCCAGGTCGTGGATGAAGGCCTGTAGCAATCAAGCTACGAGCTTTCAGTCCATATCCTCTTGAAGAGGCTAAGGTTCCTCGCCGCAAAGCCTGAACAGACGTTCCCTGAACCCGTTCAACATCCTCTTGCGTCCAGGATCTGGATGAGCCGTGCGGTACGGTATCAGTGCTCAGATCTCTACGAGTAGACCGCATCGCTACATCAGCACTCACTGTAAGGTTTGAAGTCCCCATCATGATTGAGTTGCGCTTGAAGCAACATCAAAAGGAAGATGTCGTCACGAGAGCAGTTCTCGATCACCTTGTAAAGTTCGGCTTCTTTCTCGACGGTTTGGGGAGTGGTGAAGCAGGCTTTGGCCGCGATGACCGACTGTCGCTTCAAGTTCTATATCAGTTACTGGTAGACTACGAGTTGTATCAAGCGAGAATACACACCTTGTTCGCGTAGATGTCTCCTTCAAGGCGGAAGGTTCCTACAGCGATCGCGACGTCGTCGAAGTACAGTAGTGTGAGCGTGAGATCGTGTGAGCTTGTGGTAAAGCCTGGGAGGGCGGAGGGTACCTTCAGATGGCGAGAACATGTTGATCGAAACCTTCGAGCAAGAACGTGTATGGCGATGTAAGCTGGAAGCTCGGCAAGTCACCTTCTACGTGACGGCGTTTCAGCTCACCTGCTTGTAATGCTGTAAGTTGTCTGGTAGAGAGGCTAAACGTATCACTTCTGATTTGAACGAAGTTTGTAAAGTGCTTGTAACAAGGAGTAACGACCGTCGAGAAGCTGAGAAGTAGCTTGGAAACAAAATTCGAAGGGGTCCTTTGGCCTTTGTGTGAGCGACATTTGATCGCGGTTGATGAACCAGTGGATCTGCAGATCGCGGATCCGAAAGATCACGTATCACCTCGTTCGCGCTAAGCGACGGTGGTTCTGATCTGCTTCTCGGCGTTCTACTGTGGGTCCAAAATTCAGTGTTTCATATAGACAGGACCTTCCGTTTTTTCCCTCTATAATCCTACTTGATACTGATAGTTTATCAATACTGGACAACCGTTCGTGATCGATTGGTCGAAGTCGAGAACCCAGAATCCTGAGCGGTGGCAGCTGCAAGCTGAGTTTGAATCAAAATGGCATGTCTGGTAGTGACTGATTACAAGGTCACAACCCCACGATAGGATGCATTTTACGGGATGCAACATCATCTATTTGGTCGCATCAATATATTGTCTTAACATCAAGATTCGTCAATCTGTACCGGATTCAACTTCACCCGTCGGATCATCCCTCCACCCCTCCCAACTTAGCCCTCGGCATCGATGAGGGATTTGGCACCGACGACGAGGACGAGTATCGGTATGAGTTGTAATCGTCGAAACGGGCTAGCTTGAACAGGCCTGGATCGTGCTGCACTATAGCTACACGGCGCTTATCATCAAAGATGTGCCCGATAGCGTCGATGGGTTAGCGGAGTCGATCGGGCTTCGTTCGAATGGGACACTGAATTGTTGCTCCATCACTGGTTCAAAATCGGTCGTCCGCGCTGACGATGTTCAGTAATTTCGAGGTACTCGTACTGATCTATGTAGCTGCATATCTCGTCAGTCCTTTCCTTCTGCTGTAATTCGCGCTGTTGTTCTTGTTTGTACCTCGAAATTTGTATGGGCCAACACCGTCCAACGACATTCACCTGCCTTTTCTGCTCATGCTGTCGCAGGCGTATTCCGATGGGATTGAGACTGCTTGGATTTTTGGAGCCCTGGATATGCGATCTGATATTCGAGGCGCTCAGCAAGATCGCACTTTCGTCACATCATGCCACCTGCACCTGTAAATGGCAAGGCCAATATCAAGGCCGAAGTCCTCCAGACCTTGCTCTCCAAGTACTTTCAACTTCAATCTAGTCTTTGAAATCTGGTTCTGAACTTTGCGCTCTTGCAGATATCGTACAGACCCTACTACAAAGAATGCCGCACAGATCAAGGATCTGGTTCAATATCACAAGCGAACACAACAAGAGGCCCGCTGCCACTACCCCTTCACCCTCGCCAAGTCCTTCTTCTCAGCGCTGTACTTGCGGACCTTGGCATCACTACTGCTTGTGGTAGCGTCAACCAAAGGCTCAACCAAAGGCCGGCGTGCTACCTACATCATTGGAGGTGGGGCTATACTATTCTTGCACGTGGGAATTATCGCTATCGGTAACGCAGTAGACCTGAGCATGATGTCTTCAGGGACGATGAGCTCTTGGCAGAATAGAAACTTTGTTGAACTGGAACATGGCTGATGTGATTGAGCTCATGGGGCGACACGTATCATGTGTGGTAAGCACTTCATAGCAATTGACATTGTCTTGATACTGTTCTCAGCCTTTGGCTACTGGGTATATTAACACGATCATCATCTGGCCTATAGGTATATTATTGTGCTGGATGTTTTTTCGCTAGTGTTTCGACGTTCCGCACCTCACGTCGCATCCCCTATGAAACATGGACATGAATTGTAAGGCAGTGATACAGTACTGTATGGTCAGCTCCACGGCGTCAACTTGCGTATGGCAAGGCGAGCGGAAGTTAAAAGCAGGTCAAGGTCAAACGGGAGAGCAGCTGATGCCCTTCCCTAAGATACTCAGGCGATGAAAGAAGGACGGGATATTCACTCGTGTCAGGTTTCATACAATCCCGATCATTGGCAGCGCGATTGCATCCCAGCATATTCTCATCGTGTAGTCAACGATGTCTTGTCTCTATCGTCGTAGAGGGGTTTTGTCGTATTACAATTGTGTACCCGTAATGGGTCCGCGCAGCCAGATTTGGCCATGATTGTCATGTCATTAAGGGGTTCGTAAAAGGTTGGCGAGGAATGTATACCAGGGTTTGCCTATATATTGAGGTGTATCCCTCTCATCTCTTGCTTCTCGTCATTCGTCGGGTACTTTTGGGTGGGTTCGTATCGGTACTTCGGGTAGCCTTGGCAGGCCCCGTAGGTCCGATCGGTTGTGATGGCGGTGGTTGCGTTGGTTGCGTCTTAGGCTTCTTCTTGACATCCTTGCCTGTCCCCGAACTACCGCTCGGCTGAGATTGTTGATGTTGTTGTTGCTGCTCAGGCTGAGGCGGGGAATGTTTCTTCTTCTTCGTTTCCTTCGGCTTCAAGGCCAACTCATCCTCCGAGCCGACAGCCGAATGATGATCGGTCGTGTCGTCCTCATAAGACAACTGTGAAGCTAGCCGAAGATCGCTATTCGAGGTGGATTGTCTGCTCACAGGCGGCATCGGCCTGTCAATTCGGTTGCCAGGCAATGTAGTCAAGGACGGCCGACCCGAATTCTGACGCTTGCTGCTGCCCGCACTCTCGCCGTTGGTCGCGCCTTCGTTGATCGACTGCAATCTCTTTGCCTGTTTCGGTCGCGGCCGAGTGGACTGTACTGGCGGAGGACTCTTGACCCGTTGTGGTGTGGAAGACGCTGTAGACTGGGTCGACCGTCTCGCCGAGGAGGTATCTCGAGCGCGAGAATGTCCTCGAGATGCGCCCCTTCCTCGAACCGAATTTGACCGCGCCGTCGTCCGTCCGGCTCGGGTCGGTCTCTCAGGGGATTCGGTGGAACGCGATCGGCTACTCGATGGCACGGTCACGAGAGCCAGATCCACGCTCGGCTTCTTCCGGGTTTTCATGGTCTCTGGTACTTTGCTGGGCTCTACAACCATCGGCGAAGTAGCCGGGGTCTGTGGCATATCGTCCGTCTCGATATCCTCCTTGGCCTCGTCGATCGACACCGAAGGTGACGGTGTCGGCAACGAGACGGGCGGGAACGGATCGATAAACGGACCCGATGGCAGATCTGCTGGACCCGTAGACATTCGAGGCGGTGTAGGCGACCGGGGAGCAAGTTTCGCTTCTGTTCGTTGAGACGGTCCTAAAGGAGTTAATGGCGTGGAAGGTAATTCCAAAGAGAACCGACCGGTATGGCTCGGCGTCCTGGGAACAATGTGGAAGCCTTGAGGGGAGATGAGTTGACTTTCCAAGTTGACCGGCATCGGATTTTGGTAAGGCATCGGTTGCGGAAAAGATGTACGCCGCACAGATGACGCTGATGTGAGGGGAGCAGAAAAATTCCCGGCGCTCGTCGCAGACGGAAGAGCGCCCGGCAGGCCTGAGCCATGTCCATTGGGAGATGGAGGAACGTCCTGATCGACAGGGTTCAACATGAACGGTATGCTTGACTGTAGTGAACCCGACTCCCGCGGACTCGAGCTGTGTAGACGTCGACCTGAAGATCGTCGTGCAGACGTCCGCCTGTCATCCTGTTGTTCCGGCGATCGAGGTTGACTGGGTCTGACCGAGGATATCTCTGGCAGGGGGATCGACGTGGAGCTCGATGGAACCTCGATCGACATCGCCTGTTGCCTAGTCATGACAGGTACCGATGTAGCGACTTCACGTGACACCGGCTCTGAGGCAGTCATTCCTCGGAACTCTGGGTCTAGGTCTTCCTCCTCGTCTGGCTGGATGGTACCTTGCACTCCACTCTGTTCGGCCCTACCGCCATTTCCCCGATCATCCAGCTCCGCGGGAACAGGAGCCAAGAGCGCCGCCAACGAGCTCCGCCTTTCAGCCGGCCTAGACCCCATCGGCGACTTCTCCCGGTCCTCATTTGCCACCACAACGTCGTCGGGCTCGTCGAGCGGTTCCGGCTCATCCATTTGGACATCCAAAGCGGTCTCGTTCAGGTCTTCGGTAACCAGGGCGATTGAGGCTTGCTCTGCCTGAATGGCCTGATGCGCCGAATCCTTTTGGTCCCCCTCGTCCCCCATCAACTGCATATCCACATCCATTTCCGCCTCTGCCTCCGCCTCGACCTGATCCATGTCAATATCCACCTGCATCTGCTTCTGCGGCGAGGTCGGATCGTCCGCCTCCCCTGCATCTGCTGTACCTTCCGTCATTGCGTTCTTCAGCCCCACTTCCGGCTCCGGTATCGTAGGTTCGGTCTTCTTTGTATCATCTTGCTCGCTCTCGTCAATAGCTTCCTTCTTGACCTCGTACGTCATGAGTTCCGGGTCCGAAGTCTTCTCTGGGCCCACACTCTTTCCTCTCACATTCGTTCCACCCGTCCAGCTCCTCCCGGGTCGCTCATAGACCATCTCCGTCCACTCCTGAGCATCCTGCAACTGCTCCAGCAACCCTGTCGACTTTCCTTCCATGTCTTCGTCGACCTCGCTCTTGCTACCCCGCACCTGCCCATTCCACTCGGCCACGACTTCGGGATCCGCAAACAACGGCAACGCGAATTCGTTCCCAAAAAACCTCGAATTGATCAGATCCGCCGAAGCCGACCCGGAAGGTAAAGACAGATACGCCGGCGGGTTGATTCGATTCCGTTCGTAGTACCTCTGAGTCGAGGAAGAATCACTGGGTTGTGCTGTATCAGACGCTCCTCCCGCGCTGAACCGTTTGTTCGTGTTCGAAGGCTTCGTTGCGGTTGCCGTAGAAGGGGTGAAAGAGGTTCGAGAATGCCGAGCTTTGGGTCGTGAATCTGTCGGTACCGGTGTGGGTTGTCTCGAAGGATCCATCGAAGTCAACGGAAGCGGGTAAGGGTAAAGCGCGGGATATACCCAGCTGTCCGTTCCATGTTCCGGTGCTGGACTTGCTAAGGTCGACATCCTACTCTCCCTCTGTTTTCCCTTGAGATTGTTGATTCGAGAGCTTTGTCCATGCCCAGAGGTCATCATCGAGACCGAAGGCGTCTCTGAGACGTTCGACCTCGACCTCCCCCTGACCGACATCGACTGATCACCACCGCCTCTCCTCCCCCTCCCGCTCGTTCCTGCTGTCCCGTTCGATTTCGCCCGTTCTTCAGCTGGATCGCTCCTCCTCCCTCGTTTATTCCCCCGCCTGCCTTTCTCTTTCTCCTTGTCCTCGTCGTCAGCGTCATTGGCGACCAGGACGACCGGCAAATCCGGTGCGGGGCTCAACGATTCCGAAGAACTCTGCCTCGCCCGCTTGCCCCCCGTCTTCATCGTGGGTGTCGATTTATCCTTGCTCGTCCCCTGATCCTGTTTGTAAATCGGGTCGGGAGGTGGTTCGGCTTCATCCTCCGACGAAAACATCGTATCGAAATCGAGATCGAAAGCGAATTCATTTGGGTGCCGAGGCAAGGGAGACAGTGTTCGAGGACTGGAAGGGAATGAAGCCGAGGAAGAAGCCTATACAAAATCATTTCATTCCATTTCGTTCCGTTTTAAAGGTTGAACATCATATCATATCAGCCCACTAGCCTGAATTCTCCCGAAAATAGCAATAGCGAAAGCCTGGACTGACCATCTCATCCAAATCGTCCAGACTATAAAGCTCCCCCAACTTTGCCCAGATATCCTCGAACACTAGGACGACGCCGGTCATATCCCTGATCTTGGTCTGGAGGGCGATCATCCTGAAATGACGATGTTTGCCGACTGATTATAGTCATAGAAACAGTGATTGTTCGTTTCGTAATGTAACGTATTGTATTGTGGGTGTATATGTATAGCACCGGGAGCAGGGTCGAGAGTAGGAGATAGATCAAGATCAAGGCGTTTGCAGTTCTGATGATCAGCTCCCGGACATGCGTGCATAGGGACAGTAAGGTTTGCAAAGGCTCACCTGGACGGGCGAAAGGTAGACATCGCAAGAACGCCAATTCGCTATAGGATGAGACGTGAGATCATCGGGAACGTCCTTTAGCTCTCAGGATCATTCACACTCGGCGATCTCCATCTCGACCATCACATCACACGATATGATATCTTCTAATCAAAGCTGCAAGAACCGAGACTCACAGGTCGACATCGGACAAACTCTGGACCTGCCTCGACCTGCTTGAAGATGACTCGGCGTTTCCAGGCCCGACATCGCGATCTCGATCCATGTCCATGTCGCGATCCGAATCCATCACCAGGTTGATGTCGACGATACCGAGCAGGTCGACATGTGTCCTTGCGGAATGATCGGGGTCGTCGCAATTGCACGGGACGGTCTCGGTCGGCGAGCGGTGTGGATCTATTCTACCTCTTTTGAGCAGACGTCAAGGTCGCTGGGCAGTAAGTCGACAAGCAAAGCAAGCAGTGAAGACGTGTGCTGGTTGGTGACCTGCCTAGGTGGACTGCTGCTATTGTGTGATCGAGGACGGAATGCAATAGCGAGGTCAGGGTCATTTGATGATTAGGTAAGCAGATATGCTGTCTCGGATCCGGATGGGGAGTCTCATTACGGCACTACTATAGTCATCGAGTCTCAGGTCTGACATTCGTCATGGATGCCGTGTGCCGCGGGCCGGCTCGATCACTCTGGATATTTATAACCAGCAGCAGTAGCTTCAGCATAACCACCACGTCTGCAGCCTCCATATACTCTCTCTACTCAAGCTACTCTAACATCGCCCTGCGTCGAAACAGCGAAACCACCCACATCTCATACCACAACAAGATATACCTGTCACGAACAATGTCTCTCTGTAAAGACTGCACCATCGCTACCGTCTGGGAAGGTACTCCCGTAAGCCCCCCTTCCCCAATCCTACCCGGTCGATCCGATCCGCTGCAACCCAGGTATATGTATACTCACTCAGATTCCCGGTCATAATTGATCGAAACAGGAGGGAAAGACCGTCAAGTACGGTCCCACCGACGTCTACATCGCCGAGCCCAAGCAAGGCGCGGGGGACAAGTCCAAAGCCGTCCTCTTGCTCACCGACGTCTTCGGGCTCGGGTTGGTCAACAACAAACTCCTCGCTGACGACTGGGCTCGGGCTGGGTATTACACTTATGTTCCGGATTTGTTCGATGGGGACTATTTGACGGATGCTAGGAAGGGGGATCCCAAGGTGAGCCTCGCGATGGGGAGTGAAAAAAAGGGGGAAATTGGAGGGGCAAGAGGCGGAAGGCCGCAAACTGACTCACATACTCTCTTTCGAATCGTCTTCAACAGTTTGACCTGATGGGTTTCATCGGCGCCCACGGGGAAGATGTCACCCACAAGATCCTCGACCCCTTCGTAGCCAAGCTCAAGGAAGACGGTATCACCTCCTTCGCCGCGCTCGGGTACTGCTTCGGAGCTCGATACGTCTTCAACCTCTCCTTCACCAACTCGATCACGGTCGGGGTGGTCAACCATCCTTCCCTCCTCCGAGTCCCTGACGACCTCAACAAACTCTCTCAGCTTTCCCCGGCTGTGCCGATGCTCTTCAACACGTGCGAGGTCGACCAGATGTACCCGGCCGAAGCTCAAGCCAAGGGGGACGAGATCCTCGGGAACGGATCCAAGGAAGGAAAGGCGTACAAGAGGAACTATTACGATGGTTGTACCCACGGGTTCGCCGTCAGGGGGGATATCAAGGACGAAAAGGTCAAGTTTGGAAAGGAGGACTCGTTCAAGCAGAGCGTCGAGTGGTGAGTCCAGATCTCACGATTCTTCTCAAGGCATGGCACCGTGAGCTGAGCCGGTTCTATTTGTGGTCGTTAGGTTGAAGAAGCACGACTTTTAAGATGGTCGCTGTGCAAGCTTAGACGAATACACAGGGACATGTATCACTCCGTAGCATGATATCAGTCAGAAAGAAACCATGAAAACTGCAAGGAGCTCGACCGATGCGAGCTTGTGGGGGCAGGGATCACCTCTGACCGAACTCTCACTGGGCATGGACGCCCCGGCCGTTCTATGCAGCATGCGAGTGACATGTTGAAGGCAGGCATTGGCGGACTTGAAGAACTCGCCGAAAAGTGCGGCGGATTCAACGAGGGCGGGGACAATGACGGAGAGGGAGGAAGCGAGGCTGAAGTGTAGAATCGAAATTCGAGAGATTTAACGACGCGCGGGCGAGAACAATGACGGAGTGGGAAGCGAGGTAGAATCGAACCAATTCAAGAGATCGACTTTCATATAATTGTATTGCCAGCAAAGCAAAGGCTACATTTCTAGCCAGCTAGCCATGAACGCCGGTATCATGTCTGTCCCCGGCGCCAAATGCAGCTTTGTCGACTCGTCCCAAGATGAGCACGCCGGCGACGAGAACGAGACGATCCATCAAGTAATCTGCAGGCTTTCCGGCCACGCTATGCTCATTTCCATCCTCCTCAGTTCCATCCCCGACGTCAACCCCATCCTTGATGACCGATCTCGAGGAGGACGAGGAACTTCCTCAAGAGATTGAATTCAACATGCAAGAATGAAACATTGCCAGTAATGATCAAAGGGGAACGCCTGTGTAAGAGGAACAACCGGGCCTGACCAGATCCAAGTTCCCTATGATGGAATGGGCAATCGGGCAGTAATCGGTTTTCGATGAGAAAGCTATTTCACTATGTCCAATCAGCCTTCAAGCAAAAAAATACAAAAACAGGAACACCAGAAACCTCTGCTTAAAGCTCCAGAAGGCCACAGTTTCTCGCCAATAAACTGTCATCTCACAATGTACGAGGGTCACCAAAGGCCTCGCTTCACTATCCGCGCGGCCGAGAGATGGCAGCAACTGTCACCAAGAGCTGAAACGCGCCCCTCATACCATCGCCGCAATCAACTCGTGGTTGGGCAAGCGCACCTCGTTTCAATCCATGCCGTCCGACGAGGAGTCTCACAAGCAGTTGGGACTCCCCGACCTGACCGGCACGATTCACGCAGGATGGGTCGCCCTGCCCTAAAGAAACGGCTCGATCAGTGCGGATTCGACGACGATAGGTTGAGCCAGCTGATGGCCATCGACGGAACGGCTTGCTTTCTTCTGGCCAATAACGTTGATTGGATAGAAACAGCAATCCATATTTCCTTGAAACACGAGCACCCTTAATGGGCCGACGATCATAGTCACTTTTCACGCAAAGGCAACCCCCGTCCGTCAGGTCAAGCAATATCAAGGCGGATCAAGAGATTCCTGCCGAAAAATCGACCGGACAAGTGCCGTCGTTTAGCAAGACGACTTCGGACCACCTGTCACAAACTTTGCCAAATCGCTAAGGTCGACGAGGCGGACAAGCCAATACTCAAGGTCGCCCCAGAGAACTCGGATGTACTTCAGGTGGAAAGGCTTGTAGACGCCTACCCTTGTTGAATTGTGATCACATGAAGGCCAAGTCCTTCTCGAGAGTATATGAAAGGATACCGCAGCGGGCGCCTCGAGTGCTCATAGATGCAAGTGTCTTGGGATCTCAAGCTCTCTTTAGAAACATAGTCTCGTGTAGAGATGTGGTTCTCATATGAGATGGGGGCGGGCGAGTGCAAGAGAGTGTATGTGACGTGCTTTTCACTATTGCGTTTCAGTCTTGTGCTTCTCGACAAGATTCCATATTCCCAATCCTCGCATAGACAGCACGAATCTGATCGGCAAGCATCTTCTAGTTCACTTGAGAAGCAAGGACCTTCGCAAGCGGCATATCACGCATGCAACACATAAATATCTAAATATCTGGTCCAGTCGGACTTTCTCTTTCGCGTTTCATCTATCCGAATATATTCCCATCCGAGTCCTTTTTCCTCGTATTTTTGGTGCGGCACTCCTCTACACCCGCTCTTCTAACAATCCGACAACCTAAGGGCAGTCGGGGTTGTGGGGTGCGACGGCCCCCTTGGCGCCCTCGTCCAAACCATCGATCGCGCTCATCTGCGCCTGGGTCAGCTCGAAATCGTAAACATCGGCATTCTCCGCTTGGTGCGTGTCAGATTTCGGCAAGGGGGAGAAGCTGTACAGACACGAAAGCAGTTCGAGATGAAGACATCAGACTCAGAACGAGTACGTTTTTTTCTCCCGGAGGGGTTTCAAGTGGTCCGCAACTCACCCTTTTTGGAGACTCCACCTGACCAACACTTGGGTGACGCTCTTGCCCGTCTCCTTGGCGACCTTCTGAAGGACAGGGTCGTCCGATCTCGAGTTCCTGACCAAGGGACAGTAGGCTTGCATGACGATGCCTGCGATGTCAATCCGGCATAGTCATACAAATCAGCGTCAGCGTCAACACCTCTTGTTGTGATTGTGATTGCCATACGACTTGATAGTCGGGAAGAAAGAAAAGCCGCAAGACGCACCTTGTTCACGGCAATAATCGACCACCTCCCTCTGCTGGCAGAACGGATGCAGCTCGGTCTGGTTGACAGCGGGTTTCTCGCCCTTGAGGGTTTGGAGGTGCTTGACGCCGCTATTTGTAGTGTTTCCCCGGTCTTCGTATTAGTTCTCCGACACCTTGCGAGAGATGAAAAGAGAGAAAGGGGAGGCTTACAAGTTGGAAACACCGATATCCTTGGCGTACCCCTGCTTCTTCAACTACACCATATCAATCCAACGAGAACCAACCCCACAAAACAAGATGAGAGAAAACAATCAGCCTCGGACCCCCGTTTGAATATTATAGAACAAGTAACTTCAAAACGTACCTCCTGGAAAGCGTCCCAAAGCAACTGCCTCCCCTCCGGCCCACAAGTCGGCGCGTGGATCAAGAACAAGTCCACATACTCCTTCTCCCCCTCCTTGTTCTTGCCGATCTTTTTGACGGACTCGATCAAGCCAGGGAGGATCTCCTCTACGGTCTTTTGGGAGGAGTTGTAAAAGGTCTTGGTTGTGAGGAAGAGGGAAGAGCGGGGGAGGGAGGACAGGGTTGAGGCTTCCCCGACGACTGTTTGGTTGTGTGAGATTGTAAGGAATGAGAAAGAGGAGGAGGAGGAAAGGAAGAGGAGAAGGAAGACGGATACGCAAAACACATTCCCAAAATCCAAGAATCAGCGCCATTCCCTAGCCTCAAACCCCATACCCAGGACTCTATACCCCCGACATCAAACTAGAACTCACGATCCTCATTCTCGTAATACTGCGCGCAATCCACATGCCTATACCCGACCTCGAGGGCTTTGGAGACGGATTTCACGCACTTGTCGCGTTCGGAGAGGTAGACGCCGTACCCGAGGGTAGGCATCTGGGTGCCGGTGTGCAGCTTGGTGGTGGATTGGAGGGTGAGCGACATGATTCCGAACGAGGTTTATGTGATGGGTAGGTTATAGCTCTTGAGAGGAGGGGTCGAGGTGTAAGATGATCAAGTTTCTAGGGCTAACCCCTCTTGGCCTCTTGACATCGTTTCTCGCTCGCTCGATGTCCCTGATCCCTAGAGCCCTAGATCGATCGAGCAGCCCCCGGAATGTGTCGACACGTCATTCCCGATCAACTAGATAACGTAAGGGTCACGTGAGTCAGCATCATCCAGAGGTGAGACTCGGGGTAGACCCTTCCGGGGTCACCGAAGTAACCGAAGCAATGCTCGCCGGAAGCCGGAAGCAGATTTGCCGCCTACTAGTCTAGTCTGGTGACTGATCAGCAACAAGGGTGGGCGCCTCTCTGACTGGTCTTTGAGCTCCAGCCAGCTCGCATCTTCCTGTCATCATCGTGGTCGTCGTCGTCGTTTCACCAACTCCACCGTATACATTCGAATAGCTCATAGTCCACAGAGAACGTCGCTTCACCAATGCAAGGACTACTCGGAGGCGCAGACTGTTCGGCATCGAGCAACCCGCTCAACGGGATCCTCAAGCGGGAGGGCGTGGACAGGAGCTTGATCAGGGTGAGTGAGCCACAGAGACAAAGCATGAGGCTGTCATGATCATTCCGTTCAACTCTAGAAGTCGAGGACGCTGATATTCTGGTTCTTGCGTCGTGTTTTGTGTGGTCATATGGGGGAGTAGGATAGGAACTCTGCTGGATCACCGGGTTTGGCGGGCGGAGTCGGTCAGGTAAGTCCCTCGTCCTCGTCGCCCCGTCATCACCTCGCTTTCAATCTGCCCTTCGTATCCCACAACCACGATATTCTCAACGTCGCCATGTCATGCTGACTACCCATGCATTCTTCCGCCTTCTAAACTATTCCCGAACAACGACCATGATGCCGTATCACAGCCCGCCCGTCAACTGCCCTTCAGAGCGACCTCCGACCGACCCGCTTTCTCCCCCGGTCCCGCTCCACAAACTCAGGCCAGATCAACCGTACAGCAACCCCAAGCATCGGGAGTGAACAACTGGGCGAGCTCGTTCCAGCCACAAACACCACAACACGCACAACACTCACAACCTGGGTTTCGACTGCCACATCATGCCCGCCCCATGGGGATGGGGATGGGGGATATGGAGACGGCCTTTCAATCAGCCCTGACCTTCAACCAACAACGACAGGGTCCTTCTTCCCGGGTCCAAGGCCAACCTCTACAACAGCCATCAAAGGGTTCGGCGTGGATGGGGGATTATGACAAGTTTTCCGCTCAAAGCCAGGGTCAGGGTCAGGGGAAGGGTAAAGGGAGGGAGGTCGAGGTCGATTTTCAGCCGGGTTATCAGAATCAGAATCAGGGTCCAGCGATGGGGATGGGGAGCGGGTATTACCCTTCCGGGATGGGAACAGGGATGGGAATGGGGATGGGAATGGGGATGGGGATGATGCATTCCAACCTGGACCCTGGGATGGGGATGACCATGTGCCTAGGAGGGTCGTATGGGCAACAGACGATTCACCAGCCTCAATATCAACAAGGACATGTTCAAGGTCAAGGTCTAGGGGAAGACTTGTTCGATGAAAAGGATCTCGAGAGGGCTTTTGAAGAGGTGGAGAAGGAGGCTCGGCTAGAGGCGCCGGAGGGGAAGCAGGAGGGGGAGGAAGAGGTGCAGGTCAAGGGAAAGGGGGGTGATTTCGAAGCGTGAGTTTTACCTTTTCTTCTGGCTTGTTTGAGTTCGAACAACTCGCATCCTTAATGGAAACGGAGATGAGCTGAAATCGATCCCAAAAACTCACTTCAGCGTCTGGGAATCCATCCGACCCGAAACCTCCCATTTGGATCACCTCGCGCAGTGGGAAAAAGAATTCTCCCAATTTTCCAACAAAGACAAACAAGACGACGATGGTGACTTGTTGGAGGAAAAGGAGCACGCCGCCGAGCTCGACTTTGACTTGAACGAGTATATGAAGGACGTCGATGCGAGAGAATGGGGTGGGGAAGAGATGATGGGGCAGGAAAAGATGAGGTTTGGGGAGGATGGGTTTCCGGTCTTGGGCGATTATGCGTTTGGTGAGTCGGGAGTCCGCGTTTCAGTCGAGCGTCCGGAGGGTAACAGAGCTGACTCGATTTGTGGTCGTAAAACTTGGTGATCGACAGACCAAGATAACCCGAACAAGGACGACCTACAGGCCCTGGGTCGTGCGCTGGACATGTTGAACAATAACGGAGCGTTGAGCGAAATCGCTCTCTTGCTCGAATCCTGCTTGTCCTCGCATACCACGGCCGAACAAGTCTCCAACCTCTCGATCGACGGCTTGCAGGACAAGCCAGGGTCGATGGAAGCCAAGATCAAGGCTGGAGGCGAGGCCGCCGTATGGACGTTGTTGGGTATGGTACAGGCCATGGACGAGAAGGAAGCCGCGGCGGTGAGAGCTTTGGAAGAGGGGAGGAAACGGTTCGAGGCTATGGGAAGCAGGAGGAACGGGCCTGGTGGGGAGAGGAGCAAGCTGGGAGACGTCATGATGGGTGAGGGGTTGGTGGTGAGTCTGCATTGAGGTCTGATCTGGTCAGCTCAAGGGTGAGAATGCTGATGACCGAGTCTGGACCAGGCTTTGGCAATCTCGTACACGAACGAGTCCTACGACCACTCTTCGCTGTTATCGCTACATCGCTACCTCTCGCTGCTTCATCCGGAATATGCCGGTTCCGTACCCGAAGAGCAAAACATCTTTACCGACGATCTGAGCGATGAGAACGGATTCATCCCGAACCCCTGGTCGGCCAACCAAAAGTTGACAGAATCGTTCCTCAACCTTGCTCGGGATCAGAACCGGGCCGGCGTCGTCGATGCCGACACGCAGGTCGGGCTGGGCGTCTTGTTCTACCAGACGGGAGAGTTTGATAAAGCGAGGGATTGCTGGGTCGCAGCGCTTGGGGTCAGGCCGAATGTGAGTGTCTAGACAGGTCGCGCTCGCGAAATGATCCGATGCTGACCGCATTTCCGATCTTCTACAGGACTTTTTGCTCTGGAACCGACTCGGAGCCACGTTGGCCAACAGTGGAAGCCCAGAGCAAGCCATTGATGCGTATCGACGGGCTCTCGAGTTGCACCCGACGTATACCCGAGCGATCTACAATCTGGGCGTTTCATGTGAGTGTATGATCAACAATCGGTCGACCATGCTCCCGGCTCATATCGTTAAATCCTAGGCTTGAACATTGGCGTTCATCGTGAAGCGGCCGAACACTGTGAGTTGACATGTTGCGTTACCCTGTCCCGCTCATAACTGACCCGGCACGCCCGATAGTCCTGGCCGCGCTAGCGTTACATGAAACGCAAGACAAGCGTAGCAATCCAAACATTAGCACCGCGGGCGAGCATCCGGCCAATAACAGCTCGGCTCTATGGTCGACACTCCGTCGGGCGTTTGATGGCATGGTAAGAGAAGTCTCGATTCTAACCTATATTTAACCTGCTCACGAGTCAATTCTCGCAGGAACGGCCCGACCTGATCGAAAGGGCTGTGCCGGGGACGGATCTCGAGTATTTCCGTCGTCAAGGTTTCGAGTTTTAGACGTTTCACCATCCATAGAGCCTCATGTAACTCGCATTTCTCATTAAGGGTAGAATCTCAAGAACCTGTACAAATCGCATTGCCATACAACACGTATCAAGAGACCAGATTCACGGCGAATTCTTACACTCTTTGCCCCTTTTACAACTCGTCCGGGTTGACGTGCGTAAATACCTTTTCAATCTGCTTTTCGTTCGACTTGAACTTGTAGCCGTTGGCGACAAACAGCTTGGAACGCAAGAATGACGAGACGTCGAAAATCTCCATCTCCTTGGCCTAGAAGTGAATAAGGGGAAACGCTGATCAGTCGAACGTTCTTTTGTACAGAACCGGCAACACGGGACTCACCCTGGCCTCGAGCTGTGCGAGCGGAATCTCGACGCTGGCGGGTTCTTGACCTCGCTGGATCATGACGAGCTGGACCTTTTCCTTGACGAGCTGACCCAGCAAGAAGGCGAGCAACTCGGCGTGATCGGTCGCCTTGTGGACGTATTTACGGAAGCCCTGTGAGCGTATCATGAAGGTGTTCGACGATCAGCAATCTGACAAGAAACTACGTGTAGTCCACGCGCCCGGAACTCACCCTCTCGAGCGTCTTTTTGATGGAAATCTTTTGCGCATTGACAAAGCTGCCGACAGTGACCTGGATGGCGAGATCGATATCGTCGCTCCGAACGTACTCGCGCAGGTTCATCTTGGCGCTGGCCTCTGCCATCCTGATCATCGATTCCAAGTGTCGCACGGTAATGGGGAAAGACCCGGTCGCGAGCGACTCTCGACGGAGGTCCGAGTAGAGTCGGGAGAGCTTTTCTTGGTCGAGTTGATGCAGCTTGGGCTTGATCATCTCCTTGGCGTACATGATGTACTTTTTTAGCACGTCTTGCGGGATGATCTGCGGTGCGCAACGTACACGGGGTCTCGATCAGCAAACGTGATCAACCTTCACAGCGTCACGACCTCGACCTACATCGGCGTCCAAGACGGTCGACACGTTGACCTCGTCCACGGCCTCTTCGAACCCAGGATGACTCCTCAGATGACTCCCGACCACGAACCTGGCCAACAACTCGTCCTGCACCGGATCCACGGCATCCTTGACCACGCACAAGACGTCGAATCGGGACAAGATCGGTTCGGTCAGATCGACGTTTTGCTGAAACGGGATCGTCGGGTTGTACCTCCCCCTGACCGGATTAGCCGCTGCGACGATGGCACACCGCGCCTGCAAGGTGGTCACGATCCCAGCCTTGCTGATCGAGATGGATTGCTGCTCCATGGCCTCGTGGATCGACGTCCGGTCCGCGTCGTTCATCTTGTCAAACTCGTCGATCAGGCATACCCCCTTGTCGGCCAAGACGAGCGCTCCACCTTCCAACGTCCATTCCCTCGTGATCGGGTCCTTTCTCACCGAGGCGGTCAGACCGACAGCGGAAGCTCCCTGTCCGGTCGTAAACACCGCCCGATGCGCCGTCTTTTCCACATACTTTAGGAACTGCGACTTGGCCGTCCCCGGATCTCCCAACAAGAGGATATTGATATCCCCTCGGATCCGATGTTTCCTATTGATATCCTTGGGAACCCCGCTAAACAGGGAAAGGGCGATGGCCGTCTTGATATCCTCGTGCCCATAGATCGAGGGCGCGATCGACTTGATGATCCTCTTGGAAATCCTCTCATCCTTGGCCAAGTTCCTGATCATCCTCTCGTCCTCCTCGGTCAACCTGAATGCGGCAAAGAGGTCTTCCTTCTTGTTGATATGGTTGGCCTCGAGCACGGTCGAGAATACCGGGAACCCGTTCTTGGAATTCAACGAGGCGTCGAAATTGTTCCTATAGATACCCGTCACTTCGACCTCTTCACCCGGTTTCGCACAATCGATCAGGTCCCAGAGGAGGATGACCTCTCGATGCCTGGGCAACCTTCCCGCGGGCACGCTCCCCGGAGACTCTTGCAGGGTCATCTTTTGATAGTTTCTATACACCGTCTGCTCGGAGTTGACAGTGAACGGTCCTCTTCCCTCGCAGTTGGAGCAGAAACTGATCTTGACCTCCTTGGCCGTATCCTGGAAGAACGGCCCTAGCGTCGTCCCACATTTCCCACAATCAAACTTGACATACTTTAACTGCGGGAACACGCCTGAACGCCGGGTGACCACACCAGAGACCCGGACGAGGCAGTTCAAGTTGGTCTGCCTCAAGTCCCTCAAGGTGAGACTGGTCGGAAGTTCGGTGATCCTCACGTGAATCTCCGAGTGGATACGCTCGTACGAAGGGTAATAGAGGAGGATGGCTTCGAGGGCGACGTCGTCAAAGATCTGTAACATCGGTTGAGGCGAGTTGGCCAGGAAATAGGCGAGGATGGGTTTAGAGTAGGCGAGGTGCAAGTAGGAGACTTCGAGTGATTCCGAGTTGACTGCAAGAAGCGCTCATGTCAGGCAGCTGGATCAAGAGTGAATGCATTTTTTTTTTTGGGACGACGACTCACCTTCTCCCAGATGCTTGATCCGCTGTCCATAAACACTCTGCCCATTCTCATCCACGTACGTCATCAAGAACGCCTTGAAATGCCTCTGCACCGCCCTCCTGACCGCCTCGATCCCCACCCACTCGGCGATCGAGGGAGCCTTGATGTCCCCCAATTCTTCCAGCGGGACCTCGTCCTCCCCCTGTCCCTCCATATCATCGTCCTCCGGCCGTTCATCGTATTGCCTCCTCCGACGCCTAGTGTCGATCCCTTCCAACAACCCAGCGCCGGGGGGCAAGTCCCCATAGTCCTCGTCGTCGGATTGGAGAAAGGCGGGAGCGCGTTGTCGTCGACTGGCACGGGTCCCTGTGGGGAGCCCCCGGTCTCGTCGAGCCATGGCGGCTTCGGCGGCGAGACGTTGAGCGCGGGTGAGTTCGGGTTGAGAGGTGGTATCATCTAAGTCGGCGTTCGAGTAGGTGTCTAGGCCGAGGTTCGAGTCGTAGTCGCTGAGGCGAAGGCAAGAACGCACGTTTTCCGGTTGGTGATCTCAGTAAGAGCTTTTTCAAGCCAACAAGGATACCCCTCCCAAACGAGCGAGAACTCGACTCACGCCATCATGTTATCCCCAAACAGATCTTCCCCAGCATCCTCGTCCTCGTCATCATCGTCCCCACCTTCGACCCGTCTGCCCATCTCCCTAGCTTCTTCCTCCTGATCGTCCACATCCGCATCATCCCCAAACCCATCGAACGGCGCCGGAGGGGAAGAAGGCGGGAGCGACGAAGGAGGTGGCGAGGATCTCAACCCTGATGGACCTGCTGCACCACCTCGGGGGTAGACGGAATCTTGTGCGTTGTTGAACGGGGTAAAGGCGGAACTTCCGGGTTCGGGAGAACGGGCTCGTTTGTTATTGCGTCGAGGCGTTTGGGAGGGGAATGGGGAGGACTACAAGGAGCGGGTCGATATGGGATGCGTTGAGTGCGAAATTGCGGCTAGATATCGAAACAAGTGCTTACCATCTTGACTCCTGTAGCGTATGATGACGAGTGTCGATGCGCTTTGTGTATGTCGATCTACGTTGAATCTGAACGAGGTGGTGTTGATGTTGATGACATGGGGTTGTTTGTGATTTGTCCCGGTACATCGAACGCGTGGGCGCGTGTCAGACGCGTTTAATGAAAGCGAGAGGGCGCCTTGCGCTGTCGCCCGCCAATTAGAAGCGCATCGCAGATCAAGCGCATCAGTCAGTGTATACATCATCATCATCATCATCATCATCAGGCAGCTCATCAGGCGGGTAGATCATCATCGAGCCATAAAGGTACAGACTCAGCAGCTAGAGCAATTTAGCCCATGATGTCATCGATGATGTTGCGACGATCACTCACGACGACGGTCACGACCTGGACGACCTTACGATGCCTGTCTACCACGTCCACCCAACTCTCGCACGAGAACCCGCTCGTAAGTAAGCCTCGACTGACTCTGCCTTTATCTCGATTGACCCAACCTCATACCACCACCTCTTCTCAACTTCCAGGGCATTCCCCGCCGAAACCCAAACCCAGCCCCGACGATGCCCCGCCGAGGAGGTCCCCCCGTAAAACGCAAGATCCCGGGGGTGAAACACGTCGTGGTCGTCTCTAGCGGGAAAGGAGGCGTGGGGAAGAGCACGATCGCTGCGAACCTCGCTGTGGCTTTGGCTCAAGGTCAAGGGAAGGGTGTTGCTGGTGGCAGAGTAGGACTACTGGACCTAGATATATTCGGCCCGTCCGTTCCTAAACTCATGGGGCTCGAAGGTGTCGGGGAACCGTTATTGAGCGAAGGAGGTGAGTCTCTGCCTTTTCTTGGGATTTTGAAATGTTGAGTAGATGAGTTATGAGGGAGGCTGATCGGTACATTTTCTCCTTTTTCGTTATCTTTGTTTTTTTCCGTTGAACTCTTGATCTTGACATCGAAACCGTCATCTCCTCGACTCGCACTCAAATCTACGCCTACACCCACACTTACATCAACACCAACACCAACACCAACACCCACACCCACATTCGCCTTCGTGCTCTTGCTCGGACGGACAAAGATAAGCCAACAAGTTGATCCCGATGGACAATCATGGGGTCAAGACGATGTCCATGGGGTACCTATTACGTGAGTCGGCCTCGGACTCTTTGCTGGGCTGGCGGGCGGTTCGGTCTGCCAGCGCTTTAGACTGGCTCGGCCATCCTCGCCCGCGACTCTGCATAGCGCTGGTCTATGCGTTCTCGACCACGACTCGCTCGCTGCCTCTGAATTGAGGATACGCGTTTCGGCAAGCCCGACGCTGACACAACCCGCCTCGTCCTCGTACACAGCACCTAGCGCAAACAACGACTCTCCCGTCGTCTGGCGAGGTCTCATGGTCATGAAGGCCGTCCAGCAGGCGAGTCCACAACCGATCCAGCTCAACTGGTTGACCTGCAGAGCTGATCATTGTCCCTTGCCATCTTCGCCTCGCAGTTGCTATTCGATGTCGACTGGACGTCATCAGCTGGGGATCTCGAGGTTCTGGTCATCGACATGCCACCAGGGACGGGTGATGTGCAGTTGAGTCTCGGTCAGCTGGTCGTAGTGGACGGTAAGTAGCGCAGACACGTTAAACGACTTGAAAGCAATCAGTGGCATGAGCTGATGAGGGTTGGACTTTTTTATGGAACTGTAGGAGCTGTGATCGTTTCGACACCGCAGGATGTTGCGTTGATCGATGCAAGAAAGGGTGTCAACATGTTTAGGAAAATACATATTCCCGTAAGTACGATCACGGCGCCCCTAGTATCGCACCACTGCTGACTCTCACCGTCATCCATAACGCAGATCTTTGGAAGCATCCTGAACCAGTCTCACTTTACCTGCTCGTGTTGCTCGACACGGCATCAATTGTTCGGATCGCCCGATGCGTTCAAATCGGTAGCCGACGACCTCTCGCTCGACGTGCTAGGCGAAATTCCCGTCGTCCCCGTCATCAGCTCGGGCGGGGATAGCGGAGTACCCGTCATGGTGCAGGACAGCAAGGAAGGAGAAGAGACGAGACAGGCCATGCGAGGGGTAGCAAGAGCCATGTGGAAGAACCTGGGACGGAGTATATGAACAATAACCTGACGATGTATGCTATAATGAATTTGCTGGTTGTACAAGCGTGTCTGCGTGGACATGTTCCGTGATCAGCAGGATACTGTTGGCTCGATCTTGGCGACGTTGATGAGGAATTCCTCAATGACCTTTTTGCCATTTCTATCAAAGAAAAGCTCACGTGATCAGCACCAGGTATCGCGAGCCAGGACAAGGCAGTTGCTCACCTCAGATTCAAGAGCCGTAATCTCTCATTGCTTAGATGTGCGTTGGAAGAATGCTGACCGATAGGCAAATGCACGCAGGGAGCGTTGAAGAGCTCTTCCAAGAATGGTATCGTGGGAATGGACTACGACGCGACAGGTCAGCCGGTCAAATATCCGAGTGAAAAGGCTGGCTGGACAAACTCACGCCTCCTTCCCGGATGCGCAATGGCTTCTGCTTCCAAATCTTTTCGATTGCCCTTTCCAGAGTCTGGAAATAGGCGTTTTCAGGGTGAGCCAACCACCATCTCGCACGATGTGTTACGTTGATCTATGAGATATCCGGACGTCAGCAATGAAGCTTGTACACTCGTGCTGCACGCAGCACTCACCTCGAGAGCCATGCCGTTCTGCATCTCTGCAAAGACATTGTTGCAGTGCTTCTTCAATCCGTCTACGATGGTTTCGAGATCCTAAAATGATGACGGTCAGTTCACAGCTAGCCCGAAACACCTTCTCGATGCATCTTACTTGATCTGGCACCAACCTGAACGAGACGTTCGCGGTGACCGAGTTGGGAATGATGGTATTGTTGGCGGGCCCGCTTGCTCTGATATTGGCGACCGAAAACGTCGGCTCTCGCCACTTTTTGGCAATAGTCCCGACCGTCATGTCGGAGACCTTGGCTACCGCTTCATAGTATCTCTGTTCTTCTTCCCCAAGTGGCGAGACTCCGTCATAAAATCCGGGAATATTTACCTTGCCACCGTTCTCGATGTTCGATAATAGCTTGACCATGGCCAACATGGGTTCTGCCACGGCTCCACCGTCGACTCCAGAGTGCGCGTCGGCATTCTTGCTGGTGATGCTCAGGTTGGCGTAAATGACTCCCCGCAAACCAAAGACGACACAGGGATCGTCTTCCCCAACCCACGACGAGTTGGAAAGCAGGATAGTATCGATATGGCCAATGTCGTCGCGGTACTTCTGCATCGCTTGGAGGAACCCGGCGCTTCCCGCTTCCTCCTCGCCCTCAATGACCATGACGAGATCGACGTCGAGCATCCTTCGTTCACGAAGCGCGGCAGCGGCGCAGGCTACAGCGAGGATGGGACCCTTGTTATCGGCGACTCCACGTCCGTAAAGATACCCATTACGACCGGAGAGCTCGAAAGGGTCCGTAGCCCACTCCTCCTCTGTTGCTGGCTGAACATCGTAATGGCCATAGAACAAGACCCTCTTGCGGGGCTTGCCGACTGATTGACCCTGGAACTTGGCCAGGACCAGAGGATTCTTGCCATCCATCGTAGGCAGTAATTGAGCCTCGGCGCCCATCTGGGTCACCAAGCGCTTCAGTAAATGGGCTCCCTGCCTACAGTCTTCGCTATGCTTGCCATCGCTGACAGTCGGGATAGCGATCATCTTGCTGAGTCCGTAAAGCATGACATCACCGTCATTGCTTGGAGTCACATTGTTGACATCGTGTCGGATGGGTGTGACCTCGGCAGATTCCCCTCGCGGCAGGTTCCACAACTTGACGAAACGCTTGCCAGCCGAGATGAGACTGTATTGTCCTCCCTCTTGTTGCAACATCAGCGTCGACAAGATCGAAAACTGATGTGCTTGGAAGGTAGCGATACAGTCGAAACTAGAGTCGAAACGGATCATCATCCCATCGGCACCCGCGGCGTACAGCTCTGTACCGGCGATCGCCATCGACATGACGTCCGAGTTGTGGGCCAAGATGCTCCGGATGCACGATCGCGTCTCGAGATCCCAGACCTTGATCTGTCCACCTTGAATACCGGCAAAGAGCAGACTGTCGCGGTAGGTCAAAGAGAGTGTGGCTCCGGGTAGCTCGTCAAAGGTGAACAGGTACTGGAGACCACCACCGGGCTGGCATTCCCACATCTTGACGTCGGCATCCCCACTCCCGCTGGCCAGCCACCATGTATCATCCGGACGCTGTATCATCTGCATACAGTAGACGTATCCGTAGTGCGCGCTGCTGACGACATTGTCCAAGGGGACCGATAGCTCTTCGGGCAAGACGTCGGCGGCCGGTTGTATGCCGGGATACAATATCGGCGTGTTTTGCATGTTCCGAACACTGCTCCGAGGGCTACCCCCAAACGCCGGCGAGCCAGGTCGAGGTTCTGAAAAGAACTTGTGCGGAAAGACTCGGCTCGAACGGGTTTTCGTGACCTTGACGGGTTGCGTGCCAAAGTAGCCGGATTGCAGCTCGGCCTTTGATCTGCCAAAGTTGACGTATTCGATGTCGGTGGACTGATCGCCAAAGTAAAGTGTACCTCCGGCTCGAGGATCCCATGCCAGGCAGTAGATGTCACCCGAGGTACCTGAGCTCGGAGTGATGTCACAAAGCGGCGAGAGCGTCTCGGTACACCAGATCTGACAGAGCGCGCTTCATTAGACGCTACAATCCCAAAGACAATCAGAACAGACTCACCCTGACGGTACCATCGCCTTTGAACAATTGCAACCAGTCAGCCACCATCATCAAGCTATCGGCGCTCGAGAGAAGGCTTACTGCTACCGCTGAACAGCCATTTTCTTTCCGGCACCAATAGTAAAGCTAGTACAGAACCCTCGTGGCCCAAGAGCATGGCCTGCTTCTGCAGCTGGTCTCGACTGTACACCTAGAATGATGAAGACAGGACGGCAATATTAGTATTCATGGTTAATCGAGCGGGGAATACATATAAATTCACGATGATCGCATTCGACTCCGAGGACGGTCCCACATATATCCGGTTCTCATCAGCAGCTGTGAAAGGAGATATTAGTGAGTATACTTCTAGGGCTCTGGCCTGGCTAGCTTACCGAGACTCAACGGCCGGCTGCCCTCCTCGCTCAAGAGATGTTCGAGTATCGGCAACTGTCCATTCCGATTCCGACTCAAGCTCTCTAATTTCTTGTTGATCATCCGGAGATTCATGGGAGATTCAGAGAATTCCGTCGGCGTCATCAAGGGGGTGGGAATGTCCGAGTATGGTAAGATTTCCACAGCCAGTTTCGGTTTGGGGAGCAATTTCGGCGAATGACAGGCAGAGAGGACGGGCGAAGAGGAACGGGATGCGACACGGGAGAGAGGGGATCGTCCGTATATCCCACGAGGCGAGGCCAGACCCGAATAGAGGTGTTGTAAAGTTTGATTTTCCGATAGGTTACCCATGATGGAAAGATTGGTTGGAGTGAGTCAAACAGATGTTTCGGATAGAAAGCAGAAAAGAAAGAGAATGCGAGGGAGAGAAGTCGTTAGCGGGTCGTTGCTGACTTTCGAGCATGAATATATAACCTCCTCACCTCGAGGAAGGCTTCCTGAGCTCGTAGCCTGTACCCTAGCGGTAGGCCGGGAGGGCATGATGCGACGGTTCTTCGGTTTCGCTATGCCCCTGTTCGACCATTCGTCATCCGGCGAGTGTTCTCCTTTGAGCTGTGAGTGATGGTGTAATCGATGCTGTGCTCTCCGCTCCTTTTCCTGCCAGTCGGAGAGGACTGACGTGAGAGTTCGCTATTCAGGCGGAGAGGGAGTCGGCGAGAGAATGGATGTCGAGGATGAGACAGCAGTATAGCGTTCGTTTAGCATAGCGTGTAGGTTGAATGCTCGTAAGAGTAGATGCTGCTTGGATCATCGTTTCGGGTCGTGTCACGTGACAGCTTCTATCTCAGTCGAAGACCGTTAGGAGTATGGCGATTTGCTTGATCACTCGACTAGTTAGCTAGTTAGGACAATATCGCCGGACATGACGATGAAACTCGGCCGAGTTGGCTATATTTGTCAGCAAGATATTCCGGGCAATGACGAGCGATGGCGACACCGCAAGCGATCGTGCGGGCGGGAAAGGCAGGTGTATTCCTTTCATCACCCGGAGAAACTGCTCCTCTACAGCTCTACAACGACAGGCGCATCTTCACCTTCTTCCAACTCGTCTCCATCGTCATCCTCATCCTCCTCAGCCTTCCTTCTCACGCTTCTTAGATCGGGCAGGCCCCAGCCGAATTTGCTTCGGACCGTCTCGCTCAGCGACCCGATGGCGCTGTCCAATTCCACATCCCCTCGTCGAGCGTTCGACCCATAGTTGCGGATCAAGGTCTCGATTTCTGCGAACCAAAAGTCCTCCATCCCCGTCCCAGCGAGCTCCACGGTAAAGAACGTCTCTGGGACGACCTTGATGTGCACCTCGAGCGTCTTGATGAGCAACGAGTAGAACTGTCCGATCGATTCCCGTGTCAAGGTCACACCGTCCGCTGGAGATACGTCGTCCAAGTCTTGAAAGAGCTCCTCACAGCGAGCGCATAGCGAGAGGAGCCGTTTGTAGGCCAAGAGCCCCGCAAAATTTTGGACGTAGAGGAAGATGACGAAAGCCAGCTGGATCTCTGCCAATAGTCTCTGTGGATCTAGCAGTGTTACCGTAAATGTATCAGCACACTTTCTCTCTTCGTTTCATACTATTGAATGACGTACTTGATTCAAGGTGCGTATTTACGACGTGTCTCCATAACCAGCTCTTGTCCTTCGAATACCGCGTGACCTCTTCCCCGACCGCATCTGCCCCCCACGACCGTTTCAGATCGAAAGCGACAAAGTCCAACGTGTTCATCTCCCCTGTCTGGGCCACCTTTTGCACCTTTCCCTTGCCCTTGACGACCTCGTCATCCGCAGGGGATTCCATCAGGCTATCCAGCTTGCCCGCCTTGCCTACAACCCGCTCGACATCTCCCGTCGTAATACAGTTCGTCATGTTTTGCCATACCTTGGCGAGGTAAAGTGGGTAGACTCCTAGATTGGGATCCAAAGTCTTTAGATGCTCCCGTGTCAAGACCGTCTCCACCTCTTCTCCCGTCTGAGCGTCAGCGAGGTTGGGAATCAATTCTTCCTCCTCGGCCGAGTATTTCAGGACCAGCGTCTGGCGACTTCGTAACGTCCTGAAGAGACCATGCCGTACGGGCATGGCCATCGGAGCGTCTGAAGCTGCAGGTGGCGAGTGCGTGAACAGGTGGAGCCCCGAAGGGATCATCTTGTAACCCATGAATTGGGAGGTGACCTTGTCTTCCCCATCGATGCCGACTTGAGATCCCTCGGGAAGGTCAGAGACGATGATGAAAGCTCCAGTCTCATAGTGATATTCGGCGCCTTCAGGAGTGAGTCTCATGTTTGTAGTGTGCGTATTTTGGATGCTGTGAACGGTCCGTTGCAACAAATCCAGGTATAGATTAATTTGTTGGAAATGTCGTGCATGATCGCATGATCGCATGATGAATCAGTTGCTCCGAGCTCGGGCTTTGAGCAACAGAAGTCAACTAGCGCGGGCGGAATCTGGATGGGGAACTTCTACCTGGAACGCCCTATTCAATCTTCCTATGGCCTATGTCAATCAAATCCAATCCTTCCGAAGCGCCGAAGCTACCCTGATGTTGTTGTGCATCTTGGTCACGTTGTGATTTTCCCTTATACTTGCCTACAGGAGAGGAAGCGGTGACGGTTACGCACTAGCTGGATTCAGAAAGCGATACGGCACGGCAAGTCACGAAAAGCACAACAAATGCGTATACAAGCAAGGTCCATGCGGAGGACTAGCAAGCTTTACATCTCGGTCATACATGAAGGGAGACGCATATAAATGTGAGATTAAAAGATGGCGAACGCTTAGGCAGATGATACATCGCCGTATTATAGGTAAACCTGAATGGCAGAAGCGCAAGTCGGCGATTCGTAAAGAAAGGTAGGGATGGATATCGCTGTGGATGTCTGGATGACCGGGTTGTGGTAGCTCAATGTCCACCGCCCATGGTACCGTAGCTCTTGGCGACGACGGCTTCTTCTTCACCCTCGCCCGGCTTGATATTGTGCAAGCCCAACTTCTTACGGACCAAGGTGACAGTAGCGACCCAGTCGACGCGGAGGAGCAAGACGGCCGTGGCGATACCCGCAAAGGTGATACCGACGGACAGACCGATCCAGAGGCCTCGGAGACCCATGTCCCGCTTGAAACAGAGGAAGGCTCCGATAGGCAAGCCCTGCGAGTCGATAGTGATCAGAGGAGTCTGGCTGTCATCTTCGGCGCGCAGGCGAGCTCACAATGATGTAATAGGCCATCAGGTTGATGATGGCGCCCTTCCTGACCAGACCGAGGACACGCATGGTACCACCACCGACACCGACGATACCATCGGCAGTCTACAGAGAAAAGGCGGAGCTTTCAGAACAGGTTCGTATCGAGTTGAGAAAGGCTTAGCTCACCTGGAACAAGGCAACGTAGATGGTGAGCTGGGCGACACCAGCGACGACGACAGGGTCCGAAGTGAAGAGGTATGCGATCTGATGTCTCAGAACAACGAGAATAGCACTGAAAGCAGCACGACGTTCAGCCGAAACCGGAATTTCCTATCCGACAATCGCCAAATACACACCTGTTGAACATCGATACGCCGACTGCGAGCGCGAGGGCGACCTTGCTGGCCAAACTCGCTTCTACAGGTCGGTTGGCTCCCAACAAGTTACCGATTCGGTTGGCCGCGGCGTTGCCTCCACTGAGAGGGAACTGGAAGAGGATCGAAGAGAACGAGAGGAGGACCGAGTTGACGGCGAGCTCGACCGTTCCTAGAGAGGCGACCATGAGACCGCAAATCTCCCAAGCCCACCATTCACTGGCGACTTGCAAGGCGCCTACGATCACGAACAATGGTCAGGCGTGATGTCACGGAAGCGGTTATGGTTTAGCTGGACTTACCGAAAGATCCCTGAGTGAGCAAGAACAAGGCCTGTTCCCCAGTGAAACCGCCCCATCCGTTCCAAGCCGTCTTTGGAGCAAAGAACATGGCCCAGACAACAGCGAGCGTAGCGCTATTGACCCCGATTACTGACATCAGCTTGCGATCCATCTGGCCTCTGAGACCATGCAGCTGACTCACGAAAGATTGAAACTGATCGAGGTCGTCAACGGCGCGCCGACGAAACCGATCCTGACAGCAGGAGGACCCCACACCAAGAGGTAGTTCAAACCCAGGTTGAGCGGGGCGACGATCCCGCTGATGACTTGATGCACGCCTTGCAAATTTTGAGCCATAAAGTACCTAGAGATGAAGGTTCATCACGATCAGGTCTATGAATTGCCAGGGAGATAAGTGATAGAAGTGGACTCACTTTCGCATCATCTGGTTCAAAGCGTACCCTGGCAGACCGACGGCGAGGTACCGGATGTACAACCCGGCACGGTAGGCCACTGCCTCGTCTTGACCCAGACGCAGGAGGATGTTCTCGGCATTCATCCAGACGATGACGATCGGGACCTGCGCGAAAGGTGTAGAATTGGTGGTCAGACAAAGTCTCTCGTCGGATACTCATACCATTCTGATGCCGATGCTCACCATAAGAGCCAAGACGATAATCGCACTGAACACCACATGTCAATCAGCATTGATACGATCCGCTGACCACCGCCTCACACGAAAACAAACTCACCATCGCTGCAACCAATACCCGACTCGCTGCGGCTCGCTCGACGTCCACGCGGTAGGCATAACCAGATCCACTGCACCCCGTAAAAAAGCCGAGCCCATGTCAGCAAGTTAACTCCAAGTCTCGAAAAATGCCATACAGGCGATCAGCCATGACCGGAACGACGACTCACGGGAAGAGATGAATCCTTGCAAGATCGAGTACCCGGTCACAGCCGCCGTCATGTTCGCCAAAGCGCTCGCCGCTAGGTCCGTCGTCGAAAGATGACCGATCGAGATGACGCTCGCCAGGGGCAAAGAATACTCCAACAACTGGGTCCCAAAGATCGGAGCTGCCGAGGCGCAGAGGACTTTGGTTTCCGCCCATGCGGAGGAGTACCAGGTGGGGGTGGGATGGGAAGGGGTAGGAGCGGCGAGGTGAAGGTCGGCGATCGGGTCTAGTTCGGTAGCGGGATCGAGGAGCATGTGGGTCTCTGCGCAATCGGTACCGGGTGAAGAGGAGGCGTCGTCGTCTTCCTCGGTCTGGACGGCCTCTTCCAGAGCGCGAGGTTCGGTGGATCGAAGAGGAGTCCGTTCGTCCGTACCCGCGTTAGTAGGGGGTTCGAGTGGGGTGAACCTCAAGCTCGACCTTCCCAGCTTGGGCGACATCGAATTGCTCCGATGACCATGGTGATGATGATGTCCATGATGCTGCGCCTGATGGATCTCATCCACCTCTTCCCCCGTCTCTGCCCCAGAGACGATCGTCGTCAACTTGGCCAACCTGGCTCGGTCGGAAGCCGAGTACTGGGACAACATCGACTCCCTCCTCTCGTGATTCCCGCCGTGTCCGAAGTGCAAGTTGTTGGCGATGGTGGACAGGACAGAGGCTCGACGGGCGTACCCGGCAAAGGCGTTGACGACGATATCAGGAATCCGATCATCCTCTGTCGAACGGGTCGACTGGGAAAACACCGAGTCCGAAGTGACATGGCCGGGTCTTCTGTTGTTGTTGTTGTCGTTATTCCTGTTGGTTTCAGTCCTGTTGTTGGTACTGCGTTCATTTCTACGATCGTCCTCCTCCTCCTCGTCATCGTCCATCAAAGGCTGCTCCTCCGGAATCACACTCGGATGCCTCGCTCCCATATGAGGTCTTCCGCCATGATGATCATGGGAAGATTGTTGCGAAGACTCGGAGAAGCGGCGGGCGGATTCTTGGTTAGGCGAGAGGACGTGATTGGCGATCAGGTTCTCCAGGTTACTTTGAATAGCTATGAAATGGGGTGGCGATAACAAACGGTGGTGATCAGTTTCAAGTGAAAGTAGATGATATACGGAAGAAAGAGATATGGGATGTACTGACTGTATGAAGTTCCGTATGAACTGGACAGAGCCCCGTTATTTGCGTGAAGACCGTATGAAGCCATCGTAAATTCGAATTCAAGTTCAAGTCCAAGTCGTTGGTCGTTGTCGTGTCCAGATCAAATGCAAGTGGCAATATCCGTAACAGATAACAGATAATGATAAAACAGGTCCTCCAAATGTGATAGCAGAGTGATGCAAGTCGGATTCACAGAGAAGAGGTCGAGGCTAGACAATCGGTCGATTGTTTGTTTTCTTGTGGCGAGGTGGATATCGATAAACCTGGGTCAGCCCGATCGATGAGCGAGAAAACTGGAACGGTGCGCGATAAAGCCCGGATCAATGGTGCAAGGTATGGCTGTGTCACCGTTGAGGGAGCACAAGTATACAGGAGATCCAGGAGATGGGACGATCGTCGCTGTGGACTGAGATCTGTCCAGGTCTGTTCAAAGAGGCGACGACATGCAACTCGTGCAACAAAAACACAAAAATGCGGGGAAACGACGTCGCCGAGGCGGACCTGTTGGCACGCCATCTGGAATCATTCCCGGAGGCAAATCTAAGGTTTACGGCAAATCATTGGTGGCTTTTCGCTCGAACGCCATGATCTCGGACATTCATCCAATGTTCTGTATGTCCGTGCATGCCCGATCTGCTTCCGTTTTCACCCGAAAGTCCAACTCGGGGACCAGGGACGAACTTTGGAAAGATGTGCATGCATGTTCGAGTCCTTGAACCCTTGTTTAACGAGGTAGAATTCCTGCCGACCAGCTACCTTAGCCCAACCGAACGCATCTATAACATTTCATTATGGATACCTACCAGACTCCGTTAACAAGGTCGGTGGTCTTGAGGCGCCTCGCCCGCCCGTAACTCGAGAGACCTCTACTGAACAAGTTCCACGGTTTCGATAGCCGATATGCGTCCAAAGAGATGTGCCAGCTCTTTTCCAGCGGTGTGAGCCTTCCTATCACCTGATCAGGCAAGATGTGACGGGGAATCTCCATGCTGATCTTGGATTCCCCGCGACAATGCCTGTGAACGCTCGACGCAGACCCGGTTCGGAACATGGAGGAAACTCTGGTTGAACCTCGCCATCGCCGAAAAGGTAAGCTAAGCACATCATGTGCCATCTGTCTCATCTCTTCTATTCAGATCAAGATCGTAATCGTGGGAGGGAAGAAACTGAGACTTTGCCCTGAACCGTTGTAGGAACTCGGACTGCCCATCTCCGACTCGGCCATCGAGCAGATGAAGGCCAACTTGGATTTGGACGAGGAACAGTTCAAGATCGCCGCTGTCGAGGAGAAGAAGAGGAGGCGTGAGTCATGACCTGAACTCTCATTCTGTATCGTGTCCTTTGTTTCGGACGGCTGACGGCTGCTTTGTGCTCCGCTGTAGACGATGTGATGGCGCACGTTCACACTTTTGGGGTCGTCGCGCCTGATGCTGCTGGGATCATTCAGTGAGTTCAGGATTCCGTCGGGTTGCACATGTTTGAGGATGTTGAAGTTGTATTGACCGGGATTCATATAGCTTGGGAGCTACTTCGTGTTACGTCACCGAGTAAGTCGGTACCTGAAAGCTTGGCAAGAAAGGAACCCCTCCCCTAACGACTCATCAACGATATCGCGACCTCGTAGCAACGCCGACCTGATTTTCTTGCGAGACGGGCTCGACATCCTCCTCCCCAAGCTCGCCACGGTCATCTCCCGTCTTTCCGAGTTCGCCCAGACCTACCGGGACCTCCCCACCCTCGGTTTCACTCACTTCCAGCCCGCCCAATTGACCACCGTCGGCAAGCGAGCTACCCTGTGGATCCAGGAACTCTTGTGGGACTTGAGGAACCTCGAACGTGCGAGGAACGATATCGGTTTCCGAGGCGTCAAGGGGACCACGGGGACTCAGGGGAGCTTCTTGGCCCTCTTTGACGGGGACCACGACAAGGTCGAAGCGCTCGACAAGCGGGTGACCGAGTTGTCCGGGTTGCCCTATGCTTACCCGGTCACCGGGCAGACTTATTCGAGAAAGATCGATGCGGACGTTTTGGGACCTTTGGCTAGTTTCGGAGCCACCGTCCACAAGATTTGCACCGACAGTGAGTCGACGAGCGGCGCTCAAGTGTCGTGAACAGATCAGCGACTGATGTGAAATTCGCTTGTGAACAGTTCGTCTGTTGGCCAACTTGAAAGAGGTCGAGGAGCCTTTCGAGAAGGACCAGATCGGTAGTTCTGCCATGGCCTACAAGGTAAATACTCGATATGAGCTTCGCGTCGGATCATGCCGCTAATGTCGTTGTCGATGCGTTTCTCTGGTTCTGTGTGTAGAGGAACCCCATGCGATCCGAGCGTGCTTGTTCTTTGGCTAGGCATCTGATGGTCTTGCAACAGGACGCTCTGATGACCAGCAGCGTGCAGTGGTTCGAGCGAACCCTCGACGACAGGTAAGAATGCGGTTAGATTTGCCATCGCTAGATTCATCCTGACCGGACGTCCCCGCCCACAGTGCCAACCGTCGTATCGCAATCCCCGAGGCTTACCTCACGGCCGACACCCTGCTCATCATCCTTCAAAACATTTCCGAGGGTATGGTCGTCTACCCCAAGGTCATCGCTCGTCGGATATCACAAGAGCTTCCCTTTATGGCCACCGAGAACATCATCATGGCCATTGTCAAGCACGGTGGGGATCGTCAGGATTGTCACGAAAAGATCCGGGTCTTGTCCCACGAGGCTGGAGCCGTCGTCAAAGAGCAAGGAGGCGAGAACGACCTGATCGAGCGGGTCAAGAAGGATAGCTACTTTGAGCCCATCTGGGCCGAGCTCGACACGCTCCTCGACCCTTCGACCTTTATCGGACGAGCTCCCGAGCAGGTCGACAAGTTTTTGGCCGAATGGGTCAAGCCCGCGCTCGAGCCCTACGCCGAGTCGTTGAAGAACATTCAGGCCGCCACGTTGAATGTGTAGAAAAATGAGTCGGCTGAGAACGCTATGGTATAGACGTGCAAACGATATGCACCAAAAGAGACTATCAACATGTAGTATTACATCCGAGAACCATTGCGAGATGCTAGATTCCCCGGTTCTAAATCCGTTCCAATCCAAAAAGTACGAGCGATAATACCGGGCGAGGTGACGTGTTGTTGCGAGCATACCTGGAAAAGCATGAAGGCAAATGATGTGCAGGGCGTGCAGCTGCAATATTTTCAAGATGAAGATGTAGTAAAGAGCACCGATTTCCTGACCAAAGAAACGTCTTTACGCTTCGACGGCGGAATTCCTCCTTTCCTGCCCGATCGGGCCATAATCCTTGGCGACCTCTGATCCTGCCCATACCATCTTTTCCTCTTCCCCTTCATCTTCACGATCGTCGTCGTCACAGGTGAGTCCGGCGAGGATCCCCAAGACATCGTTCTCCTCCTGGATCTGGGTGCCCTCGAACCCCTCGTTGTCCTGAATCGGCGAGAAGGGGGTAAAAGGACCTGGAGAAGGCGGAGCGGTCTTGTTTTCCGAGATACCAGACCACGACATGGGAGTGAGCGCGGTCGGGAAGACACCTTCGAACGAACGGTTCGACGCGGGCGAAGGGTTCCTATCGATATCGGAGCGTTGCGGCGTGCTCAGTTGCGAGTTGCCGAGAGACGAAGTGCTAGAGGCGAGCACGTGATTTTGCACCTGCAAAGACGAGTGCGGCCGACTGTTGTTGTATGAAGCCGACGGATCCGAGGGGGTCTGAGGGGCGAGCTTAGTGTTGTAACGTTGTTGCATGAACGGAAGGAATTGGTCCGCCAGACTCTGCTGGTGCGCTTGCGAGAGCCCGATCGCCTGTTCATGAAGTGGTTGAGCCTGGAATGGCTGTTGTGACTGGGTTGGCTTTTGCAAGTGAGATTGTTGGAGCTGGAAGGGTCCCTGCGCCTGTTGGTCAAAGCCTTGCACCGGACCTCGTTGAGTTTGGGGCGGGTCATTGTTTCCGAAATAGGACATGCGATTCTCGTAGGGCGTGATCGGAGGGGTAGGGAGAGCAAAAGACGCCTGGCCGCTTGAGTAAGGAGCTGACGAGATTCCCGGACCCATCCCGAGCGCCGAACCAAAATCGAGCCGGACAGGTGCGTTGGTCCGCCTGACCTTTCTGGGAAACCCTTCTCCTTCCCACCTGACCTTGATTTGTTTGCCGCCGTAGAACCTGCCGTGCATCCAAGAGACCGCGTTGGCCGCCTCGCGGATCGTCTTGAAAGTGACCGACGCGGACCTGGTCAAGGCGTTCTCGTGGGGAGGGAGGCCGGAATTGTCGGGTAGGAAGGTCGCTCCGGTCACGTCCCCTCGAGGTAAGAAGCCTCGAATGACATGGTCGATGGTAGGGAACGCTTTGGCGCACTGCAAGATCCAGGTTTTAACGCGTTAGAAACCGGTTGGCAACTCATCAATCACGCAAGCCTACTCACGAGACCTTCCGCAATGACAGTAGTGGACGTCATGTTCGGTGGAGGACTTTCGGAAGAACCACCCCTATCAGCCGTGATGATAGGGGCCCTGTGTTGAACCGGTTGGAACGGCTTGAGTTGGGCGGGAGGGGTACGAAACGCGGCGTTGTATTGCCATTGATCCCGGTGAGAATCGGCGGGAGGCGGTTGGAAGCGCGAGAAGGCTTGTCGAGGGGCTATCGATGCATCAGGGTTGTGGTCAGTATAAAATCATGACTTGTTGGACGTGCTCAAAGACCGACGACTCGCCTCCTTGTTGCTCGGAGTGAGATCCCTTCTGGACCTGAGCCCACGATACTTCAAGTCGACAATTCCTTTCCATCCAAGAGAATGCATCAGCGATTCCGACTGGACGAACCCGTTACGCGCGACCGAGAAGAGGACTCACTTGAGCGTCCTTCCTTGAGTTTTGTTCACGAGATTGCATGCTTCCTCATAGCTCGCCATCAACAGGAATCCCCTACGCCGGCAGCAAACATCAGCTCTTTCATCCGAGTACATCCCTCTCGATACAATCCGACTCACCTCCTCCTGCCCAGCGAATCCAGCATCGATAGGAGACACGCGTGTTCGATCTTTCCGAATTGCGAAAAGACCGCTTCGAATTCGCCCCTATCCGCCATGTTATCAGCGTGGCCTCGTAATATCCCTATCGACCCCTTCGACACTCACTGACTCATATCCAGAGGCAAGTTCAGGACGTAAACATTCTTGGGAAGATCGTCGTGAGAGGCTGGAGGTGGTTGAAAGAGTCGACTAGGTTTGGTTGGAGAGATATCGATCGCGGAGGGCGGGGAGTCTGGGAGGGTGTAGCCGGAGAGGAGGGAGCTCGAATGGGTTCCGGTGAGCGAGTTGCTAGGTGAGAGAAGAGGGATGGGTCGATGGCTGATGGTGGGTTGCGACATTGAGCTGTGATAGAGGTTGAAACCGGGGAAAGAGGGTCGAGATCAGCCTGCGGTACTACGGGTTTGATGGCGATCCAGTTCTCGAGGGTACGGACACGTTCGACGCTTCGAGACCAGCCTTTGCTTCCAGGATCTTGTCTAGCTCCGATTTACTGAGTACACCGACGTCTAGGGAGATGGTGCCGCTTGCCGAGAGCTTGAAAGGACCGAGGATCAAGTTGTTCGCTGGGAGAAGAGATCGACGACGATGATGATGATAGAAACTCGATCAACATGGATTCGCGCCGTCGGAATGTCGTTGCGGTTACTGAATGAAGGAGATGAAGGCTTACTAGCATAGGCAAAGAACTTTTTGAGGTCGTCAGTGTTGACTGCGAGGCGAGGCAAAAGGTGTCAGCGATCGAGGGAATCGAATGGCTCAGAGGCAAAGGCTTGATCAGACGTACCGTTCTTGGAGAGCCCGTTCAGCGTAACGCCGTAGACGTAGTCGGTAGGAGCCATCCTTGGTCGATGTGTCTTGTCGCCTGGATCGTGAACCTAGCCTAATGAGAGTGTAGAAGAGTTTGATTATACAGGAGTCGATCGAGGAGGAGAGGCTGCGAGGGGTCTGGGTTATATAGCTTTGTGATGTGTGTTCGTTGATGGAGGAGTGAATGGTCCTTTGATCAATCGACCACGCGAGATCGCGCCTAACCGAAATCATCCGGACGCTAAAATACTTCCGATCAACCCCTCGATCACAGCCTAGTTCAGCAGCAGGTCCAATTCCTTGTTATTTCTCCTTGTACAACGTTCATGCAGACACAGAAGCTAGAACACGAAATGTTTCTTCCCTAGTGTTACCGATGTGGCTGGCGGTGCGTCACACAATACGCCATCCGCCTTGACTTCGTACGTCTCCGGGTCGACTGATGAAACAGGTTCTGATCAGTCGCGCACTCGAGAATTCCAGACAAGATCCGCCACCCTGCTTACCGGTCATCTTGGGCAGACTGTTGTTATGCTTCATACTCCTCTTACTGATATCTCTACAATTGATCACCGGCTCGGCCATCTTCTTCAGACCGTACGACGCGATCGTTCCTGCCAAATCCAGCACCAGTAGTCGGTGGATCAGTTCCCGACTCGAACTCTCGTAGCAAGATCACGCTGCATCACCCACCGTTCTCGATTGACGCCTTTGAAGCCCAGATGATAGAATGTTTACCGACTGAGGACGGTTGAGCCGCCCACATCGGTCGACCATAAGCCGGTTGGACCGTCGGGATCGACCCGTTAGCTTCTCCCATCTATTCCGAATACGGTCAGGTCATGCTCTCGATCAGCACATCGATCTAGGTACGTGATGCTTCATGAGGAAAGCCGAGTGACACGCACCTGCGCCCATGCGATGACACCCCCCTTGACGATCATCTCGGGTTTTGCACCAAAGTTTTCAGGTTTCCAGATGACCAGATCGGCCAGACATCCCACGGCGACCTGACCGATCAGATGCGACATTCCATGGCAGATCGCTCTGAGCAGTTCAAGTTTTTCAGCGCCCCTATCCGAGAATTGCATCATCAAGGTGGAGCAGGTAGGACTCACGGATTGATGGTATACTTGGAGATGTACCGCTTGACCCGATTGTTATCGCACATCTCCCCGTCCCCCTCCAGAGAACCCCTGACGCCCTTCATCTTGTCAGCCGTCCGCCAGGTCCGGGTGACGACTTCGCCGATCCGCCCCATTGCTTGAGAATCGCTGCTCATCATCGAGATGGCGCCCGTGTCGTGGAGGACGTCTTCGGCGGCGACGGTCTCGGCTCGGATACGAGAGTCGGCAAAGGCGATGTCTTCGGGGATCGACTTGTCGAGATGGTGACAGACCATCAGCATCTGTCTCAGACGTGGACGTTGTTAGCATTTTCGATCTCGCTATCTTGAACGCCAAGGGTGCGACTCACGTCGAGATGCTCGTCCAGGGTGTTGTGAGCATAAGGTCGGGTTGGGTTCGTGGAACTCGGCAGGACGTTTGGGTGTTCGCATACGACAATAATGTCCGGGGCGTGTCCACCTCCCGCTCCTTCCGTATGGTACCTAGAGACTGGAGCGAGGTCAGCTTGGAATCGTCGTTGTTACTAAGGAGTTGGTCTTCACGTGTGGATCGTTCTGCCCTTGAACGCGTCGATCGTCGTCTCGACGAAACCGGATTCGTTGAGCGTGTCGGTATGGATATTGACCTGAACGTCGTACTCATCCCCGATAGACAACGCTCGATCGATACACTCTGGCGTGCTACCCCAGTCTTCATGCAGCTTGAGACCGGCCGCTCCGGCTTCAACTACGTCCTTGAGAGCTTGACGGCTGGCGCCCGAATCGTTTCCTTTACCGGTGAACGCAAAGTTGAGAGGGATCCCGTCCGTCGCGGCCATCATCGTCTCGATGTAGAATTTGGACGAGGTACAGGTCGTCGCGTTGGATCCAGCAGCAGGTCCAGTCCCGCCTCCAATCAAGGTCGTGATACCCGACGCCATGGCCTGTGTGCATGTAATCAGCTTTCCCTGACAGATGGCTGCCTTCATGAACGGACTTGCCTCTTTCCAGAGATCAGTGCAGATGTAGTGGACGTGCGCATCGATCGCCCCTGCCGTGACGATGAGCTTCTCTCCGGCAATGACCTAGAGATGACCGATATCTGAGCGCCGTGCCACACACAACATGCCTGACCCCGCTCACCTCGGTATTCGAGCCAACGATCATTCCCTCGGTCACATTGTCCATCGTATCGGGGTTTCCTGCCTTTCCGATCCCGACGATCTTGCTGTTCTTGACCCCGATGTCTGCCTTGAAGATGCCCGACCAGTCGATGACGAGGGCGTTGGTAATGACCAGGTCGAGCACTTCGGCATCGGAGCGGTCGGACGCTTGACCTTGTCCGTCTCGCAGGGTTTTGCCTAGAACTCGGAACGATCATGAGACTATGTATGTATTGGAACCAATGGCCTGACTCACCTCCCCCGAACTTGCACTCGTCTCCGTAGACGGTGTAATCCTTTTCCACCTCGATCCACAGGTCGGTGTCTCCAAGCCTCACTCGGTCTCCAGTAGTGGGACCGAACATCGATGCGTACTACGGATTGACGGAGGTCAGTGAAATAGTTATGGGCGGCCTTTCGAAGTTGCGACTCACGACTTCCCGCTCCATCTCCTTGGAGACAAAGATCTCCTCTGCCTGACCTTCGTTTCCAATAGCGAAGCCTCCCTTGTCCAGCAAACTTCTGACCAACTCTACGCCTTCCAAAGACTTAGCGTCCAGTCCTGCATCCCTGACAGCAGTAGCGATCCCACTTCCACCCTGTACGAGCTGTTTCCCACCGAATTGCGTCATGACAACCGACTTGCTCTCGCCTGGCTCGAAACGGACAGCCGTGCCTGCGGGAATATCAAGACGAAGAACTTGCTGGAAGGCGAGGATTCGGTCGAAACGCAGAGAGCCATTCGTCTCCAGGAATGGGTAATGGGATCCGATCTGAGGCCAGACGGAGAGAATGAGCTACAGGCTGCGCACACGATCGATGTTGACGAAACGAGCCTACTTGAATCGGTCGGTCCCCCTCGTTGGCGACCTTGAGTTTCCACTTTTTACGTCCTTCATTCAACTTGATGGGTTCCCTCTTGCAGACGACCGCTCCGGGAAGTTCGTAAGCCTTGGGGCGATTCGTGATGGGCGGGAAGAGGTCGGCAGAAGGGATGGGGAGGAAGGAGCCGTACAAGGCGTTCTCGACTGCGGAGAGGAGCACGAGAAGCGTTCAAGTGAGCTCGATACGGTATGTAAAGAGTGAGTACGACGTACGATTCCCATCGTCCGAGCATATAGGATCGTGTACGGTCACCAAGAACGTCCTGTTTCGATTGAGAAGAGCTTCGGTCAGGTCCGAGTTCGAGAAAGGCAACCAGGATCCACTGTACGAACCCGTCCTGATGACCCAAAGAACGAGCATTCAGCCGGCTATACGATCTATTAAAGCTCAACGAAGGCTCACCTGAAAGGTCCCTTCGATCTGAATGTCGTGTATCGACTCCTCGACCCCTTCCATCACATGCCGTCTGCCCAGAAACTCTTTGCCGAGCTGCATCAAGTCGGCCACATTGAGCTTGCCATCTCGTACGTATTCTTGTAATTGGAAAGCTATCAGAGCGACGGCCTCTGATCTGTTCAGCTTGAGACCCCTGGCGAGCCGTTTCTGAGCTAGGAAACCAAGGTTGGCGAGCAGGAGCTTGTCCTGATAACGAGCAATCGGTCAGATGCGGGTTGCGGGAGCGAGGTCGATGGGCGTACCTGTTCTCTCGGTAGCAGATGCATGTTGGTGATAGTTGGGGGTCACAGCTGCAGAAACAATATCTCCGTAGCGATGAGAAGCAATTCTTACAAAGCTATACATGCTATACAGAGGCCATAATTCGTGAACGTCAAAGGAACTCCGAGCTGCTCGGGAATGGTCAATCGGAAGCATATCCACGATTCCCGATAAGAGAATTACTTCCGGTCGGCCCCGCTTGCGCGATCGTACGCACAAGTGGCAACTGGTCAATAATCACTGCTTGCCGACACCAGTCAGCGTTCCGAGGGTTAAGCTTGTTGAGATTCAAAACGCTCGCTTCCTACCCTTCCTGCATTTCTTGACGAATCAGCCGAGCTTCGATGGAATGTCATCCCGGTGTCGCCGACCACGACGAAAGGGGAAAGCGCATTCTTTGGCTTGTATATCCTTATGGCATCCGATAGCACGAAATCTTCAGTCTCGAAGGTGTTATTTCTCATGAGATGCCCTGAGGTATGTTCGAGCCGAGGCACGATCTTTCGATGACACGAAACCCACGCTTCAGATTGACTTGTGGTCTGGAGACGAGATATGCCATTTTGACTAGGAGAACTCGAGGAGGCAGTCGCCGGGCGATGAAGCCGGGCTCAAGGTACGCAATCAATACTTGCGTGTCGGATAAGGGATCGTTACCAGGTTCCGGATAACTACGTAGGTCGAGTCGGAATGAATCATTCGCATCTGGAATCGTGGGGGTTGACCAGGCGCGCCGCCTATGAAATGGGCCGCGCTGCGCTTGCGCGGAAAGCCGGGCCGAATGTTGTTTAAAACGACGATGCATTTGAGTCAAACGGCACAAAGACCATATTTCTACGGTAGTCTGGCATGTAAGCACGAGTAGATCATATAGCCCAGAATTAAGACTTGGCGCAAAGGACCGGTGAACGCCACCGGCAAAATTCCTGGAGAGACAGGGCTCGCGCATCCAGCCAACAGCACCGGGATGCCACTCCCCTGAGCGCAATGACCGGGCAGAAATCTTTACAAGAGGCAAGTTACTGGTCATTGCAACTTGAGCTGGACGAGGACAGCCGGTGATGGTAAAGCGAGGCCGCGAGCGCGCAAGGGACAGGGGGTTGCGAAGTCGGGAGCAAGTAAGTACTGAAGCGCGCTGTAACTGAAGGAATTGAAAAGAAGGAGAAAAAATAGGTAAACACAGGGCAAAAAGCAAGGCGGAAACCAGGATTCGAACCTGGGATCTCTCGTATTCAGTAAACCCAAAACGAGAATCTTAACCACTGGACTATTCCCGCCTTTCCCGCTTCTTGCTTGAAGAAACTAGTTCGTTGCAACTGGGTTTCTATGCTATATGACAGCAATCTTGAGGTCGGTCATACCCTTGTCGATGACATTCCAAGCGAGCCAGAACATACCCTAGTTGAAGACGATCCGACCAAGCCACAGCAGACAAACGCCCCTCAACCGACGAGGCGATCTAGCGCGGGACGAAGCGTACCGCCAATTAGGATGTGGGACCAAGCGAGAAAAGGAACAAGACCGGGAACGCTATTGACGACAAACATACCGTAGTTGAAGACGATCCGACCGTGACGAAGGCCCCTCAGACTACCAAGAAAAAGCTCGGAAGGCCCCAATGCCAAAAAGCCCGAGCAGCTCAGTGCCAGCGAGATGGCAAGTGGGTTTGTTATACAACACAAAACTGAACTCTGCCAGTTGTTAAACATATGGACAGAGCCAGAACATACCCTAATCGATAATGGCCGGTTCTAGTTCAGTCTCCATAAGGCTTCTTTCATTGCCTGTTTGGATGTTCATACCAAATCCGTGAGGACCATAGAAGGCCAAGGTCTTCAACTCAAGCTCTATGAATGTGCAACAAGGATTTGGAATCTGCTCATTCATGTGAGACCTGTATTTTGGTATGGTCTGAACGTGTATAGTCCACTACAGATTGTCCTTTTTGTGCATGATTGGTCATACAATATATCTTGACCCGATGTTATGTTCACAGCAAAGTCTGTTTGTTAGTTTGATATATATATACGATCTCCAGTCACGTCAAGCAGCACTGATACCAAACCATTACGCGCCCTGACTTGTAGACAGGAAGTACCCACAATGTCTGTGTTTGCCTCGAAAGGTAGTCGGCAATGCCACCACAGTGCCAAGGTGAGCCATTGAATGTATGGTCGCTCGGTATGGTGAGCGCGATATCAGCATTTCGATTGCTGGACGGCATTCCGCATGTTCAATTGTGGACGGCATAGTGGAAACACAATAGAAAGCCTACAACAATCCTCAATCTTGCCTTGAGAGAGGTGTCCAACGCTATTCCTCTCAATGACATCAGTAGTGAACGAGATGTCAGCGGTATAAGGTCGCGGTTCATTTCCTGGGATCTTACTGTATTGCACTTATGACCAATATATCGCTCGCCGGATCAGCGTCGGCACAGGCAGCGACTGGAGAAAGACTGCAAGATAAGTCGCGTAAAAATTAAATCTCACCTATTCGATCTCACCTACTCGAGAGCTTTGAGATGAGGACCAGCAAAGGAAAGCAGGGGTTCGCTCAGGCGGGTGTAAGTACAGAAGGGCGGCATTCGAAATGGAACATTTGCAGGTTAGAACGCGACTTTGATGGCGGCAGCCTCGGCGGCTGTATCGATGCTGCAAGAGGGAGCGAGAGGAGAAGGAAACGCTGGTAGCGCAGTCCTCCTGCAGATCAGGCACTAACCTCCGTGGCGGTTGTAAAAAGGCGGTGCTAGACTAACCATAGACCGGATGCAACATCAGTGTTTCGATCTTTACAAACCGTATGAGGATTCCTATTCCAAAATGTTTCACTCGTCTTCTATGCTTCTCTGTGGTTTTTTGAAGCAACAAGACCACTCTGCGCTTGGCAGCAAAAACGTGAGAACCTCAGCAGATCGATGAACGGTAATGGAAGTGAGGACAAGGACGATCGCGTAGTTTGTGTCGTTGTATGTCGTGGAGGGCCAAATGATGCAACGCGGTACCTGCACCGACTGGTAAGTCGATAATACAAGAGCACATATGCGAAACTGGGCTATACGGCGGAAATACCGTCCCTGATATGAGCGGCAGCAAGCGGAAGAGTAAATAGATTCTTCTCTCTACTTCGGTGATTACCAAGATGATGAGTACTGAGTATGAGTATGAGTAATGAGGAAAGAGACTTTATATGTACTAAATTGCGACTCTGAATCTGAAGGAATGATGTCTGTGGTGGAAAGCGCTAAAATCGACCCCAGGTTTCCACGCGATTCGCCTGCGCTGGAATAACGAATGATCTGCGATGTGATATGCGAAAAAAGATGGACGCGATATCGCCGAACGTCATCCACCTGAATACTGCTGAGACAGCAAAGTACGCATGCCCAACTCTTATTACAGTGAGACGAGGAGAAATCATTCTTAGTGGCGGCAGCATTACCAAACTGTCGACTTTGATAATTTCCCAAGTGATGACGGGTCTTGTCGTATATCGGATTGACCTTTGACAGACCTTCAGCGAATGGTTTGAAAGGGTTGCTTACCGAGAAGCCGAACAGAAATCGAGGTATCCGCGAGGGCAGGGTACCGAACGACTACTGTACGCCAACCGTGGACTGCGACTATCCATGGCCTTCTTCATGCGCTTCTCTACTTAGACACACTCGTTACCCCTTATGAATCCTGTCTCACATCGCGCTCCGCATGATGTCGCTTGAACGAATCGTAATCACGAGCTGGAGGGTTCTATAGATTGGCTCATCGTGGACCCATATACAGCTGCTATTGTGTATGGGAATGTCGACCGATGGCACTTTATTCGTCTCTCCCTTATTCAAGCCATCGCCGCACAACTTTTACCTCGAGGCACCTATCTCTGCTCGATGTTTTACCTACCAATAGCACATGAACGCGTGCATCTGAACAGCATGGCCGAATTGGCCGAATTCATGATAACCTTTCAAGCGCGGACGCGCTGCGCCTTCAAACATAGTTCCCAAGCAGGAAATATACGAGTCGATGCCGAAATCGTCCTGAAGCGACTAGCAGCGCACTGAATTTTATGATGTCATACACGCCGTCTCGATAAGTCTCACGGTATCGCAGGCAGGGACTCTCCTGTCTATTATCGAAATTCGTTATCGCAATTTGGTCCGGTACGATAGGATGGGACTGGTACCACTCTGAAACGCGAACCCCCTTCCGGCGCGATCTGCTTCCAGTGACGGACCGCGAATCCTTTCTCGTCAATCGAGCGATCAGGCGAATCGATCGATGTTGTCGTCTATAATGGATAGCCGCCCAGGATGATTGGGTTGGCTTGCTCGATTTCTGGCATCGGTTCAGTATTTCTCCTTGATGCCCTGTCATCTTTGTCTCCGTTATAGTCTAGCCTTAATCTTCTTCTTCAAAACGGATTGCACGGGACCTCTAGGTCTTCAAGACTTACGGACAAGTGGAGGTCGAAGCCAGCTCGACCGGAGTCTACAGCACCTGGAAGCGACAAGACATTCTCAAGGTAATCATACCAATTCACTTGATTCACAACGATGCCGCGGCTGCTATTCTCGAATACACTATCTGCGCCTGATATATGCACGAAGTGCGGCTCGCTTTTCGATGGCAAGTGAAATGATTGTCACTCGACGTCGCGGTTCCGATGCAATATGAGAACGCACGTACGAGCTTGAAGCAGGTCCTTCTATCTGAGCCGTGGTCTGTCATTATCTGGTTTACTGATCCTAGGCATATGGGCGTGTTTCGAAGTCGGGCTCATTCCCAACACCAGCCAGATCGTCTCCTCTTGCGGCGCCCGGGCATGGTCCGCTATCAGGGCGTCGGCCGTTCTCGGGGCCAACAAGACCAAGAAGGTCATGGGTCATAAAGCCAACTCGTCTGCGCTCGAAGATATTTATGACCACGCTCAGGAAGCTATCGATTGGAGAGGTGAGAGCCAACTCGACTGCGCTGGAAGACTTCTAAGACCACGCTCATAACCTATCGATTGGACAGGCGCGATGCTAGGAGAGAAAGCTCTGGCCGTCGATCTACATCACCAGCCTTTCATCAGGTTCGATACTCCTTTCGGCTACCTGCTACCGCGTCCTTCCCTCTAATTTTCCCTTTTTAGGAGCGCTGGCTGGGAAGCTAAAACTACCGGAGGCTCTTGAGCGGGATTTAGAGTGCATTCAGGTCGCTCGACATCTGTCGGTCATGCGTCTATGCTTGACGACTGGGTCGGAGATGTACAAACGCCTACCTTCTTACAAGGAGAGAGGATATCGATCCAGCCTTTGAAATCGCCGTCCTGCTCACCAAGTTGAAGGCTCGAACTGCGGTTCTATCGAGGTGAGTTCTCTGCCTCCCACCCTACGTCGCTAGACTATTTTTTTTCTGAAATTGCCCCTGCTGCCTGTGTCTCCAGACGCACTATGCTTGATGCGCAGCTGGATGCAAGCTCGGCAATCGAACTCGACAATGGTAAGCAGGCGTAATCACCAGCCATAAACGTTACTGATAGACGACACCCCTGACCCGTAGCCTTCGTCGAAGCTAGAGCGGCCAAGTTTGCTGCAACCTCCAAGATTTCCGAGGCCCTACAGGCTCGCTTTGAAGAGATCGGGAAGAAGCTCGCAGCAGATCTCGCCGCCGCCAGTAAGACAGCCGATCCCCGTGCTCACCATGTTCCGGTCGCTCTGGATATGGAGGTGGTTGAGCCGGGGCTGGACGATGAAGACGAAGTCGAGCAGGATCTAGACAAGGTTGACGAAATGGCCAATCCGGGAGGCTCGCAGGATCCGGATGAGGTCAACGAAGCGCCGGTTGTTGCGAGCGCTGCCGACATGCCTGGATTTCCCTAAAATGCTCGTACGGCCTATGTCGACGGGAAAAACGACCCAATCGCCTTGGCTTGCAAAGTTGTCGTCACCGGCGATACCTCCCTCGAAAAGTTCTTTCAGCTTGCCCCCAACAAAATTCGCCTAGTCCGGAACCTCGTTTCCATTGATGGCGACGATATGAGGGCTAAGAAAACTTGCGATCTCTGTGTTCTCGAGGATATCGACGACAAGGACAAGCTATGGGCGGCAAAGGACCTGTATGCTCACCAGGTGGAGCGAATTCATCACACGCCGGCGATGCGCTTCGAACGCTACCTTGACAAAACCCCGATTGCTAGTTACGTAACGGAACTCAAGGAAGGGCAAACACGTAGCTGTCCCTTTTGTGGTAAAGGGACGTATGCGGGGTACGAGCGATTTGCCAGGTTGATCGATCACATCGGAAAGACGCACATGCAGGATCTCCCGGAAGTTCACCAACTCTATCTACGCCACAGAGTGTAAGTAGTCTCTCGTAATCGCCAGCCAGAAGACAGCCCGACGTCTTTTCAGAGTCTGACCATAACTTGCCGTGAAACCTGCTATTGCCCATCGATTCCTGCCTCTTTCGGATTCCATGTCCAACAGCTTCAAGTATTTCCCGACGTATGCAGAAAGGAAAGCAGCCGGCTGGACGCGTGACACTAAGGTTTTGAGCGGAAGGGTCCTTCTGGTAGATTTCGAGCGCGATCTGTGGTTCGATGCTCGTGCGTCTGAGCGCGATCGTAGTGAAACAGATTCTTGTTGTCTTGACTCACCTTGCGGAGGTGTCCGCTGCGCTGATTCTCCTTCTCGATCACTTCCTTCGCAACAATTTCAGCCTCAAACACCTTGATCCTAGCGTTTCCGACGTTCGATGTAAACGGATACCAAAATAAACAGTACTCAATCGATTTGAGCCCATTCCATCAAGCAGAACGCATATCGAAATAAACGGACTCACTTGACTTCAGCCCATCCCAAATGCTTCACAGCTGCCATCTCCGCATTAGCCTCAACTTTTTTGGCTTCGGCCTCGAGCTTTAGACGGTGAAAAAGACGGTAAAAGAGAAAGAGAGCTTGAGTGTGATCAGGAAGCCAACGGGAAGCGAAGCACGGGGTTTAGGATCCGGAGCCTGACCTTCCTGACTTGAAGGACCGCTTCAGAACACATCTTCTCCTGCGCTTTCGCCATCCTTTTCATGGCGTCATTGCGCCCTTCAGCATGGTGGATCTGAGCAGCAGCAAACACCCTGGAGATTTGCTGAAGATGATATTGGATGTCAGCCTCACGCCATTATGTATCCCGTTCACGACTCATGTAAGGACCTGATCGGTTTGCCGGTAATGTGTCGGGTCCTGATAACTCACCTCTTCATCCCAATTCAACAAGCACTCGTCCCTCTTGGCACCCAAGCCCAAGATCTGATTATCGCTCGCTGGAGCAGCGGCCATCTCGCTGGCACTGAGCTGCTCGGGCTTTTTGGCATTGGGGCCTTCCGAGCTTTTTCTTGGTAGTCTGAGGGGCCTTCGTCACGGTCGGATCGTCTTCAACTACGGTATGTTTGTCGTCAATAGCGTTCCCGGTCTTGTTCCTTTTCTCGCTTGGTCCCACATCCTAATTGGCGGTACGCTTCGTCCCGCGCTAGATCGCCTCGTCGGTTGAGGGGCGTTTGTCTGCTGTGGCTTGGTCGGATCGTCTTCAACTAGGGTATGTTCTGGCTCGCTTGGAATGTCATCGACAAGGGTATGACCGACCTCAAGATTGCTGTCATATAGCATAGAAACCCAGTTGCAACGAACTAGTTTCTTCAAGCAAGAAGCGGTAAGGAAAGGCGGGAATAGTCCAGTGGTTAAGATTCTCGTTTTGGGTTTACTGAATACAAGAGATCCCAAGTATAATATGTGAAATCTGCAATAATATACTTGGATATTGATAGGTCATTGCGTTATAATAATATGTCAACTTAAAACGCAATCTCCGTGAGTTCCCTTTCGTACGCCGTCTTTCGATTATAGGGACTAAGGATCATCCGAGTCTTCACCCCAAGCTCTCATGCCAGTACAACGATGCGCGATGCAAGGGATTACTCTGATCGCGCTCTGGTGTGGGGTTGAGGATAGTTTAGGATCTGTTCCCCAGGTTCAAGTCCTGGTCGCCGCCGATGGGCTTGACCCCTCGACCTATTTGCCAGTAGGTCAGTATCTCATAGCGACATTGCATCGCGTACGACTGGCGAATTTTATATCAAGGTGTTTCATATATCCGCACTTTGAGCTTACGAAACGACTGCCCTGGAAAAGTTGTAGACATCATTCGTCTAGATGGCAACAGTCCCATGGCCGCACTTCCAGCTTAGTCATTCTTGTTTTTTGAAATCTATACTTTTGCTACATCGTGTGAACACACCAAACTCTGAGGGACTCATGGCATCGGGCTGATCCGTTTCAACCCCTTTTCCAAACCCACCCCGACGGCCCCCAAACCGATCACGATCCAAGTCCAAGGATTCCCCACCTCCCGCAGGCCCGGCCAGAAACTGTTCTTCTCTCCTCTCCACGTCTGTAGCTGTTCCAACTTGCCACGAGATCCTTTTCGGTACCTCTCCTCCTGGTCGGACTCGTTCTCCTTGTCTCCGCCTACGTAGCGAAGGAAGAGATAGTTGGCCAGAGGTCCGATAAGGGAGAAGAGGGACAAGGAGGAAGAGGCGTAGGACAGCAAGGGGAAAGAGAGGTGGACGAGGGCATCGCCGAGATAGTTGGGATGACGGACGATGGACCAGACTCCGGAGCGCTGGAGCTCATTCGAATTGGAAGGGGACCGTTTACGCTTGTGCGCTTCGAGTTGATAGTCGGCGAGGATTTCCAGAGCGAGACCCGAGGTGAAGAGCGCGATGGCGAGGTTGTGGACCACCTCGGCGATTACGGCGGAAGAAGGGGTGATAAAGCTAGTGACTCTGGATCCGACGGGGTTGGACAGGGGGATGCTCCATGACAAGGCGATCAAGGATTGAGCGAGACCCTCCATCCCAAAGATCGAGAGCAAGGTCTTGTTCCATAATCCCTCCGATTCGGCGTCATTGCCATGAAACTTGGCGTACCTCGGATCATCCTGACCTCGACGTAGACTCCGACTGACGATCCGGTAAAACAGTCTCGTCCCCCAAACCGTCACCCCGCCGAGTAAGAGTTGTTGCGCCCAAGGCAGGGATTTCAGGACGACGCTGACCGGGGAGGACAAGCTCGAGTTGAAAGCGGGTCGGAGGGCATGGTACCAGGCGTTGACGACGAGACCGGACGGCCACAGCCAGTCTTTGATGTCGACTCGTTTGGTGAGACGGCTGATACCGTAAGCTCCCAATGACAGGGCGGCGTGGATACCGAGTGAAGGAGCGAGGGCGTTGTGGAAGACGCCGGTCGGGGTGAACGTCACTGCCAGCGTTGACGGTAGGAAGCCTGTCATGGCTGATGCACTGGTCGCCGAATTCGAAATATTCTTGAGGAAGTGATGTGCAGTTCGAGCGAAAGGTGACGATTCAGTGAGTGATTCATACGAGTAGCAAGCTGCGAGTTGCAGGGGAAGTTCGAAGCCGAGGTGTTGATAGCGAGATGACGTGAGACATTTGGCTGGGCGCGCGCCCGAAGAAACTCGATTAGTAATCTGGATTAGAAGAGGATTCAAAATTCAAGGGTTGTGACGAGGTTCATTAGTATTGGTTTGTCAATGCGGACAGCCCTCGGTCGTCTCCGCGTCGGGGTACCGTTAGGCTGGCTGCTGCATGGAACACATCTATCGACCTCACCCACGACTCGGCAGTAATTGCAGTAACAATCTTTCTAGGTCTACACTGTCAGAACATTCAGCGATTCTATAGATTCTACAGAGCACCTCGGACTGGACCGGCTGGACCTTCTACCGTCGAGCATGGACATTCCGCTCGTCTTCGAACAGACAGAGTTTAGCATCCACGTCCCTCACGTACCTGGCAACCTAGATCCTCCTTCTGATCAAGCCGAGAGGGAGACATGGGTTCAGGGTCTCGTCAAGAGTCAGGGAGAACGGGAGACCTGCTTCTACGGTGAGCAGCGCTGATGCATTGGGAGTTGTTTCGCGCTTGATCGAGCTCGCTGACATGTGCTCTTGTCCGGGAATGTCGACGTGCAGATGAAAAGTTGATCTATATCTGCAAGCTGTCTTATCGAGCGGGACCTCTGGTACAAGGCGACTGGCAGACAGCAATAGGGCATGTCTGCCATTCAGTAAAGGTCGGTCCCTGAGTGATCATGTCATCATATCAAGACACTAGCTGATCAGCTGCCTCGTTCGACTCTCCTAGTTGACAGCGACGTGCTCGTTCATCCCTTCTCAACCCGCACATCGGCCCGTAACGACCTTTTCCGACAGAAGACGATCCGTCCTTCCCCTTCAACCCACCCACAACCACTCGATAGATACGACTACATCAAATTCGTCTGTCGGCTCAGGGCTAGCCGTCAACCTCGCCTTGCCGCCGACCACCCCAAACCCGCAACCGGGGGTTCAGCAGCGATATGCCCAGTATGCGAACATAGACGGGGTCATGGTATGGGACGGACCTGTTTCGCTCTCCTCTGCCGTACCCGAACCGATCCTCATCCAGGACGAACAGTCGAGGACGATGTCGGCGTACTTTGTGGCCGAGGTGCCGTTATCGTTTGCAAATGTCGACATGCAACACCCTCTCCTCGCCTTGACTTGTCATGCGACGCTGCGAGAACGAGATGGGTCGAACTATAAACCCCCGTCGAACTTGGGCTTGGGTATCCTACCGGATCCGAATTCGAGCGACCCGGATGCGGTGCAAGAGGTCGTGGTCAACGTGCTCGGCCCGGAAGGAGAAGACGTCGACCTCTCGGGTCAAGAGATTGTCACCATCGAAAAGAGCCAAGAGAGGGACCTGTTTCGAGGCCTGGCGGGAGGGTCGGGTGGCTTACCGTGGTCGAGACTCCACGGATCTACCTCGTCGGCTTCAACCTCTTCGTCAGACCGACAGCTGGAACGTACTCGGTCGGCACGGTCGAGGTCGGCAAAGACTAGCACGACGGTACTGAGGAAGTCTTTCCGTGCGATACTACCCATCCTGTCCGTATTGACGGTCCGGATGCGAACACTCCCCGTCGCTTGCCTTCCGCCGGCCTCTTCCTCAAATATATCGTCTTCGCCAAGTAACGGCGACGGCGGACTGGGCCGGGACCAGACCCTCGAAGGAGACCTCGCAGCGACGATCTGTATCGAGATCGAAGCTGGGCAGTTGGAAGGGAAGGGCGAATCGTTTGAAGTCGAGGAAGTGAAGGTTATAGCGGGGAGACAGGGGATCGATCCGACAGCGACGGGGATGGATATGAACGCCAAGCCGAGGGTACGGTTAGCTCTTCCTACCCGGTCGTCGGCGCCACAGGAAAACGGAGATTTTCAAGGTGATAGCCGATCGAGTTCGCCGCAAGAACAATCAAGCCACTTCCCGTTCGACGTGCGGTTACATGACCAACACAACTTGATTTACAACGTTAGCGCCAGTTCGATGCCAAACGGGATCCCCTCCAACGGACTTCCTATGGAAGGCGGTGAGATAGGAGGTAGCTGGGGATCGAGGTCGGAATCGGTGCCACTGCGGATAGACGTGATAGGCCGGGTCAAGCGGATAAAGGAGAAGGGCAGGGACAGGAGTAGTGACAAGGACGCCGAGGTGGAGATGGAATATGTCAACGCGGCGTTCAGTTCGACCTGGAACACCGTGATCGAGCTCAAGACGGCCGACAGGAAGAATAGGACATCCACGTTCAGGTCGATTTCTTCTTCGTTGCCAGTGAACGGGAGACCGACGTCGATAGGCTCGACGATTCAAGGGAAATCGCAGTCGGCCATGAACGTGCCTGCGAGCGCGAGGATGGGACCGGGGAGCGGCAAGACGCAGGGCTCGGCGCCGTTACCGTTTCATCGAGACCTCGTCGTCACAGCCAACATCATCGGGGAAAACGAACGCGAATTCGGGTCATTTGGAATCTTGTCGCCGTCCTCTGATTCGTCAGAACCGGACGAGATGCGGCGGGGAAGCGAGGTTGCGTGTTTCGAGGTGTTTTACGTGGAGATCACCGTGCTGAATGCGAGCGGGAGGACGGTGAGGTTGATGATCAGTTCAGGGCAGAGCGGGCGGGGGCAAGGCGCGGAAGAGGTCGAGGGGGTGAGGAGGTTGATCTCTTCAGGAAGGGCGAGCACTGCCGGTAAGTCGCCAATCTACCTGCGTAAGCAAGTCTCGAGTACGAGTCTGACATGCCGGATGTTTCTGCTAGCGTCCGCTTCTTCGCCGGGTCCGGTCGTCCTGCTCGAGGATGACGTGCTCTTGCCACCCCTCTTGCCTCGGTCATGTCAAGCTACCAGGATACAGTGTATGGCTCTGAAGGCCGGCACACACCCCTTACCGACTTTACAATTGCTGGATCACGAGCGGGATCTCGTAGCCGATCTCAAGTTTGACATGTACATTCGTGTGACGAGCGTGTAAGGCGAAAACGTAACGTTCTTCAGAAAGAATCTATAACGACCCATCACGATAGACATGTAATGCCTTCTTTCCTCTCGGCCCAAGTGATCGACTACACATCGTCCCTCGAAGTGACCCATATGAAACGCGCGGCGGCCGCGCGTGAGAAAGCGCTTTCGTCATCTTTAAGGAAGCAACGAGCGACCTTCTCAGCCCAGACCGTCAACTTGCAACTTGCAACTTGCAACTCTTGAACATCATCGTTGTCTCCGACTGCAATCGATATTCCTGCTACTTAATACATTACACCCCACACTCACTCTCATAGATAGCGGTAACATACTTCGCGACGCCACAAAGTTAGCAACGCCAGCTCGAGCCACCTAGCAGGAAATCTCCCTTCAAAACTTCTCCCAACACCGATATACTAGACATGTCTGACGAGCGACCCGAGATGGATGCTGTGGACGCCGAGTTTGGGGACGAGGAAGATCGGGTCAGTTCCAAGTCACCGCTAGGTCTGTGACCAAAGCCACGGCCCGACTGATATCCTATACGTACGACTCGTAGGAGATCGCCGAGCTCAAGCGTCAATTAGCTTCGACGGATTCGGAACTTCAACAGGTTGGTCGCCGTGGATACGATGCGAAGCCAGGCCAAGCAGGAGATCGCTAAGCAATGAGTAATATCACCTCCAACAGTCCAAGGAGCTCCAAAAGACTCTGGAAGGTGCTGCTTCGGGCACAGGAGCCGTAGACGGCGCTGAAACTAGCTCCCCAGCAAGCGGAGCTCCTGCAGCAGAGGGAGATGACGCCGAGGCAAGGGAGGAAGTAGACGGACGTTCAGTATATGTTGGGAACGTGAGTATCTATGTCGCAGTTCCGGTGGTGGACCTCAAAGGGACACTCTGCCGGCTACAAAGGGGAGTCGTATTGAGAGCCCGACTCATTTTACTTTAGGTCGACTATTTGGCAACGCCGGAGGAGATCCAACAACACTTCCAGGCATGTGGCGCTATCAACAGGATCACCATCCTCTGTGACAAGTTTACCGGTCACCCTAAGGGGTAAGCTCGATTTGAGTGCTTAGAATAGCTCTGCGCCGCCAAGCCTGATATCAATCTTGCATCCCGACAGCTACGCCTACGTCGAATTCGCCGAGTCGTCTTCAGTGACAAACGCAATGGTACTAAACGAGTCTCTTTTCCGAGGCAGACAACTTTCCGTAAGCTCATATCGGCGCTCTGTAAGACCCCTCCGCTCTTCCTGGAAAACTAACCTTCGCCCATCCCTCCCCTTCGCCTGCCTGCAGGTAACCGCTAAGCGAACAAACCGACCAGCTTGGCAACGAGGTGGACGAGGCCGCGGGCGAGGGGGATACCGCGGGGGATATCAAGGTCGGGGAGGTTATGCACCTTATCGAGCTCGTGGACGGTATGTCAAGTAGAAATCACGACAGCAGGAACGTCTTGCTGAGTAACAACTTTCTCTCTTTGTAGGGGCCGAGGGCGTGGTTTCTGAACGCATAATAACAGTCAATAAGAATGAATTCGCTCGGTATTTGTAATATATCGTCTTGGCATCATCTCTACTGTCTCGTATGGCACATCCGTCTTGTCCATGTCAAATCTCACTCCAAATGACTGTCCCCATGACGACTCGGGTGCTACCGTAGCGGCAGTCCAGTGTCTTGGCCCCCTGAGGTTTCACGGGAAGCGGGGGTAGTAGCGGGCCAAGATTGGTGGGTCGTGGTTCGATGGCAGGTCCTTCCGCACAGGGGTTCTCGTCGATATCGGGGATGGGGATGCCGTTCATTTCTTGGGGATGTGATATATATATATAGATCAAAGAGCGTGATCGAGTCAGAAAGAGCGTGGTCGAAAGCGAGCGTAGATTATAGGTATCCGATTATGTCTGTGTCTGCGGGAAGTGCAGTGAGCAGAACAATCCCTACAAAGGATCGGGACAACAACGGCTTCGAACGTCAACCCTGAATTTGCCATCCTGAAAGCCTACGAGATCGATCTACGCGGTCCTGTTTCAATGCCCATTTGGAGAAAACTCCCCTTCTCAAGCAAGTTGCACTTTCTGGTGGCCCAGAACACTTTCGTCTCTCGCTGTCAATACATCCCAAACATCTAGGGGTCTTTGCTCCAGCCTCCTGTTTCAGATCTTCCCATAGTTTCGGATCCATCGTTGACGAGGTGTTCGTCTTCACGCGGACCTCGCTTCATAGGATCACTCGAAGGCAAAACCTGCAACCACCCTCATCACTGGAATCCTGATCGTTCGATGGGAAAACATGTTATCGGGCAACATCGATTCAATATTTCTCGCATCGATATCGATGAAGTAGACTTCTCTCTCAACACCACCACTCGTAGTGCAGGTCAGTGATTTGAGCTGCTTCATGCAGCTAATAAGTAAAAAAACAGGATACTCTAGCCAATCTACCAAGAATGGCCTATGCCACAGGTCAGTTGTGAATAGAACAACTACACTTGAACTGGTCAAGGGATTCAATAATGATGCTCCCGCCAAGAGTTACTGGATTAAACAGATGAAGATGGAGATCAAGGGGGACGCTCGAAGGCTTTTGTTGCCATCAATCATCCCTGCCGGAAAGCATCATCCTATTCGGATACTGTGTCATACTTGAACTTGTTTAGGGGGATATCGAAAAGTGAATTTCTAGGTCCTCTCCGTCTCACAAATAGGAGCAGTCCTAACGCCAGAGAAGCGATCAAGGCCGTTGGAGACTCCGCGGATGGCTCGTCTTCGTGTTCGGCTTCCACAATGAAACGATGTAAAGACACATCAATCAAGAATCACTTCGCCACTTCCAAGTTCGCCTAGATCGGCTTCCACATATGTGTTGTATGCCCCACACAAGAGGGCGTCCTGACAACCCGCTGTAGCGGGGAGAACAAGACGGCGCTCACAGAGGCAGGCGTCAGGCTAGCTCTGGACGAATCTTGAGTTTGCCACTGATCCGCCCTCGTGTTGACCTCTTCCATGGCTGGATGCGCTTCTTCCATAACCTTAGGAAGAACATGGATGAGTTGCCACTGACAGCTGAAGATAATAGGTGACATAAAAAGGGTTTGCAAAGACAGATAGGTGGACAAGAACGGAGTTGCAAGGCAAGCGAATGTGGTCACGACCTCGGCACCCAGATCCCAGCTGTTCAAACTGCTTGTTGCAAAAACGACCTTCACTCAGCAACAATCTGCAGGTACTCTTCGATACCTGATCTCTAGCACTGTGTGATATGGAACCGTAGACCTGAAAGGGGGGAACGGACGAGCTAGTCAATGTATTCCGTCGACCTAGTGAATGTCGTCTTTGTACGATTTCGAACACAAATGGGTATAGGTGTATATGCTACAAGTCGTCCTTCGCCTCAACACCCTTCTTCAGAGCGGTATCGCCATGCATCCCAAACGCCTCGACTAACACTCTCAGCGGCCCGCGCCCCAATTGCTGCAGGCAACGACTCAACGACCGACTACACGTTAGACGTAGTTTCGAAATGTAGCTTCGGATCTGATCGGCGACGCTGGTGCTGGATTTTGTTCTTATTCGTTTCGCCGGGGTCTTCCCTTTGCGTCTGAGAGGTTTCAGCGGACGAGCGGGTTTCTTGACCTGTATTCCGAAGGATATCCTCATGAGCTTCAGCTTGAGCGCTCTCGACGGCCGGAAAGAGATGCGGTACGTACCTCCTCGGCCACGACGCCCTCCAGCTCTGCCAATCTCGCCTGTTCGACCCTTTGCGTCTCGGCATACATCTTTCTGAAGGTCTCGACGGCGTATAGACTCTCGCTCAATCGGTGCATCGTATTGATCAATGCCACGATCTCGGACCGCTGAAGCAGGTTTGGGTTTCGCTTGGGACTGAAGACATCCGGAATTCGGGTCAGCATTCCAGCTCAAGCTGGAACCTTGCGTGATGGCGAGCAGACTCACTCGAAAGCCTTGTCGTCGAGCTCAAACAAGATCTTCAACGCCGTACCGATACCCGATATCTGTAATTTCCCCCACAACCTGCACTTGTCACAGCCGGTGCAGTCCAGAATCCTAGAGACGTTCCTGAAATTGTGCTTGAATTGGTCTCGTAACTCCTATCGTTTGGGCCAGACGAAATAGGGCAAGCGGTTGAGCAATCCGTTTCGCGAAGTAGGATCGTTCCGCACGTCGATCCGAATCGACTTACCAACGCGTCGTCCCCATTGAAGAGCGCCTTCTCGTCAAAAGCGCTCGCTCCGCTATCCCGAGCCATATCCAAGACGGCCCGAAGCTGCTCCCTAACTTTCTTATCCGCCTCGATCCCTACCGCGTCGTTCTTGGATTGCGCCGTCTCGATATCATAAGCTTCGAGGTACGGTGCCGCTCGAGCGATGGCACGCAAGAGGAGGACGGTATCAAAGTACACGTTGGCTAGTCGTTCGGGGTTGGTAGCTATCCGGTTGACGAAGCATTGAAGATTGGGTGCCCATTCTCCGGTGTTTTGGTCGAGGTAGTCGGCACAGATGTGTATGCTGATACTAGCGTGAAGACCTGTAGGAGTGATCTCAGCAAACGTCCAGGTTGTAGGTCTGGCTCGAACAGTTGCGTACCGGAGATGATCCGATAGTAGATCCGTTTTTCCAGACACTCCTCCTCCTTTTTCGCTACCAAGCTATTCTTGACCCCATTCCCAAACCCACCCTGTAAGCCCGCACCCTTGCCGCTCCCCGCCCAAGCTTTTCTTTCTTCCGCAGGGGCCAACCCTCCGACGACCCCTTCTGACAGGCCAAAACAGTTCTCCTCGTAGATCGCTCCCCAGACCCTATGAGCGCTTTCTCCGGCGTACCCGGTGAACCTCTCGGGGTTGAGAACGAGGTCGATATATTGAGCGTCCGAGGAGGGGGATTCGCTGTCGATGTAGCAGAATGATTGCGAGTTGATATCGCAACCTGGGGGAAGGTTTGGGTCGTCAGAGACCTTGAGCTGGGAGAGGGCTTTGGTGCGCCATTTTTCGGGGATGTGAGACTACAGAACGGTGTACCGAGGGGTATCAATGGCTTGTGTCAGGTTTCTCACCAGGGCGATATATGACGACGGATAGCTTGACTCACCTCGTCTGCCGTCTCCACACCACAATCCCGGTTCATACAGAACCCATTCTCATACCAAAACGGACATTCCCTGAACAAGTCGACCTGCGAAGATGAACGTCGGACGCTTAACACGCGAATTTCCTTACCGGATCTCAACGATAAAGCTGATGCGGGCTCACCTTCCAATACCGGAAAAAGTTGCTCTCCACGATTCCGTGCAGTTCAGGGTATAGCCGCTTGTTCAGCTCTTCTATCGTTTCGTATGCGCATAGGGTGTTTTCTATCGGTCCCGAAGGCTGAATATAAAGGACAACACGATGTATAATACGATATCAGTGGCTGTTCTTCTGCACAGAAGCGATGGGACATGCGAGAGGCTCACGCTACAATAACCCTCGCCTTTACTTTCTAGCACGTTCTTTGCGATCTTACTGTCCGTCGCCGAGCCCTTCAATGATGATAGAGCAGCGGCACTTCCCGCAAACAACAAAGGGAGGGAGGTGATCGAACGGAGGATTGATCTACCAGAGACCATCCTTGTGCGTTGCTCAAGTAGCCGTGTTCGAGTATGGTTTGACCGGGCCCTTTCTTCTTGACGGTGACGACCCTTCTATACGAGACAACCGATAGTACCAGACTATTGTCAATATGCGGAAGGCTTGTCAATCTACTAGGTGTCTATTGTAGAGGCTGTGAGTGACATGGCCAAGCACATATAATTGCATAAGCAAGCAAAGCCAGCCTGATGATGTGGAACCTGCCGATCTTCGCCGCTGACCGTCCATCTGTCGCGCGCGTAGAAGTCGACGCTTTCAGCGCTTCTAGCAATATTTGTACTACTATGTTTATGAAAAGCAGCATATTCTTACCCTACTTGACGCCTGACAACTTGGTAGCGGAATCTTAGGCAAGGGAAGAAGTAGACTCCGTCCTGAATCGGGTCGTAAAAACACCAGCCAAAAACCGTCCGTTTTCGGGCACAATCAGCCGTTTTCAGCAAACAACAAATGACTACTAGACGTCAAGCCCTCCAACAACAACATCGTCTAGAGCAACTACATCCTTTACCCTTTTACGACACTACCCTTCCATCCATGTACCACCCAGCCAACCCAGCAAACATGTCTGAGAACGCTTGGGCGGAAAGCGGCGGCACCGGTCGCCTCATCTCCCCAATCTCGTCGAATCGGTCTCATCACACCGCGACTCCTACCCACTTAGATCAGCCCGGCCCCAGTCGATACGGCAGCCAGCACTGGGGACAGGATACACAAGTCTTCTCTGACCAGGGTGGTTCCTCGGCTCAGTCGGAACGGGGTCCGCCATTCTATCCGAACATCAACGAACCCATCGCCCCCCTCCGTACAGGCCGTTTCAACCGCCCCCACAACCCCTCCGGCGAGCCTTTTAGGGGATACCCTCCTTCTAGGACCCCATACAACTTGCAGGAGGTAAAGTTAGAGGAGCAGCCGTACCTATCCCCTCGACCGGCTCCAGCACCCCAAATGGCGTACCGGGGTCGTGACTCCAGGACTATACCACCCATGGGCACGTTCGCCTCCGTACCGGGCTACTACAATCAGCCTCCTTTACCGACGCCGCATCGTCAGCAACGGCAGGAAGAAGGTATGGAGGTCGACATCAGCATGATGAAGCTCATCAACGAAATCAAGCGTGGTTTCCCGGGCGAGGCCCCCGTATTTAGCGGACACTCCGGTCAAAACGTCGGCGACTGGTTGGTTACGGTCGAGGACCAGCTGCTGAGGTGGGGCATATCGGATAAGAGGTACAAGCTGGCCTTAGCCACGGGACTTCTCTCCGGAAACGCCATGGCTCAATACAGGTCGTGGGAGGGGGCAGAGAAGTACGAGTGGGAAGCTTTCGTTGGACGAATGAAAGGGTCTTTCAGCCGCCCCGCGGCGTGGTTAGTAGACCGTATGGACCTTTGCAACCTCCGACAGGGCACTGGTTCTGTCCATCAATACCTCGATAGTTTCAATCAGGCGGCCAATCGAATGAGCCTAGGAATTGGGGAAGAGACAAAGACGGTCGCTTTCCTGATGGGCTTACGACAAGCGGTACGGACGGAGGTCATCAGTCGCGCCTCTTTACGAGCCGACAAGCCAACGTACAGTTTCCAGGATGTCGTAGACCTGGCCCTGCAGGTGCAAGCAACGCAGCAGGCACCACAAGGATCGGCATCCACATCGCAGCCGCAATCAAGGGGCCGCGTGAGACAGCCCGTCGGCCTGAACGTCACCGACATGGGTTTCGACGAGGAAACAGCTCATTTCGAGGCGGAGTGGTCGGACGACAACGAAGTCTACGCCATCGATCCCACCAAGCCTTTCCGCAGGCCAAAGAAGATGATCTTGGAGCCTTGCGCGTGCTGCGGCAAAACAGGTCACAAGGAAGAGTCTTGTATCACGGCCATGTCAAGGAGGCTGGCAGAGATGGAGATGCGTATCGAGGCGGGCCAGGGAAAAGCCGGCGGGGCACAGTAAGCGGTGTACCGTGTCCCGACATACAGCCACAACCACCGCCAAAGAAGAGGGTACGTTTCGAGCTGGACGCTGTTCAGCTACGGGAGGCGGAAGGGAGGAGGAGAGCCGTTTGGTCGCCGGAGTGGGCGACAATGCAGGAAGACGCAAAATCCCAGCTGGGTGATACAAGGGATCACGCCGAGAGGTCGTCAGGGCTAGAATTACCTGGCGCTACGGGGGTCGGGGGGTCTAGTGCCTCCCGTCCGGAAGTGGTACGTTTTCCCACGGTTATTCCTGATGAAGGGCCTATCCTCGATACTGCTGACGAAAGAGGTGTCTACGGACCACGTCACAGTGCGAGTATGGGTCGGGAAGCCAAAAACTTGCTGTTGGACCTGCATCAAATCAACAGCCGGCCAAGCATGTTCAGCCAGACGGCGTCAATAGACGGCATCACAGCTAGGGGTCTGGTCGACACGGGGTCGGGCGGCGACTTCATAAGCGAGGCCTGGATTCAACAGCACGGAATCGGGGAAAGACAAACGGAAGCTTTCGTCATAAAGACGGCCACGGGGGACATAGTCCGTCGTGGCACTGAAGCTGAAGTGACTCTAACCCTACCGGAAATCACGGTACCGGTCGTGATGAAGATCATTCCTTTGGGGTCGTACGACTTTATTCTAGGGCGTCCTTTCATCTTCACGCACGTCAAGCAAATGGATATGGAAACACAAACCATCTCGTATCAGACGCACCATACTTCCGTCCATGTTTTGGAATGGGACAACAGCTGCGTCGTCAACGACGTGGAGATGGGAAGAACCTTAGCGGGCGTAGGTGCGGAGGACGTAGTCGGCATCGTCAACGTGTCCGTAACAGGCCACGCCCATGAGCAAGCTATCGAGTTACACGAGGTAGGGGACCCTGGCTACCCAAGCAAGTTCGAGGGGCCCACACCGGGGTCTGCCCAGGCGGAGACCATCGTCAAGCCGGAAAATCTCGCCAGTGGACCGTTCAAGGAGCAGTTAGACCGCGTGCTACTCAAATTTAGCAGCAGGTTCCGGAAAGGTGTTCCGTTACCCGAAGCTGTGGGTAAACAGCTACCTCCGGACAGCAAGGCAGCGTCAGCGTCTCTGGTTCACACGGGGGACGCGCTTCCTCGTCGAGCGGTGCCACGCCCAATGTCGCCGGCCATGCTCGCCGAACTCAAAGCACAACTCGTTCCGCTCCTCAACAAGGGGTTTATTCGACCATCCCGCTCCCCTTGGAGTTCGGGTATTTTATTCGTGAAAAAGAAGGACGGGACCATGCGTATGTGTATCGATTACAGAGCGGTCAATGCCGTAACACAGAAGGACGCACACCCACTTCCTCGCATTACTGAGTGTCTCGATCAGCTCGGTCGAGCTCGGGTATTCAGTAAAGTGGATTTGAGTTCGGGATATCACCAGGTGCCGCTAGTACCTGATCAAATACCCAAAACCGCGTTTGTCTGTCGGTACGGGCAGTACGAGTGGACGGTAATGCCTTTCGGACTTACCAACGCACCAGGGGTCTTCCAGAGACACATGCAGGCGGTGCTGGGCGACGCCATAGATGATTTTGTCGTCGTTTACTTAGACGATATTTTGATCTACTCAGAGTCGGAAGAGGATCACGTCCGCCATGTGGACACGGTGCTGCAGCGCCTGCAGGATCACGGCCTATGGTTGCATCCCAAGAAGAGCTCTTTCGGGGGTGAAGGCATGGAGTTCGTCGGTCACTACGTGTCGTCCAAGGGCGTACATGTGCTCCAGGACAAGGTGGCAGCAGTTCGGGACTGGCCAAGGCCAACAACCGTGCAAGACGTCCGGGCGTTCCTCGGCCTCTCAGGCTACTATAGGCGTTTCATCAGACACTTCGCCAATACTACCGCTGTCCTCTATAATCTTACCAAGGGGACGCGCCGGCAGAAGGAATCGGTAGTCTGGACTCCCGAATGCGAGGCGGCTTTCGTGCGGGTAAAAGGAGAGCTGTGCGAGGCGCCCGTTTTGACGCCGCTGGACCATACCAAACGTCTACGAGTCCGCTGCGACGCGTCAAATGTAGCGATCGGGGGCGAGTTACAGCAAGAGGTCGGGCAGGAATGGCATCCGGTAGCGTTCGAGTCGCGTAAGTTAACGGCCACGGAACTTAACTACCCTACCCCAGAAAAGGAGTTACTCGCGATTATTTACTGCTGGATGAAGTGGGAACACTACCTAAGTGGGGCCGAGGATGTCACAATCCAGACCGACCATCACCCTTTACAGTTCATCCAGGGTAAAAAGAAGCTACCCGCTCGTCTAGAACGCTGGATGGACACCTTGGCGCTCATCACGGCTAAGATCGAATACCAGCCGGGCATTACAATGACGGTGCCGGACCTGCTTTCCCGTAGGCCGGATTATATTCCGCTAAGCCTCATCACGCATGCAGGCCCCGAAGAGCCTATGCATCCGACGGACTGGCCGTTGGCACTAGGAACTGGGGAAGCGAAGAACCGGACTAGGTACCCGCCTGATGTTATCAACAAGGCAAAGGAGCAAAGTCAGTTCTTTCTTACGGGAGGGGACGTCCCGGTATACCTAGACCCAAAGGGAGAGGAGAGGTCGCCATTTATTCCTTTCGTCGAGCGATCAACCATCATGGACACCCTACACAAGGACCACGGGCATCAGTCTGAGAAGGGGATGCTGGGTCTACTGCGAGGGAGGGGTTGGTGGCCTGGCCGGTTACAGGACGTGGAGACATACGTCAGGAGCTGTCCGGAATGTCAAGCGTACGGACGGTCCAAGCCGAACCAGGCCCATGAGCCATCCAAACCCTTGGGAACGCCGGCACGCCCGTTCTCGCGTTGGGGACTAGACTTCGTAGACATGGGCGAGTCGTTCACCGGTCACAAGTGGATTTTAACCATGTTAGATCACGCGACCGGATGGAGCGAAGCGGTACCTCTTAAGAGCGCTCGAAAAGAGAGGGTAGCGGATGCGATCTACGACAACATCGTAACCAACTACGGGGCGCCGGACGAGATATTGACGGACCGAGGAGCAAACTTCTTATCAGAGTACGTAACCGCGTTCATCAAATTAATGAATATCAAGGGATTACGTACCGCAGCCTATCATCCGCGTACCAACGGGAGGACCGAGCGTTTCAATGGCATCTTAGAGAGTTTCATCTTCCGCATGAACAAGGGAGATAAAAAGGACTGGCCGCGTTACGTACGCCCGGCGCTGTTCGCTGCCCGTACTAGGGTGGTCTCGACAACGGGCTGGAGTCCGTTCGAGTTGGTATACGGGTTCAAGCCAAAGTTACCGTCGGATCAGCCCGAGCTCTTCGCCCCGTACCTCCATCCTCCCAGCCCGTCGCAGCAGGCAGGCCGTCTCGCTAAAGCTAAACAGAGCAGAGAGCTGGCGGCGGAGGCGTCTCGAGTTCAAGGACTCCAAGATGCGGCAAGAAAGGACGCGGGAACGACGGTACACGTTTTCAACCCGGGCGACCTCGTTTGGGTGCGAAACGAACAGAAGTACAAGGGAGATCCAAACTGGTACGGCATGTACCGGGTAATCAAACGTTTGGACCTCGGAGCATACATCATAGCTGAGCCGTCCGGCAACGAACTGGCTGTGCCGGTCAGCGCAGACAGACTCAAGCCGGCAACAAGTCGCACAGGCGTGGCAATTCCGACGGCCTACCCGAAGTCGTCGAAGCAAACAACTTCCCAAAAAAGGGGACAACAGCAATCGAACATCGTCCTTCGTTTCAAACGGCCGTCTTAGCACCTCGCAGTTAGAACCGTCGCGTAAACTTAGGGTGGTGGGTGGTTGTCGCGCGCGTAGAAGTCGACGCTTTCAGCGCTTCTAGCAATATTTGTACTACTATGTTTATGAAAAGCAGCATATTCTTACCCTACTTGACGCCTGACACATCGTCGTGGTTCGTCGTCGTCATGACCAAGCACTCGGGTCACGTGACCACTCGGACACAAAGTAAACATGTTCTAGGTTGCACGAGCGCACCGTCGGGCTGAAACGATTGTGCTGAATTCGCACAGCAATTCAGCAATGAAGCCACAGAGTCTTCAACTGTTGAATGGGGCATGATCATCCGAGATTATCAAGATGCGGCGTGATCACGTTTGCGCTGTCATCTATGGTGATGTCTCCGACGAGGTGCGCGCGGGCAAATATCTAAAATAGAGCCCATGCCAATTTATCGTAATGAGTTACGACGAAGATGATACAGTACTTCTACCTGAAGCTATACTCCCGGTCGGTTCTTCCATCTCGTCCGCTTGGCCCGAGCTAGCGTTCGTATGATGTTGTACCTGTGGCGTCTGATACAATGCTACATCCCGGACCTTTGATACACTTAAATCCCGTCGTTTCGAGCTGTTCATCGGTTCAGAAGTTCTATCCGTATGGCAAGACTTTCAACTACCGTCCTCGACGGCGCAAAATCATAGTTCCACTCACCTCTCAACACCTTGACGGCCAGACTAGGTTCCACCTCTCCAACGTCGAGATTCCCACCATCGACCGATCTAGAACTCGTCCTCGATAACGCTGACCCCGAACCATACCCCGAGCCACCTCCTCCCATCACGCTGATCACCGAATCCTGCTTCTCGCGCCTCGTTCTCAGGTCCTCCCTAGATTGACGAGAGAGCGTGAAGTTGGCATGGGTATCGAGAATGTCGTGGTCGGTCCCGCCTTCCCCAGCGGGCTTGAAGACAGCGAAGTAGCAGGTATCGCAAGCTTGACGGGTTTTGCCGGTGGCTTCTCCGCTAATCGTAAAGGTCTGCGCGGGGTGAAGAGGACAAGAGGCCAGGTGTCAATAGCTAATCTACCTGAAGCCGATCGTCATCGAGCACGAAAACTCACTCGGGTCAGACATTCCGAGCAAAACAGCTTGCCACAAGCGAGTAAACACGGATGAGGCGTCTTGAGGAGGGTAAAAGCGGACCGACACTTGGTACAGGTCGTCGCTGCCGACCTATTAGCGACGAGAGGAGAGTTGAACCCGTCCGCCTCGACCGCCAGCACCAATCCTTCTTCCAAAATACCCTGCGGATCGTGTGCGTTGGAAAACGCTGAAGAGGACGATCGGCGAGAGACGGCGTGTAGTGATTTTCGCTTGGATTGACGGATGGTAGCGGTCTGTTGCAAGGTTTGAAGGTCGGCTAGACGGCCGTATTTGGCATCGTTCAGAGACATGAGCCACGATTCCTTTTCCGCGCGATTTTCTGTAAAGGTTGTTAGCTTCACGCTGTCAACAAGCGAGTCTCAGGTTTCTTACACCTTGTACTCACCGGCCGACAGTTCCATACTGGCCAGCGGAGACGTAATCTGAAACGTCTTCTCGCGCTTTTCCGTGCTGCGGTCGGTCTCCAGGCCGAATACAGTCATATCCTCGACGTCGATACAGTCGGTACATTCGAAAGAATTCTCAATAATGCTGGTAGGTCTTGAGGTCGTTCCGGAACGTCCGGTACTCTCGCTGGTATGGTTGTTGCTGTTGTTGTGATGTGAGATAATGCTTGCCATGCTCGAAGCGAAGGCGGCCAACGACCCCTCGGCAGTGTAGATCCAGTTGGAAAGCATACCGATGGTCATTGATGTCCCTCCGGTGGCTTTGGCGCAGACGAGTATATCGTTGAACAAGAACAACCAGAGTTCCGATGGACCTAGGCTTGTCTGCTTGAGTAAACCTATCGCGTGTTTACCGTTGAGCTCAAGCCTCCGCTAGCATGAACCAAACCTTCAGACTCACCTTTCTTGACAAGCCTTCTAGCGGGAGCTACCAGCGGCTTCGAGAGTCCCGAAAACGCCCTTTGCAAGTTGACCAATGTTAACATGGCCGTCTGTTCCTTCAACCTTGTATTGATGTTATCCGCCACCTTTTCCGCCATCGCATGAGCCCTGATCAGTCCTTGCTTCTCTTGAGGGTCGTCGGTGACCTTGATGAGATTTTCAATCAGAATCGTCCATCTTGGGATTCTCTGTACGACGGTCAACAGCCAGTGAGACAGGCCAAGGCGTTTGCAGCGCGGGTCCTGCTCCTGCGCGTGCAAGAACGACTTGAAACGGGGGTTCTGAACGCAGAGATCGTTGAGCGTCGAAGGGATCGAGGGAAAGGCCGTGATGTATGGATAGTAGAGAGATAAGTAAGGAAGGTGGGAGAGCAAGACGTTGGAGATCTTGGGAGCGAGCGAGAGTTCGGGTTGAAACAACGCCGGCGCGGAGGAGCTTCTGGTCAACGTTTGTCCGGTTCGTCCGATTCGTCCGCGAGGAAGGTGTCCTTGAAGTTGTCCCACCCGGGTCCTCAACCTGGATCCTTCATCTAAGCTGGTCTCATGGTCTATCACAGATCCGTCCTCGATGTTCTGTTTGTCCCCGATGCTTTTTTTGAGCGCGCTGATCGTTTGAGCACTCAAAGCTTCAATCTCCCGAATGTTGCCGAACAATTGCTTGATGTATCTCAAAGCAACGAACTCTGTTCCGTCTTCCACTTCTTTCGTAAGAGGGTCCAAGAATACCTGTCACACCGATTCCCGAGGGTCAGCCCTGTAACCCTGTCCTAGCCTTAACAAACCCTCGCCAACAACGTCTTCGAACTCACCTCGATTACAACTCTCAGCCCATCCCGAAACCTTTCCTCGCTCTCCAAGACCTCCATGACCGTCCTCGTCGCTTTGATAGCTCTCAAACCTCTTCTCAATCCTTCTTCAGGGTCCAGCTCGGTTCCCTCCCCGCGGCTTCCTCGAGACCGCCTCTTGACCGGAGAAGCAAGAGGACTCGAAGGTTGAGTGAACGAGTTGGTGTATCCAGGGGAAGATTCGGAAGGTTGGGGAGATCCGGGAAGGTCCGAGGTGGTTATCTTTAGTCCTAAGCCTGCACCGACTAACGAACCCGGGCGGTTGAGTGCAGAGAGCGGAGGCCCGGAACCGGTACGTCGATGTCGCGGTCGAGGTCGATCGGTTGGGACACCTCTTTCATCAGCGGAACGAAGGATCGAGATGGACGATCCACCTGAGCCTGAGGATGAACCGGGATCGAATTGAGTTCCTGTCCCGGTAACCCCTGCCCCATTCGCAGAGCCAGCTGCACTGTCGCTCCCAACCCTGAGAGCCCCTAGAGAATGCGCACTGTTCACCCTGAATCTTGGATATAGTCTTGACGGTCTTCGTGGGCTTTCTGGGGGCTGTCGAAGAGCCGGGCCGGGGTAAGTGGTTTCTTTAGGAATCGGATCAAAAAAAGACTGAGGGGATGACAAGGATGAAGAGGACGGGATGGAGGTAGTTGCCGTCGCTGATATCCGAGCTGATGGAAACGGCAAGCTCTCTCGTAGAGCCGCTACCTCATTCGAAGTCCTAGTCGACTCTCCTGGCCCACCTCCTCTACCTCGCTCTTGTAGATGTAGCTTGTCCCGATCGATCTCTCCACTCAAGCCTGGTCGCGTCTCGTCATCGATCACACATCCCGATTCGAGCCTTACGGTCTCTTCCTCCGGCAACGTATCAATGGAACGTTCCGTATAGACCGACGACCTGTCCGGAATCTGACCTTGATCGGCATGATGTGAGGGAAAAGTCCGGGTACGTTCACGCCGCCGACTTGTAGGTGAGGACGCTGTTGGTATCATGGTTGTGTTTCCAAGCTGGGTCGAGCTGTTCATGCGTGGCGGCGTGGTGGTACGGTCCTCGGATTTCGCCGTAGATCTGCGAGCGGTGTGATCGCTCGATGCGAGCGATTTATTCCCTCTTGTTCTTTTCGCTACGGGTCAATAGGACGTAACCAGCCGGGATATACTTTTCAAGCCTGAGGTCCATCGAAGGTTCCGAGCCATACGTTTGTCGAGATGCCCCGATACTGGACGACCAGTGCATGAGCGTACGCTGATCCATCTACTCTCGTACTGTCGCGATAGGCAGATGTGAACGTATGTAGCGACGGTGTACGGTGGACGGTACCGCAAGAGCTGACCGAGTTATAAGGAAAAGTTGATGATCAATCGAGATTGATCTGATCAAGACCGATCTCGTGATCACAAACCCACATCAAGGGGTAAAGGATTGATGCCATCACTCGCGTTTCAGATTACGATGCCGTGATGCTGCCGTAACGATACCTTAAGGGGCGACGCGTACGTGACGTCACTACCCACTCGCCGGCCGCAGCGTTGGTCAGTCCCGACGGTACGTGGAGGAACTGCATTCCATCAATCTGCATGTCTGCATATCTGCACGACGACAGCGACAACGTTGCAAGGATAGCAACATCGAGTCAAAATTCACCACACCTAGAACGGGTACTCACGAACGACACACTAGAACGAAACTGAAATAAACGCACCGAACGAACAGCAATGACGGTCAGTCGAACGACCTACCTTGACGTACATACCAACAATGCCTCGAGCTGACATGTTGCTCCGTCCCACCTACGTTCCTTTGAACGAACATCACAGCTCTATTATACCAGTACGTACTCTTTCCTATTTGATGCTCAAGCATAATCAAGCCGGGCATAGCTGACGATATCAATCCACATCTTCTCGTCACGACTTCCCCACATCCCGCCGTCATCTCCCATGTTATCGCTCGACCTGGAACAGTCTGCTTCTTGCTCCTCTCGGCCGAACTGGCGCTCTTCGGGGCTATCGTCTGCCCCATGCCGTTTGTCATGAAGAAAAAGTCAGTACCGCCTCCGTGTCACCTGATTCACTTTCCGGGTTGTTGCGGTTTGCGTTTTGAATAGTACGGGATGCTGATCACGTGCTGTTCCCTTTTTCCTCTTCTTCTCGGCTTTGGTCTCGTTATCAAATCGGTTGCGACATAACTCCCATCGACGATGACAACAACGGCCAACGGCAATGACGGCGCAGGATGATGCATTTCTTGAGCGAGAACCCTATCGTCGCCAAGATTCAATACGGGGTAAGCACGGCTACTCACGATTTATGGGGTGTTGCTCGAAAAGACGAGTGGTCTGACAAGATCTTTTGGTCTTGATGATCTACAATCAAAACAGTTAAAGATCACCTTCATGTAAGCGCATCACCCCGCACTCAGCTCGACGCACTTTTGCCCGGTCCGACGACCTAACCGCTACATCACATCATGATCGCAACCTCGATCCGTTTAGCTTCGTAGCAGTCCTCTTCGTAGACGCCGTCCAACGTATGATCAAGGTCGCCCAAGAAGGACAGGTCGCGAAGGAGGAAAAGGGAGTGCAGGATATCAGGGCCGAGACGAACCATCACGCGAGGAAGTTTTACGCGCAGAGGAACTGTGAGTTTGTCGAGTTAGGGCTAATCCCTCCCGGTCGCCGGTCAAGACAGGATTTCAAGTGGGAAGAGATGAAACAAGAATTTCAGGCTGATTACCGTTATTCCATTCGTTTAGTGTACTTGACCGGGGCCACCTTGTTCCTCGCCGTGCTCTTGACCCGCGTATTCGCCATCGTCCTGGACCTGATCAACTCTCAAGAACAACTCAACCAGTTGAAGACCAACGTGAGTTGCGTTTTATCTGCGGCATGCTCGACAGAAAGCAGCCAGTGCAGGAACGGTGGCTGACCAGGAGGAGTTTGTCATCGTTGATTGTGTGATTAGACTTCCAAGACGGCGGTAGCGGCCGGACCTAACAAGGCGTTGCAGACCGAAGTTGTTACCTTGAAGGAGCAGCTCGCTGCCAAGGACCGTGATCTTGGTGAGTGTCCCTTCCATTGGATGCAGATACGATTGCGAAGCATGCCATATATTGACGGCGCATCCGCTTTTCCATGTTGATCCACCTACCCAGCCGCCCTGAAGAAGCAGGCCGGACAGAACGTCAGCGCTTTCAACGAGTTGGCCGATTCGGTAAGTTGATCCTCGATATGATCCGTTGCAGCGGAATGATTCGGATCGGATTCGCTGATCATGATACGGGATATGTAGAAGCAACCTCAGTCCCTGGCCAATAAGAAGGTCGCTTAAGCAGTCAGGAACACGGAGATAAGTTCGAGCCCGACTAGATCGCAAATGAGAGGGAGGAGAAAACGATGGTCATACACGCGATGACGAGATTGATAGACGCCGAGGATGTAGAGTGTTTTTCGTTGGCTGCGTCTTGTTACCTCGAATGATATACCTTCTGATGAGGACATGGAATGATAGGCTTTTGGAATGCTCGAACGTATCTTGGCCATCTAGTACCTCCAGCTCTAGGCATGGGTGCCGGCTTGCTTACTGCCGCGGCAAGATCAAGTGCAAGGGCAAGGCGTCCACGACGCAGCTAAACAGACGGACGCAGGATGTTGACTCGAATCCTTCATTCGGTCCTTATGGATTCGTTCCCTTGCCTAAAAATCACATCGCCAATAATATTCTTTGCCGTCTGCCTGGCGTGATTCTATCCCTCGTCTAGACGCATTCGACATTCGACCTTGTGAAACTTGAAACTCCCGCTCGCAGAGGCCACGAGCTTATCACTTAATTCCTCCACGATTCGAAAATTGGTTGTTGTATTGCCACGTCATGCGTACTGGTATGTTGTTGCCAAGCGCATGATGACCGATTGCACGTCATCAACTTCGGGGTAATCCCCCCGCCACCTCCCCCCCCCTGCCCTTGCCCGATCGAGGAGATCTCTCGCAGCAACACACATGGAACACTTCGATACAACATCTTGCCCCTATATCTCCTCCATCTCGCCATTTGCCTCCCGTGTTTGCCACTTGTAATCTGACGATCAGGTCGCACACTCTATATCCCCCAACACCCTAACCAACGACACATCACACACACAAACGATGGCCACGATGCAGGTCAACCCTCACCCCCGTTCGGCCAACTTCCAGGCAGAATTCGGCGATCGATGGGTAGAACAGTTCAACCCGGATTACCAGACTTGGTTCTACGTCGATAAGAGTACCGGACAGTCTACTTGGACTCAGTGAGTCGGCGCGCCAAAACTCGGTAGTAGCATCATTGTGTCGTGTTGTTACAAGTTCTGATGATATTCTTTCGTGTGAATGATGGTCCTGACTCCTGTGTAGCCCGGCCGACGCTCAGCCTCAACCTTCTTACGCTCCTCCTTCCGGTCCTCCCCCTTCTCACGTAGAGAAACCGGCTTATGAATCCACCCCCTCATACGCCGCCTCGAACTCGAACCCGAACTTGAATCTCGGTGCCTCGGGGTACCCCAACGAGAAGGCCTCTTACCAGCCGCAAGGAGGGGATCCGTATAGGGGCCACGAATCCAGCCCTTATACCTCTCAACAACAACCGCAACAACACGTCGAGGCTTATCAGAACCAACCTCAGTCGGGAAAGAAGGGCGGGTTCTTGAGCAACCTGAAGAACAAGTTGAAGGATGCGCAGACTGGAGGAGGGATGGGCGGGATGGGAGGAAGGCCCGGACAAGGTTATGGAGGTGGTGGGATGATGGGTGGGGGCGGGTATGGTCAACAAGGGTACGGACAAGGAGGTTATGGAGGCGGGTACGGCGGAGGAGGTCAGTCACCGTTTTCCCTTCTTGATTGTTCCTCTATTTTCTGTCTCATGAGCTCGTCCGACTGACTCGATCTTGACCCAACTCTACCTTGGCCCTCTCATCTTCTCTTTCTCCCTTCCTTTTGTGCCCATACTCAGGTATGATGCGTCCCGGCGGCGGCATGATGGGTCCCGGTATGATGGGTGGCGGTCGCAGACAAGGTGGAGGAATGGGAATGGGCGGAGGAATGGCACTCGGGGCGGGTGCGGGTCTTTTAGGAGGAATGGCGTTGGGTGGGGTGAGTCACGGCTTAATCCTTTTCCTCTTGAGTCTCGCGAAGATCTGTACTGAGCTGTATTTGGTGAATCTGCGCCATGTTTCGGTAACGTAGATGATGGGAGACGACGACGTAACGAACAACTATTACGGCGACGACGGCGGTGACGGCGGCGATTTCGGTGGGGACGACGGCGGTGGCGAGTAGACGAGGGTTCTCAGCGCGTCTGTTGAAACATTGATGTGAAGAAAGTCAGGAAGGAACACGAATTCAGGGTTGTATATACGAGTAAAGAGCTACAGAAAGATTTCGATTGATTGCTCGTTGTAGACTGGCAAGATTGACCTGTACGATCTTGATAAGTCGTTCGACCGATTCAAGAACACCATACGGTCTCGTGCGACTTAGACGTGTCTTCTCCGAGCGTTTGACTGACCCGCTTCCTTGTGCGGGGGGGTCCAGGACCTGGTAGAGAAGGTCTTGAAAGCGGTCTTGCCATCTCGTTGTCCCAAATCGTCGACGGATCAAGTAGGTCGCTCATCGTAAGGAAAACCTCCACTCTCGAGCGCTTCCTCATCATCTGGACAAGGACGCTCAATGCACGCGGACAATGGCATGGTGCCATCTTAGCGATCGATTCGTCGCGTTTCGCGTTTGGCCGAGGGGAAGGAGAGAGAGAAACGTCATATTCGCAGCTCGGGCACCGCGAATCCCCCCTCGCAGACAAGTGTTGACTCTCTACGAGTACTTGTATTCTGCTACAAAGTGAATTCACACCGTCTCGACAGCAGCCACAGTAGAACCATGAAATCATAGATACTTTCCACCGATACTATTCGCTCAACATCATGTCGTTTGTCAAATGGAAGACTGGCTCGGGCAGCGGCTCGGGACAAGCTGCGGCGGGAGGTCTTGTCGGCCACCCGGATTTCACAAAAGCTCATCTACGGGACAGAGAGACCTATCGCCTGGGTCATTTGAGGTCATTAGGTCTCCAAGGAGAAGTCACAGCGTTGGCAGTGGACCCGGTCTATAGTCTTATGGCTGTCGGAACATCGACGGGGCTCGTTCACTTGCTAGGGAAGCTACCTTTTCAGTGCATGATTCAGCTGTCATCTCTTCGAGATCAAAAGCCCGCTGCCGTCAAGTTCTTGACATTCGTGCCGGGAGCAGGTAGATTGTGCTGTATCGATGAAAAGAACACGTTGCATGTCTGGAATACTGGTCCAGGAGGAATGGACGATGCGAAGAACCAGCCGACGAAAGAGGTCACGACCAGGTAGGTATGAATGTGCGCTCACAAGCTATACCATGATTCTTGCTAAATGTATCTTGAGCAGTCTCTATGGGGATGTAACATACGTCGATATTCCTTCACCAGCACATTCTCATGTAGGCCAAGCGAACTTTCTACCTCGAACGCTCGGACACAATAACTTATATCCCCCTGCCCGCAGCTATTCTTTACCCTCAAAGACGGCATAACACTGGCCTACGACATTCCTCGGCGACATCTTTCTCCCTACCGAATCGATAACCTCTGGAAACAGTACGAAGATAGATTACGTCGGAGTGGTGTGCCTGGAAGATTCCGGGCGTCAGGAACGTGCGTATCTTTTCGAGGCAATTGCTGGTCTGTTTGGTCCAACTGAATTGTGCATGGCGTGTTCAGACCAGAGGCGGTGTGTTGTGCGATGAATCCACGAGATTTCAACTCGATGTTGATTGGGTACGAAGGTGAGCGATCTCGGTCCCAAGCGGATCCGACGGGCACAAGACCAATGACGTTCTCGCTTGGCTTGTCAGGCGGTGTCATACAATGGGATATGAAAGAGAAGACGGCTGTCAACACCTTCGAGTTGACGTTGCCGCCAGGTGGGTGATCTTGAATCGATACCCAAACGCACATTTCACTGAAAGGACATGGTTCATGGCGGATCAGGTGCGCCCGGCGGTTCCAGCTATACCGATCAAGTAAGGTTGATTCTTCAGTTTTGCCTATGGAATCGTGCTTACATTTGACAACGATTCTATAGGCCATTTGGACCGAGAGGAATCCGGCTGTTACTTGCGTCACGTGGAGACCAGATGGTCTAGTCTTCGCCGTCGGACATGAAGATGGCTGTATCTCGGTCTGGTCGCTCGAAGAACCCGACAAACCGCTTATGGTCCGGACATTGACGAAAGAGGACGTCAATGTGACAGATGCAGAGTCCCTCTTCGATTCCGGCGCTCTGGACGTGACCGCAAATAATGGTCAACCTACCCAGCCGGCAGTCCGAGAACCCATCTTCAAGCTGACTTGGGCATCCTTCCCGGATCGAGCGACTCTGGGAACCATGATTGCGGCCCAAAGCCTGGACCCATCGGTCGAACCAGTTCAAAAATCGACCATGCAGTATGCTGACAAGGGAGAAACTCTGCTCGTTGTCCTCGGCGGTTGCATGTCGAATGAACCTCCTGCTATCAACGTCTTGCAAATGCCCGTCTATACCCCACCCCCTGCTTTGAAGACAGCAGTAGCCGCTCCTACGGAAGGATTGTCGATACCCGGACGAAAGGCATACAGGGAGTCTTTATCGGTAACCGGTATCACGAAATACCCCACGGCAACGCCTGCGGAAGATTTTGTACTGTTACCACGTACCAGCCCCTACTTCAACTTGTCGTTCGATCCGATCGCCATTGTCATCTTCTTGACCCCAGAAGATCGCCTTCCTCCCATCGCGGGACCTCACGGTAGACGTACAGTGGACGCATGGACTTTCCCTCCACCTCGTTCCGATTATGCTCCAGATGACACCGGACGGAAAGACTTCCATACGGTAACAGACGAGGCTTTACAAGGCTATGCGATGACGGCTGTTCCGACCCTGCCAAATGCACTTAGCCCCGGACTGCCGACATCAGACTCGACCAGCTCCTGGAGGCTACCTTGGTCGTCATCACCTGCGTCCCCTGGCTTGTCGCCGTTGAATGCCGGCATGATGGCTCAGACCTCACAGCCGCCTCGTCCCCTCCGGCTACCGTCGATCTTTTGGACAGGAGGAACAAATGTCTTGGGATGCGAAACATTTTCGTTGGACACCGCTACATTCCGCCGGCTGATAGCGTTCAGTATCGAGTCTGCGGGACGCGAGGAGAAGCCGCGACTTCCGCTCAGTGGTGGCGCTGCAGTGGCCGATCTCTATAGTCCCAATGCGCCTGACGTCGCTTTGACAAAGATGGAGGGTTACCGAATTCTCGCAACCTGGCATGCGGATGGCGCTGTGCGGTGAGTTCAAGGATTCGGACAGGAGAATCTGCATACGGGTTCACAAGCTAATCTGGCTTTCTCAATGCAGATTCTGGGATGTCAGCCCGCATATATTGGTAACACCATCGCCATTACGGTTCGAATACCCCTCACCCCTGCCACACCTCACGATATCCATTACCAATCTCATCAAGCATCCTTCGCTTCGCCACCTACCTATTGCACGGCTATTCAAGACCAATCCTACGCGAGTCAGAATTACTGGTATCGATATCGCCCAGGCCACACTCGAATGCCTCATACACGTCGAATCTGGCGAGGTGTTCATACACAAGTTCGGCACGACGAAAGAGAAACCATCAGACTTTGATAATGCCCCCGTGCCAAACACGGCGGGTACCGATCAAAGCTACTTTGAGGAAGCAGCCGGACAAGATGCTTATGACGGCATCGCGGATGTCGATCAAATCGCGGAACCTTTGACTTCAACGGCTCATCTAGCAAACTGGCGCGACGACGGGTTCAAGCCTGTCACCATTCTCACCACTCGACGCGGACCCGTTGTAGCGAGTGCCATGTCAGACATCGGCAAGTCCTCGTCTGCCAACTAGGCGCCATGCGTGTGCTCACCACTCCGATTTATGATAGGCTTTTTCGCCGTCTCATACTATGCAAATAGCGTCGCGATCGTCGATTTACGCGGTCCTGATGTCCTTTTACGCGAAGGCTTTACGGAAGAGGGTCTCAAAGTCAAGAGGAAGAAGAAGAACAGCCAAAATCTCCCGGCAGAGGCGAGCAGCTGCCTGACTTTAACGTGGGCGATATGCAAGATGAATGGGGAAACCCACCGAGCCCCACGTTTGATAGCCTCTTATGCAAAAGGGTAAGCTCAGTCAATACGCAATCACGTCTTGAGTTCCGCTGAAGGTCTCGCTACCAGTCTTACCAAGATATACACGCTCAATTCGGTATTAGGCGAATGGGTTGTCGACAGCAAGGCAACGACGTTCACTCACGATAGTCTTGTCAACCCTGTTGCGACGTTCATGCTAAGCTATGCTACTGGCGAGGCCGTCAACGCTACAGCGGAAGCGCTGCGACAAAGTATGAGCCTGCAAAACAGCCTCGACCAGTCACCAAACAAGGCAGAAGGAAAGATACCATTCGCAGTCTGGATCGTTGTAGCCAAACGTGCTATCAGAGCGCAACTCGACTTTAATGGCGAGAGGATCGCGAAGGTGGACGTACAGGAAGGCGAGATCATCGAATCGGCGCACATCGTACGAAAGAATGGTGAGTCCGAACGACGCTTTGAGATTAGGTGCTACGTTGCTGATAGAAGAGTATCACTGCAGGCAATAAGGCGTTGGTCGCAATTACTAGTTCGGGTTCTGCCATGATATATAGTTTGCCAGCCCTTGAGTATATCAACAAGCTCCCATTGAAATTGGGTACCTTCGATTCGTAAGTGGCTGGACTGCAATAGTTTCTGGGTGTTCGACAGCTGAACTCATCCTGTGTCTGGACAGGCGGCCTCTCGGCAAGCTGTCTGTCGACCCCAATTCCGGAGACTATTTCGAGTACATCTCGCCGATGGAGATTCACTTACGAACCTTGTTCAACCATCGAAAACCACTGCGTCCACGTGTGGATCCATCCACGGTGAAACACGCAGTGCCTGCCCCGCCGGTACCGCAGAATGCGGCATGGGGTGTCTCATCCTGGATATGGGGAGGCGCTCCTCTGACCGGGGCCCAGCTTGATGCTTTGGGTAGGAGAACCTTGATGCGGATTTGAAAGCGTTGTTACTGACCAGGGATCGATTCGTGGCAGTCGCTGGTCCAAACCGTCCCCCGCTTCCCCGGACTGCCACAGCTCAGAAACCGCCAAAACCGCTCATCACGTGGGGAGAACCGCCAGAACCGGTTGTGCGTGGCAAAGCACCGGCTGCACCTAGGAGAGACCCATCGACGCGAGACGTTCGGGAAAGAAAGGACGTGTATACGGAAATGACCGATGCAGCAAATAAACGAGGGTGAGTGTCGGCCTGTCTGTCTCGTACGCCGCAAGCAGCTGAACACCGGCCATGTGGCCCTGACAGCGATATCCTGGAAGGTCTCGAGGACCAGATGATGGCCATCGGGACTGCGGCTAACGACATGTTGAGCGAGGCTAGGAAGACGGCGGTAAGCCTATCCGCGGCCTTCTACTGAAAGCTTCACCAGCTGATCGAGATAAAATAACAGGCCAAACAATCAGCCAAGGCTACAGCGAGAGGTTTATTCGGTTTCTAAGGTGGCAACAAACTCTGTACATCTAGGCACATAGATTCAGACCGAAAAGATTGTATGATACACACACGCTCAAAATGCTTGTATACACCCGGAAACGAAAACTATGCCATGACCGATCTCTACTCGTCGTCATCCTCGTCATCAATACCACCCCATTCTCGGACAAACTCGTAGACCTTTCTTCGGTTCGAATCTTTGACGCCCTCCTCGTTACTCAGACTCGCCAACGCCATCATCCGCTTCAAGACCGAGTTTGCCAGTTCCCTCTCGCTCGCAACTGTCTTCTCGCCGGATCCCACGGAACACCGAGTGGCGAGTTCGGGGAACTGGTTATCGATCTCGTGCGACTCCTCTTCGATCCTACGCTTCTTCTTGGCCGGTTGCTCGCTCTCCTCTGACGGTAGCAGGCCAGCGATCAGGGGTTGGAACATGGCTTCTCTCAGTCGTTTTGGTGTGGCAGGGTTCGAGGTGCACGTCAACAGCCGGATGAACGGCTCTACGATATCTGCCAGTGGTGCGGGGGTCTGAATTGAAAGTCCGAAGGAATTTTAGAGCCGCTTAGTCTATTTACAGGAGAGTCTCGCGAAACGACGGAAGACTCACCTCGGTTTCCTCTGCCACCACCTTGTTCAGCTCCTCCAGCCAGATATCTGCCAGATGCCACGAAATCGAAGGAGACACCTTCAAATCCTTTGTTCTATCGATTCCGCGGGTCCCAGACCATCCTGGATCAGCCTTCTATTTCGGTTACCGGGCAAAGACAGGTAGCAGGTGTGCTCACGATAAGGGTCCTCCGATGGCCGCCGTCAATATCTCGTTGTATCGCTTAACAGCCTCGGGAGCCCAACCTGATCGGGCGAGCAGACGAAAAGTCGCATTCTGCCATCTTCGGATCAACATGTAATACTTGTCCATCCTGTATGACGAAAATGTAGTCGGGAACCGGGTCAGTACTCGTTCGCGCATAGTATAAGCGAGATGAGTCGCTCACCTGAGACGGTCGATCCCTGTCCACTCTCTCACGAGTGCCTCCCAAAATCCAGCCACGAAATCCAGCCCAGCGTTGGTCTTTGAATCGATCCCCTCTGTCGATCCGTCGTTCACAGGCTCGATGGAGAGCATGAGCGAGGAAAGATCGCTTGCGAGCCGTTGTTGCACAAGGGGTTTATCAGACATCCAGAAGCCTGAGCATGACACAGATCATGAAGATTGAGATCCATGTCGTTACGGTATGTTAAATAGTAGCGAGGGCGGTTGACTGACAGTAAAAGAGACCCTTCCACAGTTTCCGCATTTCGAGCGGAGGTAACAACCGCTTCGACCCATCATCCTTCCCTGCTCGGACGACGTCCTCCCCGCCGGTCTTTCCCGACAAGCTCAAGATCCCACCTCCGGACAAGAAGGCACCTAGGTTAGCCATCGCTTGGTCCCGGATCTTCTTGTCTGTGCCAAGATAGTTGCACAATGGCAAGCTGATTAGTTGTTGTTGTGAACTCGACGAGACGAGGTCCAATAGACTTGCCGGTGTGTGCGAGCTGTTTTCCCAACGGTAAGGTGGCCTCGGGCACAACCTCGGGCGCTCTACCCTTTCCTTTCGTCCTGGATGGCATTTTACTGTTATAGTGTGTGTGATGAGACGTCTAGAGCTGTCTTGTTTCCAATCCTCAGCATCTTCTATCAATTCAACGACTTTCACAAACTTGGGACTTTAGAAATCTCTGAACGGAGGAAACGCCGCGGAAGCAAATTTTCCTATCAAACCTCCACTTTCATTCCCGACGACAAGGATTCGTTTCGTATCTACAACTAGGTTTCAGACTTGGTTACGAGCCTACAAAACAGTCCTCGGTTCTCACAAAGCACAACCCAGTCCATGGATACACATCACGCGCAATCACCGTACTCCGTTCGAACTCGATTGCAAGTCCACGTGCGCGTTGCACAGACCCATCTCCACACCTTCCCATTCCTCTTGTACGGCCGTCTCTTCCTCTTCTTCTGTCGTTCGATCCGTCCGGCCAACTTTGGACGTATCAGGGATAGGCATCCGGATGAGCACGGCCACCTGGACCTGGGGCGACACGGACGATGGGACATCTCCCGCCGAGTTGGCCGTGGGCACGGATAACGAATTTGACCCCCTCGTCCGGCCCGTCATCGTCATTGCGGGTGGGTAAGCGTTCTGCCCTTGACCCGCTGCTGCTGCTGCTTCAGTCTCCCACTCCTGTAAAATGGCCGATGGATCCTTTTTTGGACCTGGTGCCCGAAAGGCCACAGAGTTGGGAAACCATTTCATCGGGGAGACCGGGATAGGTCCATCGCCCTTGTGTGTAAGGGGTGTGATGGCCAGTGGGTGCTATATCAGTAAGAGGAAAGACGATCCGTTCAGCCCTGCCCGGTCCATGCCACGCCACAAATTGTAAACGGAAAATGATCGACTTACCAACTTCTCATCCCACAAACTCTGCTTCTCCCCATGCCCCGGCTCATACCTTCCTACTCCCCACCCAGCTCCTCCCTTGAGATCCGCGACCATCCCCCTCTGTTCACCCAAAGAATCCCAGATTTCTGGATTCTCGGTCGTACTCGCTATGCCGCGGAAAGAGAGGATCAGCCGCTCTCTTTCTGCTGCGTAGCCGGGCATCCCTGGGATGAGGAGACCTAGTCGGCGAGCCTATGCAGAGCAAGTCGAATGGGTCCAAACGAAGTCAAAGCGAGGGGAAATAGGGAAAGCCAATAGTCAGCCACCCGTTTCGCCACTCCACAGCTCATCCCGCATGCGTCCACTTTCGACAAGCGAGGGTACAAGGCAAGGCCAGAAAGAATCGATTAGCTCACCTCGGCGATGGTAGCCTGTCTTCGTTTCCGACCTCTCCACCATGAGAAGGCCGAAATGAGGATGAAGAATCCGAGCAGCCCGACAAGGATGTAAAAGAGCTGTATTCGAGTTCGGTGCATTTGTCGGCCGGTATGGGATTAGTAGGTCATCAGGGTGTGGGATCCAGTGATATCGACGTGACAAGGTAAGTCATGATAATGGTTCAGGTTGTGAGTAGTGCGTAGTCCGTTATCAAGGCGTTGTGAGATGAGAAGAAGATGAATAAGGAGATCGTGGATGAGAGGGAGTTCGGGGTGGAAGGACAAGGAGGACCGATTATCAGCGTCCGATCGAACAACTCATATTCAATTCAGGAATCATGAAGACTCACATTGCGATAAACTATCATCCCGAATGAGATCATGTCGGAGGACCAGCCACAGGAAACGTCTTAGCAAACGAGTCTCGATCCCGCTCGTCATAAACCGGCGCAAAGACGGTCGACTCACAACTCGACGGCCCTGTCGCGCCGAACCCTCCTCCGCTTCGGTTCGTCCACGAAGGTTCGGGGGCGCTCGTCGTAGTGGACGATGTTGCAGGCGTCATGGCAGTGCTCGACATGTTTGCGGTCCTTTCAAGCGATGTGCTCGAGGGATCGAGGGACGCGAAGTAGAAGAGTCGAGAGTGCAGTAGATAAGGATCCGGGAATCGATCGGGTGCGCCTTTCCGGCCGTTCTCAACTGAGATCGAGTGATGAACTTGGGTGGCCTTCGATGTCCGGTTATTCTGAGCCTGGTATCAAGGTCCTGGTCGAAAGGCTTCGAGATCCGAGATGTGACGAATAAGGATATGGATATATGAACAAGTTCGCCCCTTTCCCTTATAACTGAGCTAGTGTGACGTAGGGTATGCTCGAGGCTATAAATGAAATCCTCTACGCGTCCGGCGTTTGATTTTTCGCGAGACGATGGAGATTTGTGCTATCGATTACGAGCGAGTGATGATACCAATAGCGGCTAGCGGCAGCGATGAAGGATGGATCGTGGATATATGGATATGTACAACGCTGCAGCACTGCTTGCAGCATGCAGAGTAGTGTGAGGCGAGCGGGCTCATGAGCGATCCCATGGCTCAATCATCGGACCGGGGATCGCTCGCTTCCCTGATTCAGCTCTTGGCACAAAGAACGGGGCCGCGCGGGGAAGTCCACGGCCGCCCAACCCCCAACCTGAACCCCCCCGGACGTCTCTCGATCGCACAGGCGACTTGGTCGTTCGCAGTCCAGAGAGACCAGGACTTCCGGCGGTATCATCTTTGTACTGCAATGTCATCCTGCGGTACGGCGAGAGTACCCGTGACTACAAGCTACAAGAAGGAAAGATGTCGGGGCGGGTGATCTCAAGGCGGTGCCGAAGAGAATCGTTCCACTCATCTTTCCCTCCGGCACGGAAGTAAAAGAGACGCCCTCCCCTGTCGATCATTCTTCTTCGTACGTGTCGCTGCTATCGTAATATGGTCACGGCTCCTCCTCCAAGCGCGACATCGTGAACGGGCTTGCTAATTGCTTATGCAGTGGGTGATGACTCCGGGCAGCATTTGCGCTTGCTTCTGTATGGTTCAACATATCACAGCGGAGGGCGGGAAGCTTTACACGTTAGATACATACGCCCTTTCGGCAGCTTGCTTCACCTTCCTTTGAAGTCAAGTGCTAGTAGCGCGAGGACCGATGGCTGGACGCATAACAGGTAGTCGAACATCTCGGAGAACTACGATACAACCTTCTTGCCTGAATGCAGTATCACTTTCCGAACCTCTAGCCCCCAAGCCATGCACGGGTCCCTTAACATATTCAGAAGATCAAGGCAACAACTTGCCCACATCCGCGCTCTTTGCCTTGCCCTCGAGCAAGATCTCGCTCATGACCAACCCCGTCCCCGGCCCTTGCGTGATCCCCCAACAACTATGTCCACTGGCTACAAATACCCCCGGCAGAGCCGTCGGTCCGATAAGAGGTCGCCCTCGGTCAGAGATGGGGAGGAAACAAGCTTGTTCGGCGATCGTCTGCGATTTCTCTGAAGAGAATTCCGGGGTCAAGGCGGAGGCTTGGGTGTGCAGGAGTTTGATGCTGAACGGGTCTGGTTTCACTTGAGAGGCGAGTTTCGGGAGGGGTTCGTTGTCCGATGCTCCGCAACTGCAATAACATCAGATGCAAAATAGCATCAGCAAAATACTCTACATAATTAACGGACATGGCTCGCTGCTCACATATAGACCGTCCCGTCCGGTCTCGCATAGACCTCCGGCTCGGCCATATCCCCGTCCTGGAGCGTCATATCCGTAAACAACGCATGCGCCGTCAACTTCCGATCCGTCTTGAGTACGATCGAATGGGCTCTCGATCCAGAGATGGCAAGTTCCAGCGGCTTTGCATTTGTGTTGAGTTTCTTTGACGACGATGACCACAAGGAAGAGGAAGCGGGAGGGAAGAGCGTTTTTGATAGCGTTCCTGTCCAGGGGCCGGCAGAGAGTACGAGGTGTGTGAAGGGGATCTCTGAGGGTTCCCCGGATTCCCTGTTCAACACCTTGAGCTTCTTTGCCGCTTGCTCTCCTTCCAAGGCTACACCGGCTGCGCTCCCGTAGACGACCCCCGTCCCCGGTCTCTCCAAGAACATCCGGAACAATTCCCTTGTGAACAACTGTGGATGAACTTGAGCTGTTGTCTACGTTGAGAGAAGATAGCGTCAGGTTTCATATGATGACTGAAATGCATAGCTCACTTGACATGCAAACGGTGTACGATACGTACCTTTTGAGAACCCAAGGGTCGGGAATGATGTACGGTCCCCTCTGGTAACCAGTCGATAGGTGATTTCCGCTTGGTACGTTCAGTCAGGTCGGTAGTGACGCTCTATTGTTCGGGCGCACATGGCATAGAGAGCCCAGTCAGCTCGAAAACGAACACATGATCGAGCAAGGGGGATGAAGGTAAGATGGGCGAGAGGCTTACGAGCGTATCGACCGTCCGGTATCCCCACTTCTCGCCGCCGTGTTCCGCTGCCAAGTCGGCATGTAGTTTGTAAGAGAGAGCGGAGATACCTATCGATGGAGAGATATAGATAACGTATGCTCAGCCTGAATGCTTCCTGTCCCTCGAGTCTCGCCACTCTATCCTTCCCCAATTCTCACTCACTGGCCGTAGCCTGTCCGTGCCAATCCAGAGCTAACAAACCCCCTGCCTTCCCACTCGCCGCACTTGCCACCTCGGTCGCTTCTACCAAAGTGATCTTGTCACCTCGCGCAGCTTGAAAATGCGGCGAGATGGCGGTATAGTAGGCGGTACAGACACCGATGATGCCGCCGCCGACGATGACGATTGATTTGGGCGAGGTGGCGACGAGCGCTGCGGCGGAAGAGGACGACGTGATGGGTGACATTCTGGGCGTAGTAGCAGTCGATTCGAATGTTCGGACGAGTGAAGGTGTCGTAGGTGACGTCGTTGTTGCATGTCAGGGTAGATAAATGTCGTCGTGTCGTCCACGAATCTGCTGATCAAGACGCTCCAACGTGAACGGTCGATCGGGAGATTGCGGACACATTTGCTTCCGAAGAGCATATCTTTCGGAAGCATATCTGCGGAACCATTCACCCTCGTGAGCTGATATGCGCGTCGCCCCCTTCCATTGCGCGCAAGTCCCCAAGTTGCGTCGTTGAATCGCTCACCTTGCACCTCGATATAGGCTATAGGCTATAGGAATTATAGGTTTAACTGTATCCCAGCACTACAACATCAGAGGACAACGCAATCCCGACCTCGTGAAAGGATGATCGTGTTCACGCCCCTGACGGGATCAGCGGCGACCCCAGGTTCGTCAATCTCGACGGGACCCGTGAGCTACCTGCTCGAGCTGGACGACGTCAAGATCCTGTTGGACCTCGGTGGGAACGATCCCAGACGGACGAGCGAGGAGGGGTATGATTCGACGTATGAACGCAAGGTCAAAGAGTACGTCCTAGGTCTTCAGCTCCGTTGATATCGACTAGAACTCGACTATACAAGGGGCATGTATGCTAATCTGCTGCAAATTACAGACTCTCTCCGCATATCGACCTCGTCCTCCTCTCCCACTCTCCCACATCATATACCTCCCTCTACCCATACGCAAGAACACACTGGGGCTTGAAATGCCCCGTCTACGGTACCCAACCGACAGTCGAGGTCGGTAGGCTCGGGTGTCTAGAAGAGGCCGTTGGGTGGAGGAACGAGGTGGACGTTGATGGGTTGCATAGTCTCAAGAAGAAGGATAAGGATGTTAACGAGGATGAGCAGAATGAGGATAGAGACAAGGAGCAGGGGGACGGGGCGGGGAGGGAGCAGGAGGAAGAAGTGCTAAAGGGGCCGTTTGTTTGTACGGCCGAGGAGATCAACGAGGCTTTTGATCATATCAAGGCGGTCCGGTATAGTCAACCCATCCATCTCAGCGGTAAGTCCCTTGTCATTTGCATCATAGATTCGCAATCGCTACAACGATTAAATTGAAAACACTATATTACCTATCGAAACGATAATTCCCTTAGGCCTCCTATCCCATCTCCTTTTGACCCCCTACCCATCCGGTCAGACACTCGGAGGATCGCTCTTCAAGCTCCGTTCCCCAACATCCGGTACGCTTCTTTACGCCCTCGGGATCAATCATACCTCCGAACGTCACCTCTCCGGTACCGTCCTCCTCTCCAGTGCAGGCATTTCTGAGGGCGGGCTAGGTCGACCGGACTTGTTGCTGGTCGAAGCTGGGCGTAGCGAGAGGAAGGGGGTGAAGATGAAGGAAAAAGTCGCCGGGCTCTTGGGGTTGATCACGAAGACCCTGACGCAAGAAGGTGGAAACTTGTTGTTCCCCGTGGACGCTTCGCCGAGGCTGTTAGAGCTGTTGGTATTGTTGGACCAACATTGGGCTTTCCAGCAAGCACAGGCTCAAGCGCAATTCCGTCGAGGACCCGGGCCTGGACCGACGAATGCGCCAGGCGGCGGGCTTTGGAACTTTCCGCTGTGTCTCGTCAGCCGGACGGGGGAGGAAGGTGTCAGGGTAGCTAGGAGCTTGATGGAGTGGATGGGCGGGACCGTCGCCTCTGACGAAGGACTTGGAAGCGCACAGGATAACGCCCGACAAGGCGGAAACTCTGGACCAGGTGGAAGGAGGAAACGTCCCTTTCCCTCTTCCGGAGTCCCAGGTTCGAGAGAAGAAGACGCCGCCGCCTCGGTCGGAGCGCTCAGGTTTAGGTACCTCCGTTTCTACCCTTCTGTCAGAGCGTACGAGACGGACCCTGCTCTAGCCGCCCAGCCGGGTCCGAGGTGCGTCCTTGCGGTGCCCATGAGCATGAACTATGGTTTCTCCCGGAGGTTGTTCACGAGCATGGCGAAGGAGAGGACCTGCAAGGTCGTCCTCACCGGGAGGTCCGAGACGGGGACGTTAGGACAGGAACTGTTTGAACGTTGGAATGAAGTGCAACAGGGAGATGCCAAGTACGGCGAGGGTCGCGTCGGAGTGCCGGTCAGGTTGACCGGAGAAAATGGGCACAAGGACAAGAGTGAAGGAGGATCAATGAGGATCAAGGTAGTGTTGAACGACAAGGTCGCCTTGGAAGGGGACGAGTTGGAAGCGCATCTCGAAGCGGAGAGATTACAGAAGGAGAAAGAAGCCGCTGCGCTTGTAGCCAAGGAGCGGAGTAGGAGGATGTTGGAAGCGGATGATCTTGAAAGTGATTCGGATGATGACGACGACGATGACGATGATGTCGAGAATGGACTCGGTGCGGGCGATCAAGCGCGGGACGACGAGCCCATGATGGCAGGACCGATCGGCGCAACAGGGACCGGAGCCGGGAACCCGTTCATGGACACTGATGACGTCCGGAATACATCGTTTGACATCTACGTCAAGGGACAACAAGTCCGATCCACCGGTTTCTTCAAGAACGCCCCGGGGTCTTCCTCGGCCAACGCCTCGGGGCTCGCGAGGTTTAGGATGTTTCCGTTTGTTGAGCGAAAGGGTAGACGGGTGGATGCCTATGGTGAGGGGATCGATGTGGGCGCCTGGGTGAGAAAGGGTCGAGAGATTGAAGAGGATCAGGAGAGTGACGAGGTCAAGGAGGCCAAGAGGAAACAAAAGGAGGAAGAGGAGAAGGCTGTAAGTTCGAGCGCGTTTCCCTCTTGGATCGCTTCGAACGCTAGCTGACAAAGAATCTGGTCGACAGAAAGAACCGCCGGAACCACCCTCGAAATACGTCCAAGAGGATCTCGAGGTATCGGTTAATTGCGAAATCTTTTACGTCGACATGGAGGGCCAACACGACGGACGAGCGATCAAGACGATTATCCCGCAGCTGAACCCACGGCAGGTGGTGAGTCTCGCGGTCAACTCGCTGCTTCTGTTGAGGGTATGTCGTGTACTAACGCTAAAATTTCGACTTGCGTTATGTCATTGCGATGTATAGATCTTGGTACGGTCACCTAAAGCCGCGACGGATGACCTGTTGGTCAACCTGCACGCGATTATGAACCTGACCAAGGAGATCTCGGCACCGGCAGATTACGAGCAGGTCATGATCGGCGAGCAAACTCAGAGTTATTCGATCTCACTCAGCGAGGGTTTGATGACGGACGCACAGGGCAGGTGGTCCAAGGTGAGTCTCGGTCAATACGGTCTACTAAAGTTGCATGGGCTAATGTTTGGCCTCGGCACCGACAGTTCGAGGACTACGAGGTGGCCAAGGTCAGCGGCAAGGTGCACGTCGGGGCGAACATGAGCATTCCCGTTCTCGAGCTTCCTATCAAGGACGAAGAGACTGCTATTGCTGAGGCTTCGGTGAGCGCGAAAGCCTCCGGCGTAAAAGAGGAGGTCACTGCGACAGAGATGGACATGGACAGCAAGGGAGAAAATCCGGTCACGGCGACGCACAGGTCGGCAGAGGCATCTATTCTGATACGGCATGCTCCGGCTCCCCTTCCTCAAACGCTATTTATCGGCGACCTGCGGTTAAATTCGCTCAAGACCCGTTTATCGGGCATGTCTATTCCGGCCGAATTCGCAGGAGAAGGAATGCTCATCTGTGGTCCTGGGGTCCCGACGCTATTGAGAGGCGAAAAATTGGGACCGGGTATGGGCTCCTCCGTGGTCGCCGTGAGAAAGACGGGCGAGGGCAGAATCGAGATGGAAGGGAGCGTCGGGGACGTCTATTACCACGTCCGGGACGCGTTGTATGGCAACTTTGCGCAGGTGGTCATGTGAGGTTGGGCGGTGCGACGAGAAGAACAAGTCGATCGGTAGATGGTGAACGACCTTCATGTAACGACAGGATATATTCAAACGGTTGTAATGACGCTAGAAATTCACGACGGACATTGATGTACTGACGCACTGTGAATGTGAAAGACCACCTCGGTGGCCGGGTCCCTCCTCTCTTTTCCCGCTTTCTCACGTGTTTGCGCGTTCCCGATCTCTGTTCGATCGAGCGTTCAATGGAGAAGAGGAGGTGGTGGAGAGGAGCAACAAGCATGTCCATCAACAGAGTACATACCTTCGACTTATCACGATCATCACAGAACACTTCGCCATAGCTGTACAACATATCGACTCTCATCTTGCCCCTCATCTTTACTATCGAATCGTTCGACATCGCGGAACCTCGAGACAAGAGGGGAATTCCGTTCGACCGTGTCGACCTTTCGACTGCGGGCTCCACACTAGGCCATCAATATTCCGGCAAAGATTACAACATTCAATTCTCAGGTTGTCCAGCGTAGTGCTACTCCTGGGTACGGAAGTCTAGTGTGCAAAAAAGGTACGCCTGTCGAGGATGTAGGTAGATCCTTCCGAAGTGATTGATCACCTGGTTCACGCGCACGGTAGTCTACCGTTCATCATCCAAGGCCACTATTACCAAGCCCTCTCGATAGCACCACATCTTCGCCTGCTTCTTCGAGATTGCATTATTCTCCACTAGGATATGCCTCAACAGGGCTCTGATCAATCCCGTTCACAGTCGGGCTCGGGGCCGTTCCGCTTGTCACTGCAACTACCGGAAAAGAAACGCCAACAACTTCAGGCTCACGAGAGGAAACAGACCACCAGCCAGTCGTCCAACAACAACGGTTCTTCCGGAGGCTCCTCTTCTGGAGGTTCAGCTCAAGCTAACGGACCGATGACGCCCGGAGCTGGAAATGCGGCGGGGTCGTTCTACAACAACTCGCCGTCCACGAACAACAACAGCAGCAATAATCCGAGCGGCGGTAACGTCAACAACAGCAACACCATGAACCCCGGTGGAGCGGCTTCCTACATCCACCAGCAGGCTCCTGAAGGATTCGGTGACTCCCCCGTTCCTACACAATACCCGTTTACGATCGGAATGCACGTCCCCGGGTACACCGCGGCGGACCATCAGGCGGTTCAACAGGCGAGGACGACGAGCATGAGTAATGCTTCTGGGATGAACAAGATGCAACAACAAGCCGGTCAAATGGCTGCTCCTTTGTCATCGGCCCTGGCGAACAACCCGCATAGCTATGTTCCGATAGGTATGGGTTTGGCCGGGCCGGGCGAGGGGATGAGTCCGGGAGGGAGTATCGGAAGTTACAACGATCAGGGAGGTGTGTCGGGTGGTCCAGGGACGGAAGGTGGACGTCAGAGTATCGGAGGGGGGTCCAATTTGATGCCCGGGGTCCCCGATCCAGAGACATTCGAGGCGAGTCGTTTTCCAATCAGAACAAGATCGATCCCCAACCGAGACTGACTATACTGCTCGCACTTTAGTTTATGAAACGTAAACGCTGGCCACAACTCTTGATGCAAGAACTCGTCGGTGCCGCCGTGTGGTGTTTGATCCCTTACGACTCGTCGCCACAGACAGGACCTGGTCGAGGTCGGAGCGGATGGAAGATCATCTTCGCTTCGCCGGCCACGCACGAGTTGTTGGGTTACAAGCCAGAAGAAGTCGAGGGCAACGATTGGGCGGATTTTGTCTATCGTGAGTGCCAGACCCGCCGGCTGACCAATTTTAGGAGCGACTCATACTAACCGGCTACCTTGTCGATATCTCGTTACAGCGATCGATCTCGCCCGATTGATGCAGAACATCCGTGCTTCGATCGCCTCCTCCAACGAACCCACCGGTTCGCCGCCACAACAACATCACTTCCAACTCAGTAGCTCGAGGACATCGGCTTTCGATCCTCCTACTGTATCGTCGAATGTCCCTCTAGGCAACTTTGCCGGTCCATCGAAATCACTGAACGTATACACGAGGATGGTCTGCAAGGACGGCAAGGAGACGTTGTTTGAACTGAGAGGTCATCCATACTTTGGTGAGTCGCGACATGTCGGGCACGAACTGACGACTGAACATCTGCTGACGGTCATTGCCGCGGCACACAGGCGACGAATACGATGAACCCGGTACACCCGATTCGTCCGGGAGCAATGGCGGCTTCGACGGAGGTGGTGTCATGGGGACGACCAGGGCGCAGCGAAGGTCCTTTGGAGCGGGGATAGGTGGAGGAATGGGCATAGATGACGACGATGAGCGGTCTTGCAAGGCGTTCTGGGTTATGGGTAGGAAATGGCAGGGACAGGGAGATGGAGGCGCAAAGATGCTGGACTCGTTCCTGGAGCTGAAGATGGAGAATGAGAGGTTGAGGCAAGAGTTGAGAGTGAGTCTCGGGAGCAACGCCGCTTGATATTGAACTAGGCACTGAATCGACTTTCCTGGACAGGACTTGCAAGCTCGGCCATTTGCTGCTCGTGAGCCTGGACAATCTTTCGGATCCGAAATTTGGATGTCATTGCTGATTGCCCGAGCGTTACAGGTCAATCCGTCAGCCAGTACAACCCGATGCCACCATCCGCATCCAGCAGCAAGAACGAGAACATCAACACAGGCTACATGGGCAACCTCAACTCGTCCGACGAGGACGATGACGAGGACGATGATGATGACGACCGCTCGATGATGCAGGCCCGCAACATGTCGACGAGTGGTCCCGTGGGAATGCAGAACATTCAGTTCCAGACAAACGAGTCGTTCCAGCTCGGAGGAGGATTGCTCGACGACAAGAAGGCCAAGAAACCGAAGTTGAGCAGCAAGAACCCGGAGTATCTCTGCCGAAACTGTGGAAGGAACGATTCACCAGAATGGCGAAAGGTAAGCCGGATCCGAAAGGAGAAAGTCCGTCGGAGCGACCATTGACCCATTCGATATACTCTAGGGCCCGCTGGGACCAAAGACACTCTGCAACGTAAGTTGCACGTGAGTGCTTGTGAATTTTCGATCACAGCGCTGATCATATCTCCTTTCACAGGCATGTGGTCTCCGATGGGCCAAGCGAAATGCTGGCAACATCCCTCGGCGAAAACCCAAGGACAAGGACAAGGACGACGGAAAGGAAGGCGGGCCATCCATGGACACTGAAAGCATCTACGATGCTGGTATGATGGACATGGCCTGAGCCGAGACGCATATCCAGCTCTCGCACATTTAACGACCTCTTGACGACCCTCCGATTGTTTACGGCTTCTCGACTCGTTTCCATTATCCTTTTCGATTTCTCGTGCTTTGGTTACATCGCTTGGATAGAATCCAGCCATTACTTTAGCGAATTAGCGAAGCGATGGACCTTGTAGTCTCGATATATACGATGTGCGACGCGGGATATATACACGCGAATACCGATACTGAGTGGTCTGGTCATGCTGGTCACCAACACTGGCCCTCCCTGCCTTGCACCGCGGATAGGGAGATCTCAGCACCCTCCGCGGCATTGACCGAAGCGTGATCGATCGATTGCAGGGTATGAGTAAGGGTCAAGAGCATCCCACTCGTTTTAACAAAATAATCTTCCTGCTAGCTGTTTAAACTAAGCAATACATAGGGCTAGCTGCCTCAGGAAGATATAAAGACATTCTCTAGCTCGCTCGTACCGCGATTTTGGCTGATAGGTCATTCTTGCTCGCTTGGTATCCGATTTAACCCGAGCGGTGCTGCTGCATAACAACGGGCCGACAAGATGTTGTTCTACCTCGATGATCTTCCCGTATTGTAAGTCGGTAGATACAAGGCTCTCCCCTAGGATCTGGGCCGCTAATAGTATCATATGACGACCCCGTCTGGCCTGCAGGTTCCCGTATGACCGGTAAGTATAGTGTCACTTCGACCCGGCCTTTTCAAATGTTTACAATGCCCTTCTTTCTATAGGCTCTACCCAGGTACAACACGCTTATATGGCTTCTCCTCACACGAGATGGATTACTGATTCTTCAATGAATACCAGAACAATACCAGTATATGAGCGATTTGAAGAAGACGCTCGATGCTGGTGTAAGTCGTGGCTATGTATCGGTCGAGCATATCATATGCTGATGTCATATCTGTCATACCACAGGGCCACTGCGTTCTGGAGATGCCCTCGGGTACCGGAAAGACAGTCTCCCTGCTCAGTCTGATCGTCTCGTACCAACAGGTCAGCCAGGACCTCGACCACAGCCATCCTAATCATGCTGTAGCATAACTAATCGAATGACTTTCCTCGTTGTGTTCCAGTTCTACGCAAGAGATAGGAAGCTCATCTACTGCTCACGAACCGTCCCGGAAATCGAGAAAGCGCTGGCAGAGTTGAAACGACTCATGGTCTATCGAGAGGAGATGGGAGCCAAAGACGAAGGGTTCCGCGGTTTGGGTTTGACCAGTCGACGGAACCTGTGCTTACACCCTGAAGTGAGTGCTGTGCCTGTTCTTCCGTTCGCTCTGTGGCGACTGTTAAGCATTATTCTCCTCTTTAAACAGGTCAGCAAGGAAAAGAAGGGCAAGATCGTTGACGCGAGGTGTCGAGATTTGACGAGTGCCTTTGCGTGCGAGAAAGGCAGAGCGGATCCCGGGAGCGTGGAGTTGTGCAGCTTTCATGAGGTCAGTCTATACGTTCGAGAAGACGGCCACCGCTGTAGCTGTATTGAACTTTCCTGCATCAATGATAGGAACTCAACAACTACGAGACGGGGAATCTGATACCTCCCGGAATCTTTACGCTCGAGGATGTCAAGAAATATGGAAAGGAAAAGGGAGTCTGTCCTTATTTCACGATCCGACGCATGGTAAGCCTCTTTCACAGACCCTCATGTCGTATATCTGATGCTAACACTTCGCGCTTTTCCCGGCAGCTACCGCACTGCGATGTGATCATTTACTCTTTCCACTACTTGCTAGACCCCAAGATCGCAGACCAGGTCTCCAAGGAGATGAGCAAGGATAGCATTGTCGTCTTTGACGAAGCGCACAACATTGACAACGTCTGCATCGAGTCTCTCTCTATCGACCTGACAAGACCGATGTTGGATTCGGCAGCGCGGAGTTGTGTCAAGTTGGAGAACAAGATCGAGGAGATCAAGCGGACGGATGCGACCAAGCTGCAAGATGAATATTCAAAACTGGTGGCAGGGCTACAGGATGCCAATGAGGGCCGGGAGGAAGACGATATGCTGGCAAATCCGGTGTTATCGGAGGATATGGTTCAGGAGGCTGTTCCCGGAAACATCAGAAAGGCCGAGCACTTTGTCGCGTTTTTGAAACGGTTCGTGGAATACATGAAGGTGAGCAGGTTGAGTCTATACAAAAGGGGCTTCCCACTGACGATAACCGTAGACCCGGATGCGAGTCCTGCATGTCGTCGCAGAAACACCACAGTCTTTCCTACAACATTTGAAGGACATCACCTACATCGAGAAGAGGCCGCTCAGGTAAGAGTCGTCGCCATGCACCATCAAAGAATCAGCGCTCATTCTACCGTCCAGGTTCTGCGCGGAACGCCTTACCTCGCTGGTCCGCACGCTGGAACTAACCCAGATCGACGAATATCATGCGTTGCAAAAGCTAGCGCAATTTGCCACTCTGGTTGCCACATACGAGAAGGGTAAGCGTTGGGTACACTATTGGTAGCGAAGGTGGAAGTTTCCTGATGATATTACATTGCGACAAATAGGCTTCCTGTTGATCTTGGAACCGTATGAGACAGAGGCAGCGACAGTACCAAATCCAATTTTCCACTTCACGTGAGCGAAATCTTCGTCCCCACTGACGATCCACCGAGCTGACTCCGGCGCGCTATCCTAGGTGTCTCGACCCTTCACTCGCTATGAGCCCGGTCTTCGAGAGGTTCAGTAGCGTCGTCATCACCTCGGGGACAATCTCGCCGTTGGATATGTATCCCAAGATCCTTCAATTCCAGCCTGTGGTACAAGAGAGTTATCCCATGACGCTCACACGGAACGCTTTCTTGCCTATGGTGAGCTCTACCATTACGGATCTGCATAGGAGCCGTCGTTGACGAGGATGTATCAGGTCATCACACGAGGCAGTGATCAAGTCGCGATCAGCTCTCGATTCGAAGTCCGAAACGATCCAGCGGTCGTTCGAAATTTCGGCAGTATCCTCATCGACATGTGCAAGGCCGTGCCAGATGGCGTGGTGGCTTTCTTTCCCAGTTATCTGTACATGGAGTCCATCGTAGCTGCTTGGAACGATATGGTGAGTAAAGAAGACGTGTACGCAAAGAGAATGGTTCTGAGATCGAGCTCTATACGCAGGGGATCTTGAACGAGGTCTGGAAGAACAAGCTTATCTTTGTGGAGACACCAGATGCGGCCGAGACGAGTATCGCTCTTGACAACTATCGAAAAGCAAGTAGTCTCTCAAAGACCCCCTTGCTATGGAGAATCTAACTTGCTTCCTGTCGATAGGCATGTAACAACGGTCGAGGAGCGGTCCTTCTGTCTGTCGCACGAGGAAAGGTCTCTGAAGGGATCGATTTCGACCAGTAGGTCCTCGTTTGTGTTCTTCAATTCCACAATGGGGGAGCTAATGGATTTGCTCTTTTAGTAACTATGGTCGTGCAGTTATCATGTTCGGGTACGCTTTGATCTTCACACCCCAATGCTCTCGCTTTCCTTGATTGACCCCCTTTCCCTCATCAGTATACCTTATCAGTATACCGAGAGTCGAATCCTCAAAGCAAGACTCGAATTCCTGCGAGATAACCATAGAATCAAGGAGAACGATTATCTGACATTCGACGCCATGCGACATGCGGCTCAGTGTGTCGGTAGAGTACTGCGAGGAAAGACGGATTGGGGTTTGATGGTGTTTGCAGACAAGGTCAGTCTCCCGCCTACCGTTCTTGGGACGTTGTCATGCTGATAGAAACTTTCGTCTCTGTACAGCGTTTCGCTCGTGCAGACAAGCGGGCCAAGTTGCCCAAGTGGATCAACCAATACATCACCGAGGCCCATTCGAATTTGTCGACCGATATGGCTACCGTCCTGGCAAAGCTATTCATCCGGTCCATCTCGCAACCTTTCGACCACACGCAAACCGGAATATCATTGTGGACGATAGAAGACATCGAGAACAGGCAGAGAAAGGAGAAGGAGGAAGAGGCGAGGTTCATGCTCGAGATGGACGGCATGGCTGACAAGCCAAAGAAGCAAGACGACAAGGATCAGCCGATGTTTGAAGGCGAAGAAGAAGACGACTATGCGCTTATGGGGATCGATGACGCCGATTTGATGGACGTGCCGATGGAGCTGTCCTAGGTTATGCGCGGGAAGAGAAGAAGGAAGTCCAATCAGGCATAGATATAATAAATGTTTGAGAGCGACATGATCGTACCCCTGTATCACTGTATTCATAGTCCCGGGCGAATTGTAGTAACGCTATCCAATTCGATATTGCCACCTCCCTTCGTCGCGTCATCTAGGTCAAACACCGCGCGCTGACAAATCAAAAATACCCCGCGACCGACCGAGCTTTCAACACAGGGGATCAGCGCGCGCCGGTTAAGATTTTTTGGGGTAGGATAAGGGTAGGATAAGAAGCGACGGTTAAGCATTTAGCTTAACGGGCTCTTATCCGACCCCCATGGATTTGGACGCGGGGGTCTTTTGCCTTCGTGGCGCCTGTCTGTAATATGATCAATTCAAGTCGATCATCACTTCTTACCCCTATTTCGCTGCAAGCCCGTATGCTAGTTGCTAGTTAGTGGTACAATAAGACTACCATCATATTACCGTTCCAGATGTCGGTATCCGCCTTTCCGACTCCTCCCGACTACTCCCGCCGCAGTATCGCTATGCTTGAGGCCCAGGTGGTGAGCGAATTATCAGTCCCTTAACCGACTCTTATCCTTGCTCCTCAACAGCCCCTTAACAGACTAGGACTCTGCCTATGCAGCCACTGTTCCCGCCGAGGCAGGGTTATTACTGGAAGAAAATATCTGGCTCATATCCGGCGCTTAGCAGGAGAGGCAGAAGAGCGGCAGTACCTACTTAATGAAATACAGAACAGCCAACTCCCCCCCGCCGTACCACCTGATCTCGACATCCCCTCCTCTCCAACTCAGCCCTATCACCCCCCTACTGAACCACTTGGTGGTACGTTAAGCCCCTCGCAATACGGCCCTTTTGATACCCCCTTCGATGGTATTTCGCTGGACGATCCCGGCCACCTTAATCAATCACCGACATCCGAAAACGACCCACAACGCACCCTTAACCCTCCAGATAACCCCCCCGATATGCCCCCCCCTGAGCCAGCTCTACCTTATATCCCCGAGCTCCATGATTACCTGGACGATTGGCCCTACGACATACCTTCGGTCTTAGTCAATCCTTGGGATACCGAGCCCTTGTCGGACTACATAGGCCTCGACCAAGTCCAGGACAGCACAACCTTCATGGAACGCTTGATTTACACCTACGCTATTCTCATCGAAGCTGCGGGCGCAGCCAGAACCCTAATTCACTTCTTTCTCAGGGGGGCCCTTAACCTGGTCGATAGCACCCGGTTAATGGTCAACAGTGATGCACCCTCCCTACTCAGCGACTCGCCGGCACAAACCCTTCGGACTGTTCATCGGAAAACCGGCACCTATGTGCCCAATATCGTACACCCTGTGTGTCCGAATATGCTCTGCCATGAGGTTCTGTACGACGTCACATCACCAGTTTCATATTCAGCCGTTGGCTCAGCCCGACTACCGGCCAACCTGCCTCTTAACTGCCCCGCATGTGGCCAGGTAATGGACGGAGAGAAAGGCAACGTCCCCCTGGACTTTTCACGTATACCCTTACGCTATCAGCTTGAACGAGTTCTGGCTCATCCAGGTATGGAAGACCTAGCGTTTAACTGGCAGGATAGGCGTCAGTTAGCAGTCCGCTGGGACGAGGCCACTTGTCCCGCCGAGTCGATCTTGCATGACCAATGGGATGGTGAAGTACTTGAGCGAATCCTAGGACCGGACGGTAACCCACTCTTACACGACCCCCCTAGGCCTGGAGATGTCCCCGTTATCTACTTGAATCTCTACCTGGATTGGGTCAACCGTTCATCATCGATGATGTCGACGCCGTACTCTGTTGGACATATCTCACTCCAAATCATCAATTTCCCGCAAGGTTTGAGGTCAGTTCAGAGTATGATAATGCCTATTGGCATTATTCCCGGTATGTATCTTTGCGCTCATTGCAACTTGTTCGATCTGCCAACATAAAATTTCTAACTGGCCCTTATCTTGCTGTCTATAGGTCCGCGAGAGCCCCGACATGTCAATTACCATAAATTCCTTATGCCGCTGGTAATGGAGTTACGCCAGGCTTGGTTTCAGCCAGTTTCGATTCGGACTCCCAAGTTTCCTAACGGACGGTTATGTCACCTTGCACTGGCCGCCGTGTGCGCCGATAGGCCTGCTGCTATCGGCCTGATAGGAGCTTCGTCACAAGCTCGTAAATCTGATGTGTGCACTCGCTGCCATGCCACACACGATCGTCTGGCCTTTACACAGGGTAAGTCTGACCAGACAGGGGTAGGATAGTTGTTGGATAATTTTAACGGCATGGACCTTAGATTTTCCCCTTCGCGATTCGCATCATCACTGCCAGGGTATCTTATTCGGAGAAGAAGCCGGCTTATCTGCCATACGACAGGCCCGTCAAGAGCACGATAACGAGCAGGCTGCTCTTTCCAACCAAGCCGAGGCTAAACGAAACGACTGGGCTCAGTTACCCCGAACTACTAGGGGACCCAAACCACCCCCTTATCGGCCCATCAAATTCACTTCAACCATGGCTAAAGACGCCCTCAATCGGTCCCCTTATGCGGATGTTAAGGGTCACCTATCGGCCCTTATGTTGCTGCCGTATTTCGACAAGTTCAGGTGTACCGTCTTCGATGCCATGCATAACCTGCTTCAAGGCAACGACAAAACCTACCTCTGGAAGTGCCTTTGTGTGGGCAAATACGGGACCGTTAACGAGCCGGACAACGACGACGACTCTGAAGTCGATTCGACTGACGGGGAGCTATTCCCTGAGCCCATCGTCAGGCCGACATTTAATCCACCCTTATCGAGCACCATAGCACCTGCATTATCCCCCGCTGTTCTGGACGACTCAATGACCCTGGAGGAGGCCATGGCTGCATCGCAGGCATCCGCTGAACCGTCGACCTCTATGGCGCCTCCCAGACCACCCTCTAACCCACCCTTATCACGTCCAACAAGGGTCAACCCAACCAGACGGGCAAAAGAGGTCTTGAAGCCGGTCTTTACCCCTGCAAACCTTGTCGCCATAAGTAAAGCCATTCGTCAGGTATGGGATCCTTAATGGCGCCTTGTCTCGTCATACAAGAGGCTGATAAGCGTACGTGACAAGGTGGTGCTTCCTACAGGCATATATGAAGCAATCCCCTCAGGCTTCCTCGACATCAAGGGCGGAACCAAGACGTCTGCCCAGTGGAGAACCTGGACGGAGGTTTATGTGCCCCTTATCTGGCCAGATATCTGGCAGATGAACAGAAACATACCGCCTGGCCACCGAGATCATAACCCGGCTTTGACGGACAGCGAACTGCGGTGCTCCCTGCTCTTATCGGAGGTTAATGTGGTCGCATTGAGGCCCAATATCAGTCGAACACAGGTGGCCGTATTGCGGACTTTGATCCGGCAGTGGCAAGATCTCGTCTTCCTCCTACATCCAGGAATACAACGGACCCGTAACTGGCATCAAATCGCCCATATAGTGGACGACATACTGCTACATGGACCTGTGTATTCGACTTGGGTCTTTGCTGCAGAGCGCCTCGGCAAATTACTCAAGCAGATTAACACCAATGGTAAACAGATCGAAACTACCCTGTTACAGGCCCAATATCGGTCCGCTACGGCTGCTCTGCTCCATGCATTGTTAGTGGCCGGTGCAACAACTCCTGCGGAACGCTTAGCTGCCGCCAATCTGACCCGTATCAGGGAGGATACAACAGAACGGGGTACAGCAGCCGCAGAGTTTCTCGACCAAATGATCACCGATCTAGACGAACTCGAAACTGGGGTTAATCTGGCGTTCTCAGCGCCTAGTAACGCTACGTTAAAGCCCACACATGGAACCGCCCAAGCCATATCAGCTCGCGCATGGCCTGCAATACAGAAACGGCTCAAACTAGAAGATCCTGATCACGATTACTTATTAGAGGGTGATCCTGCCATTAACCGGCTGTCAGCCCGTCAGTTAATTGTCCGTCAAAAGTCGACCCGCTACACCGGACTCAAAGGCCCCACAAAGCGATTCCGAGTGTGGAATGACAAATCAGGCGATTATCGGACCTGTAACCTGGCAGAATACAGGGATACTCTCTTCCACTTTCAACAAATGGCATCGGTCTACGACCCTGTGAAAGTCGCTTCAGGTGACGATCTCTGTCTTATCGCAGGACTATACGACGTTGAGGTGACCAACCATGAGGCCGTTATCCAACAGCGCTTGTGGCTCATCTTCCGGCAAGCTGTCAGTTATGCGATGCCTCCCACTGCCGGCAATCCCTATCAATGTCTTATCGATCAGTGAGGAAACCCTTAACTGCCCCCTCAACGGATCGATAGCTGATGGTTAGCATATACAGCTCTCGCTTGGAGGTACGGTTGTACCAATCTAGAACATTTCGGCAATCTCTTGAGGCGATCCCCTTGGACGCCTTCATAATGGCAGGATTACGCCCTGTATCTCTGACCGAATTGAGGCCCGATAAAGGCCCGATAACGCATTCCTCGTCGCCCCCTATCTGGGCTGTTCAAGCGTGTACAAGAGTCTGAAGTCAAGGGACAATATTGATGGTATGGTCAAGGAGACAAACCGGACCGTTAACAAGCCTCTATCGGTCGCTATTTACAACCGACATCTGCCTGTCTAGATTAGTGCCCTTCCTCCTCGCCAACTTGTTGTCAATCGGGTATTAAAACCATCGGCCCTGCATAACAGCCTTGTATGTGGCTTGTAACTCACCCCTAACCTTGTCGTTTTGTATTTTCCTTTTTTTTGTAGTTTTTTTTTTTTGCGTAAGTCGATTCCCCGCTGTCGTAAGAATATAACGGGCCTTTACCCATCTCAAACCCACCCCCATAGACCATCGATCGAGCCTGGTTAAGCGGCCAGAGCCCCGGTCAACGCCTCCGCTTGAGCCTCCAGCGCGGCCGCATCAGCTACGGCGTACTCGACGGCCAGGGCCAAGATCTCGGCATTAGTCTTATCGGGCACTTGACAGGCCCTTAACTGGGTGGATCTCGCCCAGGTCTGCTTGTGCTCAGCGAGCGCGTTCGGACCGTTCACCAACTCCTCGAGCGTCGGTCGCTCTGCGTGACTTGCCGGTACAGGAGGATCCGGGTATATCAACGCCCACAAAGCGGGCTTTTGGGCCGCCCATATCGCGGCGGTTTGGGGTCGGATCATCGACCGATAAACAATCGCACCGGTAGCAGCGGGATCCGGCCTGGTTGGGTCGCCAGCCAAAGGTGCCCTTAACTCCTCCGTTTTGGGGTCGGTTTGAGGCCACATACGCCTTGGAGAGACCCATCGTGTGCGGTACAGGGGCTGGTTCCTGTTCTTCTCCTCAGACATTGCGTCGAGATAGGAAGCCGCAGCGATGCACTGTTATAGGAGACATATGCGGCAGGTTAAGCGTTGGTTTATGGCCAGTTAAGTAATGATTCGACTTACCTCGTCAGAGAGCCAATACGGCCAGTTCAGCTCATAACAACCGTCGGCCAGGGCTGCATTGCCACCGAAGGAGTATCGGCGCCATACCTTCCAGCTATCCGTCTCGATAAGGGCCGGTTGATTGGCCGGCTGTTGAAGGACGGGGAACCTTCGGTTCTGGCGGTCATCGCACTGCCACAACGTCGGCGAGAACAGCGGTGCCCTTAACAGAGCGTAAACTGGGGCCTTTCGACACAGGTTGGGAGGGGACTGAGGCCAGATCTTGTACCTGTCATCGGATATCTGTGAGGAAGTAACGGAGAGACACAACAAGAACGACGGTAAGCCTGCATGATAACCGACCCTAAACTCACGTCTATCGTGTCTGTTAAAGGACTCACATGACCTCGCTTGCGGTTCACCAGACGCGCGAGATGGACGCCTCCTTCTTCAGCACTCGTGGGACGGACGCCAGACCGGTTCTTGCAGTACTTGATAATGAGCGGTTTAAGGTCATTTACCGTGGGCCTGTCCCCGTTGGTCATCTTCCAGGTGTTGACGACGCGAGCGGCGACCTCGTTGACAAAGGGAGACCACCTGATCGAACGTTTATCTCGATGGTTAGTGGTAGGATAAAGGCATGATAAGTGATGTGCTGCTGACCGTTCTTCTCCGATCTTCTTCCACTCAGGCCTCCAAACGCTCCTTGTCCCACCCATAGCCAGTTCGACATCGATCTGTTGAGGGCCCGGTAAGCCAGTGTCCTCGTCGTCTTCCTCGTGCGAGGGCCATTCTCCATCCGGGAGATAACCTGGCTCGCTGATAGAATCACCGTCCCAGGTACCTCTCATCCCGATTAGTTCCTTGACAGCATAATGGCAAGCGTACTGTTGACAAGGTGTTAGCGGACCAGATAAGCGGTGGATAAGGCAAGTGTTAGCGGACCAGATAAGCGGTAGATAAGGCTACGCTATACTCACCGACCACTTGGTGTTGGTACGGGTGCGCGATCGCTTGTCTGGGGAGACGTGGGACGAGTGAGTGGGAGCCGGGGGATTAGCCGACTGGTTAGAGGTCCCCGAAGGGCCGGCTACAGGGCCGCTGTTGTTCAAGTTCGTGGGGTCGTTGAAGATCCCAAGCACAATCGCACGCAGCTCGGCATCGGTCTTGAGGGCGGACTTCAAACCGGACAGATTGATGCCTCTTGACGAGGGAGTTTGAGGTCCGCTAGAGGTCGGATTGGCATTGGCGGTGGACCCTAACGCAGGGTTATCGGACCCTTGGTTGAGGGCGCGTAAGCGGCGTCCAGTGTCGTCGACGTGATTGTGGAGTTGAGCCTCGATATCGTTGATCTTCGTCTCAAACTCCTCCCTGTCTAGAAGTCGACCTCTCGACTGGACCTGCTGCAGCATCGAAAGAACCTTAACCGACCTAAAACCGGCCACTAACTCCCCCGATAAGGCCACCAATTCGTCTAGGACACCTTCGAGGGAATGGACGACCGACGATAGCTTCTGGGTGTTGGGAGTGGGGCCGACAGGTACGACCTTGTCTCGACGCTCAATAACCGCCGCGTAACGGGCCTCAAACAGCCTGATTTGGGCTTGGAGACTTTGGACGATGTCCTTAGGGGTGACAGTCGAACCGGTGATGTGGGGAAACCGACCCATATCCTGAGGTTATGGAGCACGTTAAGAGGTAGTTAGTACCCATCTAATTTCCTTCACCGAAGGAATCTGCTTACAGTGTCGGTTCGCGGCTGAGAGAGAGGCGACAGTGAGAGGGTGAGTTAGCAGTCATATAAGCCATTGTTAACCCCTAAGCTGACATACGACTTTGAAGTTGGCTGCCCGAAGATCGTCGGTGGTTGCCTTGCGCTTCAAATTCTAAACCAAGCGTGAAGATGCCACAGTCTTATCAGAGTGGTTAAGCGTGTGATAGGAGATAGGTAGGAACATACGTTTTGCTGAACCGCCTTTATCGCTAGTCTGGCTGCCTTTCGTTCGGCCTTGGCTTTCTTCTTCGCTAGCCTCTTTGCGTCAGCCTATACGACACCGAACGGGGGAGTAAGCCACCAGATAAGAGTGCTATAAGACCGGCCTATGGGCTTACCTGTTCGACAGTTAATAGCTCGTCGGCGGATATGTCACTACTATCGTCCGGGTTTGTAGTCGCATCGGAGTCGGTTAACTCATCCACCTCGACGGTGGGGTTGTCGAGGTTGGGATCGATGCCCTCTTCTTCAAGCTCTTCACCTGTAGGTCGGACTGTAGACAGGTAGCGGCAGGATATACGGTCAGCTAAGGGAACGATATGGGTTAGTTAGAGAGCGTGATATGGTTCTGAACTGACCCGGCTGCTTCCCCTTCTCAACACGAATGACACCCGTGTTGGGAGCACCACCACCTATCGGAGCAATAGCTGACCGTAAGCGACCTGGCCAAGAGACAGTTTCGGGTAGCTTTTTACTTACCTGCAGCACCGTTCTCTTCTAGATGAACATGATGAGGGCAAACGTGGTTGTTAATGTGAGTCGATACGGGTGGTATAAGTGTTTGTTAAGGTACTGACGGGTTCCATCATTCTGACCGACATGAGACCACCCCGAGGACATCAGTCAGAGTCTAAAGCGACTGGATAGATGCAAGGTAAGGGGTACATACAGCAGACATCGTTTGACGTGGGCTTATACTTGTTTTTTAGCTTCTTGGTGATTTTTAGGCTTCTTCGAGGTTCTTGGTGAGTTTTGGGCGTAAACGGACGGTTGTTGGAGTGAAAACGGGGTCGTGAGGGGTTCGTAAGGGGGTCGTTAGGTCGTACACAGGATTAGGAGAGGTAGGGGGGACTAGAGATGTCTATAGGCGTGTTTTACTTATTACTTAGTATTGTAGTAAGTATTTTAGCTTCTCGAGTCGATTGTTGCTTATGTGGGGCTCGACGCGCTTAAGATGACGCGTCAAACGCGTGAGCCAAAAAGAAGCGCGCGTACGTACGCGTATAAAGGGCTGGCTAGCGCCATTTAAGGGGGTCGGCGAAGGGGTACGTTAAGAGATTTCTTAACCGGCCAGTTAAGAGACCTCCTTATCGGACCCTTAACCGTGACGCGTGACCCGCTGTGCAAGCTGCTACCAAGTAGTTCGAATCAGTAGTAATCATCAAGCCCGTAAGTTCTTGCCCATCAGCATATTACATTGCTTTGCCACCATATCTTGACCCTATAAAACGTACAGGTAGATCATAAACGCCGCAACCCGTTCTCTTGGCGATGGAAGAGCTCACATACACTACCCATTCAATTTCATCCCCCTCGACAGACCAATCACAAGCAAGACACAATTCATAATGGTTCGAGCTGTTAAAGACCTTGAGGAATACAAGAAGCTGGTGAGACACTCTTCTTTGAGTTCTTGGTATTGGGCGGATAAACTTAACCTAGTTGCAATGTGATTGGCAGATCGAGGGAGATAAGCCTGTCATCGTCGACTTCTGTGCGTGATAGCCCGGAATGTTGACAGCGACCTGTAGCATCTTGCGTCTTATACTGATTCCTCATCTTTCTTTGATGCATAGGGGCAACTTGGTGCGGGTATGTTATGGGAGGCGATTAGCACGATCACAGAACTTAGCTGACGGGTTCGTGATGCTTCTACATGGCAGACCTTGCAAGATGATCTCGCCTCACTTTGAAAAGATGGCCGGTACCACCGAGGGCGTCGAGTTCATCAAGGTCGACGTTGACGATGCTCCTGTAAGTTGGACCAACGAATCACAAGGTCGAGCAGAATGTCTTATCCGATATTTGATGATACCACCACAACAGGAAATCTCCGAGTTTGCCGGAATTAGGGCCATGCCTACTTTCATCGCTTACTCCAAGGGAAAGGATATCAAGACCGTCACTGGTGCCAAGCCTGCTGAGCTCAAGGTGAGAGGATTCCATCGATACTTATTCCCACTTGACCTTGACTGATCGCAACCTTCTTGATCAAACAGGCTGCCGTTGAGCTGGCTGCTGCCGCTGCCAACTAAGGTCTGGACCGGTATCGCTCTAGAAACACATGCCTCTCTCCGTACGATTTGACCTCTGATCGCAGGAGATTCTGGCATATCGTGAGATCTCGAGGGTTATGTTCTGTGCATCAACGACACGACGAGACTGCTAGAAGTCTATACAGTAGTATATAGGAAATGAAGAAAATGAATACTCGATATCTGTCAGAGGCCTCAGAGGCTTATTATTATTGTTGACCGTTGATCGCTGTCGGAAGCAGATTGTTGAACCCGGCATGATCGTGATGCGTGATGATGAACATTCCGATCCATAACTCACTTTAGGTCCTGTCGACCTGTTTGGATCAGTTTGTGACGTCGAACTCTTAGCTACCCAGCTTAAAATCTCGCCCCTCGTGTGGATTGAAGACCTACTATGGAGGCTCGTTCGCTCGGTCCTGCCAGATCCCCAGGCAGGGCCATCTACGAGCAAGAACTCGAGCGGTCAAATCGTCAACAAAGCAACCCCGTCGTCTCGTCGGAATCCACCTTGCTGTCCTCTATCCGGTCGATATTCCCTTCATACAACTCGTCAAAGACAGCGGTTCTCGAATTCAAGTCAAGAGTCACTGCTTTACCTCGACCTTATCACACAAACTTCGCTGCGATTGATACGTTCGAGACTCAAATCGACGAAGAGCTCGCTTGGTTTGGGAGCAAACTCGTTTGGAGCCGAGGATCGACCGTCTACAGGACTTTTACCTATTATCAAGAGAAACAAAAGGTTACGAATGCGATATTCGCTCGGTTTACTCTGGAAGCCGAACCGAAATGGCGGTCCGGTCCAGGTCCACAGAACGGGAAGGCAGAAAATGACGAGCTGAGCTCGGAGCCCGCTATTGCGGAAGTGAACACCGACAAGCAGAGCGAAGGACCGCAAACCTTTGGACCGTTCCATACATCTCAGCACGCCAAATGGGGACGGCCAGATAAGCACAATGGCTCCGGACATTCCGCTAAGGGCAAACAACAGGCGCAGCAGAGGTGCCTGGCAGTGCTACTCGAAGACTGGATCCACGTCTACTATCCATCCGGTCATGATCTGGTTGTGGCGCTGCCATTTCCGATAGACGACGTATGGGCGATACCATCTGGTGGGATCATGCTCCAGCGGGCGATGAACAATAGGGAGGTTGAAAGGTTGAGATCTGCCAAGAGCCGTGAACTCGGTCCCGTCAAGATCGCCGGTGGTATGGATCTCGATGCTACGATGGAACTGGTGTTAGAAGAATTGGAGATGGATCGGATGGAGGGGGTTTTAGGCGGGAATGGAACCGAAGATGCCAGGTTATACACTCTGACACATCCTTCGAGCGAGTTGCAAACGGTTTGCCAAAGCTGCCACATTCCGGGAGGACGTCGCGACATCGAATGTCGGGACAATTCAGTCGTGCGGCTCGACCAGGTGGAACCGCTCGAGCCCGAAAAAGAACTAATCTGGCTCTCTGACACCAAAGATACGAAGCTCGCTGTCTTCCACGATCACAAAACTGACGAGATCGTCTTTGCGCGATGGGAAAACTGTAACGATGAATCGGTTGCAGATGCGCCTAAGACCGATCACAACATCAAGGCTGTAGGCGGTTCTGCTATCAAAGCTCACGATGTTTCCACAAAACGTCCCGATGTTCCTCTTCGACCTGGTCTCGGTCGAGTAGACAGTACTTCCGGTTCCCTCCTTGAGAAGCGGAGCTCGTTGGGCGGGTCTCGTTCGCTGGGCCGGGCGCACAACAGGCGGGTGTCATTCAAGCCGGACGTACTCAATCCTGCTGTCGAGAAGGCCAACCACGACCCTTTGGCGGCGCTGGAGGGAGAGACGGCCATCAGCACAAGAATCAAGGCAGAAGGTGACCTTGTTCGGGGTCTGCCCCATCAACGACGGGTGTCTCAGGGGATGAAAGAGGTAGAGAGGAAGAACAAGGTCACGTTTGACGATTTGGATGTTGGAGAGAATACCATGCTTTTCGGTATCGATCAACCAAAGGATCGGATGCAACCTGACATGGTCATGATGGAGATCCATCGATGGCCGCTCCCAGATTCTACGTGAGTCCATCGCTCTTCTCGTTCTCCTCAATCGGAAACTGAATCAAATCGCGTAGACTTCTTTCCGGCAAAATCCAGGCCTTCGCTTCAGATCAACTTGGCGCGGATTCGATCCATATCAACATACACGTCAGGTCGAACGCGGAACCTCTACTATACATATTCCGGCTCGAGAGAGTTCAGAACGACACTCCCACTTGGAGGGCAACGGAGATCGTCGGGCTTCCAGCAGATGCGGCTGTTCCGATTATCTGCACTCGCGCCCGCATCTTTGATGTTCTGGTGCTGGACAAAGGAAGAGCCAAGATCGTTACTAGTCACGGACGGTTCGTAGAGGTGAACCTGCCTGTAACTGCCACGTCGGCTCCGCCCGCTACCGGGAAGGTCCCTTGGAAGGAGGCTACAGCGATCCAAGACTTGCTGAACCCGATCAGCTCAAGGGTCACATTGAAGGGATATGACGGTACAGAAACCTTACTGGATCTCAACTATTCCTCTAGTAGCAGCGACGTCAACCAAGTGATTCACGCCATCAGTCAGGTCCTACCGGAGGAAGCGACAATGAACATCAAACTGAACATACTCACTCAGCTGCGATCGGCTAGAGTGGACTCGCAAGAAGTGTTGCGATCGGTTGGGCACGTGATCCTCGCTTCTCTGGGCTTCGAGAAAAAGCCCACGCTACGGGCAGACTCGCCATGGACTCGGTTGAAAGCCCGGGCGGGTCGCGATTCGCGACGCGACATAAGGTCGAGACATGTAGATTCGGGACCAGAGACAGCTGGGTTCGGGAACCGCTGCATGCTCTCGGGACAGATCTCGGTCGAGTTTACGCCAAACGTCTTGCAAGCTCTTCATGTGCTTGCTCAAGAATACCTTTTGAGGATGAGCCATCATGATCGGTTGATGCATTTGGTACCAATCATCCTAACCCTCGCTACCTATCTCAAATTGTCGACATGGGTAGACCACTGGCGAAGGCACTTGCCTTCGGCAGGCTTGATTGACATGAAATATCCAAGTGAGCTCGAATGTCTGTCTTCTCGCTGCTTTCAGCTGATCGGTTGATCCGGCCGCAGCACCGTTTCCTTGCATTATACCGCCGCACCTTCTGGTTCCAACCGATATCCTGGACCTATTACGCCGAACCATGATGACAAGACGCTTGACGATACCGAAACAGCTTGTCCTTGGATCCTCAGCCTCAGCTGGCGCTAGCAGGGAGCTAGGACATTCGGAGACTTTGCCCCATCTCACCCTCGTTCTTCACTTGTACCGAATGCTCGGGACTGCCAATATGGATGCCGACCTAGCCGACAAAGCTCTCCGTTTCATGGTCAGCCATGGCGTCACGATGGACTGGATGAATAACCTTCCATGGAGTATCGCACTGCCGGTTTGGGAAGCTATCCGGGTTGGCCGCACTGTTCCCAGCATGGATTGGCCTGTACAAGTATACTCGCTCGTCGACAGGCTCGACATTGCAGCCCAGTTGGATCTTGGACACCGATCCGTACTTACGGTTCCCTCTACATCGGATCGCGCTCCAGTGAGTCTCTGGTATCAGCAATTTCTGACTAGCGTGATGCCAGGCCTAATCCGCTTCGAGTGACAGGTTGGGCAAGATGTCTCCAGTTACAAGACGATTCTATCACAAGTGACTCCGCTGTCTTCAACGACGACTGGGCTTGATATGCTACACGCCAAACATAAGGGTCGTAGTCTTTCGGTCCCCAACGTACGCTTTCCGAACGATCGGCGGCTGTGGGACGTCGAGTCGTTGTTACAAACCACACAATCTCGTCCCGTCAAGCCTGAAGACAAGCCACATTTGACGTGAGTCGACGCCATACTCCCGAGTAATCTGTATATCGGTTCTCACCTACCCATACGTACAGCGAGGAACAGCGTCTGATTCAGCACCAAACCCTCGTCCATAGCTTGGGTTATCGAACGATATCCCAAACGGTTGGATACGGCCTGTTCATCTTGGATTCGAAAGAACCATCTAACACAGATCGCTTCGAGATTCCCAACATAAACGTTGGCGTTCAGCTGTTGCCATCGACAACTACGATCTTCCCTGAGTTCAAGGTTGAGAACTTGTCTTGGCCCGCCTTTCATCAAGGGGTTGCAGCGGGATTGTCCATCAAGCGGAACAGTAATGTCGTCAATTCATCTTGGATTTTCTACAACAAGCCGGACCAGCCCACTCCCGCATTTGGAGGTTTCCTGCTTGGTCTCGGCTTGACCGGCCATTTGAGAAATCTAGAGACCTGGCATCTCTACCCTAATCTGGCTCAGCGGCATGATCACGTCTCGGTTGGCCTTCTGCTTGGCATGGCAGCAACTTATGCAGGCAGTCAAGATCGTCGCCTGACAACTATGCTAAGTGCCGGAGTTAGTGCCCTTCTTCCCCCCGGATCCGTCAGTCTCAACACCTCGCCGATATTACAATCCGCCTCACTCTTCGGTCTGGGCCTGGTCCATCTCGCCTCTGGCAGTCACCGACTGGCAGAGACGTCACTCTCAGAGATAGGCCGATACGATCTACCTGGCTTAGACGATCAGGGAGAAAATAAAGAGCTCTACGCATTTTCAGCGGCGTGTGCATTCGGGTTGATCATGCTTGGGCAGGGAGGCAGGAATCGCGAACACGATGTCCACTGTGTGAATCGATTACGTGGATATTTCGTCGACCTTCACCAACCTGAAAACGAAGCTCAGGATCCTTCCCTTGGAACCCACCGGGACGTCAATACGACTGCCGGAGGCTCTGTCTTAGCGCTTGGACTGATGTACCTCCGCACTAATCAAGCCGGAGTGGCCCATCTACTCCTGCCGCCGCAGAATGCCTTCGAACTGGATCATATCAGGCCCGACATGCTCATTGTGAGAACCTTGAGCTACAATCTGATTCTCTGGGACGAGATCGAGCCATCCCGTTCGTGGCTAAACGCCCAATACCCCAGCTTTGTGCTGGCGGCATGGAAGCTCAAGGCCGCGACCGGTGTCATTGATGAGGTTCAGGAGCTGGCTTACTTCCATATCACGGCTGGGGCCTGCTTCGTCCTCGGCTTGAAATATGCGGGAACCATGGACAAGTACGCTTCACAGATAATCCTCGACGCATATGAACTCTTTCTTCAGCAAATGCTTCCCAGTAGTGAGTCAAACATCAGCTGACTTGCAATGCGTTGATGCTGATCACACATCGCCACAGCGACCTCTTACGAGACCAAAATCAAAAGGATCGCATTGCGCCAGGGCTTTGCGTTGCTTCTGATCGCTCAAGCACTCGTCGCGGCGGGAACAGGCGATATTCTTACCTACCGCAGATTACGTAGCCTGCATGGCGGGGACGGACACCCGTACAGCACTCGTACCGCTCTTCACACGGCTATCGGCATCCTCCATGTGGGTGCTGGCAGGTATTCGTTCGGACGGTCCAACTTGGCCATAGCCGCCATGGTCATTGCCCTTTTCCCTCGTTACCCCACTGCAATGGATGATAATCGTTCATACCTTCAAGCCTGGCGTCACTTGTGGGCGATCGCGATCGAGCCCCGCTGCATCGCCACGGTCGATATCGACACGCTCAAACCCGTGGTATTGCCGATGACGATCAGGTTGCGCAACGCCGCCGGCAAGTTAGAGCAGAGAGATAGAGAGACCACTTCGCCGTATCTCGCCGATGCTTTCGAACGGACTGTCACGCTTGCCGGGACCAGTCCTCGATATGCGTCACCGGTGATACACGTCGAGACATCAGCTTTGCAGCGAGAGGTCCTGCTGAGGCTTCAAACAATGTTTGTCAAGCGCAAATCTAATAACTTGGACTATTCTGAGGATCCGAAAGGTAATCGATCGATCAGCATCCTCGCCAATGCTGCTCAGATGGCCCAGGGGGAATTACTGCACTCGTTGACAGGTCCGACTTATCGAGCAAAAGAACTTGACACGATCGAAAGCATCGTGACGGAATTTTCGGGCGATCCCATCTACCGAGGATTCTTGTCTGCCTTTGGCTCTTTCGACAAGACAAGCCCGCATCCAGGCAAACACTTCTCGTGGACGTATGCTTGCGAGACCATCGTGCTGGACAGCCTGCTGCAAAACCAACCAGAACTCACAGCACTACATTTCGGCCTGCTGTCAAGTTTGGATGCCCTCGACAGCCGTTACGGAGCGGTGAATCTCGGGTTGCTCGACATCGCGCTCGAATTTTGTGCTTCGGTGCAAACGGAACGCCTGCGCTCTCCGACGGGTTCAGCCAAGTCGATCAAGATACCTCCTCTCATCAGGCGATCGATCTTGACCGCCATATTTGCGAACGAGCGAAAAGTGGTCCGCCATAGACTAGGAGTCGACAGCGATTCCGAGAAACAATACTTACGAGCGGTCGGGACAGGCGAGGAATGTATCGTGACTCCGGACCTTGGCGCCGAATTGGTGTCTAACCGTGTCCCCAGCCTGGAAAAACTTCACGATTTACGCAGGAACATCGAGGCAGTTGATAGACGAGCTACGGCCGCGTCCGCGTCTCTGAAGGATCGAAACGTCGTAGCGCGATCCGCGCTATTGAAAATGGCTTACGCCGAGACCCTCGCACAACCACAATACGAAACGACTATTCCGACTCCGCTGGAAACCTGGACGGATCGGTCCCTAACGAACGCACTACGCGAGTGGTGCCAATGATGATTGTACGAAAAGTCCTTGTGACTGTTAGACGAACCCGTGACTGTGACGAGAACCCTACCGTGGTGTAATGATCATTTAAGATGCCTTTGATCCAGAAGAGTTTACACGTGCATTGTCTTCCCTTTGTTCCCTTCTGACTCAGGGCCAAGGTGTATATATATATTCACTTATGCGCGACCGTGCCATTCGTACTTTTCATGGTTTTGGGCAAGGTTGCTTGATCACAAGCAGATCGAAATCGCAGATATGCCTACGAACCTGTACCCTGCCCCGTTCTCGAAATGGCACCAGGGCCCCATCGTTTTACCTGCGCCACCCAGCCATGCCCCTCCCCAAGAGTTTTCTCCTGAAGCCATGAGCATGATGTCGGGTCCGACCATGCAACCGCACATGGCCATGTCTCCAGGCCAAACGATTCACGCGAGCATGTCGCCCATGTCCCGACAAGCTCCTGGAGCAGTCTTGACCAACGGGATGGCGAGTGAGTACGGCGTGACACCTCATCAAATCCAGTGCCACCCCCAGCTGACATCGGTTCTCACGCCAGACCCCTTTGTCCATCACAATTCGCTCTCGACAGCAGGCAAGCCGAGAGCGTATCATCCAAGCAATCAATCTGTGTTTGCACCGATGCCCAGCCATGCGGACATGTACGGGGAGATGGCTGATAGAGGTGGCGTCACTCACGCCGGAACGATATACCCAGACGCCATGTCGATCGCCGAGTCACATCACATTTGCCACGATTGCGAAAATCGGCGTGAACGTGAAAGACAAAGACCATTACCTTGCAGCTGCACTTGTCGGCACCAGGACTTTGAGTATTACGACAACAACGTTCAACCGTCCGGCCGCAACAGATCCTCTTCTCGATCTGGCGAGAGCGACGTGTATCGACGTCCTCAAGCACCGAGGCGCAGCAGTCACGGACGACATGATATGCCAATGTCTCCCACTGGACATCCAAGTCGATATCCAAGTGATGATCGCGGTCGACCCGAGCGCGCTCCGTCTCGAGACCGGGAAGTACACAGGGACGTGCAGCCACGTCCCACCAGGAGATACTCTGTCGACGAGCTGGATATGGCCCATCTGAGGGTTACTGATCACAGTCGATCCGGTTCACGCGGTCCTGAACAACAGCAGAGACGGCCTCGAACTGTTGAACATGGATCGCGAAACCCTTCAGGCGATCGTCAGAGCAGCCGCGGCCCATCACAGCGAGGACCTAGTCTCCGTGGGGTCGCGGAAGGTCCCGACCCGTTGTACGATGTCGCAGAAGTTTACCCCTTACCAGCCCACCACCTGTCCCCTTCTCGCCAACACCGTTTGGCTTACAAAGGTCACAAACCCGCCGCGATTGACAGTTACTCAAAGTTGCGAAGGGATCCAGCGAAACCACGTGGTTACGGTCGGGACTGAGCCAGAGAAAATAGTTTCATGTGCCTCTACATGTGATGTTGTATATGCGCCTGTCAGACTGTTCCCTGGCAAGATAGATCTAGTCATTACAATTCGTCACTTTACGTTGCGTAGCCAGCATCTTGTGCTCAGGCGTTCAAGCTCAGCATGCTGTATAGCAAAGAAATTAGTCTCGTGAATAGAGAATCTGAGCGCAGCACCACTCACCCCTGCGTCATGTATCCATCCACCATCTGCTGGGTTGCCAAAGCTTGTTTGAGAGATGTTACCGCATCATCAGAACCAAGGGCAATCAACAACAGGCCAGCGTCCTTGACACTTTGTACCAAAGCAGGAACGGCCGCCTGCGTATAAAGAATACATGTTGAGTCGGAAATGATTCATCGCAAGAGCCTCGAGAGCTTACCAAAAGTCTGCAATCGAGAGCGAGGCCCAGCATGTTCTGACTCTTTGCGAGCTTGACAGATTCCCTCACGCTCAGACTGCCTTCAGCATACGAGGCTTGCTGGATAAGCGAGCCTGTGGAGCGCTCAGTGTTGCAGTACGAGCTGAAGAATACTGCAAAGTTCGGCTGCTTGAGTTGGATGTGCGTACATAGCTGCATAGCGTCCAGATCGCGTCAATATGGAGTTTCCCAGATCTAGAGGAAAGCAGCATGTCGGCTTACTGTCGCGTCGAATCCAGTAAAAATTATTCGACGACTTCGCTTCTGTGAATCTGGATTTGTACTCTTGCGCGCGGCTTCGTACACCGTTCGTAGGACAGAGTCGACAACCTTGTTGAGATCCAGTACGTTGATCAATCCTTCACGGGCGATGTCTCCTTTGGAAGCATAGCGGATTTGCAGATTCGCTCCTATATGTGCCGGCAGGATCTGAGAATTACTCTGGGCTTAGCAAGTGTTACCACAGCCAAGCACGGCAAGTTGACCTACAGTTAAGGCTTCATCCAGCGTCATGAGGGTGTCCTTGAGTGCCCTGTGCCATTTTGCCGGTGTTACATCTGACCCTAGTGTCTCCATGGCGGTTTTGGCAGTTTTCCCCCTGGAAGAGCTCAATTCCTGGAATTGCTTTGCCGTTACGTCCGAAACGCCCAACGTCAATCCGGAATATGGTAGGAGCCATTGCGAAAAGATCACGGGAACGTAATCCTTTGTGAGTTGTACCACCAGGTGGAGATACTCCCCTGCAAGCGAAGAGGCGGTGACGAATCCACTCTTTTCTGTCTCGTGCGCAGGCGCTTTTTTCGAGGAAGATTGAAGAGCCGATTTCATGCTGGGAGACGTGGTGGAAACACTGAGAGGTCGATGGGGCTGGAATTGATGAGCGTGATCCTGTGCGACAGCCGCGGGAGGTGCCACTGTCGTCGACTTCCAATATGTTTCGACGCGACCGCCGATCTCCAGTTGTGCGCCTTCAAAAGGACGGATGCATTCAACGTGGAAGGAAACCTCTCCGATCGCTTTCAAGTGGTGGTCCAATAGGGGGACGACGAGGGACTGCGACTTGTGCATGTCCCGGAATGTAGCAGGCAAGACAACGGCCCGTCCGATGACCCTCGACCCGAAGGTCGGGTACAGTGACATTTCCAGTGCGAATCGATCTAGGTCTTCGACGTGGAACCCAAACGTTTCCCGCTCATCTGCGAGGGGCAAGACAACACTGTGCGGCATATCCGTTGGATCCAACTTGGAGGTCATGACGAGCTTGAGCGAGGACCACATGTCGAGCAAATTGTCGTCCTCGGTACGGCTGTATAACCGTACTGGGAAGACCCGTCGATCCGAAGAAGCCTGAGATACGGGATGACCAAGGGTCACCTGTACGAGGCTCTTCTTGGCCAAGAACTGCAGGGCGGAAGGAGACTAGGGTCAGACGTGCTTGGCGATGGAGACAAAGTAGATACGTCAGCTTACATCATGACCGTACATCCTGAGTCTAAACCGTCCGAAGAGAAAGCTGTTCAATTTCGGATTTCTCGTGCATTCTTCCAGTCGCCGGGTGACTACTCACGGGATGATCGGAGGGGGCAACGACAGGGACGGGATCATGTCTACTTCGCCATCCAGCATCATATCATCCTCTCCGTCCGAGTTGGGCGATGCGGTGCCTTGCACATCAGCACTCCCGAAACCTAGATTTTGAACCTTGGACGACGTCCCGGTCGCCTTGGCTCGACCAAGATCGGCACCAGCTTTCAAGAGGTTCTCCAGGCACGCGATTTGCTGTCGATAATATAGTCTCTGTCAGTGATCGTAGACGGGAATTCAACTGAGTAGCCAGTTCTGGAAGTCTACTTACGCCGTACCATCCGGCATAGAAACCAGGAGTCTTGCCGTACTCGTCCTCCGCATTTACATCACATCCGGCATCGATGAGCACCTTCAGACAGTCCGCGTGACTGGCGGTACCTCCAACACAAGCGTGGTGCAAGGGGGTCCACTGGTTGTACTTGTCCCGCCTATCCTTGCCTCCCCCATCTGCACCACCTTCGTGTACCAAGAGCTGGCAGATATCTGCATGCCCTGCCCTCGCTGCCAAATGCTGGGGATACAAGCCTTCCGAATTCGGCAAGACCTTAGCCCCGTTCCTCAGCAACAACCGTGCGACCTCGATCCGCCCGTGTTGGCAAGCCAAAGACAATGGGATGAGATCATTCGAGATGGCCGACGTCTCCAAGATCTGCGTTCCAACGTATTTCACCAAGACTTCGACGCAATCGGCATGTCCCGCGACAACACCCTGGATGAGCGGGGTCTGACCGTCCATGTCGACAGCGGTCGCGTCGACGCGGTGTTTGAGCAACGTCTCGCAGATATCGACATGCCCGTGCATGGCAGCGTAGTGCAACGGTTTCCGACCATAAGTATCCTGAGCCTCCAGAGGAACGCCCTTTTCGATACAGATCTTGACGAGCTCGACCCGACCCGAGATGCACGATTCGTGCAGAGGACTTCTCCCGTTGATCTTGTCAGTAAAGTTGAAATCCACAGGAAGGGTTGCAAGAACCTTGTCGAGATACCTAGGTTCCAGCTCCTCGACCGCCCGCCACAGCAGCCTCATCAGCCTCGTCGCATCCGGATGTTGTCTCTGCCTCTCCCGAGCGGCATTGAGCCAATTCGAGACGCTATCCGAACTCTGGTCGGCGAGTGTGCGTTCCAACTCGTACTCCAAGTCCGAGACGGCGTCCATCCCGATCGCGGGCAAGAGGTCCGGCCGATCGTCGAAACTAGGCTCTCGCTCAAAGTGCAACCCGTCAGCTCCTAGGGCTTCGGGGAGGTCGTCCAGGAACGAGATGTTGAGGTGAGAGGAACCCCGTTCGAGGTCGAGCAAGTTGGCCGCCACGATATCGGCCATCTTTGTGATGCACTGTAGCGACAAGAGGAGACGCTGTCAGCGAGCCGGTCCGCTGAACCCTCGGCAACGAAAATGATCACAACGCACCTCCCGGTTGAAACAAGGCTGAATTTCAACTTGTCTCTCGAGGTACAACTCCTTGGTACTGCTCTTACTCCGCTTGTCCCACTTTTTCAGAATCTTCCTGAATCCCGTGGCGTTGATCTCGATAAACTGTTGCAGCTTGACCAAGTCCCTCTCAAACAACCTCCATCCTTCCTCGAGGTTGGCCCATTCGGCTCCCTTTCTGGATGGATCCGCTCCGGACATGCCTTGCGCGACGTCGTCCAGATCGCTTGGATCCGAGGTGGAAGCCGAACCGAGATGGAGGAGGAGACGTTTACGGTTGTTGAGCAAGGTCAGGATTCGTAACCGTAGATCTCGCTCCTTTGTCAGGTAAAAGGCGTTGATCTGTAGCGATGCATTCGCGCCAGTGTTTTCATTAGTGACAGGTTCGGGGCTTGGTGAGAGACGACGGCCATCAAATACTGACCTTTTCCAGCTCCCTCCCGAGCTTGAAGAAGAACACCGCTCTGTGCGCCTTGAAACTCTCATCCCTCTCCCTATCTCTCCCCCTAGCCACCCCATTCACTCCACCCGAAGCGCTCTCCCCAGGCGCCGGCGGTTCCGCTCCCGGTGGTAAGGGTTCCAGATCGATCGACTGGACGCCGGCATCGAGGTTCAGGTGGTTGCCCAAGGACGGGTTCTGAGCGTGTAATGCTGGGGAGAGGAGGAAAGGGGTCGATGATGTCAATGTTGTGGAGCTCGTCGATCGGCCTGGGCCTAGCGTCGGAGTGGCTGTAGGTGAAGAGGCATCGAGAGGGTTGAGACTGGTTGATTCTATCCGGGTTGGGCTGGGCCGGATGCCGACTGCCAACAAAGAAGCCTCTGAAGCGGGCCTATGTGATGCGAGCGAGTTGATGATCTGCACGTCCAGGGTCGCATCAAAGATTGTTCCGTCAGCTCTCCATATAGCGTGTGCCAACTTGCAACATGACGACTCACCTTTTTCAAAAACTTGTAGTCCAAGTAATATGTCCCCCAACCGGGGATCTGTCTAGCCTGAATCGTCTTTCCGAACTAACCCACCGTAACCTAGTCGTCAGCCCTACGCCCGACCCGCAGCTACGCAACCTCTAGGCTAGCGTACCTTCATCTTGGCAGTCTTTCCTGTTCTATCCTATCGATCTCCAGTTCTAGCTGTAGTCTATACGTAAATTGTAAGGTCCCTGCTGTTGCTGTTGAGCAGTCCTGGTAGTATGATCACCGCCTAGGTACACAGCTACCGCCGTGTCAACCCAACTCAACACAGCTGATTTCTCCGGGAGTTACTTCGATGTTTACTTCCTGCAGACGTCCTGGTGCTGCACCTACACTATGATTTCGATGGAGCGGAGCAATTGAGCAACCGAGCTGAGAGCGACAAGTCGGCTGGCTAGGTTCGATGATGGGTGAATCGATGGCTGGCTCGAACACTCCGGCTTTGATCGCTTCGAGCCAACTTTTTCCTCTGAGCGAAAGTGATGGGCGCTGTTTTCGGCTCAAGTCTGTGTGTGCGGTGTGTGTGTGTGTGTGTGTGTGTGTGGTTGGGGGGGATGACGAGGACAAGGAAGGAAAGGCTGGAGAGCTGGGAGGGAGGATGACTTTACGCACGTTCTCGTTCGGGCAACGCCAACAAGATACCGGCCGGGGACCCCGCAATTCAGGGGGGGACGGAAAGTCGACCGGACCACCCACTCGCCCCAGTCGTGTCGTGTCAGTCAACGATCATCGACCACCCTTGAATCGGAGAACAACGAGCCAGTAGTCGGGACAGATCATAACGGTGGCTCAAATCTATCGTATGGATCATATATATGCAGAAGACACCGTAAACAAAGCCCGACCAAGAACAACTCTAGAGAAAGTCACAAAATAGAAGAACAACCCGGCCAAGCGTCTAGAACGATCCGGTCCATCTCATCTCTCCCTCCATCCCTCTCTCTAGAGTCGGTCACCGGTTCCGATCGAGACGACCTTGAAGCCAATGTTCTTGAGCTCTTGTCGCTTCAAAATGTTCCTTCCGTCAAAGATGAAAGCGGGCTTGTTCATGGTGTCGTGGATCGACTGCCAGTCCAAGTTGACAAACTCTTTCCACTCGGTAACGACGACGATGGCTGTGCGCGCAATAGCACCAAGGTGATCAGCTGACTTGTCGTGGAGGAATGTGCTAGCTTGGTATTAGGTCGGCACTCACCATCGGCTCCCTTGCAGGCCTCCAAAGCGCTCGGGCAGACGGTGACGGCCTTCTGGATGGGCTCGGCGGGCTTGGCACCGTAGTCGGTCAAATCGAGCATGATCTGCGACTCCTGGACCTCGGGGTCGTACACGGTGACCCTAGCACGCTCCGACAAAAAGTGGTTGATGAGGTCGATGGCGGGCGACTCTCGGGTGTCACCAGTGTCGGCCTTGAAGGCGAATCCGAGGACGGCGATCTTCTTGCCGGTGATGGTGTTGAACAAGGTGTCGACGACCTTTTTGGCGAACCTGTTCTTCTGGTAGTCGTTGGCCTCGACGACGGCGTACCAGTATCGAGCGACCTCCTCGAGGTTGAGCTGGGGATGATGCTGTCAGTCTCGGACGAATTGCAAGTTTGTGTAGTAGGCATCAACTCACCGATCGGGCGAGGTAGACCAAGTTGAGGCTGTAGATAGGAAAAGAAAGCCAATGAGTACGCTTTTACAGTTGTATGCGCTTTCGAGCAAATCATGGACGTACATATCCTGCAATGTCAAGTCACAAGCTGTCAGCAACTTGCCTCGAATAAACACCAAGCTCGAGCCTCGCCGACTCACCTTCTGGAAACAAGAACCTCCGAAACCAACGGAAGCCTTCAAGAACTTGGGTCCGACACGCGAGTCCTTTCCGACGGCGTAAGCGACCTCGTCGACGTTGGCTCCGGTAGCCTCACAGATGGCACTGAGCATGTTGACGGATGAGATCCTCTGAGCGAGCATGGCGTTGGCGGCCAACTTGGAGAGCTCGGAGGACCAGAGTCCGACGGTCAAGATCCTCTCCTTGGGGATCCAGTTGGCGTAGACGTTGGCGAGGGCGGCACAGGCGTCGAGACCCTCTTGGGACTGAAGGGAACCGATGAGGACCCTGTCCGGGGCGAAGAGGTCCTCGATGGCGGTACCTTCGGCCAAGAACTCGGGGTTGGACAGGATGTCGAACCTGCAGCCAGGCTTGGCGTTGGCCTCGAGGATAGTCCTCATGGACCTGTGCAGGGTAGAAAACAAGGCGGATTTCGCGATCAGCCCATGTGATCGATACAACAGAAAGCAGGCGCGAGACCGTCAACTCACTCGGCGGTCCTGCAGGGAACGGTCGACTTCTCGACGACGATCTTGGACGAGGTCGAAACCTCGGCGATCCTTCGGGTAGCCAACTCGATGTAGTTCAAGTCGGCGGCGAAACCAGCACCGAGACCCGACTTCTTGGTGGGAGTGTTGACCGAGACGAAGATCAAGTCGGCCTCGGCGATACCCTTGTCGACCTCAGTCGAGAAGAACAAGTTCCTACCCCTGCATCCCTTGACGACGTCGACGAGACCGGGCTCGTAAATGGGGAGGTTGAAGTCGGGGTCGTTCCAGGCGTCGATACGGGACTGGTTGACGTCGACGATGGTGACCTGGATGTGGGGACACTTGAGGGCGCTGTAGATGAAGGTGTTGACGCGATGAGCAATGTGTACATGAAATAGTCAATATGCCACCTGGCATATGTGTTTTACTCACACAACGGCACAGGTGGGACCTCCGACGTATCTGTAAGCAGGTCCAAGAATAAGCATTCACGCGATCAGCCAATCGCTCTTCCGAAGCAACGCCTCTGCAATCTCGCGAAAACGACAAGATCCACTATTAGCACCAAGACTCACCCGGCACCGATACAGACGATCTAGTAACGAAGGCGCGCAAGATAATCGAGAAATAAAGGTCAACAACCCATCCTCCAGATCTCTTAATGCAGCGGCAGCAGAAGACCCGTGGCTCACCTTCTTAACTTCGATAGGAGCCATTGTAGTGGAATGTATGTGTGTGTTTAAAAGAAAGTGTTTGGTAGTTGTTTTGCGGAGAAGAGTCTAGGACTGCTTTTTGTTGGGGAGGGGGTTTGTTGTTGTTATGGGGTTCCGAGGTGAAGGACGAGTGAGAAAGAGTGGTTCGACGAGGTGACGAGGGTTATAAATGTTCGAGATGCGAATCGTAGGATGAGAGGAAAAGGGAGAAAAGTCGGGTCAGCCGGGAATGATCGATAAGGGCTCGTCGGCGACAGCGCAACAGACAACGTTTTGATGGATTGGATTGGGGGGAGAGGAGGAAGCGAAACGATCATCCCCCTCCTTTGGATACTCACGGATGGATGATCGAATTTGGAACGGAAGATCGAGGTAGAGAAGATGACTTGGGAGGGAAGATGGATTGCAAGGTGAAAGAGGCGATATGTTTGGGAATGCAAGAAGAGTAGGAGAGTAGGTCGAGGTTGATATCGTCTCGCTCGATACGAGATCGAGCACGACGTGCCAGCGCAAAGTGGCAGGAAGCAGGACGAGCAAGGGCCCGGGAACGCTTCGGTCGTTTCCGCATCCGGGGACCACAACACGCTCACGCGAGAAAAAAACGCGTCGAGAGATGATCACAAGCGCGCGCAGACCGATTCAGCGAGGGGGGCGTGCCCGAAGCGAAGAGGAAAAGGTCGGGCCCTGTTCGCGTGGCCCGCGTGATTGGTGGATCGAATTGTCCCTTGTCCCTCTCGCGCACAGGAGACGAAGGGACAGCTCGTTCTAGCGTTGTCTCTGAAGCTAAATTTGTCGCCGAAGCGGGTTCGTTCCGAAACATCGGTTTCATTGCGACAAGGAGCTTGCAAGGAGAGATCTTCGATCGAGAAATCAGAGAGAGAGAGCAGACCTCGTCCAGCCATGGGCCATGGATGCCTGAAAAGTCTTGCCTCGGACCATGAACGTTCAATTATCATATGCTATCATAGAGTGGTACAAGCGTCAAGCAGCAGACGACCACGTTCATCCTCGGATCCATTACTGAATCCGAAATCTTGCCAATGCCAAAGAGCGGACGCTTAATGGATCACTCAAACCTTGTCTAGTTTAGATTTCGGCACCTTCAAGCTCAATTTAGCGACTGCGCGACTGGAACTCTCGAAGCTCGACGTCGAATGCGACCTGGAATATCGAAGAAACCCGGAAACAAACGGAGAGGTTTCGCATCACAATTCACAACTGCATGCGCTGTGCGGCTTGGGATGTGGCCGTGAATCAAAACGATGGGCCATATCGATCTGAATCCTGGGTTCGACGCTAGATGACAGGATCTTTACATCTAGTAGCTACTGGTCAACATTTGACAGTCATCAAGGTCGGGTAGCGGACGTCAGACTGTGTCAACTATATCGCGGATCTGTGATGCATCACGTTCTCCTGGTTTCGGCCCGGACGACCTTGAATCTACCGTAGTCTCATCTACAAGTGTTTCTCTAACGTCGTTCAATTAACCTCGTCTGGTCATGCCCTGGCTTTGCCTTTGCCTTTACTTTTACTTATGGCGATCCCATTGGCACCGCCTTCACCATTCACCTGCTTCTCCGAATTAAGCGTCTCTGACGCAAACTTTTGTCGCACCGTCTCGTAATGTCGGATATCGTCCAGCGAGACCGAAGGTACCAGCTCAGACAAGGCAGAGACGAAATCTCGTTCCGTCACCACCACATCGGCCTCCTCAGGAGTAGCCATCGCAGAGAGATAATACTGCGGAGTAAGCGGTTTCGGGTAGGCTCGAGGTTCGGGGACAAGTTCGAGCGCGGCTGGATTCCGTCGTGCTAGTCAGCCTTTTATCCTTGTGCGCAGCGCTGATGGTCCACGGCAAGACAACTCACCAATCCGCTCATCTACCGCCGAAGCGGTCCTGGACATGGCCTTGAGCATGGCATCCGAACACAAGGCGTAAAAGTCGGCTCCGGTATAGTTGAAGGGACACTGATCTGCCACCGTCATCAGGTCCAGTTGCGGGTCGAGGTTGAATTTCCTCGTCAGGGCGGACAAGATGTTGTACTGCGTCTTATGATCAGTGCTGACGCTGAGGTAGAGCATGCGATCGAATCTTTAAGCGAGAACGTTCAAAGTAGGTCAGAAATCCGTTTGTCAAGATCAATCCGGTGCGAGACTGCTTACCGTCCCGGTCGAAGCAATGCGGGATCTAAGAGATCCGGCCTATTCGTGGCAGCCATCACAAAGACTCCGGCTCCACCTTTTCCTTCTGCCATCCCGTCCAGCTCGGCTAACAGCTGGCTGACGATCCTGTCCATTACCCCGCCACTGTCTCCCTGGTTACCCCTCTTGGGCGCGATCGAATCCAACTCGTCCATAAAGATGACGCAGGGTTGAGCGTCCCTGGCCTTTTGAAATACCCTCCGCACGTTGGCTTCGGATTCTCCGATGTACATGTTCAAGAGTTCCGGTCCCTTGACCGAGAAGAAATTGAGCGAGCACGAGGTCGCTACCGCCTTGGCTAGCAAGGTCTTTCCTGTACCTGGTGGACCGTAAAGCAAGATACCTGATCGTTTCTTCAAGCCTTCGGCGAAGAGTTCCGGTCGTTCCAGTGGCAGCTGTATCGTATCCAAGATATCCGACTTGACGTCCGCAAGACCCCCGACATCGTCCCACGAAACGTTGGGGATCTTGGGAGCACCGATAGCGTCCGCCAATGAGCTTCGGGCCTTGTTGAGAGCGTCTTCAAAGTCCGCGTTGACGATTGGCATGCCAACATGCATCGCACTCGAAGCGTGTTCCCTGTCAAAACGCAATCGAGCTGAGCACTGCAAGCCTATTCCCAGACTCGAACTGCTAACCTCAACTCGGTCAACCGCTTCACAGACGCCATCTGGGCGCGATCCACAAGGTTGGCAAGGTCAACCGCGGTCAACGCGGCCGTCTCTCGAGCTAACCGGCCGAGATCCACGTCGACCGCAAGCTCCAGACCGCGAACACGCTCCTGCAAGATCAGGGATCGTTCCGGTTCACTTGGCGCCTGTTGTTCATGTTGAAGCAAGTCAAAAACAGCACGACCAATGACATCTCTTATACGCATTGCGCTCACCTCCAACTTGAGCTCTTGCTTGAAGACGGCCATATGATCTTCGGAGATTTGGTCCGGCTCGGTGGTCGTGGCAACCAAGATGGTGGGAAGACCAGAAGGTGCAACTTTTGTTTGCATGGTCGCTACAATCTTTACCAGGAGCGGCGAGTCTGGTTAATCACAATGAATCAGCAACTAGACCCTTATCTGTTATCGAACCAGTGCAAGTTGCCCACCTTTACCGCGCCTTTGTACCGTTGATTTGCGACCGAGAGCTTCCACGTGCCGTAGCAAGAGAATGCAAGGCGCACAGTTCTGAGCCTTCTCTAGACGTGCCAACAAGGTTCCTTCTGTGGTAGCGGGTGCTTCGTCCAGGATGTCGTAACAGTTGACCTGGATATCGTTGCTATTTCCTCAGCGCGACCCACGTGGCATCCCCGCCATTACCGCCAAGACAAGCTCACCTCGACAACATGGATTCCGAGGTCCTCTGCTGTCCTGCGGACGGAGCTCGACTTGCCCGAACCTCTCGCGCCGGTCAGGAGCAACGGTATATTGAACGACATAAGCGAGGCTGTCGAAAGGTGTGCGGTGATGTAGTTGGAGAGTCGCTGTCCCAGGCTTTCCGAGAAGACGCGAGGCTCTCGTGCTAAAAAGCGCAATATCTTCAGCAACAAGCTGTTTTGAGCGGACCTTGCCCGTCGCTGTCACTCACGGAGTTGAACCCAGCTTTGCATCCCTGGGACTGACTTGCCATGCTGGACACTGATCGTCATCATCCTCGTCTTTTCTACGTCGACCCAACAACCGAACTCTCCCGCTCGGGCTTGGGATGAGGCCGACATGACGAAATCTTCCTCCAGCGGGATGAGGGGATCGTACGATACGTAAGAGACGGCAAAGTAGACCACAGCTATGGTCCTGGTCCAAGCAAGGAATGAGCCTCAACTGATGAGGCCAGATACATCGCGAACGATATACTACTCACCTCGGCAGTCTGTCCTCTTCGTCATCATCGTTCTCCTTGATCTCTTCGGAGATTGGCACGGCCACCACATCTCCTTGCTTAATCAACCTACTCCCTACCCCTTGCTCTTGCTCGAAGTGACTCCTCAACCCGCGAGTGAACCTATCTTCATACCGCTTGTCTACCGACCAAGGCGTGGCTATTCGGGCGAGTGTGATGTATTTGGCTACTGGTAGAGCTGGTGTCCGGTGTCCTGAAGGAATAGGGTGGAGCAGAATCATAGGTTGAGTCGATGTGGAAGGTCGGATGGAGGGTCCGCACAGACGGTGACGCAGCATGGGTGACAGGAAAATGGGATGTTCCGGCCTGTCTCACAACGCCGTGATGAGAGTAGCCTCTGTCAGTCAGAATGCAGGGCTATCTGTTCGAGGCCCTCGGAAGACGGCTCACAAATCGTCAAGTGCATCCGACTGCATCGCCAATACGTCAACCTGTACCAACCTCGCCTGTGCCTCGCTCGATCCTCCTGAAACCCTTAAGACGACCTTGTATCCGGTCAAGAACCAGACGATTAGCATCACCGCGCTATGGAGTTCATGCCTCAGACACCCTCAACTCACCCAATCGCCCACAAACACCCCAGCACGTGCCAATCCTTCCATGGTCAACCAACACCTCGAATCCTCATCCGGCCATCCTTCTTCCTTCGGCTTCGTTGTCTCGTCTACATCTCGCACCTGTTTCCCCTTGCTTCTCCTTTTACCCTTAGGCATTCTGGTCAAACAGACTCCTTCAAATCCGACCCCTCGGAATTCTTCCTTCTCCTTCGACTTTGAAGATCGAGCTTGTAGTCCCGGTCGCGCTTGAACGTCTTCCTCCACTTGACTATCGACCTCACCCGAGAGGCTTTCGGACGACCGGGATCGACTTGAAGAAAAGCTCGAATGGCGTACGAGGACGGGCGACCCGAAAGGTCTCGGTGTGAGAGAACCCGAGCTGACCGAAAGAGTTGGGGTAGGAGCATAAGACAACGCGGAATTTTCGTCCGGTCCATCATCGTCGTTACCATGCTCTTCTAAATGCCGGTATCTGCCGTCTTCGCCGTCCTCGTCTTCTCCTTTCGACTCGGCATCCTCAACTCCATCATCTTCGTCATCGTCCTCGTCCCTCTCCCGCAGCAGAGAACCAGCCAGAAAAGTGTCCGGGTCGAAATCCCCAGCTCCCCATTTCTTCCTGCTTATGCCTGAGCCTGATCCTGAGGCCGATGCTGATCCAGAGATGGAGATGGACCGCGAGGCGGAGACAGATCTTTGAAACAATGCATCGTGACTCGATCTGGCTCCTCGTCTCGAATCCCCGACGTGGTCCTCTTCTCCGTCGTCACTATCGTTGCCATCCATCTGCCTGCCAGATCCATCGTCCCCATTCCCAGATGCGGGCGGCACGAGCACGATCTCCGTCGAACCCCGCTTGACAACCCCCTGCATCACAGGACTCGTCAACAGGATCTCGAATATCCGTCCGGTTTGCGAGTCGGTGTATGTACGGCTCTGTCGGAATATGTATGGAAGCGGAGGAGTTGCCGGGGAGGGGTTTGTGGGTGGTAATGGTGTTGACGACGATGCCGACGGGGGGATCTGGTCTTCGATACTGGGCCCTTGGATCCTTTCAATGATCCCTTCCATGTTCATCTCGACCTCGTCTTCACCGTCCTCGTCCTGTTTCTCGTGCAGATCCCGATTGTGTTCCCCGCGAAATCCATCTCCATCCCCTAAACCTCCTTCATCTGACCGCTTCGTCTGGGCTTTCTCCCTACCTATCTCACTACCCGGACGCCGTCGCCGTCCTATCGGCCGCAAGACGATTCTATCCAGAGGTACAGGTTGTATAAGCGTCACTAGTAACTCTATCCCGGTTGATGTTCTGGTGCTGGAAGAAGCCGACGAGGATGTGGTGGGCCAGTGATGTGGAAGGCTTGGAAGTCGGAGTTGTGCACCAGGAAGAGCTTGCCATGGCTACACAGTCATGGCAGATCAATTCGAGGCGGGATACGAATATCAGCTTTTGTTCTTTAAGAAATAACTTTGCCGAGGCGTCAAGATGGAAGGCGGAGTGGGAGGCTTACCAGGTCGACCTGAGCGTAGACGACCTCTCTTTTCCCTAGGCTCTTTCCCGCTGCCATCCCCGCTTCTGTTCCTCTTTGTTCCTCAGGTACCTCCCACAGTCCATCATCCTCCGGCTGGTTCGAAAGCTCGTAGCAGATGGCGACATGACCCGATTCTGTCTCAACCAGTGGGGGAATATCGAGGTCGTTGTCGTCATGGGCGGTCTGGATGAGCTGGTCGTAGAGCTTTCGAGAGAGGTGGGGGTGAGGGAGGTGAGGGTCGATCGCGACATGGGCAGGAGTGAGAGTGAGCATGGCCGGTGACAGCTGATAGAAGAGAGAGAGTGGGAGAGGCGATGACTGCTGGGAAGATGGAGTCGGGAGAGCTTAGTTCCAGAGGTGGATGGTCTCTCAACACACCACTCGCCGGTAACTGACCCTGACCGCCCTTCCCGGCAACCCCGATGGCTCTCGCCGTGATCACGTGATTGCCCTCTCCTCGCGCGCGCGTTATAAAAGGTGGCTACATGACTTGTGTCCAAGTGACGTGGGCATGAGTCGTAACTCATCATACTTACCTTGGCAGCTCTGTATCATTCGAGCCTTCACTTAGCTCGCAGGGGTCTCGGAGTCCTTCCCATTGCACAGCGACCCATTGGTCTTCAGGAAGGAAACTGGGATTGTGTGGCTTCGGCCATTCACTGGTCAAATGATGGATAGGCTTGTGGATCCCTTCGGGGTTCCCGGGCTACTTACCTTTTTCCCCGGTTTTAACTTTTTTAATATCTTGTAGTTTCTATCTTCATTTTACTTTGCATATCCATCTCGCCTTCTCAACTCCTCTATGCTCTGGCTCTGCAGGTCCATACAATACTACCAACGACTATCATCCCCCCACACTCGACTTTTACAAAGACCTTGCCTCGCCATCGCTCACTTTCACAACTCTACCGCATCGAAAATCGCCATGCCTGAAGTGACGAATCGAGCACCCTCTCGATCACCTTCTCCACCACCCAAGAGAGCTCGTATCGACGGACCTAGCGTTACCCAAACCACTACTAGTACAACGGATACATCAGCACCTCCTCCGATATCCATCACCTCTGCCGACAATGCTACCTCTTCCATCTCTGCGAAACCGGCCGCACCAACGGATTCGACGCTCGCCGAACAGGTCGAAGCGGAGATGAATCTCCCGCTAGAATACCCCCCAACTGAGGTTGCAGGTCGACGTGAGATTGTGTACGAGGACAAATTGGTCCTGGCCCCGATGGTTAGGACGGGGAGCCGTAAGTCAGGATTGTTGATTTCCCGGTTGAAAGCTGAGTGTCGAGATGGGATTGAGAGCTGATCGTCCTTGTTGTGTTTGTGGCCGGACTTGTACAGTGCCTACCGTAAGTCGCTCAGATACGCTCCCCTCCGGATAATCATAGCTGGAACTCGGATCTACCTATACTAACCATCGTTCTCCCTGCCTTCCAACCTGATAGAGGCTGCTCTCGCTGCATTACGGAGCGGGGCTCGTCTGGGGCCCAGAGGTGGTGGACAAGGCGATCATCGGAGCAGAGAGGATTGTGGACCGTGAGTGCACCGCGTCTGAGCTGCTGTGACTTCTTTGATGTTGGCTTGCTATTATGTCACTGGTGCTGAGGTTGTCCGTGCTCACTTCTGCTCTACATCGACAACGATGCCAACCTGGTAGCGAAGACGGGCGTGATCACCTATTCTAAGAAGGGCATGGAGGGAAAACCAATTTTCCAATGCCATCCTGTGGAACGTCCATTCCGTAAGTCAAAGTCCCGATGATTTACTACTATAACTGAAGCTGATGGCATCACATATATGGCATTTATGGACGCTGGTAGTGATCTTCCAGATCGGCTCGTCCGACCCGGAGTTGGCGGTTCAGGCTGCCAAGGTTGTCCAGCAGGATGTCGCCGGATTGTGAGTATTCGGCCTAGACCGGCGGACGGACACGACGGCTAATCTGGGATCTTTGGGGTTTGTTGGTCAGTGACCTGAACTGCGGGTGTCCGAAACCATTCTCGTAAGTCGTGGCGTGAAGTTGACGAACGGTACAGGGCAGGCATTGACGATTGGCTTGATTACCCTTCAGTGTACACTCGGGCATGGGCGCAGCCTTACTCTCGACCCCTGACCTCCTGCTCGACATCCTTCGAGCGCTCCTCCGCGAGATTCCACTTCCCATCTCGTGCAAGATTAGGTTACTCCCCGAACAACCCTCGACGCTCCACCTGGCCGCTCGGATCCTGCGTACCGGCGTCAGGTGCTTGACCGTACACTGTAGGACGAGGGATATGAGAAGCTCGGTCAAGGCGCTTTGGGATAGATTGGGGGATATCGTCGAGCTCGGTCGAAGGAGGGGGGTACCCGTCGTGTGTAACGGGGATGGAGAAGGATGGGCGAATTGGGAAGCGATCCGAGCGAAGACGGGCGTGTCGTCGGTCATGATCGCTCGGGCGGCGGAATCCAACCCGTCCATCTTCCGACCTCAAGGACCCGTGTCAACCGTGGAAGAGCTCGTTCCCAACTTGTTCTTGCCAACCGTCGTCTACCTGAAGAACCACTTTTCAAACACGAAGTTCCTGCTCGCCCAGTTCAAACCATCGCCACCTCCCATCTCTCAGATGAAGAAGCACGAAAGGCAGGAATACACTCAGGCCGTTGTCACGGCCAAGACGATCGAAGATGTCCTTGCGGTCTGCAAGCTCGATATGGAAGAGACTAGAAGCAAGGGAGAAGAATTCGTCAAGGATCTTCGCAGAGAACTTATCAGCCGAGATCCGACGGCGTACGGCGACGAGGTTGGGGAAGAGGACGTGCCCGTTGAGGATCAGCCGACGATTTGGGACAAGCGAAAAGATGTCGAGGATCGGGGTGATAACGTGGACGAGTTGCCCAGTGAGGGGGTCTTGCAGCAGGAAGAAGATGACGAGGAGGCGGCGTTGAATGCCTGATCGCTTAAATGGCGTCGACTATACTGTATTATTACTGTCCAACTAGCATCTCCCCGAGCATCCTCCTTCCCATCTTGACACATCATATGCTTCGCAGATCCTGCTCCCCCAACAGGATAGCGCCCAACAAGGTGATTGCTCTCAAAGTCCGGCGGCCTTGCTGTAACCTAGCTACGTATATCACCCAACCATGAAGTCGGTTCTGATATCAATGGCCTGTAAGAGTTGCCGTACCCTGATCCCAATCTCCCATAGCAGCGAATAATATTGTCACTGTTTAGCGCAAACATTCTCCCTTGTCTTCCATGCGATCTTTTTCGCTCAGATGGCAAGATTTCGGTCGTATTGAGAAGCTTCTTTGCCTCTGCTATCGACCCATCAAACAAATAGACGACCTGAGATGCACGACATGACAGATGTGGACTTTCGAGAAATTTGCTAAATCACGGATAGCGATCTCTGATGGCAGAGAGATCACTGCGATGCCAGATGGATTACCATTCCATGCGTGGCCTTTTCGCCTTTCACAAAGCGAAGCGAAGCTTGCGACAGGCAGTCCTCCTAGGACCTCCAGGCCCGTCCGAGTCTTTCGTTGGGCATTGGCGACTATATGAAAATGGCGTTAGGTGCGGCAAAATGTAAAAGAAAAGCGGTAAAATCCCACATTCTATTCAAGCGAGACTCTTCTGGCTGGTACTATCGTTCCTCAACCCTCAACTTGCTGCTTTGAGAACCGACTTGTCCAGGATACTGCTTCCCTGCCGATCGTCAAAAGGGGTTTGATGACTACCAGGTTTTTGTTCCCGCTAGCGCGGGTGGATCTGATACGCAAATCTTCGATTGCGCCTATTGTTCCGTCCTGGTCTGTATAACAACGACCCACAAGAGCTTTTCAGATTTTGCTTCGATTCATGCTTCTCAGCCTTCTTGTTTCCGCATATACATATACTGCTGATTGCTGTTACTCTTTATGCTACTCAATCGTTCTTCATATACTCTGGATATCGACAATTTGCTATATTCCCATTGTCGAAGGACCGCTGAGTTATCAGGTAAGACCTGTGTGCTAGCAGCTATATAAGTCAGGCTTCCCTAATGTAGAGAACATAATCCCATTGTGTCGAGACCGCAGAACCTCTTCACTCGTTGGACCCATCAAGAATATCCCGGCGCAGAGTCACTCGTCGCGGCAGTTTTTACATTCGACACAAGGGGCGTCTTTAAAATCTCAGCTTCGTCCAACTCGAACATTCCCGCAGCCTACCCATCAACATGGCGGCCCCACTTCAAGGTATACTTCAACTCCTCTTGAGGGCTCAACGGAAAAAGCTAACACTCTGCCGCCCTCTGACTTGATTGATTCAGGACCCATCCCTTCGAGTAACCCTTCGAGCAACGCGAATACCTCCAACGACCAAGGCGACATGGAGGCTAGAGTCAGTAAACTTGTACCTTGGCGTCCACTCTCACTGACGGCAACATATTACAGATTGAAGCGATCGAAGCGGCCATCAAAGACTCCAATCAGAAAAAGTTGACCCAGCTGCTCCGAAAACCCCCTAGTCCGGACATCGTGCTTCTGATGCAATTGCTGGAGAGACTTATTTGCACCCTACCTCTGGGCGTGACTAGCGACAATAGCTGGTTTAACCCGAATCAAAGTGAGTCCTAGTGCGTGTCTGTTGTTGTCTTTACAAAGTAAAAAATGATACATCATGGATTGCTTAGGGCCTACCCCCGAAATCTTGGAGGTCCACCTGTGGAAATACGTCGAGGTTCGACTTGAAAATACCCCTGAACATCGCGCTGCTCTCGAAAGTTTGCAAGCTGGCATGAGAGGGCCGAGGACTGGGCACGGAATGGTCAGACTCATGATCAGGCAGTTCTCGATGTCGTGAGATGCTCAGTGGATAAGCAGAGGACCGGCAGTAGTTAGCCAACTTTTCAGAAGTAGCCCTTACGATAGATAGCCATGCACTGAACATGGAATCTTGTCTGTCCAGATCATCCGCCCTGCGTCCGTACGATCAACCAGCTTCTGTCCGACTGACCCCCTACCTTCAAAAAAGGCAACACCCGTTCGGTTCGGGCGATGTCGTACGCGTCGCCCTAGGCTTACATCTAGACGACCCTACCATGTCCGATTACCCATGTAATCTAGTCTAGCATGTCCTCAGCATCCGGCTCTCCATCTCAGCGATACACAGACGCGACTCGCGATCCCGCCGTACCAGACAGACCCGCATTAAAAAAAGCCCATGGACATGCGCGTTCCTGAATGTATTCAATCGAAGATAATGTCGAACCGTTCGACGTGACATGGGGTCTCGACAACCTATCTACATCTTCGACAGGCCCACATTCGACGGGCCATATCCTTCTCCGATTCAAACCGAGGCCGAGGAGATGAAGAAGCTCTTGGCGACTGGGCAAGTCGAGAACAGTAAAGAGACAAACGTAATCAGCGGGGCAGGCAAAAGTGTCCGGTTCGAGCGTGAGCGACGTACTCGAAGAGTCGATAGGAGCGGCGGGTTGCCTAGAATCGGCGGGGACGGCGCTGGTGTCCTGGGTGTAACCCGAAGAACCCTCGACGGTCGAGTTGGCGCTACATCCAATTGAGACGGAGACAACCCCATTCCATGTCAGCACACGTACCCAAGCGATAGGTAGAGAGGTATCCGCCCAGACTCACATCGACAAGTCGTAAGCAGCGGTTTTGGCGGCGACCTCTCCTCCGACGAGCTTCTTCCAAGCCTCGTTGGTCTCGTGGATGATCTCGACGGCGTACTTCTTCGACTTGGCCTCTCCGGAAAAGGCAAAGACGTTCTCGGGCTTGCCATCGGGAATCTTGTAGATCCTGAACCACTCGTCTATAGTCGAGCACGAACGGCGTTGAGGTTCGATGATCAGTAAGATGGTATTTCACTATGGTTGACGGGGCTGAGCCGACCCAATACGCACTGGTGGCCCTGATGAGTCCGGGCAAGTGCCTCTCGACGTCCTCGATGTCGTTCAATCGGGGGGCGAGCGGGTCGTTGACGTCGATGACGATGACCTTCCAGTCGGTCTCACCCTCGTCCAAGAGGGCCATGATTCCGAGGACCTTGACCTGCCTGAAAAAACGAGCGTGGAACCGAGGGTCAGCTCGCGTCCACTATGCAAAGATCTCGCTCCGCCCAGCGGGGAAACCCCACACTCACTTGATCTGACCGACGTATCCGATGGCCTCTCCGATCTCACAGACATCGAGCGGGTCGTTGTCACCCTTGGCCTTGGTCTCGGCGTGCTCCTCGTTGGGGTCCTCCCAGGTCTGGGGGAAAGCGCCATAGTTCCAGATGTAACCGTGGTGGGGGAAACAGTTCCTCACGAATCGGAGCTTTCCCTTCTTGATGTCCTGCTTGATGGGGTTGAAGGCTTCCTCCTTGGAGATCTCCATCTTGGCGTTGGTCCATCGGGGGACCTCGACGACCATGTTCAGGACGGTCTTGGACTCGTCGGCGAAGAGGGGGATGTCACTGCGAGGCGGCAACGGTGGGCACATCAGCGAGGTGATGAGGTAGTGGTGAAGAGTGTGTATGCTAGACTTGCTGGAAGGCAGAGATGGGCTTTCCGTTCTTCTCGATGAAGACTCGGTGCTCTGGTTGATGAGGAATGCGTTTGAAATCAGCTCGTCCGTCCGTCTTTCGCTTCACTTCGACCACACAACTCACCCAAGGTGTTGGGAGCCTATACACAGATGGAGAAAGCAACACCATTTGTACGTCAGTCGCGATGATCAGGTTGTTGTCGACTTGGTGTTCTAAGCTCGACCCCAACTCACTCCGATGATTCGGGTACCGTATTCGGACGACATTTTGGCAGAAGTGTTCAAGTGACGCTGAGCGATCGACAGCCTGGTTGAAGCTACTACTGATAGGCGACGACCTAGTTGAATGAAAGCCAGCTTGGTGGGATGTGTGGGGTGGGTATCGGTGGTGTGGGTGTGTAGTGGTGGTGGTGGTGGGTGGATGGAATGGTCGCTGGAGGTAGCCAGTAGCCCAGTAGTGCACGGTCAGTCTCCGGGTTATGGCGTGCTCCCACGCTCAGCAACGGCAACGAACCAACGCCCGAACATTTGCTTCCGCGGATTACTCTACCTTTTTTTTTTTGGATTCCGCGGATGGTCATTCGTCATTTTTGTTTTGGAATACGCATGGACGCGTCTATTCGATATTCGTTCGTGTTTCATCTCGATACACACCTAGCGCAAACCTGTCTATCTACCCAACTATACGTCATCGGTGGGCAACGGCAAAGGAAACGCCCGACACCCCCTCGGTTCCTATATATAACAAATTTAAATCACCCTTCGCCGGTAAAACCTCTCAACGTTGTTGTTGCTGCTGATCCTCGGGCACCGAATAATAACAGGGGAACAAGATGGGCGGTGCCTCTCCTTCCCTCTCCTTGCCCGAGACCTTGTAGTTCCCTCCGATCGACAACCTCGGCTGGTTGACCGCCTGGTTGGTGATCATGGCCTTCTTCTCCAGCTGTCCCGGCCCAGTCGACGTCTTCGTCCGAGTGGCCATCGAGATCGCCTTTCTGAAAGTCGCCTTGAAGTCGACCGAGCTTCGTTTCGCCTCTCCTTGACCTGTAGGGATGGTACGAGGCGCATTGAGGATACCCCCCTGTCCTCGTGTCTGCCGAGTCAACTGATTCAAGTGGACGGTCTTTTCATGCAACTGCGACCTGGACGAATCGGTGCTCGATTTCCCATGGTCGCTCTCGGACGGGTTGGACTGGGATTGAGATTCGCGGACCGCAAAGTCATCGGGAGTGGCGATCTTGACCTTGTGAATCTTCTCTTGTCCCTCTTTGGTTTGGATGAGATGACCGAGGTCGACCTGGGGCACGTTGTCGTGCTTGACGAGTAGCTTAGGGTCGAAAGGTCGAGCGTTCAAGAAACCCTCTGGGACCATCTCTCCGGCCCACCTCCATTCCTCGCCCCTCGTCCATCCAGGCGCGTCATCAAACACGTCTCGCTCCTCGATATCAAGACCCTCCTCGCCCTCTCGGTTGTGTTCGGCGAACCTCAAAGGAGTAGCTTTGGGCAGATGTTTGCCGACAAACGCTCGTCGACGATCGTGATACCTCGGCGAACGGGTCGGGTGGTAGAAATCGAGCAACATCTGGGACAACTCTTCGTTCCTATAGTGTACTAAGGGGAACTCCAGCTGGGCATGATGAGCTTTCTTGAGCTGGACCAAGTGTTCGATGAGGAGCGCGACCGGGGAGACCGCTTGGCTGCCGGACGAAGCGTTCGATCGCCAGGGGAAAGTCTTGAAGCAAGATCGTTCACCGACTCGAGCTCGACCGAGTTGAGAGACATAAGCCTTGATCCCCATCTCGACCTCTTCAGGGGAACTCATTCTCGTACCGATGACCTTGTCGACGAGACCCATGTCCTTGGCCTGTTCAGGGCCGATGGGGAGCATCTTCCTCATCATCTCATCGGCTACCTCCAACCCAGCCCTCTGGACCCAATGGTACCGATGAAACTCGCTCCCAAAGAGTCCTACCGAGCGGTAATGGGGATTGAGCACGGCATTGGCCGAACACAGGACGATGTCACAACAGGTAGCAAGGGCTAGACCTCCGGCTGCGGCGTTGGACTGAATGGCCGAGATGGTGAGGATCCCACGATCGGTGAGGGTCTTGCGGTTCCGCATGAAGGCGGTCGACCGAGTCTGGGCGAGGGGTGACGAGTCGCCGAGGATGTACTCGACTACGAATTTGATAGAAACACGTCAGCTTTCCTGCTGTAGAGCTCGTGTCATGCGGAGACACTCACCGACATCATCAATAGCGTTGATGTTCTTCCACGATTCCTTGGCCGGGTCGGCGCTGGCCTCGATCACGTTGAGCGCGATACCGTTGGAGAAGTAGTTGCGGGATCCCTATCGTCATGACGATGATGAGTCAGTCGAGTAACATTCTCGAGCATTGCATAATACAACTTACCATCAAGCACAGGATCCTGATTTCGGCATCACTCTCGACGCTGTCAATGATGACTTTAAGCAAAAGCTCACATTGTTGAGTGGAACAGGCGCCATTGCTGTGTTTCAGGTGTGTTCATTAGCTTACGTACGATCGTTGATGAGCGGTGAATAACACTCACTAGAAGTCAAAGTGGACGTAGAGGACACGTCCGCCTTCCGGTGAATCGAGTGGGACGTTCTCGACCCAGACTTGCTGCCAGGTCTTTCTACCTTGCACTCCATCTACCTTGTTCCAAGTACTCAAAGGCCACTCAGAGACCCCTTCGAGGTGCTTGCCTAGTCCGGCCCTCAGCATCGCGTCTACGGCGGGCAGCTTGGCTGGCAAGACCTTGGTCTCCTTTGACATCGGAGATCGCGCGTGGGTGATCCACACGCCCCTTTCCGTCGCGGCATTCCCGTCGAGACGGGTCTTGATGAGGATTGCGCCTTCCCTGGTCGCAACTATCTGGCCGATCTGATACTGGTCCCAAGATTGCTGCGCGGGGAGATCTCCGTTCTCGACCCAAGCGCCGTATAGGAAGAGCGACTTCTTGTTGTTATCGTAATCCAGCCAAGTGACCTGGACACCCGGTTGAGAATCCCCAGCTCGGATGATGGCCGCCAGGTGGGAAGCGGTGTGTATCTTCGGATCGGCCGCTCTTTGGCAAGGCTTCAAGAGGGGGCGGTGGCGAGGGTTTTCGATCTCGTTGGGTTTCCCCGTGACCGTGATCAAAGCGGAGGTTTGCGGGGGCAAGAGTTCCGGAGTGTAGGTCGCTCCTTCGTATTTGGACGTCAAAGCGGCTTGATGGATCCTCGACAAAGCCGCGATAATACAGAGACAAGCCGCTTGAGTGACGGGTCCTCTGTACAGGGTGGACTTTGTGATTTCTGAGGGGATGTCGAAAGTCTCGAAAGCCCAGATTGGACCTTGGTCCTGCGTGGAGGAAGAAACACACCAGCACGTGTAAGATATAAGCTCAAGTATAGCTTCGCTCCTGGTTGAGCCGAATGCGTGACTCATCACTCACAAACTCTTCCTCGGCTTGCAAACAAGTGACCCCCCACTTGGTTCGCTTCTTAGAACCGTTAGAAGCAAAGGCGTCGCTATCAAGGCATTCCTTGTCTAGCGCCTGAGACGCATCCTCGAACGCGCCGGAATCGCCCATGAGCGCCCAGTCGATGGCGGATGGACCTGCATCGCCGGGTGGTCCTGGGTGCAAAATCAACGTCATATACTGAGCAAGGCGCAAGCGGGAGGCTTGTTAGTACGGTCGCATTCGTTTGACAGTCAATAATTGGTAGCCGTCTTACCTTGCTCCAGATGGACCTGGGCACTTTCTTGGTCAAGAAAGCGCCGATGATCACATCCGGCTTGACTCTTTCGACAGCCCGGAGCATCAGCTCCTCGTTCAGGGCGTATTCGATCGTATAGGTCAAGTTCGAGATACCGTTGGTGAAGGAGCGGTCATAGCTGGGTCCTTTGGTCTTGTTAGGCGAGAGCTCGTCGAGGAGGGTAGTCAAGCGCTGCGAGAGGGAGTTGTGCGAGGTAAGCAGGAGCAAGAGGCGCATGTTGGACGGTAAGTCGGGGGTTGCTTGAAGGCAGATGATGATCGGAAGACCCGCCTCACTTTGGGATATTCGATGGAGAGTCTGATTTTTCCTGAGCATATATATTCTGTTCGACATGCGACATGTGCGCTGGCATTGCACCGCGACCACCTGTTCGTCTCGTTTGGATAGCAATCCTTGCCACGTTACGCCATGCCTGCGCTTCAACTTAGGCACCGAACTCCAAAGGATATCCACTTCGCACAAAGAAGCTCGGCGTTCGCTGATCGTTTCCAAGCAGTGGGTTGGCAACCGAGGTGAGACCGATCGAACGCATCAAAGGACCCCTTCGATCACGTTCTCACAGGGAAGGCGTGGGTGGATACCATCTGGTGAATCTGCCTTGGAAGGATGGCTGAAACGCGCGGGAGGGGCGACGCGTGTGCCGTGACCGAATGTGTTCGTTCGTATCCGTATTCCGTGATCGGCAAACCGTTGCAGCTAATCCAGACCGTTTGACGTCGTAGTGGAAGATCAAAGGATCTCGAAAGACCCAGAACGAGGGCCAAAACTTCGGACAGAGAATCGTTTGAGATTGACCGAAGCGGCGTTGCTATGGTATCCACTGGCAGCTGAGTGTGTGCTGCGACGTTCGCGGCTGTGGATTGGGGTCTTTGTCGGATGCGTCTACTGGTCGACCGACGATTTATCCGAGGGGGTTACGTCTGAATTACCTTCCCGCACGTAAGCACGGTCATGATCAAAGGAGGTTCAGTCGAGGTGGATTCGAGTATAGGATTGCCACTTTCACGTGATCGTCTTTGGACCTGTTGCCCCCCTGCTCGAGATTTGCCCCTCGGTCTCAACTTTTTGCATCCGATGGCGGCCGCGCAAATGTTGAGAACGAGAGCGAGAGAACGAGCAACTTCAGATGATATAATTGTCGAGAATTTCGAGCAGGTCGGTAGCTAGTCATCACCCATCGTCGTAGACTCTCCCCCACACCAACAACATAGATAACTTCTCTTCAAAATGGCCAAGATCAAGAAGCGTGGCGAGTCCGGGGCGTGAGTCTGTGTTGCGGACGGCTGATCGTCGAAAGCTGGCTAAAGGAAAGCTCTGCAACATTAACATAGGGCTAAAAACTACATCACTCGAACGCAAGCTCTGAAAAAGCTCCAAATCTCGCTGAGTGATTTCCGACGACTATGTATCCTCAAGGGTGAGTACGGGCGAGCGTAGAGTCGCGATGTGAACCCAGGCTCAATCGTCCTTGTCGCTCGACAGGTATCTACCCTCGAGAGCCTACGAACAAGAAAAAGGCCAACAAGGGATCTTCCGCCCCGGCTTCCTTCTACTACTCGAAGGACATCATGTACCTCTTGCACGAACCCCTCTTGAACACTTTCCGTCAACACAAGACCTTTGCGAAAAAGCTCGCCCGAGCACTCGGACGAGGCGAATGGGCATTGGCAAAAGGGCTCGAGGACAGGAAGCCGGATGCTAGATTGGACCACTTGATCAAGGAGCGATACCCTACGTTCAAGGCTGCCACGATGGAGCTCAACGATCCTCTGAGTTTGTTGAGTCTGTTCGAGAGGTTGCCGAAGGATCCGGTACCGGGCAGGACCCAGGTGCCGGTCGAGGTCACCGCCGAGTGTGCTAGGTTGGTCAACGAGTGGAAGGTGAGCATGCGACGTAACGCCGTCATAACCATGCGATCGAGTTAGTGACGCCTGTTGCCTTCTTGCAGGTCTGGGCTATCCGAACGCACGCTCTGCGAAAGGTCTTCTTGTCGATCAAGGGGATCTACTACGAATGCGAGGTCCCTTCGGGCGAATCCGGGTCAACGGTCCCCGTCCGATGGCTCGAGCCTTACGAGTTCACCCAGCACGTCCCCTCGGACGTCGATTTCCGTATCCTCCTCACCTTCCTCGACCTCTACCGGACCCTGACCTCGTTCGTCCTGTACAAGCTGTACACCGACGAGAACCTGGTCTACCCTCCTCCTATGGACGTCCAGCTGGATCAGAGGGGCGAGGGAGTCGGCAAGTTCAAGTTGGTCGAGCGGGAGGCAGACGAGGACAGGGACGGCGAGCAGCCCAAGACGGCGGATGGAAAGAGGATCACGAAAAAGGACGTCAAGCGTGGGATCAAGTCGGTACAGCGTGCTGGCGATGCCGTCGACGAAGACGAGGACGAGGAGATGGTCGATGCCACCGAAGAGGCCGTCGAGGAAGAGTTTGTGCATCACCCTGGCAAGAACGAGGACGGCGCCGACGCCGCTTCAGGACCCTTGCCCACCTACACCTCCCTCCTCGTCTCGTCTTCCAACTCGGAAAACACCACCCCGGCCTTCCAGATCTTTTCCCCTTATACCTTTTACCTCTCCCGAGAGACCTCGTCCCGAACGTGGGAGTTTATCATCCGAGCGTTCGGAGGCAAGGTCGTTACCCACCTCGAACCTACCACCGACGCTACCCAGTCCAACTCGCTGGCCGGTCCCGAGGGCGACAAGATTACGCACGTGATCATCGACCGACCTATGGGCAAGTCGAAGATGAGGGAGTTGCAAGGGCAGAGAAAGTGGGCGTGGGTCCAGCCTCAGTGGGTGGCGGACTGTGCGAACCGAAGAGAGATCTTGCCTAGCGGTCAGGGAAGCGGATACGAGCCTGGTGGTGCGCTTCCCCCTCACTTGAGCCCTTGGGACGGAGAGGGCGAGGTCTACCGACCGTGGTTGGAGCAGGACAAGCCCGAGGCCAGTCAGGTCGAGGCTGCCGCGGAGGGTGATGACGTCGAGATGGCAGACGACGACGAAGAGGAGGAGGAGGAAGACGAGGACGAGGATGAAGAGACCGTCAAGCCCGAGACCAAGACCACCATCACCCCGGCCCTCCTCGCCGCTTCTCGAGACCCTACGAACGAGACGCTCATCCACCAGGCCGAGCTGGAAGCCGAATCCCTCGGAATCTCGCACGACGCCTTCAAAAAGTCTCTGGACAAGCTCGTCAAGGAGCACAAGGAGACCCCTCAGGGATCGGCAGCTGAAAAGGCCAAAAAGGTCGCCGTGGCCGACGAGGACATGAGGAAGATCATGATGACCGGGAAGAAGCAGAGGTTGTACACCAAGATGACATATTCGAACAACGAGAAGAAGGCTGAGGTGAGTCGCCCGAATCGCGTTCATGCGACGTCTGTCATCGCCGGTTTCGGTATAGCTGACGTTCCCCTGAAACTCGTTCTCTACTCGAATCGCAGCAAGACAAGCTGGAGCAAAAGAGGCAGGCCATCGAGAAGAGGAAGAAGAAGGAGGCCAAGTCCAAGCTCGCTCAGGCCGCTGCCGCCGCTTGATCGCGATGATGTCTTTCGCTTTTCTCTGATCACTACGGGCTCGGGTCGTTTGTCTTTGAACCGTGTCTGTCCATATATTATTATACGAGTGTACGCATATGTTTTCCGCATGTCATTTTTTCTCCTTGTTTCGTGTACCATCAACCAGATATCTTCTTCTCGATGGTTCACTACGAGTCCGAGGTCAGTTGCCCGACCCCCCGGGTGCCTAACCCAACCGATCGATGATGATTTGAATTGTCTTGGCCGAGGTCAACGCCCCGCCTCGCCTCGCCCCCCGGATCGGGGATTTCCCGCAGCATCGCATCGACCAACCTATCCTATCCTATCCATCTCATATCATATCATCGCCTCCCATCCCCCGCAGTTGAGACGTCAAAACACTTCCTCTTCTTCGCAGTCGCAAAACAGAAAAGATCAGAGATCCATTATTCCTTTCAAAGGTAGCACCCCATCGATCCTATATAATACACCATCGCCTCCCGTACACTACTACTATAATCAACTACGGATCCTCTTGACCTCGCACAAGCACAATCTTTCGAAGCAACACAACAACAGAATCAAAAACTTGCACAATGTCAGTCACGGCCCATTGTCAGACATGCGCCAGACTCATGACGCTGATCATTTCGCATCTCCTGCCATTCTCGACCTGCTCGATCGTTTTTGGCTCGCCTCGATCTATTTTCGATACGGTCCATGCCGACTGCGGATGGCGATATCACTGATACCGACACCGGTAGGGACGATACCGATATCCCTTCCCACGTTCGAGCTGAATGGGTGAGCTCGATACAGTCGCCAGGCGAATGTATCTCCGTACATGAGTCGCTGACGCTGTTCACGATCGGGCTCCTTCTTTTCTTACCGGATTCATGTCGATAGGAGAACCAAACTTATCGCCCTGGCCAAGCCGGAGGTCAGTCGGCTTTCGCACAAGGAGCACCCGGCGGACAAGAGGACAAGAAGTACGGACCTGAAGGTACCGAGCGGGTCGAGCCTGTGAGTCATGGTCATGGCCTCGGTCTCGGTCATCTCGTTCGATCGGGAGGTCCGAAAACGTTCTGACATTCCTTGACCTCCATTCTCCCCTTTCCTACCTCCTCTTCTCAGCTCAACAGGGCGCACTACGAACAAGACCAGACCACCACCTCGGACCTCTCTTCCCAATTCGCCAATACCCACCTTTCGGCACCTGACCAAGGGATTACCAGGACGAACTCCGAGGTGGCCAACTATGGGCACGAGAATGTGGACCCGACGAAGCACGACGAGGTCATGGGCGAGGGCAAGGCGTTGCCACCCAAGCCAAAGGGGCATGCTTGTCTCGACGGGGTCATGGAGCCGTGGTTGCAGTTGATGTGAGTGTGGGCGTGTTGGGCGTTCGGTGTGGGGGAATGAATGAGCTGATTGTGTTGTCTTCATCTTGTCTAGGTGTACGCCGCTGTTGAGCTACTACACGGTCGAAAAGGGGATCTGGTATGGAGCCGTCATGGTTGTGAGTCTTACATTTGGCAACACGACGATCTTGCAGAGGAGTATAGAGTGCTGACTAGTGACTCTATCGACGTCCGCAGGTCACCTTCGACAAGGGTTCGATCTACTCTCCCTACCCTTTCCTCGAGCTGTCCTCGAAACCTTCCAAGTTCGCCAACCACTCGGGCCGGTTCTCCCACGCTCCCGATTCCAAACCTTGGAACGTTCAAGGAGAACCTTTCCACACCTACGCCGGACCTCAGGGCGTATCGACCTTTTGGCGTTTCATGCTCGAGATCCCCGTGCAAGAGTGGGAACAGTCTATTCAGTATCGCGTCAACGGCGGTGGACCTATCGAGTTCCTCGTAGCTGCCGCTAGCGAGAACTTTAGGTGGGCGGCGCATAGCTGTAACGGATTCAGCGCTGGGGTGGATACGGACAGCTTCAAGGGAGAAGGATTCGAGAGCGGATTCGACCCGGTGTGGGTTGATCTCCTCGAGAAGCACGATCAGACGGGTCTACATGCTTTAGTTGGGTGAGTCGGTCCGGCCGAGCGAAAGCATCTGCACTAGAAATCGTGCTGACCTTCCTTTCGACAACCTGGCTGTGCGACCGATTAGAGGTGGAGATCAGCTTTATTGCGACTCTCTGACCTTGGAGCCGGAGCTGCACGATTGGGTCAACGAGAGCGACAAGGACAAAAAGATGGTCATGCAAGTCACGGATGAGATCAAGTTTGCCATCGACCGATACTACTTTTCGTGAGTCTCGCTGCGATATTGGCTGGTACTGGGTTCGGATTCCTGAACGGACTCTCTCGTTCGCAGCCATTACTGCAAGATGTTCCGAGGCGGTGCATTCGCCAAGGCCAACTCGACGATCCCGATGATGAACATGTTGGACGACCACGACCTCATTGATGGATTCGGTTCTTACGAGGACGAGACCATGCGAGCGCCCATCTTCAACTATATCGGAGGTCGAGGGTATTTCTGGTACCTCATCTTCCAGGTCTTTTGTAACGACGCGGTCGACGGAATCGACAGGACTCCCGGATCGCACCCGATCAAGAGCATGGTCATCTGTGCTCCCGGAGAATACATCCCTTACCCGAACCACTCGCAGATCAGCTACATGGGACCCAGCGTCGCTATGTGCATGGTCGACTGTCGAGCCGAGAGGCGGTTGGACCAGATCTGTACCGAGGATACCTACGACACGTTGTTCAAGCTGTTGAACAATTTGCCGCCCTCGACGGAGCAGTTGATCATGTTGTTGGGTGAGCAGCTATGCTCCATTCGTCTTCGATGGGTGATCTGACCTTGGCTCACTCAAAATCAGGCGTACCCATTGTCTACCCGAGAATGTCGATCGCGGAGAACATCCTGAGCAGCAAGTTCAACCCGTTGAACCTTGTCGCCAAGGTCACGCCAAACCATTTGGCCGGATACACTAACAAGGTTCGTTCTGGTCATGTCTTCGGAATGTGTCCTCGATCTGACAGCTTCTTCCCCTCATATACAGTTTGACCAAAATGTCGAACTGCTTGACGATTTGGTAAGCTCTGCATCAATTATCGCATGGCGTCCTGGACGCTGATCACGTATACACTATAGAACGATCACTGGTGTGCTAAACCGCACAAGAGGGAGCGAAACGCTCTCGTTTTGCGGCTGCAAGAGTTGGCTCTTGACAAGAAGCTACGAGTCATCTTCTTGTCTGGTGATGTCCATTGTGCTGCTGTCGTAAGTCGCTTAGGACCAGCCCAATCCCGAAGACTTCCTGTACTCACGCTCGAATCGATCGATCAGGGCGAATTGCACACTCTGTATCACAAGGAGAAGAACAAGGTTGAGCCTACGTTAGACCACAGGTTGATGTTCAACGTCGTCTCGTGAGTTGCAACCCGCTTTGATGTATTCGGCTCAGTGATACTGACTTTACTCCCAATCAGTTCTGCCATTGTCAACACGCCTCCTCCTTTCGGTCCGGTAGCGCTGAACAACCAATTCGCTTCGCACAAGCATCGAACCCTTCATCGTGAGTGCCAGATTCGCATTTCGCTCAGATGAATGTGCGAGTCTCATCTTGCTTTACAATTACCCAGACCACTTTACCGACGAGGTCCAGGTACGCTATTTGGTATCTTCTCGATCCCGCTGTTGGTCAAACTAAATCCTTTGTTACTGTTCCAGCTTCCTCTGTTTGAGATTGACACCGACGGATCCTCGAGGACGAGGATGCAATACGTAATGGACAAGCGAAACTATGCGCTGTTCAACTTCGATCATGGTACTCATGACCTCAACATCGACGTCATGGTTGAGATCAAGCAAGGAGAAGGGAAGACCAAGGCGTAAGTGACCATGCTCGTCTCGAAGCTTACTGTATCACCCGCTGATAATCCATTCTGGTCGGATAGTTATCGAGTCGTAGCCCCGCCTCCCAGGTGGTAATCCCCTTAATCGTATCTGGTTCCTTGAGACTCGCTTTGCTTTCTGACTTTCACTGTATACCATCTTCGCTTTGATTTTTGATACCATTCGAAGTAATGTGTTTTTCGATCGCTATTGCTTCCGGCTACTATTGTCAGTGATGGCTGTGATTTGGTTTTCGGAGACTACAAAATCCAGGATGGTAGGAAGTCCGTTATGGCTTGGTAGCAAGAGTAAATTCTAGTCTCGACAGTGGAGGTGATTGAAGCGATTGTGTAGCTCCATTGCCGCAGGCGATTACTCAACGAGGGTTCTCACTTACGTCTTGATGCTGAGCATTTTGGAGGAGAAACTCCCCACATTCCACAACCTTTCATATTCCACCGTGTTGACAGCACAATGTCTCCCCGATTTCAGCCGAGCTATCTCATTCTCCAACAAATTGTCGAAGCCTTCAAGATGTCATCGAAATGTTCCGTGGCATCACAGATGTGGTGGCGATCAATTTGACATCGAGGAAAGCAACCCAAGACAGCGCGGAAAAGACGTGCTCAGGTGCAGAGACCAACGCTATCGAAGATAACAGAGAATTATCCTCTGAAGGAAAGCGCTCGCTGTTCTAGTCTCTCCGTTTGTTTACAGCCCGTTCGTCGTCTAAATCCTCATCTCCGATCTCGAACACCGGCGAACGGGTCTGGAATGCTCGATCACGTCCAGTGTCGTGATAGTCCTCCAATTCATGTGTTTCCCGTCCGAGCGGTTGCCGCTCCTCCTCATCCCTTGGTACGCGAAGGTCTAGGCCGACCTTGGCCCGTCTACGACTTCGGGCTCGAAGATAGAAATATAGACCAGCAGCTCCCAGCAAGAAGAGGAGCAGGGTCATCGCTGATGCGGCATGATACCAAGCTACGTGAATACGGCTGTCAGTTGAACATCGACTGGAACGCCTCCGTCAGGTCAGACTCACCATCTTTCACGATGGGCGTCGTCCCGATTCTGCCGTGTCCAGCAGCCCCATCGATCGAGCTATCGAAGCGGACTCTCTCTTCTGATCCCAATCTGCTTGGTAGAGCTGCTGATCCGAGAACATCGCTTGGGTCCACGTCCATGAAACGCATGATCATGTCGTTCGTGACATGCGGTAGATCAAATCCGACCTGTATTAGACGTAGTCACTTAGCTTCCGAGGTTGTTGCAGCTTGGCAAATCCCGCCTTACCATATGCGACCCTCCAGCGACCTACAACGTCAGACTCATTGAGTAAACTGGTCGCAGTCGCAGATTTACTCGAAGACAAGCCTTACCCTGACATAAGTCAGACCCCTTGCGGTCTGCCAAGTTCCTGCATATGTCTCGTTGACATACCATTCCTGCGCCTCCTCTTCCTATGTGATGAAAGGAACTCTCTCCGTGAGATACGTTCGTTATCCGCAGGCTTGATAAGACTTACGCCGAGACCTCTCGCTCCAGCCCATTCGAGACTCGCTATTGTCCGCTCGATTCCCTTGTAGTTGCAAATCAGGTCCTCGTCACCCGCGAACAACATGACCTTGACACCTTTCGCTATGATGCCAGGAATCAAACCGATCGATGCTGGGGAAGTCCGCAGTTGCAGGTTGGTCGAAACCATCGTATCACATTCCATCCAAGCAGTCTCCTTGGCTTGTGCATGTAGCGCTGTGACGACGTCTTTCCGCTGTAGAACCGTGATCACCTTTCAGAGGCAGTCCGAGGGCAGTTGCAAAGTAACTCGACTTACCCGCAAGTAAGAGTAAAGGTCTGGCAGATCCGGTGGCCAGTTCATCCCACAAGCTGGCCACTCATCCATGAGGCGAACGTCGTAAACGTTCTTACACATCGTTTTGCCATTTAAGCTAAAGCGTGACCTTTGTCAGCGATCGTACGCAATGCAACGGCGAGCTTCACTTACTCCTGCGTGAAAGGTGCGGTGACGCTACCCATCACGTCACCACAATTTGCCAGGTTGATAGGGATCTCGGTCTTGTTCGCATATTTATCGACCTCGTTCTGACACTCGAACATCGCTTTCTCTACCGCTTCGGCTTCCTGTCGTTTCGTGACAAACACTGAATCAGCTTTAGAGTGGCCTGAGCAAAGCGTAGTGCAGGCGTACCGCGGTACCCGCTTTGATCATGCCCTTCTCGTAGGCAAAATCAACGTAACCCTGGTACTGCTCTCTGGGATCGATCCAGCCGTTTCCTATTGCTAACCCTTGTAGTGTAATCGGCGGGTCGAGGCTGGATTTCAGGATAGCATCGGCTATATGCAACACTCTTTATCAGCCAACGAAGTAAACAGGACGGTTCTGCAAGACCACGGGGGCTTACCAAAATATGGTATGTATTGTCCAGCGAAAGACTCTCCGGCGAGGTAAGTCTGTGCGACGTCACGAAAAGACGTCAGATGATGTTTCCTCGGGTTCCACATCCAATTCCAAGCCTGGACCTACATCCTGGGACCGTAATTCGGGAAAGATAGAATAAAAGTTGCCCAGGAATTCTACGAGATGGGCCGATGCCTGATCCAACTCGTGTAGGTATCCATTCGTCGGAATGACAGAATATCCTGTACCGGGTGGCTGGTCGACTGTGATCGATTTGTATAATCAGATTAAAATCATAGTCAAGGCACATGCGAAATCCAGTGGAACTCACTGAAGATTACGGTTCCAAACTCTTCCCAACCGCCATCAACCAGCTCGAGCTCGACCTCCCCGCTCGCCGTCTTGCTAGCCGGTACCGTCCGAAATGGACCCACCTCCATGAGCGATCCGTCGAAGGATGAACAGCCTGGTCCGCCCTGCGTTATACAGTGAAGTAAAGGAGGAATGCAAGAATGTCAGAAACAGCCGATCATGACGAAGCTTCCGGTAGTTTGCTGGCTAATTACGTTGAACCAGAACACGACTCTTCCCTTTCCGGCGCTTCGTCGGTTCTTGCCCATCAAGAAGCTAGAATTAACCATGACCAAGTAAACACCTCGAGCTCCCTTGCAACGATTGTAAGACAAAGGCTATCCCTTGCTCACTAGATCTCGGCATCCACTCCCGTCGCTCCTTCTGCTCCTGCAACCCCTTCTCCTGGGTATGATGGTATGTTCCCTGCATATATGTTCAGAGGATGTCTGAAGATTTACGAGGTAAGCTCCTAGACCGCTCCAGGCCATGATCCAACGAAACGTACGTGGGATGGGACGCCAAGTTTGGAAGACCTGGTAATGAGGGTACATAATAGTCTGCCGCAGCTTTCGCTACGATTCGCACCACACAATTTCAGCTCGTGGGCTGGAGATGAAATGACAGAGCTGAAGCTCACAGAAGGTAGCAACCTTCCTGCCGGGTGGACTGGTCATAATTGCCTTTGATCTAGACTCAACGGAGTTGTCCGCAGTCGAGTGGTGTCGAAGACGAGATGGTTGAGTCCAACCGAAGTGACAGGGAGGGCAAGAGAGCCACCTGGTTAACGATTTATCCTTGTGGAGTAAGTGATGCTGAGCAATACCGAATGACTTTACAGCCCTGAATTAGGTCGTAACACAATCGTTTGACAGTACAATCCACGTCTTCGGCAATTGCACCGCTCCAAGGGCCAGGGTCACTTATCAGGTCCGGACAAGAACGAAATGCCGTAACCAAGATTCCGCCCAGGATACGGGTTGTCAATAAGAGTTCGTACAGTCTGCAGCAGCTTGGGGACAAGCTAAGAAGGTTGGTTTGAGAAAGGCATCAAGAGAAGGTTTGGGCACGATTTCCCTGCGATCTCTGCAAGGTCAGATATCTCGGTCAGATGGTGAACAATTGTCGGACCGGTTGAAGATCGAGGCTTTTCAGCAATTCAATTTGATTGAAGGCCACATTGTATCGGTATGCATCTCGAATGTCGAGCAGGTACAAAGTAAAGTTGACAAGCGAAGAGAAAGGAAAAAGATGTCACAGACACAGCAAGCACGACAATTACTCCACCTGAAAATGATAATCCGAAGTAGCCGTTTCCTATATAGGTCTGCCTCAACCTACCGTCCCCGCAGGGTCGGAAAGGCCTCTTTCTTGTGTCCCGAATGAGCACGGTATCGCAACTATTAGAAGTTGGAGTCGGACCGCATGGCAGATTCGAGCACGTACTTTTTTGATCGAAAGAAAAGAGAGGGTAGACGGGCGGGAAGTGAGTCGGTCGAGGTTTCCAACTTCCAAGAGTTATATACTCGAAGCTGAGTGAACCCGTACCCAGGGGCGACGCGCAGGGAAGGATTTCGCTCACAAGTGCGGGTCCAAAACCGAGTTCGACCGAGTTGCACTCTGAAGTGACGTGTCATTGCGATATTGCGAAGAGCAGCACCCTGGACTGCATGACTGAAAACAATTCGTTGTATAATTGCGAGCATTGGAGGAATCATACATCATACCTCGAGCCTTGACAAGATGTAAAGCTGGAGAAGACTCGTAATATCACGCTCGCTGGACCTTTTCTGCCTCTCCTTCTCGTCAGCCACTACCGTACTCTTGATGACACGAAGCTCAGAGTTCGCTCTTTCCGGCAGCGTTCCTCTTGACGGCCTCTTCCCTGACCTCCTTGCCGGTAGCGACGCCAGCCTTGTCCAGAGCGATCGCCTCTTTGACGGTAGCGGGCTCGACGGGTGCGGCAGGTCCCTTCTTATCGGCCTTGATGGTGGTAGACTGTTTGACCTGGATAGTAGGCTTGCTCGATCCGATAAGTCCGAAGAGCGAGAGCAGAGTTCCGAGAAGGGTCAAAGCACCGATAGCCAAGGTAGCGGCAACTTCGGGCATAGCAGTGATTGCGTGCTTAGGATCTTGCTCGAACAGGCCTAGAGAGACGGACCGGTCAGTCTGATGAAGGGCTATCCATCTAGAGAACACTTCAGCACTCACTCCTGAACTGCATAAGCTTCAACTTCAGGACATCCTGGAGTCCAAGCTTGCCCTCAGCCTCCTCTTCGTCATCGAGCTCATCGGCGTCCTTTTCGAAAGCACGCTTGACGTGGAAGGTCTCCTTGGCCAAAGCCTTGGCATCAGCGGCCTCGTGACCGACAAAGATGTTGTCGACTGGCAGAGTCAAGGTGTGCATGGGTTAGGAACTCGGCGAATCCGCTCAGCCACGGCATTGTACATACACAAGATGTCCTCGGTCATGGTCCAAAGCTCGAAACCAACACCGGCGAGAGGGGTGAAATCAGCCGGGTGCTCGTCCAAGTAGTATCCAGGGTTGGGGATCTTTCGAGGAGCCCAGACACCCTTGTACTCGGGGTTGGGGATAAGAGGAGCCGACCACTTGCCCTATCGAGACGAAACATTCCAGATGAGCAAGCCGAATTGCCGCTGCAAAACCGCCCGTGCACTGACCTTGTAGGCTGGGTTGCTAATAACGGGTGGCTCCCACTCTCCACATCCGGAAACGGCCTCGCAAGCGGGGTTGGGAACCATGTCCGGAACCCAGTCGCCGTCCTCCTCGTCGTCCCACTCCTCGGGCTTCTCGGCCTCGGGATCGGGGATGACCTTGGGCTCGTTGACGAGCCAGTCCTCAGGCATGGTAGCGGATTCGTCGACGATCGTAGCAGGGGCAGTCTCATCCCAGTCGTCAGGCTAGATGACGTATGCACAAACTCGGTCAGCATAGAATGAGAGGCAACCGGTAGATGTGGCACACACCTTGGTGGCCGAGGTGTCGACAATCTGGGACTCGTCGACCCAGTCGGCGGGCTTGAAGTCGTTAGGGTCGTTGATGTCGACGGAAGGGTTGACAGGAGGGTCAAAGTCCTCCAACAAGCTACCCTTTTTGGCGCTCTCGTCGTTGATCAAGACCTCGTAGGTGTTGTCAGGGCTGCATTCGCGAAGCATGACGTCAGCTTGGCGTGCCATTGACGTTCTGTGCAATAAAGGCCCAACTCACTTGACGATCAAGGTGTAGAGAGCGGTGTTCTTGCCGATTTTGGGGGTAGGAGGGTTCTTGAGGTGCTTCTCCTCCCATTCACCGGTGATAGGGTTCTTGTGTCGGAAGATGAAGTGGACTGCAGGCGCAATGAGATGCAATCAGTTCTCTGACCTCATACCCGAAAGCAGTTCCACAGCCTCCACCCACCTTTGTTGGTGGAACCGCACTTGTCCTGCATATCCACGCAAATCAAGCTTAGCCTATCCGATCAAACGGATGCCTTCTTTGCGTCGACTTACGGGACCGAACATGATGGTGAAAGGGGTTCCGTCCTTGAAGTCGTCACCGGCCCTGATACCCTCGCCCGGATTCTCGGTCAAGAGCTTCAAGTAGGCTCCACCGCACTCGAGTCCCTTTTGCATCTTGACCTCGTACTGCACGACGAGAGGTTTTCGCTCGGGAAGGGTGTCAATGGGCTCGTGGAACACGGCCGAGATGGCGTGGTGAGCAGCCTTTGACTCTGTACAGCCACAAAACGTCAGATGAGCTCCATCCCGTCATGATAGTGCGTTGAGACTTACTCATGACGAGACCCTCATCTCCGTCGATACCCTTGGCAATCTCGGGCTCCTCTACACTCCACTTGCCGACATAGCTCATGATCTCGTCACCAACCGGGGTCTGCTTGGTAGCCTGCGAGACGGTCCATCGCGAGGTCCAGTCGGGGGTGAATTGCTCCAAGAATGGGGCCCGGATCTCGGTAGGCTGTCAAGCGTTCAGGCAAAAGACGTCCGACATGAGTGAAAGTATGTGTTTCCGAGTGGTAAAGTGATGCATACCTTGAAGGTAGGGTGATCGACGGCATTGACGCCCACAGCGCCCATGGCGGCGATAGCACTTCCGGCAGCAACGATGTTTCCACGCATTGTCCTGTTTTTCGGGTCAGGTCGCTGGTTTATTGATAGGATACGGTCTATGCCTTGTCAAAGAACAGGAGAGGTATGCATAAAAGGTCTCGACGGGATGACAACCCCCCTTTGTCGGGATATATCGACGTGGCAGGTGATCCCGAACGAGAGGGCGAAGGTGGAGGGCTAGGGGAGAAGCAGCAACGCTTACGGCATTCCATGCTCTATGGCGTCGCGGAACGTTCGCGCAAAGAGGCATGATTCATCTCGACAAAGTAAACAAATCGACAGATCGACAGAACATGGTTGATTAGCACCATGTCGGGACACTAGGCCTTCTTGAAGAACCCAGCCAGGGTCTGTTGCCCCTTCTTCTTCGGCTTGGCCGCTGCCGCCGGCTTGCTGGCAGCCGCCGATGAGGACCCGGTGGTCTTGGGTTTTGCCGGAGGTTCCGATTTGAGCGATGTAGTTGAGGTCGACTTGGTCAGCTTGGGAGCCGCCTTTTTCGCTTTTTTGGGTGGCTGCGGTGTGCCTCCATCCGACGAGTACGATTCCTCTCCAGAAACATCTTCGGTAACTGTTGCGTATCGTGATACCGATCAGCTCTGACATGTCTTTCCTAGTATGTTGATAGAGATGTGAACGTACCGATATACCCTTTGTCATTCATCTTGGTCTCCGAACGAACAACCCTTCTTTTCTTCCTGATCCTGCCCGACGACCCCCCTTTGCTCCCAGATGGCGTAGGCGTAGTTTCGCGATCAGTCTGGCTGACAGCTGTAGAACTCCGTTTCTGAGGTATAGTCGGTCTTGAGCCCTGCATTCCCTTCCCGGATACTTTGGCCGACGTATCTTCTGCCAATGATACGTTTTTGTTAGCTCAAGGCGGATTTACATCACTCCACTCGTCTTGGAGCTTACCTCCAGCCACGTGATCCTCTTCTGCTACCATCGCATCACTGCTCGGGATGCCCGCGGCCTCGTCATCCCAAAACGAATCCATGATCATCTGCTCTGCCTGCTCGTCATTTACCTTCTGTAAAGGTTCGGCTGATTTGTTGACAGGCTGTGCAAACAACCGCCTGTCGACCTTAACAGGAAAATCCCAATGATGTCGTTGACGAAACTCACCATGGTCGTGGTCTTCCCTTTGCCTTTAACCATCTCGGGCTTCTCGGTTTCGGTCTCGGATGGACTTTCCGAACGAACCTTCTTCTTCCTAACGGTCTTGGCAGGCTATCGAAGAGGAATCTCAACTCGATCCGTTTTTTTTCCTCGAGCTCAGAAGCCTTGCCTTACCTTTTCTTTGACAGGTTCTTCAGGTTTCTCACTATCCTCACGGGACTTGGTCTTGCTGCCAAAGATCGCCTTTGGAGCGCTCGCCTTGGTAGCAACGGAAGCTGAGGTGGTCGGTTTCGTTTTCGATGCGACGGATTTTGCAGCAGACTTGGAGCTTTCACCGGGCTATCTCACCGAATCGTTAACAGCCCGTTCTTAGCTCTATATACGCACGATCTCACCTTTTCGATCGTAGTCATTTCAAACCTGCCCGTCACGCTGCCAATGACTTCGGGATCGTTGTAGTTCTCTCGTTGACGCAATCTCAATGTGGGGGGCAAGTACTGGGCTGGATCCTGCTCGGCAAGATTGCCAGAGTCAGCCCCGCAGTTAGCTTCAACCTGTATAGAGAGTTCAAGAACAGACTTACACTGATCTGAGAAGGAGACAAGGAGTAGATCTGGACCTTAATAGTGCTCGGCACGAACAGTTCGAGCTTACCTGTTTCGGGCAATCCCGACGTAAATTAAGAGAATCCATTCCGACTAGCTGATTCTTTTAGGTCGTACTCACTCTCGAGCGTTTCTTTCCCGCCTACCAGCAGCATCCCCTTTCGCTCGACATCCTCACAATGGACCGGGTACGGGTCATCCTTCCTCGACTTCAACTTGGTGATTTCCGGCTTGATCTCATCGGGGTCGATCGTCGGCCCGTCACGTTCACCCTTGACGGCTTTAGGCGTGGTCTCATCGACGTCCATCGGCGTGCTAGTGGGGGTTGGGGTGCTAGGGGTTTCAATCTTTTCATCGGAAGTCGGCACAGGAGTAGAACTTCGGCTCCTTGTAGGAAGGTAAGTTCCGGTCAAGATATATGTAGGGAAGGTCGTCGGGTTGGCCTTGAGGTATCGGACGAGCATACTGTTTTCGGAAGCCCCTCGGTCAGCTCTCCTTCACGAACTTGTTCATGTGCTGCCCAGCACTGACTTCTTGGCGGTATTGATGTTCACTCCGACTTCTCTAGACACTTCCCTGTAGGTCACCTGTCGAATTCTGGTTAACCCATTTTCTGGTTGACTTCCTCAAATGGGCGATAGGCTCACGATCTTGTGCTCGAGATCGATCCATTTCGCCAATCTATCCTGCGCCTTCTTCTCTTGCTCTGCGGTTGCTCCTGACATCTTGAGCAGCGACGAAATCGCTCAGTGACTTGTGAGCTGGGATCCAGATGGGTACTCGCTAGATCCGAGATTTCGACACCACTGACTGTTTGTAGTACGGTAGTAGCACAACATGTCCAGGGGGGGTCAAGAGCTCTACAGCTACTGCACGGTACGAGTCTAGGCGATGACCCGAATCACGAGACGTGACGCGACGTAATCAAAAGCGCGTTCTGTACAGCATCGAGCGGGCCCTCGGGTCAAATTTCGGACTCTAAAAATCAACGAGCTGTCGTTGTGTTCGCAGTCGCACAGTACCGAATACAAAACAGACAGATCGCATATCAAAAGAAGGGTATTGGTGCAAGGAGCGAGACTAGATCCGCCGCTGCCGATGGCAGCGTGAAAGTACGTCGTTTCCAAGGACGATCTTTGGATGCATGGGTGCGGAAGCAAAATGAGAGCCTTTCAGCGATCAGCGATGACGAAGCGGATCGACCAAGTCGAGCTTCTCGACAAAGTATATCAATCGTCCTCTCGGGACTCTCATCAACATTCGACCTACGTAGCCTGACAAGCAAGCCTGAATCAACAGATACACTGTAATGTCATCGTCACTCAACATCTACCGAGCATCGCAAGAAGGTGAGCCTATCGGTCTTGAGTCTGCGTCTCTCGGTCGACTGAAAAGATTGGGACTACAGGTCAAATCGGACTCGTCCGATCGCTTCTGAGCCAGGACCCCAAGCTCGTCAACGCTCGGGATGCTGTAAGATTCAGGATTCTCTTTCTGCGAGTATATGCGGTCTGACCCATCACTTGAACAGGACAAGCGGACGCCATTGCACTGGGCAGCAGCAGGAGAGAATCTCTCGATAGTGCAGCTACTCTTGACTTACGAGCCGGAGGTGGATGCCAAAGATGAAAGTGGATGGACACCATTGATGATCGCAGGTGAATCTCCCGAGTTGTGTCCCAGCTTTTCCCGCCCGAAGGTTCACGAAGCTAATCTCGACTCGCTCTTTGATGCAGTATCGGCCGGACAACCTGATGTGGTACATACGCTGGTCGAAGCTGGAGCCAAGGTAGACGAGGAGAATGCGAAGGGTCAGACACCGTAAGCACACCTATTCCGCCACGTACACTCCTGGTTGTCTCCGACACTGATCATCATCGTACGGACAGGTTATTCTATGCGGCTAGCAAAAACCACCTTTCGGTATGCGGCTTTGTGACAGCGTTATCTCAGTAAAAGCCTGCTGACCGTCTGGCTTCCTTCCTGTCGATTACAGATCGGTCGGTATCTGATCAATAAGGGAGCCGATGTTAGTTCAACGGTGACAGAGCATCCTAAACCTCGTCCAGTGCTGTTAATTTACCACCTGCATTGCAGATCAACCACAAGGATAGGGCTTCACAAGTACCGTTACACCGGGCTGCTACCACTGGCTCTGTCTCGCTACTACAGCTTCTGCTGAATCCGCCCGAAGGGCGACCCAAGACTCGATTGAACGGTATGGACCGAGCAGGTATGTGCTGCTAGTCTACGCATCGTCGTCTTCTTGATCACGGTTCTAGAGTCGTGGCCATTCGGACGGACCGCTCATCGCTCCGCTTGCCTGTTGCAGGAAATACTGCTCTACATCTCGCCATGGAGTCTGGTCACGGGGAAGCTGCCATCACGTTGATCGAAGCCGGAGCAGATAGGGAAAGGGTAAGGACCCCTCTTTCGAGACTTCTACGCCTGGACATGCGGGCTTATTCGACTGAATCTGTTCCCGTCATAGACGAACTCTGATGGTCAGACACCCGAAGAGATCGAAGGGGTTGGAGAGCGCGAGCAGAAAAAGGTTCGCGACTATGTAGTCAGTAGAGTAGGGCCCAGGATTGAGTAGTGCACAAGCTTGTGATTGCTACCCCCGATGGTATCATGTGGGATCCTTTACGAGTACAGGAGCGACCCAGCCAAAGAGCTTGTGATACAGCGCTGTTGTTTCGGGTCAAGCCAAACTCTAACAAGGACTCGAATGTGTCGGTTAAATACGGGACCTTCTTACGAATAGTACCGGGATCCGCGAAGACGCCACAGGCCGTAGGACTTGCGTGCAGCCTTTGATGTAACTCCCAGAGAAACTCTATCAAGGCGATATCCGAAGGTAGACGATCCGAAGGTTTGGGCGCTAAAATTCCTCGCGAGCATTTTTTATCAGATAAACGAGGAAGCAATTGCGACCGAAACGCCTAGTCCAGTTCGAGGTTCTGTCGTTTTCGAAGTTCGACACCCATCAGAACTCGATGTGGACGATACAAGGACTTGAACATGAAGCGATCCTCTTCGAACCAGCATTACGTCTGCACACAACGTATCCCTCTCGATCCAGATCGACTAGTCCGCAAGTGGCCGACAAAAAAACAAACAGGTCCAACCGATAGAGATCTGGGGGCTGAGATGCCAGAAATAGGACGTCGCTAACCTGGAACCGTGCCTTACGGAGCGTGATCGGCGATCAGCCAGGGTCCATCAATTTGTTGTTTGTGTCACGGGGGGGAGGTTCCGATCGACAACGTCCGCCGCCGACGTCCCTCGGGATCGATTGCCGGGAGCACTGCAAAGGCTAGCTCCAGGTCGTTTCTATTTTTTTCTCCCCCTTCGTCTCCCCTAATCAGATAGAGAAAGCACGAAGAGGGATGCGCAGGCGAGTTGAGAGGGCCATCCAGACCGGACTACATATAAACCTGGGCTGCATCGCCACCCTCCTCGTCTCCGGCTTGGTCTTCGTCCTCGGCACCCACTACATCCCGTATTCGTATCCTTACCCTTTATCCGGAACCCACACTATGGATAGCGGAGCTGTTCACCTACTGGCCGCATTGGCTAGCAATGCCACAAATGCCGCTGCTAACGGAACCGCAGCTGCAACAGCCGGTCACAAAGCCGGCGGGAAGAAGCCCAAGAAACACTATTACTTTATGGCGCGAAACAGTTGGGAGACAATCGCCGGTGTCATCATCGCCCTCGCCATAATCAACGTATTCACTCGCGGGTACGCCTACTGGCGAAGGAGGCGCCATGCCAACCAGAGCGCGGCGATGCTACTCGACAAGCAAGAAGGCTTGGCCATGGTCGATGGAAACCTCAAAGCTGCCAGAATTCCTCAAGCGGGGGCTAGTGTCTTGCAAAATCTGGGAATGTGTACCACGCTACCATGGTGGCTAGGCGGAGCGACTTTGGGTGAAGCGTTCTGGAACATCGGTTATTGCGCAGCGCTGGGTGTTTTTGCTTTCCATCAGAGTGAGTGGTCTTCATCTGGGGCGTACCCGTTCCTTTAGCTGACAGCCTCTCGTCCTTGAACAGCCAAGCCCGATGTACCCGGCGGTTGGGGCAACCAAGCCGGTCATATGGCATACTCTCAGATTCCCTTGATCATCGGATTGGCGGGCAAGAACAACGTGATCTCATGTACGTATCGCAAAAGCCCCCTTGCGACTAGGGTCCTCGGATTGCTTACCTTGTCTCGTAGTCTTGACTGGTATCGGCTACGAAAAGCTCAACTACCTCCATCGTACTGCGGGACGAGCGAATTTGTTTCTTTCCTGGATTCACGTTCTGGGTCGAGGCTTAAAGGGGTAAGAGCTCTGGCTTTGGCGAACGCAAGGTATCTACCCCACTAACCGTCCGCTCCAACAGTTACAAGGGAGGCTTCGCTCACGAGCTCAAGGAAGAGAACTACTTGCGATGGGTGAGTTTGACAAATCGCACAATGTCGCCCGACAACAAGCTGATTCGAGGCCTTGTGTAGGGAATCGTGGCGATCGTATTCTACACCGTCCTCACTTTTGGGTCTTTCCGAGCCCTAAGGAACAGAGCGTACGAACTGTTCTTGCTCAGCCATATTGTGATGGTCATCTTTTACTTGGTCGGCTGTTGGCTGCATTGGGCCAAGTTCAGCTACTGGGTTTATGTGAGTGCGAGGCGAGATGGAATTGTCCGTCCCCGCCCAGCGAAACTTACGCCCAGTGATTTTGATACAGCCCGGACTCGTGATTTGGGGTTTCGATCGTCTCGTGCGAGTCCTGCGTCTGGTCGTTCTCAACAAAATGTGGATGTTTCCATCACGAAGGGTATCCGAGGGACTCGCCGATACCAAGGTTGAGGTGCTCGGATCCGACGTTCTGCGTGTCACCGTTCAGCGTGGTGGCTTGTCGTGGCGAGCTGGACAACATGCGTAAGTTGCGCTTGCTCGAGTACTGGGAGATGCGTCCTGAATCCAATGCGTTGTTCCTAGCTTCCTTATCATGCCTACCATATCCAAGATCCCTTTCGAGGCGCATCCTTTCACTATCAGTAACATCTCTGGTGTTGAATGCCCAGAGGGACAGGCAACTTTCATCATCCGAGCGCGAGACGGTAAGTCAAGGTCGATTGATACCTTGTAGTGCCGCCGACTGGACACTCACCCTGCTTGCGATAGGTTTCACTAAGCGTCTGATGGCGAGAGCCGGAGGGGAGGCTAGGATTCCTGCATACATCGAAGGGCCTTACGGACATGGCTGTTCACTTGACCATTACGAGCAAGTGATGTTAGTCTGTGGTAAGTCTGTGCGGCCATGGCGTCAATTCGATAGCAAAGCGCTAATTGATGAGCGTCGACAGGCGGTTCCGGGATCTCCTTTGGGACTTCAAACTTGATCGCCATCATCGACGCTGCCCGTCGAGGTGAATCTGCCGTTCGCAGAGTCAAGCTCGTTTGGATGATGAGGAGTCAAAGTGAGTACTTTTTTCCCTTTGCTCCCGTCTCGTATTGTGCAGTCTGATTGACAGACCCGTTTACATAGGACACTGGCAATGGGTGCAAAACATGATCATGCCTATGCTTGTCGGTCTCCCCGAATCAATCTGCGTCGAATTGGACTTCTATGTGACCGCCATGGCTGTGGAACCCAATCCTACTGTCGAGGAGGCTCATGAAGCGGCGGTTCAGCCCATGCTCACTACTGAAGAGACCGACGAGGCCGCAGTGGTGCCCGAGGCGTCATACGAGACAAGTTCGGGGGTTCACTCCGGCAGGTCAAGTGTGACGGACATGGAGGAAAAGTTGGGAGTCGAAAAGGAAAAGTATCGACCAGAGTCGAGCTTGGAGTCGAATGCCGTCACCTGGCACAGCGGACGAGCCGACCTCCGTGTCGTACTGTCAGATATGGTCGATGTCGCCACTGGTCCCGTCTCGGTCAATGGTGAGTATTCCGCCATGTTGCCTAGTGGCACCGTCCCAGTGCTAACGACCGTGCACACATTCGATCTAGTTTGCGGACCTCGGACCCTGCAAGCTGCCGCTTCACAGGCTGTAAAGACAGTAGCTACCCCTACCGAAGTACTGAAGGGCCAACAGCGCATCTCGTACTATGCCGAGACATTCGGCTGGTAAACGAAAAGCCCAAAAGCATTGGGCAGCATTTATAGATGATGGACAAAGGCGGTGCCAGCAGGATAGATAGATACCCACATTGTGTAATAGGAAAGGAGGACAGAACGAATGTAACAGGTGCATACGCGAGGCGAAATGAAATACAATACATCGAGATCAAAGCATGGTCATGATCGAAACGAGCTATCCACTGCGAGCCCTACTACACAAAATCTACAAAGCTTGGAAAACGTTATCTACTGCTTCTTCTTGCCGATCACGCTAGCCTTGACGGATGACCGCCCGGCAGCACCCGCCGTCTTCTTCTTGGCAGGGAGGGCGTCCTTGGTCTTTCCAGCGAGCACCTTTTTGGGCTCCTTCTCAGCCTTGGGCTCCGGAACAACAGCCTGCTTTGCGGCTTTTGGCGAAGCGGCAGCCTTTTTCGGGGAAGGGGCGGGGACGGCGACGGGCTCGGCCTGTTTCGACTCCTTGCCATTCTTTTTCGACTTTTTCGAGCTCGGGGCCGACTCGTCCTCGCTTGCGGTCATCATGCTGTCGTCGCTCTCCTCGCCTCGAAGTCGCTTCTTCTCCGCCTTGCTCTTCACCTTGACGTCGACGTCCTCGGCGCTGTACAGCTTGGCGGGATCGACAGTCCAGACGGGCAACAGCATCGATCCCGATGTCTTGATTCCGACCGACTTGATGTTATCCCATGCATCGGGGATCTTGCCGACAACGGCAGGAAGGGCGGCGAGCAAGTTCTCAAGAACCTGCTCGGCGTTGTGATGAACAGCAGTAGCTATTCTCAGGGTGCTAAGTTGCACAATAGGACGTTATCATGAGCACTCCTTCAATGTCAAGTGCGAACTTTCGGTACCCAAACGTACGAGGTGGTACCCAAGCTCTCGTGGAAAAAGGCAGAAGAGATGGCCTGTGCGAGCTCGGTCTTGATATCTTTCTTTTTTAGGTTAACGGGAAGAGGTTGCCTACGAGAAGTAAAGACAGGTCACATGTTAGAAGTCGTTCTGCAAGCTCCACCTCAAGCAGCAAACTCATTGCGTAGACTCACTTCTTGGCGTCGAAAAAGATCTTGCCCAACAGTTTGGGCATCATCGGCATGATGCTCTCATCACACAAAAACACCTGATGGTCGTTGGCCAACGCCCGCCTGGCCTCGTAAGGCTTGTGCTTTCCCTTGAGCTTTTCGAGACCAACGACACGGGCGATGAATTTGACGCCTTGTTCATGCAAGAGATCTTTGTATTGCCGTTGCGGGTCTTTGGAGAAGAGACAGACCGAGGTTGCTGGGGGAGGGGGAAGAGGGGGGTGAGGAAGGTTGCTGGGAGGCAGATGTCAAGGCGGGAAATCAGCATCACATAACCTTAGATCGTCACGCCGGCCTGCTGCAGACTTACATTCGGCTCGGCTTGTTGCTCTTCTTGGTAGGCATTCTTCGGGTGTTGATAACCAACCAGATATGCTCATCCTTGGAAATCAAAGTCTTTTCCTCCTGACGCTCCTTGTCCTTAACATGGTGAGCCAAGAGCGCCTTGACGGCCTTCTTTGCCTGGTCCTTGGAAAAGTTCTGGGGCAGCGGGGCGGGAGCCTTGGACGTCGACGCGGCGGCGACCGGCTTTTCCACCTGGGCAGGCATAGGAATGTTGGGCATGGCTAATGAGATAAACCTGAATTGGCGAATCGGGATGAGCGGTTGGGGGGGGGGGAATTCAAGAGATTGCTTTGCTAAAGACGACTCTCTGCAAATCTCGATGAGCTCTCACAAGTCGAACGCCCAACCTTCGAAATTGTCCTGCGAACGGATCTCCGAGTCACGTGATGCTCAAGGCTCGGAAGCGAATTTGATCCCGACAGCGACCTCTTTCTGTCAACCTGTGTCAAGTATCACAACGGGGATATCGGGTAGTCGCATGTATATATATATATAAGTGTACACAGGGCTAGATGACCGCAGACACCACGACTCTATATGTTTCTTAGCAAGTAGAAAGCAGAGATATACTATTATCGCGTCCCGCGCCGACATCGGCGAGGACATCAAGAGAGACATAGAGAGATACAACGGTTGCGCCCAAGATCGGATCGGAAGAGTCGGTTCACTTCGTGTGCGGGGAAAAGGACGTTGGTAATACAGGGAGGATAAGAGAGGGAGGAGAAGAAGACATTCGAATTCCAGTGGGGAACGGATTTGTGTGTGTATGTATCCAGTGTCGGTTGAGATCCTCGTTGCTACAGCCTGGTGATTCGAAGAGAGGAAGATAGTGTATCGCGATTCGGTCCGTCTCGCCTCGTCCTTCAGAAGAGACCATGTAGCGGAGAGACAGGTAGAGATGAGCGAATCCTGTGTGTGGCGGATGTGAGGAATGGATCCACATCGTCGCTCCTAATGAGAGGTCACAAAATTTGTCGTAAAGCTACCCCTTCCGCCAAAGTTAGGGGTACCAGAGCCAGAGGTCGAGCTGCCCCCGCTCGATCCCGAATGGTGGCGGCCCCACGAGGACGGCTGGTAGCCAAAGTAGTTGTCGCTAGCCAGTCCATGTCCGGTCGGGGTCGTGTGTTGACTGCTCGTCGCGAGGTTGGCGTATTCAGGTCCGAACGGGTTGAAGGGACGGTGTATGGGTGGCATCCCTGTGGGTGTCGTGCATCGGGATTGAACAGGAGACGAGATCGGAGCCCGTGACTGGAAGAAGCAAAACTTTTCCACCTGCACGATGTGGACAAGATATTTATGGCTGGTCAGCTTCAGGGCAAAACGGGTCAAAGTACTACTTCGAATTCAGGCATAATGAACTCACGAATTCCTTGTATCCCGGCGAATGAATACCGCTGTTATCGCTCGCCTGCATCGCCCGAGCTCGATCTTCCAGGTGTCGGTCCCTTTCGTTCCCATCAATGACCACCTCGGGAAGGATCACGATCGAACGAGGCGGACTCGGGGTCACGCTCGGCGACGTGCTATCGGTCAACGGAGACTCTGGGGTGACTTGCAAACTGTTACCAAGGGGAGGAGTGGAGAGAGCCGAAGAAGGAGGAGAAAATAGGTCTAAGCCGTGGACGGCCGGGCTCAAGGGCGCTTCGGGGTCAACCTTGTGAAAATCCACCTTGTCGTTTCGGCTCCTAGTATTCCCAGCATCACCCGCGACCGGAGGCGAGCTTGCTTCGGTGGGCTCGGTCCACACGGGCTGACTGTCATCGACGACCTCGCCACCCCAGCTTCGTCTTCGTTCGTGGCCCTTGCCACTACGGGCACCCTCGGGGGTAAGCATAGCAGGCTTGTCGGTGGAAACGATGCTGAGCGGACGGCCTCGGGGTGGTTCCGCCTCATCCTTGGTGGGGGTTTTGACGATGGGGACGTCTTCCTTGGATGGCGACAAGAAAAGGGGACTAGGCGCACAATAACCCTTGAGCGAAAGGTGTTCGTGCACGTCCGGCATGGCAGGTGCTTGGAACGATGTGTTTCGGAAGGCTGGGGTGTCAGGACTCGGTGCAGCGGGGGAAGGAGCCGGAGGCGAAGGCCGGTTCGATTGACCAAGAACGCCTTTCGAAGGCGAACTGCTCGGGCTGCCCATCCCTGGGAAATTCCAACCTGTCGCGCGACCGAATCCAGAAGCTCGCATCCCTGGCACTGGCGGTGTCGATAAAGCGGCCTGCCTAATGGGGGGCGAGTCTGCATCACCTCCGACTTCAAACATCGCCCTCTGTCTGCGGACCGGCTTGTATTTTTTGAACGTAAAGTTATAGTTGCCGCCATTGACGCCCGAGTCCCACCATTCCTTGCCTTCGACCGAAAAGCGGATGCACATCATCAACCGCTTCTCTTCCAACTTGCGGCGGAAGTCTTCGAGTTTGATCGAAAAGCTGAATCGATCCCAGCCTTCATCGCCGGTAGTCGAGCCGGGAATGTGGACGAGGTGAATACCGGACACTTCCGAAACGGTCCTGAAAAAAGAAGCACATCAGACCGGGCTCGAAGCAGCATTCATACTCCAAACTACTCACTGCCAATCGTCCATGGTGAATCGAACAGCAACCCATTTCTGGAAAGCGACGTTTCTGACCAAGATTGTCCCTCTTAGAGCGACCGGCTCCGATGCAGAAGACATCTCTGCCCGTTCCAGGATTACATTGTGGTCCTTCAACCCGCCCGAGTTGCTCATCGGCGAAAAGTCGAGCCTGACCTTGGGTACGACGCTCGACCTATCCCCGAATGCAAACTTCTCCCCTTCGTCCTGAGACTGAAGCGCAGCGTTTCTTTTCCTCCTAAAAGCGGCATACTCTCGTGCGTCCGTATCGGCTTCGGTCTCGGTTTCTGTTGGTGGGTACATCCCTTCCTCGCCGTCTGCTGTTTTGCTTACGGCGGTGACTTTTTGTTCACGGAGGAAGAGCACGACGCTTTCCAACCTCGCTCCCTGGTCACCAGAAGATCCAGCGAATCTGACGTTCTTGTGTCGATCCGAGCCGAAATCACGATCATCCTCGGCCGGAGCAGGGGTGGCCGGTTCGCTCTTCGATCCCATCATATCGCCTCGCAACGGCAAGTGAGGTGTCGACTGAGACCTGACCTTGAGTGAAGGCTTGACCAGCTCTCCACTCTTTTTCCTGATCATCGACGAGGTCGGACGGTTGCCCTCCCATGTCGATGCGTATGGTGTCGAACTGCCCGAGTCGAGATCGTGGTAGTTGATGGGTGGTGTGGCGGGAATGTCGAGTTGCAAGGAGGAGGACGGTTGTCGACGAAGGCCAAGGCTAGGTCCGGAGCGGGTGGCGTGTCGAGGATTGATCACTCGATGAATCGCCGCATTCGATTTCAACGGACTTGCGGGGGTTGGCACGAGCGCGGCTGGCTCTTGCTCGGCAGCAGCACCGGACTTGGGGAACGGGATGACCGACTCTTTCTCCTTGGGCGGCAATCCCGTCGCATCCGGCGTTCGATCTCGACTAGGCGTACGGTCATACGATCTTCGCCTGGGCAGACCGTCCACCCTCGTTGTCGAATGCGAATCGTCCATATCCACGCTGACATCGAGGTCTTGACTCGTCGTCCGACCCCTGGTATGGCGTTTGCGTTTCTCCGCCGCCTCCTGCTCGGCGGCATATCGTTGTAGACTCAAGGTGATCTCGTCCATCGGGGTAGTGGGACCGTCCGTATCGAGCGTCGACACAGAGCTTTGTGATTCCCTGACGGGCCTGGAGATCCCGCGGAGACCGAGAGTATCGCTCTTCTTGCCCCCACGCCGGTCGACCCCGCTCATCATCTGCCCATGAGATGGGCTGACATGGTTGTTGCTGGTCCTCCTGGGTAGCGAATTGGACGTCGACGTCGAGGCCGTAGCGAGTGGGCTGGTAACTTCAAAGCTCATCGGCGTGGCTAACGGGGACGTCTGCCTTGACCCGTTCCTGCTCGAAGTATTTCGTCGGGGCAAGACCGTCGGCGTCGAGGGTCCCGAATGTGATGGTGTGATGGACCCCGAGTAGTGATGACGCCTAGACCAACCTGGTCGGGATGTATGACCGTCCTCCTTCTCCCTAGGCGTCTCGTCCTTGATCATCTCCACCTGATCCTCGTTCTGCGTCTCTGCGCGCTGCCCTTCGACCTCCATCAATGCGCGCTGCAAGGCTTTCTGGGCCTCGACCTTGCTCAGCAGGTTCGAACCTTGCGGCTGTGCTGCGCCCGGAAAGCTTATCGATTCGGACCGGGGAGAGTGCAGGAGTGACGAGAAACCTGACGAGTTGATGGGAGACACGGGGGATGTGGGCTCGGCGTAAGGCATGGCTGCGCAGTGTTGGCCGATGTGGTTGGGTCTACGTCGGTCAACGGTAGGTAGGGCGTCTCGTTGATGGATCACTACGAGGCTGTAGGCGACAGACGTGACGGGGTGAGGTAGGAATCGTCAATGTCAGCCTTTTATCGATCAAACCAGACCGGAGATGTCGATCGAGTTTTGTATGATCAGTAAGAGAGAGAGCGAGAGCAAGAGAACCAAGAGGGTGGGTGGGTATCCAGTAGTGGGCCTATGTATGTCGAGGTCGTCGTCGGTCCTCCCTTAGCCTGAGTTGGCGATGACGGTGACGATGATGGAAGATGACACTTGCTTATGACGCAACCGTAAACAAAGGATGGTCGATCTCTCTCGTCGGCTTTTGGGCTGAGATGGATCCTGTCTCGCTTGCGTATGCTGTGATCTTTGTATGATCTGTGCGAATCCACCAGTCACAGGCCACAGGCGTTTGAGGGGGTTTCCAGAGATCGAAAGAAATAAGAGAAGGAAAGAGGATACGTTGTTATTTGCTGGCAGATCGAGGTGCCGTCCTTTTGGCGCGGGCTTGGATGAGTCGTCGAGGTGGTCGACGTCGTTTTTAGTCTTTGTTTGTTTTGTGTGTTCCACTAAGATATTTCTTCCGTCGTTTTGCGTGACTAGCTGACTCGACCCTCGGATGGGGAAGACGGGACGATCGATATCTCGAGACGCCTTTTATGTGATCCCGTTCGATCTCTGTCGTGGTCACTGCGGTACGTGCGACCGTATTTCGGGTTCGGGTTTGAGCCTTTTGCGTCGTGACACAGAAACAAAATATCCAAGGGAAACTGCAGTGCCGCTGACAGCTGACCCGTCCCGCGCCCTTTGTGTACCTTTGCGGTGGGGCGGTAACGGTATAACGGTGGATCCCGTGGTGGATATCCAGGCGTGGAGCTGATAACGACGAAGATCTCTATCTCTACCTCTTCGGTCAACACGTGAGGTAGCTAACTAGGTGGGCGTTTTAGCTAGCTGGTCGATTGACGAGCGTGATGTATAGGTGGTCGTCCCTCGTCTTGTATATGAAAAGCTACGCGATCCTCTTCCCTTTCTGTATGTTCTCTTGATCGCCTTGGCCGCAGCCCCTGGTACAAGAGAAAAGGGTTTCGGACGAGAACGCGAGTTTCGGGTTTTGCTAGGCGGTATGACGCGGTGGAGAGATGTTTTTTCCCCTTCGGCGCAGAGGAGGCCGAGAATACCGAGAGGATGTGATGTGCTGTAGCCGGTTTGATGGTATGATGCGAAACGATACGTTGCTTTTCCGAGGTCGTTGATCCACCGTGGGAAGGGCTCGGACTTGGGGGTATACGCAGTGATGAGGATCTCGGGCAAAAAGAATCGACAAGTTGGCCGGTCGCAGGTCTGATGGAGCGAGGTGAATGATGTGCAGGACAAGCGTGATCGACTCGCAAGTCTTGCTAGCTCGCAGTATGAACTTGACGCCCTTTATCGAGGTCACATCCCACCTGACGATGGATGAAAGTGTCCGTTGTTATTGATCGGACGAGTCCCTTTGACGGGGATGACCGGGACGCAAAACCCCTTTGACACCCTGTGCTCGCTGTCCTTTGCTCTCCTCTCGCCCTCGTCGACCCTTGCATGGCCCCGCTGTAGATCCCCCAGGACGAGGTGGATGATCGTCAAGGTTGCGGGGAGAGGTCGAACCCTCGTACCCTCGTGACATCTGGCTCTGTCCCTCATGACGCTCGATTCTCCTTGACCCGTCCCGCAGTGAATCCGGTCGCCTCATCACACATCATCGGACTCGACGTATAACTGATCAAAAGAACCTTGATCCTTGGAGGTGATTATCTTTTGTTCTCATGCTCGGCAGCGTGATCAGAGTTCTGATGGGCGTGATCATAGAACCTTCGATTCCTCGTGGATCCTCGTGTTGATCCGCGTCAAGTGGGTCGTTTCATCCTCTCCATCATCACTACTGAGCTACTGATCGGCGCTCTTGCCGGTGACGTCGAACCTTGTCTCATCGGCTGAAACGTATCCCCGTGTTCCGCTTGCTCGATCGCCCATGCGCCTGTACGATCGTCCCTTTCGCCTGCTCCCAGCTGACAAGGGTCGTGCGTCTCTGCACATCGATCTTGCTCCCACATTGAGATCCACGCCGTGAATACCGACAGATCCGACGATGTAATAGCCTCGTCCTGTTCGATGCCTTGTCCACTGTTCGTCCGATGTCAAAAGGTTGATTTTCGAGCTGGTCCTCCTGGTCCTCTTGCTGGCTCTCGCTCTCTCTCTTTTACTAGACCACGGGAAAGGATACAAGGGACTCACCTATGCGACCGTAATATCCCTCGTCATTGCGGCTATATCTTCCTAAATAGGTCACGCTGGAATTCTATCGCTCGCGGATGCCTCTGGCTTATCGAGGTTCTCAGCTGGTTGTACCAATCGAGCTTGATTGAGGCAGGTAAGCTATCTCGAGAGCAGAGTTGGATATGCCAGCACTGGATCGTTATGTTGACGTCGCAAATCTGGTCGTCGTATTCCCTAGTCGTCGTCTGCTTGCGTAACGAGCAAGAATCCTCGGATCCTCGTCTGTCGCCCAAGCGAAAAAAGGAGAAACGAATTACGATCGTGCCGTGCCGCCTGTGCCGATACGTCGAAACTGGAGACTCCTTCTCTGGTCGATGATCACTGGTCGGGGCTCTATCTATGATGTGAGGGGTACTCGTTCGAGAGCACGACAACGTCGACGACCCCTTTGATTGGGTTCACGTCTCTCGAGCCACAATCAGAAGAGGGGAATGTCGCAGTTGATCGGAGACACGGGGAAGAAGACGAGAGAGGAGGAGAACCCACTGTACACGACGGGAGGAATTTGATGGGATTACCAAACCCAAAAAAGGCGTTCGTAGAGTGGCCGCCCGCTGCCGTACGCGGATTTTTTTTTTGGCCGTGCGCTCGTGAGGACTGGCGTTTCGACGGCAATGACGTTGATCTGCCGTATGGGGAAGGATATTTGACATGTAACGAGGGGCTCCGAATGGCCCACCATCGGCAGAGGGCTCAGGACGTTACATCGAAATAGGAGGTTGCGCAACCAGGAGACTCTATCCCCCACCATACTTACCGCACTCCATGGGAAACGGTGATCGACGGTCTCCGCGGAACATGGGAATTACACGGATGCAGGTCGATCTTCCAAGCACGCGCTTGGCAGTCAACGGTGAGATGCTTCCGTACTCGTCTGTCAAAAGTCACAGACGTGGCTCGTGAGAAGCATGAGAACCAATGAAACAGGGTCGAAACAGCTCGAGAGCAAGGACGAGTCGGGCTCTCGCAGTTCGACCTTGCAACGATGCTAGGGTGGACATGATCGTGGGCAGGCGAGAATCGCAGAGGGTGACTCCCCTCACGCTCGCTTGATGAGCGCACCCAGTGCCTGGTGAGAACACAGGGAGAACAAAGAAGAAAGCTGGTCGGACTTCTCAAGATTCTGTATCACCCCTAGCTGACTGGCTAGACATGACGACTCGGGAGCCGCTACTTATTTGACCGCGACCACCATCGCGGATCACCAACGGCTCCGTATCGGAAGGTCAAGGAAACGGCCCCGTGTCGGAGGGTCAGGGAAACGGCCGAGGAAGGATAAAGCCGTGCTCAAGGCTCATATGCTCGAGTGAGGGCGACCTATTTGACACTCTGAAGCTTATTCATCTCGCGTTGTGTATCATCAATAGCAACGTGACCTCGACCGTCATGGTGATCGACAGATCGCGCCGAGGACCAGGCCGCCGTTAACGGCAGGCTGCCTAGTTCGTCGAATAGATACCTGCCACCGACGAACTGATCCGTAGCGATACTTGACACAAGCGATTGATGCCTTGGTCTCAGAGTATCACGCCGTCATATCTTACAGCGCGCATGACCGACTGGTTCGACGTAACGTGTCGTGAAACACACGGTGCGACTATCGACTTGTTCAAGACACCAGCACCTGTTGGCTAGTCGCACCGTGTGTTTCATGAAACGATGCGAGACAGTAGTAATGCGCGCAGACTGTACGTACATATCTGATCTTGCTCAAGTCAGCATCAGCCGGCGTCGATGGCTCGTCGTCGCCGTCACGTCTGTATTGCGTATGCAACGCCTCGAGGAACGCCACGGACAACGCCGTTCACGTCACTCCCGCCCTCGCATAATTGACACCGCTATTAGCTATTGGGTCGTTTCCATCTTGAGAGGTAAGGCGACGTAAAACACAGACCCCAGATGTATGCGATCCCGGCTAGTCGTTTCAGGTTGCACAAGGGTATGGACTTAACGTCTTGATTATTGGTTTGATCGCTTGCAATCATCTCGGTTCGCTTGACCTCGGTTCCCGCGGCCAGGTCCGGAAAAACGAGAGAAAACGCCACTGACGGAAGAGAAAACTTCCATCGCTTATCGCTTACGCAATCCTGGACTGGCCGTGTCGCCGCCTCACGCCTTGTGAACTTCTTGGCGACGATGCCCGAACCTGTCGACGATCTCGGGCGCGAGACGTTCGCGATCGAGAGGACCCGGATTTGGGTTTGATCGGCGGGAATGGATTGATGGGTGCGACGTTTCAAGTGAGCGCTTGATTGGATCTGACGGCAGCTGATGGTCTTCTACTTCTTTCATTTATCAGTTCGCTGCTTGAAACACATATGTATACTTGTGCTCACGATGATGATGTCGATGGCGCCGTAGATATGACGTCGAGGCCTGCTCAGGTCGTGGTTCACGAGTCGCTGCATGTGGTTGCGAGTCTCGAGCGTGATTTTCGCTGTTCGAAGACAATCCATCGACCGAGGAGAGACCGCATTCTGTTCAAAGGACCTTTCCTTCTGGCTTGCGCCGGTGATATAGCTACAATTCACTCCAATCCATCTTCCACTTGCCCATTCTGACAACGCCGTTGTGCCGCACGTCAGCAAGCCAAGCCCTGCGTAATCACAAAAGGCGCTCAGAAGTGTCCCTGTGCTCCAAGAGATCCCATTATACCTCAGCTGTATCCTCCCCTTGGATCTTCGCTCTCTCACACCTGAACCCCTAACGATCCTCGAGGAGCCAGCGAGGGGAACGTCCGACAAGCGACAACGGACAACAACAACACGTGAAGAGGTAGCAGTAGTAGAGTGAAGATCTCGCGCTATCACGCAACCGCAGCCTCACAGCCCTCGGCCCGCGCGCGAATTTGCTTGGAAGGGGGCTCGAGCTCGCCATCCCTTTGATCCAGTCCGGACCAGACACTGCTGAACATCGCCTCTTCCCCTCCCCCATTCATTCATCTCGACCGTCTTGACCTACCTACTCTCACCAGGTCCTCTTAGACAGGCCAAGCTGTCCTCTGTGAGAGAGGGATGGTGCATCGGTCGTGGTAGTCGATCGCATTCCGTCGCTCAGCTCCGACATCGGGACAGCAAACGTGCGACCTCTTACCTACCACCTTCGACATACCGCGAAGATGACCCTCTCTTCATCGCTCTCCCTCTTTCGACGGTTCTCTCGCAAGAACAAACGTCAGCCCTCTGAACTTGCACCCGATCCGCAAGTCGAGGATGTATCACCATCAACATCACTACCGCAAGGCGAGCTCTCTTCGTCCTACATAATCGCTACACGCAGCACCATCAGCGCCACCACCACCACGTCTCGTCAGTCGACTCTGGGTCGAGATCAACAGGACAAGGGGGAAAGGAAACGGGTCGCAGAGACCCCGCAGGAAGAAGGTGATCTAGAGACTACTCGGAAATGTTCGAAAAAGGTCGCCTTCAACGAGGACAGGTCAGTGGTCTTTTTTCTGCTTCCCCCCTCGGTCGTTGTCTCGACGGGAGCTGACGTCGACCATTTCGCGGGCGTTTTTCCCATGTCTGACCGACAATCACCTTCTCCGTGCAACAACCTCCCACAAAAACTATTATTTGACGTCGATGGCGTGTCCCGATCACGTATCCTTCTTGCTGGTCGATTGACCACAGTGAACCGTCTCAGCCTTCCCAGCTAGGATATGAAGAGCCGTTACAACCAGCACGAAGATCAGGCGAGCCGGTTTATCCTGTACGAGGATCGTCGATGGAAGACGCAGGAACGTATCTGCTAGAAACGACGAGGACGACTACGACGTCCATCTCCTACGAGCTCATCACCGCATCCGAGGACCACCAGGGTAGACCACCGATACCTAGCAGGATGTCCAGTCGCAAGCTCATCAAGAGGTCCCCGCTACAGAGAGATTCCAAGCCGGAACCGATCAACACCTCGGGCCTGGTTCGGTCCAAGACGGAAGGCAGAAACCGAACCCGATCGGCAGACGGTTCTAGGGAGGGGGAACAGGTGGACGAGTCGATGAAAATGTCACCCTGGAGAACGTGGGGCAGAAGAAACGGGGAGAAACGGACCAGGAGTGATGCACCCCCGTCGGCCTGGTTGGGAAACAAGGGCATCGCTGCGGAGCTCGGTGGTGGACAACCTCCTTTACCGCCAGCGAGCTCCCTGGGCAAGCGATTGACCAAGAGTATCAGCTTTACTCGACCTAAAGAGACCAAGATTGTCCAGGAACCTGAACAACTCTCGGCCAGGGAGATGGAGGTCGCAGGATTCGCTCGTGCTTTGGAAGCCAGAAAGGACCGGGGTAAGATGGAGCTCGTACAGACGCCGGGGGAAACCGTCTACGGGATCGGTTGGCAGCCTGAAGACTCGATCAAGCCTTATATCCTCCTTCGACCGTTGTCACCGATGACCATGCCTGCGCCTGATCTCGAGCAGGAAGACAAGGAGGTCATCTTGTCGGCTTCACCCGATCCTCGTTCGCCCGAGACGCCGATCTCTGCCATGGAGATGAACTCGGAGGACTGGAATCACGCGGCAGGATCGACAGATACGCATGGAACGACTGTCTACGCCGAATCGTCCGGCTTCAGTCACGATTCGAACTGCACCCCGGCATTGAGCATTATCACCGGCTCGTTTTCGCCCTCCGCTTGTCCGACTCGCCAGAGCTCGTTGTCCATGTCGCCGGCCCTTTTGACACCGGCTTCAACGCACATGATGGCTCACCAATCCGAATTACTCTACCGCAAGAGTACTACGGCTAGACGACCGAGGCTTCAACGTACCCTTGCCATGAGTCAGATCAGTGTTACAGGACTGGAGGACGAGCTGGGAGAGAACGTGCCATCCGAGCAGGAGATGGTCCGACTGAACAAGATTGACGGCAAACGAAAGAATAGGCAGAGCTTGATGCAGATCGAGGATGACATGGCCTTTGCGAAGGTCGTCACCGAGCTCATGAGGGCGGAAAAGGAGGAACAGGTCAAGGAGGAAGAGACGGAAGGGTGGATGATGATTCGGGATTTGGGTTCGCCCAGTTTGGAAATGACCAAGCATGCCAAGACGATGCGGGCATTCTTCTTGGTCAGAGAGCTCTTGAATGGAGAGCGGAATTATAGACGGCACCTCGTCAAGGGTATCGAGGTGAGTCGGTTGACTGTTTGACCGGAAACTCTCAAATCCTCAACGTCCTCCTTTGCCTCACAGATGTTGATGGAAGATACTTTACAAACACAAACCTATGCCACTGGCTACGACCCCATAACGACGAATTCGATCTCGCCATCGAAACTTACGAAACAACAGAAGCGCTCGACGTCCTTCATCAACTTGCCCGTGTACGCTGCGAGCAAGGATGTGATGATTAAGGAGGAGACGTCAACCCTCACCAAATCCGCTCCAGGAACGCTCAAGCGGGGCAACCGACCGCAATCGTTCTACGTTGCGCGGTCTAATTCCGACTTTGGTGAACGCCGGAACCGGACGTTCAGCGACCTCACGGCGCTGGCCAATGGAACTCCACCGGACCGTCAAAGGATCTGCGAGGATTTGCTCAAGCATATGCGTGACCTCTGCGTCGCTTCTCGTCGCCTAGCCAACGGACTGGAATTCGACCCATCACCCAATGAAGCGGCAGCTATGTTTCTCAAGAACGAAGACGCCCTGCTCTCGGTCTATAGCGAGTGGTCGAGCATTGTGGGCGAGGCCATGTTGAGCGGGATACCCACCAAGATCCCCGCTCGAGCTGCAGCTCGCAGTAAAGATGCGACTAGGCAGAGGAGAAGGAGCTTGAGATATGGAAGTAAGGATAACGACATCCCAGCGGGAGAACTGTTGCTGGCCGACATCGTGAGTGGTGCCGCAGATCGACCCATTCACCGCATGCTGATCTCTTCGCTTGTGCCCGCAGATCATCAAGCCCACGGCCCGCGCTGGCCAATACATTCTTCTTTTCCAAGGTACTTACCTCCTGCTGCTATTCGTCTTGAACGACCGTATGCTGACTAGGTTCCACCTGCAATTACTCAGAAATTCTCGACTGCCTCGTCAAAAGTCACGAAGACACTACCTTGATCGAGGCGGCTCTCGCTTCGGCGAAACGGCTCGTCGCAGAGTGTGACCGTCGGCAAGCCACCGACATGAGCACCGTCGCCTCGCACAACACTGGTGTCGCCTTATAATTCACCGTCCCCTCATCCGACCGTTCTTTCCCAATATTCTGGGCTCGCGTCACTCTTCCGCTCAGCATTGTTTTATACCCTGTCACCGTCTTTGCACGCACGACCGTCCACCGCGCACATCTTAGAGTGGGTCGGCCTGATGCATCTCTTCTTGTATCCATACACTTTCTGTTCATTACATAGTCATGGCATCAACTATGTGTTAGAGAGATGCTACGGGTGTTCGTTCGGAATACATGGGAAACATGACCTCGGGGTAAGGCGAAGGTCGCGTTGCACGTGAAAAGATTTCTCGTTACCGGACGTTTCAAGATCACTCGACGCTTTCGAAGGCAAGTCAACCCCATGCATGCAACACCTCGTCATCTTGTGCCTTGGTCGTCCCCATATCAAGCTACAATTCCTGTTGTCCTCATCTCTCCAGTACATAGACATCACGCTTACTAGTAGCTGGGACCGTCCCCCAAATTATTCGACAGAGCTAGCAAAGGCGGACCTCTTCTCGATCACACGACTAGGCTCGCCAGGGAAGAAGGTCAGACAGTTACGGTCAACGGCGAGACCCAACAACAGAGTCTAGGAATCAGCAATGGCGGACCAGTCGCAACATGTGGTCCAGATTCCTCAGGCTGTGAACATTGCTGCCTCTCAGGATGCGAGTATCTCGCAAGAATTGCGTACTCAGGCAATCGATTACCTGACGAAAGTTCGAGAACTTAGCGAAGAGACTTGGAAGGTGAGTCGGCGTCTTTTCATGATCAGGTCTCGTCTTTCATCTTGCTGACCATTGCATATCAGGCATGCTTGACCCTGTACCTCCAAGGTGCCGGAGCAAGCGCAACGAATCCGGTCGGAAGGGACGGAAAGGAGAAGCTATCGCATGAGCTCCGAGTGTACTGCTTGCAAATCGTGGATGATGTTCTCGGCAACAAGTGAGTGTCCATTATAGATGCTGGCTATCTATGTTGGATAACTGATGGTTCTGTACTGCATCGAAGGCCCGAAGTCATCGCAGAGCAAGACCTGCTGACACTTCACCAGGCTCTGATGAGCTACGTTCAAACGGAGTTCGTCGAGGGTAGTGCTGAGCAAGGCCTAAGCTGTGAGTTAAAGCGATTCAGGAATTTGGAAACGAGACTTGGATCATAGACTTACACCGCTCGTCTCGCTGTATCTAGTTATTCGAAACAAGTTCTGCTACACCCTTACATTATGCTTCCTCCGCCTCTATCCCTCGCCAGTCCCCGACTTTCTCTCCCCCTTCCTATCCTTCCTCAATTTCCCTCAAAGCTCAACTCAAGCTCAGAACCTTCAGCCTACCATCGTTACCCTTCGAATGCTTTGTGAGATTGCCGGTGAAGTGCACGATCCGTTGTTAAAGTCGGCAAGAAAATGGACGGCAGAGCGGAACAACAGGGACGGTCAGGTCCGAGACAGTCTTCGAGTCCGAGGAGAGGTCAAGATCATCTTGGACGGGCTGGTCAGTCTGGTTGAGCAAGGGATCAAGTCAGAGGGCCAGCCGATGATGCAGGAAGTGCTGGAATGGTCGATGAATACATTAGCAACCTGGGCCCGTAAGTCGTACTTCACGATACCGCCCAGTCCTGTGCTGATTCGACCATGCTTTGGTCAACTTTAGCTTGGGTCGATATCAACGCATCCGTCACCCCTGATTCCTTGGCCCTCTACCGAAAGCTTGTCGAGCACCCATCTCCGCGATACAGGAATGTGGCTCTTAGCGTCTATTCGATCCTGCTGCACAAGGGGACCAAAACATCAGCGGAAAAGCTGCAGATTGTGCAGGTCTTGGATGTCATGGCCTTCGTCGGGCCACTGGAGGAGAAGACGAGATTATCTGGAAAGGCGCCGGCAGATGTGGAAGATGAAGAAGTCGCTTTTAGGGTTGCACTGGGCAAGGTGCTTGCCGCATATGGGACGGAAGCTCTGAAGATGAGCGAAGACGTGAGTTCGAGCCGTTCGATGAAGCATGACCACGTCGCTAAAGCAATAGACCGGGATCGCAGGAATCAGCCGATCCGGCATTACGATCCGAGACAGAAGCGATGTGTTACCGAACATTACCCATGCTACTGAAGTTCGTGGAAGACAACAACAACGACATTTACGAGGCGGTTTCGCCATTATTAACTGATATCATGCGAATCGCAAGTCGATCAAGCTGAAAGACGCCCAAGTTGCTGGAGCTGACCTAACGTTCGACCGCAAACAGTACAAGAAGGCCCGCAAAGCCAACGAAAATGGTTACGTTCTACCCCAAGACAAGGCTCAGTTTTTTGCGACACTACTAGAAACTTTGGTCAGCCAAATGCAATGGCCGGTGGACTCGGAATGGGACCCGGCAGATCCGGGCGAGGAAGAAGACGACGATTACGAAGCGTTCAACCAGCGTCGAATGGTGAGTTTCGACATGGCCGCGAGGACAGGTAGAATGCCTCTAAAATCAGCGAACGGTGTCTCCAGCGTATACGTTCAGAAATCGATCAAATTGCGCAGATCGACTCCGAGTTGACCAAGAGCAGGATCGTAGCATTTGTTTCGGAGACTTTCAATCAGATCCAATCTCGCGGCCCCTCTGCCGTATCGTGGCAGCAAGCGGAACTGGCGGTACACTTGACCTATATCTATGGCGAATTGCAACGAACATGTAAGCCGCCTTATACAGCTACTTGGACGACCGTGAGCCCTGATCAGTAAGATCCATTACGCAGCAACGCAAGGAAGAGAGATCTTCTTCAACATTCCCGCCGAGATTACGAACGCGCTGAGAGAAAAGGCAAAGGAGAGAGCCGAGAGGTATAGGGAACTGAACGCGACAGGCGAGGATCTACCGGACGCTCAAATACCACTACCTACCAGGGAACATGTGGACTTTGATCAATTCAGTCTCACGCCACAGGGACAGATGCTCGAGCAAGCGATCCAGGCTGGCATCTTGACATACCCTCATTCGGCCGTTACGTTACAATATCTCGAATGCGTGTCTCGGTACTCGGAGTTTTATAAATGCAAACGTCAACACATTCAGCCCGTACTGGAAGCCTTTGTTGACCAGCGGTGAGATGGACGCATCGATTGCTTTTCACCGAGAGCCACAACTAAAGGGTCCCCTCACTTGCTTGACAGGGGTATTCATAATGACAAGATGGCTGTGCGACAGAGGGTCATCTACTTGTTCTCAAAATTCATCAAGGACGCCCGGCGGTACATTGACAAGGCCTTTGTGCCAGCCATTCTCAATGGAATCAGCGTATGTTTTTGTTTCAGAATTTCGTGCTAGCGCATAACTAACCGCATTCGAGGTATATAGGACGCTCTTCCTATCGTTGCTGTGTTGCCTGAAGTTGAGAATCCCGGCGATGACGTGCTCGTCAAGGCTACGACTGGCTCCCAACCCTTCGACACGCATGTCTATCTGTACGAGGCGGTCGGAACGTTGATCTCGCTAGTTCGCGATCCCGAGCAGCAAAACCCGATGCTTCAGGCGGCGTTTGGACCCTTGATCCAGGAACTGGCGACTTCAGTACAACGATCTGCCTCGGGCGTTCGTCCAGAACTTGTGCAGGTCTTGCAAGTCCATCACGTCATTGTCGCTATCGGCGCATTCGCTCGAGGGTTCCCGGAGCCTGGTGAAGTACCTCCGTCCACAGCTCCATCATGGGTAGCAGCATTCGAGCAGCCATCTCAGGCCGTGTTGCAAGCTCTCGAGGCATACAAGTCGTACAGGATCATTAGGGATGCGGTGAGTTCGGGTAACACCTCCACGTCCGGATGCGACGCTGATGCCAGCTGTGGCTCATACAACAGGCTCGATCAGCCATGGCGGGGATTATCGGCGCCTTGGCCACCAGAGGGACTCATCTGGTCGCCCCACTCGTGATCCATACGGTGGACCTGTTCGAGCCGCAGGAGCTGCTAGAATTCTTTGGCTTCCTCGGCATGTTGGCGCATCGTCTCAGGGTAGGCGGTCTTCGAGGGATACATTGCTGGCACGTGAAGCTGATCTGGCATCTGCCTTCACTCTAGGCCGACATCAAACCGATCCTCGAGGAGCTTTTCCCAATCTTGTTCGACCGCGTGTACGCTCTCTTGGCCACTCCCGCCACGGGCACGGACGAGACGATCTTGCAGGGCAACATGAAGAGGGGTTATTTGAGCTTCCTGCAGACGATCTTTACCGACGATCTGCAGGACATGTTCCTCAGCGATCGTGAGTCATGACCGTCCGACGTCGGTGTCGACTCGGCCACAAGCTGACACAACTCCTTCTACTTGGGTCGATAGGCAACAAACCTCGTCTCGACGGGTTCATCAACCATCTCTTGTCGATCGCCACGGACAAATCGGAGCGTAGCGACCGTTCCGCACAAAAGGCCGCCATCTTCTTGCTCATGCGGACCGTCCAGACGTGGGCTTCTCAGCCCGGTCTCCCTACCGCGTTCCTGACCGAGGCAGCGTTGTTGAACAAGGAGAGCAAGAAGCAGGTCAAGGTCAACGGGAACGTGCTCACGAGCGGAAATGCTAGCAGTCCCGGGTCCGGGTCCGTCGCGGGAGGCCAGGTGGTTCCAGGGTACGAGACGGTCGCGTACGAACGCATCGTCCCGGCCATGTTCCAGACCATCCTCGATCCCGAATTCAAGGCCAAGGACGGGCAAGCTTCTCTGGTCATCCACGAAGTGGGCAACCTCTTGCGAGAGTTGATCGCCGCGAGGGGGAAAGAGGCCGTGGAGTACCTCGAGAGTCGCTTGTTACCCTCGACCGGGTGTCCATCGGCCGCCGCCCAGGAGCTCTTGGTGCATATGAGGAGCGAGACGGCGAAGGATTTCAAAAAGTTCTTCGCCGACTTTATGAAGGAATGGAAGGCGGGACTGGGGTCAGCTTGATAGGAGGGGGCTCGTTTCAGGATCAGCGGTCGACAACGGAGAAGACGTGATGCGCGTGCATGCATAGGACAAGGGCAAAGTCTATCGAAATATACCATACCAAAAGTCGGAAGAAGGCGTCGTGGTGGCCGTTTGTGGGCATTACGATCTTATATGCGAGGTTTGTAGCGGGGCTGGGCATGACGAATTACAGATGTCATATGTGCAGCCATCTCACTGTTTCCAGCCTGTCTAGCTAGTAAGCTGTATCAGAGGAATATCCCGTTTCACCTGGAAGGGTGTTTGTTCGATCTGGACCGAGATGACCAGTCGCTCAGTTGCCCTTTTGGGTAATTTTTCATTTAGCTGGGGCTGACGACGCGTTCGAAATGGCGGGATGGCGCGCGCGCGTCTCGTCCTTTGTTCCGCAAAGAGGTCGGGTCGGTTGATCGAAGAATCTATTCACAAGTTCATCCAGGTCATGCAGATCCTATACATTCTCCACACCCCCCCTCGACTCCTACCTCGCCGTTGGAGACATAGACGGTCAAAGAGAGAGTGTCATAGAAACCAACCGTCTCGAAAAAAGCCGGCACAAACCACCTCGGGCGTTGTCCGCTTTCTCGATCTCGAGAGGAACTTCTTGCTCCACCTACCTTTTTCTTGCAACTCGATCGATCTTACGCCCCTGTACACCAACTGGCTGAGGCGATAAGGAGAGCCACAGAGAGAGAGGGAGAGATAGATTGAGAGAGATAGCCGGTAGTTGGGGAGCAGCCAGAATCCAGGATATCGGCGAAAAAGCTCGAGCCAAAGGACATTCCCCTCCTGTCGGCGTTCTTGTGATATCGATCGCATTCCTCTGGAAGGAATCCGTCAGGTCTCGCCTCAATTCCGACGGAGATCTTCTTGCTACGATATGTACAACCCCTTCGACCTGGAATCTACCGACAACAACGACAACCGCAACAACCATGCCAGCCTGACCGGAGCGCACCTCAACTTTGTACAACACCCCCCTCTCCCTACCTTTCTCCCACACGTCTTTCCTCACCCTCATCCCGAATCATTCACCTCGCAATCCGGGTCTTCAACCTTTCCGCCGACAAACCACCAGATCTACCCGTTTTCTCCACCTGCGACAGTCCATAAAGGGACCGCCGCAAGGGGACGTCGGGGAAGGATCGTCTCCCGGGACCTGCACTTACAGTCCCAGCCTTACCCATCCTCCTCGCAGGCTGGATCTCAACAACAATCGGGATCATGGAACCAGCTTGATGATGGACGACAGAACGATTCGGGATGGGTCTTGGGGAACGTCGAAGATGGACAAAGTGGAGATGTGCCCCGGACGGTCGGGAGACGAAGGGTTGGGAGGGGAAGAGGCAGGGCTGTGGATTGTATCACAGGGTGAGCACCCAAGTCCACGAGAATGCGTCATCTTGCGATCCGACTGAATTCGCTTTCTCTCACGCAAACAGCCTCCCGACCCCGCCGCATACGAAGGATAACCGGCTAGACCTCTCTTCCCACCTCATGCATCACCAACACCATCATCACCCTCCGATGGGGGCTCTACCCCCGACGCCGGCTTCTACCGTACGGACGAAAAGGATGGTAGATTACAGGAACATTTCGGGGACGAAGTTGGACATCCCCGAACGGGTATTGGAAGAGGAGGTCGAGGAGGATGAACAAGAAGTTCGACTCGGTTCTATTCAAGCACCGAGCGGGGAGAACGGGTCGGGCGCATTCTTCTCAGGGAGAACGAGCAGGATGTTTGCCAGGCAGATCGGACCGGATGGGAGTTGGCAAGTCGAACTACCGGGACATCAGACGGGATCGGGGTTGGCTGGGAGGAAGAGGAGGAAAGTGTTCGACGGGTCGGTCTGGGTCGTCGGTGGTAGCGATGCCAACCAGAATGAGAGCGCTAGCCACACTTTGGACGAGGAGGACGATGGGTTGGCAGATACGGACAGAGAAGGGACCCCTGAAGGAAAGGCCGGGAGCTTGCGATCGAGCGTCCTGCTCAGTGCGGCGCCGATCCCGGGAATGAGAAAGGGAAACAGTTTCTTGCAACAGCTCGAGGCTGTGGCTGCCGAGAAGAAGCGAGAGGAAGAGGTGCATCAACAGCAGCAGCATCAGCAGCAGCGGGAGCGACAGCCCAAGATGGGCGTGAACCCTTTCTCAGCGAGAAAGACGGGGATATCTTTGTTCGGAGGGGATGCGGGGAGGAACCCGTTTGATGATGATGATGAGGCTACTGTGCCAGTGATCAAACGACCGACGGGGATGAAAGGTCGTTTGTTGTCCTTTGGCGAGTCTCGGCTACAATCGAGTGACGAGGAGGATAGCGATCACGAGGATCGCCAAAATATGGGTCGACGGCTACCCAGCCCGGCGGGGATGATCAACTTCAAGAGCACCAAGCCGTCCCTATCTCGATCGGGCTCGGCCGTTCTGGACGTCCCGGAGTTTGCATTGAAACCGCCTGCAGGGTTAGGAAACCCGTTCGACGACCTGACGCCGGTGACGAGTCGTCAACCCGAGGCTGGACCGAGTTCGCCCATCTCGACGTTGATGGCGGGAGGACCGAGGGGGAAGAAGACGTGGACACGACCGGTCAGCGGTGGAGAGGACGACCCGTTTGCGGAAAAACCAGGCGACCTCGAGAGGATGTTGGAGAGGCAGAGACAATTCGTGAGGCGGCCAGAGAGACCGGTCATGGAGTTCACATTGTGAGTTACGCGCGCGCGAGGGCTTGTCGTTTCATCGCGGACTATCGTGGCTCTGACACGGGTCTTTCCTTTCGTTCTTGCAGCCGTGGTCACAAGACGTCTGCTCCCAACCCGTTGTATGGTCTCGACGAGACCCCGTTCATGGCTCGCTTACCACCTTCACATCCGGAATTCTCCCCGGCGCCCATTCCTCGACCCAAGTTTCTGCTCGACAAATTCATGGCCCAGGCCGAGAGGGCAAAGAGGGGATCGTCGGCCGGTTCGTCCTCAGACGAGACGCCCAGTCCGCCTTTGGGAGCCATGTCGATCACGCCAGATGGGTTTGTCGCACATGGTGCAAGCTCGACGAGCAAAAGAGACACTCAATCGATACTCGGGAAACGATCGAGAAGTGACCAGGAACGTGATGAGGAGGAACAATCGACGAGACCGCGGAGCGTGAGCGAGCAAGTGGGTGTTTCGCCGGGTCCTCGAACCCCGGCGAGGAAGAGAATCAGGTCGAGCATGCATCCGGTGGGAATCGTCGAGGAACATCGAGGGTCGAACACGACGCCTCGGTCGACGGTGAGGAAGACGGGTCTGCATAGGTTGTAAAAAGAAGACAAAAAAGGGCCTTGGCTTCGATATTCTTGCTGTTACTTTACGATCAGAAATAGTGTAGCGTAGCTTTCGACTTTCTACGAACGTGTTTTCGTCTTGTATGGTCGTGTCTAACTTGTCAAACAATCCATACGAATATCATACCATCTTGAACACATGGCGTAGCGCCTGCAAGCAGAACTTGGATTGGGAAGATACACGGTCTAACGCCTGCAGCAAAGCCCGCATCACCTCAAGTTCCAGAACCAAGCGCCTCCATATCCAACGACAGCTATCTGCGCCGACGCAGGTAACACGGACCACACCGGCGTGTCCACAGATCTTTCGTTGCTATGAGGCGCATCGGTGGAGGGACCGTCGCTGATAGGGAGGATTCTCCATCTCTTGCCGCGGTCCAGAGAGACGACCTCGACTGCACCGTCCAAGTCGGTCGCCGATCCAAACATGATCTCGCCTTCGGGTCGAGGTATGAACCTGAGCGACCTGACCTTCAACATCCCAGCTGCCAGACCTTTGACCTGAGGATCAAGATCGGTCTTTTCCAGGCTCAGCACTCGCTTCTGGACGGGCTCAAAAACAGTATCGACGATAGGCGGGTTCGTATCGAATAACAGGATCCGGCCGAGGGACAAACACCCCGCCAGGACGTATCGTCCATCACCAGACCAATCGAGGGTACATGCTGGACTGTGCTCAGCCTTGTACGACCAGATCATGTGCCCCGTCTTGAGACTCCAAGCGCTGACCACGCTATCGCCGTCGATCCCGGAAAACTGCTCGCTGTCCGGGCTGATGACGCCCGTGACGTTCTGGCATTCTGTAGTCCAGACGTGCAAACATGTGCCGCTCCCAGTCTCTCAGGCTCGGTAAGTCCCGTCGAACGAGGCGCTAACGACCAGCTTGTCGTTGGCAGAGAACCCTATCCAAGTGACGACATCCCGGTGGCCCGTCAGGGTGACCGTCTCGGGCGTATCGAGATTGTACAAGTTGATATCCCACTGATCGTCCGCGTTGGGCTCCGGGGTCTTTCCGGGCTCAATGACGAGCACGTTACCAGCATGATTGAACATGGAGGACTGGTTGGACGAACAAAGCCTTCCATGGATCCGCTGGGCAGCTGAACTGACCAAGATGCGACCCAAGAGCCGGTTGAGCGTCGTGGTCAGGTCTTCCTGATCCTCCATCTTCAGCGAGATGGGCGGTTCGCCCTCGCCCAACCCGGTGCGAATGCGTTCGACGAGATCTCGAGTCAGGCCCTCTGCCCTGGTTTGCCCGGTTTGTAACGTTTCCCCATGGAAAGCTTCAGTGAGATCCCATACGAACACCTCAGCTCGCTCGGAGTCGGTCTCGTCCATCCAGGCTATCGCCGACGAGACAAACGTGTCTGACCTCCCCGGTCTGAACGCCAAGCATTCGATCTGCACGGTATGCCCGCAGAGGGTCGTCCGCTTCTTAGTTTCGAGGTCGTACACGTCCACCTCGCTGCCAACGGCTACAGCGAGCTTGGTCACGTCGGAACTGAAAGCGTGGTGAAGCTGATCTTGGAGAGGCCGACGATCGTTGGGGAACGGGAGGAATTGATCGTAGGTCGGCCAATGTAAGATGCTCGTCTCTATCGGTCGCTCGTCATCGGACAAGGAATGAAAGTAGGATGCGATAGCCCATCGCCAGGCCTTGGCCATATCAGAGCTGGGATCAGTAACTTACTAGTTTGTGCCAGAGTTCTTGTTCGGTCCCGTGGTCGCGCCAAAGTTTCGTTCAAGAAAGTTGTTGTCAGGAAAGTAGTCTACAATCATAAGTTACTGAACATGGGCCATGGGCCATAGGTGCATACTACACAAGTGCAGCCGTATCTGATCTATCACTTCCACTAGCCCAGTCTCTGCCATCTGCTTCGATACATCCCCCCTCCCCCCAATCTCTCGTAGCCGGAAATTCAAGGGACCGGAAGCCTGCACCATGTCTGGACCGGCGCCAACCGAGACGTCTAACAAACGAACGGTCGACCAAGCCGAACTCTCGACCGATGACAATCGGCCCGCTAAAAAGCAGCAGCTCGACGAGCAGGTCTCCGCTCCCGCAGCCGAATTACCGCAGCCCTCGTCGACATCCGCCCCGGTCGAAGTGGTCATCACCGCTACCCAGGCTACTGATGATCTCGAAGAAGCGATGAACGCCCAGCCCGAAGCTGGCCCGTCCAGGAGTACGCAGAAAAACGGGAACAAGAACCAAAAGGGCAAAGCCAAAGGCCAAGGCAAACCGAATAAATACAAGGGGACACACGATAGGGGGGTTTGGGAGAGGAGACCTCCGAGGGAGTTGCCAGAGGGGGAGGAAAAGGAAGCGAGGTTGCCCAAGAAGAAGGTGGCTCTGCTGCTCGGGTTCAGCGGGGCTGGTTACAACGGGATGCAATAGTAGGTCCTTAACCTACCTCGCCTTCATTGGTCTACCTATCTCAATGAGCTAAGCGCTGTCCGGTTTCCATCCGCTTCGAAGTCAATTGACAGAAGATCCAACCTCTGCCAACACGATCGAGATGCTCGTCTTCAAGGCGCTCGGAGAGATGGGTGCGATCTCCAAGGACAACTCGACCGACCCGAAAAAGGTCGATCTCTCGAGAGCGGCGAGGACGGATGCGGGGGTCAGCGCTGCAGGGAACGTGTGAGTCGAGGCCTTTCCGCTCTCTGCTCAACTACCGCGCTCGATGGCTGAAACTACGTCGTCTGTTTCTGAATCCATGTCCGGCCAGGATCTCGCTGAAGATGATCACCGAACCGCCTGGATGTGAGACGCAAGAATCGTTCGTCACCAAGATCAACGAGCTCTTGCCCCCTGACATCCGAGTTTGGGGATTCCAACGAGCTACCAGCGGCTTCAATGCGAGGACGTAAGTCAGACATCATCATTTCGAGCTTGGAGTAACGTTTGAGCTGATAAGGCCCACCCATGTACGCTCGCCGCAGCTCGTGCGATACCCGGGTGTACGAGTATCTGTTCCCAAGTTACATCCTCCTTCCTCCTATCCCCGACTCGACTCTCGACAAGCACCTTCAAGAGGTTCGCAAGACGGCCGGGCTGGAACCCGAACCTGTCCCCGAGTTCTGGAGGTGCGTACAAGAAGCTACCGATGCATTGGCCAAGACCGCACCTGTTCCCGCCTCTGTGCCTGTCACCGAGTCTGGGGACGAAAAGACCGCTGGAGAAGCGGTACCCGAGGTGGATCCGGAGATCCTAAGACGACGGAAAGTGACGAGTATGAAACGGGATTGGAGGTGCGGTCAGGAAGAACTCGGACGGTTCCGAGAGATCGTCAAAGAGTATTTGGGTACCCAGTGAGTCCCACATTCGCTTCGTTCCGCTCGTATGCGCCCGCTGACCCTGCCTGCCGATCCTGTTATACAGCAACTTCCACAACTACACCTTGTTCCTCCCTCATGATTCCCCGACTGTGAAGCGATATATGCTCTCGATCGACGTTGCCGAGCCGGAAGTTTACGGCAACATCGAATGGATCAGCGTCAAGATTCACGGGCAGAGTTTCATGTTGCACCAAATCGTACGTTCCGCTGCGAAACGTCACTCGTGGCGCGTGATTGTGTTACTAATGGCTGTGAAATGACTGGATGTTCCGCAGCGAAAGATGATAAGTATGGCTGTTCTTGCGACACGGACAAAGACTCCGGCTTCTGTCGTTTCAAAGACGTTCGGTCAGTCTCCACTGGTACTTATCTGTGCGAAAGCGTTTGATCACTGATCCCTTGTGTCTCCCAATTCCGCAGGTCCGGAAGGGATTCACATCCCCAAGGCGCCGGCACTCGGTCTGTTGCTCGAACAACCCCGGTTCGGATCTTACAACGAGCGAGTCGAGAGCAGCCCTGCCGAGCACGGTGGAATTACGTTTGCGCCTTTCGAAAAGGAGATGAAGGCGTTCAAGTTGAAGTGGATCTACGAGAGGTTGAGGGCGGATGAGGAGAAGATGGCAGTGTGAGTGTCAAGGCCGGCATGTCGGGCTGATTAGTAGTCAACTAATGCTTATGGTGTCGTTCGTGTTTGATGGAACGGTAGATATGTAAGCTGGGCGAACAATGTGGACCACACTTTCGATCACACGTTGGGTTGGTTAGGGTAAGTCCAGTCGCATGTAACAACAGATCGAGACTCCTTCTAATTTCATTTTCATCGGCTGACATTCGACACCGTCAATACCATGTTTGACGCATCTAGGTGTACGGGCGAGATACCAGAGACGGCCAAGAAGACGATCAAGGTCAAGGAGAAGATCAGCAAAAAGCAAGCTGCGTTGAACGCGAAGAAGGCGGCCGAGGCGGCGTTGCCCGAGGGCGAGGGCGGTCGGGACGCCATCGACGCCGAGGCCACGAGTGGGAAGGAGACCGCTACCGGCGTAGATGCCTTGGAGAGTGAGGATGAAGAGGTCGAGATCAAGGGCAAGGACGATGAGCGGTAGTGGGTTGTAAAATGTGCATGTTTGTACCACTCGTGTCCATACTGCGCTCGATTCCTCCGGGTCGCACGGGGTTACGGTGGTCGGTACGGCGATTGTTGACCGATTGCGAGATAACGCGATCGGAAGCAAATTCAGCTAGGGGACAGCAGCAGCAGCAGCCGCCGCCATCGCACACGGAAGCAAAGTGAGAGAGTGAGAGAGGGTGAGAGCGAGCGAGGCGATGAGCGAGATGCGGAGATGATCGTCGTCGTGATGGATGATGGATGGATTGGGTTCCTCTGAATGTCGCCATCGATCCTTTGCATTCCACACCTCTGTTCAACAACTACTCACACATCCACTCTAGCATCAATCTTCACCACCACTCAGTCTGGTCTACCGTTCATTCGGCACGACCTACACACACCTTGCCGCACCGCCCATGTCATCGTCCTCGTCACCTTTCGATCGACGGCTCGAACGTTACCCTACTTCAACCGGGCCCACAAAGGCATAGGTATTGTTCCTCCACCAGGAAGGGCCCGATAATCGTGCGATAGACACTCTTCCACTCGATAACAGTCCGTATTTGTGGCTTTATCCTTGTGCTCGTTGCTTGGGGATCCGATCCTGACCGTCGAGTTTTGGGTCTGGTAGCTAGCTATCACACGATCAATCGACGATTCTTGCCTCTTCCCGTATACGGACCTCTGTGGACCTTTAGTCCCAGCATCTCACACGGCTTGAGGCTCGACAGAGTCTTATCTAGAGTTGATCTCGTCTATCCTCCAAGGTCTTCAGATCTCAACCCTCGATCTTGATCCGGGACCGAACTCGGGTGTACAATCAGCATGCAATCCGATCGACCCAAACCCACAAGAGACAGAGATCCTCGGCGGAGAGAACATGTCACCTCCACCGCCGCAACTGACATCGCTACGGGGGACGTTGAAGATGCAGACGGGAGTCGAGACGGGGGAGGGGGGAGGGAGAGGATTGGGAATTATGTGATTGGAAAGGAGATTGGGAGGGGAAGCTTTGCGACGGTTTATAAAGGGTATCGAAGCGTGAGTTACTAGCAGCAAAGCGAGATTAGCGGGTTCATGGCGAGATATCAGTAGGCTGATGCTTTTCCTCGGCTTCCTTCTGTCTTCCCTGTTCGATCTCTCGCATAATGCACTTCCCCACCTAATCATCGATCATACCTCCACCTACTTGTCGCCCCGCAACTATAGCGCTCGAAACAACCCATCGCGATCAAGGCCGTCTCTCGCTCAAAGCTGACCGCAAAGTTGCTCGAGAACCTCGAAGGCGAGATTTCAATCTTGAAGGCGATCAGTCATCGGCACGTCGTCGAATTGGAGGATTGTATCGTGAGTCTCGCGGTGCCGGAACTGCAAAGGAGGTATAGCCAGCTGATTGCGTAACGGAATCTGCGACTGTATCCGGCCGGGACCGAGGATAGAAGAACGATCATCACATCTACTTGATCATGGCGTTTAGTTCCGGAGGAGACCTCTCGATCTATATCAAGAAACGAGGTCGATTGCCGACGCTCGATTTCCCGCGCTTATTGCCTGATGGGACCAAGGGGGAGATGGGGTACTGGCCTCATCCAGATGAAGGAGGACTGGATGCGGCGGTGACGAGGTGTTTCTTGGGTCAATTAAGTGGGTCTTCATTGACTGTTGTGGCGATAATTCGAGATCATGGAAAGCTGATCAGATTGTTCTTCTGGTCGTAGCCGAAGCGATCAATTTCTTGAGAGCTAGGAATCTCATTCATCGGGATATCAAGCCGCAGGTGAGCGAGATGATTGGAATCTCTAGGCTAATCTCAAGTGGGCTGAACACGCCAGCTTTTCCCGCACTTTGCAGAATCTCTTGCTCCACCCCCCGACCGACGAGGAATACGCTCAAGGTCATCCCTATGGCATTCCCGTGCTCAAGGTCGCTGACTTTGGGTTCGCGAGGATCCTTCCAGCAGCGACCATGGCCGAGACCCTCTGTGGATCGCCCTTGTACATGGCTCCCGAGATCCTCAGGTACGAAAAGTACGATGCCAAGGTCGACCTCTGGTCCATCGGGGCGGTTCTGTTTGAAATGGCTGTAGGGAAGCCACCTTTCCGGGCGCAAAACCACGTCGAGCTTTTGAGACGGATCGAGAAGGGAGAGGACCGGATCAAGTTTCCCGACGAGAGGCTACCGAACGAATTGAAACAGGGAGAGGCGATCGGGCCGCCTGTGGATGGGGACATCAAGGACTTGATCAGGAGATTGCTCAAGAAGAATCCGGAAAATAGGATGCCTTTCGGAGATTTGTTCGCCAGTCGGGTGTGGGAAGGGTACTTGACGACCGCAGCCGCGACCTCGGCAACCAGTCGGGAAGAGGCTGAAGCGACGGCTCCTCTCACACGGCAAGATTCTAGATCAAGGCGGAGGTCTGCCGATCTCGCCCCTTCACGAGATCGTCGTCGACCGTCAGAACCCCGGTATTATGTCGCTTCGGATGTGTCTCCACCGATCCAGATACCGGAACAACCCACCTCGCGAGCAAGACAATCGTCTGGAGGGGATCTGGTTCGACCGACCGACATCTCTCCTCCTGCTGCACCGCAACCAGCTCGCGCTCAGCCCGTTACCATCGGTGCCCCTCAGTCGGATCAAGGCGCGGCTATGGTCAGACGGCCGTCCAGTTCGTCAGCTCGGAGGTATAGCACGCTCGGCCGGGGCAACTCATACAGACCACCCGAACGGACCACCCCAGACTCGGTTTCTCCGGTCAGTCAGGAAGTTGCGATCGCTCCCGCTTCCGATCGACCGCCAAGTAGGGCTTCTATCGATCGGCCCAGCGATGCGGCAAGACCGGCCAGCGCCCACGGGAATATGCAAGAGTCTGAATATGTGGTCGTCGAGAAGAAGACGGTTGAGGTCAATGCCTTGGCGGATGGTGAGTTTTCATCATTATACAGTAACGTGTATTTCGTAACTAATCTGCATCGATCGTTGTAGAACTCGATGCCGCGGCCAAGCGGCCTGATGGACTGGTTCGCCGGAGAAGCTCTCGAGGCGGCGTCCTCGGTCGGCCCGTTTCGGCATTGACGAGTTTCGCGTCTCAAGGTGGTCTAGGATCTTCGCCGACATCTTACTCGCCACCGTTTGCGCTCTCGACGACGCCGCCTTTTGCTCTTCCCCCAGGGTCCCATCATCGTGCGCCATCGTTGCAATCGCTATCATCGTCACCTAATATCCCCACTCGATCGCGACCGATGCTCGTGCCGAGCCCCACAAGCAATGCCGTGACGACCTATGGAGGCGGAATGACCTACCATCAGACAGCTCATGAGGCGGTCTTTGCCGAGTCGCCTCCACCCGGATCGTCAGCTTGGGCTAGAGCGATGGGTATCGCCGGAATGAAACTCTTAGGTAGCCCTGTCAACGCGCTCGGCCATCTGTCGAGACGCCCATGGCGCCAGACTAGGCTGTCCTTGACGTACAAGGAAGAAGACCCGGCAGAAGAGCTTCTGATGGGCAAACTCGAAGATCTGGCCCAGAAAGCCCACGCTCTATACGAGTTTGCAGATTCGAAGCTGGCGCAGTGCATGTTTCCGCCCAAGATGTCGCCTTCGGGAGCGCTGTCGGGAGGTCCGGGATTAGGCCTCTCGCCCAACTCTCACTCGTACTTTAACAACAATCAGCACTCTGCGATGAGTCGGCGCCGTTCGTCTTCTGCCTCGACCTCGTCGACCGATATCAATATCGCCAGGATGGAGACGATGTGTGCCGAAGCCACGGTGCTCTACCTGAAATCGCTGGCTTTCCTGCAGAATGGGGTTGAACAAGCCAAGCAGCATTGGGACAGGCAGGCAGCTGCACACGACGTAGTCAAGACTAGTGTCGAGTTTAACGAGAGTGAGATCGTCGCGTTTGCTATGGTTTCGTAGCTGTCCGATCGCTGAAGGATATCAATGGATTCTGCCCTACAGCCATTCAATGGTTCCGCCATCGTTTCAACGACTGCTTTGACAAGGCAGAGTGGACCAAGTCTCGCTCGCCGGAAGAAATGCCGGAATCAGCTTCGTATGCAGAGAAGCTAATCTATGACAAGGCTATCGAGCTGGTGAGCGTTCGCGGCCGATTCGTCTATCTTGATAAGATTTCGTGCTGAGACGATTCATCTCGACAGTCACGAGCGGCAGCCGTAACCGAGCTGGTCGGTGAAGACCTCTTCTCCGCAGAGAACGCATACGAGACGGCCCTCTGGCTGCTGTACGCCATTGTGGATCCACTCTTGCACGATGGTTTGGAGATTGGTGATGCAGACCGACATATGGTTGAGAATGGTCAGTCCCTAAAGATGTCAGTCCCATTGAACTTGCAGGCACAGGCTGAGTCTTCGTATCGATTCACGCAGTGATCACCTCGATAAGAACCCGTCTAGATGCTTTGAAAAGAAAGCTCCTACAAGCGCACCAAGCTATGCCAGCCAATTAGTAAGGTCGCCTTGCAGAACATGTAAAAACAGTCCTGGACCGCATAGAGAGAACGAAATTACGTCAAGCAAATCATTGTAAGAATCCCCAACTTATGCAACCTCGCCTTTTGGCGCTGTACCCTTTCCTGGATAGAAGGCGTCTATATATAAAACTGTACCTAAAAGGCTCTCACCTTACATATCATCGTTGTATACCCCTCTCCCACGCATCCACGGACAATCTATGCAGATCACGATCGTGCCCAGACGCGTCACGTGATTCTCGGTCCCAAAGGTTCGGTGGCTGCTCGGCCGCTTGAGCAACTTTCTGCTTTGACCGACCTCCTTCTTATGCTTATGACCGCACCTGCTTGTTGCGATCATCTCGGCCTGCACAAGACGCTTCTCTACTGAATCAACTTAGATCATAGCGATAGGTACAGAATTCCGCACGATGCGTCAAAAGCGAGCCAAGGCGTACAAACGTCTCATGAACCTGTATTCGCAGAATTTCGGATTCAGGTCGCCATTTCAAGTTCTAGGTCAGTCTGAATGCGAGAGGTACCGGCTTGGGCGGTTCCGCTGATGCGAGCTTGATTCGATTCAAACGCAGTCGGCCAGGACTTTCTGCTCGAGCAAGCCAACAAGCAGATCGATTTGGCGAAGATGCTATCCACCTGCGTACAAGGCGAATGCAAGCCTAGTAAGCACTGATCCTGACAAGGATATGGAAAAAGGTAACAGTACTGACAATTCATATCCTGAATATGACAGTGATCACTCAATGCTCCGTTGAAGCGTTGTACAAGCTGGGAAAGGACTATCAGGGCGTAACGAATTTGGCAAAGACGTTCGAGCGGAGGCGTTGCAATCACCGTGAACCTATCGAGGAGCACCTCTGTATCAAGGATGTCGTTGGTGAGTCTGCTAGTCCATCCCTACAATCTATCTATCTATCTGACTGTATTCTTTGAGCTAGGCGAGACGAATAAGCACCGATACATCCTGGCTGTCCAGCATCCTCGACTCCGATCGCAACTGCGAATGATTCCTGGTGTACCCATCGCCCATTTCAACGATCGAGGTGTATTAGTCATGGAGCTACCCAGTGACGCTACGATGAAGCAGAAAGACATGGTATGTAATCTTCCGCCTTCACACACTTTGCCGTCGCCTTTGCTCACGGTCCTAAACGATATCAGCTCGAAGGTGCCAAGTTGAAGGAGCAGCTGGAGCATCAGGCCCCCTTGCTCGACAACATCATCGGAGCAACCGAATCAATCGAGGCCGTCTCGACAACAATGCACAAACGCAGACAAGGGCCGAAGGCGCCTAACCCTCTCAGCCTGCGAAGAAAGAAGGACCTGCCTCCTACCGGTCGACTAAGCAAGAAGGAACTAGCTGCTCAGGAAGCCGCCAAAGCGCAGAAAGATCGAGGCAAGAAGAGAGTCAGGGAGGAGGAAGACAATGAGCTTGAAGAGGAAGCCGACGAACTACCTAAGAGAGCTGCCATGGCTGATGTCTCCGCCGAGCAGGAAGAGGTCTTGTCGACGCATCCCGAACAAGCCGTCGAGCCTCTCAACAAGACTGGAGGCGAGAACGACGGAGCTCAGAAAAAGAGGAAGCGAAAGAGAAGGAAGAAGGGAACCGAGGAGGGCGAGGAGGAGGCGGCTGCTGATGCCGCCTCCGACAATAACGATTGAGATTATGCGCAACTCGTTCCCTGTACATTTGAGACATTTCATACCAAATAATGACATTCGTTCTATTCTTCTGTTACTGCTGTGCTATGCTGCCTGCACGTTTCGTTATAATGAGTCGTCTATGTGAGGTCGTTTCCGGTCGTTGCGTTCATCATTCTAGTCGTTTCCAGATTGTATTGCGGTTCGTGCAGAGAAAGATTTCGCCTGAGTCCTGAGCTCCGCACCAAGATGCGGGTTGAGCAGGCGCAAGGTTGGAAACGAGATACTGGCCTGTTTCCTTCAAGACTCCTTTTGCTAACTGATGAGCGTCCCAAACTTGAAGTTGAGCGGTCCGCTTTTTCCCCTTCGAGTTGGAGAACACGTCCTCCATACGAATGACTTGAAAACTGCGAGTCGCTCGGGCGGGCATAAGAGCCTACGAAGGATCGTTTCAGTTAGCAGACGCAGCAACTGGACTTTTTACCAAAAGACTTATTCACCCTCAATGAGTCCTCTGTCTCTGCCTGTCCGCTGGAAGATTCGGATCCAAACTCTTCCTGTGCCTTTTGAGCAAGGGCAAGGATCTGAACAGAGCTGAGATTCCGCAGAAAGGCAGGTTTTTGATTGGTCTGATGGTAATCCTCAAGCATTTGATCACTGATATCCGCCTCGTCCAATGCTTCTATGGACCAGCTCGTATTAGCTAACAGCGTCGAGGCAGACAGACAGGACACAAACATACCGGCAGTTACTTCTAAGCCGTCACACATCTGCTTGAGACGGTCCAAGTCGTCCTCGAGCGAATGCATCCGTTTCTGTTTTCATCATCGACATCAGTATCAGGCTTATAACGACCTCTTATGTAACTCACGTCGCAAGCTTCTCTAAGCCGTTCTCGCTCCTGGTTGTATCGTTGCTGCGGAAGACAGATCTATCAGCTACAAGAACGAATCTCTTCAACCTCCTCTTAACTTGCCGTCCACTCCTCCTGCAATCGAGACTCTTCTGCCTCTGACCATGGCGCGGCCCCTTTCCCCTTTTCTTTAGCCATATATGCCAACGGATAGACCCTGTTGATTGTGACGGCCATCAAAGCTATAGATCCTCCGTCTTTCGTCAGGCTAGGCATAGTGGCGATAAACGGTTGAAGACTGAAGCCCAGCCGTCTCGCCCAGTGTACTAGAGACGTAGAATTGCCGCTGATCCGGAGACTAGAGCGACCCAGTGCTTCGAGCACGTCAGTCCCCTCTTTCGTGGCGTCAAGCTATACGAATGCCTATCAGTTCAATCATTGCATGCACATCAAGATTAAGATTGGTCACTTACTCTGGCTCCAGCAAGGGCGATCTTGTAGCCGGCACGAAGCCTTCCAGCTTCGATCGCTCTTTGTAATGGGACATCCACATTCGCCTTGATACGATACCAACCATCTGTCAATTCTAGTATGCTGCTGTTAAATTGACCCTGATTGTGTTGTGCGTGTTCGTTTGTTATCGGAGTGATCGATGTCACGCAAAGCACCATAGGGAGTGATGCGGGCGAGTCTTGCTCCTGCATCCGTTTGATCGGAGACCTCTGCGCGAGATTGACTTCGCGTTCGTAACTATAGAAGCAACAGGTCGGTGCGCTATCTTGCAAGAGCACAACGGCAAGGTGACTTACCGATATTTTAGCTGCCTGATGACCTCGCTATAGCTCCATTTCTCTTCCCAAATTGATGGCTTGGCCCTGACGATGCTTGCCAGCTTCCAGAGGATGAGCGACCAATGATTAGTGACCCACTTGAGGGCGATCTGAGAACAGCCTTCTGCCTGGATCTGCTTGAAGGCATCTTCAGGTCCTTTTAGACCGTCGCCCACGTTGAAATGGTAGAACAGGGCGTTATTAGCGTCGATTTTGCTTATCTCCTCCGGACTGAAAGATCGGTGGCACAAGTAACAAATGAGATCAGGCGAGTTTTCGAGTGTACGCTCCAGAACGCTTACCATCCGGCTTGTGCTATATCCTCAGCGCTGTACTGTTGCGGAAGTAAGCCAGCTTCCAACATCGTTTCCCTTGGGCTAGGACCTGTAAAGATCGAATAATCAGCTAACTGCAAATGTCCAGACTCTTAGCAAGATAGATTCTACATTTCATGTCGAAGACGGGTATGATGTCAACTGAGGCAGGCTTCGGTCTGGCCGTCAAAGATGGGCCGGGTGTCCTGATACTGCTGGGCATACGATTCAGAGTCGGTGTGCTGAAAGAGCTTGAATTCGGCTTGAAGGGGGTCTTGAAGGTCGGACGTTTGTTCAGCGTCGAGCGCGATCTGGGCGTCATACCCAATCCGATACCAAGCCTAGGGGATGCTAATGGCGAGGCCGGCGGTCGGTTGACAAGGTCTTGCTTTGCCGGCGGCAGTGGTGTGAGTAAGGGGCGGAACGGCTTGGCTTGAGGAGCAGGAGTGCGCATCGAACCCTGATTGGTGACATCCTTAATAAGGTCTACGGGCTGCTTGACTTCGGCCGGCCGGGAAACATGACGAAGAGGTGTTTCTGGGGCGATCATTGGAACCGCACGAGGAGAAGGTAACACAGGCGTCTCTTGCAGCATGTCATCCCTTTTTTCGATTTTCGTAATCGCGTCAGCCTGGCTATAGCTAGATAACATCGGAACATCGAAGCTGGGGTTCTCGTGTGGCCCGTCAGCGTTACGCATGGCCGGCGCGGGGGTAGAGATACCGCCAATACCGCTTCCGGCTGTGGGCAGGTCCGCTTCGCCAAACCCCTCATCAGCGAAAAGGGCTAACGCCTTTGCCTTCGCTTCCGCTGATAGCTCGGGCACCTTCGCGCCCGCCGCAGTTTGGAAGGAGCTCGTCCTGATATTTGACGCCGGTAAATCTGCCGGCCCAAAACCTTCATCAGCGAATAATGCTAATGCTTTCGCTTTCGCTTCAGCCGATAACGCGGGAACCTTGGCTCCTGATGCGGTTTGAAAAGAGCTCATCCCAGATACCGACTTCGGCGGCACGAAAGCCGTCGACTTGGTGGGCGTGTCGCTGATGGCAGCCGCATTGAAGCTAGGCATCATCGTGGGCTTCGCACCCGGGGTGACGAACCCGTTTCCTATCGCCGCCGGTCGAGCAGGAGTGCTTATCGGCTTTGACGGACCGGGGGCGGGAGCCTTGAAGAAATCGTCGATCGGAGGCAACCCTTCTAGGTCTTTCCCAAACAAGTTGGCGATGCGCGCCTTGGAGGCTTCTGAAGGTTCAGCGAACTTTTTCCCTTTCCCTGTTTGGAAACCAGTGAAGGCTGGGAAAGGCGAGACTTCCGGCTCAATCACTGTCTGCCCGGAGATGCAAGAGCCACCCGCGGTGAACCCAGTCGAAAAGTAATCGTCCTCTTCGCCGGCCAGGGTTGTACGGGGGCCCATGCCAAATGTATCTAACGGATCCTCCGCCAGGACCTGGACTGCCTTGATCTTGGCCGGTTCAGAGACAGGGGGCACTACCTTTCCGTTCCCAAAGGCAAACATCGAACCGGTCAACGGCTTCTCTGCTTTCTTTTCAGGTTCCTTCTCTTCGACTACAGGCATCATCGCCGCTTGGCTCCGCATGTACGATTCCCTGATAGCCTTTCCCTCCTGACTCCGCTTGATCTCACTCGACCGTCTTCTTTCGAGGTCTTTCTTCTTGCCTGGAGTGCTGGAGGGAGGTACGGGAAGATGATCCGGCAAAATGTTTCCCCCTTCATCCGTAGTCGTCAAGCAAGCCGCGTCAAACCAGGGGTCGTCGTATTCCGTATCATCATCCTCTGCTGCCTGTTCTGCCTTGTTCGTGACCTCTTTCTCCGGGGGAGCTTGAATTGTGTAAGGCATATCGACGTTATTCTGATGTATCTCTTCTTCCTCTGTGACATCTGTAACTTGCTTGACATCGTCCTGCTCCGAAACTGGGGTTCGCAAGGTAGCAGATAGGATCCCTTCCTGAGAATCGAAGAGTAGACCTCCGTCTCGCTCGGATGGTTGTGATGATGGCTGGAGATCCATATTGACGTCCTTTGTACCATCATCCACTTCTTCATTGATCTCGATATCGGGCTCCGGTACAGCCGAACTCGAAGGAGGAGCTGGCTTGGTGGAAGATCCATCTGTATTATCGACAGACAAACGAGGCTTCTTTGCAGGTCCTACATAGTACAGCCATCAGCATCAATTGAGAGCGACACTCCTAAGTCAAGTACATAGTACATGATACTCACGATCGTCTATGATCGAGTCGACGCTCCCTGACTTGTCCTTGCGGACATTTGGCTCTGCCTCCATGGCTCGCTTTCCGAGAGGCTTTACAGCCGAGCGAATGCGTGCTTTCGTACTGCTGTGCGGTAGAGATGGTGTATTACTATGAGTTCACCTGTGCGTATTCGTGAAGGAGTTATGAGATGGTCGTTAAATACGATCATACGATCATACTGTTGTCGACCCTGTGCACATCCGTAGATGAGCAGGATCGGGATCGAATATGACGAAAGTCGCGAGGTCGCGTGGGGGAGGGTTCACAGAGCAGAGACTTGCAGGGAACCAGCCCGCACGTCTGAAACGCAGTTCGTCGCTATGATAATCGTGAATGTGGGGTTGAGTATAAGAGTAACGAGTGATCGAGTGACACGGATGACAAACGTATGCAGCAGATCGTTGTGGTACTCGTTTGAAGCGCAGGTCTCGCTCGAATGCCCACAGGTTCGGGACGCCTGTACCACTTCGAGCATGATGGCAGATGAAAGAAATCGCCACAGCATCTCCCTTCGATTTCGGCCTGCATCACGGTGCCCAGCGTTTCTTGATACAATTAATGAGGAAGTTGTTTTTTCTTGCCGATTCTGGTGCCGGTTTTTGCATATTTCGATGCGTTCCGCTCGAAAGACTGTCAGCGAATTGTATATCTACGCGATTGGTTGGATATGAATGACCCGATTATCGCTGCGGTGATTACAGTCACCGCACACTACTGTTCAAGAGTCTCAACTCCCGCTTTCTGACCAGCAATTCGATTGAACAAGGAGCAGCGACATACTTTAGGTACGATGGATCGATAGGTTGTCGGCACTAAAAGAGAGAAAATGATCAATTTCTCAGGGCGCATTTTGCGAAGGAATTTTGATCCTGCCTACATGCTATTCAACTCGAACCTTTCGATAGGCTTCATGTTGTTCGAACTACTTCTTCCATCGATTCTGATCTACCGAGACCGCAATAATATGCACGGTATCTGATCATGGCTTACGTCTGCATCAGGGGCAAATCTCGAAGCCATCGTGAGTGGCGTAAATGGCCCACTGACGGAATGTAGCTCGTTGGTTAAGGGGAAAACAACCGTAAGTAGACGTTAATGATCGAGGTTCTCAAGAGCTCCTGCCAGTGACTACAGCGGAGCAGGAGTCTTCACCGCTCGATCGGTATGGTGCTTCTTTTCTCGCCCGCAACGTGCGCTGGACATTACGTAGACAATTCAAAATACCTTCAGGCATACGCCTTGGCTGCCCTTGATGACCGCCGGTATGCAACCCTAGCCGAATGTTCACGGGAAATTGGTCTGGCAATGAGTTCGACGGTGCGCTTGGAATAGTATATGACAGGCTGTGTCGCGGCTGAGCTGCTGCTGAAAGATTTGTCGTCTGATCAGTACGGCCGGGAGGTTCCTGACGAATCATTTTCGCCTTCCAAAAGCCCTTAGGAAGGAGGGTAAATCAAGACAAGAGACAAGGACAGGAGGCGACAAGGGGAATGCGGGAATGATTGTCTGGGAATTAGTCCTACCAATTCCAAACAAAGACTCATGACCGGTCCCACGATCATTTCATCGTTTCCGAGGGGTCGGTCGACTGAAACGACGAGATGCCTGTCAAGTGATGATCAACTCTTGTAGGCCGGAAGGACCAGCATGAGCAGCACGATGATCAAGTTACTGAGATGAAATACGGTATCGACCAATCCGACCGAGTTGCAATGCTTCTGGAGACGGCGGGGGGCAGGTCCCTGCCCGATATCAACTTGGATCCGCGTCGCCCCCCCCCCCTCATCCCCGCGTCGTTTCCCAGTCAAACGTCAGAGAATGACCTCCTTTTTTCTCGTCTACATGTTTACAACACCTCGCATGTAGCTCGTTGTCAAGCTCGACTTAGACCTCAACAGTTCAGGACACTGAATGACAAGGATCCGATTGAGTTCGCCAAGTCAAATATACCAAGCGACACGTATTTCTAGCACCTACGCTCGCGGTTACTCGAAAATGACCTCCGCTTCTGCCGCTCAACCCAACACTCTTACGGCTCCGGAGCCGACCGTAGTCAACCGATCCCACCATGAATTCGACAAGACATTGTTCGACAGTCTGTTGAGCAGAAGATTCTTCTTCGCTCCTGCGTTCGAAATTTACGGAGGTGGGTAGGATGGCAGAAGTAAGCATACCCCAAGGCTGATGCTCATTGACCGGTCTACTGGCTCATAGGTGTCGCCGGACTCTACGATTATGGTCCACCTGGATCATCGCTTCAGTCCAACATCCTGGATGCCTGGAGGAAGCATTTCATCATCGAAGAGGACATGTCGGAGCTCGACACCACCATCATGACTTTGCACGACGTCCTCAAGACTTCCGGTCACGTTGACAAGTAAGCTCGTTGGCTTGTCTGCACATCCGTGTGTATATGTTGGCTTATCTCGCAGCTGTTTTGCTTCAGGTTCGCCGACTGGATGGTCAAGGATGCTAAAACCGGCGAGATTTTCCGAACGGACCACCTGGTCGAGGCCGTGCTCGAGGCTCGATTGAAGGGAGACCGGGAAGCCCGTGGACAGGCCGCTGTTCCCGAAGCTGCCGATGACGACAAGAAGAAGAAAAAGAAGAAGGTCGTCAAGTCGACTGCTGTCAAGCTCGAGGACGCTACGGTGCAGGAATATGAGAGTCTTTTAGCCCAGGTCAGCATTTCCTCTTGTCAATAGCTTTCAATCGCCCTGGATTAGCGTCTAATTTCGATACCAACTTGACAGATTGACAACTTCACCGGACCACAACTCGGGGAGATTATCAAGAAGCATGCCATCGTCAACCCGGAGACTGGCAACGAGTTGACCGACCCTGTCGAGTTCAACTTGATGTTCGAGTCCCAGATCGGACCTACCGGACAGATCAAGGGGTACGTTGGCTTCGATCGGGACGATCCGTGGCAACTCCGCTCACATGCTGGTCTCGACAACTATATGTGTTAGTTATCTCCGGCCAGAGACCGCACAAGGACATTTCGTCAACTTTGGTCGATTGCTTGACTTCAACAACGGTCGAGTCCCTTTCGCCAGCGCCCAGATCGGAAAATCGTTCAGGAACGAGATTTCTCCCAAGCAAGGGTTGCTGCGAGTCCGGTTCGTAGCATTCGACTGAGATATGGGCTGATATTCTCAAGACAGGAGCTGAGTCTTATCTTGCTTGCTGGTTGTTCTCGTGACAGTGAATTCACCATGGCCGAGATCGAGCACTATGTCGACCCCAAGGACAAGAGGCACCCCCGATATGCCGAAGCTAAGGACATCGTCCTGAACCTGCTGCCTAAAGAAGTCCAGGAGGGTGGAGAGACTACCTTGACTCAGATGTCCATCGGAGATGCCGTCGACAAGGTCAGTCATGGTTCTGTTAGGACTTGGGTATGCCCATGTCTGTGAAGGCTGATGCCATCGGCTTTGCAGGGTATTGTCGACAACGAGACTTTGGGATACTTCTTGGGTCGAATTTACCTCTTCCTGACCAAGATCGGTATCGACCCCAAACGTTTGCGATGCAGGCAGCACATGTCCAACGAGATGGCCCACTATGCTTCTGTGAGTCGCAGTCCTCAGGTGGACTCAAGCTGCGTGTATCACACGCTCAAACGGCATTTTTTCCTCTAGGACTGCTGGGACTTTGAGATTCAGTCTTCGTACGGATGGATTGAATGTGTCGGCTGTGCCGACCGATCTGCCTATGACTTGACTGTTCACGCCAACAAGACCAAGCAGAAGCTCGTTGTGAAGGAGACCTTGAGCGAACCCAACGTGTACGACAAGCTTGAGCCCGTTTTCGAGGCCAAGGCCTTCGGAATGAAGTTCAAGAAGGAGGCTCGAAACATCCAGGGTGCTATTACTGCTCTGGACAACGACGCGATGACCAAGTTCAAGAACGCACTCGACGCTCAAGGGTAAGTCGAATCACATGATTCGGAATGCGCAGCTACTGATGCAGTATGTCGATTGCGATTCCAGACAAGCCCCCGTTGACGTTGAAGGCACCGAATATATCATTACCTCTGATCTGGTCAAGGTAGAGAAGAAGACCGTCACCGAATACGGCAAGTCAGGGCGACTGTTTTACAGCGTAAGATATAGCTAATGGTCTGGGATCAAAAACAGTGAGGGAGTTCACGCCCAATGTCATCGAGCCCTCTTTCGGAATCGGTCGTATCCTGTATTCTTTGCTCGAGCACAGCTACTGGGCACGTGAATCCGACGTCAACCGTGGGGTACGAAATTTCGACTGCTTGCAACACGTGACCGATCACTAAGCCATATCGCCTTGCTACTTATAGGTCCTTTCGTTGCCTGCCATGGTCGCGCCCATCAAGTGTCTGATTGTGCCGCTTTCAAACAACGAGTCCTTTAACCCGCTTCTGAGTGAAATCAGTAAGTAATCTAACAGTGAGATCTACCGCAGTTCGACGACTAATACATACTTTCTTACAGCTTCGAAACTCCGACGAGCTGGCGTACCCTCCCGAGTGGACGCCTCTGGTGCCAGTATCGGCAAGCGATATGCCCGGAACGATGAGCTTGGAACTCCTTACGGTTTGACGATCGATTTCGCTTGTAAGTCGCAGCCCCGAGACCATCGCTTCGCAAGGAATCGATTTGTTGAATCTGCATCCTCTCGAATAGCCGTTTCGAAGAGGACATTGACCGTCCGTGAGCGAGACACCACTGATCAGCTTATTGGATCGGTCGAAGACGTCGTCGCAGTCGTAGCCGATCTGTGTAACGACAGGCTGTCCTGGAAGCAAGCTTGTGAAAAACTCGAGCGATACAGCGGTGTTCAAGATACCGAGTAACCATGTGGAATCACGAAGCTCAGCCATTATGCAATATGTTCTATCTGGTCCGCTATATTGGGTTCCGTTCCAGCGATACAATATTTCCCAGTTCTATCTATGCGTGAATGAGAAGTCCGCTGTTCTGCAAGTGGTCGTAAATTGAACAAGTGATATCTCCGTGAACATCGAATAATCGCCTGGCGATTTGGGCATCATGCGAAGTCAGTATCAAGTCCGATTGATGGGCGCATTGGCAGCGAACCCACCCTGCATCGTGGCGCTCCAGATCGCCACCCCGTCGAGCACATTCCCTGACTATCGTATCCTTGATGAGCAAGTACGGTCGGGGCAAAATGCGCAATTCGCAACAGAGGGTCTGCTCTTCGGGACTAAGCAGCTGAAGATCGTCAGCATGTAGAAAGTGGGCGGGAGCTGTGGGGATTCGGGTGTGTGGTTAGTCGCTACCCCAAGATCGCTCAACGTGGACAACTCACGACCCGGGTATGGCGTCTTGGCAACTTTGTCCTGCGACATCGATTCTCCCCCACCGTAACTCCGTCTCTGTAATATTGCATCGCTGGAAGTCATCGGTTCGCGAGGAACGGGTCCTTGGCCGGGACGGACTCCACTCGCCTACAACAGAGAGTTCGAATCAGCTGACAGTCGAAGCGAGCAGTGTTCAATGGCCTACTCTTTCATTTCGCAATCGGTCAAATCTCTGCGCATCCGCAACGGTGGTGATTCCGTTCCGACGGTAGTCTTGGATTTCGGCAATCTTCTTTCGCAAAGTCTGCTCATCTGTGTGTGTCATCGATATATCAGCAAACATTGACTAGCGAATAAGGGGACCGGTCAACTTGCATATCAGTCCATCGACCAAGACCTCGAAATCTTCCGCTGTCTGCATTTTTGCAAACACCTTGTAACGGTTAATCAGCCCAGCTTCCTCTTTTCCCCTCTTCTTCTCCAAGGCCATCAACTACAGTGACAACAGGGGAAGTCAATATCCTTTGTACGACCATAGGTGATGCAAGCACGTACCCGCTTGTAGTCCATCAGACCTCGATCGAAAATGAAATCCTTGACTTGTTGACGTTTACCGAGCCGCGAATAATAGACCTCGAGGACGATCAATTTCAACTCCATATCCTCGGAATCTTCCACTTCTAAATGCGCAAGCGGCGTCTTCTCTTCTTCCTCATCCTCCTTTCGTTTCGACTTGCTGTCTCGCTCAGCATCGTGGTTGACGACGTTGGCGAGTTGAGCCAACGGTTTATCCTCATCATCGCCGGTTTCGTCGACGTCCATAGCGTCTTTAGTAGGATTGCTAGAGTTGACATCTTGGTTGGTGGGCTTTTTGGAGGCGGCTCCTTTGCCTGCCGATTTCAACGCGTTCGAATTGCCAATCGTTTTCGTACTTTGTTGCTGTGTCCTGACTACCTTTTCTTCTTGAACCGCGTCCTCGTCAGGCTCGTTTCCAATTCCGTCCCGACCTCCAGCTGGCGGTGCACCTTCTCGCATCTCGCTGCCCCCATACGCGAAGACCAGCCCAAAGTCCATATCCTTGATGACCATTTCAGCTTCATTCTCGACCTCGTGATCGAATTCTAATCGTCCAGGCATGAATCCTGCGACTTCATGGTTCTGGGGTGCAGAAGCCTTGGTCTCGATAGCTGCGGCCGGTAGCGCTGGAAATCCACGAGGTCAATCAGGGTCGATCCACGTGTCTCGCATGCCCTAAGGTAGACCTACGAGCTGGTTTACGAAGTTCCTCTATTCGCCTTTTCTTGCGAGTCTGGAACTCCTCTTGGCTGATCTCAAATCTTGCCTTCATACGCTGTAGAGACCGCAAGATACGCAATACGTCAGTCAGGGTCAAGTGGTGTGGGAGAGTGGAGAGGAGTACTCGTTCTTACCGGCATCGGACACGTCCAGCCTTCGTCTACGCCCAGGCCACCCCACCAACCTTGTCTCTTCTTCTTTCCACGTGGTCCCGATGCAGTGCTACGCCCGAAGCCACCGATTCCACCGAGTTCATTGATCACACGGGCTGAGGTACAGAGTCCCGCATGTTGTTTCTCTCCGGAAGCATCGGCAAAGAACCCGCCGAGATCAGGCCGTTCTATTATATCATTTTCGTTCTGTTCGCCTGGTAGATGGCCGTTTTGCTGTCCCTCCGAATCAGGCTGATGTAGATCCTTCTTTGTAGAAGAACGCTCGGCCAGGTATGTTTCAGTATAGTGCCGTTCGCAGTCTTCTTTGAGTCGGGTGCCAACGTAGTCGGCGACTTCTGCCCAGTTTCCCAAGCCGTATGTTTGTAGCCCCGAAATGAGAAGCAGCTCTCTACGAAAGCAAGTGACAGTAAACCAATGCATTCAGTTCCAGCAACCCATATTGTGCTGTGGTCAGAAGACTCACTCATCAGCTCCCCAGTCCTCTGAGAAGATAGGTCTCGAGTGTGTTTCCTATACCGAGCAGCATGTGTCAACGGCCGCCCAAGCCGGAAGCCATACGGATTCGACTCACGACAACCCTATAGTCATGCCACGCTTTGTGTCCGCCTAGTTCTTTGCCTTCCGAAAAGCAGCTTGGACAAAGGTCCACCTCTTCGCAACCCTGAGCTGCGCATTTGATCCGTACAGTGTGTGTGATATCGATCGAGCCTGAAAGGCAGCATGGCGTCAGACCGCGAGTCTTCCCTGATACAGTTCAGTCGAACATACATGCATCACATGTGTATTGGATGCCTTAGCAGAACAGGCATGTCAGCGACCCGGATCCCTCTCAATTCTGCTCCTTGCAGTGATTGCTTACCCGGCTCAGTTGCGGCTGAATCGCACCGGATCATATAAGTTCGACGTATAGCCTTGAATGCTCCGGTCTTCACTCACCACTACCTTCAACTCCTGTGTCTGCCTTGACCCTTCGTTTGGTCACTGTCATGACTACCGATGTCCCGATTCCTGTCCTAGTGTTCCATTAAGAGACAAGCTCGGCTTGACATCCGGAAGGTTGCGTTGTGCCAGTCTACGTCGCTCGCCCTCGATCCGTCGTAGCTTCTTGATGCGGAGAGATTAAGCGATATATGGAATGATCAACGCCCTGGCTCAGGTGGAGCAAGTTGGTATCCGACACTGACGATGAGTTGCACCGAGCATGCGCAATGTTGCAAGGAGGTGAACATGTTGTTTGATCGTTTTTTGCCAGGCTAGCTACTTGCTACTCTTGGCTGCTTCGCTACTTCGGGCATCGCGTCGCTCCAAGTTACGTGATTGCTCTGGCCAACACTAGACCGTGCCAGGTCGCAACGATGTGTTGGATATCGCCCCCGTCAACCTCGTATATTCGTCTTGCCTGTCAACGTAGAGATATATACTGCGTATTGGTCAAGATCCTTGCCACCACTCATGCTACCCAGCTAAAGTTCGGCAGAGCTATCGCTTGATACCGAGATCGCGAGGACAGAGTTTCGGTCTGCACCGGCCTCTAAGCTCATCGTGCTGTAGAAATTCGTGCAACTGTAGACCGGAGCCCGACTCTACAAGAAGAACAGGATCGATCTGTAGGATGGAGGAAGACTATTACTCTATCAATTCGATCATTGCCGATACACATGTATGTCGATCGCATCGCCGAAGAGTAGCTGAGCTGACCGCAGTCTAGTCGCACAACAGAAGTTGACGTGTACCTTTAATCTCGACGTCAAAGGCCTAGGGTTCCTGGAAGGCGGTTCTGAGCCAGATGTAAGCGGGATATACTATTCTATGCATCGCTCGTCCGAACTGATCTCACTCGGTCAATTGCATGCAATTCATGACAGATCAAACAGCACGCGAAGGCCGAGTTACCGTTCTGGCTAGCCCATACGCTGAGTGCAAAGTCAGCCTTCCTATGCTCTCGATCGGGCTACATCGCTGAGACCGTAGGCTGATGCCAACTTTTATCTCGCAGTGAATTCACTTCTTTCCCCATCCCTCCTCCTTACTCGCACCGAGTGAGGTCAGCCTTGAACGCTTCGGCTCACTCTGTCAGACTCTCGAGCTTGGTCGGCACGAATGGCTGGTGGTACGCATGGGGTCGACGGATTGCCCACATGTAAGTGCATCGCATCGACCTCGGCCGTCCTCTGCATTCCTTCTGACACCTCGGTACCTGATTTCAGTCTCGACGATGCTCAGCGCAAGGAACTGCTCGGAACGCTTCTCAAGGTCAGTCCAGCCGGATGTGCACGATGTGTCAAGACTTTCGAAGTATGCTGACAGGTCTGTTACAGGCCTTTTCTCAACGACTGCCCCTTCTGCAAGATCTCGCAGCACATTACGGGTCTTCGTCGGCTTCGAATATCAATTCTGGAGATATGGGTTCGGGTGGCGTGACGATCGCAGGAGAAGCCTTTAAGGAAGGGATGGATGCAGAGGAACGAGAGCGTACGTACGGCTCGTAGACACGATCGACGGTACCTTCGCCTAAATACCTTTCTCCTGCTGTAACAGTGTTCGCGTTGGGTCAAGGAGCGGGTAGGAAGTTGAAGACTTGGTACGACACGCCTCGGCGATGATAACATGTAGAATGCGATAAGAAAATGGTATAGAATTGGGCCAAGCCCGGGACGCTGAAAATACAAGAAAAACCCCATTTCACGTTCATTCCCGCTCCTGTCGCAATCGCGACAGACACGGGGAGTCAAAGATACCAAAAAAAAGCCGTCTCACGCTCATCCGCCAGTCCTCTCAACACTCGTCGTCATGACTGGTCGCCCGCCATCCCTCGATCACTCTGCTCAGCTTTGTACTTTGACCGCTTGACGTTCGTCAAGTTCGTCAAGCGATCAAAGCGGCCTTAAGCCGAGCGTTCTCAGCCTTGAGACGCTGATTCTCAGCCTTAAGGTTGTCTGCTTGATACAAGTCAGTCGCTGTCGAACTCGAGTTGCGAGTTGTACGAGTTATCACTCACTCTGATTCGCCCTAAGTTTGTATGCCTTCTTCGCTCGTTTAGTCGCCTTCGCCTTCGCCTTCGACTTCGGCGCCTTCTCCTTGAACCCATCGGACGCCTTCGCCTTCGACTTCGACTTCGGCGCCTTTTCCTTGGCCGCAGCGCATTTCGCCTGTTCGTACTTGAGCTCGTGGCCCTTCAGCTCGAGGCCCTTCAGCTCGAGGCCCTTCAGCTCGATGTGCTTCTCGTACTTGGCCGCCGCCGCAGGAGAGTCGGGATAGGGGTTGTATCTGATGATGAGATTAGCATGCGCGAGCGTGAGGATTGTTTGGGGGTGATTACTTACCTCTTGATGTACCCGTTGTTTAACAGTCGGAGATCATCGACCTCAAAAACCACAGCAACAAGGTGTTTGTCGGTCAAGGTGGCCGCACCCGCGGGAAGAGGGGAGGAAACCACACCAACAAGGTGTTTGTCGGTCAAGGTGGCCGCACCCGCGGGAAGAGGGGAGGTAGGGGTGTAGCGAAATGCTACAGCTTTACCAGGGAAAGCGGGACGAAGGTCGTCCCTGAGTGTCTTCTCGACTGCGTCGAGGATGTCGACATGCGAATAGACGGGAGTAGCAACCTCGGTTTGAATAATCAAGTCGATGACGAAGGTGGACATATTGTGCGAGGGTATGATAGGTATTTTATTCGGGATGAGAGCGGAATTGAGGATGGCGGAGGCGGTTGTAGCGAATCGGCTCGCGGCTCGACTGTAATCCGTGATCTGTGATCTGACCTTTATACCCCTACTCTAGCTACTCTCCTTCGCCAACAGCCTTCCCCAAACATGCCCTCGACCTCGTGACCTGCTGACCTGAGCCGTCTCGCGCGTCTCGATCCCCACAGGACTGACGGCGGTACTCGGAGGGGTCCCTCTCCCCCTCTGCCTCGCTGTCCCCCATTCCGCAGTCGCGTCTCGGCACAGCCCTTGGGTGGATCATGTCCTCATTCCGCAGCAGCAGCAGCAGCAGCAGGAGCAGGGGGGAGGCCCTGCTACGTCATCGTTCCAGTGCTGACGAACGAACGAACGTGCCAGCAAATTTTCTTGGGGGATGGGAGCGGTCACGAGGAAGAATTTTGGGGGGAAGGGGGGGACGAACGAGTATAAAGCTTGAGCCGTTTCCCCTTTTCCGTTTCGTCCAACCTCTCTACTCTTTCGTCCTATTCTTCATCTTCAACGAGGACCGGAAGACGAGAAGACTTGAAGCTCCGAAGGAACCAAGGAACCGTAGATCGTAGATTGCCTGTGAGTGAATCGTCCTCCTTCCATCGATCTCATCACGACTGGCCCCTATCCTATCCCGTCCCGCTGCATTGCATTCCCGTCTGACGCCTGTCTGTCTCGACACGACACGGTCCGATCTCGAATGGCTCGTCGTCGACATCGATCTTCGCTGATGTCCCTCTGATCTCTTCGTGCATAGGTCGTTGTATCCTCCCCCAATGACGCTAGGTCATTCCGTATGATGGTTTCCTCTGGCGCTAACGGTTTGCGAGAACGTGTAGCACGGCCCGGATCACCGCCAACGCTTGGAAGTTCAGCTCCCACCGGTGTACGGGTCTTGACGGACGTAGCCACACTGCCCTGGTTATGAAGGTCGGATCCGCCAACACCGGTGTCCTTCGGGAAGAAGCTCATTCGTCCTGGGAACCGGAACGTCGTACCTCTTTCGGCATTCGTACCGCTAGGTTCCGATGGACGAATTCCTCTCGTACTGCAAGGTCGAGAGGTTGGCAGCGAAGAGCCTAGTCTAGTATCTTAATGACCGGACGGATCCTACTACCCAGAGCTTGTGATAAGGCGGCGGACCAACCATTCGAAAGAGATGACCTGGTTGACCCCAGGCTCTTGGAGCGTTTCGGGGACTGTCCTCCGTCCACCCCTCTGGGTCTTGATTGGCTGTCGGTACGAGCGATACAAATCGGAGTCCGCCTCTTGACGACGTGGCCTTACGGTCGCGAAGAGTCTCTGGATCTCTCCATCGTCGACGTCCTTCGGGAGGAGCCTCATTCGTCCTGGGAACCGGTCACCCGCACCGCTAGGCTTCGACGGACGAATCCCTCCTGTGCCGACGCTTCGGCGAGGAGGGCGGCATGCAAGAGCCTAGTCTAGTATCCAATCGCTACGGATCCTCCGATGATGACGGAGTGCAACTAACTCCCGGTGCTGACCTGACGCGGGTTCGCGACCGCAGACGGCCAAGTCACTGGCTGAGAATGGCGGGCTAGTCCCCACGTGCCGAGTCTAGTCGGGATTGGACGTAGCTCGCATATGACCGTACGGTCAGCGATACAATCGAAGCCGCCCCTTGAAGACGTGGCCTCTGGTCGCGAAGAGGTCTCTGTGAGCACGCATCCTTTGCCAACGGATAGGGGTAAGTCTCCTGTTCCGTCGTCCTTCCTCTCGCCGTGACTCTCGGTCGCCTTGATTGCTAATGGTGACTTCCTGCTTGTAGGTTCGCGACCTTGTCGAGTTGGCCAGTACCGGAATCTCCGAAAGGACCTGGATGGGCTCAAGACATGGATCGTGCTGGTGAGTGTTTGGAGCGGAAGCGACCACGGACAGGGGTTGACGACGTCGACCTGATCTTCCTAGAGAGCAACGCCGATCCCCCAAGCCGAACAAGTTTCGGCCTTCGTGCTTGCGGCGACATGCCAGCAACGTTCACCTGACCCGTGAGTCGTCCCGTCTTCTCCTTGCTAGATGTGATCTTCTAACGCTGACAATCAATCATCACGCAGGCGTCATCGACAAAGGCAAAGGACATCGGTCACGTTACACTGCGGCCGGACTTCAGCGTTCAGGTGAGTGTGATGTTCGGGCTCAATCCTTCTTGTATACCAATACTGAATTTGCGAACATCGCCTGTCACAGTCCGTCGCGCCGGTCGACCCACATTCATATCATCAACTCGGTCTTCGCAAATTGGACCATGTCGGCCGGCACCAGGAAGGGATAGGGGAGGCTAAAGTCAATGGTATTCCTGGTTTTGCGACGTTCTCGCTTTTGTATTTCAGATAAGAACTGCCGATTCAATCGCTTATCATCCAGTCGAATCCGAGATCGTGCATCGTCTTTCCAGCCACAAATGAACCGCTGACGTATCTCATCTCTTGCCGTGAGGAAACTCCCTTTCGTGCGACGCAATCTATAAGCTTTTATTTGGTAACAATTGGTGTCGCCTCGGGTTGATTTTGTTTGTCCTAGACGATCCCTCGACTATGACCTGCGCGGTCAAAATCGGCTGACATCGACGACTAGCCCAGCCGGCGCCCGCGATCGAGTCAGAAGCCCTTGGTCCGTCCAAGACGACGGTTAAAGTCGGTTCAGCTTGGTTTCCATATTTTCCGTGGAATAGGTTCCCCGTGACTTGGTTCGCGCGACTATTTGACAAGGAGCGGGAATCTACTTCGAGCCGCGAAATAATCATGAAATCCCGATTTTCTTGATCGCCTGGTTGATTCTGCTTCTCTTCTAGAATGAGATTCCAGACTTCGACATATAATTGCAGATGTGTCCGGAAGGGCCTAAATCTAGGAGCGCCTTTTGTACGACAAGGCGCGTACGCGCTCTCCAATAACCGCGTATACTTTGCTTCCACATCGAGTCAGCCCGAATGCAGCCGGTCTGGTCCATTTCGCCTCATTCGGCGATATTCCTGATAATTTTGAAGAGTGGGTCGTGGCCAGTAGATGATCCTCGACATCGAAGGACGCTCGTGACGGTGATTGTTTACGAAATTAAATGGCTGACACGCACCAAATAATTGGAACCCCCTATTCACGTCGACTCTTTCCGTCTTCTCGCTACCACGTCCCATGCATTTGTATCAATCGTTGAGTAGGCATGGCGATGCGGATTTACGCTCCGGGCACGACCGTGCTATGGGTTCTTGATGAGATATAATTGATGTTGGAAATCCGGTTCAAGAAGGCCCTATTTTAGGAGAAAGGACGAACCCAGGTAACTAGTTCTATATTTCACTATGTCGATTAAAAGGAGACTCGACCGAGGTCACCACCCCTGTCTCTGGGAACTTTATGCTGCTCCAGGCTGGGCCCTAAGACTGAGTCAAGCATGCGGTCCTGCCAGCCTGAACTGTTTCGCGCACAAGGCAGAGATGCCCAAGACTGTGTCAACGAATGAGATCTGGCTGTTGACAGCGAGAATTGGGATTGGGCTAGTCGGTAGAGTCTGACCCTTATGTTTCGCGCTTGATCATGGAAAGTACGCCATCCGTTGCTGTCATGTCCTAAACACGATCCCATGCTAGTCACTGCTGACGATAACTCCGAATAACGACGTGCGCCATCCGGTGCTATCGAGTCGAGAACAGGTCATGATTGAGGCTGGATGCCACTTGTTTAAGATTGGGTCGAGGGGGGTGACCAGCGGAGTGTGGCGATCTGGTATGCGCAATTTTTCCGCCTTCTGTGCGAGACGTTCGATACCTCCAACTACTGCCACATGAATAGGGGTCGTGCAGAAGAAGGCTCGTTTCGTTGGTCGCGAGAAACGATTTCTGGTACAAAGCGAGCGATTGAGCAAACAAATCGACGTCAGCAGGGACTACGAATCGCGGACGGTTCCAAGAGCGACCAGGATCTCGTGGGAAACCCCTATCAACCAGATGCCAAAGCGTGAGAATGCAAGAAAGGGAACGACGCGTCCTCCGAATCCTCGAATATGGTGTCTCACGCTTACGCGAAGCGAGCCTTGAACCCAATCAGCTCGGCTAGAAGTCTTCTAAACTCAATCAGCCCCGTGATGAAAGGTGTCTCACTAGTCCCCGACCCTCCTTTGAGCTTCCAGAAGCCCTTTGTCGGCCGGTAGATCGTTCGACCACATAGACGATATAGCACGTCATGACAATGGCACGCCCGTGGATCCTGGGCATCGACGGCGATAGGTGGCAATTCGGCAAGATCAGCAGAAAACCTGCGGATCGTCTTGTTCTCGGTCTGCCCAGCCTTCTGCGACACAAAGGGACAGGTTGCTGCGAGACGGAAAATCCTGCAACTCGGCGTTAGTATCTGGAAGATCTAAATAAAAACGGTAGCCTTCATCATCGACCTTCGAGCTCCGTAAGTCCAGGTCATGTTAGCTTTCGCACCGAATCTTTCAATACTGGCGGAGCTGGATTCTTCCATGGCGGTCCGGATCAATAAACCTCTCATAATCTGGCTCGATTCGCAGCAATGCGTCAAGCACCTTGAGGCCTTGCCGCAATCACAGCGGACGGTAAATCGTATTGGCGTAGAAGACGTCTCTAGGAATTCGAGGAACGACAGATACTAAGAATATTCAATGATCTGGGCGATACGGTTCGAAATCAGCAAGCGCTCCAATATCGTCAACGCGGAGATCGTCGGGATGCGTCCTCCCCTTCCTTGTTCTCATTGGTCCCCCTGTAGAGCTTAGATAAAGGGCAGCGCCGTGCCGCGACGGTATGGGCGGTGTTGTCTGGGCAGCCATTAGCATTATCGTATGTTCTTGGTGCAGCGGGGCTGCGGGTAGAGACGGGGAGGACGTCAGCGAGAGCTACCAGGAGGAAGTTGACATGCATCTTTCGAATCCCTGCTTGATCGTCGACCCCGCTCGGATCGACCTCGTCTGGTCCAGGACTTCCCCGTCAACTATTCAAGCCAGTCGCAACAAACCGGAGGATAGAATGAAATAGAACTAGTCTGTCATCAAGATCAAGCAAGAGCGCTTCAAATTGGAATGGTCCAGCGAACGTGGCGGGGCAGCCAAAGCGAAACGACGTGTAACAAACCGTTAGGACAAACAAGTCATAGATCTGAGGGACAATCGACATAGACTTCTTGCAAACTCAGAGATAGCTCAGACTGCAATTAACCATAGCCAAGGTTTCTTTCGAACATCCTTCATCGAGATAGTGATGAGTCGGAAGTGCGGGGTCAAGCACATCGAGACATGAAACTCTCGAATCAGAAGCGCGGCGCGCCTACCGTCTCTCGGAGCCGAACCTCCTACGAATCTGCTGTGTCCTCATTCGTCGGGGAGGATTACCACTTTGGGACGATGACGCGTCGAGCGAAATCGGGAAACAAAGACGTCATGACGCTCGTATCCGCGGATCATCGAAAATCAAGCCGAGAGAAGAAGGTGCTCGAAAGAGCTCGTCCGGATCGGGAAAGCGGCTCCAGCCAATCGCTCGTGTCGCTTCGAAAAAAAAAGGCAGAGCACGGTGGAGCATTTGTGATTTTGGCATACGATGAAGGACGGAAGAGTGCACTTTGGGCAACATGAGCGACAACGGAGGAGTCGGATGAACCGTCGATGAAGCAGAGAACGTTGTTTTGGGGTCATGATCGAATAAGGAGTACGATGCAAGACGCTACAATATCGAGAGAAAAAACCACAACGTCCATCCTATTCCCGTGACCCGCTTCCTTCTCCTTCAAAACCGTCTGACCGAGCGAGAGACCTGACGAAGTGCCCACCCCTACCCCTCTCGCGCCGCTACGAACCGGCGGTGTCGGTTGCTGGAAGGACCATCCCGTCTAGACATGGTCGCAGGGGTAGATCAGCGTCGAACGAGGACGAGGACAAGGACGATCGGCACTCACGTTTACGCTTCTTCATGGAAGTGACCATATCTCCGACTGTGTTGTCCATGCGGTATGACTCCCTCGCGATCTGATCATCGAATTTGAGCGAGAGTGAGCGGTGCAGAGGAGGTGCGGTCGATCGAAAGTCACATCGTCCTTACGGATCGGCTTCCTGGACGCTACCAAAGACAAGCATAGCGGTGGTCAGCCGCTGTCGTTCGGATGGACGGTCGCGGATCGTGCCTACTTACCTCGTGCCTTCGACCTGCGATGCGAGACGAAAAGGACTCGGAATGGGGCGAGGCTACTCACATGGTGGGCATGGCTATTGCGAGCAAGAGAATGATAGAAAGCACGGTGCTGCCACGACTACTCGCCTGTCCGTTTAGAGCCTCTACCGGGGCTTGGGTCCCGCCAGTCCGTACACATGCCGAAGCAGCGACTCGCCTTTGGTTCCCTGGAACCGCCTGCGACCACCTTACGGGGAACCCATATACTATCACGGGCAGGCGTCGAGGAGATCCCCTGTGTTCTTCCCCATGTTTACCGGGTCTCTTGCGAACGAGCAGAAGTGGCGGACTGTTGATTGATGAGGATATGAGGAGTAGTGCGATCAATAATGGATTCGCCGCGAGACTAGGGACTTTATACGCGTAGTCGACTGGATGGACCGTCGTTATCAATCAAGTCGCGCCTCAAAGATGACGTGGAATTATACCAAATCAAACGAATTCGGGCGTGAGAAAGTGGGAACGGTCTACTGCCAGCGAGACACACGTATATAGTACGTGTCTTCGCCTCCTCGGGACGTCTTTAACGCTCATCTCGCATCTCGAATCTATCACGATTATACAATTATACACGACCAGGTCATCTCTCGCCGTTACGACCCGTCGTTCCCCACCGATACGACCCGTCATCTCTCGCCGTCACGGTACGACTCGTCATCTCTCGCCGTCACGGTACGACTCGTCATCTCTCGCCGTCACGATACGACTCGTCATCTCTCGCCGTCACGACACGACCCGTCATTCTCGCCGTTTGACGAAAAAGAGTGGCTACATAACTTGTTTCCAAGTGACGTAGTCATCTGTCATCCATTCGTACACTCGCTCGAACAATGGCCGAACAATATATCTTCGATGTTCGCCGCGCCGCCGTTCAACCGACACTCTCGATTCCCCGGCTCCCCAGTACCGCTAGTGGTACTCTTGGAACGCAGTTAGCCTACTTCATGCTATTGTGGGTTGGTCACCCCGGTGATTCGCTGGTTGTCGTCGACGAGACGGGGAACGAAAATCTAGAAGTCACTCTCCAGGCTCGCGGCCGCAACAACAACTCTTCCCTACGCTTCATCCGAGCCGTCTTTCAGGAATTTCGGGAGACCCTCGGCGGACGCTTCATGGGCTCAGAGGTCTTTCGGACCGAAGATGCGGAATTGCTTGTTGACGTCATCGAAGTCACCCTCAAGTCGGACGACGACGTCATCCCCTTACGTACGGCGTTCTGTCATCTGGATCAATTCTACGAGGTTGTCGATATACGCGTGAGTACCTGATCATCGGCGTTGTCAGGACCGGTTCGTCGCTGATCTTCTCTTTGTTCTATCAGCGATTGACCGGCAACCGGTTTCGGGTGACTAAGAAATACCGGCAATACGGGGACAAAGAGCCCAACGGGAACCTTGCCGGGATGATCGCCGTGCATGCCGAGAGCCACGCCGACGTCGTTGATACCGTCAACAGGTGGATCCAAGAGCAGATCCACCCTTACATCGGGTATCGACAACAAGGTTATCCGGCGAGTACCCACTTGCAGGGCGTAGCGACGACAGGCCCTGATGCCGTAACGATCGTCAGTGATCGGCGGCGGGTCAGGGACGGCGTGTCGGTGATCTTCGCATCGGGTACGGCGAGCGGAATGGAAGCCCTGAGGATCGCCGTCGGCGGGAGTGTCTCGGCTGTTTCTGTTGAGGTGAAGGTTGTCAGCCAACACCACCGGTACAAAGACAACTACCGCAAATCTCGGGTGGTACCTCGCCTGTCGATCGTCACTGGAGGTCTTGCCTGCCACGCACCAGCCACGGTCGATCCACCTTCCTCGCCGCCGAGCCAGTGGTCATTGGCCGCCGATGATGACGAGTTGGACGTGGGCGACTCGGAAGAGGAGGAAGAGCCCCAAGCCGGAGGTTGGCAACGAGAGGTAACCCCCGCGCCCGGCTATGTCCCTTTGCCGGAGATGAAGGGGTTCCAGCATGTTCGCCTCCCCGATGGTCGAATCGCCTGGTTGGCCCCGCCTCGTCCCCGTTCCCCTGCCGCCGATCCTGTACCTCTCCCCGCCAGCACCCCTCCACCACCTCCTCCCGGCACCCCCCCACCACCTCCTCCCGGCACCCCTCCACCACCCGCCCCTCGCTGGAGGACGGCTCGAGCAGCGCAGGACGACGAAGACGACACTACCGTCGCTTGTAGTCTTGACCCGACCCATTAGTTTGGATTCTCTGAACGCAGTCTTCGATCGTATGTCATATCGAAATGTATCAATGTCTCGCCAATGTAATACAAGAATGTCGTTTCGTCATCAATCAAGATCATATGTGGTGGTCGTGACCTCTGACTCTGTCGTGATCGGATCCCCGACAGCTGTTTTGAGGAGTTGCCCTTGCATCAAGTGCAACCGAGCTGAGCCGACCCTCTCTTCGATCTGGCTCAAACGCGCCATCAAGTCTTGTACCTCAGCGTCGAGGTCCTCGAGTGGTTCGACGACTTCGAAGCCCTGCGGATGTCCCTCGAAGTAGGCCTTGACGGCCGCGGTTATCTGTTCGCGTTGTAGTGAAGCGGAACGACTCGACGGCGTTCCGAGTCTTGCTTCCCGCTTCGCCCGTCTCTCGTCATACTTGACCATGTTCTTGGTCTGCTTGAGCGACGTATAGGTCCAGATATTGCTGGCCAATAGCGCAACGACGAGCAGGGCGACCAAGACCTCGGAACTCAAAGGCATATCTCGAAGGACATCGACGGCCATCTTGCCAATTCCGAAGATCCCTCCGCAAAGGCTCTGGATGCCATCGACAACCGAATCGAAAGCGGCTTGAAAGGCATTCGCGTCGTGCTCCCGGTTTCGCCGTCCGGGTTGGTCGACCACGACCTTTTCTTCGAGCACAACTTCCGTTGTGACTGGCTCCACCACAGTATCGGCCGCTACTGCTTCGTCATCATCGCCTTCGACCTGGAATTCGGTAGCGTGTTCCTTGATGTACTGTCGCATGGCAGTCTCCAAGTCGCGATGATAAGTCTTTTGTCCATCGACTGCCGACTTTTCGATGATCCCTGTAGGTCCGACATTGATCAGTACAATCGTTCGTCCTCCAATGCTCATCATAACGGCTCACCTTTGATAAAGCTTCTCCCGGTCCATTCGACCTTGGTGGTCACGACGACTTTGGTCGACCTCGGGCTCGCCCATACGAGGCACGTACAAGTCCTAACGCTGAACACGTTCCCACTAGGCACATCGGGCGTCTTCGTGGTGGTCAACATCGAGATGTACTTGTCGGGCTCCATATGGTCAAGCTCGTCGGTGATTTCGCACTTTGTCTGCTTCGGTCCGATGCCGCCATTCAACGGTTTGATGTAGCTAAAGTGGCGTTTTAGCAACTTTGAGCCAGGTTCTCTGGGCGTCCAGTCGGACATTTGAATGTCTGTCACAGAAGCAATTTGTCAGCTTCGATCGTGATATGCGATGCCAAGCAACCACCAACGTACCGGTCAATTTTTGATTTTCCGACATGAATTCTCGGATGAATTGACTCGGGAACATCAAGTTGTATATGCTCTCCGGGGTACTCGGGAATACGGCTTCCATGGCCTTCTCGGCGTAATGTTCCCCCTTTTCACCGCAGGCGCATTTAGTAGGACCTTGTGTAGACTTGGGTTTGGCGTTCGAAGCTGCAGCGGCGCCCGTTTTGCCGTCGTTGACCATGCCGACGGGAGATTCCGTAATCTCATCATCGCCGCCGTAGACGCTAGGGCTTCTAGAATGCGCTTGTCGCCATACATTGATAAAGACGTCGAAGGTGGAGTCGCGTGCGATGAATGATGCAAACACGTATTGCTAAGACAAAACAGGAAGACACTGAGTTGGGTGACTTTATGAACTGATTCACTAGTGCTCACCTTGCCCTGACGAGTCGTGATCGATATACCGTTTGGAATGACGAAGGCAGTCATCTTCTTTTCGATCGCGGTGATGTCCGCAAAGGCGATGACCAGCTATTCGGAGGGAACATCTTGTCAGAACCGGTCCAACTAGCATATCATTGACTGGCGACAGCAGACTTACATCGGTTATCCATCCGAGGATGTTCGAGTGGAAAGAAAGGTGGTGTTCAGATACGTAGATTCGACCGTGTACAAGAATATCCTTCTGAAGGGCGCATCCGTAATCTGTATGCGAGCCAGACAACAACATCAGTCGACGACACTCTGGTCAACGTGAAGGAGACAAAGCACACCTTCGATCAGGTAATCTCCTTCATCAATCTGATTGAACAGAGCATGGAACTCCTGGTTCCTCTTGTTGCTGGCCACGGCGAATCCCGTGACAGGCAAGCTCATCCGGCTGACCGAGCTTCTCAAAGTCCCAACTTCGGCATCACTCTCATCGTCATCGTCGCTATACACCGTGCCACTGCGTCGATGACGGTGACGACCGTCATCCGACGAATCGTCTTCGGTGGTATCGGATTCCTGATCGCTCAGCCGGCTGGACCTGTCATCCGCTAGTAACGAGGAATGCCTCTTGCCAGACGAGGCATCGGACAGTCCTCGGAGACGATTCTTCAGCCTCTCTCGCTTGCCGCGATGATGAGCCTCGTCCTCGTCCTCTCCCACAAGAGTTCCATCTGTACCCGAGATGACGCTTCGACGAGAACTCCGACTGCCGCGTCGTTTCTTGACCTTCTCCTTGACCTTGTTCATGATCTCGGCTGGACTGTGAGCCGCGGCATGGGTCGTAGGCGAATGAGGAGGAACCAAGGTGACGCGAGGATGAGAGGTTGAATCAGCAGAGGAAGGCAAGCCCATCATGCTCTGGCTGGACGTCATGTTGCCCGTTCGAGATGCGTTGCTCAGCTTTCGCGCGGCGGTGGTCTCCGGGTGGTTCTTCAGGAGGACGTCGTCTGCAGATGCGACAGGCTGAAGCGGGGTTGTCAGGTTCAAGATGGAAGATGGGGCGGGATGAAGGGTAGTAGAAGATGCGACCGAAGCTGCCGAGCTCTGAGCTTGAGGAACAGTCTGATTGGGATCGACGATCACCGTCTGAGACTGTTGGGCAGGCGAAATGATGATCGAAGGAGATCGCGGTCGCGGGGTCCCGTTGCTTTCGACAGGTACGACGGGAATTGGAGGCGCCAGCCCAGAAATAATCGTGTTGGCTTGCGTAGGTGTGGGACTCTGGCTATCATCAATGCTTGCAATGTTGGACGTGTTGATCCTCATTCCGTCGTCTGGGTTGTTCGATAGCTGATAGCCGATGCCCGAGCTGGATGTAGCACCCTGCCTTTGGGTGGTGGGAAGACCGGCGTATGTCTGCGGAACAGCTTGATTCTGTTGAATCTGTTGAGAAACAACCTGATGCTTATATACGTCTGCGGGAGACGCTCGAGGCTGTCCCGATTGATCAGCAACTATCGTATCATTGATTGACGATGTTGACGGGTCCAAGGGTACGTCATTCGAGTTGGGACCTGGAGACGGCGAACGAGTGGAATGGGTAGTACTGGTCGAGGAGCGTCTCTCGGAATCTTGCTTGTTATGATGCAACAAGTTGGACAACTTGAACGGTGCCATGTTGGATGTCTGCCGATCTCGAGCTCGCCAAGAGGAGAGCCGACGGGTTCCGGAGCTTCGTGACGACGCAAGTTACTGCGAGGGGAGAGCGAACGGGTCGAAGCTATCCGAGAAGACAACAGATCGATTGGGCTATTGATTTCTAGCGATTTGCGGGCCTGCAAACTCGATGGTCGTCGATACGAATGTACAAGGAAGATGGATAGAGCAACGCTGTCGACGTCGACGATGGACTACCTTTGATCCGCACCAAGAGCTACGGAAGTTTGTGTGCGAGAACAAGGCCGCCCTCGCCCTCTCTCTCTCTCACCTTTGATGATGACGACGACGACGACGATCGATGACGCGTGAGCATCCGGACATTCGACTGTTTGTGATCTCCAGGACATCGAGTCCGCAGGGCGACGTGTATCTAGCTAAAACAAACGGTTGAGCTCGACTCTGCGCCTGCTTCATGCTTCGACAGCTCGATAGCGACGCTGCAACATCTCGTGCCCCGATATGGGCGCGTCTAGAAGTTCGAGGGTCCGGTAATGTTAGCAAGTCGATGCAATCGGAATCATCATGAATGAAGCGGAGCCGATTCGAATGAAACGGCGTGAATAATAAAGAACCACCCGTATACATTACGGGATGACACGAGCTTTGTCGATCGGGATCATACGCAAGACTGCCACTTGGCAGTGATCGTCACGAGCGTGTTCCAGAGGTTCCTCTGCGCAATTCCTACATGACGAGCGCCATTCGGCAAATCAGAACCGACGCCATCCTCACGGAAGACCGCGCACAGGGATGGCGTTTAACGCGATATACTGCTGTATGTCTTGCTATCTCACGGCCGCTCTGGGTGACTCGCTCAAAGAACAGATACCCTCGAATTACATTGCCGATTAGCTTCAGGATACTGCCATATTGCTGAGGGAAAGAATCTTGTCCGCGACCAAAATTGTACCATTGTCTGAAAACAGAAGTGCCATAGCAAAGCCGCCACGTTCGACATTGCTCACAGATAGCTCTCGTACAACCCTCTTGAAAGCTTTCTGACTTGATTATTCTCATGTTGACCATATTGTACTCCACGATAATCATATCAAGGTTCGCTAATTGCATTTGAGATAAACTCGATCTGCCTCAGTATCTTCGAATGCTCGTTTCGGGCGTCATGAAGGACGGATTTCCGTCTGTTTTGTGACCCTGTTTAGCAATCCTTATTCTCATACGACAGTCCGATTTGCCTAGAGACATAGCTTACTTTGTCGCGCCGTACAGTGTTGGCTAAACAGGTGATTAATTCATCGGTTTCCGAAGATCAAGTTGTTATGCGAGGCAAGGGAACGAGCAGATATCACCGTTCAGAATCATCTCGATCTCTGGCAGTTCCAGATAACCGGATCTTTGCAGCGAGCCGTGAGTGCCCTTTCCGGTAATATGCACTGTAATATCTGTAATAGCATCTACAACGTACAGAATCACCATCACCAGTCAGCCTGTGATTTGCTCTCGTGAAACCCAAAGATCCGATCGCGAGCGACCAGAAACTTGGAAGAGCGGGTCTCTTTCCATTTCCAGGCACCTCGTGGAGTGGCTTTGTAGGGGCGCGCAGCAGAGGGAGGAGCTTTCGCGGGGCGTGGTTTCGGACCCAATCCCATTTCGACCTCGACAACATCAAAACACACGGAGGAGGTCAAAGCGATCAAAGCCAGATCAGTAGCTGAGAAGCTCAAGCAAGAAGATTGTTAGCTGGTAGCAAACCTCATGGAGGCTGCAGGTGTTTCTCGTCTGACGATCTGCTCAAGACAAAATTATCGGCTGTGTAACAAGTGCTGACGTTACGGTAGGCTACGCGGATTTTTTGCCGCAGAGTCCTCTCGGTCGCGCGCCAGAGTTTCCGCAGCAACCTCGTCGTTGATGGAGCGGGCGATGTTCGTCTCAAAGTGGAATGTGGTGGATGGAGGGGGATTTCGAGCATTTGCAACTCGCAGAGCATTCATGTAGGCCTGTAGCTTCAGGACAATGTTATCCATCGAGTAATACTTGGATCGTCTGCATTCGAAACCAAATCATACCTTGCTCTCTTCATCAACCCCCTGGCCCCTGGCAAATCAGCTCAGAGAGGTTCCGCTGCTCAATTTCGCGCAAAACCCACGAGGAAGCGAGCGAGCGAGCGAGCGAGCGGGGGAACAGACGAGACGCAGCATATGATCTGGAGCTCCCAAACGAAACGAGGGACCCTCCCACATCAACATTCCCGTCACATTCGAAACATTCACCATTTCGCCATTTTCAATCTCGATCACAGCGATCACAGCTCTACCTCTTGTCCGTCCCTATCTCGTTGGTGCAACCTCTATCACTTCACGAACGGCCCAGGTGGGGAATGGTCAACACCTCTCGGTCGACAACGAGCACCGTACCGGCCGTCATCAACAAACCAGACGCCAGTCGAAAGCTTGTCAAATCGACGACAGAACCCCTAGACATCGAACTCAGAGAAAGGCTAGAGAAAATGAGCTCGACGGGGCCGTTGACCAAGCCAAAGAGGCGGTTATCCAAGTGAGTGTCCGGGACGTGACAAAGTACGAGGGGAGGGGAATGCGCAGCTCATAACGTCCTGCTTCTTCGTTTGCCTAACAGAGCGACCTCGCCGTCCAGTCCTATTCGTAACTCATTCTCTCACCCACATACCATCTCTCATTCATCGTCCTCGAGCTCGATAACGACCATCCCTCATCCGCGGTCACATTCCAACTCGTTCTCCACGTTTACCAACCACAACAACAATATCAACGATGTCCGCGATCGAGATCAATCCTTTGCTACGACATCGGCCACAGCTACCTCGAGCCCGGTGACAAACATGACGTTTAGCTTCTCCGGCTCCATGGATGTCAACGGTCATCCGGTCAATCCGAGCCGATCCCATTATACATCACACCATCACCACAACCCATACCACACTGCGGCGACCGCCTCGTACAACTCGCCTACCTTTCCAGGGTTGACGGAAGACTACGAGCCCTCCTCTTCCGGTCGATCTAGTAACGAAACACCGGTCATTCAACAATCTTCGATCTTCCCCACTATCGTCAGCCCGAACGACTACACATCACAATCGCGATATCCTTCTGTCGAGCCTGGCCTCATGAAAGCTGTGGAAAACTATGGCTACATGAACGGGCACGTATCGGCAAGAAGTCCAACCTCTGCCTTGGGGGAAGGGGCGTTGTCAAGCGATAATGGCAAGGAGTCGGTCATGTCTACAGGACAGGCTGCAGGACCACTGAAAATCCTGGGCGTCGATATCAAGTGGATCTCGTCAGTCGTGTCCGGGTTCGAAAGCGACCGTTCGATAGCTTATCTGACGAACCCTCTTTCTGTGTAGTCTCACAACATTGGCACTACAAAACGCATTCCTCACCATCATCATGCATTATTCGCGCATCTCCACCTCGCCATCTCGATCATATTCTGCTGCATCGGCCGTCCTCTTGAACGAGTTGCTCAAAGGATCTATCAGTCTAATGACTGCGCTCAAAAGGATCGACAACGAGATGACAAAGGAAGAGTCTCACTTGCGAAGCCCAGTCGTCAAAAGCCGTACCGGGACGCCAAACATGTCGGACCATCATCAGGGGTCAATGCTGAGCTCGCCTCGGACAGGGAAAGCCGAGGTCGCTCGAAACTTCGTCTCGGCCTACTTTAGAGCGGATAGATGGAAGAGGTTGTCTAGGGAGATCTTCTCGCCGGATTGCTGGAAGCTGTCCATTCCTGCTATCCTCTACGTCATCCAGAACAACCTGCAATACACGGCGGCTTCCAATCTGGACGTCGCGACCTTTCAAGTCACTTACCAGATGAAGATCTTGACGACGGCGTTCTTCAGTGTCTTCATGCTCGGTAAACGGTTGAGCACCTCGAAATGGCTTGCACTTCTCCTGCTCGCTGCGGGTGTCGGTATCGTTCAGATCCAGACCGGATCTGGTGCCGGCTCGTCGCATGCCTCGAGCATCGTCAAGAAGGTCGAAGAGCTTGCAGCCGAGTCCGATATCGTTGCCGCGGTCAGCGGAGCCGTGCACGAGATGAGTCCTTTCAAGGGATTCGTCGCCGTGTGCGCGGCCTGTGTCACCTCGGGACTCGCTGGAGTTTACTTCGAGATGGTGCTCAAAGGCTCGAAGGCCGACCTTTGGGTCAGGAACGCGCAGTTGTCGCTGTTTTCTCTCGTCCCTGCTCTTCTTCCCATCCTTCTGGGCTCGGCGACGAGCAACTCTGGCGGAGGTCTCACAGGGATCTTGCTCGAGCCGTTCAAGAATTTCAGTGCTTGGGCGTGGGGTACGGTGGTTACTCAAGTCCTCGGCGGTTTGATCACCGCACTCGTGATCAAGTACTCGGACAACATTCTCAAGGGATTCGCCACCTCGCTCAGTATCATCCTATCCTCGATGGCGTCGGTATTCCTCTTCAATTATCACATCACGCCGGCTTTCGTCATGGGAAGCTCGATCGTGCTCTCGGCAACCTTCATGTACAATCAGCCAGCGACCAACAAGCCCAACCCGCTCGTTGCAGGCCTAGCCCACAAAATTGCCGAAGCGACTGGAGGCAAAGTTGACCCATCATCGAGCCGAAGCAGGACATCGGTCGCTGTTCCCGGCAGTCCGATCCCCGCGAATGCTCCCATCATCGGAGAGACTCCCAAACCTTCGAGATCATCTTCAATGGTTTCTTTGCTGGGCTTGGGACAAAGCCTGAGTCGGGCGCCTACACCTTCGCAATTCAACGGACAGTCCCGCACGACTACACCGTATCTCACCGCGCACGCCACACCCAACGTTCTGTCGCCCTATGGCTCGACTCAGAATCTCACCGCGCTCGGTACCAACAGGCCCCCGCCTCTTCAGCCGCTGTCTCGAGCAAATTCAAATTACAGCATACGCTCCGTGTCTGGCTCCGAAACGAGTCCAGGCTTCGGATCGCTCCAGTCCTTCACACCATCAACCAGCCCCACGAGTGCAAGAGATCGCAAGCAGTCTGGTCGCCACCGTCCAGTGCTGGAAGTCAACACCGATGTCGAAATCAAGACCAGGTGAAACGGTGTCTGCCGAGATCGACGGCCGGATGCACCATCTCTCACATACACATGCCGCTCACGCGAGCACCTCATACCACCTATAATAATTGCAGCAGACTTTTCATTTCGTTTTCATTCACACATTGTGCCTGAGCATTTCGGCACGAACATCATCTTGTAATATACCCTTCCATCTTCATGCAATCGACATGGACGAGCCCGAATCGAATACGACGGGTGAAGTGATTGAACGGTCACGTGAATCTGATTTTACCAAACGACGGAGATCAAAGGAAAGGTTCCGCCTCGAGATCATGGATCATGCATCAATGGGCGACCATTTGCTTGTCACATCTCGGATCTCCACACACACACACACATCGATACCTATTGACCTTCCGAGCAAATCTTGATCACGTTAGCTGCACAGGATGACATTGTCAGCCAAGGACGCAACAGCGACCGATGTCGCTGACGACCTGAAAAAGCTGGAGCTTTCAGGGACACCGGCTATCCCCGTCGATGGAGGTCGACAGAACGCAGAGCAGGAACCCGATGAAGATTCAGATGACGACGAAGATGAAAAGCAGGAAGGTGGAGATGGGGCAAGTGGGGGTGAGTATCATGTGGAGGGGCCATACAAGATGTGTGGGGAGCTCATAAATCGATCTGCAGATGCAAAGAAGAAAAAGAAGAAGAAAAAGCGTCAGTGGGCCGCACTTAGGTGCCATCGCACCTGGTTTTACTTATTTCTAGACGGTCTTATCAATAGCAAAGAAGAAGAAGGCTGCTGCCACCCAGACGGCACCTCCACGAGTCGGGCTAAGCAAGATCTATCGCAATGGAATATTTCCGGTCGGCGAAGAGGTGGAGTACCAGTACGAGTACGTCATCTCTATCCATGCCATTGCCATTCGCCTTCCAGTCTACATAATCACTTGGATCTGATGTTGTGATCTATAACATTGCAGTACTACCTCTCGGATATCCTCAGCAGAGAAGAAGGAGCTAGAGAGGGCAGCACATGCCGATCCCGAGACCACCTACAGTGACATCCGTCGAGCCGCCGAGGTACACCGACAAGTTCGACTGTACGCTCGAGACAACATCAAACCGGGAATGAGCATGACAGAGATCGCCGAGATGATCGAGGACGGAACGCGAGCGCTGGTCGAGGAGAGCGGACTGGAGAGCGGAGTCGGGTTTCCGACCGGTCTCAGCGTGAACGAAGTAGCTGCTCATTACACCCCGAACGCAGGAGACAAGCAGTGTCAGTACCGTCGATGTCTTTTTACCCGCCGTCTCATTGACATTCCTGTTGCTCCGTATAGATTTGAAGCAAGGAGACATCCTGAAAGTCGACTTCGGCGTGCATGTCAACGGTCGTATCGTGGATTCGGCCTTTACCCTGAACTTTGCGGACCCGGAGTGGGATACCTTGTTGGCTGCTGTTAAGGATGCTACTAATACTGGAATCCGAGTCAGTATTTCCCTAGCAGAGCTGAGGAGTTCGTTCGTTGACTTATGCGCTCCGACTGTACCACAGGAAGCCGGAATCGACGTCAGATTGTGTGATATCGGGGATCAGATCCAGGAGGTTATGGAATCATACGAGGTTGAAATCGGCGGCAAGAAGCATCAAGGTCAATCAGGTGCCGCGATCTAGATGACTTGTGGAAGTGACTGAACCCACGCTATCTATTGCAGTCAAGGCCATTCAAAACCTGAACGGCCACTCTATCGCTCCATATGTGATTCATGGAGGCAAGACGGTCCCCATCGTCAAGATGCACGGCTCCGCACGGGATGAGACCAAGATGGAAGAAGGCGAATATTACGCCATCGAGACTTTCGGAAGCACCGGGGTCGGGCGGGTCTTTGAACAAGTGAGCGCTCGTAGTTGGCGCTATCTCGCGATGTCGCAGCTCATGCTTCCGCTTTAATTGCAGGGTGCATGTTCGCATTACGCCTTGAGCCAGCAAATTCCGGAAAAGTACAACTTGCACCACCAGACCGCCCGAAGTCTACTGAAATCGATTCAGAAAAACTTCGGCACCTTGCCTTTTTGTCGCCGGTATCTTGACCGGGCGGGAGAGAAGAATTACTTATTGGCATTGAACACTCTGGTGAAGGAAGGCCTGGTCATGGACTATCCTCCTCTTGTCGACCCTCAGGCAGGGTAAGCGCGAGCTCGGTGAACGGCTTAGATATACGCTGACACTGCTTGTATGATCAGGTGCATGACAGCTCAATTTGAACATACCATCTTGCTCAGGCCGACTTGTAAGGAGGTTGTATCGAGGGGAAGTGACTACTAACTTCGCTCCAGTATTTCCACCGAGACATATTACTTGTTTTACATGGAAGCCAATCTGCAATGCTGGTTGTGACGCTGCAAGGTCACATCGCTTCATATGTTATGGTACATTCTTCACTGCTCTCGATATGCCAACTCCAAAAGCGGTGGCTACAGATCTCTCGGCGACAGTCGTCATAGCCGGCTCGTTTGGAGGTGTTAAGTCCATCCTAATTTTCGGAGACGTCTTCGCAATATACGGGTATCCTCCGGCGTGTGTTCAGGAAAGTCAAACCACCAGATGTGGCTGCGGGGTGACTTTTTCGTATGTCGCGACCAGCATTCAGTACACGATTGCGTTTTCTCCGTGATAGCGTTTATGTGATCTTGCAATCCCATGGCGGTGCGCCGAAGGGCCTTGCGACTCTCGCTATGATCGAATCAAGGTGTCAGTCCTGAGTCTGGCGTCGAGCATAGATCCTGCACGAACATGATTGCAGGCATACGGTTGTCGTAAAGAGCTCGGATGTCTGCTTTCAAGTACATCCTGGTCCAATCCGAGTTAATCAATGTCACTCTGTGAGTGATTCTCACTCTAAATTTGACTCACTGGGTGGCCGCTTTCTTTGTTGACTGTACTACATTTGACACTCCATCGGTTGGCAAAGACTGGAGCTTCTACGCAAGGGTAATCCATCGTCAGAATCTAAAATCGCATAATCCTGATCATTCGCGGAAGCGTCTACAGTACCAGATTCATGTCTGTGATCGTTTCCAAATCCTCCGGGCTTAACCAGAAGTATCTGATTGCCTCCTGTATAGTACCTCCAGCGATCATTGAGTCTTGTTCGTCAATAATCGCACATAGACAACTCACCGCTTTCGAGTAACAGGGGAAATTGACCGATCGCAGACAGAAGGTTTGCCATGGGCCGTACTTCCATATTCTTGTCTTGAGAGGAAGATCCGTTCCGGTAATCCCAAAGATCGCAGCTTCGGTGCGACTCAGTGGTAGTCGAGATGCGAACCAAGTCAAAACCTCCTCCCACTGAGACCTATTGGTAGGCTTCAAGTTCTTGTAATAAGAGGGACTAAGCTCCCCTCGACTATAAAGTTGACGCTGAGAGAATTTGTTGTAATCGTTCAGAAGGGCTTGAGTTCGGATTGCTTCAGATTCGATCGCTGGCTTTTCTTGCCCATGTCCGATTAATCTCAACACTCTGGTTTGTGCTTGCTCTCGGATCGCCAGATCAAAATGACACGCCTCGCTTTTCCTGATCGTTCCGCGATACCGTCTCTCGAAGGGAAAAGTGGTGTACCCGTCGTCTCTCTGGCCTGATGACTCTGTTAGCCATGTGGCGGTGATCGGTTCCCTGTCCGCAATGGCCTGCTCGACTTGTCTCAATTAGTAGAGCTCAGGCGGCCTCATACGTCCAAACATTTTACCTCATATGGATACTTGGCCTTGTAGATACTCCGCCACAATTGGTCGTCGAGGAAGGGATACCTCAAGTACCAACAGGTTCCAGACAGGCACATATAGTCCTTGACCTGAATTAAAGCTATGATCAGCCGGAAAGCCGGGCTGTGGCTGAGTGAGGTCTTCTTTGACTCACAGATAAGTCTTGTTCGAGGGAGAATATCCTGAATTTAGGACACGTCAGCGAGATACCAAGATATTCCAAGCTGCCAAGGTCTCACATCTCGAGAATCTGATGTCAAGTGAACGTTGCCGAGTCAGCCCAAATGACCTTGGCCTGGCTGAGAAATCCTGCACATACTTCAGGCGGCAGATCGAATAAATGAATGGCTTGGCCATCTTTCCAAGCCATACTCGTCTCCTTCTCCTGTATTTTCTTGAGGTGCCGGGCTTCCTTGCGTACCCGAGCGTTATTCGATTTCTGGGCAGGGGTAAGCTTCTTCCTGTCGTTCGGCGTCTTGCTTTTGCTTGACTGTCCTCCATCTTGTTCGAAGGTAGGGTCATCAGCGGAAGGCCGTTTTCGTTTCACAGGGATGTGATCTGGAAGCTGATGGAAAATTTCCTCGTGTAACTGAGCATGTTGACTTTAGTGAATGATATAGATAAGATCTGTCAGAATACGAGTCGTGCCCCTCTATCTCAGCCCGAATGGCGCGAATCTGGCTTCGCATACCTTTTACGCCTATCGCTTCTCAACAGCCGGCCAGTAGCCAAAGAGGAAGCGACTGAACCGGTCATTTTATTGCTCGGTTGGGATGTCGGTACTTTCCTCCCAGAGACACAGTCAGAGATCGCCGGCAGCGCCGGAAGCACCGATGATGGCTCACCCTGGCTCCCGGCGTACTTTGCGTACTTGCACCAGGAATGCGTAGACGGGACTCGCTTTCGTTGTGAAACCTTCGTGACCGTGTGCTGCTTTAGGTCGGTTGGATTGACTGATTACTCAACTAGTAGAACCAATCGAGCATGAGAAGGATGTTTTGGCTTTGCTCAGTGGGATCGAATGATCGAATGATGATTATATAGGGCGTGGACAAGCAGCCTACTCCTCATGGCTTCATGAACCATAAACGCGTCATCGGAAGCGAAATCTGAAGTTTCATTGTACTGCGTCTCGCGTTCTCGACATGATGGTTCATGGTAAGGCATGGAAAAGCAAACTTCTTGTGTCCAACCCGCAATGTAAACATTATTGATAATGAAAGAAGGTCCGTCAATGATTCAACTAATATCCGAAATCCGAGTCATACTGGTATTCCTGCCAGCATGCGAAGCAATCACACCCAACTTCCTTGATCTTCAGAGCCCGTATTCGCCGTTTGATTTCATCTAGATCCGCCGAGCTGTATTCCTTATGCGTGTAGAACCAATTATGTCTGTAAGGCTTCCGAGAGTCATGAAAGCCTTGGCAGAGATCACACCACGATCTATACAAGCCCTGCCGCTGTAATATGACTTGGGTTTCTTCATTCAACAACGACATCGCCTTGGTCCGCCGTTTTTTACGAATCACGCTGCCAGAAGAACTCGTATCGTCAGCGATTTTTCCAACCTTCTTGGCGGAGCCAGATCTCACATCAATTGTTTGAACTTTTTGGTCAGTTGTGTAATATCCTCTTTAAAGTGGTAGCTGTATGGGCGACGAATTAGCAAAATCGCGATCGTTACGGTGCGACATGGAGGTCGTCTTACCCAATATGAGCATTGCTTGCAGTATCTTTGGGAAGACTTTCAGGACTGGGGGAAGAGTTCTAACAAAGCGTTGTCAGATCTGATGTCATCGGCTACTCTATAGCGACACAGACTCACATCCGGGACCTTGGGAACCGTCTCCAGATCTTCCGGACTCAGCCAATGAATTCCCACGGCTTTCTGCAGAGGCAAAACAACAGTCAGTGTGACAGTCACATCGAGAGATTACTTGCTACTCACGCTGGCGGGGATGATCGGCCAATTGGTATCTCGTCTCGCAAGTGTTTGCCACGGCCCGTAATCCCAGATCCTTGCGTGGAATGGCAGAGAGTCGGTCTTTATGCCAAAGTGGACAGCCTCTGTCCGACTGAGTGGCAATCTTGCTATCGACCAGTGCAGTACCTCTCGACATTCTTGCATCTCCTCGGTGGAGGCGGTCTTATAGCGGTAATACCGCTGTTTGGCGAGTTGCTTCTTATATTGCGAGTATTGGCATATGCGATTGTATTGGTTGAGCAGATCGATCGCTCTCTCCGGCTCAGGTTTAATGACAGGCTTGGACATGCCATGACCTAGAATTCGAAGGACTTTGGTGGGGGATCCTTGTGTTGAGCTGACTTCACCGAAGTAGCAAGCTTCCGTGCATGAGATGAGCGTTTGTGTAGGGCCGATCTTCATCACGCCTGATTGATTTGAGATCGCTGTGGGTATGATACCCTCGCGGTCTTCAACTCCGGAGAGATTCTATCGAGAATCGGTCAGTCACCAGACTCTCGATGTATGAGACTTGGGTTACATACTGGAGTCTTCTTTCTAGATCGGTAAATTTGGCGCCAAAGACTATCATCCAGAAAAGGTAAACGGAGATACCAGCAAGTGGCCGAAATGCACATGTAGTCCTTGATCTGGGAGAAACCGACGTTTAGAGGGTCACAAGACAAGTGAGACCCATAAATTCAGGTGGGCACTGACTGATAGGTCCTGCTCGAGCGATAGGATTCTAGTTTTAAGAACGCGTCAATCCAGCTGAATTCATGCTCCCGTCGCTCGCCCTGTCTTATGCTTACTGTTCTAGGATCTATACAGACATACGGGCGAGCGAGGCGTGAGTGAAAGAGTCATGAGAGACTAGTCCATGATGACGACTCACCTCTGCTGGCAGGTCGAACAAGTGAATCTTTTGTCCCTTCTTCCAAGGCATCTTGGGCTCTTTCTTCGCCTGCGCAGCCTTCCACTTGGCCTCCTTCTTCACCCTATCATTGTATATCTTCTCCTCTTCTGCCTTCCGAGCCTTCTCTTCAGCCTTAACCTTCGCTTCAGCTTTGGCTCGGTCTTTCTGTGCCTGAGTCTTCCCTCTGCGCTGCTTCTGCTTCTTCTTGTCCAGCTCGAAGTCGTCGGTCTCAGACGACGATCTCTCCCGCTTACGGCCGGGCTTCGGCTCCTGATCGTCGACGTCTTCGACCTTGACTTTGACTGTTGTGCTCGGTCCCGAGGTGACGACCGGTTGTACGTTGATAGTATCTCCTCTTTCTTCATCGTCAGAGCTCTCGATGGGAGGCGGAACGTAGGACTTGCGGGTCCCGTTGCGAAGCGTACGCCCACCGACGACACGAGAAGATGCGGATTCGCTGTTGGCCGTCATGGCGAAGCTGATCCAGGCACAAACGCGACAATAAGATCTTAGCCTATCGAGAACTATGGGGCACAGAGCAATCAGCTTACAATTGACGTAGCTGGTACTTTGATGATCGAAAGGACGCCAAAGGAGGTCTGCTTTGTGCTTCGAGGTAGCTAGTCTAACTATCGAACAAAGTCCGGCTGTCCAGGGATATAGCTGAGTTCGAAGTATACGAGGAGAATGAATGGATAGCAAAGAGCACACCTTTATCCTAAGCTTGAAGTCATCTGCAGAGGGAATGAACGAGTCGCGAGTCGATGATGCGGAAAGATGCAGTTTGATCGAATTGATCGGAAGGTATGGCAACAGCTGGACTGGCGATATGACGAAGCATCGGAAGCGAAATGTTAAGCCGACGATTCGACCGAAGCGCGTCCTCGTTGCTGTTTCATGCTCAACCATCTTCATTTCACGACGTTTGGACGGATCGACTCCAAAGCTCTAGTCTTCGCAACCATCACCTGTGCACTTGTAAGAACTCTGAGTAGCCTGTCAATTTGAATGTAGTACCATCATCTTTCGCCTCTCCATTATACTCCTCTTTACGAATCTAATCCACAAACCCCAAGCGGCCAATCAGTCGACTTAGCCATCAACATCGAAGAATCGGTCGAAGAAGAGATGAAGCGCGGTGTCATTTTGACAGCAAGAAGACAACCATCATCACTAAGTCGATGCAGTAGAATGTGGTTGCGACACCCTGTCCGAGTTCTTCAGGCAATCTTGATAGCGCCAGCTCGATACCCCGACGCCGACAACTGCCCCGGCTTGTTGTCAATGACGCCAGTCGACGATTCTCTTTCTGTTAACGAGTTTTCCTGTCATGTCGCATGACGATTCTCGTTCTGTTGAGGGGTCGTCTTCTTGCATCTCGCAACGATTTTCCTCATGCGATTTCACATTCCACTATCTCGACCGCGACAACCTCCTTGACGAACAGCAGTCGATAATTCGATATGACGGAGAGATACCGCTACACAATATTTTTCACCAACGACATCGTGATCATCTCCAGCCCTATTGTCGTCAATGAGGATGTCAAGTTCGAAGAGTTCGAAAAGAAACACCTTCTTGAACATCTACAGTGAAAGCGAGGCGTTGTTTTGGGTGCCGTGAGCGTCCGTGCTGCATGCTTCAGGTAAGCTATTACTCGTCTACTGGTCTACTCATTCACTTGTCTAATCGTCTAACCGTCTACTTACTTGATTGGGGTACTCTGAATAGGTACAACATCAGCCCTATCCCGAAAGACACTCACTTTGTGGGGATTGGGTTCGAACTTGCTAGCGAGAATACGCAGGATGCTGTCGGGATCTTTACGCTGGCAAAGGTATGTTGACCAAAGGCGGGCTTAAGTTTCGAGGAGAGAAACGAGCACTAACTTGCATCTCGAATCTATGCTAGCATCACGTGGATTGCAATATCTCGTCCAACATGGCTGGTCTCGGTAGGGAGACGATCTACGACCGCGAGAAGCCCATGATCATTTACCCCTCCCACAAGATGCAATGGGTGCCCGTCAACGAGGACATGGTTGTCAAGCAACTGCGTGCCGACCGGAGCTGCCTGCAGGCTCAGTTGGGGACTGCGAGGGGGCTGTTGTTACCGTTTCAAGAACAGAGAGACCAATTGGAAGGCGACAACCAGCGATTACTCGAAGAAAACAGGATCTTGAAGGGGGAATTGAGGGAGGTTAGGGGGGAATTGAAGAAGGTTAGGGAGTATGTCGAGCGCGTCAAACAGTGCGTCGAGGATGACGGCGATGACGGTGAAGATATTGTGTTTGCCAACGAGTGATCGAAGACGAATCTTGTGTTTGTATTCCGTAACGATCGTAACGATCGGAAAGATACCCTATCCCATCGCTTCGATGATTCAGACCACGATGTCATCTTGAAACGATAGTGAACCAATGATCAGAACGATAGTTTGATAAGACAGAGAGATACACGAGCACAAGAGAAACAGGTTCGGACTGGAAAGGCACAATCTAGAAAGTCACCACGGATCGAACCGCGAGAACGTGGGTATCATTCGAACGCTCAGAGAAATTGCAAACCCCAGCTTAGTCCTGCAGGTCGCGAAGCGTGCTCTCGATGTCCTTGGTCAACTGGCCCAACTTCTCGCTGATGGCTTCCTCTCCATCAGTAGGTTCCTGCAAGGACATTGCGTGTCTTGTCAGCCTCGCCATCGCGACACGAACCGAGAACGCCATATCCTACGACTCACCTCGAACTTCTGTTGCGACAGTCGGAACATAATGTCCGACCCGCCCTCCTTGATCCTCGACCAAGTCAATCCGTTCTCGACGGCGCGTAAAGCGGCATTGTAGAACGTGACGTAATTCTTGGCCATACCCGTCGTCTTGTAGATCGGGCACATCCTGTCGTAGGTACTCAGACCGTTCTGCTGCAGGAAGTCGTCCTGCGGAAACGGAATCGCCGTTTTGTTGGAAGGGTCAGCACGTGATCTTAACTCAGCCCACACGGTACGTCGACGTCTCCCGACTGACCTTGATCATAGTGGCGACCTCGAGGGTAACCTTATCGGCCTCGCTCAGGGCGCTCTTTCCGACCAACTGCACAATTTCGGCCAAGTCGTTGTCCTTTTGCAAGATCTCACGCATGGTAGATCGGTTGTCGTTGAAGCCGGGAGTGTTCTTTTCAAAGTAGGGTTCGAGGACCTTGAGGTACTTCGAGTAGGACAAGCTAGAGCGAGTACGAGGTGAACGCCGGGGTAAGTAAAGCAAGCCACGATCGGCTTTGGCGGGCGAGATGACTTACTTCCAGTTGACCGAAGGGAAATGCTTTCGTTGAGCGAGCTTCTTGTCGAGACCCCAGCTGCGGAGGGAGGAACAGTCAGCGTGCGTTCAGCCATACAACGCCGACAACGTGGCACTCACAAGACCTGTACAATACCCAAAGTGGCGGTAGTGACGGGGTCCGAGAAGTCTCCCCCAGGAGGCGAGACGCTAAGAACGACCAGATCGAGTACAGCAACACCAGTCAGCGTTCCCTCTCATCGAATGAAAGTCCATCCCAAAACCTTGAGACCCCGGCAACTCACGCTCCGACAATCGAGACGGTACCCTCACGGGACGGGTTCCCCAAACAAGTCACCTTACCCGCCCGCTCGTAGAAACTGGCGAGCTTGGCTCCCAAATAAGCCGGGTAACCGGAGTCCGCCGGCATCTCCGCCAATCGACCCGAAATCTCTCGCAGAGCTTCGGCCCATCGAGACGTCGAGTCGGCCATCATCGAGACGTTCTGTCCCTGGTCTCGGAAGTATTCCGAGAGAGTGATACCGGTGTAGATGGACGCTTCTCGAGCGGCGACGGGCATGTTGGAGGTGTTGGCCACGAGGGCGGTACGCTTCATGATGGGCTCCTCTCGCCCGTCTCGCTCGAGGGTGAGCTCCGGGAACTATCGAGGTCAGCGAAAACGGCGTCGGTCAATCTAGGTTCCTGACGCATGATGCTGAGTCGATTTTATGTATAACTCACGTCCATCAAGACTTCAGCCATCTCGTTTCCTCGCTCTCCACATCCGACGTAGATGATGATGTCCGAGTTGGAGAATTTGGACAAGGCCTGCGAGATGACGGTCTTTCCGCTGCACCACCGCGCCACAACAGGTCATGTCAGCTGCCTGTTCCGTCTCAAACGCCTAGAGAAACCAAACCGATCTGTCGACTCACCATCCGAAAGCACCGGGAATGGCCGTGGTACCGCCCTGAACACAGGGGAACAGACTGTCCAGAACTCGCTGTCCGGTGAACAACGGCTGATCGGCGGTCAACTTGTCCGCGACGGGCCTGGGAGCTCGGACGGGCCAGTTTTGCATCATCGTATGTTTCGTCTTGACGCCTTGGAATTCGGTTTCGAAAATGACGTCCTGATTGCGCGCGCATGTGAGTCAAATCAGCGTCACTTGATCACTTCATTTCGGTAGACAGTGATCGTCGAGAGTGAATGGCTTGCGGGACGTGATACTCACATCGACATTGTAACTACCCTTCTCGGCGACCCAGGTGACGGTTCCCATAGCCCTAGGGCTGACCATGATCCTATGGTTGTCGACGAGCGAGTTTTCATAGACGGTACCAAAGACATCTCCTCCCGAGACGTGGTCGCCAACCTGCATGTGACAAGTCCAACACGATTTTCCGTATCAGTACAGGTCCGGTTCGCGAATGCGAGAAATATCGGAGCGGTAAAGGCTGGAAAGCTGGACTGACGGTATATTTGCCCGGGTTAAAGTCCCACTTCAATTCCCTGCTCAACGCCTGGGTGTTGATACCACCTGCAAGTCCAGATCATCGACAGGTATGTGAGTTCACGGCTCCGCACGAAGCAAAGGGAAGAGAAGAGGCGGGGTACTCACGGGGAATATAAATGGACTGAGATTTCTCTTGAATGGCCTTGAGGGGACGCTGAATACCGCTGCGGGTATCGAGTCGGCCACGATCAGCTCGTCGCCCAGGAGCCTTTCGATAACAAGACCACCACACGAAACGCACTCGTAGATGTTCTCCATCAACCCGGGTCCCAACTCGACGCTCAACGGCTTCCCTGTCCTCAATACCGGATCTCCGATCGTCACCCCGCTCGTCTCCTCGTAGACCTGGATCGTGCACCTGTCCTGTTCGATCCTGATGACCTCGCCGACGAGTTCGTCGTGACCCACACGGACGAGCTCGTACATCGCCGCTCCCCTCATCTGGGAGGCGATGACGACGGGACCGGAGACGCCGTGGACGATTCCAAAGTTGGATTCGCGGTGTTCGTCGCGGATCTACGGGCGAGAGCATAAGATGGGTAAAGGTTAGGGTCTTTTTAAGAGCCGATTTGGATCGGAGGAGAGGAATAGGACTGACCTTGGGGAGATCCCTCTTGGCGTTATCCATAGCTCCTGCCTGTTTGCGGTTTACAGTTTCAGATCCATCAGAGGCATTAGAGGTTCATTGAGCAGCAACGTTCGTGGGGGTTGAAGATTACGTGTGATTGGACGACGGAAAACAAGACCAAACGGGATCAGCATCGTTACGAGTGACTCGGTCTGAAGGTTATGAATGGCAGGTAGCAGGACGGTATCGAGCTCGAGATATGACGACCTCGTTTCGTGTCCCGCCCCCGACCTGGATAGTCAAACTCGGAGCTGGACACTGACCATGATGTATGATTTCCTGGAGGTGGTAATCTGCTGATAGGTTTGGTCTAGGTTGTTCTATCGATCCGAGTGAGAAGAGAATGCAGCGGGATGCCCTTTGATGCTCGATCACCACTACTACCACCATCACCACCACCCTCATCACCATCATCGCTCGTCGTCGTCATCCTGGCTCGCTCGCTGGATCAGACCCGAGACTCTAGGCGATAGGTAGGTAGGTATCTGATGGATGTAATAGCGAATATTCGTTGTGCGGGGCAGCGGGCTCGAGGGCTCGACTCGGCTCGGCTGACTCAGCGACGACCCCGAGGATTCGATGACCAAACGATCTCACAGCTCATGAGCCACACGAGAGGAGAGGTCGAGGTTGATAGCACCGTATCATGCACGCCTGTGCGAGTCTACAACAGTAATATTTCAAGTAATTTCTGGATCCACATCACTCGTACAATCATAGAAATCGACGGTTGAGCCGTACGAAACAGCGATCCTCGTCCGCCGGATCAACCGATACCCCACTTCCGGACAACCTCGAGCTCTCTCAATCTATACAAGCGAAGCAGACGAATCGACGGACGATGACTACCGCATCGCATCGCAACCCTCATCCGACTCAGGTGACATCCTCGGATCTCGCTATCCTGGACTATCTCACCGGACCTTCGAACCCATCACATCGTTCTCAACGCTCTTCAAGCCAGGGTCAGGGTCAAGGAAAAGGCCATGAGCATGGTCACGTCGCCAAGGAAGTGACCTCTGATGCGACGACAACAACGACCGGGAAGAAGCTTCCTAGGCGGGAACAGCCGTTGGACCCCTTGTTGATCAGCGCAGTGATCGAGGGTAGCGCCCCGTTGGCGACTCGTAATCACTTTGGGCACGAATTCCAGAGTGAGACTCTATCTCTCTTTCGATTTGCCATGACCTTGTCTTTCCAGTATCTCATTACATTCATTCGCGCTTAGGTCTACCTCGTCGACTGCCCGGCTCGTACGCGACCTGCGACGACCCTTCCCTCTCGCCCGCTTCCTCCCCCCGATCCTCCTTCAACAGCTCCACACGACCCAACAAGAATGCCATGTTCATGCGCTCTCAACAGGCGCCGAGGAGGGAGAGATTGAGGATGGAGGCAGAGTTGTCCAACGGCCATGGGACGGGGGGACAGGTTCATAAGCGGTCTGGCTCTGGGTCAGGCGCAAGCGGGAGCGGGAGTATGGGAATGAGGGGAGAGGTAGCGGCGAGTGGAGGAGGGATGAGGACGATCATGGAAGATCACGATCAGTCGCAGTCGCAAGTTTCGGCGGAGCAAAACGTCGTGGCCTCGAACAACAGGGAGGACGAATCCGCCCTCTCTACTTCTCCCGGATCGACGAGGGAGATGCCCGTCCCGGCCCCTTCATCCTCGTCATCGTCCAAGTTCCCACGGAGGAGAATGTCTGTCGACCCGGGGACCATCTCGGCGAGCTTGCAATTACAGCATCAACATCCATCCGGGTCCAACTTGTCCAGCTCTCCACCGACCTCGACCACGTCCAGATCGTTACATCGATCCGGCTCGATGGGCCAGTCTCAGGGACAAGGGCAAGGCCAGGGTCTGCGTCCGCCCCGTTCGTTCTCGCAATCCAGACCCGCACCCGAGCGCCAGCAACAACAACAATCCTCTTCGGAATCCACTGTCGAACCGCTCAAGATCCAATGTCGAGCACGGACCCGTGTCCCTACGCCGCATGGTGAGATCTTCCTCCACCTCTACGTCAACAATCACGACAACAAGGAGCACTTGGCGATCGTCGTCGACCCCGTCCAGCTCGACCCGATCCGAGCTCAACAGGGTCACACGTTGATCGGCGCGAGGAGACCAATCAGAAGCAAGACGCTCGATGCTGTTTGGAGAAAGGATGAGACGGACATGGAACGGCTCGTCAGGGGTGCTTATGTGGGCAGATTGACGACTTCGGGAGGGAAGACGTCCGAGCCGAACGAGGGCGAGAGGGCGTTCGTACCGTCCGGCGACTTTGGGTCGAAAGGCACGATTGAGACGCCGAATGCCACCGACGTCGATCCTCTGGTGAGGATCCACTCCGAGTGCTATACAGGAGAGACGATCGGGAGTATGCGGTGTGATTGTGGGGAACAGTTGGACGAGGCGTTGAGGCAGATTTGCGAGGACCAGATCGTGCTCCTCCGCGAATCCGCTCGAGAGGGATTAGCCGCCGCTGCGACCGGCGATGGCAAAACCGGTTCACAGAACAACGTGTCGATCGGGGGCAACGTCAACATCGTACGAGATCTCAGCGATGCGCTCGCAGGCGTAAACGTCGACATGCATATGGACCGAAGGGAAGATAAAGATATGCAGGAAGACGACGAGATGGCCGGAGAGATGGAGATGGATCTCGATGTCGTCAGTGATGTCGTCGGCGAGGAAGCCGTCACCAATGCACCGGGGACGACAGCGGTCTCCACTCGCGCATCGACGCCTTTGAGTGAGACCGCCGTAACGGGACGGGGACAGCATGATCGCAATCTCGACGTACATGGTCATGAACATGGTCACCGGCATCGACTCTTCCTTCCTGGTCGGGGCGTTATCGTTTATCTCCGTCAAGAAGGTCGAGGTATCGGGCTATTGGAAAAGATTCGCGCGTACAACCTTCAAGACCTCGGTCACGACACCGTCTCGGCCAACCTCTTGCTCGGTCACGGTGCTGACGAACGCAAATACGATATCGCCGCAGAAATCTTGCGCGACTTGGGTCTGGGTGGCGACGAGCACAACAAGATCCGGCTCTTGACGAATAATCCGGAAAAGATGCAAGGTCTTTCCAAGGAAGGGATCCATATCAGCGAGAGGGTCGGGATGGTTCCGAGAGGATGGAAGACGACCCATCGGGGCAAGCACGGCCGTCGCCAAGCTCGTAAAGGCTTACGTGGAAGCAAAGTCAGGAACGCCATCATGGGGGATGTCTTGTCCCAGTCGCAAGAGAGAATGCCTAGCATGGACGAGGATAGCTATGGAACGGGCGAAGGGAGCAGTGAAGATGACGAAGAAGTCTACGAAGATTGGAAGGATCGACGCGGAGGCGCGACGCTCATCGGGGGCGGCGCCGCAAGAGGTCCCGAATTGGAGCGTTACCTGCGGACAAAAATCGAGCGGATGGGTCACAGTGAGTGTCGACGTTATTGGGGATGCATTGTCGCTCGGTCGTTGATCCGTCGAGCGCTTTCGCCATTTGCAGTGATCGATATCCCATCAGGATCTAGCTGAAAGAGGCTGCAGGATAATAGACATTATTGAATATAGCTTGGGCCGAGTATCAGGCTTATGTACAAATGAGGGACATTGTATAGTCAGTCTCTTGATGCAGAACCTCGTCTCCCGCCGAGAAAGCCCTTGCCACGCCCGGCTCATCTCGCCCAGGGCGTGTCCCCGTTAGAGCGCAAAGCTTGAGGTGTCGACGCGTTCAGCAACTCAGCCAGTGTACCTCTCCGTGATTCTCTTTCAAGGCTACTATCGGTTGAACAGCCTCCTGAAGCGGTTCGGCTCCGAGCAGCGTTCGGATGGTCTCTTGGGCCTCTCGATTCAGATGACGCAATACCTTCAAAGTCTCTTGCGTGTGACCGCTAGCGGTCAGGTGAAAGTACTGTATGGCTGGAGGGTTTGCTCTCGATTTGTCGAAGACCGGCGACGGGTATATGTGACACGGTGCAGATTTACCGCAGAGATCGAACCAGATCGTGACGAGTACTTTGTGGGTTGCAGACGGCATGTCAATGCTTGAGACAGCGAGATTGCTGCGTGCCCCTTCTGTCTCGCCAGCGCCCTGATTGTGAAATAGTACCGAGACGTACGAGATGTCTGCTGGGTCGAAAGCTTGATTTCCAACGGGGCAGTCCTCGCTCCAAAGGACAGGCAGAAGAGCATCCCAGCATTCTTGTTTCGGCTGGCCGACAATCGCCGCTTGCCTTGTGTAGGCTTCAACCACTGTCGCAATGGGCATCTTCGTCGCGTCGTGAAATAGACGATGGGAGCGCGCGTAGTGGGTGAAGTTAATCCAATAGTCCTTTGTGTGCCTCAACAGCTGAGCGGCTTTAGCTCTCTCTTCAGGTGTTTCGAAGAACAGTTCTTTGAAGAATTCGCTCAGCCTGATGGGGGCGGTTCGTTCGAGCAACGATTTCTTTCGTGAAACAAAGTCAGTAGCACTTGTTAGACAGGTGCGGCCAACTTCTTCCCCAATTTCCCCTGAGGTCAGTCCATGTTCTTGCTTTGCTTCCAGGACGTACTGAAGTGCACTGTTCCAAGCTTTGACTGGATTTTGCCGGAATAAGGCAGCCGCAGCTAGACTGTATCTCATGAGCCATTAGCGTGCGTCAGTTTCCTGATCTTGGTATTCACCGCTTTACTGGCGGAGCTCACCTCAGCAGCGGTTCAGAAGGACTGCTTGTCCTTACTTCTCTGACTCCTGGCAATACTTTGGCAAGGCGGCGTAAATGATTCTTGACAAGGTCTACTGCAAATTGCGCTGGAGATCCCGTTGTCTCTGTCGAGATGGACTCAGGTATCGGTCGGCCTATGTGCAAATGTCAGCGTCAAACGGTTGTCCGAAGCGTTCGCGTCATCGGGCAGTGCACACCCTGTAGCCCAACTAAAGTCAAAGGCATACGCTGCGAAGTAAGAGCAATTGTCTGCACACAGGAGGTATGCCATTGCTCTCGCGACGTGGTCTTGAGAATCTTCGTGATGAGCAAGTCCATTGAGGTTTCGGTGATCTCCTGATAAGGAGTATCGTTCAATAGAGGTCTACCCATTTTGGGCAGCCAACTGAGAAGATCACAATGTTTAACGGGATCGCCTTGACCGCTGAGGATCTCAGCGTATCTCTCTTCGTCCGCGCGAAGGGCAAGATTTTGCGGCAGCGCGAGGAATGGCTCCATGAGTTTCTTGTTCACGCTGGTCGGTCGGGCTGAGCTGAGCACCGGGCCATCGTTGTAGGTCAACGCGATCTCGGTATTGGTGTCCAGGAAGAAGAGGAAAACACCATGGGTGTATGACCATAGCCTACGCAATATGTGCAAGCGTTCTCCTAGGGAGCCGCATTCATCGATGGCGAGATGAAAGTACTCGCTGGAATCGCCAATGAAATCGGTAATGTGTTGAAAGGCGTCGTCCAAATCTTTCTGGAAGAATCCCGCCGCACTGCTAGCTTCTGAGCCCTGTTTGTCCCCTGTGCTTATATAGTACTCATCCATCGAATAGCACGACTGCTCTCTTAAAGTAACGGCTGTGCGAGTCACGTTCTCCAGCAGTCGGTGCCTCAAGGACGCAAATGAACCCTCTTCGAATTCGGGATTGGGAGACGAAACGGGTGACATGCTGACGGACTCCGGTTTTAGCAGTTCTGCGACACGTGACTTGTAGACTGCCCATAATTTTGGGTCTCTTTTCGCCGCGGCTGAGTCCGTGTGGTTCCGTTTGCAGAACTCGGTGAAATCCTCTCGGTAGAATTCCGCTAACTTTCTAGCCAACGCGATCAACCAAGTTGCGATGATTCTAGTAGAATGGAAGAATCCTTCAGACGGAGCCAGGAGATCGTCGGCGACGATATCATCTCGGGGCGGTATCGAGGTGGAAAGTGGTATGCCGTCTCTGAGCGCGACTTTGGGTCGAACGCAGACCAACATTCCCAATCGTGACCGACTGAGTTCCATGACAGTCCTGGTCTTTCCCGACCCGGAAGATTGAAGAATTGGGATCACGTTGGCGTAGAAATGCCTTGCAGAGGTTTCGCTATTATCAACCTGTTTTTTGTAGTACAGGACCCACTCATCCAAAGTACCGGCTCCGCCTCCCATGTAAGGTCTCGAGAAATCCCTTGCGATGATAGCAGGATCAACGACGGGGAGAGGATCCCTTTGAGGGACCCCGCAGGCTCGCTCGAAAATTTGATTGAGCGTGCCGTCGAGAGGGATAGGAGTGTTCAACTGTTTCATTCGACTTGCCAGCCAGCCACGTCCACTCGGTGAAATCTCCCAGATTCCTTCGAGCCATGCTGGAGGTCGAAGTTGTTTCCTGTTCGACGAGCATAGATGACAGACTAATTCTATTGCTTCGAGGATGTCGGGTACGTCGGGGAGATCAGACAAGGGATAAGGATCAGGGCCGCGCTCCGATAGGCTCTGCGCCAGAGCCTCGAGTTGGGACTGCAAGTCCATCAGTACCATGTGCAAAGTCCTTCCGGTGTCCACCCTAGCCGCGATGTCGACGACCCATCTCATCAAGGGGTCTCCGTGCAAGTAACCGTCTTTGGTCCCCGCCATGGGCAGATCGTGTTCGTCCATCCGGGCTACTCTGTATCTCAAGAACGTTGTTGACTTCTGGTGTACTAGCCTGTAGGGAAAATGAGCCTGTGACGACTTCCCGGAGAAAGCTGTACCTGAACTTACAGTCCTGATACGGATGTCTTGTTCGATTGCGGTCGGCCGGTCGATTATCCGCAAGGGGGGTCCAAAGGATCTGTCCGTTGATCTGTCTAGACGTCTGGCGGGATTTGTTCTAGGCGATAGGACGACGCTGAGATTTGGAGGTAAGCATTTGCACGAAGACCGGCTCTGAATATCGATAGTGGCTAGTGGTAATGATGATGCGATGATCGATGCGATGATGATGGGTTGGCCCCTCCCTCGCTCCCCCGTCGGATTACGTAAACGTGCATCGACAAGCCTGAGCTGCTGCAAGGTTATTAGCTAGTAGCTAGTAGCTAGTAGCTAGTGGGGTCACTAACTCGAGCGGCTGGTACTTGATCCATGATCCATCGATCATCGTACAACTTGCACTTAGAGCACTGCTCACTGGCACTCGGACACCGACCGCACCCAATCTTGCAACAAGATGGCGACCGAATTGACACCGGCACAACAGCGTCAAGCACATCTCGCCAGGCTCAAAGGTGCCGTCTGGGCTTCTCGACATTCTGCGTCACACTCAAAAAGCTTTCAGGTCCGCTGACAATAACCGATGAACCTCTTCTCGCAGCCAAGAACAAGTTGAAGCAGGACGCTCAGGCTATCAAAGCCACGAGAAAGCCTGCCAACTTCGTCAACACCACGCCTCATCAACCATCATCCAGCAGGAACGCCGCTTCGGGAGTACAAGCTGCCGCCAAAGACCTCAAAGATACCCCTGCGCCTCTGCCTAGGGATTCCAGGCTCGGCAAATATTTCGAATACGACTTGAGCAAGCTGCACAACTCCAAGGGAGGATTCTTGACAGAGGAGGATGGAGATGCTAGGCAGACGATGGCGGCGATCCAGAGGGAAAAGGCGAGGGAGAGAGCACGGATCGCCGCCGGCGAAGAGCCTGGTCAGTCTTGTCATTTGCCCGCTGACAGCTCAGGTTGTACTCGTGTGCTAACGACTCTCGCTCGTCTTGCCACGTCTGATATTCTCTGCCTTCAACAGCCATCAATCCAGAGACGTCGCCGAGATGCGCCATCTGTGGCAGCCTGGAGCTAGATCACGAATTCCTGCGGGTCAGTGATGTCGGTAAAAGGGGGAAAGGTATCCGTTATCTTATTTTCCTCCGCCGCACTGATGCTTCCAGGTGTTCGGAGTACGAATATGTAAGAAGGACAAGAAGGACCACCCGGAACAATATTCACTGCTGACCAAGACGGAATGTCGAGAGGTATGCAGGCGACCTTCTACCGGTACTTTATCGCCACCGATGCGGTGTACTAAACCTTGGCCGCCCGTAATATCCAGGATTATCTTCTCACCGAATCAGAACTCCGTGATCCGGCCCTTTTGCCTCACCTTCTCAAGCCCAACCCGCACGCCTCAAATTACAGCAACATGATGCTCTACCTCCGCATACAAGTGGAAGAAGTCGCTTGGAAGAAGTGGGGTGGACCCGAGGGCCTTGATGAAGAATGGGAGAAGCGGGAGGATGTCAAACGCGAAAGAAAGGTCAAGAAGTTCGAGGACGGATTAAAGGCGTAAGTCGACCTCTCAAACGGAAAAACCTTGCGCAATATCGAGATGCGATCTGACAAGATCTGACTTGCAGCCTACGGAGAAAGACCAAGCACAATGCTTATCAGGTCAGGCAAGATGCCGAGCATCAACACGAGTACGAAGATATACCGACCGACAACCCAGAAATCATCCACCGAACGTGTATCGAATGTGGGCATTCACTCGAAGTTGAGGTGATGTAAACCAGGAAATCTACAGTGCGTTCAGCTCATCGATGGTACCCCCCATCCTCGACGACAAGACATCAACTCAGTATAGGTAGGTATTGGACCGGATATGCAATGTGGTTTCTGACATTCGGCGAAGCTGATCGTTGGCCTGCTTGTCAAAACAGCTCGATGCCAAATTTATAAATACGTCAATCCGTACGGTAGAATACTCGCTCAGGGTGACTTGATTCTCATCGGGAAGCATGCGGCCTGTCTTCTAGTAGATGAAGGATTTCATCTTGGATCATCTCCGCGCAGGGAGAGGATAAGGGATCTCATCGGCACGAGATAGGGCCATCGTCAGATTAACGGTTAAGCGACACTCGGCGAGCGTCTCGCGCTACCCGCTTCGAGACGCATACGCCTCTGGCAGACACATCGCATCAATCGCATCTCGCAGCGTTTGCCGTCCATACTTGCCCTCCTGTTCTTAGGCCAGCAAAGAGCTCGACCCAGAACGATGTTGTACTAAAGAGTCTGATGTGTATCGAGCTGTAAACGTTTCCACGTAATTTGTTCGGTATATAACGCTTCACAACACAGGGCCCCTCAAATCAAGAACTGAAAGATTTTCGATGCCATAGCCCTCGTATAACTTTCGTCAGGATTGCGTTGGCAGTGAGATTCGATCCAGTTATAAGGCTCCAGAAACCTTTTTGTATACGGCGGGATCGTTTCGAATCGTCTACAGCGTGACAGGCGGAACTGCTCTTCATGACAAACACAAAACGATATGAAAGGAGGACATGAAGGTATGTCGGAGGCAATGACATTCAGAGTTTTATGGGGTCGTGAGGGATCTATCTGTGCGAGATGCGGAATCGCCTAGAAGTCGTCATCCTGCATCGAAAGAGAAGCGCGCGTCAGTAGCCGTCCGCCTGCTCGTATGCGTACAGCCAAGACTGACCTCATCAGGCAAAGGTGCGGCAGCGGCAGCCTCCAACTCCTTCTCGTAGATGGCCTGCTGAGCGGCGTCGATCTCAACCTCGGCAGGACGGAGGGCAGGAGCAGCGACAAAGTCTAGTTGGGGGTTACTGTGAGAATACACATGCGGTCAGCGTCAGTCTCGATGCCACAAAAAAGACAGAGCGGCAGGTCGACTTACCCAACCAACTTCCTGGCCAACCACAAGAAAGGCTTCTCGAAGTTGTAGTTCGACTTCGCCGAAATCTCGTAGTACTGCAAGTTCTTCTTGCGGTGGAAGGTGACACCCGAAGTCTTGACCTTTCGCTCCTGCTCACGTAAACGTCGAAGTATATCAGGAATGTGACATGCGAGAGTCTGAAAGTGCTTTTCGTCCTGGGGCTTACCTTGACGTCGACCTTGTTACCACACAGAACGATAGGAATGTTCTCGCAGACTCGCTCCAAGTCTCGGTGCCAGTTGGGAACGTTCTTGTAGGTGATTCGGGAAGTGACGTCGAACATGATAATACCACATTGTCCTGTGGTAGAGGCAAGAAGACGGACATGCGAGTGTCAGCTCCCGTATTCTTGGAAGACGAAGCAGGAGAAGAGCAGCGTTGACGAACCCTGAATGTAATAACCGTCCCTCAAACCTCCAAACTTCTCCTGACCGGCGGTGTCCCAACAGTTGAAGATAATGGTACCGTAGTTGGTGTGGAAGTTGAGGGGGTGGACCTCGACACCGAGAGTAGCTGAGGCGAAAGGGGGTGCGACAAAAGTTGGCCTTTGGCATCGACAGGGACAAAATGGCGTTCGCAATGGACCCACCAATGTATTTTTTCTCGAACTCTCCGGTCAAGTGTCGCTTGACGAAGGTGGTCTGAGGCGGCGGAAACGGATGAGGTTGGCGGTAAAGTGATTACGACCGGATATGATCAGCTTCGCTCGATGTCACGATCAGCTGAGGTCGGTCAGCTTACCTTTCCGGTACCACCGTCACCACACAGAACCAACTTGAAGGTAGGGACGTTTTGCTGTTGAATATTTCACGATCAAAAGTGAGGCGGGTCGGGCACGAAGCAAAGACAACTTTTGTCGTCAGCTCCACCTTGTCGGTATATTCCGCCGAGCTCGTGCAACGGCAGAGGCACTGACCTCGGCCATTTCGTTTATTCCTACGGATGATATGTCTCTGTCTGGGAAAGTTGTATGGGAAGATCAAGTCGTGATATCGATCCCAAAGGCTTTACAGGTTGACGGACGCTGCTAGAGAATTTGACCAAGTCGCAATGTTTACGCTGAGCTGGGAATGGCAAAGCGATGGCTTTCGAATAGGAAAATCGCTTTCTCACGCGTCAACGCGTCTCACCTTAACGTCAAGAAGTCATCGAAGATAGCGAAGTCAAACTTGCTTAGCCGGATTTTTGGCTTGCTCAACGGAGTCAGGCTGATTGCGTATATGATTATGATGTTTCTCTACAAATTAGATCTGTTAACGCTATAGTAGGTCGTGCGGTCTGCATCGATTATATGCAGAGTCATGTTCACTAGCACGAGTCGGCGAGTAGTGGAATCTATCCCATGTTGTCACTCTTTGCGGGAAGCTACATCCGCAAGGCATAAACCGACGCACACGATTGGCACTCGGTAAAAGGATCTTACAATCAGATTCTGCCCGAGGGAGCAGGTCCAGCGATGCCCATAGCTGTCAAGAGTGACTCGAGATCCTTGCCTTCCCCAGCTCCTGAAGGCGAATTCGCCGATACGTCCACATTGCGGACGCTCGAGATCACCCTCCCGGTAGGCAGATGAAAATTCATCCTGCGATCGGTTTGAATAGGACTGACCGAGGTGATTTGGTCGCGAATGGGCCCTTGTGAAACAACCGGGGGAGCAGTGCGCGCCTGTCGACCCTGACCAAGGCCCGACGCGGTGGACGCCTTGTCGCATAGGACCCTCTCGGGTTCGCATGGCAAGACGACCTCTCTATCCGAATCTTGATGAGACCCCGCATCATGACGGTCGAACGAGTCCATCAGCAGGTCCTTGCGATTTGCTTTGTTTCGCTGAATCCTGCTTCCGTGGTCATCGGATGAACGAGTCGGCATGGTCTGTTCAGACGAGCTGTTGTTGCGATCACGAGTCTCGCTCTTGAGAATGGACCTAACCGGCTTCCTACGAGGAGGCGTAGTCATTTCGTTCATTCGTTTCGACCTTGGCATATGTTCCGGAGCCGGGAGGAGGACTCGTTCGGGCGACGAAGGAGCTGTAAAGCTGACTGCGGATTGCGAGGGGACAACCGTCTTGACATGGCCATCGTCACGCTCGCGGCGAGGCGTTCGCATGGCTGATGGGTTCGAATCGTACTCAAAAGACGAGGACAGCTGAGAGCCGTCTTGGGAAGACGATCTAGGTGGACTCTTGGACTTTGGTTGAGGTGAATTCTGATGGTAGATGGCGTCTTGTATGATACTCTCGGTGACGCTAGCAGATGAGAATCGAGGAGAAGTGTTCGAACCAAGCGTTTTGATCGAGACAAGGGAAGTGGTGGGAATGAGGCGTTCTAGACGTTCGTGGATGATGTCATAGTTGGGGTCGTGATGGTTGGAATCTTGTTTGAGAGGTTTGGTACCCCTGTTATCGTAAGTGACGGGTCGTGTCGTCAGGGTAAGGCTCCCGGGATAAGCGGGATAGAGTCGTGTTTCGCCGGTATAAGGTCGCTTAACGAGAGGAGAGATAGGTTGCGAGAGCCCGGCGGGAATGGAAGGTTGAGAGTATATCGAGGTGGGGGACGTCATTCGCTGGAGAGAGTTCTGGGCATGAGATCTGTAGACGTAGCCCACTTCCATGGGCGGTCCGAACCCCTTTTCACACGACGGAATCGAAGAGAGATTCGAATCCGGCCTGATCCGCTCCGGAGACCCTTGATACAGGGTAGGAGCGACCGTGCTCTGAGCTTTTTCCGAATCATGGATGAGGAACTTGGTACTAGCATAAGAGCTCGACCCGATGACCGAATAGGCCTCGCCATCAAGCGGATGAGACCGATGAAGGCTGGTCGGGCAATCGAACCAGGTCGAGTTCCTCCTTCGCCGAGTGGCCTTCTTCCAGCCGTTCTTGAACTTCTCCTGTAGAGCAACATCGCCCTTTCTCTGACCACCGTGGCCGTCATCGTCTATAGCTCGACGGAGCCTCCAGATCTTGAAAGCCCAGAAGAGCGCTCCCAACGCCAAAATCGACCCGGCAACGATACAGCTGATGATGATGGTTGATGTCGAAGTGGATGCTGGATTGTTGCCGGCGCCCCCTCCGAGACCAGATGTATAGGGAGAAGAGACGTCGGTCGTGTGCGTATGATCTTGATGAGGCCGCTCTTTCACCTTTTCGGGCTGGAGAAACGGTGGAATCTCGACGTCGGGATCGCTAACCGGTGTGGCAAATTCCCGTTCGATATCGTTGGGATCCGACTGGATTACCAATTCGTTCAGATGCGACCTTTTAGGCTCGGGGTTGTACCCTGACTGGAACGGATCGGTCCAGCTGGAAGCCATGTTTGGATTGCCTGATGAAGACGTACATCGATTCAGTACGTCAACCACTTCATACGGAAAACTATACCACAGGCTTGTTACTGACATTTGCTGATAGGATCGTATAGAGTAGAGAGACAAGGAGAAGTAGATGCAGGCGCCGAGTAGTGAGGGTCGTGTGACAATATGAAACGTAGGGAACCGGTCGTTTGACGATTCGCCCGGGCGAAGCCGAGAAGAAAAGAGCGTGTTGTCGTAAGGAATGTAGAGGATGGTACAGCTATAAACTGCTAACCGGATACGCAGTCGAGAGGCGAGAAGGTGGGTTTCGTAATGGAGCCTGTTGTAGCTACTCTGTAGCTTCCAAGTTGATGTTTATAGGACCAACGACTTGAACATCGACACTTTGTGACGGAGACGACCGAAGCGTCGATTCGGTCTGACGACGAGCGCTCTGCTTGCTTAGTCAGCATGCCTCATGCGCTAGCTACCTCTTGCATATCTCAAGGACTTCAAGGAACGTCAGAAACTCAATGACCTCGCGAATGTCACACCAGATCGCAATAATGACCACCTCACACTTATGGCTGACCAGTATCGAAAAGTCATGAAATTGATCAATCTACATTTGACGGGCAAATATCCAACAGCGCTGCTTCGGCGACCCCGGTCTTATACCTTTGCTCGACTGTCCCAACGATCGCGTTTCGACAAAACGCACATCAAACGTCAGCTGTCCGGGACAAACACCTCACTCGTTGGATCGAGTCAATCCGAGACTCACCGACCCGTCCTGCCGAAATAACTCTTCAGAACCCAGACCTGCGCGAATGCGATTCCTGCGATGGCGAGGGATTCCAGGATTGAGTACCAAAAGATCCTGGATTCCGTGGAAAGCACCGTCGAGTGATTTCGGTGATGACGGGTGTGGAAGCTGCGTGAGATGCCCGTATGGAGCCATGTTCAGGACAGAAATTCAGGGTGGCAGATGGAAACGGCAACCGGATCACTGACTATTTTTGAGTTCGCACGAGATTACTCAACATGCCGTTCAACTTGTAGATGCTCTCTTCCAAGCTCGACGTGTGTTCCGCGATGGATCCTTGTTGGACGGGCAAGGATCGACGGGGCTCTGATTCGACCATGATGCTGTATATCGCATGAGTCAGAGAAGCAGGAGCAGGAAGACGGATCAGGTGATGGAAAGGAGGGGTGTTTAGTAGGGCAAGGGAAGATCTTGTTGGAGTCTAGACCGCCAATCGCGTTGGGCACTCACTCAAAATCGATAAGTTTGGCAGTCATACTCGACTCGTTCTCGAAACAAAACGAATATTCCCCGACCTATCGCGATCAAAGGGAGGTTCCAGGTGAGATATCAGACATGATTCCGATGATAGCAACACCACTATGGCCCTCGCGACACGGCTGGGTTGCGGTACTAACGGTGTTCGCGGTAAAGATATAATCCCCCTGTCTCTCCCCCGTGCCCTCCAGGATGACCTTTTCCGAGGGACTTTGTACCGTATAATCTATATCAAACGATCCTCCTGATTGAACAGAGAAGTAGAAACCTGGTAAAATTCATCGCGGTGATTGCATTTCACGATAGGTCAGTTGAGCCGTGATTACCAGGTTCGACCGAGGTCAGGAACATAGGGATTAGACTAACCGACTTTCTCGCCAATGCCTGCAGGTCGCAAAGAGGCAGGCCCTGTCAGCTCCCTCTATCTTATTTGATGATCGCTACAACCGCGACACCCAGGAATATTTACGTACCATCGACATCCGCATAGAAACAGCTCTTCTCGTTCCCCTGCAGGTACGTTGTCAAAGCCGTCGCGCTGCTGCCCTGCGCACCGAACAAGAGGCACAAGAGCGTGCTAGCGACGATGAGTTTGGACCAGCAAATCCGGCTAGCAAGTGATGAACCAGCCATTGTTCCGTCTGTCATGGAGATGCGTTGTGCGGATCGTGCTAAGTGAGTCTATGGCTCGATACGTTGATCTGGTCAGACAGGGGTCCGCTACTCGCCTGAATGAGGTCCTTGAGAGCGTCGTTGAAAAGACGGTCGCGGTCGGGTTTGTGACTAGATCGACGAGGCTGCTCTGTCAATGTCCCGAGTTCGAGTATGCTATCGAGTAGTTGTACGATTTGCACAAGAGCTGCCATTCCTTGCGATCCATCACGATGATCTGATGATCGACTCTGGACGTTGCAACGGCCTCCCCCTTGGAGGTGGAAATATGGAGGACAGGGTGGGCCGAGTACGAGTGGTTGTCGGATGCAAATTCGCAAATAATTGTGGTTGCTTGCTCTCTACACTACTTCTCGACTGCTGCTCATTCTTGCTCGCCACGATTCACAGACTTCTTCCCGTGTCATCCTCACAGCTGATACGCTTAGGGATAGCACACCATGGCGAGAAAATCCAAGGACCCGAGAAAGCCGTCTCAGGCCTACCTGGCCGCCACGGGCCAGCTGAAACCTGTTACCACCGAGACCGACGCATCACCAGCGACTCCCGTTAAGACACAGCCAACCACACCCTCTTCCTCATCAACAAAACCTGCTGCTGGCGCAAAATCTACACCAGTAAAGAAGGCTGTTATTGCTCCAACGACGAAATCGAAATCGAAATCGACCGAGAATGAGGACGTCTTGAGAAGGGAGATCAAGGCTTTGGGCGGGGACGATCAGGATTGGGAGATGCTCAAAGATCTCAGCGATAGCGAGGGAGAAGAGCCCCAGGTCGAGGTCGAGAAAACCAAGAAGAGTGCCAAGGACAAGACGTCAGGATCGTCTACACTGGAAGTAAGTTGAATCATAGCCCATTCCCGTAACTATTGGCCGTTCTTGCACGTTATTTGGGCCGACTTTCTGACAAATGTCGCTGCGTGCTGTAGAAATCGCTGAAGAACGAGTTGACGGCGTTCATGGAAGGACTAGACTTTGCAGCGGTCGCGCCTGGGGATCATGCCGTGGATGACGAAGACGAGGAGGAGGAAGAGGTCGAGGATGAGGAAGAGGAAGAGGAAGCCTCTACGGAGAGCGAGGAGGTTTCAAGCGAGAGTGCGGAGGAGGATGAAGAAGAGGAGGAAGAGAGCAGCGAGGAAGACGAAGGAGAGGAAGAGGAAGAGGAAGACGAAAAGCATGTTTCCGATGTCAAGCCCAAGACGGTGAAAGAAGAGCCCGTCAAGCCCCAGGAAGAGATTGCCGGATTCGTCAAGAAGTCTGGTTTGGCTAATACCGAGTATGCTGGAATCAACGTGAGTACAGTCAGACCGCTTCGACATTCAATGCACAATATCTGATACGAATAGGTTTCCGAATCGACTTCAATATCAGAACATCCCGTATACCCCCCTCTGGACGCAAATTCCTACGGCGGAACTACCTGAGCCTGCCGTCCCTCTCGAACCCCTCGCACAATTCCGACTCGCCGCCCTTCAATCCCGAGCTAACGCTCTCCTCACTCAATTTCGAGAAGGAACCTTTCCCGATTCGGGCAACGGTCGATCAAAGAACAACATGAAGAAGAAAGAGGTCGCCCTCGGGAAGACCTCGTCCGACGCGGCATTCTTGAAACAGATCTTGGCCGATGGTACCCATCAGGACAAGTTGTCGGCGTTGATCCTCTTGGTCAGGGAGAGTCCCCTGCACAGGATCGATGAGCTCGAGCGATTGAGGGTCATGGCGGGTGCTTCAGGTGAAGGTGGGATCAAGGGAGGTGGGGGTCGAGAAGAGAGGATGAGTGTGATGAGAGCTTTGGGGGATTGGTGGGTCTCGGGGGGAGGCAAGGAAGCTGGGAAACTCAGGTTAGTTCAAAACACGACGTGATGGACCTCGTTTTGAGTCTTTGTTCGCTAATTGAAACCCGCTTGTTCGATCAATCAGGTACCTCGCCGACCAACCGCTCTTGCCTCATCCGGCTTTGACCGATCGGCATCTTCTCCTCTTTGCCTTTGAAGATTGGCTGAAGAAATGGTTCTTTTCGATCTTGCAAATCCTCGAGGTCAGTCCAGGCCTTGGTAGCCTGTCAACCCTTGATCGAACTGAACCCATATTGTACTGTTTTCGGGTCGGCAGGTGTATATGCACGATACGGTGGCGTTCGTCAAGCTGCAAGCGCTTGCTATCGTTTTCAAGCTGTTGGCTGGCAACGCGGAGCAGGAACAGAACTTGTTAAGGTTGGGAGTGAACAAGCTCGTGAGTAAGACAGATTACACCTCGAATTGGTATTGTGGCTGAAACCATATACGATGGTGTTTCAGGGTGATACGGACAAATCGGTCGCGTCCAAGGCCTCGCACCTGATCTTGACCTTGCTTCAATCGCACCCAGCCATGAAGGCAGTAGTCATCCGAGAAGTTGCTGCCCTGGTCCTCAAGCCTCCTGCGCCTCCTCCAGTATCCGCTTCCAAGCATACCAAGTTTGACAAGAAGGACGCCAAGAAGACGGTCGACCCCCACAAGGCCGCCGCTGAGCACGCCAGGTATTACGGGATCATCACTCTCAACCAGATGACTCTGAGTGGGAAGGAACGAGACGTGGCCGCCCGTCTTGTCGAGGTCTACTTTGAGGTCTTCCGAGAGCTACTTGGTAGTAACAGCACCCTCGATAGCGAAGCCAAGGAGGAGGGCGCGGACATAACGCAGAAGGTTGCGGGCAAAGTACACAATTGGCAAGGGCGAAAGAAGGGAACGAGGAACGGCAAGAAGCGTGATGAAAAGAAGAAGGAAGGAGAGGTTGAGATGGGGGATGCCAAATTGGTAGCAGCGGTCTTGACCGGTGTGACTCGAGCTTTACCGTATGCTCGACTGGAGGACGAGGTGTGAGTGTTTCGATGTGCAGGCCGAGGCTACCTGGTAGAGATATCCTGACGTCCCGGATGCGTATTCTAGTTTCGAAAAGCATGCTGAGATGCTGTTCAAGATTACGCATACGGGAACTTTCAACATCTCGATCCGAGCTCTGACCCTGATCTACCAGATCTCTTCGCAGAAAGAGGTCAGTCAATCTATATGCGTCTCGCCTTTTCGTGTGTCACTAATCGAGGAGGGATCGTGGAACAGACTACCTCCGACCGCTTTTACCGAACCCTCTACGAGTCGTTGTTGGATCCCCGACTGACAGAGTCGAACAAGCAACCCATGTACCTCAACCTCCTCTTCAAGGCGCTTCGAGCTGATACCAATATCGGACGGGTGATGGCTTTCGTCAAGAGGTTACTGCAGGTGATGATGGGTCATCAGCCCCCCTTCATCTGCGGGGCTTTGTATCTTTTGGGGGAGGTAAGGACCTTCGGTCTGCGTTTCGATTGGATATATGACTGACTTAGCGTTCGCCTAACAGCTGTTCAGCACGACTTCTGGCCTGTCTACTCTCCTCAACGAAGCGGAGGACAGCGGAGTCGAGCACTTTGAAGATGTTCCCGAGGATGGGGAAGACAAGACGCAGAGGCCAAATGCTGTTGTTGATGACAAGCCTCTCAACGAATACGATGGCCGAAAGCGCGATCCTCTGTTTGCCAACGCCAAATCGAGCTGCTTGTGGGAATTGGTGAGCCGCAAAGGGAGTAGATAATCGGGTAACCAGGCGGCTCAGTATATTCTCCGACTGTGAATAGATGCCTTTCACAAGACATTTCCACCCCTCAGTATCACTTCAGGCAAATCAGCTTCTCGATCTTCGATTGCCGCTGTCGGGTTCCGCAGACATCGAGCAGAACACCCTCGTGGCGTTCCTGGACCGATTTGCCTACCGAAACCCCAAGAAGACAGTAGCGGCTAGAGGAGCAAGTATCATGCAACCTGCTGCCGTCGGACGATCTGGCGCAACTAGCGTCATCAAAGGAAAGGGAAGCAGAGTCGCTCAGGCGGATGGTTACGTCAACGACGAGAAGTTCTGGAATAAGAAGGTCGAAGACGTGCCTGCAGATCAGGTAAGCCGCTTCCACACATTGCTACCGGATCTATCAGCTGACTGCAAGGTGTTCTCTCACAATCAGCTCTTCTTCCACAAGTTCTTCTCGATCAAGCACGATCGTCAACGACAGATGGAGTCGGCCAAGACCAAGCGAAACAAGAAGGGAGAATCTGAATTCGGCGGCTCGGTCAAGGGTGAACCAACAGGCGATGAGAGCGAGGAGTCCGACGCAGAAGAAGCTGAAGTGTGGAAGGTGAGGTACTGTATGCTTTATTCTCCGAGAGGTATGAAACTGATTCATTGAGACGGGTACATAGGCTATGCAAGCATCCATGCCGCAGACTCAGGATGACATGCACCTCATGGAGGACAGTGATGACGATGATGTCGAGTACAGCGATGATGACGACGAGGACGAGGACCAGTCGGAGAGGGATGAGGACGACGTCGAGATGGACGCAGCCGACTCCGAGGAGGAAGCAGATGGTGCAGAAGGTAAGCGACTTGACTCAAGGTCATCGCGCGAGATATACGATTGACTAAGACTTCTCCTATAAACAGATTCGGAAGACGATTCGGACGATGATGCCGACTTCCCCATCGATGAAGACTCTGACGACCTTCTGGACCTCGACGACATGCCAAATATCCCTCTCACATCCGCCTTCTCTGCTTCCGAGTCTGAGGATGAGGAGCTTGACACGGGAAACAAGCGAAAACGAGGCAAAGACGAGAAGAAGGAACGCAAGAAGAAGAGAAAGCTTCCAACTCTTGCCAGCGCAGAGGACTATGCGGCGCTTATCAACGACGGTCCCGAGGAAGATTTGTAGCTGGAGCTGTACATGTGTATCACTTTGTATCCTTTCGAACATTTACACGATCGGAAACCCCGAAATCCAGCGACAAGAAAGAGCCGATCTCTGCAGTGAACGTTCCCTTGAATCTGGCCATTTTACTCCCTGTCGCTTCCTATCCGGCTGTCTATTGGGGCATCCCACTGCGTCGGTGTCATTACGAGGCTGCTTTCTTTTACTGACCAAATTGCCAGCTCGTGGTATAATGATGAAAAGCCATTCCGACTAACTATAATACAACCTTCGGGACACCCAGGACTGTTTGTTATTGTCCCGATCAAGCGATGGACCCCGACCCAAGCATGGACGGCTTCAACCAGCATCTATACCAGCCCGATATACCAGAGCAGAATAATCGTGCAGATCCCGACGACTGTACCGAGAATGACGGTATCTCTCCGTCGACGAGAGTTGATCATACCGAGCAGCGAGTTGATGCCAGGGAATGTACCTGAACATGGCGGTCGATTGCGTCATTGAAGTTAGTACGCATCATTTAGCGCAAGGGTGAGGCAAGACTTACTGATGATGCCTCCAACTCGCGAGTTGATGTTGGCGATGGTCGTCCTTTGTTGAGCGAAATCATCCCGAGTGGCGTAAGCTTGTCTGTGAAAGATTTATGTGGTTGAGCGGCATAGTTCCGCCGGAAAGTTATGCGATTAGTTCAAATTTGTGATTTCACACTGATGAAAGACGTCTCACTCTAAGATTTCGTCTGTCATTCGGTTGGAAGAATCGATACGACTTCGCTCGTTCAAAAGCGCATCGGTCCGACCTTGGTCGTGTTGCGGTAATGACGACTTGTATGCACTGGATTGAGTTCAGGTCATTTAGACTCTGAGTCGCACGCTCTCAAGACTGACTCAAATTCACTCACTTGATGTCTTTTCGGATGCTTCCTAGGAGATTCGTTCTAGCCATCGCAGACTCGACGTTTTGCTAAATGAACAATCGGGTAGATATAAGCTTCACGGATCCCTCACGAGCCCAGCCTTTGGAACTGACCCGTGTTCGAACGAAATCACGTCGATAATCATCTAGCACATCTCTATGTCGAGAAGCGGCATGCATCATCGAGGTCGATGGCGGGATATCAGGGGAATTCAGCAGGCCCGTTAGGTTGTCTATAGCTTCGCCGAGCTGAACGGTATGACAAAGAAGGATCAGCTCTATTTTCAAGGATTGACGGCGAGCTAATGACGAACCTTTTCTAGAAGCTCCTCTATCTCTTCCTCCATCAGCTTGTATCCACCGATGCCTTCTTCCTGTTCGCTCAACTTGTCCGAGCTCGGTCTTGGCGACCCAGAGCTGATCTGAGCTGCCAGCTTCGAGTACGAAGTGAGCTTGGTTTCGAGTCGTGCTTCCAGGGCGCGAGCATGCTTGCGGGTGTTCTCCCAGGACGTAGACATGGTTCCTATTTCTTCTTTCGTCGCGCTGGTCCTGACAGCATACCTTGGTATATTGATATCGTATGCGGTGGACAACTTGAACTTGCAACTCGAACAAGGGTGTCCCGAGAAGCTAGGTAGTGCCCTCGGACCCAATCTCGGGACTGGGGAATCACGTGACTACCTTGCGTGATCGCCTTCGACCTCTAGGATCCAAAGATCAGAGTGAGAGAGACACCTTCTGTACTTCTGTGATCTTTGTTTCTTGCTGAAATAGCGCCCTTGTACTTGTGAAAAGGTCAAGCGATCGACTGAGACACTATGGCCCCAAAGTTCAGGGTCAGACCTAGACGAGGTAGGCTGCTTGCGCGGGATCTCGCAGAGCCGTCGTCTCTTCGTACCTGCTGAAGAGCCTCTCTTTGCACAGAACAAATCGTCGTGCCCTGCACACCGGAACTCACCTCGCTACTAGCATGTTTCGCAACCTCGGGTGACCTACAACACAAGGCAGAATGTTCTGCCGCAGCCAAAAACCTGCACAAATGTATGGAGACTCGGCCGAAGAGCGGAAAAGGAAGGAAGAGCGAGGTGAGTTCGAACTTGATATCGCGAACGACGGGCTGATTCAGAGGGAGAAAGCTAATCCTCGACCCTTTCTGGTGCCTTTCCAGATCAATGCTCTGCTCTCCAAGATCAAGTAGAGCATGTGGAAGTGGAAACGACGAGAGCATAGAAGCAGGACGTCGAGAACGGGATTTGAAGCACGGCATAGCGACATTTAGGGGCGGGTACACCTCTTGTAGACCTCCATGTATCAACATCAATCAAACGGATCAGAGGACTGTATTCAGGCATATGGTTGCCGGACATTCGGGGTCACGGTGCACATCCAGGTTAAAGGCCATGCTTGCTCGATACTTTGCTTCCACTTGGGCAGTTCCGGCCAAAAACGTTGGCTTTTGTGCAATTGCTGATCGGTTCGGTCAGGCACGATCTGGGCTTGGGACAGTCTAGATGGGAAACCGGATTGATACAGTAAGATAGGTATGCATGGTGACGATGGTGAACAATTCGATTGAGAGAAAGAGTGAGGTTCGCAACCCCGGTTGGCTTCGCATCTGGATATCGCCAGTCCTGTTGTCGTCAATCAGGAACCACCGATTTTCTGAGATACGAAACAAAGCAAGGATCAGTTTGAACTCTACCACCTTCGTCGGAACGAGCAAATTGCTCACATAGGCACCGTAGTCCTTATCGGGGTCATACACTTCCCACCGCGATGCTGGGAAGATGTGTTTTGATCGCTGGTACCATGATCGTTCAACGACCTTTCCGGCATGCGACTGAAAGACCGACACCCTGTCAGTACGTGGAGAGTTGTCGAACGACAGAGCCTGCGCCTGCAAGACATACCTCGTCACGCTCCTTTGTGGCATCGTGCAGCATTCGCACGTCATCGTGCACGTCAAAGCTGAACAGAGGTCCAGACTTTCCTCGAGCCTTGTTGACAATGAAATCGTAGAAGGTATAGTGCTGCAGGGTTTTCATACCGATCGACGATTAGCGTCCAGTCAAGGCTTGACGAGAACGACCACAGGATGGCTCACGTGAGGGATGATGAGATCCTCTTTGATGTACATCATGTTGTCTACGCTTGTTCCTCGCAGTTCCGGGAACTGAGCTCGGCATTTCTCCAGGAATTGCCCGACGTTGTCACCTTTCTTGCACTGAGATCGGTCAAGCAGGGTTCAGCGGGGGCGCTCGAGCGTATGACTTAAAGGACGACTCACGTCTACCGTCTTTCGATGACCTGTACCATCCCAGTAACTGTACGTGATTTCGATCGCCTCGTTTTTCAGCTTTTCCTGCTTATCGAGCCATTCTTTTCGCAGTTGTTCTCGCTCCAGGCGTTCCCTAGCTTCCCGATCTCGGTCAGGGAGGAATGAAGTATCGATGGTAGGGTTCTTGGAGAGCTTTGCCTTTTTCAGCGGTGCCTCTATAAGTACAAGCAGCGAGGTCTCTGTCAGCACGTCCAAGATGACTTCGATGACAATAGTCTCACCTTCTGAATCGCCGTTGGATCGCTTCCTACTGCTTGACCCTGCATCCTCATCCTCCTCTTCCTCGTCGATATTGAAACTCAATGCGGGTCGCTCCTTCTTTTCCTTCTTCTTTTTCTTCTTCAGAGCCGACTTGGTCGCCTCTTCGTCTTGTTTTTGAGCAGCTTCTCTACGTTGAGCCTCTTCAATCTCGTTTCGCGTTTTCCGAAAGTCCTCGAGCGTTACGAGACCGATGGTCGACTTCTTGAGCTGCTCGTCCACGCCCTCGGTTCGCGAGGTGAATCTGGCAGCAGTGGTTTGGCTCCTTCGCTCGGTTTCCTGTACTTGAACAAAATCTCGTTCAAAAGTCTGCCTTCGTCAGCACCCCGAATGACTCATTACGAACCTGTTGCAAGGCCTCCTTCTGTCTAGCTATATCGTCCATCATATCCTTGCGCTGTTTTTCCAGCATCGCCTGCCGGCGGCCCTCGTCTTGATTGCTTGCCATACTTCAGCACCGGATCACTAGTCCTAAATCGCTACTTGACCGTCTGGAATCTTGCGAATGACCTTGTACGGCTGTAAGAAGAGGAAGACAGAGAGTTATTGAGTATTCATCATCTACCCTTACCAGACCTTACACTGGACCGACCAGGCGCGGGGTTTGGCTGGACATGCAAACGTTTTCTAGGTCCGTCTCGCGTTCTCCTTAGCGAAAGTGAGAGGCTCGAGGCAAACGCTCGTGGATGAGGTTTCAAGTCGATCGGAAATGAGGGCTCAAGTCTATAGAAAAGGTATATGTATATATGTGGTGTGGTATCGGAGAGGGGCAATATTACATGACAGCACGAGGAACGTGGCGAAAAGAAGCAACGAAGCATATTTAGACGTTTCAGGTTTCAAGCTCGATGGTTGCCCCAGCCGAGCGGCATGGGAGGTGCATCCCCGGCTCCGAATCCGACATTGTTCTTCACTGCGACAGGCGTGGATGCCATCGCCGCCATAGGCTTTCGAGGCAACGCGACCTGAGGAGGAGGATTCTGAGGAGGAAGTTCATCCCGACCCCGACCCGGCTGGTGTCCGAGCGAAGAGTCCGCCGATGCAGCTCGACTCTGTGGTTTCCACGACTTTTTCAAAGTAGATTTGCGCTGCGGCATCCTAGATCCTCGATTATCGCTAAATGGGAGGTAAGCCGAGGAGACAGCAGACCGTCCTCCGCCCCCTACCGAGGAAGCGTTGCCCCACGTAGAATAGATGGAATCGATGACGCTGCGCTTCTTGTCGGCCATCGTCTCCGCGTCACTGCTGCTGTAGTAAGAGCTCAACGATTCTCGACCAGTCTGTGGTCCACCATTGGTCGTTATAGACTCATCCCGTAGTACCTCATTGCTTGGGGCGTTGTACCCGACCTGATTGCCGTATCCACCTGGTGCGATTGATTGTCTGCCTACTGACATCGAAGACTGGTTCTGTGCAGCGTGGTAGCTCGGCATGACAGGTACCGGAGGCGGCCCATAAGCCATCGATGGCTGCGGGTAGCTGTGGGGCTGATTTTGTGAGGGTGCAACAGCTTGCGCTCCAGGAGGCGGGCCCAACCAGCTGCTCTGGTCTGATCGAAGTCCGTAACCGTCCGATATTCTACGAGGGGGTTCCAACGGGGAATCTCCCGACCCAAAGTACTGGCTTTCGATTGGCTTGGTAGATTTCGAAGGAATGTAGAACGAGCTCGCGGCATCTTCATCGTTGCCAGACTTGCTCTTCTTCTCGCCGCGGCTCGCCATAACGTCTCCGAATGCGACGGCATCGTCTTCTTGCCTGTCGTAGCCCTTTTCCTCGAGAGGATGATCGTACTCGGTCCTCCCGAAGAAGCGGTTCCAGAACGGTTCGTTTTCGCTGCCGTTGACAGCCTTTCTCTTCTGCATGACGCGCAAAGTAATCAGAATCATACGGAATGTATAACCTTGTGCGTTGGTAGCTCACCTTTCTCATCCACAGAACCCACCCCACTCCCAGCAGCACTAGAAGCGCAATGACCACTCCGGCGACGACACCCCCATTCATCCCACCCTTGGTACTGGAAGTAGTCCCATCTTCCCCACCCTCCGCTCCCGCACTTGTAGCGTTCCTTCCAGAACCAGAGTTGGGGGCACCGGTAGAGGCAGTGACGAGGTTCGTAGCGGAGCCTCGGGATGTTGTAGGTACGGCGCTGGCTAAGAGCGATTCGCTCGACAGGCGGTCGACTGTAACAAAGAACCCTGTATATCAGCTGCGTATACTGGGCGCTCAGATCAGGAAATGACAGTAAGGGGTAGAATCTCACCTGAAGCGCTGGAGGAAGCGCTCCCAGCCGTACTGAGGTCTACAAATGTCCCCGCCGCAGAACTAGCACTAGATGCAGACGTTGCGACGGCAGCGGCGACCCACTTTGGTTTGACAACGTAGCAACCCGCTCAGGATTAGCATCCCCAACCACTGTAGGTCTAAATTTTCCGGAAAAAGGCTTACGGTGTTAGTCCAAGTGCTCTCGGGCGGTGGAACTGACGAGCTAGGTTGGACCCACCAGCTCGTCGTCGAATCCCAATTGCTAGTGGTAGATGAAGTCCAAGTACTCTGAGCAGACGGAGGGGGAGGGGAAGCTGATCCCGAAGGACCCGGCACGGAATCAGAGGTAGAGGTTTGGGTGGAAGACGGCGGGGTGGAGTTCGATGATGAGGAAGAAGAAGGCACGGGCGGAGGGGGTTCAGAAGCAGCGCCGGAGACTGAGGCGGTAGATGTCTGTAGGGTGGTGGTAGGTTGCCCCTGCGTTTCAGCGGCCGAAGCGACGGACGCGCCAAGGGCGGAAGACGGCTGAGTATTGACAGGCGCAACGAGCGATGTCGTAGAAAAAGGCGGACCGATGGGCGACGTAGCAGGCTGTGAAGCAGGAGCTTGTTGGGTTGTTTCCGTTGCCAGAGGAACGTTTCCAGAGATGTCGGACTTAGTTGGAGGGGCAGCGACTCCGGGGGCAGGAGGCAGGGCAGTCGCTACTACCCGTTCCGTCACTTCCGTGGCGAGCGCCAGATTGTTTACACTCAAGCTCGATACGGGTGCAGCTTGAGATTGCATGATCGCCGTCGACAAGACTGAGTGATGCGAGTGGAATTGAAACGAGTGTGGGGAGTTGGCCGAACAAGATGTTCAGTTCGGTGTGATGATTTGAAATCACGGTTTCGCCTATCTACCAGAGCGTGCGACTAGGCGGTCAACGAAAGTCGGCGTTGGTGTTGAATGATGGAGGTAGTGGGACATGAACCAATTGCGGGAATACTCCAGGCTGTAGCTTGACTGGCCGGGCAAAGGCAGCAGTCGTTTGCTGATATCATCGGCGATCTGGGCTACTGATACAGCCCGATTCTGAAACGTCCCCTTAGTGCTCGATGGAACACGGGCATGAAACCCGGGAGAAGCGTTACCCACGAAAGGAAGGCCGAGCTCGAAGCGCCAGGTGTTTCAGACGGGCGGCAAGCGAATTCGATCACGTGATTTTGTTCAGGCGCTAGTATTCGGGAAAAATCTGTCGCGTGGCCACACACAGCCGACTGTAGCGGGCAGCCCCGCGACCCGGGCCGTCCGGATAACCGGACCGTGCGACGCCCGGGGGATTGGGCCGGCACAATGACATGCCTATGGTCGGTGGTGGATTGGGATCGAATATAATCACACACAGCTCACAGACTCCCTCGACCTTGGACGACGGCGAGCACACACTGATCAAGTGTTATCCTGCCATCTCCTCATCCGCAACTCCGTCTGTCCTTCCTGCCCCGTCGTCGCCCCATCTACACGTCCTGAAACGTAAAAATCCGACACGATGCCCGTCGCTACCACTCGACCTCTCGTCCCCGGAGTCTGGGCTCCCATCCCCACCTTTTTCGATGCCAACGAGGAGATCGGTATGTCCTTCCTGCACCCTTCTTTCTGATACGACTACGACCTCCAACTTACCCCGCGCATCGTCCCTTTTGCGCGACTCTACCAGACGTTCCGACGTTTGTCGCCCACACCGTCCGTCTGGCACAGGCCAAGATGAACCCCGTCATCTGCGGTTCCATGGGTGAAGCTCATCACCTGACAAACGAAGAACGTACGACCTTGATTAAAGCCGCACGAAAGGGTCTCGATGAGGCTGGATTGAACGATGCGACCATCATCGCCGGAACGTGAGTCAGGTCCCTCCTTGGCGTTTCGCCTCTTATCGATTCGGCACAACGATTCACGCTAAACATGCTTGTTCCGGATTTCGAATGAACAGTGGTGTCGGCTCGACCAAGGGATCGATCCAACTCAGCAAAGAAGCCGCCGAGGCCGGTGCCGATTTCGCCATCGTCATCCCCTCGGGATACTATGCCGGAGCTCTGGGCCGGGAAGCCTTGAAGCAGTACTTTGTCGATGTCGCCGAGGCCTCGCCTATCCCCGTCATGGTCTACAACTGTAAGTTCGAATCTGTTAATAGGTCTGTGTGGTGTTTGCGGGAGACTGCATAGTTGACATGCGTGGTTCGGCTGGACAGTCCCTGGTGCTGCGGGAGGGATCGACATGGATTCGGATCTGATCATCGATATCGCAAAGGGCTCATCCAACATCTGCGGAGTCAAGCTTACGTGAGTTTCGACATCTTCGCCGAAAATGTAATGGTTGTCAATCGCTCGGAGCTGATATCCGCCACGATCATTGTTCTGATTACAGTTGCGGAGCTGTCGGAAAGCTCACTAGGATCACGGCTGCGACGACATCAGACGAGTTCAAGCGAGACTACCCCCGAAGGAACCCCCAGGCACCGTGAGTTTGCTCGGGAAACGTCGATCACCCGTCTGTCCTTCTTCATACTCATTCGGAGCCCGCGCTTGCCCGTTCGACAGTTTCTTAACTCTAGGTGGATTTGCCGACTTCATGCTCCCTACCGTCCTCGGAGGCAAGGCCCACGGTGCCATCATGGGTTTGGGCAACGTCTACCCCCACGCCCTCGCCCAACTTTACTACGGATCCGCCGACCTGCTCAACGAGACCCCTCGAGCTTCTTTGGCCGAGATGACCCGTCTCCAAGGTCTCGCCTCCGAGGCCGACTGGGCGTTCGTCGCAGCTGGGATCGCGGGGACCAAGTATTACCTGCAACAGACCAGGGGTTACGGAGGAGTCTGTCGGTTGCCGATCTTGCCTTTCCCCGAGGACAAGGGGGCCAAGCTTTTGAAGGACGACCGAGTCAACCAGTTTATGGAGGTCGAGAAGAAGTTGGAGGCTCAAGCCAAGGGGTCGAAGGTGAACGGATCGACGAACGGTCATTAGGTCAGGTGATCCAAGGCGAAGGGGAGGATGAGCGAAGTTTCCTTTTCTTTTTGCTGTATGGGGTTCGATACGGTTCGGTTTGAATTGACCCTCGAGCGCCAGGCCTTGAGGTTGTGTTGTACAAGTAACGATAGCGCACAGACATGCAACATGGGGACATCGGCTCTATAGTCGTCTTTACTTCGAAGTTACAGTGGCCATACTAGTGTCTGGGCTCGAGTATGCTCTGGCTCCTGTAAGAGATGACCACGTAGCGAACATATCTGGATCGAGCCCTGCCTCGTCTACGCGACGCGGCATCGAGGCGCACCGTGAAATTGCGGAGGAGGTCAGAATCTGCTAGAGCCTGGAGACAGCACGACCGAGATCTCAACAACCAGCATGGATACCTCCTTTTAACTTTGTATGGGGTTGATGAGAAGGATAAAATGAACCACCTTATCATAGTGCCAATGGCCAAAATGGGGGTATCCGTGCTTGTTGATGAGATCATGACTGCTCCTGGTTCACCACGATTCGCATGGGTCTTGGCGATCTTTGCGCGCGGGGTACACCGAGCATGTCCCCAGCGATCCCGGCGATAGCTACATATACAACCATCCCGTCAATAACAACTTCCATTATCATCGTATAGATCCTCAACAGCCTCCCTAATACTAGCACAAGTTACTGGGCAACTCGTCATACGCCTCGCGATGACCACCCCGCAGCAACAGCAGGTCGTGAAGCAATGGCTGGAAAGGGTGTTATCTCCTTACCCGTCGTCCGACACGCTCTCTAGAGAAGCTTTGGCGGCTCTGGCCAAGTATCCGACGTTGTCAATCAAAACCGATGCATATAGTACGATTTGTTCCACTCGAAACACACTCGAAATACTGGGCTAATGGCATCTGATCGCGTCGGCAGCTTACGACTCGGGTCAGACTCACCTGCTAGTACAACTTCATGGGACCATTCCTATCTCATACCGAAACCAGACGTACCATATCCCCATAGTCGTCTGGTTCCCCTTGGAATATCCCAGAAGACCTCCACTAGCATACGTCACTCCGACGAGGGATATGTCGATTAGGAAGAGTAAAGAGGTCGAGCCGAGCGGCAAGGTCGGGGGAGACATGGTCGAAATGTGGGAGCGGAAGTGGGAGGTCAGCATTAAGCCGGATACTCTGGCGGTAATGCACTGAACACCTGGCTACTACTTCTACAGGCACATTCACTGGCTGCAATGTTGAGCTGGATGCAGGACCTCTTTTCAGCCCAGCCTCCTGTTTATGCTAGACCACCTACGACGCCGATGACCCCGACCCAGTTCTCTTCCGCTGCTACCCGACCACAAAGTCCCGGACAACCTCCGCCTCGTCCAACACCTCCGGATCAACCTCGGATGAACGGATCGTATGTCCAACAGAATGTAAATGGGATGGCTTCACCACCTGGTGTCCCGGTGAGACCGCGGCAACTCGTCATGCCTGGCCTAGGGAGTTATAGCGATCCCTCACCAATTGCAGGAAGGTCCGAGGTAAGTCAAACGCCGATGGCGATCGAACTGAATTCATCTGATGACGAGTGTTCTCTTGCAGCAACTGCCAGCATACAAGCCAGGGCCGGCACCACCCCCGATCCCGGCGTCTCCCCTTCGACAAGGTCCTCCAGCCCACGATATTCGCGGTTCCCCAGGGTCTTCGACGCCTCCACCTCGACCAGGACCGCCAACTATCGCAGGCAGACCCGTCTCGAATTACGATACCTATGACGGGCGGGATGCGCCGAACAGGATGCCGTCTGTGAGATCAGATACGGGAGTTTCGTATGGACCTCCTCCAGGTCAGTACCCCCCAGGTCAAGATCGTCAGGCGCCACCGTCACCACAACAGCAGCAAGGGATATATCAGCATGTACAAAACCAACAGCCCTCCTATGCACCCATCCCAAGCGGATCACCTCTACCGCCTCAGGGTCAATCTCACCACTCGTCACGCCAGTCAAGCCTTGCCCCACAACACAGCGGACCGGGAATGCACTCAAATACGCCAAACCCCGGTCAGAGCATGATACCTCAACATCAACCTCGAGCCGCTCCTAAACCTCCTATAACGGATCTACTGGCAGACGATTCCATCGTAGACGAAACACCCTTGTCAAACTCGACCTCGCCCGGCGGACCTGTCCCCGCGCGACCTCTCCCCCCAAGCACGCTGCATCTGCATTCGCTCGTCCATTCTCACCTTTCTTCACGACTCCCACCACTCCTGGAACACCTACAGGGGCAGACAAGACAATTACTCGGCGTACAGGCCGACTTGTCATCGGGAGAACCTGCTATCAGGGACGAGATGGCACGGCTGGAAGCGGTCCGTGCGGTCTGTATTGGGGTGGCGGATAAGATGGGTGCAGTCGTCAGCGCCGGGGAAGAACGGGTGAGGGATCTGGAAAGGCGAGGAGAGGTTGCGGTGGACGAGGTTGTGTGTAGTGTCAGCATCGTACATAATCAGTGAGTTCGAGTTCGATCCAAAGGTGTTTTCAGGAAGCTGATAGTGAGTGGACAGGTTGATCGACCTGGTGGCCGAGGACAATGCCATCGAGGATACGATCTACCATCTTGCCAGAGCATTGGACGCGGAACGTATCGACTTGAACACGTTTCTAAAGGTACTTATATCATCCGGATTGATGAGCTGTGACCAAGCATTGTGCTGATCGCGTCTTTACCTGTTCTCATTTTAGCAAACCCGAAATTTGGCACGGGAACAGTACCAAAAGAGAGCATTGATCGAGAAGATCAGGGAGGAACTGGAAAAGGGTCGGCCGGAGGGTGCGTAGCTGTTCAATCGGATGAAGATGTAGACACTCGGTTGTATGCTAGAAAAACGAGGATACCCGATGATTGTAGCATGGATTCCGCGATGCTATACCTTGGCTGTCGGTGCTCTGATGAGTGACAGGCCTACGATAGTCCGGGGAACGGACAGCACGATGTTTCAGGTTTTCGTTCATAGCCACGTCATCATGCATCATACGATTCCGAGTATGGGTTTTGCGGTCGGGCAGCTATAGTCCGGTACAAGCTACACTACTTACTACGACCTACCGACAAGCCCAAGCAGTTCCATCTCTGACGACATTCTCAACGACACCGAACCAAACGAAAGAATGTATATCAAGAAGCCCAGCGTTCCTATATTGCACGCCTATCTGGCTTGCCCACTCACGGCAGCGCAGCTCGACCGCGTTCATACCGAGTTCGAATTCGGTTCCTTTGCCCGATTCGCTCCCACGCACCATCTTCATATCCACAACGAGCCTCGGTATCACGGATTGTGCCACGCCGATATCCGTAGGGACTTGGACGAACAGGGCATCACGGATAATGTTCTCATTCTGGATGAAAAGGTCGAAACCGAGGGCGCTGCCTGGATCGTCGAGAGGCTCGTCTCGCAGGACGATGTCGACAATGGACAGGCCGTCAGCATCCGAGACGTTTGGGAGATCTTGACCCGGATCGATCAGGTTTCGATCGTCGAAGTCAACTATCATATCGCCAACATGTCCATTCAGGAGGATCTGGGCAACTGTGGGTTGAAATGGCCTTACGACCCGCGGGCCCACCCGCAGACGGGAATTCACTCCAGCGGGATCGATATGCAAAAATTCCAACATCAACAAATTGCTTATATAGTAGCGGAACCGGGAGATGTTGAAGAAGCCCCTTCTTCCCCTTCTCCAGGGGGAAGCTCAAGGTTCATGAGACTTGGAGGTGGACAGCCCCCTGCCAAGCTACACCGACTGAAACCGGAGTTGGCGACTCGACATGGACTGTTGCCCGATTGGCGACCTGCTTTTACGGCAGATGCTCAGTATCCGGATGGAAGCATCGGTCTCTCGCAGCCCTGGAACCCGGATCATGATTTCCCTGAATACGAGAGGCTGAAAGAATCGCTATAGAGCCCGCAACTTCGGCAGCGATTACATCTCACGCATGACCTGCGTCAGGACAGCCTTGACCTCGGCAAGCTCGGAGCTCGCTTCTACGCCGCTCTTACCATTGGCCGTCCGCCAATTCGAAACAGCAATTCTGACGGCACCCACCCTGTCCCAACTCGTGATCGTGACAAAAATTCTCCTCGTCTCATTGATCGCCTTGACCAATCGAGCCGCTGAACCAGGGTCAGAAGGAGGATACCGCGATCCTTCTTTGCCACGGAAGAGGACAATATTGAGCGGTACAGTCCTTTCGCCTGGCGATGTGGTGCCGTTTACGAGCTCGTACCATTCTCCCCCTGCCTGCGCGTCTTGTAACCACTTGGCTATGCAGTTGGCGAAGTCACAATTCCTCCGCACGATATCTGTCTCAGGCGCCCAGGTCGATTCAGCCTTGCACTGGTGAACTTCGAACGATCACCTTGTTGACTGACCTGCATAGCCATCTCGACCGTTCTCTACCAAAGCCGTGAACAACGGTAGAGCCCTGTTTCTGCGACTATTCTCTATACCGCAATTCAGCGGACTAGGGAGTGACTGGTGCCAGTCCCTCAGTGTCTGTACATCTTCAGCGACGTTGTCGTCCTTGGAAATCGTCGAAGGGGCGAGGTAGGCAGGTCCGGCAGTATTAGGGGAGGGACCGAACGACCTCGAGAGGCTGTCCGACGTCCGGGTGTAGAGCAAGGCGCAGTCGTAAGGGCACTACGATATGAACCGTCAAATTAGCTCCAATCACAACCATTGTTTACATTGGGTCGCGCTCACGTGGAGCCACTTGTGCGCTGTGTTCGCGGCAATACGTCTTGTCAGACGGCGTCGTTCCAGCGTGATTCACAGACTTTAAGCTCACCATCCACTGTCAAGCTATCCGCTCGCATCATCTCGCTGCTCAGATGTTCGTTCCCAGGCAGTAATGAGCCGAAAGCACCGAAAGCTGGGTTCGAGCGGCAGGGCAGACTTGTATCAGCTCGTGCTGCATCGTGAACCTGAGCGACCGAGAGCATACCTGCGTCAATGTGCAACCAAGCGCCAGTTTTCTGGCAAATGTCGGCGATGCGATGTACGTCCTGAGCAAAGAAACCCTGAGCGTTGAGAAGGCGACCGGTCAGTCGTTGTGTGCGATAACACGATCAATAGCGGCTAGACTGACAGTATTGACCTCCCCTAGTCCGACCACCACGATGCACCCTATTCCCATCCCCTTGGTCTCCCTCAACTCTCTTTCCAGTACGTAAGCGTCCATGCCGATCTTCAGCGCGTCCGTTCCAGGGGGAATATCAACGACATTCCTCCTTCCGATGCCGGTGACCGCTGCGGCCTTGTTTATCGAACCGTGTGCTTTTCTGCAAAATACGCGGACAGGAGGGATCGGGTCGCCCGAGGGATGGAGGGTTTGGGGAGGAAAGCCATCTTCTGCTACGTTCCAGCCTCTGGGAAGGCCTGGGTGGTTTGACAAGAGACTATCTCTGGCGCAAGCTAGAAAATGGAACACCACGCGATGAGCCAGAGATCGGCAGAGAAGAGAAATAACATGGGTTGAGAACTCGCTTACCTAGACCGACGATATTGCTCGCAGTGGCTCCGGTTGTGATCGTCCTACCACGAAAGGTATCGGGCGGTATTCCTAGCAGGTCGAGAACGAGATCACACGTCCGATCTTCTAGGGCTAATCCGATGGTGCTATCAGGGAAATTGAGCTGGATGCTTTCGTCCACTGGAACGTTACGAGATCTGATTGATGGACGCATGCGCATGAGGAGAGTATCGACCATAATGAAAAACTAACGTGAACCCGCAATCATGTCCCCCAACTGCGCTCCTTCGGTGACGCCACCCGTGACCAACCCAAAGTACCTATTCCCGGCATGGCCGGTCCACAAGCCGGGCACGACATTCTGCAAGACGTGCTCGATTGTTCTTTGAGTGCCCCATCCGCTTTCTGGTAAAAAAGTAGGTAAAGCCTTGAGGGCGGTATCTAATGACTCTCTTGAGGGCCGAGTAGGGAGGTCTGGAAGGGTGCGGTTGCGCTCGATGAGAAAGTCTGTGACGAGATCGAGCGATGACTCGAACGTCGATGTGGACATGTCTTCCTGCGTCTGCTACGTGTCTGATGGGCTGCACCGGATTTGGGGTTCAGGGCTTGGAACTTTTTGCTGGACAGTTCCGGTTGAGTAGCCTCTGCAGCTGATGGTAGTGACGGATGAAGATGCATCGAGTGAACTGAGTGAGTCATAGCATGTAAGTAACTGATATGAATGAGAATGGTGGTTGATCGATCATCCATGCCCCCGTTGCAGGCGGAGATGACCGGGGGACGCGCGACGGACATTAATTGATAGTTTCTTATGTCCGCGTTACTCTCTCGAATAGATGGATCAGCTCGTTCAATCGATCACTCGAGGTAAATGTCAATGCAACCATTCGAACGATACAGACACATCACTGATCACTGACATACTCTAACCAAACCATACAAAACGCTCCTCTCAGATCTATCGTGCAGTATGAGTCTCCGTTCATCATTACGACGAGTCGGTAAGTCGGATTCGGGACCGCTCGGCGAAAGTCTAACCCAGTGCGACTGTGTAACCCTTGATAGCCCTCGAGGTCCCGGCTTTACGCTCCGCACAGGCGGCCGCACCGTGTAGACAACCTCGTATCTGCGTACAACAGGTCCGAAGGTGCGTCTAGTCTTTCTTGAGGATACAGCATCGGCGACCTGGCTAACCACGCAACAAACCCCGTCCTCTCGAATAGCTTCAACATGTTCAACAACTCGCTCATCCCCTCCTTCCTCCAACGAAAACGAGATCGTACACCAGCAAACTCGGAAGCCATACCCTCTGTCAAGGCACCTACAACGGGCGAACAGGATAACAACAGCGCTGGCCAGGTCGCAGCGAGTTCGACGAGCGGGGAGGTACAGGAAGGAGATATCTTTTCCCAGTTAGATACGTTCAAGAAGGAGACCGGTGTGAGGAAGGAAAAGCTCTTCAATGAGGTGGGTCGAGAGCATTCATATGGGATCCTATCGATACGTGAACAGCATTGAAGCCCGTCCCCTATCAACGATCATCATAGCACAAGTACTCTACAGCAAAGTTCAAGATCCCCCCCCGAAAACTCAACAAGCTCGCTCACCAAATCTCCGGTCTACCCGTCGGCGAAGCTATCCTGCAAATGAAGTTTTCCGAGAAACGAGCGAGCGAGCGGATCAAGAGCACTTTGGCGCTCGCTAGGAACCACGCAGTCGACAAGGGGTTAGATCAGGGGAGGCTCGTTGTCGGTCAGTCAGAGTCTCGCTGGAACGCCGTGCTTCTTGACCTAGAACTGACGCCCGGACTGCATTTTACTTTGTAGCCGAGTCTTGGGTATCAAAGGGCCGAACCGTTAAACGGATAGATATCAAGGGTCGGGCCAGGTTCGGGATCAAGGAGCACCAACAAGCCCGACTTCATGTCCTCCTCAAGGAGGGAAAGACCAGGGCAGAGTTGTTGGAGAAGAAACGGAGTGAGATGTTGAAGAGGATCAGGAGCGCCGGGGTAGTCAGGGAGGACAGGGTGATTGTGAATGCGGGGACGAGCGGTTGGAGGTGGTAGTGTACCAACGAGGCCCGGCGGACGGGTGGGAGGGTATGATCATGGTGATACGATGGCATGTAGACATGGGGATGTTACGCCCGAGCGTCACACGGAGATGACGGGGTCCGCTGGACGCACGGTCAGGTTCTGTGGTCGTTACGCATCTGCAAGACAGCCCGGCAGGTGTTGCACAGTTGGGAGATTCAAGCTTGGTCTAAAAAGCACGAATAGCTTCATCAGAGCCCGACCGATCTTATATAGGCCACTCCTGGATCCACTATCTACGGGCGGACCACGCACCATGACAAGCGGACAATCGCCGTAGAATCTAGTCTGTGTGAATGTCACGAATCGCACTTGTAAGTTAGCTGGAAGGGGACCCCCGTCCAAACTTGAATCCCGGTGGAGGGGTCCATATCATCACCCATGAGTAACAGGCGAGGATATTGTCTAAGGCAGCAGGAAGCCAGGCTCGATTTTGTACAATTCTTTTAGCAGTGTTGACATCGCTTTTCAATCTTGCATACAATCATCCGTCAACAGCGGGTCGGGCGAGCAATTTCACGCGATAACGAAATCGATTCGAAAGCGTCGATTGTCCAGACGACAGTCAGAGGCGACCTTTGCACCGGATGTCGTTCGGCTCGAACGGACAGAACATACTGAAACAAACGGAGAGAGCCTGTCACCTTCTGACATGAATGATGCAGAAAGTGTTTGCGAACCCAGCTGAACTAGTTCAGGGATGGTTCCGATTGGGATGCATCGTATCGAATTTGCTCTGAGAATATGGTAGGAACACGTTGAAGTGGGTGAAATATGCCGTGCCTGCTAGTCCAAGTCGAGGCAAATAGATCATGCAGAAGCCTGGTCACTTGACGGTCAATATACCCTGTCTAGACTGAGCCAGACTATGATCTCTCAAAGACTAAATAATGAGGTCATTGTGTTTATAGTTTCCTGTACTTTTTGTGACGATTTCGAAGCGCAAGCCACCGCTTGATCAACGTAAATGTGCTCGTCAACCAGGTGGTCTATTAGCGATATTTCGAAACGCAGCGGCGAGCCTTGTCTGTTCAGGGCCATATTATTGGCAGCTCTATCGTTCGAACCAGTGCGGAGCTTGCACCCCAGGAATTTCTGATCGGCATCGCATAGCGGAAGAATATCCTGACAGATTCTGCAAATATTCACTGTTCCTACGCCTACACGCATCGGGGGCTTGTGTTGCACAAGTGAGTTGAGTCAACGAATGCCCTTTACCTCCGTCATCCGAGGAGCTAGTGGCTAGGGATCATCAGCCTGGCGGATACCACGGTCCGACTGTGCCAGAAGTGATATGGATTTGACTGCGCTATGGTGAAAAAGTTTAGGCAGATAGTAAGCTGAGATCCACCTATGGAGATTTCAGATCATAGGTATCGCCCAGAACTGAGCGTCTCTTAAATGCGCTTTAGACACGGTCACTCGCGGCTGACAGGTGAACGGTTCTATGCACTACTGTAGTGATCTTGGAGATCTGATTAATCAGTTGCTCTCGAGCCCTGCGTGCCCAAGGCGAACATGCTTGATTCACCCTGTTTCATCGGTCTTACCCCGAAGTGGTGGCGTGCTGACGTTACGTTTCATAATGTCCCGATATCCCGGCTCCCGGTTCAGACGAGCCGACGGCCCAGAACCCTGGGGCCGATGAGATTCGCGCATGGCCCCGCGGGTGCGCGAGGTGAATGTACCAGGTACGGTTTTGATGTTCTGCCCGGACTATTCGTTCGAAGTGTACGGGGCAGTTGATGGCCAGTACAAGGCCGTCCAGATTATGGAAGAGTCCCCTTCTTTGCGGAGGGGCTCCCTGTTCGACGGCGGACGGCTCTGTGCGCTTAGCTAGGTAGACATCGGTTGGCTATGCTACTACAAGGGGGTCTAGATACAGTAGACGTCGGCGCTGTGCTTATGTAGGTCGCGAAGTCACGTGACACCCCCACACTCTTCTCATGGCGACGTCCTCGTCGCTGTCGATGTCGTTGATCGAACTCGTTTCACTTCTTTTAAATACCGAACTCAAATAAAACCCAAAACCCACTAATCCCCGTTCCCGTCCATTCTGTCCCCTTCCTCTATCCCTCTCCACGCTCCCTTCCACGCTCGTAAGCGATCGAATCCGACCCTTCCGACTTGTTCACCATCGGGAGTAGCGAGATACGCAGACGACCTAGAAAGTTCGGTGATCCTGTACGGACCGGTCCATTTCATCCGAAGTTTCTTTGATGTGTCGTGGGTTGCGTCCCTACTCTCGTCGTATCATTGTACCAATTGTCCGACTTCGAACATGCGAGCGCCTCTGTTTGGCTTGCCTCGTCTTTCGATGTCCTCGTCCCTGGCCTCCACTGCTTCTCTCCTCAAATGAACACCGTCGTTCACCGCTTCTGCCATGTCGACTGGAATCGGCCTATCGTCTGTTTTGCCGAACAAAACTTCTCGAGGACTGTATCCCCCGAGCAGATTCATTTTTCTGTCGTTCAGCGCGGTAATCGCCTTTTGAAACCAGTTCGGCCAACTTCGGAAGCTTTCGTCCCTTGTCGCCGACGCCGGATCCAGTCCCTCAATCGGGGTTTGGACCAAACGGCGCAACCTCTCCAAAACCAGGTGATTGGCGTTCTCGGCTAGGCCCACATGTGCGTAGGGCGCAGACGGAACGATAGCGCATTTCTCTCCTAAGTAGCTCTTGACTTTCGCGTTGATGAAGTGCGATCCGTTGTCGCATACCAGCTCCGATGGCAACATGTATCGATTGCGGAGGTCTTCGAGCGCTTCGATCGTCGTTTCTCCGGACGCGGGACGTTTGAACGTCCATCCCCAGATGAACTTCGTGAATACGTCGACTGCGATCAGCGCTACTCGGTGCCCCTCTTCTGAATTAGGCAAAGATAAGTAGTCCGCTGCGACGAGCTCAAACGGCGCGTAACGAGCCGTCTCCCATAAGAGCGCGTTTCGCGTTTTCGGGCCGAATCCCATGCAGGTGCTGCACGTTTCGATCGCGTTCCTCAGGTCCTTGGTTATGGAAGACCAAGTTTCGCTCTGTTCGATGTAGGATCGCGACTTCTTCATGCCCCAGTGCCCGCACTCCTGATGCGCTACCCGAGCTCGCACGCTGCCCTCTTTACAAGTCAGCACCTTGAGAGGCTTCAGCGTAACTCTGTTCTTGGTCCAGAGCTGTCCGTCTTCCAGCCAGAAGTCCTTCGCCTTCCGTTTGACCACATCGGCCTCGGCATCGATCAACTTGCTCAGAAACATTACTATCGGGTAGTAAGGGTCTCCTTGAAATCGTTTGCGCAGAGCCTCGTTCCCGTCCTTGTCGATCCACCTCACTTCTACGCCTTTGGTATCCGCATGCGAAGTAATCTCGGGACCTTCTTGGGTAGGATTGCGACTGAGGTAATCTGCGACTACGTTTTGGCGTCCGGGCTTGTGGCGATACTCGATGATCGTCGACTGAAAGATGGCTTCCTTCCAAGCCACTTGTTCGAAACTCGGTTTATCGTTGTTGAGCAATCCACGGACGGCCGAACAGTCGGTATGTAAGATGATAGGCTGTCCGAATATCAAGGGTCTGAATTTGTCCAAGGCCCACTTCGCTCCCGCCAATTCGAGCTTGAACGAGTGTTTCAAGCTTTCCGTAGGTGTGGCGATCTTTGAAGCGTACGCGATGGTACAGACTTTGCCTCCTCGCGTTTGAAACAAATTAGCTCCGAACCCTCTCGCGCAGGCGTCAACCGCTACCTCGAACGGCTCGCCGTACACCGGAGGATGTACGATCGGGTACTCCGACAGTATCTTTTTCAAGCGATCAAACGCCTCCAATCTTTCGGGCTTTTCCATCTCTGTAACGATATCCTTTTCCTCGAGGGCGCGCTTCAATTTGCCTCTTCCTTGTCGGTTCTCCACTTTCAGATCCCGCAACAGTTCGAGTAAAGGAGCCGCAATCAAGGAGAAGTCTTTGATCATCGGTCTAAAGTACCCGCATTTGTTGATAAACGAGAGTAAACCGAGGGCCGTCGTCGGAACTGGCAACTCCAGGATAGCTGCTACCTTCTCTTTGTCAGGCTCGACCCCGGCCTGTGAGATCACCTGTCCGCCTAGCGTTGTCTTTGAGACGAACAGTTTTGTCTTCTTCGGCGAGAAACGAACTTTATGTGAGATCGCCCTCTTCAACAGCGCTTCTAACTGCTGGATCCCTTTCGAGAAGTCGTTGCAACTCGAAAAGAAGTCGTCCATCCATACATCCCACTCTAGGTCCATGATCATCTTGGCTGACCCGACCTGCTGTGTTCCTGGGGAGCCCGAGAGCCCTTGTGGCATCCTTGTTTAGCAGAAATGCCCCTTCCCCGGCACATAGAACGCGGTATAGGGCTGCGCGCTCGGTGCAAGCGAGTATCCGAAGAACGCTCCCATCTGATCCAACACGAGTAGGAACTTCTTCCCACTGTGTTTCGCGGTCATGTCGTGGAGGTTGCCCGGGAGATATGGTGCACAGCGAATGTTCCGATTCAACGGGCGGAAGTCATGAACGACTCTATATCTCGCCGTTGGGTCCGACCTTGCTTCGCTGTTCGTTTTACCACTTGACTCAGCGGTATCACGATTGTTCTCAACTCTATCGGTGGGACTCACCGAGGGCATACGCAGGGGTGACCCCTGCCGCGTCGTGACACCTGAGATGGGCAGCTCAGGCGACGTCTCTAGGTGCGATTTCCCATCCATGCCCCTGCCCGGGTAATCCTTCAACGCTCCGTCTATCATGGCTTTAGCTCTGTCGTCCGGTATACTGGTATCCATCTTCTTCGGCGCGAGGATCACATCCGAGACACATCTGACCTGATTGTGGTCGATGGGCCTGATGATTCCCGCCTTCAGGTTCGCATCCACGTGGGCGTACAACGCTTCTAGCTCTGGCTCCGAATATCGACCTCGCTTCGACCTGAGAGGTAGATTGCATTCGCCTACTTCAAAGTCGTGAACGCCAAGATCGGTCGGTTCGATGTTGTTGAGCGAAAGCGCGAACGCCTCGTGGTATTTCTTGATCATTGCCTCAACGATGCCTCTTTGCTGGTCGGTCAATTCGTCTCCGATGGTTACTTGAGTCAGGACTCTGTTCGCTCTATCGACTGCATCCACCGTGCAGGGCGTCAAGTCCGGTAAAACTCCAGTATCGTCATCGTCCACGATCACCGACCAGACCATATTTGGGTCATCATAGCTCTTCACCTCGTCACCGTAGGCCTTGAAAGCGACCGGTCCATCTTGCGTGTCGATGACTATCGTCCTAGTCCCGAAGTCCATGACTGCTCGAGTTTGTCGAAGGAAAGGTAATCCGAAAAGGACGTTCCAACTATCGTGGCTCTCCAGCACTTCGAAAGTCGTTGGCGCTTTGATCGATCCGTTCGCGTGTTGCATGATGACATTGGCTTTGACGGTGCCCTTACTTTTGTGGGGCGATCCATCAGCGACTGTGACCATCATAGTACTTGGCTTTAACGGTCCGATCCCGTCCTTGTGAAGACCGTAAAAGTCCCAGCTGATCACGTTGATTGCCGCACAGCTGTCTGCGAATCCTTTCCTCCCCGCTGAGAATGTATATCCGCCGATCTGCAACGTATGTGGTATTCCCAGGGGCGGCTGGACCCGAGCTTCTTCCTTGTACAAAGTTGTCCCCGCATCATTGTTCATCGTCTCTGTATGCTGTTCTCCCATCAGGTTCCTAACATCTGGCCTTACCGCTCTCACCTCCGCGCGTGCCGTCCCGATCCCAGAGGGTTCGTGCTTGTTCCGGGTCAGGGAGCCCTCTACTGCCCCAACCCGTAATCGTTTTCCGAATCCAACCAACCTCGTCCCGTCTCTCGCACCTCCCAGCTTGGGGCGGACGAAAGGCCGTACTCGTAGTCTTCATCCATATCTCTGTACTCTGGCTCCCTATACGCAATCGATCTGATGGGCGCTGCCGCGTTTGCTCCGGTTCCGAAGCTGAAGGACCTATCAGCAATCTTTCGGGAAGAGACGTTGTACCTGTACCTCTGCTCCATCTGAGGCAAAGGGTTCCCGGTACAATCCCTCGATCGGTGTCCTCTCTGGCCGCACCTATAGCACTCGCTGTTCCCGGCCGGTAGAGTCCCGGGTGTCAAGGGAAAGTTGCTCTCGGCTGGGGAATCGGATACTATAAGGTTTGCCAGCAAACCTGAATAGTAACACACGGGACTAGAAGGTACGGGTAGGGAAATGAATGTAATAACGGATGTCTAACTACTACAAGGTGCTAGTTAGACATCTTCGAACGCATCTCCTAATAGGTCTCCGAGAGGGTCTCCGAGAGAGTCTCCGAACGGACCTCCGTACGAGGTGAAAACCTACATCCCGTGTGTGTACGACATGCGTACCGCGGATGCCTATAATAGGATCCCCCCCTTAGGGCGAGATTCCAGATTGCCCAAAGTAGTCGAGTAGTCCGAGGCTAGAGTAAACGTTTCATCTTGAAGTTCTTTGTTCCCTCGAAACGTCCAGTGTCCGTACCCCCGCGACTCTCCTTGTGTCTCCGCTCTATTGTCCCCGAAGAGATCGTCTAGAACCTTCGATTTGTACGTCCAGGTACACTGGTTCTTTCTGAAACACTGCTCGGCGCCCGTGGGTGCTGCAATGAAGAACCCATTGTCTATCAGTGTCGTCGACTCGTTTGAAACGCCTAGCCGACGACGATGACGCGTCGCGCGTCTATCTTCTATTGTCTCCCCCGCGGACATCGCAACATGGTCCTGTCCGCGGTATTGTTCGTTGATGTAAACAAAGGTGATGTCGTATGTATCGACGTCCTTTCTAACCGATATCGCTGTATTCTCTTTGTCGTGTTCGACGTAACGACTTCTTGCTTTGTCCTAGTAGTTGCCACCTAGGGTTCTTTTGTCTTGTTCTCGAGATGTGAAAGGTATAAGACCCCCGAGGGGGTTTGCCGACTTGATGTTTTTCGACGTACGTATCCTCTCTCCTTTAGCAAACCTATAGCTTACTATCTCCCGTATCTTTCCTTCCTTCCCTTCACACAATGCCTCCTTCTGCTCCCCCTACTCCCTCGAAACCCCGCAAACGCAAGGCCGCCACGGACTGGGTCAACGACGCCGTGTATGGCTACATACGCGGTAACAACTGGGAAGGCTTCGAGATCAACGAGGTCAACGCCTTGCAGAAGGCGAAGGAACGATTCCGGGGAACCGTCCCGGCGGAGGTAATCTCCGCTTGGATGCGAGGGGATGTGGATGGCGTGAATGGGTTGCTGGTAAGCCTTTGATATTCTTTTGTTTTTGTGTCTCCGATAGGGTCTCCGAGAGGGTCTCCGACTGACCCTCCTTTGATATCTGATTTTTGATCTTCAGGCCCAATTCTCCGGTGGTTGGCAATGGTGTTGCCAACGTTGCTTCGACGGGGGGGAAGTTCAAGAGCGTCAGTCCCGCCGACTTTGTGACGTACAACCCGGAAGACGGCACGTGGTGGGACGTGATCAGCGTCGAGGGTCTCTTTTTCTGCCGCCACCTCATCCACCCGCCGCACACCGCCGGCAATGTCATCAGGTCCTGCGGCCGATGCGCCCCGAAGAAGCTCGGTTGTGCCCCCGTCCCCCGAGAGATGGTTGTCGTCTTCGACGACGATGAAGACACCGAGACCCGGGTTCGAGCGGGGTTGGTCTTGTTGCGCGCCGACAAGATGGCCTTGGGGACTCGGGATGAGGTCGCGACCGAGATCGAGAGGCTCCTCGATACGGTCGTGAGTTTGTTTTCTTCTATTCTTTTTCTTTTTCTTCTCCTTCCATTGACTCCTCTTGCTTGCTATCCGACATCCAGATTGTACCTCAACTCAACCGTCGGTCCGGAGTCTCCGTCATGAGCGAGCGCGGAGCTCTTTACAAGGCCATCGCCGACAACAAGGAGGAGTGGGACCACCTGGACCCCAATACTCGTCGCGGTTGGGAAGGGTTCGAAGAGGCCCGCAAGATCACGTTCGAGTTCGCCGAGGGCTCGTACAAGCCCCTCCCCGTGTGGCCCGGCGAAGAGGACGACATGGATGTGGACGAGGAGGAGACCGAGGTCCAGATCGTTAGTACTCTCTTTCTACGTTTGCGTCTTGAGCTAACCCAAGTTCTCCTAGGCTGCGCGGGAACGGGACGCCCGCCTCGCGGCCGAGAAGGCCGACGAAGAGGCCCGCCAGAAGCGGCTCGACGCCGAGGCCGCCAGCAAGGTCGCTGAGGACGCTCGTTTGGAGTACGAACGAGCCCGGGACCGCCTCGCCGCCGTCAACCCCCCCCGATTCCGTACTCCCGTGCCCGACCCGCCCCCCGCCAAGGACGCCGCTCCCCCTCCCGCCAACGACAAGCAGCCCTCGCAGAGGGGTAGCAGGGCCAGGTCCCAGCGCGAGAGGACCGCGAGTCGGCACTCCGAGGATCCTAACGGTGGTGATGGCGGTGATGGCGGTGGCAACGGTGGTGGCGATGGTGGTGGTGAAGGTGGTGGCGCGTGATTTGGGTTTGTGTTTGTAACGTCTCGTTTGGTCGCCGTTCGGGGGTCGGCTCCCTTTTTTTTTTATTTTATGCTATTTTCTTTCTGCGATTCATATCTCCTGCGAAGTCTCCGAACGTGTCCCCGAGCGAGTCTCCGATTGGGCCTCCAAACGAGTCGTGGTACTTCATTGTTTTCGTAAGACAAACTTGATTGTCGTTGGCTCGTTAAGTTCGTAAAAAAAAGGAATGGTGATAAACATCTTCGTCGGACCTGCCGACGAAGGTACAACAATGAGTAATGACAATCACAAAAACCCTAAGCACCCGGAGTCCATAGCAACGGCTCGTCCCCGTTCTGCTTAGCGAACTCCTCGTCCCAATACGCCTGGTGGTTCTGGGCGGGAGGCTGCATGTACGTCGCAGCTACCTGCATTCGACCAGCCTGTTGCCGGGCCTGCCACCAAGCAGGTGGAGACCTCTTGGCGTTGCTGCACTGGGCGCTCCTGTGGCCGGGCTGCCAGCAGTTGTAGCAGGGTTTCCCGCCGGGCATCCTCGCAGCGTCCACCTCCATAGGCGTAGCACCCGACGTGGCGGCCGCCGCAGGAGGGGCAACAGTGGTGTTCACCACAACAGGGTTTCGGGGAGCGACGTGGTTACCTGCGTAACGATTCCCGCTCGTGTGGGCACGGTTACCCGAAGACGTGTGCCTACGGGCTTCCGCTTGGTCTTCGTACCGACGGCATTCCATCTGGAACTCCGCCAGCGTCATATGCTCCTGGTTGGGCATAGGGATGATAGCGTCCTGAAAGGCCTGGTTCAGGTTGGCGCGGAAGAACGACCGTTTGCCGTACTCGTTGAGGTTTGGGAGGAGGGCGGCGAGGTCGTTGAACTCGGTGATGTACGTACTCAAGCTCTTGTTGCCCTGCTTCAGAGAGTAGTACTCCTTCTCCGTAGCAAGGATGTTCCTCCCACCTCCGTACATCTCCACGAGCAACGCCTCGAACTCCCGCCAGGTGACCTGAGTTCGCCCCGACGAGTACTCCCTTGCCCATGCCTGGGCCTGCCCATCCATGTACGACTCCGCGTACATAATCTTGTAAAGGTCGGTGTACAACCCCGGCTTGACTTGGAACTCCCGGTTGCATTGGTCCAGGAATCCCCTAACCTTCTCCTTCTTGCTGCCATCGAACCTGTCCGGCGTACCGAACTTGAACAGCTTCGCTCTCGCTTCCTCCGTGGCCGTCGCCGATCGAGTGTCCCTCGACATCGCCAACTCCATCATCTGGCTATGCATGTTCGCCATCATGGAGAGCAGGGCGGAAACGTCCGGACTGGTAGGAGGCGCAGCGGCCGGAGCAGGGTTAGCTGCTGGGGGTGTTGACTGCATTTGTGGGGGAGTCTGCCCCATGTTGTTGGTCGGTGCGGCCTGCGTGGAAGCGGTAGGTACCTCCGTGGCACCTACCTCCGGTTGCTGGTGGGCAAAGACGCACTGGTCGTTTACCAGCGTCTCCCCAGTTGGGTTCCTTCACATGAACCTTCCTTGTCCATCCATCATCTGCATGCTCCCGTCTTCGCTCAAGACCGGGATCGCATCCGCAGGGATGGGGTGGACAGCCCTATCCGGTCCGTAACACTGCGTGAACGTATTCATCGTATACGGGGTCTCCTAGTCGGGGTGTTTGGGTGATCCGTTATTCTATAAGGTTTGCCAGCAAACCTGAATAGTAACACACGGGACTAGAAGGTACGGGTAGGGAAATGAATGTAATAACGGATGTCTAACTACTACAAGGTGCTAGTTAGACATCTTCGAACGCATCTCCTAATAGGTCTCCGAGAGGGTCTCCGAGAGAGTCTCCGAACGGACCTCCGTACGAGGTGAAAACCTACATCCCGTGTGTGTACGACATGCGTACCGCGGATGCCTATAATAGATACGCCTGGGTGCGCCTTCATCCAACTGTCGATTCGTACTTGCTGATCAGGGGCCACGCTACCTTTGTTCATCCGACGGCTGCTGTCTTCCGGAGGTATGTTCTGATCGTCAAACGAACTGGATCCCGAGTAGGTGGCTTGCTGAGAGTACTGCGGCTGTCGCTGTTGGTAAGAGGAGCTGAAAGATCGTAGAGGTTGTTGAGGGCGATACTGTTGAGGTGAAGTCTGTGGCGAGAACGTGTACGAGTTCCTCCAGCCAGATCCCCTGTCGATCATGACGTTCCTCCTGACCTCGTCGACGTCCATCTCACCCATATCTCGCACGAAGTCCATGATCTCATCAAACTTGTATAGCCTTCGATTCTGAATCAGCCTTCGAGTATGGGCTCCCATGTTTGCCAGCAACGCCACCGCTTTCGAAGTCTCAGTCGTATCCTTCGGGATCCTCGTCAACAACTTCTCCACCTCTTCCACATACTTCCTGTTCCTAGATTTTCCATCTCGTACTACCCCAATGTCTTCATCAGCTAGCTTCATTTCGCTGAGCCGATTCAACGCGATCATTCCTTTCTCCGTATCCATCTCGTCCTTGCAAAACTTCTTCTTGAACGAATCGACCATCAACGGATAGTTCCCTCGCAGGCCGCTCGGGACCGATTCGAGCCACCGATCGGCTGCTGTATCCGGGTCCATCGCTGTCGCCAAATAGATCGCTTTTCGCTCGTCTACATCCTCCTTCAGCATCAACATCGCGGCTTCAAACTTCCTCAAGAAGAGTTTCGGTTCGCTACCGGAGAATCGAGGAATCGCCTCCATCTTGACTCGTGGGTATGTTTGAGTAGAAGCTGGGGATATAGGAGAAGGGGGTGTAGGTGGTCTCGAACTCGGAGTGGGGCTGTGCCGTCGTTTTTGTGGTAAAGGGGGTCGAAAGGATGTTCGTACGGGTGTTTGTTGAACCGGTCTGGCGGTCCTATATGACCCTTCGCTGCTTTCACTACCCGAGTGGTTGTCGTTGAAGATGGTGCTAGCAGTCGCTGACGCTGTGATGTGTCGATCTGCCGTCGATGTCATCAACTACCAAATCGGGTGGCGGGAGAAATTTTTTTTTTTTTTTCGTGACGTGGTTCCGGGATCAGGTTATTATAGGCGTCACGTGACGCGCGACCTACGGCACGCGTCGCCTCGGGGTCTCGTTCGGAGACCCTCTCGGAGACTCTCCCGGAGACCTTTTAGGAGATGTTCTCGTAGACGTCTAACTAGTACCTTGTAGTAGTTAGGCATCCGTTATTACATTGCTATGCCTACCGTTACCTTTCCCCAGTCCCGCAACCTTATTACCTCAAGACCCGGCAGGTCGGCTGCCAGGCCTTATAGAATAACGGATCACCAAAGGACCCCGGCTGGGAACGTGAAAGGGGGTAGTGATGGGATCCCGCTGCACATTGGTGCTAGCGGTAACCCTAGTGGTCCGGAGAGCCACCTCACTCTGGTAGGAGTGTTCTACCCGCAGGGGATTCCCGTGCAGGCAGTGATGATGGTAGATTTGGGGGCCACGGGTATGTTCATGGATCGGACGTTCGCGAGGATCCATAACTTTGATGTGATAGACCTAGAGAACCCTAGGACCGTCACGGTCATCGACGGAAGAGAGATAGTGGGTGGTCAGATCACCCAGAAGGCACATGCTATTGTGCGGACAGGATTGCACCAAGAGAAAGCGGAGTTCTTCTTGACGGATTTGTGTGGGTACGCGGCGGTCCTCGGGATTACATGGTTACGACACCATAGCCCACACATCCAGTGGGATACGAATACGGTCACCTTCGCGGACGACTGTTTGAAGAAGGGATGCGTCAAGAAGGTAGAGGTAGTATGCTCCCCCGACGAGGTGGAGATAGAAACGGGGAATATCGATCCGCTGTCGAGAATGAAGGAGCCGATCACGGAGAATCTCGTGGTGGCTCAAATGCAGATGACGAGGGAGGATGAGGAGCGGGCCCGCAGGCCGGACCTGTGGGACTGGGACGTCAAGCCCACCGACTCGATTCAAAACGAACTCGATCCTCCCGAGTACATGGAGAAGTTGCGAGACGTTGTGCCGAAGAAGTACCATGAGTACCTCGGAGCGTTCTCCAAGACAAAGGCAGACTCGCTGCCGCCGAAGCGCTCGATCGATCATGCGATCGAGCTGAAGCCTGGCACAACTCCCACGTATGGGAAGTTGTACAACCATTCGCAGAAGGAGACGGACGCTCTCAAGGCGTGGTTGGCGGAGAACCAGGCGAAAGGGTTTATTAGACCCTCGAAATCCTCGTGTTCGAGTCCGGTACTGTTCGTACCGAAGAAAGGGGGTGAATTGAGGCTGTGTATTGTTTACCGCCGCCTCAACGAAATTACCGAGAAGGACAGGACCCCCCTGCCGCTTATCTCGGAGACCTTAGATCGCCTACGGGGATCGAAGGTATATACGAAGATGGACCTGAGGGGAGCGTACAACCTCCTGAGGGTCAAAGAGGAGGATGTTTGGAAGACCGCGTTCACAACACGCTATGGTCTGTTCGAATGTCTCGTCATGCCATTCGGTTTGACAAACGCGCCGGCGACGTTTCAACGCTGGATGAATCAGGTCTTCCAGGACATGTTAGACGTGTGTGTGGTCGTCTACTTAGACGACATATTGATTTACTCCGCCGATCAGGAGACACACGACGAGCACGTACGGGAAGTGCTGAGGAGGCTACAGGCGAATGGCCTGTACGCAAAGGCGGAGAAGTGTGAGTTCGACACGACGGCGACGGAGTTCTTGGGGTATGATATTGCCCCTACGGGGGTCAGCATGAACCCGTCGAAGGTGAAGTCGGTGTTGGAGTGGGCGGCGCCTCGAAATATTCGAGGCCTGCAGTCGTTCTTGGGGTTCGCGAATTACTATCGCCGGTTCATACAGAACTACTCCAAGAAGATCCAAGGCATGACGGCCTTGACAAAGAAAGGGGTGAAGTACCACTGGCCGGAGTCAGCGGATGCTGCCTTCAAGGAGTTGAAGAAGGCGTTCACCGAGGCGCCCATCCTCGCTCACTACGACGAGGAGCGCCAGGTGGTACTGGAGACGGACGCATCGTCAGGTGCGATGGGAGCGGTGATGTCACAGGTAGGGGACGACGGGAAACTACATCCCGTGGCGTTCATGTCGAAGAGCCTTACGCCGGCTCAACGAAACTACGACGTACACGATCGCGAGCTGCTCGCCATCGTGTACTGCTGCCAGATATGGCGGCACTACCTGGATGGGAAGTTTCCGGTGAGGATCCTTACGGATCACAAGAACCTGGAGTACTTCAAAAAGGACAAGATGTTGTCCCACCGACAAGCGAGATGGTCTCAGCTGCTGAACCAAATCTTGTACACGTTGGAGTACAAGCCGGGGACAGAGAACGGGAAGGCTGACGCGCTCAGCAGGAGAGAGGAGTTGATGGAGGAGACGGAGCCCAAGCAGGCAGAGACCCTGTTGCGCCCCGTTAATGCAGACGCGCTGGTGGTCAGCGCAGCGACGGTACAACCCCCGTTGCGATTGTGCGGAACAATCCCCGTCATAGGGGATTGGTTCTTGAAAGCGTTGATCCCTGCGGGACAAGAAGATCCGGTCGCGAGAGACCTGATCAAGGGCGTCAAGGAGGGAACCTTGACGAACAGCCGGTACAGTCTGAGCCCGGGAGGCGCGCTCATGTACGACGGGCTGGTGTATGTCCCCGATGCGGGAAGCTTGAAGACGGAGCTCTTGAAGAGGCTCCATGATGGGAAGACCGCCGGGCACTACGGGCGGGGCAAGACGGAGGACCTGGTGAGTAGAGATTTCTACTGGCCGGGTATGAAGGCGTGGATTAGCCAGTACGTGGCTAGTTGCGACAAGTGCCAGAGGAATCGGAGGCCGAGGGCCAAACCAGTCGGCGAGCTGGCTCCCCTGCAAGCGGAGACGGAGCCCTACCAGTCGATCACGTGGGACCATATCACGGACCTACCTGAGTCGAGGGGTTCGAACGCGATCCTGGTGATCGTCGACCGCTTCAGCAAGCGGGCACATTTCGTGCCTTGTCGGAAGGACAACGACGCCAAGGTGTTGGCACAGATGTTCCTGCAGGAGTGGGTACGATTGCACGGGTTTCCCCGGCAGATCATCTCGGACAGGGGAACGCTGTTCACGTCGAGATTTTGGAGGGAGTTCTGTGAGTTGTCCGGTGTCGAACCTAGTTATTCGACCGCCTTCCACCCCCAGACGGATGGTCAGACGGAGCGCAGTAACTCGACGCTCGAACAGTACCTGCGGACGTACGTCAATTACCAGCAGGACGACTGGACCGATTTGTTGCCCATGGCGGAGTTTGCCTACAACAATTCGAAGCACTCGGCGATCGGTATGTCGCCGTTCATGGCATCGGAAGGGCGGGAGCACGCCATCGAACTCCCCATGCCTATCGCCAAGGATTCGGCTGTGGAGTCGATACAGGAGTACCGAGAGCGGATGAACAACATCTGGGAGTCTGTTAATGTCGCGCTGAGACAGGCCCGGGAGGATATGGCGAAGTACGCGAATCGGAAGCGTACGGCGGTACCGGATGAGGGGTACAATGTTGGCGACATGGTAATGTTGTCGTCGGCTCACGTCAATACCGTGAGGCCGAACAAGAAGTTGAAGTGGAAGACCTACGGCCCGTTCAGGATCACGGAGGTCGTAGGAGAGTGTTAAGGGTGAGCCCTGCTGTGCCCTTGGTCGCTCCTCTACGCGGGACTTGTACTAGGTTCTAAGCCTACGGATTGTATAACGGATGGAGAACTATCTAATACAGTGGTATGGATAGGTCTCCATCGAAGTTCGCCGTCTATATACTCCGGTATGTTGTTGTCGGAGCGACGCGACCAGCCATCCCGGCGGTCAGCCCCGTCGATCACGTCCGTCGATCGCGTCCGTAGAACATGCCCGAACCGTTCTCCCTGATAACCTCCGATGGGGCAGTCGATCTCTAACAGTATCCCCCGTCTAGGGCGAGCTCCGAACGCCCTTGATCGTCGGTCGGATCGGCCCGAACTACGAGATACGCTCGATTCCGTCGGCCTTCTCCTCGACCTTGATTTGGACCCCTGCGTGCTGCCTTATCGCCCTGCGTTCGGCTCGTGAGGCGTAGGTATCCGATTCTCTAGACCGAGGGTCCTCCTCGCTTCGCCGTTATCTCGGACATTGTTCAAACCCATCGCCGACCCCTGTATCGTCGGGGACGACAGTGGCTACATGGTCGTACCGTTTCACGGAATAGCTGTAACCCTTCTCGGATGTATCCGATATCGTTTCGCCCAACCGAGGTTCTGTTTCAATTAACCCTCGGTGGTTCTGTCGGGGAACCTCCCCCTGCCTTTGAAACTCGCGTTTCATCACCAAATTCGGTCTTGGCCGGCGCCCGAGCCCGGCTAGGGTCGCCTCTTCTCACACCTTAACGACTCTGCGGCGTTAGGCGGCTGTTCTTTCCTGTTCTATGACGTTTGTCGCCTTGTTCCTGGATGGAATATCCACTGATCGGTTCCGATGAAACGTCCTTTGGCGGCGGAGTCTAATTGTAGAGCATATCCACTCCTTTCGCGACGCGCGAACTTTATCCCTCGGCTCCGCGAGTCGTACGACGCTGTCGCTGTAAACAAAGGTCCTCTCCTTGTTCCGCCTTCACATCAGGCCCTCTCCGTTTCCCGCCTGGACTCTGTTTTTTCATCGTCTCCCAGCCAAAGGGCTCGAGGGCCGTGGGGTATAAGGTCGGGCACCCCCCCTCGACGATATCCCCTTTTCCCCCGTCTCTCAATTCTCTCTCTTTCTCTCTTCACCAAATCACCGACGGACTTCTCCATCTCCGAGATGTCTGTGTACCACGGGACCCCGAGCAAGAACCACGGTACCCCGAAGAGGGGTACCAAAAGGTCGACCGCGCCTCCGTCCAGTGAGTCTCTCGCGCATGTCCGACGGTGTTCCCCGATCCTGATCTCTCTTCATCAGATGTATTCATCGATTCTGACGACGACGGGGAGGACGACGACGAGGAGTTCTCGTCCCCTCAAAAGAAGCCCCGCCCCTTCAAGGCCGAGCCCGCCGATCGCTGGGTTCGATACCAGCCGACCGGCGCCCCGTACTGGAGTGCTTGGACTCGTTCTCAAAGTACGTCTGACATTTTCTCCGCCGGAGTTGTCCCGTTTCGTTAACTTTGATTATCTGCAGTCGACCAATTCAAGAGGGACGAGGCCGCTCGTCCCGAGCTCGGCGAGGTCCAGTACGAGGCCATCCTCCAATCGATTCAAGCTGGCCTCTCGCAGGACGCCAACAGTACCCTCGTAAGTTCTCTCCGCGCCCGTCACCGACGATAGCCTCCTTCGTCCGTCTCCGTCGCTGACCTCCTCCGGCTTGCGCCGACGCTCTTCTCCTTCGCAGGCCACCGTCAAGGGTTACTGGCAACTCGCCTGCCTCGCCTGTCACGAAGAATACGTCCCTCGCCGCGCTCCCGACCAGTCGGTCATCTCCCCCGCCGAAAGCCTCAGTAACCCTGCTCTTCAAGGGTACCAGGTCGTCGACAAGGTTCTCTACGAGGGCCTCGTCTTGTGCCGCCGACTTCCCTCCGCTCCCGGGAAAGGTTCGAAGGCCTCTTCGTGTTTCCGATGCTCGAAGTCGAAGTCCCGCTGCGACAACGTTCTTCCCGTCCACCCGTCGTTCACCAACCCCGGGACCGACTTCTTGACTCGACTCGTTCTCGGCGCCAACTACCTCGCCAGCGACAGCTTGCCCGTCGGCATTCGTAACTCGACCCGGGACGACATCGTCGGAATTGTCCAGAGGGTGAGTCGTCTTGCTTTGTCCGCCGCTTACCTCCGACGCTGATTTCCGTCGGACTTCTAGTTGCGATGGATCCGAAAGGTCACCGCCGAGGAGCTCGACGCCGTCTCCCTCTCTCTTCCGACCAACCTGAACCAGTTCATCCCCTTCAGGCAAGCGAGTAAGCACCTTCCATCTCCGATCTACCCTACCTGTTCAGTTCTCATGTCCGTCTTCTTCTTCGTTAGTCGTTACCCATCGCGAGGTCGCCCAACAGGAGACCGTCGTCGAGCAGGAGAACGCCGTTGCCGGGGGCGAGGAGACCTTCGACGCCGACTAGGCACCGTACCACCACCGCCAGGATCCGATGACAAGGCCCATATCGATAAACAGAATTGTTTCTGTTGTCAACGAGGCAGGGGAGGATTCACCGTTGGTAAACACCGGCGGCTAGCACCGGTGGTAGGTACGAGCGGGATTGGGCCCCCCGCTATACAAATAGGGCTCCTTCTTGTATCTTTCTTGTCGTCGGGGTCTTTATCGATGCGTGCCCCGCGCTCTTCTTCTCGTTCGTTCGTTTCGTAAAGTTCATAAAGTTCAGACTCGTAACTTGTCGTATCACTCGTTCGTAAGGATCGCATGGGCATGGTCATCGGAGCTAACACGATTACATGTTCCAAACACCTTCGGTTTCCTCCCCATCGTGCTCCTCGGGCTCCAACACGGCCGCCGCAACGTGGACGTTGCTACGATACCCGTTCTGGGGCGGTCGGCGGGCCCGTCGGGGTTGGGTGCAATCCCGCGCCCGGTGACCAGGGACCCCGCAGTTGTAGCACCCGTTAGGGTCTCTCGCCAATCGTCCGGCGTCAACCTCCATTGGAGTTGACCCACCGGGGTTGGCCGCCGGAGCGTTCCCTGCTGCCGGAGCCGCTTGCACGTTCACCACGGGACCGTACGTTCGCGCGGGTGTAGGGTGCGACCTTGCCGCCGTCGTTGACGAGTGGGACCTCGAAGTGCTCACCACCTTGTGGGCGTACTTGTAGCACTTCTCCTGGAACTCCTCCACTCCGACGTGCTTCCCCACATCCATCTCCGTGATGGCGCTCTTCCACGCGGCCGACAGGTTTGCCTGGAAGATCATCCGTTTGGAATACCTGTCCATGTCGGGCAACCTGGCTGCCAGCGCATTAAATTTGTTCATGTAGTCGTCGAACGACGAGTTCCCTTGGCGGAGGTGCACCAAGTCTTCTTCCGTCTCCAACCTCCGATTCCCCAGCCCGTAGAAGTGCAGGAGCTCATCGGTGAACTCCTCCCAGGTCGACACCTTCCCTTCGGCGCCGATGTACTTCTTCGACCATTGCCTGGCCGACCCCTCGAGGTATCCTATCGCGAATAGGATCTTGGTGCGTTCCGTGGGGAACTCCTCCGGTCGGAGTCCTTGGTAGATGACGCATGTCTCCACAAAGTCCTCCGCTTCCTCTCTCTTCGACCCATCGAAGCGTTTAGGCTCTGCGGCCTTGGTCTTCGGGGGTCGGGGTCGGTAATCCCCGGCGGGTACCTCCGCTACGTGCGGAGCTGGGGGAGGAGCCGGCCGCTCCCTCATCGAGTCCCTGAACTGACGCATCATCTCCTGCATCTGTCGTTCGGAGGCCTGTCGTTGGGCCTCCATCATCCGCTCCATCGCCTCTGCCCAGGCGGGTCTGTCGGAGTCCCTTGACGACCCCTCTCGGACGTTGCCGGCGCCTGTGCCCGGCTCCTCGACCCGTTGGGCCCGGTGACCATCGGACTGGAGCTGACCAGTCCCCGTCGACCTCCACTGATACAGCCCGGGCCCAACGATCAGATGATCTCCGTTGGCATCCCAAACGGGCTCGACGCCCGGAGGCGCCTCTCGTTCCACTCCCTCCTGGTTGTAAACCACGAACATTTCGTACAAGTCGGGGTAAAGCTGTTGATCCGTTATTCTGTTAAGGGTGAGCCCTGCTGTGCCCTTGGTCGCTCCTCTACGCGGGACTTGTACTAGGTTCTAAGCCTACGGATTGTATAACGGATGGAGAACTATCTAATACAGTGGTATGGATAGGTCTCCATCGAAGTTCGCCGTCTATATACTCCGGTATGTTGTTGTCGGAGCGACGCGACCAGCCATCCCGGCGGTCAGCCCCGTCGATCACGTCCGTCGATCGCGTCCGTAGAACATGCCCGAACCGTTCTCCCTGATAACCTCCGATGGGGCAGTCGATCTCTAACAGAGAGGGTCGCATGGCGCGACGTTTGGAGTTGACACCGGGGATGCGCAGAATCCACCCGGTGTTTCATGTCTCGCTGCTCATTCCGTACAAGCCGAACGAGCTTCCTGGGAGAGCAGTAGACCCACCCCCTGAGCCAGAGGTGTTGGACACCGGGGATTTGGGGTGGGTGGTATCAGAAATCGTACACTCCAAGGAGTTGGGTTCAACGCGCGCCGGGCGTAGGACCCAGTACTACGTGCGCTTTGAGGGGTACGGGGACGAGCACAACGAGTGGGTTAGCCCCTCGGATTTCCACCACAACGACACGCTGGTGCTGGAATTCCATAAGCGACACCCTGAGTTGCCGGTACCGGGCTGCCAAGAGTACGGCGATGCTTGATGCGTTCGGAGCTCGCATCTAGGAGGGGGATCCTATTATAGGCGTCACGTGACGCGCAACCTACGGCACGCGTCGCCTCGGGGTCTCGTTCGGAGACCCTCTCGGAGACTCTCCCGGAGACCTTTTAGGAGATGTTCTCGTAGACGTCTAACTAGTACCTTGTAGTAGTTAGGCATCCGTTATTACATTGCTATGCCTACCGTTACCTTTCCCCAGTCCCGCGACCTTATTACCTCAAGACCCGGCAGGTCGGCTGCCAGGCCTTATACAGGTTCAGGTTCAGGGCTCCGGGCTCAGGCTCAAGTTCAACTAGGTACTGACCTTGTCTACACCAGCTTTAGCACGTCGACAGCTTGCGTCGCCATTAGCTAGGTAGACATTGGTTGGCTATGCTACTACAAGGGGGTCTAGATACAGTAGATGTCGGCGCTGTGCTTATGTAGGTCGCGAAGTCACGTGACAGCGCTCTGTACTCACGTTGGCCTAGCGCCTAGCTGTCTTTCGATCTTTCGGTTCTCGGTCGCGCGCGATTTGGTGATCGAGTTTGGCTACGTCATAGTGATAACACGTGGGGGGCACGGCCAGAGAGCAGCAGCGGGAGGGTGACCGTTGATCCGTTGATCGCTTGATCGCTTGATGATGTGATTTGGAAACAAGGTTCAGATCTTCATCACTCACGCTAGGCAGCACGAGGGAAGAACAAGGAGAGCTCGCCCTTTCGATCTTTCCCTTCTCTTTCCCATCGTTCCTTTGGAGACAATCAGATCCACCAGACAGACCGGCTTGCTGACGTCTTTTTACGGTGGGGGGGGGGGGAACATATGATATCATCGTCGAATTCGACGTCGCAGCAAATCGACTTTCCGCTGGAATCACCCAAGTCGCTATCGCTGATCGCTGAGCTGTCGAGGAAATATATATAACAAGCTAACAAGATCAGGCTCGACATTTTGTATCTGTGATATCCTCGAGGACGGCTCACACACAGACGTAACTAGCAGCAACACGCTCTTTCGATATTGTCCAACGAACAGAACTAGCCGTCAATCATGGTCTTTAAACATCACCCGGACGGCATGTTCGGTAACATCCGGAACGACCTGCATGCGATGTAGTATGTGCCGTGACATCAACTCTGGGATGAGAGCTCTACTGTCGCTGACGTCGTATCGTCGGTGTCCTTTCTCTTTGTGAAATCTTAGCGGTGAATTTGTCGGTACGTCATTCCATTCCCACTCGTCTCGCTCTCGCTTTCCTTTTTTCGCCTGGCTCAATATTCGACTTCCGACCCCTCTACCACCCTATTAGGTACCGTACTCTTCCTCCTCTTCGCGCTTGGTGGAGTCCAAGCGACTGTGACCAACCTGTCCATCAATAACGACTCGGACGGTACTACGCTCCAAGGGTCCGATGCGGCCAGGTTGATGGGATTGTTCTATATATCGGCGTCCTTTGGGTTCAGCCTGTTTGCGATAGCTGCCATTTTCTATCGCTTCACCGGAAGTGTGAGTCGAGGTCACGGAGCGAGTTTACTACTTGCCTGGATGACAGCAGAGCTGACGACTTGCCGGTTTGCGTCGGCGGTAGATCTTCAATCCGAACGTCTCGTTCGCATTGCTCCTGTGCGGGGTGATCACACCCGTCCGATTCGTACTCGTCTGCATCGCCCAGTTTGTTGGATCCATCGCTGCCAGGCAAGTCCGCGGGCCGTATCTCGATGCCTCCTGCGTCGAGGTGTAGCCTAAATGATAGACTTACCCGAACGAATCTCGGCTCCTGTTGTTCGGAATTACAGTGCGATCTTGCACGGTCTTACGCCGGGTGGATTGAGCGTCAATGTGGCCTTGGGGTTCGGGACGAATAAAGCTCAGGTATGTACAACGAGTTCTAGGAAAGGGGCATTCGCGTAAACTGATTTTCGTATTAATGTTCTTGTGCCTGCCCCACAGGGCCTGTTTATCGAGATGTTCATCACCTCGGCCTTGGTCCTGACCGTCCTCATGCTCGCTGCCGAGAGTGAGCCAGCAATGTCTTCGTAGAACCCGTCCTCGTCTAATTCAAGGCTGACTGATATTGGTCTTGTCTCGTAGAATCGAGGTTCACCCCCTTTGCACCCCTCGGATTCGGGTTCACGCTCTTCGTTCTCGAACTGTTTGCCGTCGAATACACCGGAGGAGCCGTCAAGTGAGTCATTTCCTGATCCAAAATTCAACTGGAGTCATGGAAAAATTTCAAGGCCGCTGATTCGGGCCGTACGGGGTTGCAGCACGGCGAGGGCATTCGGACCGGCTTGCATCCAAGGCTTCGCGTCGTACCACTGGATCTACTGTACGTCGATAACGTTAAGATGTGTGGGTCTGAACGAGGAGCTGATCCGCCTTTGCTCTCTTCATACAGGGGTCGGGTGAGCTTCAAGCTTCGTAACGATGCGCAAAAGCCGCGTTTACTGACTTTATCTGCACCGGTTGCTTTTCGACGTAGACCTACCTTGGGCTCCTTGCTAGCCACAGCCTTTTGGTACATTCTGAAGCATATCGTTAGTCCTCCCTCGCTTTCCCTTCTTGCATGACGACCACTCCTTCTGTCAATACCGACTCGCTGACTCTTGGACTTTGAACCGCAGAAATACTGGGAGATCAACCCTGGGCAGGATTCTGTCGATTACAAGGACAATGTCCATCACAACGACGCACCTCTGAGCGACCTGGTCGGACGTGGTAGGGACAGGAACAGCACGGGAGCGGACGGAGCAAGGGACTCCCAGCAAAACCTGAACCGGAACTCGTCCATCGTATAAAGTACAAGCAGCCCGGGATAGGATATCAAACAGCACGGTCAAACAATAATATACACGAAGTTGTCGACAGCGGAAAAGAAACATAGATGTTTAGATGGCTCGCTTTGTCAAAGGGTCCAGGATATGCCATTATGTACGAGACTATAATAACGATTGCGCAAACACTTTGAACTGGATTGGCTTACACTAGTTGGTGGCTCGATCGAGAAACTCCTGAGTGACTATCGGCAAAGTTGACCAAAAAGGGTCACACGACGCCCCACAAAGTCAGGCGATATCTTTACGACCGCATAGGCACGGTGGTGTGTTCATGGATAGGCTCGCTGCCGGTTCTCAGACACGATTCGAACTTCGTGAGCAAAAGTATATTCCGGTTCCCGGTTCATTCCGTTGATTATCGTTCATTTAAATTCTCGCATAGACTTTGCGATGAGGTTACAGTTCCATTTCACTATTCGTTTAACCGTCTGATCTTCAAATTGCTCGATGCACATTCTGTTCTCCGGCGTGTTTGCGTATCGGTCGAGAAGGAAATTTACGTGATGGTAGGGAGAGCGGCCATGCCGGCGTCTTCACGCTACGAAACCCAAGGAGAAAAGCCAAGATACAACATGATCAGCCTGTTCAACCCATCAATAGTCAGGACTAGACGTGTTGTCTCCACTGACCTGTTGGTTCTGTTCACCCGCATCGGGCTCGGCTGCGAGAGCCTCTTTAGGCATCTTGGCAGGGTCCGTCTCGGTGGACATGTTGGGTCCGGTGGTCGACGCGGTGGTGGTGTCTGCGGCCTTGGAAAGGGGGCCTACGAGGTGCGCATCCGAGTGAGACGTAAAGAGAAACGCGGGAAGATGGTTGAAGGGGGGCGATGAGATATCGGGCGTCAGTATGTGAGGAGGCGGGCCTTCAAAGGACGATGGCGGCTCACCGTCGTTCTTCTGGTTCTGCTCGGAAGACATGGTTCTGATCCTCGAGGTGGTGGTGATGGTGATGGACGGGTTGAAAGTGCGTGCGAGTGCCGGTGCAAAGATGGTTCGTGCAGAGAGTCTCATCAAGAAGTAGATGTATCAAAGGTTGTGGTCGAAGGCAAGCAAGGCAAGGTTCGACAAGTCTGAAAGATGGAATGGGATGGGGGATTTTCGGGTTTCATGGTCGCGGGGTGGGATTGTCGAGTTTGACGATGACATCATCTGCTTCCGCCCTCACACCCCTTTTACTTTTCAATCTCGATCCTTGGTTCGTCGGATCAAATAAAAGCGCGATCTTTATCAAGCGCAAGCGGGCGCTGTCATCATGACGGACCCTTCGGTGTGGAGGCGTTTCCCCGGACCTCGGTCATGGGTCAGCAGATCCACACCCCTGCTGCCTCGGCCGCCCCCTCTTTGCCGCGTCATCATCCCTTTCCCCACATTCCCTCCTCGTTCCCTCGTCCTCCCCGCCGAACCTTGCGATCAACCCTCCCCGACGTCTCCGCAGGAGCCCGAGATTGCGCAACTGCGTCTGCGAACGTTCGACACAGCCATCGGTACACGACACACACCACGGAATGTATATATAAGGTAGAGAGACAGCGAGACAGGTAACCGTAGTCCTTTCGTCCGTATCCTGCCTACCCTTTCCCTTTGCCTCAACGACCGCCTGTTCAAACCATTTTGATCATGCGTTTCACCTCACTCGCCCCACTCGCCGCCCTCTTGGGCACGGCGACCACCGCCACCGCGCTCGTTCTCCCTTGGAACAACGAGAACGCCAACGCCGCCGATGAGATCCCAACCCTGTCGATCTCTGACTGGCAAAAGGTCCGATCGATGGGATTCGACCAAGTCAGGACCGCCGGCAAGTTGGCTGACGACTTCGTCAAGACGATCGTCAATGACCTCGAGGACGTCTCCTCCGAGTGGCGCGGAGAGACCAGGGACCAGGATGATCAGTTGACCATCTGGCAGCTCTTGAACCAGGACAAGGACAGGTACTCCAAGGTTCGTCTGCATTGAGAATGCCCTAGAACCGCATAGAACAGTCGAGCTGATTGTCCCGCTTCGCCCATGACAGCTCTTAAAGGCCATCGAGATTGAAGGTGGCAACGCCAAGAAGATCCTCGACGACCGGGACGCTAGCATTACCTTCTTTGCTCCTGGTGAGTCTTCCTCCTTTCATCCCTGTTTGCAGTCACTGACGATCGCAACCATTCTCCCGCTAGAAAACTCTGGTATCCCTGACCCTCACCACAAGGATCACGACCACGACCACTTTGCCTCGTTTGACCGCGCGATCGAGAACCTGCAATCTAACCCTACCCTCGACAACCTCTTGAGGGTACACGATTTGCACTCGCAGAGGTTGTTTGAGCGGGACGAGGACCACCACCACCGAGGTCCTCACAAGGGACACGAGGGTGATGATGACGAGAAGAAGAAGAGGATCTTCAAATTCATCTTGGGAGAGATCTTGAAGTACCACGGTTTACCCCAGGCTTTGAGTGCTACCGAGTTGGCCAACAACAAGACCGTCGCGTGAGTCGACATTCGACCATCGATATACTTAGAAAGCTTCAATACACTGACGCTCTCCGATACCTTCGTCAGCACCGCCCTCTACCCGAAGTTTGGCGCCAACGACGGTCAACCCCTGCGAATCCACCTCGAGAAAAAGGCCCTTCCTCCTTCGCTCGAGCTCAACTTCTACGCCAAGGTTGTTGCCACCCACTCGGACCGCAAGGCCATCAACGGTTACTTGCACGAGATCGACCACCCCTTGTTGCCTCCTCCTAGCGTCTTGACCAGTGCCTTCTTCGTTAGAGAGTTTGACACGTTCACTACTGCTATTCAGAAGGTCAGTCCTAGGCCCTCTCGAGACGGGTTTACGTAGGAAGCGGTGGACGCTGATGCCGCACAAACTGCTACAGATCGGAGAAACCAGCGCCGTTGCATTCGAGTTCTCGCCCAAGGAATCCAAGGCCGAGCACCACCCCGTCTTCCGTGGAAACCCCGCCATCACTGCCTTTTTGCCCACCTCGGACGCTTTCAAGAAGTTGCCCGAGAAGCTCCAGTTCTTCCTCTTCTCCCCCTTCGGAGAGAACGTCATGAGGAAGCTCCTCGGCTACCACATCATTGACAAGTATGTCATCTTCACCGAGTCGATCCACAAGGTCGGGACCAAGGGACACAGGGACCCTCACCAGCACCACGGCCACCACGGTGACCATGACCACGAGAAGAGGTCTTCCTGGTTCGAGGACGAGATCGAGGCGTTGTTCATGCAAGGCGACGACTCGACCTTCCACATCGAGGAAGAGTTCCCGACCATGCTTCCTAATGCTAGCGTCAAGGTCACCATCGACAAGTCCAAGGTCGTCCCCCTTCCCGGTAAGTCCTCGTTGACCATTATGCTGCCAGCTTGCTTAACCTTACATATATGTTGCTCTGATGATTCACGCAGGCGCCTCGAGGACCACCTTGAAGGTCAATGGCGTCGAAGCCGAGACCGTCGACGGAGTCGCTCTCAACGGAGCCATTCACGTGTTGCCTGAGGTTCTCAAGCCTCCTCACGAGCACCACGACGAGGAGGGTAACCTCGTCGAATCGAGCTGGGAGAACTGGGAGCAGTAAGTCTATGGCGGGATGTCGCTGCGTGTGTTTGGATGGTTGGCTAAAGCGCATGGTTCGTTTTTAGATGGCTCGTCCAGTGGGCCGACACTCAGTAGAGTATTTAGCTCGAATCCTCTCTGATGCTGTAAAGCCTCGTCGTTTGCCTTTCCGAAGCGCTCGATGAGCAGCGATACAGACCCGGTTCGAGAGGAGTTATGGGAAAGGCTCAGTCGCCCTTCTCTTCCTCCTGCCCAGTCGAGAAACCAGTTCCAAAGAGTGTCTTTCTAGCCAATACAAGTAAAAACGCAATACAATGTAGCTCGAAGTAAATTCGTCAAAGAAAAGATGTATCCCCCATGTTCAGATTGAATCGATTATCTACATCGTTCTACCTCTTATCGACGTTCCAGTAACTTGCCCCGGCGGCACTTAGCTCGAAATTGATGTCGTCACGCTTCCTGATGTCGGACATGCGCGCCCTGAGGTGAGTCGATCCCATTATACAACTTGCATTCTGTAATTGATTCTCTTAGAGGACTGGCTGCTATACAAAACCTGTTGACATAGTCTGAACCATGTCTGCTGTACTGACCAAGCCTTACGTCGACTATCCCGGTAAGCTCGACCTTCGGACGACCTCGTCAACCGTATCTATCATTCTGTCTCATCTGTTTGTTCTGTTTACTGTAGGCTACATCTTTGCCGCCTTTGTAGCGCAGGGAGGTCAGTCGACCTGCCAGTCGCTAGAATGCGTATGGGACGGAGGGTTGAAGCTGATCTCGAGCCAATGAACACGCTACATCAGGCTTGATGGGGTTCATCAAGGCCAGGTCGATCGCGTCCCTCGTGTGAGCACCTGAGATATCAAATGCCTGCGTGCTGTGCTGACAAGGGCCTGGAATCTGTTGACATCTCTATCTGCACCGCTTCACTGTCTGGAATCCCCATGAATACATGTCGGGTGGCGCTGCGAATGCGATTATGGGGATCACAGGTCCGGGTTGACGAGCGGTGCTGCCTTGGCATATGGAGCATATGTAAGTCGTCGGTACATGCGTGTCTCTGCGGACCAATTTCTTATGGGCTGACAAGCTGGTGGATGGTCTCTATCATTAGCTTAACACTCAGAACCCCAAGGACGTGAAGTTCTCCCTGAGTCAGTATCAATGATACCCTCAAATGCCCTGGAAAAGATACCGTTATTGACATCCTCGCTTTCACCTCAATCCATTTCCTCACTAATCTACATATGCTTGGCCTCTTTGGACAGTCACCTCGCTCTTACTGCTCTTTGTGATGGGCAGGAAGTTTGTCAGGAGCGGCAAGATCATGCCGGCCGGAATGGGTGAGTCGTCATTCTTGCAGAACGATCCGTTGCGGTGTGGTCAACTCGCTCTGAATTCACTATCACACACTTTCCTTACTACCTGGACCCTATGCATGATCGATAGTTTCCGTGAGTCCCTGTCGAGCCAAATGTATGGCTGTTACCCTGAAGAAGCTCACTCTCAATTCCGCTCCGCAGATTGCCTCTCTGATCATGGTCCTGCGATATGGTCAGCGCCTGATGTAGAAGACCATGTGTTTGTCCCGACCGCTATTGCCGAAGAGGTCGATGTGTTCCAACAATGCCAGTAGTGTCACAGATTCTCGATATCCATTCATGCATGCCTTCGACCTCGCGGAAGCAGATCTATATGTAACTGAGTGATTCCCAAACTCAACTTACGGAGTTCATAAGACCAGTGAACTAACTAAGCAATTAAGTAATCCTATCGTTATCGGAACGTCCATCCTCTCCAAAGCAAACAGGAGTCTCACCACAGTCTTGACATACACCTAATCTTTGCTCACGATGGATGTCGACCAGCTCAAACCTGAACCCATCACTCCAGCGATAGAGGGTGTGTCAAGGAACCGAACTCGTTGTCCGCAATCCGAGCTGACTCTGTCCCTTTCAGATGCCGTTGTATCCTTCCACATTACCCATTCGGACTCCGTACCTCGGACGCTGGCTCGCAGACTACATGCTCTAGCCTCTATACCCAGTCTACCCATCGCTCTGCAGGAGCATGCCAACAAGGTCTCCTCCTCTTCCAAGCACCGCGAGCTGCGCGAGATCGAGACGAACCGATACTCGGTTTCTGTCAAGCGTTTCGCCCGAGCCCGACAGGTGGCTAAAGAGCAAGAGGAGCTATATGAGAAGCAGTTGGAGGTGGTCGAGGCAGAGATCAAGCGGGAGGGATTGGCTTTGAAGAAGGAGAGGGAGATGCTGGCGGAACAAGAAAGGATCAAGGAGAGTCACGGCAAGGTTGCGGCCAAGCTAAAAGAACTGTCGAGTCGACCTAAGCAGAGGGTCGAGTTGGATCGGTATGTCTTTACGATACCATCGATAGACTGGCGATTTGTTTGCTGACCTGGTGTCGCCGTAGACTGATTACCAACGTCACGACGGAGATTGAAGAACAACAGGCGAAGAAGACCGCTTATCTTGCCGAAGCACAGTCTCGTCGAGATGCCTTCCGGACCCTCACCGATACCCTTCAGTCGGTCATTCGACAACCCCGCGTCGACCCAGAACGTTCCATCTCCGAACTACCTGTCAGGGAAAAGGAAGCCGTTGCCAAGGTTGCTGGCGTGAGCCGAGCCACGAGCCCGAAGCTAGGACTGCCCGCTGGCATGTCGTCCAAGGGAAAGAACACCCCTACCAGTTCTGTCAATGGTGATAGTCTACCCGAAAAGAGATTGGACCCCAAGGCAGCCGTCTTCACGCCGACCATCACGGTTCAACCTCCTCCCATTCAGCGCAGCAATACCGCCAGCGGAACCTTGCCTTATGGGAAATCTACATTGCCTGCAAACCCGGGACTGCCGAGTCGACCGTCAGGCTCCTACAAGGACATCCAAGTGCCTAAATCTGCCACAGGAGCATCTCGCACATCGGCGATGTCCCTGACGTCTAGTGCGCCACCGAGCCGAGCTGCCACTCCTTTGGCTAGGGACAGGGAGAGACCCGGCAACCCCAACAACAACAAGAACAACGGCAGAGGTAATGCCAATCCTCGCAACGGTCCTCCCGCGTCCGGCCGACCTTCGCTTGATGTCTCGTCTCATGCCAACTCGACGCCAGCAGTGCCCATGTCGCAGAAGAAGTCGACGAAGGAGGAGGGCGAGATGTCGGATCGGGAAGAGGGAGAGCTGAGTTCGGTAGGGGCGGGAGGGCGAACCGGTTTGAAGCGTGGGCGGGGCGTTCAGGGTGAAGGGGAGCCAAAGAGGAGACGAATGGACAGCAAATAAACCATCATCGCCAACTTGTATGAGAAGAAGGGCATGCTATGTGATGCCGGTCTCGTCGTCATATATCTATGTTACATCTTGTAGATGGACTACATACATTTCAGGCTCGATCGAGTACATACAAAAAATGGGTGTAAAGACGACGCCAGAGCGAGACAAATGGAGGAGAGGCCAAGAGAGTCATGAGGTCCGTAATCTGTTTGGCGATACTTTATTGCAGGAGCTGTTTTCGCTTGCTATAATCATCGATTATCTTCTGGACCTCAGTCTCCCTGATCATGGGTCCAGCTGTGACGAAACGGATCAGCTTGACCACGAGATGTATTTGTCAAAAGTCATCCAAAAACTTACTACCGTCGCACTGTGCCTTTTTCTTGAAGCTGTCACACAGGTCGTCCAGGTCAAAGCCGTTGGAAAGCTGTTTTAACAGAGACGCGTCAGTTCCCGTACTGTACCCCATGTTCGCTACGCGACTCACGTCAATCTTGCTCGAGACCGAATCCCAAGCCTCTTGAGTGCTCATCATCCTCGCTCCGTCAAGCGCCAACTTGTGCGCCACCGTGGCGCCTTCCGACATGGTCCCGACATCCATCGTGTTGAAGGGACACGGATGTTGGGTTTTCGAGCCAAACGTGCTCAGCTCGGCGGTTTCCAGAGGGTTCTTTTCAACCGTAGCCGACTCGGGTGACATGGTCAAATACTTGTTCGGCGAGAATGCGGCATCGGCGCTCGCTCCACTGACGGAGCCACCTCGTCCGTTGGCGGACCCGTTGCTGTCCGACCGAAGCGCACCGAGACCGGGTTGTCCAGGTCGTGCACCCATCAAGGTCTGCGACCACGGGCCAGCGTCGGTTGCAGCGTCGATCGGGCTGACGGAGCCGTGCGAGCCGCCAAACTGCTTCTGATTAGGAAGCGGCACCTCGGCGAGTCCGACGGGATCATACGACTCGGTCTGGTTCAAGCTCTTCCAGAACTCTTTCATCGCCTCGTCGTCCCCAAACAAATCGTCGATCGAGACGTTGCCGGCCAGATCGAATTCGTTACCGAGCAATTCGCCCGTTCCATCGACGCCGGGGACATCACGATACGCGTTGAATTGAGGTGCGGCAGGGGAGGGTTGGGCTGGTACACCAGGCGTCTGAGGTTGACCGTACTGCACCTTGAAGGCGTTCAACAAGGCTTGCAGGTCGACGTTGGCCATGGCGCCCGCCTGCTCTGCAGCGCTGGCGAACGGAGCATACGCGTTGATCCCGCCGTCACCATTGCCAGCGTTATTGGCAAACGCGTTGTAAGGCTCTGGGTTAAAGAATACGTTCTGATCCCCCGAAGTACCCGGCCTCGACGCTGGACTGATTGCGTCTGATCCGCTGAACGCCGACCGAGGAGAATCATAATTGGAAGTCGACGTCCCCGTATTGCTCCGTACCGAACCCGGAGTAGGATCCCTCGTCTTGTCGTTCGCGCCGATCAAGCTGATGGGCGGACTAGGCAACTTGTCGATCGGCATCCCGGGCGTCCCACTCGCGCTCGTCGACCGACTGGGCCCTCCAACGGCATGCTCACTCGTCTGAGTACCAGGAACTGGCATGTTGAAGGTAAACTTGTGCTCCTTGAGCGCCATGTTTTCCTTCTGCAACTTGGACAACAGCTGCCTAAGGTTGTCATTCTCAAACGTCTGTCCCGCGTTGTTGGCTTCGAGTTCGGCTACACGGTCCTCGAGCTGTGATAGGGGAAAAAGGCGGAGATCAAGGACACGTCAGCTCGGGCTGTCCGCTTGTACACGGCAGAATTGCGCAACGGCGGCAAGACTAACGTCCTTGACCCTCTGTTCCCTTCTCTCTCGGAAAGCCTTTTGCGCCGCCCTGTTCTGATTCTTTCTCTTGAGCGCCTTGGCCTGTGCATCCGTAGGCTCTTCTCTGGCCTGGCCATTGGCCGTGGATTTTCGGCGAGAAGACGCGGTCTCCTTTTTCACCCCGCGTTTCGAATTGCCAGCTGGTGGATTGTCGGAATGGTCCTCTGCCGATGAGTCTAGTGAGGGATACAGCACCGTAGCTGTTAGTATGTAGCTGGTCAACACAGTCTAGCCACCATTGTTCACCTTCTTCTCCCATGTGTCTCCTCAGATTCTGATGCCCACCCAACTCCTCCTCCTCGGCCTTGCGCTTGTGGTCATTCTTATCTCCACTGGCCCTCCTCGACCTGGACGAAATCGGGTTCCCCTCCCCGCCGGCTGACGAACTCGAAGGCTGTCTCATCGACGACGACCCGCCCTGTGATCCACCCGAGCCCGGACTGTTCCCCAACCCAGCTTCCGGGCTAGAGGTATTCGACCCCGGCGCCGAATCTTTCCCGCTAGCCGAAGCTTCAGGCGTGTGAACCCCCGGTTGTGGGTAAGATCCATTGGGCGGGTTGTTGGTCTGTATGGTCGAGGCTGGGATGCTCTGGTTCATCATCATCATCATCGCCATCAAGTTGTTGTTGTTGTAGTTGCTATTGTTGATGTCAGTGTTGGCCTTGTTGTTGGAGCCATTACCGCTGCTGCTACCGTTGCTATGGGTCGGACTAGGAAGGAAGCCGGTCGACCCGTTGGCGAAAGCGTTGTACGCCCCAAAATTCCCCTTTCCTCCCGTCAATGCCGGATTGACGAACCCCCTCTGTTGCTGCTGCGGTTGGACTTGAGGGTCTTGAAGTTGCCCGATCTGGTTGGCCGAAAAATCCAAGATCTCCTGCTTGGAAAACCCAGCCGAGTTTAGTCCCTGAAGGAAGGCGTTCAGGATCTCCGGGGTCAAGGGGATATCCTGCGGGTTGACGTTGGCGCTCTGGTTCTGATTGAAGTTGTTGTTGTTGTTGTTGTTGAAGTTGGTGTTGCCATTCCCGTTGCCGTTGTTAAAGTTCGAACCAGGGCTGAGGAACGGGTAATAGCCCGAGCTGAACGGCGATTGGTTGTTGCTGTTATTGTCGGCCTGGTTCTCCTGAGCGGCGAGTTGTTTCTCGAGTATCGACATGAACTCGAGAGAAGTCGGGGAGAGGGCCGAGTGTGACATGGTCGGCAGTGAAAGTGTCGAGTTTGATTTTGAAGTTGTTTTCTGTATGGGTTGTCGATCTGGTCCCAGCTTTGATTCTCAGGGACACGTGAAGGTGAAGATATGTTCCTTGTGAATAGGTTGACGACTGTGATGATACATGAAAGGATGTCCCGACGAAAAGACACAAAGAAGGATTGAGTCACGCCATCCGGATACCATTGGCGTGGAGGCGAACCTAGAAATGTCACTGACCACTTACCTAGGAGAACCTTGTCCTGATGACTGCTATTCTCGTTTCGTCTACTCCGACTCTTGCTGATGTGAATTCTTGACTCTAGCGTCAACGGTCGGCGAGACTCTCGTTGAGAGAGGGGAAGGACGGAGGATATCCTGATCCGCTCCCAAGCTGCGGTCGTCTTGTTAAACCTCCTCTGCTGGGTTCCGGCTGATCAGACCGAGTCCTGTTGCCCAAGGCAATGTAACGATGACGTCCAGAGGTGATTTCGACGCTGTTGTTATTGATGGAGCCGTTGATATCGATCGGCCTGCGGTATATCACGGCGTGTGAGATCGAGTTTGGATGCTCGAACGTTCTTCTCTGCTCGCTATGGTTGAGGAGAGGATGCGAGGGCAGCAGAGTGCAACGATAAGGTTGCAGAGTGTGTGATGGAGCTGAAGAGACTGAGCTACTACCTGTGAGGACGACGACGTGGAGGTCGATGATGATGATGATGATGATGATGATGATGATGATGATGCGAAGGAAACGTTTCCCCTGCCTCAGTGGAGGTGAGTGGTCTGGGTGGATTGATAATCAGCTGTTCTCCCCTAGCAACACTAGCAGCCGAACTCGGTACCAAGCGTTATCAAGGGGAAAGGAGGGCAGGGCAGGCAGTCACATCCGCGGTGCACATCAAGAATATTACAAAATCCTCCCTCTGCTCGACCCCCGCTGTCAACATAAGACTGTACCACACTACTATGACCCCCTTGAACTTGCAATGTCGTGCGACATCCAATCGACCTTCCTGACCCATGGATCCATGGCAATACCACCCTTTGAACGTCTCGACCTCGAACCCGATCGACGACCGCACGAACAGCGAGAGAAGGGATCAAGAGGCGATTCCGCACTCGCCGCCTCCACCTTCCCCCCCTCCCGGCACGACTTTTTGATCCCGTCGCTCGAGAGAGTTCTCCCGAAATGAGAAAGCGATCGAGAGGGTCCATTCGACCACGCACGAGGGGGAGACATATTCGAGTCAGCCCGATCACAAGGATCAACACTGATTCTCTTGTCCCCGGACTCGTTCACGCATGTTCGCACGCTCGCTGTGATCGTCGAGTCATTCCTCCGTCGCCCAACGCGGACCTCGCCCGCATGGCGGATCCGAAAACGACATGCGCTCGTTCTCTTGCCCGAAACCTTCGTCGCGATCGCGCTTCAGCCATGCGCCCTGCGCCGGTCGTCTCTTAGAAGGTGTTCCAACGTCTCAGGGAGGGTCATGTGGTAGTACAAGAGATCCAATTGTGACAATATGCCGCATCGACTCGACAAGGGTGATGACCGACCCCGGTCTTTGACGCATGATTGATTTGAGACTGTCACATAAAACAACGCCCACAACCTGTTGCACTTGTGATATTTTTGTTGTGCTGCTCATGCCGCTGAGACTCGGATATTTACTTCTTGTCGATCTCGTGGGCCTTTGTTCCTACAATTCATAAATCGCTGGGGGTGGTAATCGATCGTTTACCTTGCACACGGAAGAATGACGGGATGCCGACAAGAAGCGAAACCGACATCATGTTCGCTGGAACAGAACGGCACAGGTGAGTCTCGAAACGAGGTTTTACACTACGTGGGCCGTGCTCTTTATCGTTGTGCATGATATATACTGGATACCCGAAGCCGCTCGACTTGAAAGAGAATGGGGAAGGCCTCCTGATCGATTCGAGTATTGTGTCATATACTGTCCTGTCCTGAAGATACTTACCAACTGACAACTCTGCTATGTTTAACGTTGACTATAGCGAGGTTCCGAAAGCATTCGAGACTGTGCACCTTGAGCTTCCCTGCCATCTCCTCGGCGCAATATTCAGGATCGTTATCGTGTTATATGCGACAGCGGAATGTTGAGTTGACAGAGGAACAGGGTCGCGAGTTACGCTGCGAACCCCAACCGACCGAGGTCGAAACAAGTTGGAAGGATCCCCTCCGAATTCGCCCACGGTTGCCGATGATCGGTCCAGCGATGTAAATCCGCAAGCGGCAAAGCCAGGCGGAAGTGAAGGTACAATCAGGGACCATCGATCCAGGTCGAGAGGCGCCTGATTATCGTCCTGCGTGAATCAGTGGAACACAAACACAGTTGTATGGATTGCATCTCTACGCTTGCGCGTGAACAGTTTCTACGGACAACTTCGCGCTCGAGCATACAAGCATCAAGATCCCCGATTCAAGCATTCCGATCTCATCTGTACCCTACCGTACAGACCTTTCGCCTACAAGGGCTGCCATTTTCGTCAGCGAAACAGTCCTATCATGTATTGCAGTGCTGTATCCGTCATCAGGAGGTCGCAGGTCTTGCGCCTCTCTCGCTCTCGGCGATGGACGGGTTTGATCGCCCTTTGATCCGCGCGATCTGTCCCACCCTGGGAAGGGCTGAGGGGTTCGGGTCGGGGTTCGAGGACCCGATACCCGAGGGGAGAAATGATATATAGATATGTGGTGTATTGTCTAGGGCTAGGATATAGTTGGATAGAGGTTGCAGAGGAGAAACGACGTGAAACAGCTACCAGCTATCAGGTAATCGTTACGAGGTGAGTAGCGTGGCGCGTGTGACACACACACAGCGTGGTGGTGTTTCGGTGCCGAGATATCCTCCGGTCAACCTGGTCACATTTGCATCCGCTCGCCTCCCTTCCCCCCCACACTCCCTCTGCTGTCACCCCACCCACCCACGATCGCTCATCACCTTGGACATGTTGACAACCAACATCATCGGTCATTCTTCCCACTCGAACAGTCTCCCGCAACTCACAACCCCCAATCACTCCCATTCACATCACTACCACCACCTCTCATCTCTCTATCGAAAATGGTCAAAGCTGTCGTCGCAGGTGCTGCCGGTAAGCCCGTCCTCTTCATTCCGGGGACAGCCATTCCCTCACGATCTGACCATCCGCTCGGTCCTTCTCACTGTGCCGTCGCAGGTGGAATCGGACAACCCTTGTCCTTGTTGCTCAAGCTCAACCCCATCGTCACTGAACTGAGCCTGTACGATGTCGTCAACGCCCCCGGTGTGAGTCTGCATTCCTGGCTGTAAATGTGGATTGGCTGGTCGTCGTTCATGCGGCTCCTTTGTATTCGGACGCTGAATGAGCAAGGCCAAGTCGATATCTGGTAGAATTCAAGCTGATTCCTTACACTCTTTTCTTTCTATACCTGCCTGCTCCAATGCAATCACGATCCGAACCTACCGCACTGCTTCACGTCGATTTCCTGCATGATATCACATCCGCGGCACATAATGCATATCACAGGTCGCCGCCGACCTCTCCCACATCCCCACCCCGGCTCAAGTCTCGGGTTTCCTTCCCAACACCGGATCTCAGGGTCACAAGGGACCCGAGGAGGAGAAGCGAGGTGCCGTCAACGCGCTCAAGGGAGCCGATATCGTCGTCATCCCCGCTGGTGTGCCGAGGAAGCCGGGTATGACGTGAGTCGAGAGTCTTGGTCTGCTTTCGGGCATCGACAGCGCGGAAGAAAGGAAGCTCACTGGGTTTCTGTTTGGCTGGTTTTAGTCGAGATGACCTTTTCGTGAGTTGGAGATGTCTATGATGGCTCTGATAGGGTTATTGACTCGTTTACCTTACATTCCCATGATCCCATCGATTCGTGCATGTAGAACGTAAGTGCCAAGAAAAGACATCAACCACATTTCTAATAACCAACTGATTTCTCGATTGATTCAACAGATCAACGCCGGAATCTGTGCCACCCTCGCCGAGTCGATTGCCGAGGCTTGCCCCAAGGCTTTCATCCTCGTCATCTCGAACCCCGTCAACTCGACCGTGCCCGTCTTTGCCGAGGTCCTGAAGAAGAAGGGCGTCTTCGACCCCAAGCGGTGAGTCTAGGGTGCGAGTTGGAGGCCCGCTTCATTATACCAAAGGTCCTGAACATAACAATCACGTCACCGCCCATAGACTCTTCGGTGTCACCACCTTGGACTGCTTGCGAGCTTCGACTTTTGTCGCCAGCGTCGTCGGCGAGCCCACCGAGGCTTCCAAGTACGTCATCCCCGTTGTCGGAGGACACGCCGGACACACCATCCTGCCCCTCTTGTCGCAGGCCAAGCCCTCGATCCCCTCGTCCGTCCTGAAGGACAAGTCGAAGCGTGACGCTCTTGTCCACCGAATCCAGTTCGGTGGTGACGAGGTCGTCGAGGCCAAGGCGGGTACCGGATCCGCCACCTTGTCCATGGCTCAGGCCGGTGCCGAGTTTGCCGACAAGGTCATGCGAGCCGCCTTCAAGGGAGAGACCGGACTCGTCGCCCCTTCGTACGTCAACCTCGAGGCCGACCCTTCGGCGGCCAAGACGATCCAGCAAGAGATCGGTAAGGACCTCGCCTACTTTAGCGTCAACGTCGAGCTCGGAAAGGAGGGGATCGCCAAGCTCAACCCGGTCGGCAAGATTGACGAGACCGAGACTGCGCTCTTGAAAAAGGCCGTCGAGGATTTGGAGCCGAGCATCAACAAGGGTGTCGGTTTCTCCCCCGCCTCCAAGCTCTAAGAGCGAGCGTTGCTCTGGTGCAAAATCGCTCACCCTTACCTTTGTGGTTTGCGATCTCCCTTGTAGTCCTGGCTTGGCTTAGGAAGGAGTCTCTGAACAATCCGTGTAGATCATCGTCGAATATCAATTGAATATGAAATGGGCAAGCAGGCACAGCCATTTGCAACCGGTCTCAGGAACTGGACGGGCTGGAAATATCTGGCTTTCTCTCGCCTAGCTGAAATGACAACGATCTAGCTGCCTGCCATTCGCCGATGGATCCACGATTTACTGCCGAATTACAGGAGATAGAACGACTTTGAGGCAAAGCGGCTTATCGCCTGGGTGGTGACTCGAGCGATATCGGCTTTGCCTCACTGCAACCAACAACCATCTGCTTCTCCTCGCGTTGTTTCTTCTCCGAGCGGGTCTGATCTTCCCTCGTCCGCTGTCATTCCTCGCTTCGGTGCGATGTAGGGCTGTGGCAACAGATCGTTGGTCCATTGGATGAACGCGTCGCGCATGTCCTCACCTTCGTAGCGCCTGTCGACCACCTCTTGACGTAACTGCTTGCTCCATTGTATGATATCATCCGCGCCGATGATCTTCACGTAGATACCCCGTGGGAGGTGTTGCCTCAGGGCGCAGGCGAATGCCTCGGGATTGGGTAGTGCGACCCCGTACTTCAGGTAGAGCTCGAGGGTGAACAACGGGGCGGGATTCTGGACGTTGCTGAGTCGAAGCCCTGGACATCGGCCCCGGTTGTGCACATCCTGATGTTCCCAGGCGATGGCATACGGATCGACGAAACACCGAAGTGTACGTAGTTGACGTCTATATGCCTTGGGCAAGGCCGGAATTGGGATACCTGTCGCCGGGTTGTATGGCAGATCATCAAACACAGCCTCTGAGAAGAATAATCCCAGATCAGCCAGCGTGTTGGAGTCGTCAAGGTGGTCTATGAGAAGCCGTCGTTGATCGTCGGATCCACGCTCGACAAGCACTATCAGTTGCTTGATCCCTCTGGCTGCATCTAAAATCTTGTGCAGGATATCGTAGCTGATTTCGGCCGATCCCAAGACGAAAACTTCGAGATGCTGGAAGATCGAGTCGAAATCGTTAAACTCGGTCAGATGAGCTTGCAATTCCCTGCAGTCGAACTTGTGCGAAGTCTCTACGTACTCTGCCCATAAATCAAGAGACTGTTTATATAATGAGGCGGAGTAAAGGCGTTCATGTTCGATGTGGAGTGAGATCAAGCGGAACTCTGAGACGGGCCATATCGAACCTGGAGGGTCGAACATTCTGTTGACCGTGTTGTTCACGTAATCCTCGTTGTGATATAGCTTGAGATCCAAGGTAGGGAGCGCATCGGGGTGGGAGAAGTCCACTCTGGCCTTGTATAGAGCAATTCTGTCCCGATATCTTCGGCGTGAATAACCTGAATGGATTATGAGCACCTTCATGCGGGGCAGATCCTTTCGTATGATAGCGACGTCGAAGAGGTCGGAATCGTCAAACGTCTCATACTGATTGACTGAAGTTTTGTACAACGATCGTCTCTCCTGGTTAACAAGGATATGCGAGACGAACGATATCATCAGCCTGTTGGCTTCTGGGGCTCTTTGTGGGATGCAGCTTACAGGCAAGCATATCTTGAGAACGTTGGGCAACTTCTTAGACGATGTGTGTCGCCATAGCCTTCGGACCGTGGCGGGCAAACAGTCTCTAGCCACACAGCACATGTTCACGAGAGTCCTTTGGTGATCAATGTGAGCTATAATCAAATCTCGAATGAGAGGAATGCGAAAGACTTCGCGAGCCTTGATCCTGTCCTGTTTGCAAGGATGATTCAGCTCGGCGAGATTGGATGACAAGAAAACTGATCCGGCTGACCGTGTACGATGTATGGATTTCCATGACTTTCTGATTGGGGGTGATTCCTATCGTTGAAGTGATGCCATCAATCTGCAGCCTGATATGGGTAGTAGCAGTAGTAGTGTATCGAAATTTCCAAGCGGGGACTTACGAGGTTGTTGCGTTCGCAAGTTTGCGAGGATGACGAGGATGAGCCAGCCAGCCAGCCGACGGGATCAAAAGCTGATCGTGCTTCACATTCGTTCCCTCTCTCAGGGTGTGAACCTTTACATCGACGATAGTCTATCCAACGACAGCATTCTGTGTTCTGTACCATCCCTGTTTATCGAAACTTGTGAGACCAGCCGCGCCCATTGCTCGAGTTGCAAAAGCGATATCAGTCAAGATTCACAGGGTCTCACCAAAGTTCAATCTGCTTAGCTAATACTGACCGCGGGCCGCGGTGTCAGGGCTGAGCTATGATGTATCCCGTATATCAATATACCTTGTAGGGAGAGTTTATGTATGGCAATTAACGTGAATGCGGTCGATTCATCTTCTACTGCCCGTCTCCCATAGGAGAGTTCGCACCCTGCCGATTCTTGCAGACTGCATACAATTCGGAAGGCAGACATTCCCCTGTGACTCAGATGACAGACATTCCCGGATGCCTCTCTTGCCCAGACCGAACGGCGATTCTCACATGGATGCGATGAAGGCCACTATCCAATAGGCCGGTTTTGCTCAGAATTCGATCTGGCTGTTGACTCCGGGCCGAAATGCATTCATATACTACTGTACACAGAGGCCGTACGGCGCTAACCCCAACCTCGACACAGACAAACGCAAGTAATCAGTAGCCAATATAAGTGCCCTAAGCGCCAATTCTCTACTGTTGACGAGGTTCTCGGGGCAATGACCAGCTGACAGACAAGATGAGGTTGTCGTATCCTGGTGAAAACGATCGAAAATATCGATCAGCGAACCGCGCGCTCTATTCTCCGCAACAGCTTGAAGCTGACCTCGTCCGTCCAACGCCTTCATGGCCTTCTCCCCATCCGCCCTGCTCTCGAAGCTGACAAACGCGAAACCCTTGCTCTCGCCAGTCTCCCTGTCCCTAACGACGTTGGCCCTGGCGATCCTGCCGTACCTGCCAAACATGTCTCGGAGATCGTCCTCGTCGGCGTCGGTCGAGAGCGAGGTGATTCGGAGGGTGGGCAGGTCGTCTCGGTTCCGGTTGAACATGGATTCTCCAGCCGGTCGAGAAGAACCGGCTCGCATCGAGCTGAGAGTGGGGGATGAAGCGAGCGGATGAGCAACGATAATACATGCACGACGTAGATCCTGGAGGAAACTCACGGAGGAACGTATTTCGATCCGCCGGCAGCGCTGGCCATGGCCTCGGCCGGCGTAGGCGCGTCATCCAGAGGAGGTTCCCCACCAGCCAACAAGTCGCCCATACCAGCGCCCTCGAGAGTGTCTTTGATGGGACACTTCGACGTGAAATGGTCTCCCTTACAGATACGACAGGCGATCTTCTTGCTTCCGAGCTGGGCCTTGAGCTTGGCGCTTTCGTCTTGCTCCGGCTCGGCCTAGCGAAGCGTAGTGGATTGATTCAGGATCACAGCTTATCAGTAGAGAAGGCGTGAGAGGAACATGCTACACCGACCGCACGGCTTACCTTTTGGCCACCAGCGCTAACCTTGAACTGCATGTCCTCGGCAACGGTCGTCGTAGCCCTGTCAGGTCCAGCAGGCTTTCCCTTCTCGGCACCGAACCTATGGACCACCCGTGCGGCCACAAGTCAGTTCCTATCCTTCGTCCGCTGCCGTAATCCCGCCACGCCTCAACCTCCACACTCACTTGGCCCAGTGCTTCCTCTCGGCAACCGCATGGCTGACCTCCCTCACTTGCGTACTCCTCTTGATCTTTCGGGTAATCTTGACCTTCTTTCCATCCTCGTTGTATCGCCATTCGGTAGTGGTGATGGTACCGTCCGGGTTGGTAACCTCGCTGGGGGCGGGAAGGGCGACGCCTGGATTGCGATACGGGAATGCCGAGCTATCAGTAGGGGTCGTCGACAGTAGGGATATGAGCCGCAGACTCACGCTCCTCGACGCCATCGTCATCGGCCCAGTTGGTGCTTGCGGGTTGGCTGCCACGGGGAAACCAAATTGCAAGAGAGGGAGAGGGGAAGAGCCGACGTTAGCAATCGGGGTTCCGGTTGTGATCCGTCGTCATGGCTCCTCGTCGGGGACAAGCGTTGATTCCACCATCAAACTCACTCTACAGCTACGGGCATTGTATGAGGATGGTATTTGGGTGATAGTCTGGTATTCGATGCGTTATCAGCTGCTGCTGTGGTAAAGACTGGACTGGGTGAACCTTCAATGACAAAGAGGTCGAAGGTCGACTTCGAGAGAAAGTATGGATCGGTCAACGCGGAATTGTTCATTTATCAAAATAATCACCGGCTGCTATGACGTGTCTTTTTCGTGGGATCGGCCTGTCACTTTGATCAGAGTCTTTTAGAGCGCAGTTTCGTGGATGCGTTCTCATGGGCATACTCGAAGTCACACATATGCATACATTTAGGCAGAAGTACCAATTACGGTCAGGTCATCCCTTCAATCGTCGTCGAAATGCACCGTTCGCGTGGAGTTGACGCTGAAATGACTGCCGCCACTGTCGTGCGACCGCAATGCCGGCCTTCTAATAGAAACTGTACTGGTCTGCTGGCTCTGATCAGTAGGTCCGAACGAGAGGCTACTCGAAATCGAGGTGACGGTTCTTGTCGCTTGTGCTTGTGTCTCGTTGGGATCGCTCAATATCTTCCCGGCGCAATGCAGCACAACTAATTTGTGATTAGCTCTGAACCATTGGCTGAGTTGTTTGTAATCTCGGTGGACATGGCTCTGTACACAGAATTTCCACTCGGATGGTTGCTCCTCCCCGTCAAAACCTGTGTCGCTCTTCGAATACCACGTCCCGGTGGCAGGAGGAATCGCTCTCGCTCCTCTTCCCTCATCAGAGCCAAGCAATCCCTTTTCAGAGCCGAGCGCGAGATCGACCTGAAGTTTCTCCAACAGACTTGTACAGTTCTCCGCAAACAGGTTCGAAGGTGGAGCCGGTTTTTATTCATAGTGTATCAACGTCGATACGCATAAGATTCCATCTATCTTGGAAGGTTTCATCATGGTCGAGAATTGCTGACCGTGATGACATCAGAGTTGATATCAAGTAGAATCTCGAGCATTAGAGATTCTGGCTCATAGATATACACTTCATGGATCGGTCAATTGACACATTCGCGATGCGGAAGCTTAGACGTCCTTTGTTCCGGAGGAAAAGTCCGCTTGAAGAACGTTCGGCTTGGACCTTCAGGTTCTCCGAAGTCTGTCTCGACCGAGCGCTAGTGCATTTGTCAGGAGGTTCTTCCTTTGTCGAGCAGATAACTCGCTGAGCGATTCTAAGCACCCACAGACCGTTCGCCAATTCTTTGGTCTCAAGCGCTTGAGAGGTGAACCTGAATACTATTGTATCGATGGGTGCCTGTAGCTTAGTTTATGCCGGATGGTTCAGCCTGTTGTAAAGTACAGTCTGGCTATCATTCACTCGAGCATCCGCTCCCCTGGCTTGGTACTGATAGCCTCGACTGTAGGTACAGGAAACTCCGTTTCCTTTGTTTTGGGATAACGCGAAGGAGGCAGCTTCGGTCTGCCGCCATATCACGTCGTCCTGTGTCAGATGAATGATGGGGAACAGAACACGCTTGAACCCATTTTTCGCCATTTCCGCTGACAGTCGTGGCGGTAGAGGCTCTGATGTGACTCTGATAGTCACTGGCAGACTCTGAAAGGAAAAGTGGTCTCTACTGACTTCCGTTAAACCTCCTACCGGCATATGATCTGGCACTCAGAGGAACCCGGAACCAAACTGCCCAACTCGATCGTTTTGATGTTTCGCTGCACACTACTAGCTGGATGATTGACCCGCTCTTGACGTTTCAGATATGGGTACAAGGCCTCGAGAATGGCGCGATCAAAGAGTCTGATGTTTACGAACAGCTTCATACCCTGCCATGCTTTCTCCCTCGGATCCCATACTACGTAATTCTGGTGGTACCCGATTTTTAAGAGTACGAGTACGCTCAACTTTCGCGCAGCCTTTTCGCGCGGAGCGGATGATGGCGTGAATCCAATTTCAAACGATTGACTAGACATGAAAGCTCCGTCTCACAGTCAAACATGCCGATCTAGGCAGATCGCCGATGTGCACATTGTCCAGCGGGCTGCCCAAATGCTGTAGCCAAGAGCTCCTCCGAACTTGCCGGCAGAAGGGAAACGCCTCCCCACGGGTCCGGAGCCCCGTACTTTCCGTTCCGCTTTAGGCAGTTTCACTTCAGCATCGAAGGCGGGACCAAGGCAACAATGATATATATATCAGGAGGATTCATTTTGCTCGTTGGTATATCTGAGCACTCCTTCTTTGAGACAAAGCGCTGTTTGGAAATGGTTCTAACCTATAGGATGCGCTCATCGATCTCACTCGCGCTTATCGCTGTGGCCTCTTTGGCCCAGGCATCTCCTCTCAATGAGCGAAACAATGGTGGCCAGAACGAAGAACAGAAAGGTTCTCAGCCTTCTGTCAAAATTCAGAACGGGACGATCTTGTGGGTTGCCGTGCCTTGTTGCACTGGATATGCACGATCCGTGATACGCTGAACCTTGTGGAATGATATCGTACAACTCTCGTATCGGTAGGGGTGTGGATATACCTGGTTTTGATCAAGAGGCCTTCTTCGGGATTCCTTATGCTAAGCCGCCCGTTGGAGATCTCAGGCTCAAACCTGCACAGCCTCGGTGAGTACATTCCGATCATGAGTGACCTATCGTATTCTGACCCCCTTCATTCGATGCAGCGATACTCCCTTTGGCTCGTATCAGGCCACGGACCCCGGTGCAGCCTGCTACTCGCCTTTAGCTGCACAAGGCATGGACTTCAATGCCGCCTGGAATCAATCGGAAGATTGCTTGACCTTGAACATCGTCCGCCCTTAGTCAGTCGACCCCTATTTACGCATTCTTGGCTCCGTGCGATTCTGAAATAGGGCGTGGCACACCTGTAGCTCGGCCAAAGACCAGTCGAAGCCTCTGCCCGTTGCTGTATGGAGTAAGTACGAGTACCAGGAATCTTCCATTGGTTGTGCTGAGTAGCGTGCTTCTCTCGTAGTTTATGGAGGCGCGTTTGTAAGTGATCCCGCGAGTTACCCTACCCGATCGGAACTGAACACATACGTAACGTACTACTCAGACTCAAGGTTTCGCAGTAAGTCATTGGACTGTGTCTGCTTTCGTTCGTCTTCCTCAGCGACTGAAATCTATTACTCCAGGGAGATCAACGATACAACGGTACCTGGCTTTTGGACGCTGGTAATGCGAATGGAAGTCCTTTCGTTTATGTCAGCATCAAGTAAGTTTCCACCGAAACAAGTTGCCTCTTGGTGCTGCTATTGGGTTGCTTATCGCTCGTCGCTAGCTACCGACTTGCATCCCTCGGGTTCTCCTACAACAAGGCTCTACTTGAAGAAGGTTCGGTCAACTTGGGCATCCGTGATCAATATTTAGCTTTGCAATGGGTGCAGGAGAATATCGCTGCGTTCGGAGGAGACCCCGATCGCGTGACTCTGTTCGGCGAAAGCGTAAGTTTTCGCATGCCACCTGCGCGTATACCATCTAACTTCAGGTTTTGGTTGAGACTCAGGCTGGGGGTGCCAGTACCTTGTTCCAGACTCTGGCCTACGGTGGGAGGGATGACAATCATTTCCACCAAGTCATTATCCAAAGTGGTACACTTCCGCAGCAATATGCCAACGTATCGTCCCCTGCTGCCGTAGCGGCCTACAATAACCTCTTGGCAAACTCTACCTGCATTTCTACCATGTCAGACTCGGCGGCACAACAGCTAGCCTGCATTAGGTCTCTGCCTATCCAAACCTTCCGACAACTAACGGCGACCGCACCCACCGGTTTTGTGCAGGACAACGACTTTTTGCAGTCTCCATCTTCCGCCAGTGCTTTGAACAACGGAGCGTACATCAAGGTTCCTTCCATCCTTGGAGCAAACACGGACGAGGGTTCAACGTTCGGCCCTCGAGGCGCTAACTCTAGCGAGGACGTGTTGCGCCTGAACAATATCCCCGAATCGATCGCCAACGCAACTCTTGCAGCTTACTCCAACGATCCCAAGCTCGGGTGTCCCTACAACACTGGTGATTACCAATTGCCACCAACCTTTGGACCTCCTGGAACTCAGGATAAACGTTCGCAATCCATCTACGGCGATATATTTGTCGACAGGTAAGTATCTGATTGCTCGTTATGCTTATCACTGTTCGAATGGTTCACTTACATTTGCGTCGTTGCAGTGGTCGTCGACACTTGGCCCAGCTCAACGCAGATGCCGGCGTTCCGGTTTACAGCTATCGATTCAATCACGTTCCCTGGGTTACCGTTAGCTTGCCCTTCGTCCAATGGGTGTCTCACGGTAGCGACGTCCCCTACGTATTCAACTCGCAGGTCAACAGGCGAGTGACGACATTTGTGATCGATGCTTGATTAGGCTTTACACTGAATCTCCAATCGATTTTAGAACCGAGGAGTGGCTCAAGTACAATCTCCCTATGACACCTCTCGGTCAGGGCGCGCCCATCGCTGATCGCGCCCTGGGAGAATACATGGCTCGCTCATGGGCTGCCTTTATCGCCACCGGTAACCCGAACGATGCCAATTGTATGTGACGTTGCCATCACCGAGGCCTTCCCGCTGACAATTGGTTTTGCTCGTCCGGCCCCATAGATACTTCTGGTGTGTACTGGCCTGAATACAGCAACGGGACCCAGAACCTGGTTTGGCAGACTCAAGGCAGCATCGTCGAGAAGGACGTGAGTAGCTGGACTTCCGTTACGAGTCGAAGGAGCGGAGTGCTAAGATCGCATCGAACAGGATTATCGCAAGGAAGGTATTCAGACCATCATTGAAGGCTTTTGGTCCTCTTGAGTGGAGCTGCTCCATACCGGCCGTTGTGGTCGAACGCCATGCTTCAACCCTCAGGCGTGCCAGCTACAAAGAAGTTCCGCCAGGTGTTTTTCCTCCTAATCGTTCCGGTTCCAAGCATCTAGCGTCTATGTCCAGGGAAAGAGGAAGTTACGAACACTTCCCACTTAAAACATTAGTCTCGTTCATCCACCCTTTCTAGGATCTTTCTCATATTACGTGTTTTGACATGTATTCCCGGCTATAGCTGATGCACACATAATACAAAGTTCTCACGTCTAGGTACCTGTGATGCAAAGCGTACACTACGGTATCCTCTGTTTCTAGATCATTGAGCGGAGTTTCTGGCCTGCGAAGACACCAAGATACACTAATCAAGTAAGCGCAAGCCTCACGAACTCTATCCGCGTATGCAGTCGTTCATCAACGCGATACTTCAATCATACATAGTAGATCTGCTTGGGTACTCTGGAGGGATAGGTAGACACACTGAAGGTCTGTCTTGATCACTGAGCGTCTGAGGCATACGTCGTGAAAGGCGAAATCGTCACGAATGATACACTGTCCCTATCGATCGAGACCAGATATCCGGGTGTCTACGATATGACGCAATTAGCTTGGGAGGGTTCGATTGAGGACTTTCGTCGATTCATTCTTTGCTGTTCACTAAAATCACTACAACTTTTACTTTCGCCTCAGCACACTGCATGTCGAAAATCGAACGCCAAACGGGTTGACCGATATGTGCGACCATATTAATAATCACGGTTGCCGTAGTTGCCCTGGTTACCATAGTTGTCCTGGTTGCCATAGTTGCCCTCGTTCCTGTAGCCACCCTGGTTCCCGCAATTGCCTCGGTTGCCGTAGTTGTCCTGATTCCCATAGTTGCCCTGGTTCCCGTAGTTTCCCTGCTCCCCGTAGTTGCCCTCGTTTCGATAACCACCGCCGTTGTTGTGGTGGCCCTCACGACGGTACTCGACATCCCCAAACTGTCCGCTCTTCGCCAACGCATGCTTCGCGTTCTCCTCGGCTCGTCGTCTAGCTTCGAATCGATCGACCTCGTCGAGTCCTCTGTAGGCACAGAGACGCGTGACAACGTTAGAACTGTTCGACGAAATGGCACTGACAGCGACTCACTTGGTCTCGATCAACTTGTCGGCTAAAGATAGAGCAGTAGGCGAGACGGCACATCGATTTAGTGTCATTCGTGATACGCGATAGCAGATCCAGCCTACAGTTACTCACTCTCAGCTCCGGCAATAGCAGCGATAATCTCTTTAGCAGTCTCCCAGCTGAGCGACATTACCGTGAATCAATCGATCAGTCACACAGGCGCGCGGACGATGAACCACAGGCTCGAGACTTACCTCTCGGGCTTTCCCTCTCGTTCTTGCTTCTTCTCGTAAGCCCTCATGGCCATGAAACTGGCTGCACCGGCTACGAGCTCGTGGGCTGTACGATACGGAAAGGCGATGGTGGGCGGGATGAACGAAAGACAAAATAGAAATAGCAAGCGCAAGAGCGGTTACGTAAGAACCCATCGGCGGTTGATACTGGCGTCGGCTGTCGCATCGATGTTGTCGATGTTGAGCATGTTGAGGGGGACTCACAAGTGGAGCCCTCTCGGTCGACCTGCTCATAAGCCCTTCGCTCGTCGGAATCGTCGTGGTGGAAAAAGCCCATGCTGATCGGTTCGTATGTCGTGTTTGTGGGTGATCAGGTTTGCGTAGTTGACAAGAAGGTGGTTCTGAATTGTATGCAAGTGAGCGGCTTGGTCCTTTCCACGACCATGTCCAGACCTTTATACGCTTCCTTGCCTGAGCACAGCCGCTCTCCGCAGTCCTTCTTGAGGTCAGAGATCAGAGATGACATACAAGCACGTTGCATTCGTGTCATCCTCGGGAGAAGTCGACTTCAGGGTCGCCGTTCGCCGACCCAGAAATAGCGAGCGCTGCTGTGAGGTGGTCGTTATTTTCGGCTTGGTCCACGGCGATAGGAGCTGTCGGATCTTGTGGCATGAGGTATATCATCCTCGACTCTCAGGACCAGCCGCACCACAGCTTCGCAAGGGTACAAGAGTTGAGCTGCGGATCCCGGACTTTGATCTACACACCCCCTCGATGCCCTCCCACTCGGCCGCTCGTGAGGAGACCCCGCGTGCTGTGTGGCACGGTAACAACACGTCGGACCAGATAGATGGCATAGATCATAGATGGTCAATTCGGTCGATTGCAAAACCAACCGTTCAGTAGCCAGGGGTTAGCCAGTCTACAGCCGGACCCTGAATGCATTACTTGAACTGGCTAGCTACTACTGGATACATCCTGTCTCAAGATCATGGCGATGCTCTGTGACCTGATACGTCGCTGTCGACGAGTACTTGCGGGGATTGATGATCACTCGGATGAAGCGATGAAACTCCCATCAAATCATCATCATTTCCCATCAAAGGGCGGAGGGGCGCCAAAGGGACATCGACAAACAACAAACAGATCATGACGATTATGACCACCACCTCGTCACCGCTCATCGACCTCGAGTCTCTGCCACATACATACATCGACAATACATGGTCGTACATGTTGACAGAGTGTAACTCGTGGACCGACCCAGACATCAAATACTTCGAACATGCAACCAGGAGTACACCAATGAGGCCGGACTGATGGGCAACTTTAGTCGTTGGGTGAGTCATCCTGTCTCCAGCGTAGCTCGGGGACTTCCTTTTGACGTTCTATCTGCTTGCTATATCGTCAGTTCTCTCGATCTCGCAAGAAGAACAAGGAGGACTCCTCCCACAACCCGCTCTTCAAGGCGTTCAATTCCACACCAACCCTCGATGGTATACTACCCGACCCGGAGAGGTCAGAGGTCGCTGCCCCTCTGCCTCCAGCTAGGACCGATGTCAAGCAGCTCCCGGAGAAAAGGACTGGTACGAAAACGACCCAGAAGTGCAAAGAAACAAAGTCTTCCCGTGTGGATCCAGAGTCACGACATCGGAACCCGGAAAGATGGAAACAACAGTTGTTGGCTTGGAGGTTGTCCGCCTATGAAGATGCTCGACAGTGGGAGATGATCGAGTCAGTAGACGCTCACAGTAGCACTCCTAGCATATGTCCTATCATACTTATGGCTGACCCGCACAAGCTTTGTTGCGCAGTGCCGATACACACAAGATCCTCAAGCATCATGCGTTCCTCTCCCCAGATAACCAATCGTTACCCGATACGAACTCGACCATCCGACCATCTCAATCCGCTCCAGCCCGATCACAGTCTTTCCCGGACTCTCTCGCTTCCCGACCCGTCACCCCGTCGCCATCTCCCCGCAAACAACCGTCCTCTGCCCACCCACTCCCTCCGTCCAGTTGGAATCGACCTTCCATATCTCAGATACAATCCGACCCCAACACGGAGACTTCGCAAGGCCTGACGTCCAGCGCACATAACTGGGGGTCCTTCCTCTCCATCCCTTCTTCCCCGACCCGGAGTCGATCGCGGTTCTTGACCAGCCGGAGCATCACCTCGCTCTCTATCGGCTCGTCCTCGGCACATGGAGATAGAGATAGGGAGATTCCGGGGGTCTTGAGAAAGGAAAGAAAGCGGGATAGCTTGAAGAGCCCTTTTCCCTCGCGACCTCTAGATCTGGACCTCGGTCCGCACAGAGACGATTTCACAGCTAGAGCTAAAGCCCTACCACCGTCGAGCCGGGCCGAGGTGGAGGCGGACTCAACCACCAAGGATCTTGAGCTGCTGAGCAGGGTGAAAAGAGGGTTGTTGACGGACGATTCGCCCGCGATCTCGATCCGTGCGGAATGGGCGAGGACGAAAGCGGAAATGAGGATTGTCTGTGCGGGAGGAGGACTGCGGGGAGCGGTCGGGCGGGTGGAGAGGGAAGTCGAGGTGTGGAAACGCAAGTGCCGGGTTCAAGAGCTCTTGAACGATGCGCAGGGTGAGGTAGAGGAAGAGTTGAGGATGGTCAGGGAGTTGATCAGGCAGACAATTCAGGAGGGTGTGAGCCCGTTGCCATCGACCCCTCTGCTTGCCTCGAGCTTCCTGGAAGTACCCTCAACGCCAGTTTACAAAAGAGCCAGCATTGAATCACTGGACACGGTTATGCCCACCCTCGATGATCAATCAATCTCAGAATTGTTCCTCGCGGCGAGGCGATTGCGACAAAAACCATCTTTCGTCAGCCTAGACGTACCGTCACCCGATGTGTCTCCCTCGAAATCGCCAGGCAAACCTCGACGTACACCATCACACCTGTCTGGAAAGTCAGTACAATCGCTGTACTCCGATCTAAACCGGAAAGCTACGGCTACGGGATCAAGCTTGTTTGGCTCCTCGAAACAGGCAGTTAAGGTGTCTAGGCCAATCACGCCGGTACAGAGCATCATCAATCGGAATATCGAGGGCGGTCTCACTCAACAGCAAGTCGAGCCGGACTCGACTCGGCCCGACCGGGTCAGTGATGTCTTGCTTCTCGGCGATCTGAGAAAGCTAGAGATGGCGCTGTGCAAGCTGGTACGGGAGCTGAACCGGTTGGAGAGCGTGAGGTTGCTCTATCAAGAAAGGGTCGACTTGTTGGAGGTCAAGACGAACGGCGCGGAGTTAAGGGACCGGCTAGGCAGATAAGCAGAAGCGGTTAGAGTTGAAAGGACAATGGGTAGCAGCGCAATACTGCGCACATTGTGTTGTGTTTTCGATTTTCGTTGCTCCGATGCTTTCTGTTTGTCATACATGTTTGATTCATACGGGTTGCGTTCGAACGAGGTCATTCAACGATTTTGATTCCGGCCGAGGCGTCGACCCAGCCAGGCCGAGGCTGTCGTTCGTAAGGACTGTATTGCTCTGATCTTGTGCAAGAAGTAGCAACCATATCGTATCCGGCCAGATCCTCCTGATCGTAGTCATCTCCAGCAGCAGTCTACATTCGACAAACTACTCTTCAGAAGCTCAGAAAACCATCTTCTGATATCATGTCCAGGTACATCGAGGACATCGTGCGGAAACCCTATCGAGCCTTGTTGACAATCATCATCTCCCCTTTCATCTGCCTGCGCCAGACTTCAAGATAGCACGCTAGAGAGGCAGAACGACTCAGAGCTGAATCAGTTACATGGAAAGATCAAATCTCTGCGGCATGTGAGCTTTGGCGGTGCAGCTGGAGTGTCAAGAGAGACAGATCGCTGATGCTGCCGGAGCTTCAATCATCCTTTCAGGTCACGATTGATATCCTGTCTGACAGTCAGAGACAGAACGAGCAGGTGAGCATCCTGCAATGAGGAATATCGTCTAGATACTAATATCAAAAAATGATTGTCGAAACAGCTTGATCGAACTGTATGTCAATGACAGCTACTTCCAAACCACGAAAGGAGCCTAGTCAAAGATCGTTCTTCTCGCTGACCTCTCTCTTGATCGTTGGCAGTCCTCGTCATTCACACAACTCGGCTCCAACCTCCTTCAAACTACCCGCCAACAAGCTCGAACGTTCTCCCAGCAATCACCAGCTCGACAACTCCGGACGATTGGGTACATCGTCGCGGGTCTGATCGTCCTCTGGCTCTTGGCTGGATGGTGGTTACGGAGTGGGAGTGGAGGAAAGCCGGGAAATACGACGGGCATGGGGGAAGATGGGCAGTCGTTACGGTGACCTAGCTTCTTTTGGCGGGTGATCGTACGCTGAAGGTAGGGATCAACAAGTCGGCTGGATTCAATGGGGTTTGTTGTATATCTCGGCAATGTGTAATACTATCACCAAGCGATTCTCAAGAGTGTTGTGACACCTTCTCCAGCCGGGTCAGGTTACGCAATCGATCGAATCGGTCAGGTCAGGGGGTGTCGAAACTGAATGTGTGCTACCCAAGCCTCATCCCATTCCCATCCCATGTGCGAATCGGACCACAGCCCTGGCATTGTAGAAGAGTCCGGAGACATTGGCTCTTGTCTTGCTTGAAAGAACGTGTCGTTGTCGTTGTAAGGCAGGTACAGTGAAGAAGAAGAAATGGGTATCGATGAAAAGGTACGGCCGGGAACCTCACCCGGGCCGACCCATACAAAGCTAAAAGTATCGTAACATAGGTGCGTCATTTGGAGATGGCGATCGCTGATCCTACTCGGCATCGGAGCCGTAACCTCGCTCGACGGCCTCGCTCATCAACTTGTCCATCGCCTCGTCCTCGCTGCCGTTCTTGAGGATGACGACCGAGTCCTCTCCGGTGGTCGACTTGGCTCGCTCGCAAGCCTTCCAAGCCGATTCGTCGATCCGCTCGCCCTTGTCCCCAGCCTGACGTTTCGCCCGGGACCACATCCCAACGCGAGGATCACTGATAAACTTCCAGGTGACTGCCGGCCAGCTCTTGTGCACCGGAAGGGGGTCGTAAAACTCTTTTGCCATCTCCCTCAGCTGGGGCAATCGAGTCCAGGGGACCGAGGGGAAATCGTGGTGTTCGTTGTGGTACCCGACATTGTAGCACAAGACATTGAGCCAGCCGTAGTAGGATGTCGTCTCCTGGCTCAAAGCTCGAACGTGGTCCAATTCCACCTCGTGGCCCTTGGGATCGACCGCCTCGACCTCGCTAGCGACCTCGCTCATCAGGTAATGCTCGGCGATAAAGTGCGCGGCACAGGGGTGCAGCGATCCAGCGAAAAAGGAGGAGAACAAGAGGTAGAGCAAAGGAGCCCAACCGGCGGATTTGACGAGGACAAAGTCGGCGGCGAGGATGAAAACGGCGTTGAGGAGATGGTACCAGGTGGGCCTCTGCGATCGGATGAAACCGGGTCGGAGCGCGTAGAACAGGATCTGGAACGTGCTGCGGTGCGTGGAGCGAAGAAAGGTAGCATCAGTACGATGCGCGAGATATCGCCGATGCAAGTCGACGATGCGGAGGCGAGACTCACGCGAAAAACGTCTTGCCGGCAACATTGTTCAAGACAACGGCCTCGAACTTGCTAGGCAGATCCGTATCGATTCCGTCCTCGCCCAGAAACTTGTGATGCTCGATGTGGTACCCCTTGAAGGCCATGGCATAAGGCACACCGATGGCCAGGTTGGCCACCATTGCCAACAACTTGTTCGGCAGGATCTTCTTGAAGGCGAGGTTGTGCGTGATCTCGTGGATGGCGAGGAAAATGTTTTGGTTACACGTCCCCCCGATGGCGTAGGCGCACAAGAGGAACTTGAAGGAGAGTGGGTGGGTGTTCCGAAGACATAGGGCGGTGGTGAGTTGAATGGCGAGGACGAGGGCGACCAAGGGTGCCGTAGCTCGGGTATGACCCATGAGTTTACGGACTTCCGGATGAGCCTTGAGGATGGCTTTGCGGCGTGATCGATGAGGTTCCTCGGTCATGATCCAAAGGAAATCATGAGGATCTTCCGAAGCCGTCGCAGGGATAGGTTTGCCTATCTGTAACGAGGAAGCGGCGGTGCCCTTGCGTTGTTTCAAGGACGACGAGGCGACGCCGTTCCCGAGTTGTCGTTTGTTCTCGAGGTCGGCAGGGAGGATCGACGGGGTAGCGTTGGCAGGAGTGGCCAACCCAGCATCGTCCGTATCGCTAGATCCAGAGGAGAAGCCTTCGTCCGCCGTCAAGGCAGGCGTGAGTAGCGGGGCTACGTTTGTGTCTGAAGGAGGCAACGGGCTCTCGGCACCGCCGTAGAGCGAATAGTCTGAGGCGGGAATGGAAATGGACGTCAGATGTGGCGCTCTCGACATGAGTTGCAAACGATACTGACCTATAGTCATGTTGTAGATCTTGTCAACCAGGCTGCTAATATCCTAGACGAACAAGTAGCAAGTAGCAGCAAGTAGTAGCATGTAGAGTGTTGGTCGCTCCACAATTCCCTCCCTCCCCACACAGCGCAGCTCCCTCTCCTAAGAACGAGGTTTGCTTACCTAATCAGATCAAACCGCAACTTTTTGCTTCCGCCCGCCCTCGAACCTCGAACATCATGATTTCGCAAGTGGCAAGTGGTCATCGATCGTCAGCAGGACAACTTCTTCTACCCTTGTTTGCCCACCGTCCATCCTTCAACGCAACCATGTCTGCCGCCACGATTGCACCAGGGATGCCTACGGGCGTCGAGATCGTCCGTACCCTCCTCGCGACTCGCGGTCGATTGCGGACACAACATCTCTATGCGCTCGGACTCGCAGGATGGCCGACAGAGACGGTCATCAAACCGCTACCACCTCAACCTTTACACATCCTGGATGCCAAGGGGGAGATCAAGATGAGGAGGGCATATAACGTCAGAGGAGGAATGGCACCCTGGAGACCGAAACCAGAGGCGCCTTACCCTGATCACCCATTCCAGAGCGTCAAGTGGGTCGTCTCTTCGCTCGTTCAGGGTCAGCGTTTATGCCTACACGATCGCTAACACCTTGATGGCCTGTATGGAGCAGATTCTTCAAAGGACGCATCCTCTCGGCTCTGGAGGAACGAAACCTCATCCGCAAAGTCCTCACCCGAGTCCCCCTCGAGACCCCGGCGGACAAGGCCGAAGCCCTCGCCAAAGCCGTCAAGATCACCCGTCGACGCCAACGAAACCTCGCCCTCACCCCCGAGGTCGGTCTGGGGAAAGGGTTCCGACTACAAAAGGCCGAGAGGAAGATCTGGGAGGCGAAAGTGTATAGCTTGCCGGTGGAAAGAGTAGAGCCCGAGATGACCAAGACAGAGTACGCATGGGAGGTCTGTGGGATGACGGTCGAGGCGGAACGGGACGCCCTACAAAAGGCAGGATTCGCCCGGGTCAACGTCGCTCCGAGAAAGACCGAAGTGGAGACGGAGGACATGATCGATAGGGACGAGATGGGAACCTCCACCGGGCAAGTCATCCCTCTCACACCCGACATCCTGTCGACGGACCACCTGGAAAACGTCCTCCAGACCGAGTCCCTCCCCACTCAGCTACGACCGGATCCCACCAAAGAGGCCCCGCTTCCACGAGCGCTTCCCGTCGAATCTCCTCTCATTCAAGCTACCTCCCTCGTCCTGTCCCACCCCTCCATCGCCTCTCGCTGGAGAAGCGCCGCCCAGGCCGAACGGTCGTTCAACGAGGTCGTCGAGCACGAACGCCGCGAGATCGATATTCGACGTCAACAGCGTCGAGACATGTACAAGCAGATGAAGGAGGATAGGAAGGTGAAACAGGCGGAAAAGTATAGGGACGAACTGGAAGGAAGGCCGGATTTGCTGCAAAAGGTCGAAAAGTTCTACGGGAACAGAGACGGGGCCGAGAAGGTTTGGAAGGGAGAGTCGTTCACGCGCGGAGCGGGATGGTGAAGCGGTGAGGTCGGAGCGGGACACGATTTTGAAACGACGGCCATAACGTCATGTAGCTAGTACGCACCTCCATAGTCACCTTGTATGAGGGTTTCCTGTTGTACCGATCACTCCCTTGCATAGTTGTGTATCTCGATCGATCAAGACCACTCCGGGTTCTCTCGACCGGTTCGAACGAGTATCATGCGATGCATCGATCGAAATACGCCAAATTATATGCAACTAGACAACAAGAAGTCTTGGATCACTAGTCCTCCTTCGCCTCTATGTCGGCTTCCCCGGCGTCTGCTTTGCCTACGGCAGGCTTCACTTCCTCCTTCTCTCCCTTGTCCGTATCGACGACCGTCGCATTGCCATGTGCCACCGTCGGCGTAGAAGCTCCCGAACTCGCTCCATCTCGCGGACTCTCGCTGGAAAACATCCTCTTGAAGTTCAACTCTTGTTTCCTCAAGCGGACCCTCTCGGCCTCTTCGGTTCCTCCCGTCTTTTTCAACTTGCGCCCAGCAACAAAGCCAGAGAGCTCGTCGGTAAATTCGTCATTCTTCTCGGCCATCTCCTTCTCCCGCTGACGTTGTTGCTGTTCGATCGCGGCCAATCGTCGGTTAGGGTCGGCCTCCTTGGTCCGGATCTCGAGCAAAAGGTCGGATACACGGGGCTGATCATTCGACTCGGGCACGACGCGGGTTCGTAAATTCCTAGGTCCACCACCGGTTCGGATCCCAGCCTGACGTTGTTCTACGTACGCCCGCAGCGTGTCGAAGATCTCGCACGCCTGCTTGATATCGTCTTCGAGATCGGCGGTGAGCTTTTCCTGATGCTGTAGCAAGTGTTGCTCTTCAACGACGTTCTTGAGTTCCTGATTCCAGGTCTGCTTCCACGAGGGGGCCGCCAACGTGATCTGACCGCGCAGCTGTTCGACTTGCTGCTTGGCTTTGGCCAGATCGTCTTGCATGCTCTGCATCTGTGTCGCTCGAGGCAAGATTTGACGTTTGAGGACGTCCTCCTTGATCGAGTCGACGACGTCCGATACATCTTCGACGGCTTGAACGGTCTCGGAAGAGTGCTGCTCGAGTGAAACTTTGGCAGCGTCGACGAGCGATCTCGAACCGCTCAATTTGGTAAGTGCCACTTCTCGGACGGCCATTGTCTGATCCCGCACAGTTTGGAAGGTCTCCTTCGTCTGATTAACGAAGTCCAGGTATACCTGTCGCATTGTACCCAAATCTCTTCGCAAAACCTGCAGTTCGTGCTGCTGATTCTGGAGATCTATTCGGCCAAGGCTGGCTGGTGCCTTGAGAGCAGACTGGCTATCCACCTCGGGCAAAGGCTTGGGCCCCGCCACAGGCGTGGTCTCGGTAGACACCGTCAGGCGCACAGGGGGGATCGGAGACGGATCTCGTCCACGATCGGAAGCACGTAACGAGGGCGACGCTGTGGCAGCCAACGGGACTTCCAACTTTAACGCTGAAGCTCTTCGGCTATGCATGAAACTGTTCTTGAGATCCTTGATCTCGTGCGAAAGTGACGTGATGGTATTGTCAAAGTGCTGCTTCACTTGATCGAGAGCTGAAATAAAACGGAAGTCGCTTGCTTTAGTTCAACATCAAAGTCAGATGTACGTTACTACTTACGATCGAGATTCAAGCTCAATAAGGCATCCCGCTTGATATCCTCGAGATCTTCCAAGTGGTAGGCGACGCCTGATATTGGATCTTTGATGTAGACATCTGGAAATAGTTCCATCCCCTCAGGAGCATAATCAAACTTGCTCATGAAGAGCCCCTGAAGGTCGACGATCGACGTTACTGTCTCCCGGTCGAGCGTCACTCGTTTCGTCTCGCGACCAAATTGCAGGAACACCTTGAAGGGAGTGGCCGAATCGGGTGGCGTTTCCTCCTGAATCGGCGCGCTCGAGACGGCCGGCCCTCGATCCTGCTCACGTTCCGCGATCTCTTCGTCTGGTACGATGATCATCGATGACGGCCGTTCACGACGGGGTTGAACGGGGGAGCTCTCAGTGATGGAGACTTCGGGCACAGCAACGTCATCACGACCGGGCATTGTTCCGCTGCTCCGTCTGCTCTCCGTGATCGTTTCAGGGATTCGCGAGTGATTGATATTTGCAACATTCTGAGCATACGTGTCAGGGATTGGTGGAAGAGGCGGAGCCGCCCGCTCAATCCGTCTTGCTGGTCTCCCGGGACTGAATCCTCCTCCCTCGTTCAGCGACTCCAGCCGAGGATGCCTCAAGGAACTGCTTGAAGGCCCCTTGTTGTGATTGGGCAGCATCTGCTTGATCTGATATTGCGAGAATCGACGTGACGCTCTTCGCCCGAGGGCTTCCGAGTTCTGTAGCGCTGTCAAGCTTGCTAGAGCGGCCTGGGTTGGAGGAGCATCCGGAGTGCCCGACTCCTGCTGACTCGATCCGGAAATGTCCCCGATAGGACTAGCCAGACCGATATCCATGGCGGGCACTTGCGGCGGATTGGTAGCTATAGGCGCGGGCGGAGGCGAGGTCAGCCTGCTGTCTCGCAACGATTGCCTAGTTGAGCTTTCGGATAGATCCATCTCTGAATCCAGGGAGAATCGAGAGGCTGGGTGGGGTGGGGTGTCAGCTAGACTGGCTGGCATGTTGATGGCTCGCCTCGGGGGCGTCACCGGCGGTGGTGGCAGTGTTGGGTCTGCCGGACTTGTCGGACGGTCCCGAGCCGCCGACTTGACCGGACGATCAGGTCCTGAGACAATCCTAGTGTCAGAGAAACGGGTAGGAGTGGGCTCGCTTGGATTGCGGTAGGAAGGGGTCGGGGAAGGAGATCTCCGAGGTGGTCGAAACGCGTCTGGAGGGGCAGGAGGAAGTGGTGCGCCTACCCTGGCATTCACCCTTGAAGAATATCCGGCGGAACCCACTTGACGAGGTCCCATGGGTCTGGGTTCCTGTATGCTCGACGGCGAGGTCGCTCGAGAGCTGTTACGGTCGCTAGCACCCGGGTCAACGAGCTGGACTCGATGCGAGTTGCTCTCGACCGAGTAAGCGGAGCTCCGGCTTGTATCTCCAACGTTCTGTACGCTCTTGGTCGTCCGATCCGACGCCCTACGACTAGGCCCAGCGTTCTGATCAGGACCTAGCGACCGGCTCGACCCTGCGGCCTGCTGTTGCTGCTGCTGCTGCTGGCGTTGTTGTTGATAATGCTGCTCCTGAGCTCGAGCTTCTGCCTCGCTCCGCTGCCGCTTGATAATGTTCTGTCCATACTTGGTCCCATCCCAAACCCGCGACAGGACGGCCTTGATGTCATCGACGTAAATATTAAGCGACTCTGTGGACGGTTCTTGTCCCAGACAATGTTCAAGTAATGGCCTGAGATCCTCCGGAACAGTTACAAGCCGGTTGTACTTCCTATCACGCATGGATACAACGGTAGAGGTTAGGGCGAAAGTTGTACTTGCCTGACAATCAGTATCAATGGCTCACTGAAAGTCCACATCATATCCTCGAAAGGCATGAATAAAGCTGCTGAGGTCGTTCCCCAATTTGACATAGATGTCCGAGACCTGTTCAGAAAGTGATAGAAGTCATTATGGAACCGAAAATGATAGGCTCCCGATGACGAAAGGCAGACCCACTGCAGTATCTGTACACCGAAGTGTAGACCAATCGGTCAAGGCCGTCAACAGCTGTCTCGTAGTCATGAGCAGCCTCGTCACAGTGGACTCCACCGCCGAACGCTGCATAAGCATCACAGGCAGTGTCAGTATCGTATAAGACCACTTTGAGCAAGGAAAGCAGGCTCACCGGTAGCCGCGACGCTCTTCCCGAGCTCATACCTCGACCAGAGACTATCTCAATTTCACCCTCCGAATATCTAGTTGTTCCTCCTGTTTGCGCGGCTGATACTGGTCCGCCCGAGCTGTGTGCGTGATCTCGGCTATTGTCCGCCACCACTTGGTGCTGTGGAGCATATGAAGCTGATCGGATGTTCAAATCTATAGATGGTGAACCGGTGAGATGGACAGACATCACCTTGTTACCCTTGTTCAACTGGGTACCCCTTCCCTGATCATCAGAGTCGAGCTCGCGTATGACCGAGGGCAACCTGGGGAATGTGACGCGTGACCGTGGACTTTGGGCGAACCTGGATTGATCAGATCCACTCGGAAAGATGGTATACTTCAGGTCACATCTAAATGCTATATGCTAGATATGCTAGAGGCTGCATGCTAATTGCTACAACCCAGTCATCTTCAAGCCTCAACGTCCCTCCTTGGCTCGTCCTAACAAGACGGCTACCCCGCGTCTCAAAGCCTCCCTCTCTTCGGGAGTAGCGAAGCCGCACCCGGCCCACCTGATCTTGGCATGCTGGTCAACAAGGTAGATGTACCCTACGTGCTTGTTCGTGATCCCTAGAGGCTCTTTCAGCTACAGATGGATGAACGCGAGGGATGCGCAAGCGAGGACCGTAGTTGTCAGCCAAGCGAGTGATACTGGTAGCTCCCGACCCATGGGGTGCAACTCACTCCGCCCCATTCCCCACCAGCGATCATATACCCGGGCCAACGTTCGGGTTTCATCGTCCGCTTCAAGCTCGACATAAACAGTCGCAGGAGCAGCGATTTCAATGGATTCGGTTGGTGGTTGATCTAGTCATTGCAGACAGCGGTCCGATAATCAGCACATCGCACACATGCTTTGCGACCGAGAACACCGGCGAACCGTACCTCGAATACTCACCTGAACGTATTGAAACAGCTTCTCTCGTTCGCCCGAACCCGCACCTACTCTGATTCCCGCTTCTCCTGGTGCTGCTGCTGCTACTGCTGCTGTTTCACCTCTTGCAGCGCCCTTGGCGCTCTCCCAATCCTCCAGCACGTCGCCGACGAAACTCATAGCGTGTTCCTCCGATATCCTCGCCGATAGTACCACTACCACGCTAATCTTCCCCCGGAAAAGGTCGGTCGTATGCGTCGTCGAGGATGAGGTCAGGGTAGGCCCGGAAATATTAGGGAAGTAGCGGGCTTTCTATTACAATACAGATATCTAACATTGTCAGCTGCGAGTGATAAAGATGGCCTGCACTGGGGAAGAAAGGACAGAACTTGTAGGGCACTAACGTCTTCCCGGATCAATACTGGTGGTCCGATCCAAGTCTTCCCGCCATGCCCGCCTTCTCTTCGGATTTGATGGAAGTCATGGAAGTATCCCTGAGTAGCCTCCTTGACTCTGTATAACCACCATGACAAAATTGCAAGAATGATGAGGACGTATAAGTAATGATATCAACAGCGGATACTGGTTACCGGCGAAATTGATATAAGCGATCGCCTAACTGACAGGGCTCGACGTTTCTCCAGCCGTTTCCCCTGATCCATCAACTCTTCCTTCGTCTCTTGCCACGTCTTTTCGGCCGTCGTCGGAGGATCTCGCTGGCCCAGGGGACGAGGTAGGATAGGTAAAGGTTTAGGATCCGAGGGGGAGGAAGGAGATGTCATCTCAGAGAGCGGGTTCGGCGCTGCCGGCGCTGCTGTTGCCGGCAATGGTTGAGGTGTTGAGGGTGATGTCGACGAGGAAGAAGCAGCGTTTGGTGGATCTTTCGATAGCCAGGTATGACTGGTGCTGAACCGAGCTATTCGAGGTTGCGGTCGACCTGAACATGATATCGAGCCGGACTGTCCCGAGACGACTACTGCTCGAGCTTCATTCTGAGACAGAGACGGCGCTGCCGCCCGTAAGAGTGCTGTAGTGAGAGGTCTGATGGACATGGCGATACTGATATACTATAGAGTGGTCTGAAGGATTAGCAGAGTCTAGTGTACCTTAGCTACGATCTCACAAGCTACAAGACGATGCAGCCGTGTTACACAAGCTCTGAACATCTCGCTCCGTCATATTCTGACGGCTGACGGACATCGCTTGGAGAGAAATATGTTCACATGTCCGAGATCGACGGCCGGGGACTTGTTGACGATATCATCTGGGGTCCGGCGCTAGCATCAAGACGACGACAGCCACGCGGGATCTGATCTGGATAATCCCTCCGATCATCTTCCCTCTTCCGTCCGATTCGTCACTCTTGGGGTCAATCCAACAACTTTCCCGAGAGTCGACCATTGCCGCCGGCGAGAAGCTCGTGCTATGGTCAGTCCTGCAGGGCGATCGATGATGTCGACTAGAGCATCGTTGGTATATGCTTGGCAGCAAGAAATTTCGGGGTTGGCACGTAGTCGTTCCTCGATCGTATACCGTATAAAGACTCGCACCAAGTGAGCTCGGGACGGATCCTCAAGAATACGGAAAGCAGTCGCTGGTGTACTACATTACTGGCTTCATCCTGATCATGGAATCCATCAAGGTCATCGCCCTCACGCTCGCGACGCTGACAACAGCATCCTCCGCCCAAGCCTCTTTCGATGCCTCGATACCCCTACAAATCAGGCAAAACACAAACGAATCTGCTTGCCCGGTCGTTCCCGACCAAAATACCTTTGTAGACAGTCAGACCTTATCGCAGTGTGGAAATGCCTCCCTGTTTTCAACATGGAGGCCAAGAGCTAGATTTATCGCTCCAGAAGGTTGGATGAACGGTGAGCTTCCGAACCGGCTTGCGGAAGAGACTTTAGAAGCTGAAGGTCATCTCCCATGAGACAGATCCTATGGGAATGTTCTTGCGGTCGGACGGCCGTTTTCATGCAGGTACAGTTCGATCCGAATGTAAAGGCCACCGTACAATCTCGTGTGCTCATAAAGTATCTACTCAGGTTACCAATCTAGTGGGATGCATATCACAGGAGGCAACAGTGAGTCGCTGCAGGTCCGCCCTCAGACGCGGCCTAGCTACTTTACTGATCGAAAACTCGACATATAGTGTCACAGGGAGCCGTAAGCGCTACAGATGAACATCATTCGGCGGTTCCAGACAGTAACAAAATCAATGTTCTACTTGCAGGCCTATTCCGACGATTTTACTATTTGGACCGATTGTGAGTTTCTCCTGGCTTGTTGATCTCTCTCTTATTACGTCGATCAAATTCATACCAAACATCTACTGTAGTCGACGGATTTGAAGACTACCGTACACTCTGGCCCAGCGCGATCTATGATATCCGAGCGGTCTTTGATGGGTCAATCATCAACCCCGGCTTCAATGGCTACCCTACGATCTTTTACACTTCGGTAACGTTTGGCCCGCTTGGAGCTGTGGCGAACGAGACCGAGGGCGTAGAAACTCAGAGTATGGGTAAGTATACAACTTGAAGATTAAGTATGGCTGAGAGTGAAGATGACTGATAATCTTGTGCCCAGCATACACCGAGGACGATGGTGCAACTTGGCGAAAGCTGAATTATGGTCAAGGCGGGAACCCGATCATCTACGAATGGCCTGAGCAGAACCTCAGTGACTATCTCTCACTCCGGTTTTCGCAAGCTCGCATTGCTCCTCTGTTGACGACATGGTCTTGTTGCCCGCAGCCGGATTCCGGGACCCATATGCCTTCCGTAGCAAGTACCTTAGCAAGATGCTTTCCGATAACTCGACAAGCAATCAGACCGGACCGGTTGGTGAATGGTTCAGCACCTTGTCTGGCGGTCAAACCGGGGTTGGTCCCCATTTGTGGCTTTACAAGCAAAAGGAAAAGGATAATTTTGTGGAGTGGGACTTTGCCGGTCGATTCTTTGAGATCGGCGGACTCAGGCAGAGCTGGTCCGAATGGAGCGGGAACTTTGGGATCAACTTCGAGACCGCATTCGTCGCCCGTCTAAACGAGACCGGGTATGCCAATGACGACGGTTCCGATGATACTGCTGTCGAATTTATTGGAATGGGAACTGAGCGAGGTCGGGAAGATCATCAGCTTCATTGGCCTCTATGGGCCGCGGTCAACTATACGACCAACGATGTTGGAGGGTTTACCGCAAACGTATTGTTCGCTGGTGTGGCAGACTGGGGATCTTCATACGCGTTCGTTGCCGTTCCGTATGAGAAGGACGGTCAATCTAGGCACATCATGGCAGGATGGACATATGAAGACGACGAGGATCTCGTCGTGGCCAAGCCGATGGGATGGCAAGGAGCCTTCACCCTCTTCCGCGATCTCTCTGTCAAATACATCCGCAACGTCGACCCTTCCGCACCTGGACTCTACGAGAAAGGGTCTTGGGGTGTCAAGAACGAGACAGATGGAAGCGTCACTGTGTATACGCTAAGACAAAAGGTTGTTTCAGAAACCATCAACGCCTACCGTGCAGGTTCCAACATCAGCACCTTCCCCAACACGACACTAGGAAGCGAGGGATACACACCGTTCGAGACTCAACCGTCCGGCAGGTTCTATCGGTTGTAAGATCAGTGATTGCCTGCATCCAGTCCTACAGATATTGCGCTAAGTCACCCTCATCGCTCAGGTCGGCGGACTTCACCTTCGAGAACAATGCGACTCAAGCCTTCGGCATGCGTGTCCTCGCTTCTGAAGCAGAGTATACTGTCAGTACGGGAAGCTATGCTCGACCTATTCTGTAGCCGAACGTTTCGCCCTTTTTGCAGGATATCATGTACGATCCCGTCGCGGAAAAACTCACAGTCAACCGAAACAACAGTTCCATCCTTGAAAACTGTATGTTGCTTCGATACAAGAGCCAGTTTCGGTCCCGCATTGATCCGATAAAAATGTGCAGTCGGCACCGTGACCGAGGTCGGAAAGCTTAGGATCTGGCCTCTCGCCAACCAGACTACCAAGAAGTTGTCTCTTAGCGTCTATGTGGACAACTCCGTGGTCGAGATCTACGCCAACGATGAGTTCGCTTTGACTACCCGAGTGTGAGTCAACTTGCGCCAATCAGTGGCCGTCGCAGCTTCAGCTGAGTTAGGTATCGCTTCTACAGATATCCCTGGTATTCCAATTCGACTGGCGCCGGGTTCCTCTCGACTGGAGCCAACGAGAGCGCTGTCGTTGCCGGTAACGTCGAACTTTGGGATGGCCTAGGTAAGCGCGGTTATCGAGGCCAAGCAAGAGGTGAGGTATAGAATTGAATCGCTCTTTTGCCTCTTCCTATAGTCAATGCTTGGCCCGCAAGGCCTGACAACACTAGTAAAGGTCTGGTCTGGTAAGTCTAGAGTGGTTCGAGGAGCAAAGCTACGGCACATGGTTGTTAATAGCTGTGATTGTCTCCATCCAGGGATGGACCTATCGCTGACATTTGGGGCTTGTACCCTGGCTACTAAGCCATGCACCTACATGTTTACCACCGTTATCAAAGACCTGCATAGTATGCGTGATTACCGACGAGACATGATCGTCTTCGTGACCGATGGAGAAACCGTCGAGCTGGCTTCCAACCATCGATCGAATTGTTATATGGAACCTGGTACCCGTCCCGCTTGTGTGCCTGAAACGCTTCCCGCGTTTCCCCCCTTGCCGGAGCAGGAATGACGTCCCGTCTCGACCACTGATCGTTTCGATCAGTCCATCAATCACCTCGATACCATCTAAATAGCCAGACCCTTCCCTCAAGACTGCCTCGCTATTGTTGGTGCTTAAGTATCCGAATCTAGATTATTCACGACACTTAACGTATATTCTCCCTGGCTATTGGTGGATCTCATTCAGAGTCGACCTCCTTTAAACGACCCGTACGACATCGTCAACAATCCGACGAACAGATAGGAAAGGACTGTATATATCATGAACTTCTTCGCTTCCAAACTACGAAACAAGTCTCCAGCTGAGCTGGTGAGGCTGTTGAGGGATAACACCATTAAATTGGAGGCTGGGTATGCGGCGAATAACAACATGGAGGTTCGCAAGGTAAGGCTGCTTGTATCGTTAGGCCTGGGCCGTGAACTGATCATCGCCGTTTGGCTCTCGGCTTCCAGGCCAGCGAGGAGATCTCGAAGAGTCTTTCGGCTATGAAATCAATCTTGAACGGCGAAGCGGGAGGTGAGGCCGTCAAGAGAATCGAACGATACGCTCTCGCGAGGATCACATCCCTAACCGGTATATGGTGTTCTTCCTTATCAGATCAGGACTCACTTGGCGGGATCACTCAGCTCGCAAACGAAGTCTATTCTCAAGATGTACTCAAGCTTCTCATTCTGAACATGCCGAAGTTCGACTTTGAGGTGTGTTCTGACCTTTCTCCGAGATCAGTCGAGCCCTAGCTGATTCCCGTCGGTCTCCCTCTCAGGCGAAGAAGGATGCTTCCCAGATCTTCAACCTGTTGCTGCGAAGACAAATTGGGCACCGAAGTCCGACCGTAGACTACGTCGGGAGGAATAAGGAGCTTATATACTTGGTGCTGCGAGGGTGAGCCGGTCGCATGTTCTCATCGCTGCATGGCCTTCACTTACACCTCTCGGCAGGTATGAGAACGAGGATGTTGCCCTCAACACCGGCACGATCTTGAAGGAGCTTTTGCGATACGAGAACCTTGCTCGGATTCTCTTGTACTCTGACGAGTGGGTTTAGGGAGTCTGGCTATTTGTGGCGTGTTTACTAAAGTGGTGCGTTCTGCTATCAGGTTCTACCTCTTCTTGGACTATATCGAGAAGACGAGCTTTGGTACGAGCTGCGACGCGTTCGCGAACATGAAGGTATGTCCAAGCTTTGTTTTTGCCTGATATGTTACTAACGATAGGTTATTTCAGGAATGCTTGACAAGACATAAACCAATGGTCGCTCAATACCTTGACCAGCATTACGATCGAGTGAGCCCCGATATGTCCGGCTCAGGTTGTCGCATAGCCCTAATATCCGGCGAACGTAAACAGTTCTTCACGGCATACAAGGGGCTGATCTTGTCCCCAAACTACGTCACCAAGAGGCAATCCTTGAAGCTACTTGGCGAGATCTTGCTGGACCGGGCAAACTACGGGATCATGACCCGCTATATCGCTAGTACGGAGAACCTTCAGATCATCATGAACACGCTGAGGGATAAGAGCAGGAATATCCAGTTCGAAGCGTTCCATGTATTCAAGGTAAGCTGTGGCTAGACAAAGTCCGGCAGTTCTCGCCTCTGACTGATTAACGATCATGCTTCGCAGGTGTTTGTGGCGAACCCTAACAAGCCGCCGGCGATCGCAAACATCTTGCGAAAGAACAAAGATAAACTTCTAGCTTATCTCCGAGAATTCCACAAGGATCGGGAAGATGAGCTATTCAACGTAAGTAGCATACAGCAGACCTAGCTGGTATGCGATGCTGATCGTCGATTATCACTTCTACACCCAGGACGAGAAAGCATACTTGATCAATCAGAGTGAGTCTGCCGGTCTTCTCTCGGCTGAATGTACAAATTCTGACGAAAGAGATTCCTTCGTCCTACAGTTGAGGCTTTGTGATCACGCTCCATTGTTGAGCTACTTTTCCGGCAGCCATATATCCCCTTTCGGAGCTATTGCCATACCTGTTGCCTTTCCCAAGCACTCTCATAATGACACTTCACGACCCTTTCCAGGATCCGGCCACTTGTATATATCATTTTATTGTTATCTTGCACTTTCCGATAGCACATCCGTTCATCGCATCCTTGCTACGCAGACCCGGACACCGAAACGCGACCATGTCCGCGTTCAACCCCCAAGCTTCCCAGAGCGGTCAGGGTAGCAACTTGATTGCACTCTCGATTCTCGAGGTCTCTGCAAGACGGCCAGATAGTGAGTGTTGAATTCAGCGACACCCACTTTCTTCCACAGGAACAACTCCGCTACTTGTTCCCAGACCCGCTTACGGGAACGTAACATGGCCGACCGTACGCCATCCAGAGGTGTTCGAACGAGTCGACTACAAGGCAAACCGTATGACCGGCCAGACTCGGTCGGCAACAGCGCAGCCAGTAGTAGAAATGGTACTCCTGTTCCGCAGCACGTGAGTCAACCGTCTGGAAAATACCGCAGGTGTACTTGATCTCGAAGTTGACGCCGATATGCGTCACATTATCAGCGTGGATTCTTGAGCTCGGTCGCGGACATGCTCTTCTCGCCCTTCGGAACGAAATCGAATGGCCGCAAAAGGGACCATGGAGACGGACAAGATGTTGAACAAGCCGGATCACTAGGTCAAGATCGTATCCGATCCGGCCATCAAAGCGGTCGCGAGAAGCAGCAAGACGGGATGGATGTGGATGAAGATGACCTCAGCGTGAGTCAAGAACATGCTTCTTTGGCGGGTCGGTTACCAAGCTGATGTGCCTGTGCCTGAAGTCCGATGCAAAGGTATCGGATGGCCCAATTCAGCCTATCCGAGAAACTCTAGCTTCCTTCGCCCCGGTTGATCCCTTGCGATCCATCCACCTGATCAATGACTTCAACCAAGCGAAGAAAGCTCTGGACCAGCAGACGACAAGGGATGAGAGGAGGGCAATCGAAGAGCTGATTCGACGGGCGGATACGGACTCTCCTGTTAAGCCTCAGGCTCATGGACTCCGGGAAGCTGCTTCGTCGGCGACCCTGAGGAGCCCGAGCAGACTGGCACGAAGCCGAGTCCTCGCTAGGGATAGCGGCCTGAGTAAGAGTTCTTCTATGAACTTTTCCAGTCTGCAGCAGCAGGATGTGAGAAATCTTTGAGCGATGAACATTCGAGAATTCCTCAAACTAACAGCGCCCTTGAAATGCATCAGAGCAAACCCGCGACACCGTTGAGAAAAACTTGGAAAGCTGAAGATGACGAAGAACCATCTCCTCCTGGGCGATATGGCAGGAAGCCTTCTCGACCTGAGGGGCTTCCCGGATCATCAGTGCCGCCAGTACCAGCTCTTCCCGTATCGCCATATCCGTCCGGGCTGCCTGGATCCTCATTACGGACATCGACCTCGCGCTACTCTTTAGCCCGGCCAGCAGTTGCCAGCCGGTTTTCAGCGCAGAGGAGTAGCGGTCTATCGAAGTCGCAGTCGATGTTCAGCTTACCTAAAGCCTCGGGCAGCGCCCTGAGTTTCCCTGCTGCTGAAGGGGAAAGCAGTATCGACAACCTTGCCGTCGAGGCTGGCGGAAGGCAAAGAGTCAATGGCGAGTATACTTGCATGCGATCTTCCTTCTATGGTTCTCATACTGATCGCAATCTCGCTCATACATTTTACAGCTTTGGTAGGTGCCACGAAGCCAAGCGTCATTTCCGACGAAGGTACAGCAATCACGGCACAGAAGACGCCGAAGCAACCAATGCAAAAGACTGCTGCGGCGCAAGAATTGGAGGATCTGCTCAAGCAGGCTGACGAAGAGGAAGGACGAAAGGTACGTAATCACCGTTTCAGCGCTTTGCCGAAAGGTTCGGCTGATTTATGTTCTGCTCGCTGTGTGCTAGTCTGAACCTGTGGCACCGGTAATAAATCCGTACGAGCATTATCGTTTCAATGTCGGAGCGAGCTCGCCACGGAAGAGAAATACCGCGACCGAGAAGAGAACCGGTGGGCTGGCTGGAAGACGAGCTCTCCTAGCAGCGGCAGAAAAGAAGGAGAAAGAAAGAGCCAAAGACACCGAGATGACGGATCTTGACCTGATCAAGGAGAACATGGCTGACAAAAGCGGCAAGGTGGGACTTTTCGTACTCGTAAGAGTATAGCAGGATAGCTGATACCGGAAGCTGTTCGACTTTATAGAGACGAAGGGTCAAAGATAGTTCGAGCCCCGAGATCCAAGCGATCGAGCCAGTGAGATCCACGGCTGGCAATAAACAGGACACGACGGCAAATGACAAGCAAGCTCGAGATGTCCCTGGTGATGACGAGAATATGGGAGTACAGACGGCGCCGTCCAAGTCTGCATTCTCGTTCAGCATGCCGTCCAAGACCGCAGAGCAAACAAAGTCTACGGCCGCGCCTACTTCGTCTTTCACCTTTGCAAGACCGGCCCATGTTGCACCGACTGAGGGCAAAAACAACGCGCTCGACATCATTATGGCCAATGCCGGTTCCAGTCCTTCTTCATCCTCCAAGCTTACACCGGCCGTCTTTTCAACTTTGCCCTCACTGAAAACACCCCTTCCGACCTCGAAGGGGAACAAGCCGATCGGCGAGAACATCGATAAGCGATCCGTACACGACCGGGCGGCAAGTGTTGAGGCAGGTGTTCTGCCAGTCTTTGTCTTCAAATGCCTTGCGAACGTACCCAGCCTTGCGGCCGGGACTTCTTTTGCGGCTCAACAAAAGGCCAGAGCAGTCGATAGCTCTGAGCTACCCTCGTACAGCTTCGGAGGAGATGCCAAGCAGGCGCTGGGGACTCTGAAGCAGACGCCGGCTGCGGCGCCACCTGTCACAGCTACTCCCATTGCTACCGGCTTCACTGGCTGGGGGGCTAGCCCAGGAATATCGGTCGTCAAGGCTAACGATACCTGGACATGTAGCGAATGTTTCTTGCAATCCAAGGGCACCAGTACCGCTTGCGACATTTGCGAACATCCTCGACCTGGGCAAGCTCTTGCCTCCAAACCTGTCGCGACAGGAGGTTTCACTGGCTGGGGTGCCAACTTTAACCCCACGCCTACTGCTACTTCGGGAGGAGACTGGACCTGCGGCCTATGTGGCTGCAAGTCCAAGGCGACGAGCACTCAGTGTGACGTCTGCGAGACAAAGAGATCCTAATTTCTAGATCGATATGTATTCAGATACAGCTGAGGCAGATGATAGCACAGGTGGAACTCATGTAGTATACCGGAGATGAATGACATATACAACCATGTATTACGAAAGATTCAGTCTGATTTGGGTGCCAGCTCAATCCTCATCCCGGATAATGATCGCTGAGGTCTCGACGACTTTGACGCCACTCGGGTGCCCTGCCTGTATATCAGGCCGTTCCTCCTGATTCAAACTGCGGGGCTGAACTTCCTGTTCATCCTCCTCGTCCTCGTCGTCATCGCTGACTTCCTCTCCAGGCCGCTTGAACGTGATCCCTCCCGAAGCCAACTTTCTTCGTTTTCCGTCCGCATTCACGTCTCCTGATCCATTCGCGATTGTGCCACCAACACCCTGCCCTGCACCAGCCTTTCCACCTCCTTTGCGTTTCAGACGTTTTGCACGGTTCTTGGCGGTTTTAGCATCGGCGGCCTCGGCTCTCTGCTTCTGTCGGGTCTCAAAGGCGAGCGCTTCTTCATCCTGTGGGATCCCGAAGGGAGCGATTCAAGGTGGATCAGAAAACAGCGATAGGTTTGCGCGTGAGCTTAAAACTTCCAGACTTACAGCTTTGGCTTTCTCGTCCATCAACTTGAGTCGTTCGTATTCTCTCCGTCGGTTCTGCTTGTAGACGTGAAACTCTCCACTTCCCGCCTATCGTTGAGAATATAGAGACAAGGCGCGATCAGTAAACTGATGTGATCCCGAGCTGGAAGCAGACCTTTCACTCACACCTGCACTGGATCCCGAGACGTTCTTGATCATCTCCTTGGGCGGTCTAAGCTGTTTTTCTCTCGGTCCTTTCGGGAGATGCACTTCTTTCGTCGGGTCTCTCAACAGCCTTTCTACCTGATTTCCGTACGAGGATGAGTATTCGATGATGGCAGAGGTGTGGGACGATGTCAATACGTACTTGTAATCGTTGCCGCTCGAGCGGAGTGAGCATGTGTTTGTTGACGGGCTTGAACGTTTCGTCTTCGTCATTTTTGGATCCAGGCTTTCCGGACGCCGGTCGATATGAAGGGCCAGAGGTAGACATAACTGGGATCGTCCAAATCTATGCCTTATGGGATTAGAACAGCTGCGATGTTGAGACTTGAGACCTTGTGATGAGAAGGATACGGCGAGTTGCATACTGTATGCCAGACATGTTCGACCTCGTTACTGCTGCTGCTTGCCAGGACGAGACTGACTGAGGGCGGACATCAGGTCATTAGGTAAGTGGCACATATGTCAGGATGTCCGCGTGTCGCCTGAGAAATTACGTAAGCCAGCCCTTCCCTCGCTCACATTCCACAGCGACACATTCCGCTGGATGAGGGTGGTCGTCACACCTATCACCATGCATATCATGCTATCACCACGACTACCTTTACTGTACATTTGATTGATACCTTTCCGTGCATGGAAACAAGAAGACGATATATCAACAGACACTATCGTACCACAGCAAGTCGACGTGGCATCTTGAGCGGTCGCTGCTCTTACTGATCGCTTCTGCTGGTCGCAACGCTTCATCAGTCGATCAGCCGACGCGTTTCTTGCTCGCAAAAGGTTCAGGAGGTCCTTTCTATCTTCTTATAGGCAACTAGAAGAATTGGGCTAGCAGGTTCTACAAAACATGTCTGCTGAAGCAGAAACCAAGGTGGAAGGTCAATCGCCAGTGCCTCAGGCTTCGACAGAAGATGCTGCATCTCCTGCTTCTCCGATGCAGCAAGATGCCGCTTTAGCAAGTGACGACGCCCGTATTGAGAATCAAATGGAGGTCGAGCAGGAAAATAGCAAACAACCTGAATCCGAGCCACGGCAAGTAGGAGAGGATTCCGAAACGACGAGGTATCCTCCCGTACCCGCTCAAGTCTTGCAGAACGTCAAGGATCTCAAGGATGAGATTTTGAGCGGCCAGCATCCCACCGTTCAGGCGCCCGAGGGTGGTCCCGATGCGGACGAGGAGGAGAACGAAGAAAGAGTGGACGTCGTCTTGAAAAGCTTCGAAGCGAAAAGAGAGGAGGAGGATGGACAGGAAGGACAGGCTCAACGGGATGCCGCTGATAGTGACCAGGAAGCCAAAACGGGGAACAAGAGAGATGCCGAAAGCATGCTGATCACCGAAGAAGACGCCCCTGCCCCTCAAGATGTCGGTGTTGCGAAGGGTCAAGCTCAGGAAGCTCCTGAGCGTGATGCGAAACGCGCTCGTCACGAGCAAGATCAAGGTGCCCACAAGCGTGCAAGCAATCAGCGAGAAAAGACGGCTGCCGATGCGTCTTTCCGGAAACCATCCGTCAGCGACAGCCGAGCCTCTCGTGGTGACCTTCATGCTTCAGGCTCGGGTCTTTCTCGATCCGGCTCCAGGACTTATACTGAAAACTCGCAGACTCGGCCTTCCACCTACAATGACAGATATCTCGGGCCGGATGCACGGGGAGGCCGATCGTATGCTTCGGATAGGAATTCTGTTTCGAACCGCTCGGCTGCGACTAGTCACACCGACAGGTTGTCGACCGACTCTTCCCGACGCGATCATGAACGAGATCGGGTTCAAGAATCTCGAAGTCACAGAGACTCGGCTTATGAACGAGGAGGACCTCCTCCTTCCAATGGTCGAGACTATCGCCGACCGGACAGGGATGGGGACGATCGTCGAGTCTCCAGTGGCCCACCCGCACCGACGGACAGAGACGTCAAGCCCGCTTTGAGGGACAGAATCAGTGGTGCACCTCCCCTCCGTCGACCGTCTCCTCCCGTTTCGGCGGCTTCGAACGGCGCGACCAGGTACTCGAAGCCTCCTCAGCACAAGCCTGAACTTTATGGAGATAGACCTGCAGATGATCGTCGTACTGGTTACAAAGACCGAGCTCCTCCTGGGCAGCGAGAGAGGTACCCCTCATCTGGAGCGCCGGCCGGTAGTGTACCTGGATATGATCGTCGAGAAGTTGCCAGAACCAGCAGTATGCCCGAGAGGTGAGTTCCCGCGTCATCAAGCGACACGATCAGCAACCGACCACCTTGTTCTCTCCCATCCTGGCACAGGATGAGTGACCCTCGCAGTTTCCCTCCCAAAAACTCGACTAGTTACAGCGAGATCCGTGGCCTTCCTGACCCCCGACCACCGTATCCCGAACAGGCTAGAAAATCGCCCCCGCTTGATTCTAGATATACCAAACCTTCCAGTACCTACCGAGACAACGAGCCTCATCGCTCCAACCCGAATGTGACCTATTCTCGTCCTCCCGTGCCTAGAGATCCGCTCGGTCCGCCCCCTCCCAGAGGATCGAGCCCTCCTCCGAGAAGAGCATACGAAGCGCCGGCTGGAACTGCCCCTTCGGTATCATCGGGCAGGACTTATGGTTACGGTCCCAACTCTACCGTACCATCTCAATCTTACGCGGCTGGCAGACCTGAGTTCGATCGATACGCTGCTGGAGGTCCCCCTGGCGATGCCTATAGGGAACGAGAGAGGCCCGCCGAATACCGTGCTCCGCCTGCTGCCGCGCCTTCTCCTGACCGCTATTACCCCGCCAGTGTCGCACCGCCACCCGCTGTTGACCCGTATGCTCGCACAAGTTACGAGAGGCAGCCGCCTCAATACGACCGGTAAGCCTGGGGTCAACGCCGTTGTAATAACCTTTTCAAACCTCATCGCTCCACTTGTTTCGTTAGGTACGGCCGACCTATCCCCTTGGAACAAGGACTCCCTCCTACCTACGCTTCTCCTGCAAGATCCGCTGCACCTTACATCGCGCCTCCTGTGCCTGCTTCGTCGGTATTGGATGCTGAACTGTTGGATCTCAAAGCCCGCATGGCCGAATTGGAACGTCGTCGTGAAGCCGAAAAGATGGTGGCGGTAGCTGTTCCTCCGCCCAGAAGCTACCCGAATGGTTTTCCCGAGCTTTCGTATGGCGGTGGCCCTCGAGGCGGCATGACGAGCGATCGCGGTTACCCCCCTCGAGAACGTGTACGGGAACGTGAGCGTGAACCCGCCAGCTTGTACCCTCCTCGAAACGGACCTCTTCCCGGAACCGCGAGGGATTCGGCCTACGGTCCGCCCAGGAATGGTCCTAATGACTTGCCTCCTCCTCGAAACATGCCTATGCACCGAGGTCCTGCCCGTCGTTCGCCTCCCCCTCTTGGGCGAGACGATCGTTCCAGGCGCTGATGACAATAGGGCTCGAGGACCGCAGATAGTCTCCAAGACTCGTCTCGGCGGATAACGTTCTCTACGACTACGACGACTGGATTGAACGGATATGACCCGCAACGTCCGACAAGGCGCCTGAAAACAACAAAACAAAGACGAGATTTCTGGACTTGGTTCGTCATCAAAGGAGAACCTGGTCATTGTTCCTCTTTTGCTTTCTTTTGCTCTAGGCTGGAACACCGCGACACGGCTACATCTGAATCCGCTGCTCTCGACCAACGACATCACTAGCCCATATTGGCAAGGGTCCTTTGGTGGTAGTTGGCGCGTATATATATATATGTATAGCCTACCTGTCTTCCCAATGGCGTAATTTCCCTTTTTACCTTACGATTGTTCTTCAAGTTCGGACGTACGTCGGATCCGATACTCCATATGCTATTCATGCTATTCATCGCTGGGTCTTGCCCCGTCGACTCGTCGGTCATTCGGCCTTACAGAAAAAGGCGCTCGGATACTGATACAACCTGAACCGCTCTTTCATGCCCGTCTGCCTTCGAACGAAGGCCAGGTCTCCACCTGGACCATATCCACATCCACCTTCTTCTCCGCATCCTTCTCTCCATCTGAATTCACATCTCGCTCAGGGCTGACCGTTTCACCCCTCGAGATGGCTTCGAACCGTTCCTTCGCAGAAGCGAGCCGCTGAACGGTCTGGTGTTCTAGTTCGAGGTTGGCTTGTTCGAGTTGTTTCTAAAGAGTGTGGAACAAGGGGTGATTTCGAGTTTTGCTACGAGAGAGACTGAGAGGAGGTTTCAGGACGGCTTACTGCTTGGGCTTCTAATGTGGCGAGATCTACTGGCTTGACGACCGATTTCGAACTGGCCTCTGTAGAGACCAAGATGTCGATCCCAGTCAGCTCTGGAGGCCTTGAAACCTCTTTGTATCACGTAGAGGTGAGTTGAGAGGACTGACCGATACTAGCGACACTCCGCGGATCAAAGATCTCGTTCATATGCCCGTGTTTCGCTCGATATCTCGCGATGGCCATATCGATTGTGGTCATATTCCGCAAGTCCTCGAACGTAGGCTCAGCATCTACTGGAAGAGGAGGTCGCAGGGTGGGAAGCGCATCCGGCTGAGGAGCGAAGATATGAGGTGGTGGGGGTGGGGGCGGACGTGCTTGAGATTGCGCTTGAAGTTGTTGCTGCTGCTGTTGCGTCAGACGTTGTCTGGGGTCCTGCGATCGATCCGGATCAGTGATCAGAACGATCGTTTCGCTTGTAGATTTCTACGACTCCGCTCACCATCATGGGTTGTCCAGGTATGGGGTGACCTAGTGGCCGCTGCATCATCTGTGGGTGCTGCATCATGCTGGTCTGGCAGTTCGAGTTCGCTTCAATGCTCAATACGATAGAACGGGATCGCCAAAGGATCGGTAAGAGGTAGATAGGTTATGTCTGATGGTTGAGTCGGGAAGCTAGATGAGCTGATTGTTATCTATTATCTGACCATATTTTCTGTAGCTGTAGGTCATGAGATGCCCGTGGCCATAACCATATATCCTTGTAAGTTACCTGCCTGAGCCCGAGCAGCGCACGCGACGAGCGCGACCGACCCCCTCCCTCGGCCAAGAAAGAACGAGGAGAGTTGCGATCCAACTCACACCTCACATCACACTGGCAACAACACCTTTGGTCACCTCAGCAAAAGATCAGGAGAACCAACCAGAAGCTAGAGACGGTACCTGCTTGGCCAACGATCCCCCGTTCCCGTCTACTCCCCCCACCCTTTGTCCTCCCTTTGGACCGACCGGACTTGTCCGCGACCTACATCTTTCTGCTACTTTGAGCGAAAGTCGATAACGCACAAAGACCACGGGTGACCACCATCAATCAGAATCGCGACCATGCAATATCGGTCTGACAGATAGATCACCGAGAGGGAATTGGAATTGCATCACTATTTGCGCAGTGCTTCTTCGACTGCAGTCAAGTAGATAAGCAGATAGATCCGATCATGGCTCGACCCAGTTTTCGCCCATCACCAACATCAACTTTGCCAACCGCAACAAGCAGTTCGAGCTCAGGACCTGATCGTGGAGTATCGTCAACGTGGCTACTCACCTCGTCGCCTCCAGCACCACCACTACCATCTTTGAAATCGAAAAGGACCCCGACAGCGGGCCCAAGCCGAGCGAGACGGGCTTCAGAAACGACTGATCACTCGCTTGTCGCTCGACAAGGAGCATCATCAGGGCCCGTCTTTGAAGGCTACCCTTCATGTGACAATGTCGGCAACACTCTCCTCTCCTGTTTCCCTCTCTCGAATACCACTATCACGCAATCCACCTGGTCAAAGTTCATCTACAACTCGAATTATCCATCGTTTGTCGAGAACGGCGAGGTGGACGTCTGGCTGTATCAAGCCGATTCGGGGGAAGAGGTCAGGAACTGGAAAGGGATTCCTACAAGGCAAGGGAGCGTTGAGATCAGGCCGGACGAGGACTGGTGGAAGGACCAAGATCGAGCGACCGAGTTGACCCAGGGAGGCAGGGAGACGTACAGTTTCTACTTTGTCGTCGTTCCTGGGGGCGAGACGCTGAACGGTGGAGAACCCCATCAAAATACCTTTCGAGCGGTACAGACCGCCTTACCGTCGGCGGTACTGGCTTCGATCTCCATGTCGTCCGCTTCTGCGTCGATGGCATCCGTCTCCTCGGCTTCGCTCGCTGCGGCAAGCAGCAGTTCAAGTGCGGGTACGACGAGTACTGAAGGAGGAAATAGAAGTGGCCGGGGTGCAGATGGCACTCTACAGAACGCGCAATCGGGAGGATCTGGATTTCCGAAATGGGTTAGTCATATCGGAGAAAGTCCCGGGCTTCGAAACAACTTCCAGACTAATGTCCACGTTTAATTTGCGCTCGAAAACAGGCCATCGCCGTGATTGTCATCCTAGGCGTATTTCTCATCATCTCCCTACTCGCACTCTGGTGGTTCCTTCTTGCCGCTTCCCGTCGAAACAGGCGGAGAGATAGCCGTATACAAGAAAACAAAGCTTGGAAGGGGGAAGAAGGGGGTCATGCGCCTGACGCTTCGATATCGACAGCCGGTGGCGCACGAAGCGATCAAAAGCATGCAGACATTGCCGAAAGTCAAATCATGGACGAAAAGGCGCCGATCTCTCCGCACGATGAGCCAGAATCGAGTGCAATCCCAGTAGCAGCTTTCGCTGCGAGACGCGACCAGCATCAGGACTCGTCGAGCATCGCTACTGCCCGGCCAGTATCCCAAAACTCGCGCGCCTCGCCGATTCCGACTCTGAAACCGTCGACCTTGGCTCTGAATCGTCAAAGGTCAGGCACATCGGGTATCGGATCGCACGTCTCGGTACCGGGACCCGCAGGCTCCCTTGCGATGGGAGCGGATAACAGCAGTATCGCTTCGTCTGGACCGATCAGTCCAGGCGAAGCCGAGGATCTAGCTGTAGCTTTCAGGCAAGCGATGCGGAAGGCGGGTGACCAGTGAGTTTCGCATAAAGCAGAATTGGACCGTCACTCTTGGCTGAAACCTATTCTTGCCACAACAGACCGCTGACTGAGGACAGCTCGCCCGAAACCGAAAGTCCGCCTGCAAGGACGACCGCGAGCACGCTGATGAGGCAAGAGCTCCAGGGCGAGGGAGTTGGCATCAAACCCGTTGGGGACCGCAGGAGTTACCATCTACAAGGACTCGATGATGACAGTGACTAGAACTGGACGTCGACCGTCTCATCATCTTACTCTCCCCTATTACGACATTGGGATCCTGGACTTCTCTCTTTCTTTAGGACACGACACGAGGCTTATACCAGGAGAGAAACCTCCGCCAAGCATCCTACCTCTTCTCGACAATGGTCCACATGATTCAGGCTTCTTTTCCTCACGAACGGGTCCGATGGACTTTGATATAATGCAATGCAAATGTTTGGATGTAGGGTCTCGATCCGGTCGCTGTAGCGCGATTTCTACCTATAGTGTTTTACGAAGAAGGTGTTTGTCTGTGGTTGCGTCTAGCTAGTTTTATGAGTTTTCTTCACGATGACTGTGCGATCTCTATATGTTTCACTTCTTCGTCATGATAAGACTAGATGTTTATCTCGGCGCCTGGGCATCCTCTCCATTCGGGTGTCTTTCGCCGTCTAGGCGTTCCTGTTTCGCAACAAGCAGTACTCGCCCCATACCCTCGCGTCTTCTACCTTGCTCCCCGGCAAATAGAAGATCCTCGCCCACCAGGGTGTCGAGGCGGCGTCCAAGAAAGGCTCGCAGAACAGCTTGATCCAGTTTTCCGAATCCGCCGCATAGTCGGGCTGGAGCTTGGTCGGACGTTGCGAGGGTAGTGTCGAATCGATCAGATAAGTGCATTCCGATACATCGATCTGGAGTGCAAGCAGATAGGATCGTCAGCCGAGGCCACCGTGGTTGAAAGGTGTCAAGACCGCACTCACATATGCTTCAGTGTTCTCCTCGTTCCGATCGTTGAAGCGGCCTGGGTGTACGAGCCTCGTCTGTTCCCGCCTCCACAGTTCCTTGCTTGGGAAACTCTTGTCCCACTGGATCGGCATCATCCCATCAAACTCGCTCTTCACCCAACCGACCTCGATTCCCTCGGGGATCAGGTAGCTTCCTGGGAACCTGAACCATTCTTTCCCGTAACAGAGCTTGACCTTGGGATCGAAATCGTGCAGGACGGAGAAGTCCCATTCGTCACTGTACCCCAGTTCGGCGTGACGTTTCGCGTGCTTCTCGGGAGGAGGAATGGGCTTGTATCCAGATTCAACGAGGAGCTGGGGGATCTCAGTGTACTGGAAATGATAGGCCACATCAAATGGCGAGTGGTAGAAGTGTCCAAGAGCGTATATCCGGGAAGCGGAAAGCAAGAGGGAAGGCAGGAGAAGTCCGAGGGAGATGTTGCTGAAGATCCTCGATCGACCGGCCTGCACGAGCGATCATACCGTGTCAGACGTGTTTCTTCACAATTTCCCTCCAAGCACGACGGCAGCGACTCACATTGTAGGGCGAAGCAGTAACCTTGACGTAGATCGTCTCGGCCCAACCCTTGATCAAGAAGATACTGACAGCCGCGTTCATGCACAACAATGGGTAAAGGGGGTACATGAACCTCTCCTCCTTGTGCGCTTGCAAGCTCATGGTCGTCAACCAAAGGTAGAACGGAGCCAGACGCAATACGAGTAGCGTATACGGGCTAGATTCTCCCTCCTTGACCGCCTGCTGGGATGTACCCAAGCGACGGAAATCAAACTTGTAAGTCACGGCGAGGGCGGGTAGGGAGAGCAAGGCCAAGGGCAAGAGGTAGTTGAAGTTGAGGAACAGGTTGGCGAGGTAGAAGGTGGCGGGTTCGGTCCCGTAAATGTCGGGTCCGGTGGCTGATGAACGTGAAAAGACGTTGTAGAGCACGATATTGAGGTTGGGGAAGACGAGACGTCCGTAAGCCCACGAGTCGATGGCGACGATGGGGATCTGAGGCATGGTAATAGCTTCGATTCAGCTCAATCACTGCTTCGAGAGTTGAACGATCAATACTGACCGAGATCAGAACCACCGAAAGAATCCCCGCTCCGACCAATCTCCTAGTCCTGTCCGCCAGCAATCCCCCCATCTCTTCCTTCTTGGCCACATCCCCCGCTCTCAAAGCGCACTGTTCAAAGATGAACGGCAACGCCATCAGACCGACGAACGGCCACCCCAAGATAGGACCGAGGCAGAAGAAAAAGGTCGCCCTCCAAGATCGGGTGATTCCGAACGGATTGTTGGAAGCCAAGGGGAGGGCGAAGGTGAATGCCAACATGGTCGTGTACATGGTGAACGTCGATGGCAAGAAGGCTACAAATTCGCGCAAAGCAAGCGGATATTAGGGGTCGTTCGTGATCACATACACTGCCCCATGTCATCGCGATGACTCACATCCACCTGCATTCCACATCCCGCAGCTTCCGAGCAGCATCATCAGACAATACCTTCCCACCCGCTCGTTAATGTGATCCGCGACCGCCCGGTAGAAGCTAGCTTCACAGACCGAGCAGATAATCCCCAGCGAGATCCTCAGGACGAAGAATGCTGCTCGCTGTACGAGAAACACAAACGGCAGATCAAGGGTCGTTGCAATTTGTTAGCTGTCGGTTGTTTACAAGATAGGGGTAGTTCACTTAGAGAGGACGTACCTTTTGGATCTTTAGGGCAAAAGGAGCCAGATGGGCCAGGGGCCAGTGCAGTAGGATATAAGTCCACGAACGGATAGCGTGCTCCGGAGAGAGTTCCCATGTCTGGAATCCGTTGTTGAACGTGAAATAGTGAAGGGGTTCGAAAAAGTTGAATACTATCGATAGACGAAGTCGATCGGTGATTCAGCAAATGTGTGCCGCAAAAAAACGGTCGATGCGAGGGCATTGCGCTGACCTTCGTCACAATCCTGAATATTTGAATACATGGCTGCCGAGACTCGAACGAGCAACAAGAGCCGGACGGCCAAAGAGAACGAGGGGATGAACGGGCCGGAGTTCTGTCTGACCGATCCGATCCAGGCCGTTTTTCCAAGTAAGTCACCGATTCGTCTGGATCAAGTCAATCTGAACTTGTCGCTCACCTTCCGACCTGATCCTGCAGCAACCCCCGATGCCTTTTCTTCCAAGCTGGCAGGGGCGCATGTTTCCCCCCGAACCTGTCCACGTCCCGGACGTCGTCCTCTTGAACCTTTTTCTGCTTTTCGGCCACGGCGTTGGGCCCAGCGGTGGGACGACGAAACCGGATGGTCTCGGTACCTGGTCCGTAGGACATAATTAGAGAAGGGTTGATGTTATTGTTACGAGGATGTGACCCTGAGCGAGATACCGATGTGATAGGCTGGATGGACCAATTCAAGGGGTGATTTGTGATCTTGTGATTGAAGGTAAACCTGGGTGGTCCACCGGGAGTCTCAGCCCAGCCCCCAGCTCAGGCAAGGCGGGGCGCGGGTTTCGGCCCTGGGCTGGCCCACAACAAAGTAAACAAATCAAAATGTACAGAGAGAGCCAGGTCAGTAGCTCCAGTAGTAAGTGATCACAACACCCCGCTCACCTAGCCATCTAGCATGACGACCACACATCCGTTCATCGCTTGACCCGAATCGCACCATGACTCATCAGTCAGGGCTACAAAATCTCCGCAAACAATACCTCTCGCTCTACCCTCCCCACCTTATCCAGCTCGACCTCGAACCGAGGCTCACACTCGCGAGGAATCAGGGATGGATCTACGACCACTTATTGTCATCCGACTCGTTGGCTGCCCAGTACCCGCCAGCAAGTGACTATCAGAGAAAATTCTGGAAACTCCTTGTGGCTGCTCTGGATGTCGAGTTGCGGGACGACAGGGCTGTCGAGGAGGAACTGGCAAGTTCGGCCTGCTCGAGCTCGTTGTGCCAGAACTGTGGCTAATAACTCTTGTTCGCGATACAGTAGGAACTCGACGACCGGATAGCGGAGCACTATACGGAACTCATATTTCAGTCTACAAACCCGCTCGACGTGTGAGCCTCGCCATGCATCTCCTTGCGAACGTCAGGAAGCTCATTGTGATGGCGTTGACAGTCCCGGACCTTCCTACAAGACCTACATATACAACACATCGCCATATTCCGCGGGCTCAAACTTTGTACCGCCTTCGGAGGAGAAAGCGATCACCTTGCTGGAAGCGCAGACGACCATCGAGGCGGGTTCGACTGGTCTACGAACCTGGACAGCTAGGTGAGTGCTTGAAGTACTGCTGGTCTATTCACCACGAAAGAGGTGACTAACCAAAGTCTTGAAGACAGTCTTCATCTGGCTACTCTGCTCTCGCTAGACGATTCTTTGCTCGACCCTCCCTTCCCTCCCATCGGTGCTCCTTCAGGATCTTCCACGCCATCATCAAGACCAACTGGACGGACAAATCTCCTCGAACTGGGTGCAGGCACGGGATTCCTCTCGTGTTTCTTAGCGCAGACGGGAAGGCGAACAATTTGGGCGACTGATATCGGGGATGAAGATGGAGGGGATCTCAATAACGAAGAAGAATCTGAGGAACGTGGGCGTTTGGAAAAGGGCGGCGGTAGGATCCAGGAAGACAGAGTGGACGGATTGAGGCGGGGTCCGTTGAAGAGCCTGAAGAGCAACCTCAGGATCAGTAAGAGCATTGTTACCTTTTCCAACCGGGTCCGACGATAAAGCAGCTAAAAGTCGTGAACGAATGATCACAGATCGACAACGGTTTCATTCCGAATCCAGAGTCATCCCTAGATCATTGGACTGGTTCGACTCTGTCCCGCCCAATGACGATTCGGCTCAAAGCGCCGCCGAGCCGTACGAGGCGGCATGCGCGTTCTCGAAGAGCTTGCCCACAGACCTGGTCTTGCTCGCGGCGGATGTGGTCAGTCCCTTCTTCTTGTCCGAGGAGGAGGAATCCGTCAGCGCAGGACTGATCCAAACGTTGTCTACTAGATCTACGATCCCGATCTCGTCGCCCCGCTTGTAGCTACTCTGAAGATGTTCCTATCACAGACCGATGACGAGGTCGGTCTCACTAAGAAGAGGTTTGGGCTTTTAGCCGCAACTGTGAGGAATCAGGAGACGACCGACTTGTTTGAGCGAGAATGCGGTAAGCTCCTGTTGTCCTGACGACCCTGCCCGTCGCCCTGCTGAAAGGCTCGACTGTCGATCGTTGATAGAGAGGACCGGTCTGAAAGTACATGTCGTACGCTCGCCCATCCTTCCGGATTCTGCAGCTACGCCAATGTTCTGGAATGCAAGCACTTGGGAGGGGCAGGACGTCAAGGTGGTCAAGATCTATGTGTGAGACTGGCAGCCGGTTCAATCTTCCGAACAGAAGGTGTCTTGCTATGTCGTATGAGCTATTATACATTTGCTCGTTTCACGAGCGTTCTAGATACAACGTCTATGCGGTCCGCTAGCGATGCAAAAGGTGTAAGGGAGAATGGTGATTGGTCGTTTCGAAAACATGTGGATCCGGTCGTTATTGTGAATGCGAAATCAAGCCTTGTAAAGAGCCTGTACGAGTTGTACTTTTTGACGGACCTGAAAGTGCGTATTGCAAGCGCATGAGTTGTCTGCGACGATCAGATACAGAAGACGGCTCAAAACTCACGAGCTCTGCAAACCTCCTCCTGTGCCTCTCCGACTTGAGACGCCTCCTCCTCTCGCTTCCTTTCTCGTGGTGTTCTCCCAGACGCAACTCCTTCCTGATCTTGTTCCTGTTCATGATTCCGGACAATCTTCGGTAGGCCGCGGTAAAGTTACCATCGCGAGCGACAATGCTCCTCCCACTGTACTGGTTACCAGGAGCCCCAAAGGTAAGGACAACCTTCTTAGCTGGAGAAGGGCCTTCGTGGGTGTAGCTACCACGTGACTGCATGCCCATCAAGGTGCTAAAGAAATCACCCGAATTGCCGTCCGGGGACCCGGTGGCGTTTCCAGATGATGTCTTGAATGCCTCGACCTCACGTCGGATGGCCGAAATCGAGAGGTATCGCTTCGCCATACCGGGTCGAGTTACGGTGTGCACACGTCGGACACCGAAGCTGCCGCCTCCACCACTCCCTCCTTCACGTCCACCTCGACCTCCGAAAGATCCACCTCCCTCTCGTCCACCTCGACCTCCGAATGATCCTCCTCGACCACCTCCCCCGCCGAATTTACCTCCTCTGCCTCCACTGCTACCGCCAAACCTCGGTCGGTCTGCCTTGAATCCCAGCTTGGCCAGCATCATAGGGCTGACGGAAGGAGGCTGTTCCAACCCCCCAGCTTGGACAGCCCAATTCGTCAGACCGCTCAAGATCGACTGATGGCTGGCCTTGATAACGTCCTGTTTCCCGATGTAGTAGCCGAGCATCGAGCTGAAGGTCGAGTAGATGGCCTCGCTGTCAACACCAGCCAATAGCTCGGAGATGTACTCAGGAATCCTCTCCATGCGCTCGGCGTACGGCTGAGCACGGGTGGGTGTGGCGATTCGACTCCGGTTGCCAAAGTTCGATGCAGCGGGGAGCTGAGGCAAGTCGGCATCCCATGCTTCGGTCAATGCGGCCATCTCCTGTTGCAGGTCGTGCGGCTTCTGCGCCTGAATGGGAACCTCCGACAACTCTTCCAAGAACCTCGACTCCCAAGGCAAAAGTACCAGGTCACCTCGACCTCCCTCTTTACCGCCTCGACCGGTCCTTCCGACACGATGCACGTACTGCTCGCCAGTTCCGGGGATACCGACCTGAATGACGCGTGTCACTCCAGGGTAGTCGACACCTCGGGCAGAGACGTCCGAGGTGACTAGAACGGATGCAGGGCTAGAGTCGTTCCTGAATCTGTCCGAAGCCCTCGATCGCCTGTCTTGGTCGAGCTTGGAGTGAATCTCGTAGACGCTTGTTTTCCTTCCGTAAGGCAGAGCTTCTGACAGTTCTCGAACAAAGGTCGCGAACAACTGCGTGAGCTTGAGGGTAGGCAAGAACACGATGGCCTTTGACCCCTTGGGGTTCTTGAGCTGGTCGTGAGCGAGAAGCCTGAGCACGTGAGGGATCTGATCCGCAGCGGAGGGCAGAACAGTGTGATATTGAGGGATGTGTTCGTGCACGTTGGATTCATTCTCGGGCACACAGTCCATGAAGAGGTGGTCCTTGTCCAGCGAGCTTCGAGCGATCTTCTTGATAGCGGGTGAAACGGTAGCAGAGAACAAGAGCGTTTGACGGTCCTTGGGTAGGTGGCTCAGGATGAAGTTCAGGTCGTTGGTGAAACCCATGTCCAACAAAGTGTCGGCTTCATCCAAGACGAGCTAGAAAAGCAATATACAGGATATGAGTGAGGATCAGGTCATTACGGGCCACAAATAGAAGCTCACCGTTCCGGTCTTGCTCAGAGCCTCGGCAAAACTCTCTCCTACCTCGGGGTCCTGAAGCAGATCCTTCAAACGACCAGGCGTAGCGACTACCACGTCCTTTCTGTCCCGCCTCCACAGCCTGATCTGAGTTCTTCGGCTAGCACCTCCAACCAGTAGCTGGGTCTGGTAAAGCTTGTGCCAGGTGAGACACTTGATAGATTCGTTGGCAATCTGGGTGGCGAGCTCTCGGGTCGGGGAGATCACCAGAGTTCCGACGGTGCTTCGGGACAGTTCACCTGCACAACGAGGACGATACAAAATGTCAATCAAGATTTGAGGCGACCGTAAGCCTTGCAACAACTCACGAAGGATGAGTCCTTTCTCGCTGGAATCAGCTTTCTCGCCAGGATTTTTCCTGCTCTTGTCGCTCTCCTGATCGAGATTGTGAAGCCTCCTCTCGATAGCCGGTACCAAAAAAGCCTATGGATAGCAGTCGACATACGGATAAGCGATAGGTTGAAGGGTACGGAATTGGGATTTGGCCGGCTCACAATGGTCTTTCCAGTACCAGTCTTGGCCTTGACCAACATATCCTTCTTCCTCACTCCGTTCTCGATTTTATCCTGCAGAACCCTCCGCTCCTCGCTGCCCTCCGGCATGCTTTCCATCCAAGCCTTTGGGGTCATCCCATGGGGAGGCCGAGGCATGATCCCAGCTACCTCGGGCATCTGCGACAATACCCTGTATTGCACCTCGGACATGTTCGTGAACCTGAACGGCCGCTGAGTCAAAGCTTTGATAGTATCGTGATCTACCCGACGCCTCAGAGAATCGAAAGTGTAGTTGGGACCGTCATTCGACATCTCCTTGGCCTCCTTGACCTCGGGTTCGATTAGGCTGGCCGCACGAGGCTGTTCCGGAACGGCCCAGGGTAGGGGTTTGAGATCATCTTCAATCTCCTGAGCCAAAGCGGCATTGGCCAGCGATCTTGAGCGGCTGATCGTCTGAGCCATAACAGCTGATGATACCGAATGAACAAATGGAAAAAATCAACATCATGCTGAAAACTTCGCCTCGTGCAGAATCCTTAGTCTACTAACCGGTCCGAATGGGTGCTGCTGCCGGACCTCTCGAGGTGGCCGCGAGGGCGAGCCTGCGAGTCTGTTGCGTGATATGTCTAGAAAGCATGCTGTAGACTACGAGAAGCTATGCTTTTACTAGATATCCGTCACAGGGCGAAGCGATCAATTGATAGATCGACGAATTTGACCTTTCTCTCGAAATTACGACAAGTTCCTGCTTTCCCTCGCGCTCAAGTCGATCGAAAAGCGATTGCGCTTAGACGCGCGCTTCTGTGATAACAGGTGAAATTCACATTGTCATCGACAACTCTCGACGGTATAAATATCGCCTGGAATTGCTCGGTGCACATAAGATTGGTATAGTGTCGTCTCACAGTCCAAGGCAGTCAACTCTAGCATATATTCTTCCGCGAGCTACATCGAGATCGGGATGCGCCCGCCTATCGTCGAGCTGGAGCACCGCCGAACAGAGATCCCATCAAATTCATCAGATCGGGTCCGCCTCCAGCTTGCCTAGGAGGCGGGATCTTGAATGTATTGGTAGAGATGTGAAGTAGAGCCTGAAACGAAGACGGAAGGAGATGAGCGATCTTAATCGAGAAGTGTCCACCTCAACGAATTGTTGTATTGACAACCTCACCTCTTGTACGGCCTGGCTCCCGACGACCTTGTCCTGACCCTTGTACTTTCGTACCAGGCTTTCCCATTCTCTGGAGATACCTCCTGTAGTCCCCCTAGCTTGTACACCCGAGACGCCCTCTGCCGGTGCGCGCTGCACGGTGAGGACGGCCATCTGCAGCCAATTGAGCGTGGACGAGGTGGTCAACGGCAACTCGCCTGAGCCGTATGTCAGAGTAGTAGCGATGAAAGACGAATCCGAACTGGACAACAGGGTAATGAATTTGGAGAGGAAGGTTCGAGCGGGTAGAATGGCAGGTGGCGTGATTGAGATGAAGCTGTCGTAATAGACCCGGAAGCGACTATGAGCTTGGTATAAGCAGCATGTCTGCCAGACGAGAATAACGTACGGTATCACTACTCGACAAGCATAAGGCGCCGGATCTTCCGCTCCCTTCCCACACCTAGATACGTAAAGGTATGCACGATCGACATTAGCTCTTCGTGATTCGTCATCTCTTCTATGCCTTTCGGGAGACTTGCCATTCATAAGCCATCTCTGCCAAGGTCACAGCAGCGTCCCTCTTGCAAGACGCAACCAAATGCTGTTCAGCCTGGACGAATTTGCGATCTAGGATCATGGCATAAGGGTGGATGTCAGACAGACCCGCACTTAGCAAAAGGCTTGTAAACTTACCTTTGTAGTAGAGCTCTCCGATATACTTGTGTAGATCAGGGTCACCAGTCTGACAATCACCAAATTCCAAAGACCATCTGTGATGATAATAGGAAGCGAGACATTCGTGAGCGTCGAACGATATACTCCATAGCACAAAGGATGGGAAGACCCACTTGATAGTTAAGTCTGCCAACTTTTTTCGCCATGTACCCTCGGATGTCATCAGCGCCAACAGCTGAGTCACACGCGCTGGCAGGGAACAAGGATATCATATTAGTCAAGGCCATACTAAAGATACAGATATTTTCAGCTCACCTTTACTCTCCGAATCGACTTGGACCTCGGCGCTCCTGTACGTTTCGACCATATAACACCCCAGATCCGTCCCGCTACCCCATTCTTGCACCTTTAACAGCTCTTTTGCCGAGATGAACAGCACCTGAATGGCTTCCTGCTTGTGCCCCGAGTGAACGAGACGGGCAGCAGTGGTACGGGCCTTTTGATGAGCCGAGTAGCCGTCGGGAGGGGAAGATTCCAGGTATCGAAGGATGGATGGGGTCAGCTTGGCCGGATCCGTGGGGAGGTTGCGAGGAGGCATGATGGTAGATCCACTCGATTCAACTAGGATATTAGCGTCTAGATGGAGATGAAGGGATGAATTGGAGGTAGACAAGAATGAAATGGGTTGACGAGGTTGATGATCGTTAGCTAGTTATAGTTGTGGATTGTGCGTCTTACTCACCAGCACCCGGCTCAGTTCCCCTCGCGCTTCGTCGCGCTGGAACCGAGCGGACCTCGATGGAGAGAGAAGGGACGTCCAACTGCTGCCTTTGACCATACCCTGAGGCTGAGGTTTAGAGACTGGATACCTCGACACTACACTCTCAGAGAGCTTCTATGCTCCGAGATGTAGATCGTGTATCCGCCCTGCACAATTGATGCTCCCCTTGTACGCGGTACGTGCGGACTTCGCACTACTTGACCATCTCGAACCCTACTACAAGAGGCGACACTCGTGGACAACAAGCTGTCCAGTGATGCAATCAGGGCAAGAGTAAAGGGGCAAGTGGCTTGCTAATTCATGACTCGTACAAGAGAGTTACATGAAGGCGACTACCTTTGTACCCGTAAAATTGCATCATAAGGCCTTGCCCGGCTTAAGATTCACGCCGGGACAGAGGAGTATAAGATCGCGAACATGTGACAACGTATCGACCATTTCCGATGTATATCGCTCTCCCTTGATCTCTCACAGTGATATAAGCAAGTCGTGCGAGATCCATTACATCGGCCACCGTACTGGGACCTAGATCGGAGACGAGCAATACGTAGCCAAGAAAGATGTTGGTAATACGACTTGAACCGGGCTTGACTCTCCGGTTCATCCGGACGGTGCATCATGCAGCTTCGAAGAAGCCCTCGAACAAACCACCTTCGACAAAAGTGAGCCTATGTAGTCGCCCAACGTTGGTCTAGTCCAACTCAACATATTCATCCCATATAGGATGAAAGCACACGTCGGCAAGCAAAACCACCCCGCTTGACAGGCTCCATCCTCCGGCCCTCCCTTTTCAACGTCCCCCAACCCCGTCTCAGCCCTCAGCCGGTCAAGACGAGCATGATGATCCGCAATCGGACGAGAGCGAGAGAGAATCGGAGGGAGAAGCAGCTCTTGCATATGCAGTATATCAGGGATATGAGGGAAGAGTTCAAGTTCTGGGAGAGGCTGGGGGTGAATGAGCGGCCGTCTCGCAAGAACGAAGCTGGAAAAGGAAAAGGAGTGGAGGAGACTGGTTACAGTGAGTCTGTCTACCGAGTCTGTCACCTCTGCAGTAGCCGCATCGTTTCGAATGGCTGACCGTTTCATCGCAATTTGCAGTTGAAATACACAACGAGCAGCTGGCACGATATAACGCCAGCTATGAGCTTGACAAACTCCGATCCGCCATGGTTGTCCCGCCCGAGATGATCAAGCGAGTCGAGTTAGCCAAAAAGAATAAAGCCAGAGCCATACAGAAGAAAGCCGAGGGACGGAAGACCGCCAAAGGTATCCCTCCTGCGATAGAGAGTGCAACGACTGAAAGAGTCGGGCCATGATTAAAGTCTAAAGGATATCTAAATACAACGTTTTCCTTCCCCGTACAAACATCGCATACCCTGGTCCTTATCCAGCGATTTTTATCTCTCATGCCGTTAGACTACCTTGCAGCATGTCGACCATATCCCTCACACCATGTTTGGAAGAAATGACCTCGTCCAGGTGTTGTAATGCCTCGCGAGCTAGATACAGTAGACTTTAAGCTTGATCCACTCACTTGGACGGCTATCGCGCTATCAACTCACCTCCTTCCTCGTTACCGATCTGTAACAGCTTGATCTTCAACTGGCTGAGTGGATACCCGCCTTGATCGAGCTGAGAGTAGGAATTAATCAGCCGGGAAACAGCTATAGCCTGGGTTGCGACGAGCTACTCACCCGACGTGCTATTCGGACAAGGACTGATTCCGGATCGTCAGTGGGTGCTCCATCGGTGATGACAATCTAGGCGGCATAACGTCCAATACATCAGATTGTATCCTGGTATCGTCCGAACCATGATGTTGGCTTACCAGATTCATCGGTTTGACGCCCTCGCCAGGAGGCAACTCGCCTCGTCGCTCAAGATCGGTACACGTCTCCAGCGTGTCCATGTATTTGGTCAAAATCCGGTCCAATGCACGACCAGTACTGTGAGGCAGGGCGAATGATTGAGCGTTGCATTGTCGGTCATGTCTGGCGCTTGGATACTTACGGCGTTTGCCCTCCAGGTTTTACCTGCCCGAACAATGCGTCCACCTCGCGACCACTCTGGAGGACCGAGGAGCGATCAGAAGGTCGGTCGTTATTTCAAGAGATCGTCTTGCAATCACGACGACTCACCCTGATCCCCTCGCCCGCCGCCGGGTTGTTGATAAAGTAAACATCGATCCCGTCCGTGTCATGTCCAGCCGCTTGCTCAGCCACCTCCATCAGGGACATTCTTGTATCTCTCCACCGTCCCCCTGCCATGGAACCACTATCATCCACGAGGAGCACCATGTCATATCGCTTCAACTGTGCCGAAGGATCGTCCCCCTGCCTCGACTGCGTCAGACCGAGCTGATGCGTCAAGACACCTTGTCCGCGGGTCACACCTGAGCCCATCTCGACACTTTGCGGTCTCGCCGGTTTAGGAGCCACAGGAGGAGGTCGATCCGGATCTACAGCCCGTTGAGGTTGAAGGAACGGGTTAGACGGCGCCTGGTTCTGGTTCTGCCACCCTGGAGGTGGGTGAGAAGGTGGAGCATATGCTGTACGGGACGAACCCGCTGCATCGCCGTTTTCATAAGCGGGGTTCTCGAAAGGGTTATTGCTCGAAGCATGAGGGCCGGCCGAGAATGGTGAAGCTGGAGCATCGTTTGCCGAGGCAAAGGGGTTGTTGGTTCCTGTACGTATCGGCTCCAACGGTCGGTGCCCAGACTGTTGCCCAGACTCGTCGTCCATCAGGTCCATCGATTGCATACGGCCAGACAGCCCATCGAGCGAAGCACGTCCGGGGACCGGTAGCGTAGACCCGAGCGCGATCGGGTTCCCATTATCACCAACAGGGTAAGAACCCGGGATAGTCCCGCCCGTATTGGTCGTCACGGCCCCATTATCGGAATACGTTTGACTCTCCCTTCTTCGCCTCTCGTCCACCTCGACCTGCCTTCGACTCTCCGCTAGAGCCTGTTCGAGTTCCCTCTGCTCCTGGTCAGCAGTATTCCCAGCATTGTTACGAGGAGGAGAAGATGTGTCCATCGCTTGAGCATCTGCTTCCCGGCTCGCAGCCAGCGCTTGTTCCAACTCTCGTTGTTCGGCAGTTGGACGCTCGGGTATGGTAGGAGCCGGGTTAGGCGCCTCGGTATTACTAGCCTGAGGCCTGGGTACAGCCGAACCCTGCGCATTACTCATTTGACGCTCGAGTACAGCCGTCATCTCCGGCTCAGGGTCCATCCTCGAATAAGGTGGAGGGGGCAAGTCCTCTCCCTCTCCACCCGGCTGAGTGGGAGTGGCCGCTGCAGGTCGTACGGTCTGTACCGTAGTGTTACGGGCAGCGATAGCCTGGACATTGGCTCCCTGGATGTTGGGATGTCCTGTTGACGTACTTGTTCGTGCTAGTCGTGCGGAGGGACCGGTAGGAGTCGAGGTGACGGTGCGGCGCAAAGCAGGGAAGATCCGGGACGGTGGAAGACCGGTTCGTTCTCGGGCTTCGTGGAATGATCGGACGAATTGAGGTAACTAGCCAAAGTACCTCGATCAGCTGTCGAGGCGGTACTAAACACTGCTGTATCGACATACTCCTCTTTCAAGCTCTTCCACCTTGAGACTCGTCTCAAACTTTGTCTTTCCCTTGGCCAGCTTGCCCGAGATGTACTGAATGAACACGGCGGTCGCGAACCTGTCATCGAACACCCGTTCTTGTATCAGCGACACTATCAAACCTAGAGCGGTTTGACTTCAACTCACGCCGGATCGACCTGTCTGTTCCTGGACCGAAGCTGCTGAGTTGATAATGTGCTGAGCACGTCGAATTGCGTGAGGATATAACCGATATTGGCCGTCCCGCCGCCTGCGTAGCCATATCGATTGGGGTACATTTCGTGCCGTATCTTGGCGAGCGATGAGAGATTCAATCGGGTCTTCGTAGGGTCTCAAACCTGGTGTCGTCCACGGTGGATGTGCCTGTCCTGTGTGTGTGAAAAGGTGCTTGTGGGATATGAGATACGTCTGTGTGTCCATACATCATCGCCCATGCCCATCTCGTCGGTTCAACATGGCGATGGTACACCAAGAGTCTCGGGTCAAGGGCCCCGGCCACCAGGAATGATGCCGAGGTGATGTCATCAGCGAGATCACACCAAACCCGACGGATCAGGCCGTATCAACGGGTCTCTTTTCCTGATCACCTTGTTGAATATACGATGATATACGATATCGATGATCGATGTAGAACAATCCGTCTTATCCATTTTATTACAACACCACGGCCGAAACCCTTCTTTGATGTCTGTCCCGACGAGTATCCAACCTACTCGAACCCTTCGATAGTGTTGATAAACTTGGCGAGGTAGACCAATCCCTCGGTGACCTCGGTAGCGGTCTCCCTGATGAGACTGGGAGGGAGTAGGAACCCGAACTGCAACAGCGGCGAATCAGTACCCACCTGGAAGAGAGGAAACCATCGCCCGTCGAAGCGCGTCACTCACTGTACCGGTATCACGCAGCTCGACAGAATAACTCCATCGGATCTTGGCAGATCCGTACGCATAATCGATCGAATCTCCCGACATTCGACTATGATCAAATCTTGCAACCAGTTAGCATCCAACAACAAACAATCTGATTTCGAACTCACTAAACCAGATCACAGGCTTGTCCGGCCTGGTAGACGGTCCCATGCGTGTTCCGCATCGCCTTGGCCACACCGAGACCGGCTTCCATGAGCGTCTCAGCATCCCCAGGGAAATCCGAACACGAGTAAGCATAGGGGAACATGACTGATGCACAAATATTCCGTCCCGCAATCAGTCTCGACATCCTTCTTCCGATTCAGGATCGGCGTAATTCGACTCACAGAGCTGGCCATAACTGTGAATATCGACGAACGCCCTGACATCCCGGATCTCCTTGATCTCCTCCAAGAAATCGGCGACAAGCTTGGTCTCTACCGCCTCAAAAGCAGCGGAACCGGGGTAAGCTTCCGAGCATGGGTTGCTAGCCATCATGTTCGGCGACCATTGGTAGCCCTGTTATACGAGACATGGTAGGAGGTTGAGAAAAGGTCTCGCAGCGTTTGATTCTCGTTGTGAGAGCTTACCCAGTTGGAGTTCATGTCGATACCTGCAGTGTGAAGGTGGTGAGTCTAAACAATGCTGGAACCCATCCAACCGCTAATTTGGCTCACCCTTGCAGTTCCTGTAATCCAAGTCTTGTCTGTTCTTCCTCCACAGCCTCGAATGATCTCGGCTCTGTCGCATCCAATCGCACAATGAGTTAGACATTTGTATCCCGCAGTCAACTGGGTGCTTCAGCTCGGCTTACGTATTCGTAGCCGTCAGGGTTGATCGTAGGCACGATGATGAACTCGTACGTCTCCAGAAGGTGGACGATGTGCGTGTTGAATTGAGCAGCTTGAACCAGGAGATGATGAGCGAAATAGAGCAAGGAAGAGGGAGCGATCCACTGATGTCCGAGAGTGGATTCAAATTAGTTCGGGTCATGCGAAACAAACGGATGTATAAGGTCGTGGTACTCGCCTCTCGGGCATGTTGACCTCCTTGAAGATAGAAAACTCTCGTTTTAGCTTCTTCCACGTTGCCCTTCCTCCTTCCCATCAAAGTTCGAGGCGACCAGTCGATCTCATCCTCGTCGTCACCGGTAGTATTGACAAACTTGTGCAGCCTCAGACCCTCTACATCCCTTCCCTCGGCACTCTTGCCGACGATGAACCTCTTAACCAGCCCGGGGAAGGTCTTTTCCAACTGTTTCCCAAACTCGGTGATGTTGCTCAGGGAATGATAAGCGTCGTGGTAAGGCGATTGCAGGGTGGTAAGATTGAAAGGATCGATCGGAGGGCTTGGTATGGGAGGCTGAGAAGGGGGTGGGCGTCGATGATGTCGGTGATGAGGGCGCGAGAGCAGGGTTTGGAGAAGGTCCGTGTCGACCAAGGGGGAAGTAGGGTGTAAGGAGCGGGGGAGGAGGGAGAAGAAGTGGGACTTGATCTTGGGCGAAAGGAGGATGTCGACATGCGATCGCGATGCGTGCCAGATGTCCAGATCAAGGAGCTAAGATATAGTCATTACGATCAGTACTCCCTTCGTCAGGTAATACAGGAGATTGTGGCGTGGTGCCTACCCGTGCAACTTCCATGACGTGCTTTGCGGCTTTGCCCGCATCGAGACCATCATCCTGCACCTGTTGTCCTCCTAACAGGCTAAGTCGCCAGACCTCATATCCGGTGTAATCTTCCACCTCGTTCGTTGCTCCAACAGCCAAAGGCTCCTCTTCGTGATGGTGTCCGACGGAAAAGGTGGTCTGATGACCGAGATCTTCACGCCGGGGGAGGGCGGGGCTGGCCGGAGACGCACTGGCGCTCAAGGCAAGAACGAGGATGACCGCCACGAGTGCCGTCGTCGAAGAGAGGCAGATACGAAGCGTCTGTCTCATTCTGGATGACTGATGGATGACGGGTCTAAGAATTGAATGGGGCTATTTCGGTTGTCCCAAATGATGAGCCGTATCCTGTCAAGGGAGGTTCCGGCGCCGGCGGGATATCACTTCAATCCGGACGTATGATTTGTCAGACAGAAGAGGAGTACCAAGTGGCTGCTGAGCCGTGATAATATAGTCAATAAATCAGTGGACTTGTTGCCATAGAAGTTGACTCTAGCCTCTGAAGGGCGTTCTACCTGACTGTTGATAACGATCATGAACGTCATGCGAGGAGGAGAGGGAGTTCATCCGCTGAACCAGAGTCGCCTTGCATAACAATTATCCATTTTCGCGTCCGTTCTTCAAGGCCCCCTCCCCCTCTGGGTCTAGGCGGGAATTTCAGCAACCTCTCTCTATTCAACATTTCATAGACAAACGGCTGTCGCAACCCGTCAAACACCTCTCTCAACCGAGCAACCAAATCCTGCCTGAAAGAGGATCACCAAATGCCATGAACAGGAAGACTACAATCGGGGCGTCGGTGCGATCGTTCAGGTCGGGCAGCAGCAGGAAGGCTGGACCTGCGACGACTAGCACGAGATTGCAGTCGCGACCCGTGCGGCAAGCATGTCGTGGGTCAGCCTCCTCCGCCGATGGTCTAGGAGCAGTTTCCGGGATCTCAAAGATTTCGCCTGGCTTAGCAATGGCGTTTCCAGCGATGACTTTACCGTCGTTCGACGTGTTCACGCCCCTCTCGACAATGTTCCTGTCTCATCCGCTACCGACTTATACGGGCAGTATCATTGTCCTCACCCTGCTTACTCGTACCCTCATCACCTTGCCGATCACCATCTGGTCCCGAGCACACATGGTACGATTGAGAAAAATCGTCGCTCCCATCCTCAAGCGCAAGAACACCAACCTCGCTCTCAGCTTGGTCCCGGAATGCAGGAAACTCGGGTTGACGCACAAAGAATACGTGCAGGTGCTTCAGGGGGAGATTAAGAAGGCTAGGAAGGAGACGTTGAAGGAGTATGGTGTTCGACCAAGGTTGACGGCTTTCTTGCCTCCTTTGGTGCACCTGCCCATCTTCCTGGGGCTGTCTCTGACAATCCGGGAAGCTACCCGGCTGGCCACCGAGCTGAATACCGTCTCCATCTCGGCGAACCTGTCTGGGCAGAGCGATGCGGAAGCCATGGCACAGCAAATAGACCCACAGGTTACACAGACCGGTTTGGATAACGCAGCTTCCATCTTGGCCAACACGCCGGACATGACGACCCACCTCGCTGCGTTCTTGCAGGAACATCCTTTCCACCTGACTTCCCTCATCGACCCGGATTCGTCCTTGATCCTTCCGTTCATCGTCGGTATCGCGGCGTTTAGTAACGTCGAGCTCATGCAGACGTGGAGAGACTCGTCGAGGAGCTTGTCGGCCAACCCTGGCTCCGATGCTCATTCGAATGCGGGTGGACAGCGAGGCAAGACGGGCAAGATCGTTCCTGACCCCCGAAGGGAGACTCCGAGACCCAAGAGGAGCGTTCTAGAAGATGCACCTGCTGTAGGTGACGGAGTCGCCGGAGAAGGGGCAGAGAAGAGGGCAGAAGCCATCAGCTTGTCCAGCCGGATAATAGGGTTTGCCTTGCGAGGTCTGGCTGTGGCCAGTGTCGGTTTCGCTGCAGAGGCCCCTGCGGTAAGTTCTAGCAGAATATCGAGCAAGTTCCTTGTGGAATCGAGGCTTATCCGGTGTTGATCACCAGGCCGTGGCAATCTACTGGGCGACATCTACCGTGTATACTCTCGTTCAGAATGGGATCCTCCTGCAACTGGAGAAGCAGGACAAGCTTCCTTTCGTGGTGCCCAAGCGGTTGAGAAAAGCACAGGCAGCACCAATCCCTGAACCTAGCACGAAACATCAGAGCACGCTGCCGAGGCGTCTAGCTAGACGAAGATGAGGACCGAAAACGGCGATGAAGGCCGAATCACGCGCGACTGCACGAAGAAATGGAACCCAGCTTGTATCAAAATCGTGAGTCTCATTGCCGCCGATTTCCTCTTTGTGATGTTTTCCCCTCTCCACACACGTCCCACATAAGCTCCCGCCAATGATCAGAACAAAGAAAATCCGTCAGACTAGCTCCTTCCCTTACAAGGTCGGGGCTCGATGGAACATCACCCAAAGAACAAAACAAACGGGGGAGTGTTTTCCACATGGGGAACAAGAAAACATGATCAAGTCTGAGGCGAAGCCGGGATGTGCTTTCGATCATCATGACGCATTTGTACCGGTACGGGGAGAGCTGCAAGCTAACATGTGGCTAGTCTCTGACCCATAGGATGACACAGTGACCGGGAAGAATCACGGTTTTCCATCGGATTCACTAAAGAACGGGCGATATTTGTAGCATTAGCTCAACCTGAAAACGGATTAATCATGGCCCTCTAACGAAGCATCGAAAGCACGCTCATTCCCTAGTCGTCTCCTACCGGAATCTACCGTATCCGCTATTCTCCAGGTTGGGCAAACCCAAGCCGTATATAGTCCGTATTGGTCTTTTCCCTGGCGAGCCGACATAAATTTCATCAAATGACAATGCATAGAGGAGAGATGTTCTTATAGTACAATCGGCTAACATCCCGCACGAGAATAAAAAGCAGGCGACCGTAATCAGATAAGAGTGGACAAAGGTCCATCGTTCTCGCCATATTACTTCGTATCCCGCTCCTCGTCCTAAAACGAGGAGGGTTGGGTCATCGACCCGGCTCGGTGAGGAATTTCGTGCCGGGCGTCCCTGAAGGGCTGAGCGTAGTGATTTTGCACCGAAAGAGGGGGGTGAGGGGGGTGAAGAAACGGAAGAATCGTTAATGGGGATACCGATCTGTGCAAAACCGAAGACGGGAAGAGATGATGTTCTTGCATGTTCGTTCGTTATATAGTCCAGCCGGACAGTCGTATCGATACAACTTATATTGATCTAAAAGAAGTCAAAAGCGAAAAAAGGGAAGGAAGAGAACACGGTCGTTTTGGTCTACGAATCACGTTCCCTGTTCTGGCTATGGAACTAAGAGTTCGCCACAACCAGACCCAAGGTTAGATATCGATATGACACGAAACAGGAGCAAGAGGGTGGAGTGGACTTGCGATATCTTTGAGTTGACCTTGGGCGTCGTCTACTTGTTTCTGCAAAAACTTGGCCTGCACAATGACAAAAGCTACATCAGCATGCTTGTCTTGCCAATGTCAGAGGAAAAAGAAGCACTGACCTTTTTGGAAAGGTTGGCGAGATCCTCGGTAAGCGTCTTGTCCTCCTCGGTCTGCTGTGCCCTGATGTCTTTACGCGGCTCCATCAAAAACCTGTGGTTCGAAAGGTTCGAAGGGGATGGAATTTTGAGGACCTCTACAGTAAAGCGAGTGAGATGGTTTCGGAACTCACGCCTTGCCGACGCCCTTGTACATCTTGACATCGTCGCCAGCGGGAATCGCATCGAGCTGACGCGTGGTCAATTCGAGGATCCGCTTTTCTCGCGACTTGGCCGCGATCTGACCGTTGACTTGGTTCAGACTTCGCTGGGAGACCACAGCCTGGAGAAGGAGGAAAAAGACGGAAGGAAGGTTTAGATTCTGCGAATTGACAAGACCGGTCCTGCCTGAACGACTTACCTGTTGCTGGATCTGCTGCAGGATCTACTCTGCAAGGGGGCCTCGATCAGCTGACGGCCTCGACCATGGTATAGCTGGAACGCGAGCGGACCTTGTGCAGAGTGTCGTCCGAGAGGTTGGCCATGTCGATAACGATGGGAAGCTGAAGCGGGCAACAAGCTAATTCGTCGTGGGAAATGGCATGGAGCACGGAGGAGGTTTTGAGAATCTGTTTGTGCTGAATTTGAAGCGAGGGCAGGGACACCGATGCAGGGGGGAATCAAGAAATAGGGAGAAGGGGGGGTTAGGGGTCTGGTATCCGCGGTACACTTGCCCGTGTGCGTGTCCCTGGTCGTCATCATCGTAGCACCTGCAAGCACTCTCGCCATCGCTTTCGTATCACATCAATCACATCAATGACGAGCTCGATGAACTGTGCTCTGTCTTCCGAACTGACCACCAAGATCCTCATAGAGTTACATTCTACTACTACGTAGCTGATACTATTGCTGTCATCGTTGAAGTACTCGAGCAACGAAAAAGAGGCCACGATCAGTAGCCCGAAAACGACCTCGATTCCAGCTCGATACATACCGATCAGACAACCATGGAGGCTCTATTCTTCAACGTTAGTTTGGGTTGCCGAAACTCACATTCTTGAGTGCAACACGTTCTGACTGTCTATGTATATATGGTCTGGCTTCTTAGGCGTCGAACGGGTTCCTTGAGGGAGTCGTCCGAGGATACCGAAACTCGCTCTTGACGCAGAACGTGTACAACAACTTGACACAGTGCGAGAACCTGGAAGGTTCGTGTCCCCCTTGTCTCGCTGCACTATTCTGCAGCCTAAGGTAACAGGTAGCTGAACTGCGGTGCCACCTTTTCGATTGTGAACAGACTTCCGATTGCAGCTCTCGGCTACCGATTATGGCAACTTCTTGGCCAACGAGCCTTTGCCCCTTTCCACCGCTGTCATTGCCGAAAAGGTCAGTACGGCGGGTCAGCTGAGCCGTACCAGTCTCGTTGCCGGACATACGCTCACGACGATTATGTGGGGGTGGATCCAGGCCACTCAGAAGCTCGTAGCAGAGTTCAACTACATTCGGACCAACGCCGTCGCACCCCTTTCAACATTTATGGACTACATCACGTTCGTGCATCTACAACTGACCTCGCTACAACTTTCTATCCACTTACTCTCGTGTCAAATTCGGTCTTGCAGCTACTCGTACATGATCGACAACGTCATTCTCTTGACTCTGGGAACATTGCACGAACGGGACACGCACGAGTTGTTGGAGAGGTGTCACCCGCTGGGCGTGTTTGATACCATGCCCGCCCTTTGTGTGGCAACCAACGTCGAGGAACTTTATAACAGTGTCTTGGTCGACACTCCGCTCGGTCAGTAGCTCTCTCCATTTGGGTTGATGTAGATCGGCGTTCTCACGAGATTGGCTCTGTTGCACAGCACCGTACTTCAGGGACTGTCTTTCCGCTCAAGACTTGGACGACCTGAACATCGAGATCATCCGAAACACCCTTTACAAGTCTTACCTCGAGGACTTTTACCAGTTTGTGCAGACGCTCGGAGAGCCTACGAGGGAGAGCATGTCGAAAGTCCTTGCTTTCGAGGCCGATCGACGAACCATCAACAGTGAGTCCGAGCTGAATTCACGTCTGACTGCGCTTCGGAGGTTGGAGGAATTGAACTGTGATTTATTCCGCTCGACCAGTCACCCTGAACAGTTTTGGTACCGAGTTGAGCAAGGAACAGCGGGCCAAGTTGTTCCCTACGATTGGCCGACTGTACCCAGAAGGCAACAACGCCCTCGCCCGCGCCGAAGATGTCGATACCGTCAAGGCCTGTGTCGAGTACATCCCCGAGTACAAGGCGTTCTTCGACAACGCTTCGAAATCGACCGGGTCTGGCGGAGGTGGAGGTATGAATGGAGGCGCCGGAGGAGATGACTCGGATGGGGCTAGTCTGGAGGACGAGTTTTTCAAGCGGGAGGTCTCGATCAACCGGGATACATTCCTGCAACAGTTTGGGCTGGCCGTCTTTTACAGCTTTGTCAAGCTCAAGGAGCAGGTCAGTTCAGGGGGTTCTTTGGGTGTGCCTCTATGCTAGCCGGTCGCTAATAGTACGCGGCATCATTTGAACGAAACAGGAAGTGCGCAATCTGACATGGATAGCAGAGTGCATGTAAGTCACCTTGAGCACTTCCTTGCCATTCAACCGGATCCTAACGCGCTCCGACACTTATAGTATGCAAGATGCCAAGGACCGCATCAACGACTACATCCCATTGTTCTAGATGACAGTATCCGTTGCTTTCCTCTGTATACGTCGTTTACCGGTTTACTCTTTTCATGATCATGTGTTTGTACGACGAGAGCAGTCTTTGCCTAGATTTGGATAGTGGTCAGAGCTATGATCACATCTTATACCTCGAAAACAGTGTTATGCTTCCTTCCCATCGAGCCGGGCTGCAAACGCTCATCAAGCTCTTCTGGTCATATATATATGCTCGTGATAATATAATAGATGTCGTTGAGACGCCGTCACTCCCTTCTATACGATTCTTATGCTAAATGTCCATCGTCTCTATCGTCTCAAACCGCCGTTGCCGAGAAGCCTTCTAGCGAAAAGGCGTCAGGACTTCTCATCGCATCCATTACTCTAAGCAAGGTGACGACGTTGTCGTGATCAGCAGACTGATCTCGAACTCGGGCCGTATAATGCGATGACTCACTCGATAATGCAAGATCCCACCTCCCTCTCGGTCGCTTCACCCGGTATGAGTTGGGAAGAATCGTAGCTCTTCCTCTTGGGCTTCGGTATCCGCTCAATGACTTTGACATTCAGAACCTGACCAGCGTCTCCCAGCGCGGGAATACCCCAGAGCTCCAGCTCTTTGCCATCCCAGTGCAGCCAAGATGGCAACGGGTTACCGTCGGCGCTTTCGATCCTGTATGTCGAAGGCGCGGGTGCTGACCATGTAGCTGCTGACAGTGATACCTGAGGCGGCGGGTTGATGTGAGGATGCAAGTTGAAAGTCTCGTTTGTCTGGGCGATATACCGCCCGTCCGTCAAAGCGCTGCCTGTCGAAATCGGTCGACGGTCCGTTGGAGGCGACATGGTATGCGCGAGGTTCCCAACCTGAGGCAGAGGCGGTGACAAGACCGATTCCTCTGGTTGCGGAACGAAGCGCATCGATTCGGACCTCTGCCCTATCGACAGCGCCTGGCTGTTACGGTCACCAAAGACGATGGCTTCTGCAGGGTATCCTAAGCCAGTCAAATCGCTGGGTGCATATACCGTCGAGGCTCGCTCTCTCGCGCCTTCTTCATCTGCGTCGTCGAAAGCGTCCGAGTTTTCCGCGATCGCCTCTTGCGATGGCGTGCGAGATGCTACCGACAACATGTCCGCTGTAGGAGATTGAGTGAAGCGTTCCCTCGAGGGCATCAGTCGAGCGATACGATGCGCTTCCTGGTGATCAAACGATTGCCTCTCCGCCACGGCCAATACGGCGCTCTCGTCCGACCCCTCATCCTCCTCGGCTACCGGTGCGAAATGGCCCGATTCACCGATGATACGTCCAAGCGCCGACGGTCCAGCGGTGAAACCAGCAGGCGCCCTTGTTGCGAGCTCGTACGATCCGTTCGGACTCGAGCCGCTCCCGCTGATCGTACCGCTGCCAGTATGCGATTCGGAGAAGCTTCCAGTGGCAAACGAAGTATCGCCGGTCCCTGTATGAGTGTGAGTCAAGCTGTCTGGAGTGTGGTCTTCTGACCCGTGGTGATCGTGGAATTCGCTGAAGGTATGACCAGAGAACGTATCGGATGGGGGACGGTTCATGCCAGGGGCCAAGGCATTGCGTGGGTAACGCGGTGTGAAGTCGCTGCGAGGACGAGGAACCGAAGGAGCGGAAGACAGGGGTCTGCCATTCGCATCTCTGTAAGGTGCATGAGCTCCCTCTGCAGATGACCATTGGAAGGTTTCCCTGCTCTCCCAGCTAGCCCGGCTTTCCGAAGTCGAACCGAAGCTGTGCGTAAAGTCGCTAGCTGCACCAGGCGGCAGGAGGCTATCGTTGCGGATGATCTCGCCAGGTACTGGCGATGGGTACTCCAATGGGGGCACAGACTGATTGCTACCGATCGATTTTCTCTTTTCGGCTCCATCCCATTGCAAGATCCCCCTCATGGCGTCCATCTGCCTCGGCTTCTCGTTCTCTCCATCAACCACAGCACGGACAGGAACGGTAGGTCCATCTGCGCTCGGACGGTGAGCATAGATGCTGTTGAATGTTGGCACCTCGCCGTTCTGCAGCCTAGCACTCTCGCTCCTTGGCAGCGTCGTGTTAGGGTTGGCGCCAAACATGGCAAAGTTGGCGACGCTGAAGGGGTTACGATCCGCCTTGGGCGATTTGACCATCCCGGCGAAACTTTCGGTGCTCTTTCTCGACTTGTCCAAGGTCTTCTTTTCCGACTTTTGCTTGCGCCGACGGCAACAGCAAAAGAAGATCAAGGCGGCGAGAAGTGCAACTCCGAGCAGACCAAAGACGACACCCAAGGCGATCTTGGCGCCCGTGGACAGGCCCCCTTTGCTACCCTTGGCCTTGGCCGATGAGCTCGGGCTCTCCGAAGAAGTAGGCGCAGGAATGGCCGCAGTAGGCAAACCAGCGAGATCGAGGTTGAGGTTGGCAACCGAGACCAGGTTGGTCCTGGCATCCGTAGCCGAGATCTGGACGATCGCCCTCGCGTCCGCTCGTTTGAGCAACTTTCGTCTCCTGTGATCGTGCCTCCTCCTCGTGATGGTGCTGCTCTGATTCGGCGGGGTTCCCGACAGCTCAAAGGTTTTGTCGTCGAGCTTGATCCATTCGGTGTAGTTGGAACTGGGCGACACGGCAAGGGAGAGCGAGCTGATAGCGCTAGCGTTCCTGATGTACGGTTTCAGGTCGTAACTGAATGCGTCCCCGAGCTGAGCAGTAGCATTGGGCAGCGAGATGGCATTGAAAAGGGAAGGCTCGATCGAAATGGGAAGGTAGACGGTCGTGTTGGCAGTGGTCCCGTTGACTTCGTCTGCGATCATGACCGGGATATACAGAGGATCCATCGTCCCGTTGATATACTTGTCCGGGGTCGTTCCGCTTAGAGACAAGGTTGAGCTATTTACCCGAGGGGTGAGCTGATCAATTATCGTTTTTTCCGAGATGACCCGACGCACGGGAACTCACGCATCGAATGTCAACCACTCCATCCCCTCCAAATTTACCGAGACGTCCAGATCCCCCGCATTAGTCACCCGCTCTCCATTCACATTCACCGCACTGAGATCCAACTTGTAGTTCACATTCGTCCCTGCGACCGTGGTGATGTTCCCCACGCCGGCCGTCTCCGGAACATCGATAAACGCAGTAGAGACCTGGATGGTAAACCCGTTCTGCACTGCGCCGTAGCCCCAGTAGTCCGATCCGGTCACGACGATGACGTAGGTCCCCTCTTCCGGAGCTACTCCGGAAAAGGTCACGGTCTGGTTATCAAAGTTTAACCAGGAGGGGAGCTCGGTCGTCCCCCTCAAATAGGCCGAGTAGAAGATGTTCGTGTTGACGGCGTCGTAACCCGGTCGGAAGGTGCTCTGCTGGAAACCCATCGAGAAAGAATAGTACGGATGCAGCAGGACTCCATCATTGGAAGGCAAGGCGGTGGCAGTGTTAAAATTGTGCAATGCAGGGTTTCCGATCTGGGAGTCGAATCCACGATGAACCCCTGGAGCGTCGTTGCTCGTGACGAGGATCTTGAAGGAATCTTGCGTCACGCTCCCATCCGTCGCAGAGACAGTGATGGCTACCTCGCCATTGTCATTCGTCCCGGGGGACCCATAAAATGCGAGCGAGATCGGGTCGAAAGACAACCACGAAGGCAGGGCAGAGGTGGTATAGTTGATGGCACCCGAGGCAGTCGTGAATGTGTCCTGGTAGATGGACCAAGAATAGGCCTTGTCGATCCGGGCTACGAGGGGGAGTTGATCTTGGATAGGATAGTTGAGAGTGGGTGCAGCGGAAGCGAAGGCGAGAAGGGAGACGAAAAGGACGAGGACGGAGGTGGAGACCATCTTGTTGTAATGGAAAATGGTTTTATGGTGGAATGTCGCAACGTTTGTGATTGAGGCGTGACTAGCACGGGTTATACTAGCTCTAGGCTGTAGTAAGGTATATCCAGAATGAACCCTTCAAGGATCACGTAGAGAATAGTCGTCGAGATTCGCTCTGAATCGATCAGAGGTGGACCGGCCAGATGGGGGTGTACAGTCAACAGTCCAGCTGAGAGGAGTCGAGAAGAGAAGGGAGAGGGCGGTTCGTGATCCGGATTTCTTATTGCATGCTGTTCTTTCTCCTATTTCTGTCTATCGTCGGTCGAGCTGGCTTGTTTCTAGGTCTAGGCTGGAATGTTGTTGGGAGGGAGGACTAGGTCAATGTCAGGTCGTGAGTCGTGATTGCTGAAAGAGTGTCGCCTTGGAAGGTGGTCAAAGGTTTCCGGAACGTTTTGTCGAGGTGACACTTGCGAGATCCTATCTCTTGTCAAAGTGAGGGGAGGGGGTTGCCGTGATTGAGAGGAAGCAGGGGTTCCAGAGTCTGAGGGGGATAGGGAATAGGGGTTGCTGAGGCTTGGATGTGAAGCACACTCACTCACTCGCAAAGGATTTGTTGACGAAGCACAGCGACGGGGCAACTTTTGGAACATGATCGCGCTAAAACGCGTCTCTTCTTCAGGCACGCACGCGAGGGGAAGGGGATCATCGCCCGAAGCCATCGTCACACGATCACAGGCAGGAGAGGGCAGCAGCAGCATCAATGCGACGCGTTCGACTTGGTGGCGTCACATTACGTTATGGCCGGTCGGTCGGAAGCTTCATGGTGGTTTCACGACACCAAGATGTACCCGTATACGTGGTCAATCCGCGAATCCGTCTGTGATCTGCGAGCTGTGGTCAGACTCCGAAGACGTTCAGCAGACGATAATTGGTTCGTAAACTCGAAGGCGCGACATGGGTACATAGGATTGATGGTGGTCGTACATGTGCAGATGGACTAATCAGGTGGATCCTGGTTCAAATAGGTAGGATGGCAACCGCATGACCCGTTTAGAGACTACATGTCGAAGGTCTTCCATCCCTTGTAAGAACCATCCACGGCAACGTACCGGTCTGAAGTATGACGGAAGTAGTAGAGTCCCGACCACTCGCAGTAATAAGCTGTATAGCCGGATTCACCGTCGGTGGTCGACTCGACGACTGCGATACGAGTATTCGACCCGATCTCGAGCACTTTCCCCTGACCAAAAGATGTAGACCCTTGACCTTGTTGCTTGGAGTCCAGTTCTTCATGCTTTGCTATGAGATTGTCATAAGTCGCTTCAACAAATGAGTCCTTGTCATGGAAGCGGGTTGCGTTACTTTCTGCGGTCCGGGCCTGTCGGCAAAGTTCGGTTGATGCGGTGAAACTGGGGTCGGAACGATCGTCGGGCGTGAAGAAGCGGCTAGTGATGGATGAACTCATTGGTGATCCTTTCCTGCTGATCGTCTCCTGTTGGCGGTGGAAGTGCGCAGATGAGGTTGTTGCAAGCGATCTTTCTCTCAGCATAAGCCAAGGGCAGAAGAGCTCATCATTAACCGAAAGTGTGAGTGATACTTATAGCCTGACCTTCACACCAACCGAGAGTCAGCACGACATGAGGCTGTGCTATCTTCCTTTGTGATCAAATCAAGCCTCAGTGGTAGATGTCACGTCATACAACGCTGGCACGCCACAGCGGCCAACGCATCACGGCAAACGGCGGGTCGCTATGATATCGCCGTGAAGAAGCTACTATCGTCGTACCGCAGACCGTCTATGAGACGGAGGAGGGAGGGCCTGCGGAGCCCGATCATCTGATGAGAGGACATAAGCAAATGACTCACGTGTACAGGTTCTGCATGGGAGTTGACCTATGCTGCCTGGTCACTGCAGCCAGAGGAACGGGCAAAGAAGGACTGGTCGACGGAAGGTGCCGATCTACAAAGCTTTTTGTTTTGCATTAACGGCTTTCAGGCAATATATGGTACGTATCTCAGGCCAAGAACGTAGTGATCAGCTTCAGGGAGTAAATGATAAGGAACCAACAGTTTGATCTGGCCGATCAGGCGGTACGATTCTGGGTCGCGTTTATTCGCCTGAACGTGGCAGCATTGCTGTCGATTCAAGTCCGACCTCTGGTAAATCGCCTAACAGAATATCAGAACTCATGTAAAAGGTACTAGCTACCCATACGATTATTGACAGGAAGAAATGCTGAAATAACGTCGGAGTCGTGGCTGAAAACTCTGGGTATTACACAGCATTTTACTTGCGGTCGAGCCTCTCGTCCTGGGCAACGTCTTTCAGATTCACTTGCGTACTACGTTTCTTCCACAGCTTGCCGCCCTTGCAGAGAATGTCGCCTTGAGCGTTCCTGAAGAACCACTCGCGCTGTTCGGTTACAAAAGCTGTTCCGCCCTGTCCGTCTTGACGTACTCCTAGGACCTGGATAGATTCCTGTCCGTGATTAATCACGTAGGCTGCAGCCATTCTCTCCGCCGCATAACCTTGACAAGTCTTGAGCCACCCGTCATAGAATTTCTTCCGATTCTCGTATAACTCGATCCTCGCTAATTTTCTCGGGATTGCCTTGGCGGCTCGAGACCCGGCAGGGTATGAGAGTCCTTCCAGGATACTCTTTCTGCTCCTCTGCTTGGGATCAAGCATGTTTGCTTCGTTTACGACAGTGTCTTCAGCCGTGTCGAGGTCGTTGCTGAGATCGATATCGTTTGTTTCGGTGGCAAAGGATTCCCCGGTTTGACTGGCGGTGTCAGAGGGTGAGGACGTGGACGCGGGAAGGCTCCCGTGAGCTGTACCCATAGGTTGAGACAAGTCTAGCATTGATCGGCACCTCGAGGAATCCTTCCAGACGGATGATCTTTATGGCACCGGGAGGTTCAAAACGGAAACATATCTGAATGATTATACACGACGCAGTATCTTGTATGGGCCTTTTATATGAGTATATGTCAGCTCACCAACAAGAAGCAGAATCTCGCCCGTATCATGACCTCCTTTCACGGGTCAGTGGCTGTTATGATGAACGTGAAGGTATCGAGCTTCTCAGGTGGGACAGAGGTGATCTTGCTCAATACGTGACATTCGGCTCGATGCCTACGGAACCACGATTCGTGCCTTCTCTAGGATACCGATCAGTCAGTTCTGTCAAGATATGCGTGCCAGGCCGTTGGAACTATCCAGCAAGCAGGATCTGGTTCCGAGGAAGTTGCAGTATGCTCTTTCTGACCTGAAGATGCTAAGTCGGTTGCCCTTAAGATTGCCCGATGCAAGATTGCGCTACGAGGAGATCCTCGTCAGCATGCTTGCCGACTGGTAAGAGGTAGAGCCTATTTTGATCACCTGTACTACATCGCTTACGGCTCTGACGGCCTTACATACAGGTGATTTGTGACACAAGAAGTAAAGATCGAGCAGGTGGCAGGGGCACATCAGTGTCTATCTACTTGGCATCGGGGCAGATCGAGACAGTTGCGCCATAGCGACACCATCGAGTTGTGTACGTCTTCATTCTATTTACCTCTCACGGTCAATTCATAGCGCTCGACCGACCGGTCGAACGTGACCGTCATAGTCGCAGATCACGTCATCTCACCACGATCTTTGCGATCAGTACAGTAGTGCCAAAGGCAGAAAAAGGACTGGGTGATATCACACCTCGCCGATCGAAAATGCGGTTCGGCGGAGACGGGGCATCGGTATCAAGCCATGTAGACATGGTCAGCCGCAAAGAATGACTCAGAACCCATGCGCCAACGCGTTCTTCCTTTGAGGGACTCTTGAGACGCGACAGATGCCTGGTCAGACAGTCTATAACGATCATAGAGACAGGATGAGCGATCAGCCAGGGCGTCTGATACGCCCTTGTTGGGAAGGGACAGGTCAGAGTGATTGTTGGTATACCAAGCCGCTTTCTTCGGACCGCACGCGGAACACTCGTGCTGCTGTACTTGCGATAAGCGCGATAATATAATGTTAATATGTTCCAAGGAGTAATTGCGTTTCAAACCACGCGCGCGACCGCCCACGGTCTTTCCACTACGAGTCCATGCTTCAACCATTGCGATCGCCTGAAGAACTGTCCGCAAGAAGTATATGACCATGAAAGAGGAGGGCTAAAGTGCTACATCACCCATCTAGACATACGCCAGCTGATATCTGCTATGAGAGCCCGATCGGTTACGGGCCCAATCAGCTGGACAACTGGTTCATCAGTCCTCAAGAGGCTCGGCATTGATAAAGGGCGTTGGCCAAAGAATCGCCTCGTGTATCCTAGCCCTGACCGGCTGACCGATCTCCCAGCGTCTCAGTCCGCCGTCGAGCACGATATCGCCCTGAGAAAGGTGGACACGCAGGGCGAGATCAGGGACATACAACGAAGTGGACCGCCGTTTTCTGATGGCAGAGTAATCCGTCACGGCAGTGACGATACCGGTGACGTCGTGCAGGTTGACTCCGTTGGCCATACTACCACCCTGATCCAGAGCGCGCTTCACCGCCAGCGCCTTCCAGAAAGCTCGAGACGCCAGGTCTAACCGCCTGATCCGCCTATCCGCCTTGTTGGTATATACACACAGCCTTTCCATGTGCGCCTCGTCAAAGAGGGGCTTGCCAGCTGACGGAACCAAAGCCTGCTTAATCTGCCAGTGACCAATCATGTCGGAAAAGCGACGCAAGGGCGAAGTGACACGCGAGTAACCGCCATGTTGCGCGGAGATGCCAAGAATCCAATGATCAATCGGCCTGGGACTGGGTGGTGCGCCTCGTACAAACATGCCAAGCCTGGCTACGTCTAGCTGGGATGTCGCAAGGGTAACAGGGTCCCTCTTCTTCAACAAGTCTTGAATGGCCATCTCCGAAGTCCAGCCCTCGGGCAATCCCCTTTGAGGGATATACGGCACATTGCTTCCTCTGTACGGCAACGCAAGGTCTCGCTCGCTAGCAAATTTCCCCGCCACCTGACCCGCAAGAATCATGCATTCCGAGACCAAGATCCGTGAAGGAGCATGTGGATGGTCAGGCATTTGCCATTCGACGTTGGTAGTCTCGCCAGAGCGTGCGACCGCAACCTCGGCTTCGCTAACAAACCATTCCAGGCCCGAATGAGCGAGCCGTCGTCGTCGAACGGTCTGTGCCAGCGAATGCAGGTCACGTAGATCCTGCGAGCATGCGTCGTCAAGGCCATGCGCTTGACTACCTCCTTGCAAGACGTCGTCAACGGAGCTGTATGTGATCGTCTTAACATTCTGGACCATCCCCGCTCTGATCTGGTAGTCCAACAGTTCCCCATTTCCGGTGACTTTGGCGGAGAAGGTGAGAACGACTTGAGGTGCACGCTGGTCCCGCTTAGCTCCCAAACTCATGGCGGACATGACGAGCTCATTGGGCATCATCGGCCTCGCCCCGTCCCCTGCGGCATAGAAAGTCGACCCGTGACGCATTGCTCGCGAAGTGATATCGTCTTCTGGGGCGAGCCAACGTGTAGGATCCGCTATATGAACATGAATCCATCTGTCCGACGATCCCGGAATACGTTCTAACGAGATCCCGTCATCCAGTTCTTTGGCATCGGCGGAATCGATAACGTAGACGGGCAAAGACCCAAAATCATGTCGTAGCGACTCATGGGTATCCGGCAAGTTAAGCTGTGCCTCCAGACTATCCGTTGACGACGTATGAACCGGTGCGGTGTAGGATCCGGACGGTCTCAGCCGCAAGTCCCCTTCTTTGTCCTCCAGGTCCCTCAATTTGAAGGCTGTAATATTCCCCGAGTTTCCAATCTCGCCCATTTCCCACAGGAACCGCATCAGGGTCCCCATGTCCAGCAAATCAACCTTGTAGAGATTTGTGGCACCCAATATGGCAGGTACAAACGACCAGTAGGGCGACCTTTGAATGGTTCGCTGTTCCAGTATCCGTTGCTTGAATAATCTCAATAGCCGCTTGCTGCTCTGCGAAAGGGTGGGGTCAGGCTGAGGATCCTGATTATCTGATTCTCTCCGGACCAGGACAATCTCTCTGCATTTCTCGATGAATTCCCGCACTTCAGCTGCAGCATCACTGTCTGGCGCTGTCTCCCAAGCCTGAAACGCCTTCTTTCCCGCCTCGAGATCGTCCACCATCCATCCTGGTCTGGCAGCAAATTTGCCCGAGATCTTCATATCGCTCTCGTCCGCTTGAAACAAGTCCGGCCGGGACATCAAGATCGTATGTAAAGCGAACCTCGCCATCTCGTCCTGGCTCCCTCCGAACCGTTTAGTCAGGACATCTTCGCATGTCAAAGCCGGCCAGATATTTCGGTCAGCCAGGTGAGCGTTCTCAGCATGCGCTTCCTCCCAAAGCGATTCCGGCTGAAAACAACCGGAACGATCCCGTAATAATCGCCCAGTTTGACGTTCAGCGGCAATCTGTATTTTCCGCAATTTTCGGCTGAGGATACGACGGGCTTCACTCCGCTTTGCCATCACGAGCCGGATCTCTTCTTTCTCAGAGGCATCCGTCGTTTCTATCGGGAACATAGCGTCGAGGGAAAAGGCCCTTTCGACGACATCCAGAGGAACCTGCATGTCGATCTCGTCCGGACCCACGGTCTCCCTCTCTTTGCCCTTCTTGGAGACCGGTTTGGATGAGTTGGGGCGAAAGACGAATTGGACGTCTTCTTCGGAACAGGGCACGACTTGGCCAGAAGAGTCCATGATCATGAATCGAATACGGTTTGCAGCGATGGCAGTGGCCAAGACGATACCGATGAACGACGTCTGTGATCTGTTGGTGAGAAGCGCACAGGTCAGAGACTTGGTCGAGTCTGCAATACAAAGTACTAGTGGCCCTACCGTCTGCATTCAACGATGACCCCTCGTCGAACTTTCGACCGGTCGAGAATACTCATAGTCGGCTCTTCCTTCTCGTCGGGAACGACTTCGAACGAGTCGATATGCTCGGCATCTGGTCCAGAGACAAAAGCTCTAGCCTCTTCCGAGTACGATGTTGCCGCCATAGTCCATGCTATAGGAGTCCGATTTGACCTGTCCGTCGAAGGAACAATGTTTGCCCCGGTCGTTCGCCTCGCCGACTTTTCTTGCCTCGCAACTGAAGACGTAGAGATGAACGTCCGAACGGCATGCCTCCTTGGCGACACGCCCGACTTTGCCACATCGGTCAGCAGCCGTAACGATCGATGAGCAGAGGCCTTCATGCTGTGGCTGATGAGATCAATGAGAGGAAGGCAGAAGCTGCAGATAGAGAGTGGTTGATCAGGGAACCGGTCTCGAGTTGAACTCTAAAGATTCGATCGATGAGGTCCTCGAGTGAGTGAGCCTGACATGTAATCACGTGACACCTCCATCTCGGTGACAGTGAGTACCCTCGATGTCTGATGTGAGGTAATTGATCATCATGACCATCTTTAGTATACAGCTACTCGGTCTGGCCTCATCTTCACATCTTTACAGCATCCCAAGTACCTCATCACAAACACTCCAAGATGTCCGGATTCCTCGTATTCATCATGGCTATCGTCGCCCTCGGAGCTGGTCTACTCGGATGGAATCTCACGCCAAAGGGGATGAACCAGACGTAAGTCGATCGATGACGACCTCATAACCTCAAGCTCGGATGGTGCAGGTGTGACGGCTTGTCTTACATCAAGCTGATTATGGACGTACCTGGTTCTTCACCAACAGTATGATCCGATCGAGCATCCTCCTCACCTTGACTTGTTGCTACCTGATGTGGGCGATCACGTACATGGCACAATTGCACCCTTTGATGGGTAAGCCTCGATCTCCATCACGTATCTGCTTCTTTCATCATTGCGTCTTACAATTCGGTATCATCACATCTCTATAGCCCCAAGACGGTCAGATATCCGATCGGGCAGGGAAGCCATGTGAAACAACGGAACCCTACTCCTAGATCTCGGCAAATCTCGCCATTTCTCGCCTCTTTCTCTCTTCACCATACCCTTCTAACATCGCACTATCCGGTCTTCAATCTTTCTCGGGGCCACACGTCTCTCCCGCAAATCCGACGTATCTGTGTTCATGACGGGTGATATGGCAAGGACCGGTCAACATCACGCAGCTTTCAAGGCGGGCTAAAGTGGCAGACGAGGGTCAAGCGTTATGATGAATTTGACACGGTCAAACTGTATAGTCTCACTTGTTCTGTTCTCCTGAGTGTTTTGTAACGTTGATGGTATACATTAGACTGTTAGCCCGGCCAAGTCCAGTCGACCTCTTGTTTCTTTCAGAGGCTTCCTACATACGAGAGGGCTTGATGGACAAGGCGACCCGGGCTCGAGGCCAGAGCTTCTTGACCTCAATTGGTCGATCGCCGATCCGATCAAGCTCAAGACCAGCCCTCTCAAAGTGTTGCCAAACGCCAGGACAGCATGCGACATAACATGAGATCTTCCCCATATACGGTCTTGACGTCTTGACATGGAATCGCCAGACCCGGTAGCTGCTGATCTCGTTCAAGGGGACTAGGATCGGGCTCATCCATGATTCATCGCCTTACGAGATGCCAAAATCTTGCTAACCGCTGGCGGAAGGGAATACATTAGACAGTTCCCACCGGGAGCTGAGATCCATGATTGGCCTGCTGTAGCTAGTATCGCTGTTGTTCGGAGTATAGTTGCGAAGGGCCTTGCAGTGATTTCGCTACGCGCACCATCGTCCTCGTTTGACATGAACTCACCAATAAACACCAAGATTCCCCACTCTGGAACGGCAAGCTGAGCCTGAATTGCGTTCATGCCCTCCGGCCAGACCGGAGGGTTATCCAGCCGGATCTTGTGCACCTGGAACTTCTCCTCTGACTGCTGCTGCTGCAGTCTGTAGAGCCATTTATTGACAGAGTCTCTCACTTGCGAGATTGCATGGAGCCCAATCGATCCCATTCAAGTGAACAGATGTGGACTTGACGAGATGTGTTTCGGCTCATGGTGCGGGTATCAATGCTATTCGGAAGGCATAATGAGGTGGAGTATAATATACATGGTGCGTGCCGCCTGCCAAACCGGTTCCTACGTAACACATCCTACTCGGTCGGGAGCGCAATGCCCAGCCTACAACTGTCCCGGTCCATCCCTGATCGCCTGATGAATGTCGACGACCTCTCTACTCTTCCTCTTCCTATCGCCTTCTTCGCGTTCGTGTTCGTCCGGCTCGAACCCCGACCCGGACTCGGTGAACGACTTGACCAAAGGCGAGACCCGGGGTGAAGCGTTGGACAGGTCGTATTCTTGGTCCCGCATACGGCCGGCCGAAGTGGAGGTAAGGAGGTCTTGGTAGAAGCTCTCCCGCTGGATCGAAGATGTAAGTAGAACGGTCAGTTCACACAAGGTTCGATTCGGTAGACGGGGCGCAGGCTTGCCTTCTTTGTATTGCGTTCGGCCGCCCGCTCAGTATCCAGCTCGGTAGATTGATCAGGCAGTTCTGCAAGACGATCTTGTCCATCAGACAAGATGTTTCAGAGTACAAGCTGATCCGTACCGACTCACTGTGTCCATGAGCCCTTTCGATCTGATCGAACAGCTTGTTCAACTCCTTTTCGTCCTTCAAGCTCATCTTCCTCCCCATCGCCGTCCCCTCTCCTCTGATCTTTCCCACACCGAAACCTACACCCGTTGAAGCCGACCTGGAACCTGAAGGTCTCAGTTCCGACCTCTGATCGTCAAATTGCGGGGTGGCAGCATAAGCCTGATCGACCGCCGTCGTCACCGCTTCGAGGTCCAGCCGACGCTTTTCGTCCGAAGCAGAGGCCGTCGCCGAAGCCGAAGCAGCCAGGGAGAGGTTCGATTTCGGCGTGGGCTTCTCCGTTCGGGGTTGGAATGTATCGGGCAGGGGTTCATAAGGAGGCAGGTCGAGGGAAGGTTTAGGATGATAGGGGATCGGATCGTCGTATTGGGGTGGAGCAGGGGCATGGTCTCGTGATCCGTCTCGTTCGGTCTGGATCAAGGTCGACGACACTGAAGGCTGGAACAATCCCAATGACAAGCCCGGATCAGCTAAGAAGTCGAAAAGATCACCAGTTGAAGGAAAGGATCCACCTGACATATACGTACCTCGTTCTGTATTGTGCCCTGACCACTTCCACTCTCACCTTCCTGAGCTCTCAACCTATCGACCTCGGCAACCGGAAAGACGCTAGGCGGTCTGGAGAGTTCTTGTCCGTCTTCTGTTGCATCTGATCGAGGAAGGATGACCTGGACGACGGGTTTCGTTGCTTCCATTGTAGTGGAGATGTCGTCGAAAGGGAGTTTGTTCGGCAAAGAGTCGTTGTTGGGTCAGAGGCGTGACCTTGACTTTTCCTGCAGGCTACTTGTATTTGAGGAACGATCGCCTGGTCCAGTCAGTACATCAATATATCTTATGCTATATGTTATGTATTTTGTTAAGGAGGGCGAGAAGTCGAGTGGTCGAGTGGTCTATCGAAGTGATGAGGATGAGGGGAAGGCTGCCTTCATCCTCGGCTACGGCTCTCTCTCTTGGATGGCGCGGGATAGTTTTGCTTCCGTGTCAGAGCGCCGATCAGTCCTTTCTGCCTTGTTCGATTTCTACCCACTCGTCACTCGTCGTTTTGGATGATCCGGGAATCAGTAAGGCCGGTAAAGAGCAACACGCAGAGCACCGAGGGGCACAGTCGTACACTCATTCTACCACAGGTGATAGAACTTTATTTATCGACGGGACATGACAAGTCAGGCCGGGTGGAGGGATCGCCAGTCGGATCCGTTGTGACGATCCGGACACAGGACAGGCGAGGCGAGGCCGGAAAGATGCAAAAGAGACAGGCCGTTCTTGGGAAGGCCTTGGAGCTCCGAAAGCCACTGAGTCACAGAGGTAAAGTCGTGGAATCGTGGACCCGATGATACTTTTGTACAAAAGACCATGTCCAGCCTAGGATCGAACAGTCCTGACAGAGACTTGCAATGCGGATCAGTCGACCCACTCACGTGACCCATCCCCCCTCCTTCCCCTTGGCGTCTCCTCGGTGACGATGGTGACGAATTTACGGTTTCCATCCGCCCGCCGGGACTCCGGCCGACGATGCGGCGGCGAGTTCGGGCAAGCTAGCGGTTGCTCCCGAAGCCCGAAGCTGCTGCGTCAGAGGATCACCCACAACACCCACCCATGGCCCATTCACTGCTTGCTGCTCGCTGCCCGCTGTCACCCATATATCCTCACAACCTCCCTGTCTCGATCTTTTAGTCGTTCTCAGTGCTCGATCAGTGATATTGCTCGACTCCGATCTTGATATATAGATCAAGTCAACGCAATACTACTTTGTCGTTACCGTTCATTCATCAGAGCTTAAGAGAGGTAAGCAGCTCCTCGTCTGGCCACGAGGTGTGACTGCGGGAGAAGCCCCTTCATTCTCACCTACTTGCTTGCATCACTTCAATAGACGACTCGTCATGGCCCTCAGACCCCAACACACGGGCGACTCGATTAGGTCCGAACGGTCCTTCCACTCGTCCCATGGCCATCAGACCCCGGTCTTGTCCCGAAAGAGCAGTATCGCGAATACCAAGATCAATACCGCTCAGATCGGGGTTCCTTTGCCCAAGGAAGCTGGGGATAGCGATGGATTCGGTGCTAGACCCAGGATGCACAAGAGGAGCTTGACCGGTGAGTATCCTGCCCGAGAATACGAGTGTCGCCGTGAACGCTTGTGGGTGCCTTTGGCTCGGAGATGTCCGAATTCTGAGCTGATCGTGACCTCGACGCGTCTCTTCCGTGACGATTCCCGGTGTTAGGTAACTACGATCCCTCTCAAGGTGCCGAACCCGAAACCAAGTGGCCCATCGGAGATGAGAAGGTGAGTTGAATAGATCTCCGGAGCTAAACTGTGCCGCAGCAACTGATTGATCCTTGTCTGGTGCGGTCGACAGACCTGGAAAGACGCGTTGAAGGCAGACGAGGAAAAGGACGTCAAGTCGATTGCGGCTCATGTCGTCCACCACGTCGTAAGCACGCCCGAGCCTTGGATCCTATCTTTTATGATTTATCGCCTGATTATTTCGCTCTCTCGCCCTTCACAGAGCACCACTTTGGCCCGTCAACCGTTCAACGCGAACGACAGCGTGGCCTACCAAGCCTGCGCCTTGGCGATCAGGGACGAGCTCATCCGACGATGGAACACTACCACCAGTTATCACACCAAGGTCGCGCCCAAACGAGCTTATTACTTTTCGCTCGAATACTTGATGGTAAGCCGGATCAGACTGTTTCTGACGGTTCTTGATGTTCATGTGCTTGACATTCTTCACAGGGAAGGACCCTGGACAATGCGGTCCTCAACCTGGACATGAAAGACATGGTCGCCGAGACCATGGGTAAGCTCGGTTTCAACTTTGAGGACCTCTTGGACGAAGAGAGGGACGCTGGACTCGGTAACGGAGGATTGGGCAGGTTGGCGGCTTGTTACCTCGATTCCGCAACGACCCTTGACCTGCCCGTTTGGGGTTATGGGTTGAGGTACGATTATGGCATTTTCAAGCAGTTGATCGATGAGAACGGTGAGTTGGGAGATCTTGCGGTGGGGTTGTTAGAGGCAGGAGAGCTGATTGAGGTCATACGGTGAACAGGTCGACAAGTTGAGGCACCCGACCCATGGCTAGCCGAACCCAACCCGTTCGAAATCCCCCGGAACGACGTAAGGGTTTCCTTCATGTTGATACTACTGCAAACTTTGCCGCTGATCCCGATTCAACATAATTTCAGATTCGCTACCCCGTCCGTTTCTTCGGACAAGTCGAGAAGCAAGGCGATAGATGTTACTGGTGGGGCGGACAAGAGGTTCAAGCTATGGCTTATGATGTGCCTATTCCCGGTAAGTCCAGATTCATCATCCTGCGCGTTTCAAGAAAACGACTGAATTGGTTTCCTGTTGACTTTACAGGATGGAAGACCAAGAATGGTACGATGTCTTGTCGACCGATGCTTATCTCGAGATTGACGCGCTAAACCTTGCTGTTGTCATGCAGTCAACAACATCCGTCTTTGGAGCGCAAAACCGATTACTGGTTTCGACTTGCAATCTTTCAACGCTGGAGATTACGAGCGCGCCGTAGCTGCTTCCCAGAGCGCCGAGACCATTACTCGAGTCCTTTACCCCAACGATAACACCACGGCCGGAAAGGAACTGCGTCTGAAGCAGCAGTATTTATGGTGTTGCGCCTCGTTGCAAGATATTTTGCGACGATACAAGAGTACGTTTCGCTGTGACTCCCACGGCGGATGACTGCTCATATCGCTTTTCGCCGTAATCGACAGAGCTCGATCTGCCTTGGTCTCAGCTTCCTACCATGATCAGCATCCAGTGCAACGACACTCATCCGATCATCGCCATCCCAGAGCTCCAGCGAGTTCTGGTGGATGAGGAACATCTGCCTTTCGACGAGGCCTGGGAGATCGTCAAGGCTTGTTTCTTCTATACGAATCACACTGTTCTCCCCGAAGCTTTGGAGACCTGGCCGGTACCCCTGATGGAGCACCTCCTGCCTAGGCACATGCAGATCATCTACGATATCAACTGGTCTTTCCTTCAAGCCGTGGCGAAGAAGTTCCCCGGCGACCAAGATCGTCTGGGGCGAATGTCCCTGATCGAGGAGAGTCAGCCTCGAAGGGTCCGTATGGGGTACCTCGCTGTCGTCGGAACCACGAAGGGTGAGTCGCTTAGATGGCCGCACGTGGCACTGCCTATCAAGTCTGACCTTTGAATTTTCTTGGCAGTCAACGGTGTTGCCGCCTTGCATTCCGGTCTGGTCCGCAGTGTTCTGTTCAAGGACTTTGTTGAGTTTTATGGACCCAGCAAGTTCACCAACGTCACCAATGGTATGCAGTCCTGATTAGTTTCCGAGCGTTCAAGCTGACGTCCATCGACATTGTAGGTATTACACCCAGGCGTTTCCTGCACCAAGCCAACCCAGAGCTATCCAGTCTGATCACTTCCTGCATCGGAACCGACGAGTGGCTCAAGGACTTGAGCTTGATCGGCAAATTTGAGCCTTTCGTTGAGAACCCTCAGGTCCGAAAATCGTTCCAGGCCATCAAGGAGAGCAACAAGTTGAGGCTGGCTGAGTTGGTCGAGAAGGAGTTGGGCATTGCCCTTGACCCGACCGCCTTGTTCACGGTCCAAGCCAAGCGTTTCCACGAGTACAAACGACAGACCCTAAACGTCTTTGGGTGCATCCACCGTTACTTGAAGATCAAAGCTATGACTCCTTCTGAGAGGAAGAAGGTTACCCCCCACGTCGCTTTCTTTGCCGGAAAGGCCGCCCCAGGCTACGCCATGGCCAAGCTCATGATCCAGTTGATCAACAACGTCGGACGCGTCGTCAACAACGACCGAGAGGTCGGAGACTTGTTCAAGGTCGTCATGCTTGCCGACTATTCGGTCTCCCTAGCCGAAGTCTTGATGCCCGCAGCTGACTTGAGCGTGCAGATCTCGACCGCTGGTGTGAGTCGCGGCCGGCGTTTCACTTTGCGCGTCTTGCTGAACATCTGTTTTGCCAGACCGAGGCCTCGGGCACAGGAAACATGAAGCTCAGCATCAATGGCGCCTTGATGTTGGGAACGTTAGTGATCGGAAGGCCGGGACCGTATTCGAACTATATGCTGATATTCAGTCGGTCTTTCTTCGTAGCGTCGACGGTGCCAATGGTAAGCCTCAATATACATAGTCTTATCCGGAACGGAGCTATCTATTAAACCCAACCTTTTGATCGTACCAGTCGAGATCGCAGAAGAGGTTGACGAAGAGCAGTGTTTCCTGTTTGGACACTTGACGCCTGATGTTGACCACGTCCGCTACCTCAACGAATACCAAGCTATGCCTTTACAGGAGCGCTGCGCCGAGTTAGCTAAGGTCAGAGTCTTCCCAATCGCGGTTCCTTACCATTTGCTGACTGTCATGTACATGAATACAGGTCTTCGACGCCATCAAGGGTGGCATGTTTGGAAACGGGAACGGCGACAACTACACTAGTTTGCTCTACACCGTCGAGCACGTTGATCACGTGAGTCGCTATCGCATCATCTCTTTCTTTCAATTATGGTACTTACGTATACGACAATAGTACTTGGTCGCGAATGATTTCGAGTCGTATCTCAGGGCCGAAGCTTTGGCTGACGATCTCTTTACGAACAATCACGAAGAATGGGTGAGGCGCGCCATGTTAACGACCGCGAGGATGGGCAAGTTCAGTAGTGACCGAGCCGTCGCGGAATATGCGGAAGAGGTGAGGGTTTCCGAACACATCCAGGTGCCAGGTGTCAATGATACTAGAAGCTGATATATCGCCCATAGCTTTGGAACATCGAACCCGCTCGCGTTCCCGAACACTGAGCCTCAAACGCGGCCGTCTACGACCTTTGGGCCACCAATATGTCGCTAGAACTGGGTCTGTACATTGGAGATGCTTTGAAAGTCGCCTATCTGAACGCATGATTGTATGATGATCTGATGATCTGATGATGGATTCCATGTCTGGTTTCATCTAATCGAGATCACGTGAGGTTGACGGAAGCACTTGAGCCACGCGGTAATGCTCGGTGATCCCGTAGAGGTCGAGCGACAATGCAAGTTAGATCAAGGACACCATATCCGCTAGGGATTGGTAAGGTCTTCTGCATATGTCGAGCCCAATCTCTGGCATCAATATACTCGGCCCTCACAATTTTGTGGACTGAATCCTACCTCACGGCCACCACCCAGGGCCGACACGCAAGGTCGATCGAGCGACCCCTTGTTCTCGATCTATCCAAATCAAAACAAAGCCCCTGTGACCTTGCAGGACATCGGGTCGCAAGATGGACGCTCGACCGAAATTACACTCGGCTCAGTCCAGCATGTCATCCATAGGAGGATCACAATGGACCAGACTGAGACCGTCCAGTCCGACTGTGAGAAAACGGGAGGTACCGTGACCATCCGTTGCCCGTGATCTGACGATTTCTGCCCGATCTGCAGCGATCAGAAACCACAACGGCATCACGGGCGGACTTTACAAATCCGCCACATCTCTTGATATCAAGGGCAGATTTAAGAAAGTCCATAGCCGCTCTTGAAGAGGTATGCTTTGCTGCAATGAGAGATGCCACGAAAGAAAAGCTGAGACCAAGATCTATATCCAGTTAACGCAGCAAGCGAAATCATTTCGCCAAGCGTTGCTGACCGTCTCCAGAGCGACATCTGCTCTTGCCTCGGCTCTAGAGGACTGTTCCCGAGTGAAAGGTTGTGACACCGCTTCAGATGGTCTCATGGCCTTGAGCGGCTTGAAACATATGATGGGAGCCCATCAGCAGCTAATGGTGAGCACTGAAGCGTCTGCAGAACCGGTACATCAAGAATCTCACCCCGAATTCCAACCTTCGGCCAGGGCGACACGTTCTATCGAGAGTTCGAGATACCTCTTTTGGAAAAGCTAGACGACTATCGAGCTGCAGTCACGGTAAATAGATTGCTCAGGATGACACTGTTTTATACCAGTTCTGAAAGCCATGTCATTCACCAGGAACGTCAAGTTCAGTATGAAAAGGCTTTGCAGGTCAAATCAGCTTTGATAAGGAAGACGGAACACGATAATATCAGACACGGGCGGAAGAAGAGACGAGGTTCGTACTCCCACTTCTTCCAGGTGTGGTAGTACGTCAGGCCAGCTAATTCCATACATGCTAGATCTTCAGCAATTTAGAGCCGCATTGGTAGCGTTGCAGCAGCAAGTCGATGATCTGGATGGTCTGAAAGGATCACATTACCAAGAAATATTGGAAGCGGAAGACGAAGTACGTATTATACCTCTCACACCGCATGGTCACTGGCTAAAAGATCTGCTGCAGTTGTGGAGCGGGGTCTTGGCTAAGACTGTCTTTGTAGCACGAGCGGAGATGGACGTGTACGACAAGATTGCATGTGCGTTTGGGATACTGTTCAACGGAAAGACAAGAGCTGAATCTGTTCCTCTTCTTAGCCAAATCCACGGACCCCTCGTTGGAGTCCTTGCTGAGCTCGATTCCCGATCCTTTCGAGTCTTGGGGTCCGCAGCGGGAAGAAGGGCAACTATTCAGCGTTTTATCTCCGTATGCATTCGATGACCGCATACGAATATGTTCTGCTATTGATCCCCTTTGTATTGTAGTCTCGGATTGATGAGCGGCATGAAGTCCCCTAAACCGAAGCTGTCCCGTAACACTTCGACGTTCCGGGAGCTTCGGGTGACAGAGGAGGACGAGGAAAACCTCGAAGACTCGATCATTGTTGATACACCTCGCGAGGGCATATCCACACCGGCAGACCACACCGATAGGCAGGAGGACGAGGAGGTTGTCAAGACGACTGAACCTCCGACCGAGTCGAATCATGCGGAAGTCGAGCCGTTCGTGCTTCCGAGCCCGGACCCGGTCGATCCATCATCGAACAACCAGGAAACGACAGCTGCTGTCTCGAAGGAGGACAAAATGACAGCGACTGAAGACGAGGCTGATCCCGAAGACGAGACTGGTAACGATTCTGGCGTGGCCAGCTCGGCGCCATCGGAGCGAGGCACTGCCCTAGGATTGTCCATGCCGTCTCTCATGCCTTGTGAGCGGCGCGAGTGGCGGGAACCGTGGCAACGTATCTTGTGGAAACAGCAAGAGGGATACGATGACGATTACGTACCGGATTCATTCCTTGCCGAGGAGCGCAAAAAGCTTGAGAGTGAGTCGGCTTGATCTAGTTGTTGCGCAGGGAACATGGCTGACTCGATGTTCATAGCCTCTGGACCTCAAGGGCCATCCGTCATGACCCTCTTGAAGCGAGAGGTTATTCCTCAAGCTACCTTTTTCTTCTTCGTCGCCTTTTTCGTGCTGGTATTCCGGGCCTTGCTGCTGGATCAGATCAAGGCCTCACATCTCAACAGCTTCAATCTCCTCGGCGTTCTAATTCTTGCCTCGGTCTCCAAGTGGAGACGGGCCAGCAAGACGATTCGGGATGGGTTCAAAAGCGATGTCGATGGACCGGACATGACCCTCTCGTGGCTCCTCCCACCCTTCGTTCTCTACATCTGCTCCCCGCTCCTGCTATCGCTCACCAAGGCGACGACGTCGGACTCGATCTGGCCTCTATCGGGAGGGCTCTTCTTGCTGGCAAGCGTCTTGGGAGGTTTCGGGTCCAACGTTGGTTTTGGCAAGCAAGATGGGAGAGCCGACGTTGCTCGTTCTGTGCGAGGCCGGAGCGCGCCTGTTAGGAGGAGCTCGGTAGGAGAATTGACACTGGTAGACAAATCGCAGAGGTACGTGGATGTCGATCTGTGTTCAGATCGAACTGCATGCTGATATATAACTTCCTCCGCCAGTCTTCAATCTTGCCTATCGTTGACAGCGGCGTTGAGCGCTTGCATTGTCATGGCCTCACGTCTAGATTCCGGACGAGAGGTATTCGCACTGCTGTCATTCGTGGGCTTGATGATCGTTACCATGATCAAAATCAGTCAGAGTGCATAGCGTGCGCCCCTGTATTTATCGTCTTCTTTGTTCAGATGCATATCAAGAGTTGTATGTTGTCCAGTGCTCGAACGTGACAAGAAGAGCACAGTATCGGAACCGAAGTAACACGGGCCTATCTTTGCACACCCGGTCCACAACGGTGATGATACCAATCATTTCTTCCAGAGGCTTCTTTGCATTGCAACCTTTGCGGGGTCCCTTGGTAGCAGCTTTAGATCATGAGCTCTTTGAAGCTTCTTTTCTGGCCTTTTCGAGATGAAGGAGGACCTTTTTAGAGGAAGGACGTGAACTGTGCCAGGTCTGCATGAGTGCTTTGCCCTCCTGAGTGTTCAACATCATCTGTTCGGGATATCAATTCGCAGCGCCACAGCACCGTCGGCAATGTCCGAACGAGTGGAGGTCGATCGATCGTGTGTTTCGCGATCGGACCGCAAAATCGAACGCCGACATGCACGACGATATGGAACTCTCCGAATGTAAATGAAGAGCTAAAGGGGGTGTGCGTTTGTCCTCTTGCAATGACCACGGACAAATCTGATACAACTTCCATGAGGTTCAATTTGATCTAATCTCGTATGAGTGTTCAGGACAACACGGCCGACCCCGAGGTCCAGTCAAAGGAGGCCACGGATTATCGCGTCTCGAAGACCAATCTGTACTTCTTGCCGATACCCAAACGGCTCCGATACCACCCCGATCGCCCGTTCCCATTCGGCCTGGCGCTCAACTTTCTCTTTGCGGCGGCTTCGACCGCGACGGTGGCCAACCTCTACTACGCTCAGCCGATATTGTCATACCTGTCAGAGACCTTCGATGTTGGGTATGATGAGATCTCGTTGGCACCGACGTTGACTCAGGCGGGTTATGCGGTCGGCATCCTCTTGATCAGTCCGCTCGGAGATCTCGTACGAAGGAGGAGTCTGGTCTTGCTCTTGATTGCAGGTACTGTGGCTCTCAGTGTCGGTGTGGCTACCAGTCAAACGTTATTACAATTCGAGATCATCAATTTCTTCTCGGCGTTGTTGACGGTAAGTACGAATCTAGTCAATATGTCTCAACTACATGTGAAGCTAATATGCTCTTGCGCACAAAGGTCACTCGTAAGAACAGAATTCAATATCCAGCTGTTCTGCTAGTTCCTTACCGCTGCATGAATCCTACAGCTCAGATCATGTTACCATTAACTGCTGATATGGCTCAACCCGAAAAACGCGCTCAAGCACTCGCCATCACGCTTAGCGGCTTGACGTTGGGTGTCTTGGTGGCGAGGGTCCTGAGCGGGACCATCACAAATTATTCGAGCTGGAGGAACGTATACTGGATGGCTGTGGGTCTGCAAGCAGGTGAGTCAGTCGCAGAGTTGAGCCTGTTCGGTGTAGGCTTCACGACCAATACTTCGCTGTGTTTTAGTCACCTGGGTCGCAATGTATTTTGCGTTGCCAGATTTTCCGCCGAAAACTCGAGGCATATCTTACTTCCAAATGGTGAGATGGGATGCAAATGCTACTATGCTTCCAATCAGCTAATAGTGCGAAGCAAACAGCTTTGGAGCATGTTGACCTACATCTACAAGTTTCCCACTCTCGTTCAGTGCTCGTTGATCGGTTTCCTGACTGCCGGTAAGTCAACATTTGCCTATATACCTGATAGACGTAACTCTTTTGGCGCGATTCAGCTGATCACGTATTTTTGTAGCGGTCTTTCAAAGCTTTTGGAACACCTTGACTTTCCTGCTCTCCGACCCGCCCTACGGCTACGACCCACTCCAGATCGGTCTTTTCGGACTGATCGGGATCCTTGCCGTGTGCTTGGCACCGTTTACCGGTAGGCTCATCGATAAGCTGGTCACCTGGGTAGGGGTATTGCTAGGACTAAGTATCCAGGTAAGCTTGTTCCGAGGAAGAAGTAGAAGAGTGTGCTTACGCCGATCCGTTTGTTATAGCTCTGTTCGATGGCGATCGCCACGGGGGCAGCGAAACGGTCTGTCGGAGCTGTAGCGGTAGTCTGTTTCGGTAAGTTCATACGCTATGTTGGAGCCATTCCATGTCTGATCATATACGACAACACCAGGTCTGGACATTGGTCTGCAGATAGGTCAAGTCAGCCTCAGTACCAGGATCTATGCGTAAGCTCGTCCTTTTTTGTCCGCTTCGTAAAGCTGATGCTAATCTGATTTATGGATCAAAAGTTTGAAACCAGAAGCCAGGGCCCGCTTGAACTCGGTCTTCATCATCTCGCTCTTCCTTGGCCAGACTATGGGTACGTCAGTCGGAGCGAAACTTTATACCATAGGAGGCTGGACAGCAAGCTCGGGACTCTCAATGGGGTTCTTGGGTTTCGCTCTGTTGGTTCACTTTGCGAGGGGTCCACACGCAACTACAAGGTGGCTAGGATGGCAAGGAGGTAGCAAGCTGAGAAAGCAACAGGTCGTCCACCAGGAGGAGGAGGCGAGACAGGACCAAGGAGGAGACGTAAAATCGCCGGGCAAGGAAGATGTCGTTATGGTAGAGCTAGGCCAAAATGATCTGGCAGACCGCAAACAAAGTCGGCTGTCTTCAGATCGGCCGGTCTAGGAACAAAGGCAGATGAAGAGCAGCACTCGGCAAGATGCATTGTAGCAGGTGATCACATAGTTGTATCGGTTCATTGCTGTATTGCGGTTTCATTTACAAGTTTCGTTGCGATTATCTTCCAGTCCTCTCCATCCAGACTCTCATTCCTTCTTCTCAACGGGCTTGCCGGGAAGCTTGGTCTCCTTGTCTGCGACGGTCTCGCCAGGCTTCCTGTCCGATGGGTTGTCGCTCTCCAAGGTCTTGGCTCCAGACTCCGATCCGAGGGCATTTTTCACCTCCGGGTCAACCTCTATGGAGCGAAAGGAAGGCGTGTCAACGAGAGATGTTGGCGTGTTGCGTTCGGTGAGGGTTTCAGGCCCCCGATTTACGCAGAAAGATATAGATCCTCACAGGCGAGCATGTTTAATTAGTCCGAACTGGACTTACCCTCGCTGTGGGACGCCTTCTTTCCACCGGGTTGCTTCTCCGCAATACTGTCGCTCTTTGCACCCGAAGACTGCTTGGTAGAGGAGACCTCGGGGTCGGTGCTACCGCTCTGCTTGCCCTGGGCGCCCTTGGAAGGGTTGGGCGAAGAGGCCGGGGTCTTGGTTCCCGAGTTGGACGCTCCCTCGGTAGGATCGTCACCGTATCCAGCGGCGGAGAATCGAGCATGGGTGACGCTGATGTATCGAACGTTGGAGGGGGCCGGCCGGGCGACGCGAGTGACCTGTCGCGAGGCGGTGGTGATGGATCGGAAGAATTGAGACATGGTTTTGGTGTATATAATGTGAGGTGCGTATGTATGAAGCTTTCAAGTGTGATACTGTGAGAATGAGATGGCGATCGATATCAGCGTTACTTCTTATATTTGGCAATGGGGATGGGGGGTTGGCTTCGATCGACGGGGCGGTTCGGTCGAGCAAGAGAGCGGAAGCAACCGTGACGTCATCATCCGAAACCCCATCGTCATGCACCCATTGACCGTGAGCTATGATAGCGATAGCCATCTGACTAGATGCTAGTTGAAAACTTGGGTTTCCCCACAACGACTTCGTATAGCAAGAGACCTGTGCTGCACGCAGTCATCTTGCCAAAATTCGTATACAACCTTGAAGCGCTCGTGATGCCTCCTCGTCACATCATACAACATCAGCCCGATGAGGCTCTCATTTGGCGAGAACCCATCGTTTAACAATCTCATTACTTCCCATTTGCTCGTGTAGTAGTACCGTCCTGAGCCAGTATTGCAAACCAGCTTGTCTATCCTTGAGAAACTTTGATTCGAATTTCGCTATACGAGCATCACATCGCATGATCAGCCTCGTCTACAAAACGCCGAGCAGAGCACGACAGGGGACTGTCTAGCTTACACAGATTGTTCTTGGGCGGAAGTTTCGGCAGCGTCCCGCCGTACCGTAATTTGGGGTATGCCCATTTCAGAGCATCCCTCAATTCTACGAAATCGTTGTATCGCCTCATCCTGGTCACCTTGGTCCCCTGTCGAAGATAGATTTCGCATTCGTACACTAATCCATAGTGGCCTATAGCTGAGCATTCGGGTCGTCGTATCAAGCGAGCATGCTCGAAGACTTACCGACAAAGGCGCCGATCTTGCCCCGTTCCACTTCGACATAATTCCGTGCATCGCTTGTGGACGGCGTGTTCGACCTCGACCCCGGCCTATCTTTCTGGACTTTGGTTTCCCCTCCTACGATCTTCCACCCGATGATCTGTACGTCCCGAGCAAACGGTTCGCCTGCTTGGGTCGCGTTTAAGCTGGTTTGATGGCGAGTCAAGGCGGGTCGTTCTGTTGTTTCAGGGCTTGGGGAGTTGATTCGGGGGGATGATCGCGTTCGGTCAAGGTCAAGCCGTTTGTTGATCAGGGTTGGCGCTCTGGGTGTCCGAGGCTCACTGGCACCACCGTCCTCAGACACGGTTCCAGGAGCAAGTGCTTGAGCCTTGAAAATCCGCTCAGATAGCTCATCCCCATTTAAAGCCGCCTGCCCCTCCTCGTCAGGTCGCTCAACGAGGTCTCGCCATTCGCCCCCACTCCGGTCCACGATCTTGATCCGTCTCTTCCCCTTGCTTCCTCTCATCTTACCCCCATCCGCTTTGCCCGGCATGGAAATCGAATTTGACCGAGATCTCGGAGAAGGTGGATCAGAGATGCTCAGCACGAAAGCGTTCGGATCGTCATCCTCCCCGTCGCCCTTTCCGGGTATCCCTGTCGCGGTGTTCGTGCACGAAGATTTCAACCCTCTTCTCCTGAGCGCCTCTTCATCAAACGAGCGGAATAGGGAACGCTCAGAGCTAGACGAAGGAACCCGTTCCAGCAAGGCGGGTACGAGCGAGTTGAGACTCGCTTCCAAGCTCGAGATCGCTTGGTCCTCGTTGTTTCTCTCGCGATCTGCGACGGCACTACGCCGACCGGGTGAAGAGGATCGGATACGCCTAATCCTTCCCGAACTTGTTGACCATGAAAGTGGGCTTCGACGTGAACGGGACGGTCCAGCTTCTGGTTGGGCTTTCGGGGTAAGCAGGGGGCCAGTCGCGAACTCGTATGTCGGCGGCGGTGATCGCGGCGTGGGGATCGTTCCGGCTGACGATGAGGCATCGCTGGACCCACTTGAGCCCGATCCTTCATCTTGATCAGTTTGAGGTAGGTTGAACGACGATTTGAGTAGCTCGTCCTCTACACCATGGCTTGCTATTGCTATCAGTGGGGAGTTGTTTCCATCGACATCTGGCTCGGGCACCGCCGCACCGACTTTCTCCTGTCCATCCTCGTCGTCCGATCCTTGATCGTCGCCAAGGCTATCCCCGCCGGTCGAATCGATCGAGATCTCGTCCAACTCTTTCCTCCTGCTCGAACCATGTCGATCCGTATCCGAGTCCTGCTGCTCTGCCTTGAGATTGAGGAGCGATGCAGAGAGGCTTCGCGAGTTGAGACCGAGGTGGGCTATGCTGCCGGGTGGAACGGAGAGACCAGCTAACCGGGAGGTCGCAGAGCGCTGCATGGCGGACAATCGAGGTGCGTACCAGCCGACGAGGCGTTGATGTACATACGGGGGGAAGATTACTGGGGGATGGTCGATGTGTCCAATCGAGAATGATACTGTCCAAGCAAGAGGATCACAAAGGTGTACCGCCGTATCGACTTCCAAGGTTCCGTGATGACGCTCGTCTCAACGGAACCAAATCACGCAAAACAGGAAGCAACAAACTCGAATGGCAAGGTCCCCGACGACGTGAACAGACGGGATATAATGTTCATGTGGAAAGGATATAGAGACGACAGAGTCAACGTCTTGCAACGTGCAGCGTGTGGGCGTGAGTTGTTTTCTATAAGGTGATAGTGGTGCATGGAGACCCCACTTCTCGGTTCGTACAAGGTCATCCGATCAATCAGATCCGGCGGTCATACCAAGGTCCATCGTTCGTTGCAGTCATCCACAGGCTCCGGTTCTCGCACACTCTTAGTTGTTGTGCGAAGTCCTCGACCAGTCGGTGATGGGCACCGATGAAGGGGTGATAAGCGATACGTCGCCGGAGTATTCGGGGTTGAACAGAACCTGAAGCGAAAAGTCGGTTCCCGAAGGCATGGTGATGGTCAAGACACGGACGCCCGGGTGAGAGGGGTTACCATCGTAGGTGTTGCCGTCCCACGAAGCCTCAGGAGGCGATGCTGGGTCGGTCGACAACTTGACGGGATCAGCCTCGGCGAAAGTGGCGGTGTTGGGGCTGAGGATCCTGGCAGCGAGCTTTTGTCCGCCGAGCTCCAGGTTGGCGACCATGTTGTTCTCGGCCAAAGAAATCGTAGCATTGGTTTGCATTCGCCACTGGACTTCGGCACCAGCACCGGTGACGTCGTCCTGGAGCAAGATCTGCTTTCGATCGTTGATGAATCGGATACCTCGTTGGAAGGTTCTGCAATGAGTTTAGAAGATCAAGTTAGCATCTGTCTCTGGAAAACAGTACAACAACCACAGGCCGACTCACCCCTCGCTGTAGGCACTGCTCATGTCGGTAGTGTAAAAGGCAGACGACCCGGCAGGGACCTCGTATCCGGGAGCGGCGCCCTGGGCCTCGCCGGTAGAGTCAAACTTGTGGGTAGGCGCAGCGGTCACGAGCTGGTTGGCACCATCACGCAACAAGGTGTTCTGTCCCTCGGTAGCCTTGGTGTAATAGGTCCACCTGGCCGAACCCTGAGTCTCGTTCGAAAAGTAGTCGGTCGAAAGGTACTGGCCCGACCCGTACTCTCCGGCCCATCGTTGACCGAGCGCGTCAATGACAAAGTCACCAACGTCGAGATCTCCATGGGTCTGATGACCGGTCAAGAGTCCGCTTCGCATGGCGATAAAAGTCCCGTCGGTCTCCGTCCAGCTCGACCTCATGGAAGCCCAAGCGTCACGCTCGTCCTCGAAGTTGCGGTCGAGAGGAAGGTTCGCCCACCAAGCGCCCTGATAAGACGGGTCGTACCAGAACATGCTCCAAGGCTCGGCAGCGTCAGGGTGATCCCTCTGGTACAAAGCGTACCTGGGCTCGCCGAATCGCTCGGCCCAGAGGAAGAGCGAGTTGGCGGTGGCGGAGAACTTGTTGGGACCGTTGTCACCCCAGTTGAACTTGTAAGTCATGCCCTGGTTGTACATGTGGAACAAGCTGGTCAAGTTCCACTGAGGGGCGGATTCGAGCAACCCTTGGTCATCGCCGTAAGCGGTCACAAAGGCAGAGATCATCTCGGCGGCACCGGTGGTTCCAAAGTACCAGTAGTCCGGGGTCTCGGCCCAGGTTCCGTCATCCCTAACAGCCAACATACAAGCGGCCTTGGCGTTGTCAGGAACGTATCCGAGAACGGCCTCGGCGGTACCCGTGGTGTCGTCTCCGAGAATGGCGAGCGAGGCCATGGTCAATCCGGCGTTACAGACACAGTTCCAGTTTCCGGCGATAGGGTCGCTTCCGCCTCGAGTCCACCATGTGTTGACAGTGTTGCCATCAGCAGTCCCGTTGAAGACGGCCTGACCAAAGCTGAGACCAAAGTCGATAATCCAACCTCGAATTTGAGTCTTTTGCTCGTCGGTCCAGACGGAGTGAAGCCAATCGTAAGCGATGCCGTAGGCAGAGGCAAACTCGGCGACGTCTGGCGGTCGGGCAAGATTCGTCAGCGTCTGCGTTGCGTCATCGCTACCCCTGTTCAGCATCTATGCTCACCCAAAAAGTGCTGAGGGTTCCACCTGGTGTTATCGGTTCCGAAGGGAATGTCCGGGTTGTCGCCCGCACACGTCCTCAGCTCCAGGAAAGTCCGGTCGACCCACGCGGTATCGTTCGTCATCTGATACGCATATCCATAGTTCTTGACTCTGACCTTCAACTCTCGGGCGATGTCCAACACTCCACTGCCCGTCAAACCTCCATCGAGGTTGTACTCCAAGAGGTCCGAGTTGCGGTTCGTCTGAGCGTTGGCCATGATGGTCTCGTTCCATTGGGTGAGATAAGGGTCCTGGGCGATCAGACCGGATCGGAGGGCTTGCCACTTGTAAGCGGGAGCCAAGAGTCGGGGGTGCGATCGGGGAGACGAGGTGCTAGGGGATTCAGTGTCGGTAGGCCATACAGCGGCAACGGCAGTAGGGGCAGCGTAGCCGGAAGTAGCGGTCTACGTAACGAGCAGAAAGATAGACATCAGTCTACCGCAAAGGACCAAGACGAGGGTCTGCGAACCCAGAACTCACAGCAGTAGGGTAGATGGGCAGCGAGTTGGCATCCGTCGAGATGGCCAAATAAGCGTTCCCATCAGCCGCCGTCTGTCCAGCGTTCCCAGTCCCGGCGTTTCCTCCCGAACTAGGATCGGCAGCGCCGTTGTTGTTCCCTCCTCCCTGGTTGGACCCGTTAGAGCTGGTGTTGTTGTCATCGTCCCCTCCCGCTCGGGATCCCAAGACGCCTCCGAGGACGGCACCGAGGATGATGATGATGGCGAGAATGACTCCTCCGATGATCCACTTTTTACGGTTGGACTTCTTCTTCTGAGGGGTGTAGGGGTTGGACGAGGCTACGGCGCCGGGTCCAGACATCGGGTCTACAAGAGCGAGCGCAGATAACGTCGTTAGCATCTGAACCAGCGCTGTCAAGGGCGAAGGGTGTTGTCAGGGCGAGACTCACATTGGCTCCCGTTGCCTACCGAGGCGTAGCTCCCGTTGTTCTGCCCGTATCCTCCATTGGGCTCGTCCCTGTATCCGCCCGTGTTGTGCTGCATGATGGACGAGACGAGGCGATGAGAAGCAAGGTTATGCCGATGTCGGTTGATATGTCAGTACGAATAGTAGTAGTGGAGAGCAAGAGCCGATGCGGCGGAGACGAGAAACGAGTGGCGAAGATGAGGTGAGGTGTAGCAGGGAAAGTAGTGAAGACGGATCGCGGGCGAGTTGGAATGCTTGATTGTAGGGTTCGCAAGGTCGAATCTCTTGAGCTTGAGCCAAGAGTCGGGTGACGGCTGATGGGTTCGAGGCGGAGCGAGGTGGTGTCGATCGATGGATGTTGCTGTGTTTGTTGTTGCTGTTGATCTGTTGATGAGGGGGAATTTTCACCCCTCTCGGCCGCCCTTCTGTGAGGGTTCGCTACCCCGCGATCGAATCTCCCTCCCCTTTGACTCCCCCCTCCCCGCTCACCCTTCCATCCTAATGATCATTTGATCGCGCTATGTTCCTCCTGCCTGTCTGCCTTCCTGCCTTTGGGTTTCAGACTCGATCCATCAAAAAGCACGGCCGCCCCGAGCACAGCCTCCATCGAGATCCACCTCGCTCGACGAAACACCGCCAGACTTGAAACGACCTGAAAAACGGGGGAGGAGAAAACTCACCAGGTCGTAATTCTCATCGTACCCATTCCGGGCCTCTGAAGCCTTGTTGTAGTAAGACATGCTATGTATATAAATTCGTCTTCGTGTTTCGTGATTGGTGTCCTTGCGATCTGTCGTGTTCTTGGCCTCCAGTCGCGAGGCGGTCGAATATGGGGTCTGGCCTTCTTCTCTCTGGTCGTAGAAAAAGAGAGACGGAAGGGGAAAGAAAGTAGAAGATGTAGTAGGGGCGGTGTCGCTGTACAATCAGTAGCTTAGTAGTGATCCAAATCCTATGAGACACAGTAGGTTGGGTAGGAAATGAGAGGCAAAGTCGCTCGTCGGCGTGTTACTTGTAAATAAAAGCTCGTTCCTCCTGGCTGGAGCTAAAGAAGGGGGGCGGCACGGAGGCAAGCGGAGGGCACAGGCAGGGGGGACAGCAGGCGGAACGCGTCCCTTGGCACGTAAAGTAGACGCAAAATCACAACGATCACAACACAAGGGTCACGTCCGCTGACGGAAGGGCATCGATTGATACCATACAAGATTGCACAGCTTTCTCGCTCTCGCAAATTTGAGAAACGGATGTGGTCTCATCGTTTACCGTCTTTTATCGAGGTCGACGTCTTCGCGTCTTGTCTTTGCTAATTGCTGTACGACCCATTTGTTTTGATTACGTCGGCACGATCCCGCGCCAGCACAGCCCGCTGCGCCATAAACCACAACGAAAAAAGACACGCACACTGCGGGCCCGAGAGAGACGGGTGATTAGCTTCCGATGTCGGTCACGCTCATCGGCTCAACGTTGATTCATCATGATCATCATCTTTTGCATCAAACGACACCCTGTCTATCGATATCATGTATCGTCCATGCATACACGAGGTGCCCAGCTGGCCATTCGCCTCTTCCTCCCCTGGCGCCGTCGTCAATCGCTCTCCAAAACAAGCCATCTATAACATGCAGAATCAACCCGCCCCCTCGCCGTTCTTGAATCCGGTGACATCGTATCCGATCGCATGCTTGCCTCACTGGAACAGACAGGATCAATTGGGAAGATTGCATGTTACTCATGAATCTCAAATCAGGGAACGTATGGGCCACCTGTTTTCCCAATACCAAAGAGCCTTCCCCTGGCGGTTTCCCGGATTCGGCTCGGAGAACGTCGTGATCGGGTCTACGAGCCGATACGCAGACGATACTCTCGGGACCTTCACCTCGAGCGAGATGTACCCCAACAACTCTACTCTCTGTGATCGCTGGGTCACTATTGGTCTCTTTCAGTACAAGAAGGTGCCCGCACCCAATACAACCTTTGCGCAAACACTCGAGGCCGTTGCAGAACGAGCGGCACCTATGATCCATTTGGACTATGAATCCAGTGAGCCTATCGGATCTCAAATCGTATATTCAATTGCGGAATGGCTCGAGTACAAGAAACTCTTGCCCCATGCTCCAATCTACGGGGTCTCTGTGGTTGGCTACTCGTTCAGGAGAATCATCGCTTTCTCCCCGGACGAGATTTACGTGGACATCCATCCTTCCTATCAGCAAGGCGCAATCGACCATACGAATCCGATCCACTGGAAAGATATGGAATTCGAGCGCCATCAGCTCTCATTCGACAGGCTGATGTATCTGATCTCCGCTACAGTCTATCGGATCGAGCACCTTGACGAGCTTGCCGCGATACAGGTGCCAGGACGAACCGCTCCCAACGCTCACCTCGCGCAGAGGCTGTTGATGCCCGTGCGATCAGGGGTCTTTCACTCGGAGATCTACGGCCACAGAGATTCTACCCTACGCCTCGGAACAGCCGAGACTGCGGCCTCGAAAATCAAGCGCAAAGATGAAGGCGGGAACGGGGAAATCACAAACGTCGAAGCGACGAGCAGCACTCGGCTTACAGCGTCGGACTCGACAGGATCGGTAGGGACTTCATCTACTTCCAGCGGCTCTCATGGCTCTCTCGCCGTGAACAACTCGTCGGTCTGGTCGATGACAAAGGAGCAACTCACGTTCGATTGGCCATCCACAGAGGAGCAACCTACGTTTGACGACGCGGAACTGAGCCAATACCAAAATCACCTGTTGACTATAGCTAAACCACTCGCTTCAATGTCCATTCAACATCAACTGCAGCTGTTCGACTTTGTGGGAGATCGTGCGCGAGCGCTCGAGATGGCGGCGGACTTTATCAAGTTCTAGATCTGGGATTTTGGCGGGATGAGGTTGTCGGATAACAAATACTGATAACAATCTTGATTAGACGGTGACCGGGAGAATGATATATGATGACGTTGGTGACGATTAAATCCAGAATTGTACATTACGTCAAGAGAGCACAATAATGAGTTATCTGGCTTGATAACCGTGTGACGACGATCTCTCTCGATCAGAATCGCAACTTGATGGTTTCAATTTGCACCGAAACCGCCTACGAGCTATGAGTTACCCAAGCTACACGTCACGCGCGCGTCTTCGTCCACGTTGATCGCTGCAGGACGGGGGTGAACGCAACTTGCAACTTGCCCTTTGATCACTTCGACACATTCTCAATACATACCATCACTTCCTCTCGTAGCACACCAGGATCACCGGACAAGTTCATCGACTTGGCCTAAGTAAGAGTGGACCTGCACACGATGGCGCTTCCCATCTACGTACCATTGCTGTACGTGAGCATCCTCGTCGGATCACTGCTCCTGTTCAGCAAGTGGCATAGGAAGAGCAAAGAAGGTGCGTTCCATCTTCCGGTTCACTATCATCTCGTCTTGACCTCAAAACGTACGGTCTACTGACAATGCAATCGATACTCGAAATTTTCCGATAGCCGCCATCCTTACGACCGAACCATGGTTCCCGGTCCATAGACCTAGAGACCTCTACATCTCCCTCCTCTCGCAACAACAGACTCAACCCATCGACGACCGGATCCTCATGGCCGCCCTCCTTCTCCGTGCCTCTGAAGACGTACGCAGGATCCATCGTCTTCGAGTCTCCAAACAAGCTCTGGCGGCGCTCATCCAGTCCGGAGGACTGAACGAGGACGTACAAGCCAGGTTCGCCGCGGCGGAAAAGGAGATGGAGGCCGAGGTAGTTGATGTGGTCAGCGAGGCCAATAGTTACAGGCAAGGATGGGGACAGTGGGTGTTTGCTAGTGCGAGCGAGATGGTCGGAAGGGACAAGATCAAGGATGTCTTGAGTGGGATCGACAAGGTCAGGATGGAGGAAGGTCAGTCCCAGGTTCACGTCTCGTTTGTTTCAGGAACACCTGAACGAGGGGATTCTCATTCTTCGCTTCCGTTGATCGGGTATAGAGCGCAAATTCAAGATTCTCGACCCAACTTTCCGATCGGCCATCGCGCCGATGCCCATCTCGAACAACGGTCAACCCCAGATCCAGACCCCTGCGAAACCTAGCACCATGACCATGCAGGCCGCCCCTTCCACCTCTACTCCTACTGTGATTTCGACAAACACCGCCGCAGCCAGTCCTGTCCAGACGTCCGGATCGACGGGTCAATCGACCCCGGTCAAGAACAGCGGTACGTCCACCCCGGCGACCGGAACTGGGACAGGAGAAGTCACGCCCGATCTCAAGATGGTCGACGAGAAATCCGGTGACAACGCGAACGAAGTCGTTTCGAGTCTATCGACGCCCGTAAAAGGATCGAGCGGCAGCGGCAAGGTGAGTTGATGTCGCTGGCTTGGGGTCCTGCCAGATGGACGATGACCGGAAATGCGATCGTCTTCGTGTTTGTGTCGAACAGAGCACACCGGCTTCGGGCAAGAAGAAGAGCAAGAAACGATAATCTAACTGTGACCTAGTCATAGAGCGAGATCTATATCATGATCAGGATTGCCGGGTTGTCGAATGATGGAGTGTTTGGGGTTGCAGACAAGGTCTTTGGTAATCGGTCGCGCGAGCGATCCATGAATTGTCGACCAGCATGAATACGCATGATACCCAGTATTGAGAAGCAGGCATACTCAGGCGAAATGCATCCTTGAGGCTGATGAAAGTCCAGTCAATCTTTCACGCCGTGATGAGACCTCGCCGTGATGAGACCTGGCCGTCATAGTAGTCTTGACCCAGCCGATGACAGGGAGATGAGAAATGATGATTTCCATATGAGGCAGCTAAATGATAGCACCCCTTAGCAACATATGCCCGCCCCGGAAAGACGGAGACGAGGCGGATTGATCGAGCTCTGCAACTTCTGGTCGATATACATAAATGGAGCGCGGCGGTGTGTTGACCGCCGAATTCGGAGAGCGAACAAAGAGGGACTGCAATCTGACCTTCAAAATAACGTAGATTGTGACCATATTTGTCAAGGACCAGAGAAAGACATTTTCGCGTGGATACATTGATGATAAAATCGTAGAGGGAAAAGGTAAGGTCGTGAAGGGAAAACGTGAAATCGTGACGTAACGTGATGGTTCGTATTATATCCTAAAACTTGTGGCGGGTCTTGCTGGTTCACAGGTCAAACTCCGCCATAAGCTTCTCAAGGTCGAGGTCGACTGCGCCCCGGAGTATTGCCTCCAGGTCAGCTTTGTTCTTGTCCGAAAGTCCGGGATAGTGTCGTTGAACCTGCGGACTAGTCTTGGCCTGACACGTCTCAACTTTGTGGTAGAGATGCATCTTCATCGGGTCGTCGGCATTAGCAACCTCGTCGAGCTCATGATGATTGAAGGTGGAGCTTTGTGGCTGTTCTGGTGTCAGGACGAGCGTCCCGTTGGACGAAGTCGAGGTAGAGGCGGTCATGGCGGGGGCATCATGATCGAAGACGTCTCCTTCCTCTGGCACGGTTACAGCCGTAGTCGGCGAATCAGCGAGTTCACCTCCCGCCGGCGGTTGATGCAGCTGGTGTTGGTGGTATCGTTGGTTTGGGTATTGGTGTTGGTGTTGGTTCTGATATTGATATTGTTGCTGTTGCTGTTGTTGTTGTTGTTGTTCTTGTTGTTGTTGTTGTTGTTGTTGTTGGTACTGCTGCTGCATCTGTCTCAGCAGTAGACGAAGATCTCTGTTGTTTTCCTCGTGGTCCCGACAGTAAAGATACACTTGCGCCACGGTACCGCCCAGCATCTCGAGCGAGAAGTCGGCGACTCGAGCGAAAGCACCTCCGAGTTCCATGTCAGCGAAGCTCGGCATTCCCTGAATCCCTCCGGCAGCTTCGCGTACCCATGATTGACCCATAGCTTGGAGAAAGGCGACAAGAGCGTACCCAGCAGCGCCGTCGATCGGTGTGGAATCAGGTCGCAATTCTTGCCCGAGATTCATAGGCTGCGCATCCGCTCCTGTCCCATACAGGATCAAGTCATAAAGTGACATGTCTCGAACGACTGAGGCGATTTGTCCATTGACGGGTCCGATATCAACGTAGAGGTCTCCGTCAACGATAAGGGCACGTCGAAAGAACCGGCCGAACGCTAGAAACCCGAAAGTGGACCCAAACATCTCGTTTCCGTACGCAAGATATTTGAGAGCTTGGCAAAGGGCGGCGATCATCCACATCCTGTTTTTGAATTCGAGGTTTTCTGGCAGGAACTGTTTGATCTCTCCGAGGAGCAAGACTATTCGGAGGAATCGACGATCTGGATACAACGCAGCGTCGCGACCACCGATAAGGGCATGGCAGAGGAAGTCTGCGTGGCGAGCGCTCCGCCTAATCTGGTCAAGTACCGCGTTTGTGTTGATTGCCCAAAGCGAGAGATCGTCGAGGTCAGAACGATTGTCGTCGCTCATTTGAGGTCCAACTTGATCTCTAGCCTCATCGAATTCGCGGTTGACATCCGCATAGTCGCGTGCATAGAGCTCGCTGAGACCGGGTGTAGCGAGCGAGTTGAAGGTTGGCGTAGTTGCAGCAACGGCAACCATACGTCCTTGGGGTAAGAAGCCGCCGATCAATCCACGCCAACCGTCGACGCAATACTGGTGGTCTTGTTGCCTTTGGAAAAAGTTGTATAAGGGGTCCGCGGATTCATACATGAGTTCGTTTGCTACGGTCTTGAACTCGGAAGGATAAGGTGTCCCTGCGAGAGGGTTGCTAGGGGCGAGTTGAGGATCAAAAACGACGTAGCCATCGGGAATGGGGGGACGAGGCATCGTCGGGACGGAGGGATACTGTCACATCCGCAAGTAGATCAGTCACGAGCAGTAAAGTGGGCTGAGGCACTGTGAGATATATGCTTACTGTCTATAGGGATAGATGACCTCCACAATGGGCAGGTCTGCCGGCAAGCTATATTTTCCTAGATGCCTAGCGAGTGGTCGACCGTTGATCGATACGACGGCGATGGGATTGCCGACGACGATACGGGAGCGAGGACGATGGTTGATTAGATGATGATCTTCCCAAATGACTGATCGCTCGGGTGACAGACTAGGTGTATGAATCGATAAAGCAGAAGTGACAATACGATGGATGATCTGGATGACAATGAATGTTGAATGATGTTGATGAGATGACGAAAGGAGGTTTACCATTGGGGGGCGGGTGAGGCCAAATTTATTCACCCAACTGATCTGCGCGCGCCGAATGATATAGTATATAGAAATATAAAAAGTACCTTGCTGTACTCATCCAGGCAAAGCATAAGCGCGCGTACATGCACAGCTTACCCACCCATGTCCACATGCAGCCGGGTCAGATACCCTCATAAATCTCACGGCTATTGTCAGAGGAGATCTCCATAGAAGAGATTATCTGGCCGTTCGACCGACCTTGCATGATTGTAGGGCGGCGAGGCCGCGATCGCAAGTCGGCTTGAGCCTAACTCCGGCGGCTCTCGGTGCACCATCGCTTGCACACCCACAAGTAGACCTCGACTTAGCATTCTAGTCTCGAAATGATATTAGATGATACATAGAAGCGATGCGTCATCAGGCAGCAGCCAGGCAAATTTCTCGGAATCGTATCAGAATATTCCTGAAAATCGCTCTTCATGCCTCTGCATCAGTGTCCTCGGATGCTACCGGACATAGCGGCGCCCGTTGTTACAACCTCCGTCTCTACAGATGCATTCATTCTGATAAAGTCATCGTAACCTTCATGCCGACCTTGATGATCGGTCGTTTGTCATCCATGTCGTTACCCTCATCACGCCACATCATATGCGTTCCAAACAATATCCTACCGCGATGATCTCGGCGACGCTTTGCAATCGTCAAAAAGGTCTCGGGTGCCTTTTCGCCGGTCTCTTGGTCGATCGAGACCATCTGACACCGACGACAAGCGCTAAGAGGGATGAATGTATGCGGCCCGATCTGAAACCGGTACACTGCGTCTTCCTGAAACGCGCCCTCGGCCGCAAATCTGACATTTGCGGTCGGGCGGCCGATGACAAAATTGCCTCTGAACGACGATGCCTTGGCGATGAGGCCCCTAGTGTCACCCTCAGCGATCCAGTCGGATACCTTGTCGACGCTGTGCTGGTTCAAGAGCAGGAAAGGGCTCTCGTTGGACAGCAACAGCGGCACCCGATCGGTCGTCGGACCGCCCAGCTTGGAATGTCTACCGGGTCCGGCCTGTCGAGCCAACGCGCACGGCAACGAGAGGAAGTCGGACAGCATTTCATCGATTGCGCGGTACTTGTCGGATCGTTTGGGATTGACCGTGTCTACGCAGACCTGCATGGACGTATCTGTGAACTCGTTTTCCCCGTCTTCATCGAGATCGACGCTCAACTCCCGATCTCCCGCACGGACCACTAGCAGTCGCCGGCGAACGTCAATACACGGCTTGACGAGCGCCATCCGAGGATATCTCTTCTGCGACAACCCCTTGCCCGTCCGCTTGTCCATCAAGATCCACTCGCGATCATATTCGAGTCCATGCGGGGTCAACCTCCACTCCTCGTCCGGTTCGATCGTCTGACCCGCACAAGATTTGATCGGATACACCCTGATCTCGTTCAACTCGTATCCCTCGATCGAGCTCGCTGCCGGACTTTCGAGCCCTTCAGGTCCATCGAACACCCAGAAGCGCTTGACAAACGTCAGGAACGTGTCCACGTCTTCCGGCGTATTATACACCCCCAAGCTGATCCTCAGGCTTGCCGCGACGACGGCAGCATTGGCACTCTCGTCACATCCCATTCCAGCTTCGTACTGCCGGACGATCTCGTCCTCTCGTCCTTCCAACAGGTGATTGACGATGAAACCCGGATTACAGTGCCTCCCGCTACGTATGTGGATGTTTTGTACGCAGGCGAGTCGGTCGACCTCGGTAGGGGGGACAAGCCGGCCGGAAGGATGGACGATGTTAAAGTTGATGATCGGACCTTGGTCATTTTCGCCGTCGTCGGCATCCCAGTCGCTGGTATCTATATCTGCTTCTGAAGCGTCCGCCGCGTTCTCGATCCATCTTCTTCCGATCCGACTGTTCATGTAAATCCTGACCACTTTCTCTCCGTTCGCATGCGTCATCCTCCCAAGCCCGCCTACTAGCCGTCTCGTCAACCATCTCACGTACCTTCCCCTCTCCCTCACATCCTCCCCGAACAGCTTCGCCCAACAAGCAGGCCCATGCGATATCCCCACGATGCCGTGAACGTTGATCGACCCATCCTCTAGACTCTCTACCAGGTCGCTTTTCGGGACTTTCCACCCAGGTGCATCCTGCGGAATCGTGCCTCGACCTATACCGGGTGTGATCGCCTGCAGAGTCCCCCCACCCCAAAACCTTTTGCCCTCCACCAAGACTCCCGCGCTGGAACGTTTGACGAGTAACCCCCCTAGGCCGGTCGGGTAGCCGTAGATCTTGTAAAAGCTAAAGGTGATGAAATCCGGGGCGTCTGCATAGGGTATCTGGGATAGATCGAGGGTTTGGGAGGGGGAGAGGTAGGAGGCTGCGTCGAGGAGGATGTATGTACGGGTGTCGTCTCGATCATCGGTATCATGGGCGTGTTGGTCACTATCATCATCGGGTTGACGAAATCGGGTGGACCGGCGGATGTGAGAACAGAGCTCGGGAGTGAAATACCGTCTTCCGGAAGCGTTGCATTGTGCTGGGAATCCGATCAGGCGGGACCTTGACCGTGGTCGTGCTCGCGATGATGTTGCAGATCTCCCGACGGTCCGTTCTCCTGTCAGAGTCGACGGTGGTCTTGTACTCGAGGTCGCTGATGATGGAGATCGTTCCTTTGTCTGAGCGGACCCTGACGATCCTGCCTTTGCCATCGACCCCGCCACCTCGTCCATTGAGAAGACCCCCACCTTGCCTCCGGCACCTCCAGCCAGATCCCTTACCCCGAGCAGACTCGTATGCGCCTCATCTGCCACCCAGAATTCCCGTTTCATAGCCGGATCGGAGCCCCCGGTATGGGGGCAGAAGAAGGACTCGCCGACCAGCTTCAAAGAGGCCGTACACCCGCTTGTAAAGACCAGGTCCCAACCCTCTCCTCCTGTACTTCCTCCGCCGTCCGAGACGAGATGAAACAAGCTCCTCTTGACTTGTTCCCTTATGTCCGCGATCTTCTTGGCCGTAAACTCTGCCGAGGCCGAGTGGGAATGTGGATTGGAGTAGAGGTTCGTGCATAGGTCTTGTACGTGCGCTTGCGGGAGAGAGGTTGGGTAGGGTGGAGAGGCGGCAGAATCCAGATATGTCAGGTCTAGGAGAATTTTTTCGTGAAATCAAGATCAAGGCAAGAGTCGTTCGAGTATATGAGGAGATGGCTCTTGTGCTTCAAATTCGATGTGGAATGGGACAAGGGGCTTACCTCGGAGCGTGGGGAAATCCGACTCCCTAGCACACCTGACTTGAGCTGCAAACTTTTCAGCGGGCGAGACGAGGAGTCGAGGCTCATCCTGCTCGTCTTGTATCGAAGCGGAATCCAAGGTCGAGCTCGTGGTCGATCTCGATCCCGAAGCGGCGGAACTCGAGTCGTATTCGGAGCTGACCGGGTTGAGAGGCGTCGAGGTCGAGGCATATCGAGCGGATGCGTGGGACAGGAACTTGTAGAGGATGTCCATCTCTGCTGATGAGACGATGATGCCTACAGTATTGTCGAGAACGCAACGTAGAGTAGATCGATGATGTGTAGAGATGCGAGATGTACAGTGTGAGACCGCCTCTCTCTCTCTTGTTCGTAGTGCTATCTCTCTCTCGGCAATCATGGGCGGCAGAAGTACCGGATGCAAATTTCACTCAGCCACGTGTAGAATCTCCGCCCTCCTGCTGCTCGCTGCTGTGCGTTGTGCCTGGAATGATCCGATCATATCGGGGCCACGTGCATGCGAGAGATATGATCGGATGCAAATAGATAGCTGTCTCTCTCTCTCTCTCGGAGATGAGCGACCTAACCGGAGGGAGGAGAGGTGCATGGCCCCCGTGTTGATCGGAGGAGAGGCGATTGGATGGGAATGAACGACATGATGATAGCGACCACTTCACATACCATCATCCTCCATCCTCCATCAGCTGATACAACAATCCATCCATCATCTTCATAACTTGTCGTGACTTGTTCGAAAGGGGACATCCCATAAAGGAACGTCGACCGAGAAGCAACCACGAGCAGGTGAACAACGACGAGGGCGGCGACTGTAATCTCGATCGACAAATTACACCATATATACCATCGCCATACCCCATACCATCACCGTTCGCCACAACTACACCTCTTCGCTGGTGATCATAGCATCTCAACGACATACCTGCAGCAAATCGCTCGTATCACTTTCACGAAACCCAGCCATGCCTTCCATGCCAGACACATCTACGGTGACGACCCACGGTCTCCCCCTCCCGGCCTCGTTCCGCTCATCGACACTCGTGTTCGCCCTCAACTCGACCAAGATCGTACTAGACAATCCTGACCCGGACTTGACCCTGTTGGAGTTTATCAGGGCGCAAGGGTTCACGGGGACCAAGTTGGGTTGCAACGAGGGTGAGTCGCGGCGTAACATGGCATGAGATTCTAGAAAGATTGAAGATCATCAGAGGCTGACCAAGACGCAATGTCTTGTGTACAATCTCCACAGGCGGTTGTGGAGCATGTACGGTCGTCATGGGAGAACTCGAACCCCTCACCCTCTCTCCCACCGCCGCTTCCTCTTCTTCCTCCCCAGCCTTACGGCCCCGGTACAAATCAGTCAACGCCTGTCTCCTCCCCCTGATAGCAGCACACGGCTCACATATCCTCACCATCGAAGGCTTGGGTACTTCTTCCAAACCTCACGCCCTACAGGAGCGGTTCGGCAAGGCCGGGTGGTTCCAGTGCAGTGCTTGTGCGAGTGGGATCATCATGGCCTTTTATGCGCAACTGAGGGGCGCGCTCGAGGAGCCTTTGGATCTCGGGTTCGAAAAGGCTAGCGACGATGGGATGAAGAAGCAGAGGGGTTTGACCGAGAAGGAAGTGGAAGAAGGGTTCGATGGAAACCTGTGTCGGTGTACCGGGTATCGGTGCCTGTTGGACGTCGCCAAGACGTTTGCGGTTGATTACAAGCCTCTACCGAACATCCTCATCGAGTCGTCAAATGAGGGTGTGGATGGTCGTGGTACGAACGGTACGAACGGGCACGCCAATGTTCACCTTGATGGTGATGACAACGACATCGACCCAGATGTACTCGCCAAGAAACCAGAGGACGACATAGTCCCGATCAAAGAGGCCACTGCGATCGGCGGTGGAAAAGGCACAGCGACGGGCGTCTTGGAAAAAGACCGTCAAACCGGCGCGCCAGTGCTCTGTGGGAAAGGATCGGACTGTTGCAAGAACAAACCGGGGTCCGGATGCAACGGGGACGACGATGGCGATGAGAAGAGCAAGCCAAAGACCATCCCAGGGATCCCAGTGTTCTCTTTCAAGCCCTATTCGCCCGATGCCGAGCCGATCTTCCCGCCTTGGTTGAAAAAGTATCAAGGATTCCGAGGCAAGGATCTGGTATTGGTGCAGAAACGACGAGAGCCTGTCGAGATCGCCGAGGAGCTCGACAACGAGGACGACAGCGGCGAGGGGCGGACGACGGTTTCGCCCTCTCCGCTGGGCAACGTCTGGCTCCGCCCAGGATCGCTCGCCTCGCTCATCGACGTCATGCGACGTTACCCTGGTGCCAAGATCCGGAGTGGGAACACCGAGACCGGAATCGAGGTCAGGTTCAAGGCGAGCCGATTCGCTGTCTCTGTCTACGTGTCGGACCACATCCGAGACTTGGCCACCATTCGCACGGGCCAGGAGGGGCTGCACATCGGCAGCGCATTGTCACTCAGCGACTTGGTCAAGGTCTGCAAGGGGTTGAAGGTGACCAATGATTTCAAGGAACAGAGGGGCAAGGTCATGGTCCTCGATTCGATCCTGGATAACCTGCAACATTTCGCCAGCAACCAGATTAGAAACGTCGCCTGTCTCGCCGGCAACATCACGACGGCTTCACCCATCTCGGATCTGAACCCCATCTGGGTGGCTACGGGCGCCACTCTCAAGTTTGTGGATGCTGAGGATGCCGACAGCGATGTACCCGAGGAAAAGAGTGTCAACATGCGAGACTTTTTCTTGGGCTATCGAAAGACCGCTCTGCCACGAGGTGCTGTTGTGACCAACCTGTTCGTTCCATTGCCCGACGAATCTGCAGATGGGAGCAAGAGGGTGTTCACCCGAGCCTACAAGCAGAGCAAGCGCAAGGACGACGATATCGCCATCGTTACCTGTTGTCTCCGCATCGAGATCGAGGACAAGACGATCACCGACGTCAGGCTCGTTTATGGTGGGATGGCGCCGACGACCGTCGAGAGCAAGGAAACGCAGGCTTGGTTGACGGGCAAGCAGGTCGGCAATGATGCCGCCTTCTATGGCGCGCTCGAGAGGCTGTCCGGGGTAGATTTCCCCTTGCAATACGGCGTACCAGGGGGGATGGCTGTTTACCGGAAGAGTCTCGCCATGGGATTCTTTGCCAAGTTTTGGGCGGAGGTGACGACCGAGCTCGGGGTGAAAATGGATTCCGGACGGATCGACTTGTCGGATCTGCTCGACAGCGAAATCCATCGTGGTCTCTGTACCGGCAAGCAAGACTTGGAAGACGTCGTCCTCGCCAAAAAGGCCGGACAGTCCATTCCTCACCTGGCACACCTCAAGCACGTCACGGGGGAAGCGCAGTATTGCGATGACATTCCGCGTCAACACAACGAACTCATCGGCGCCTTGGTCTTTTCGCAAAAACCTCACGCCAAGATCCTCTCGATCGATTCCGAGGTTGCGCTCGAGATGGACGGCGTACACGATTTCGTCACGGTCAAGGATCTCCCTGGATCCAACATCTGGAACCCGCCCGCCATGGACGAAGTCCTCTTTGCCGAAGAAGAGGTGTTCACCTGCGGTCAGGTCATTGGAGTCGTCCTCGCCGAGACCAAGAACCAGGCTCAAGCCGCAGCGCGAGCCATCAAAGTCGAGTACGAAGAGCTGCCTTACATCCTCACGATTGATGAGGCGATTGCGGCGGATAGCTTTTTCAAGCCACGACCCAAGTTGGAACGTGGGGATATCAGCAAGATCGACGAGGCGGACCACGTACTCGAGGGTTGGTGGCGAATGGGTGGACAGGAGCAATTTTACATCGAAACCAACGCGACCCTCGCCATCCCGCATCCCGAGGACGAGATGGAGGTGTTTAGCAGCACTCAGAATCCTTCCGAGACTCAAGTGTTTGTGGCATCAGGTAACTACTGTTCAGTTTGAGACATCTGACAGACATCGGAGCTGACTGGCCCTCTCATTGCAGCGCTTGGTATCCCTCAGAACCGTGTGACGACCCGTGTACGACGGCTCGGCGGCGGTTTCGGTGGCAAAGAGAGCCGATCGATCTGCCTCGCCGCTCAGATGGCAGTCGCGGCCAACAAGACCCGTCGTCCAGTTCGATGCATGCTCGATCGAGATGAAGACATGATCTCGACCGGTCAACGTCACCCATTCGCTGCCAAATATCGTGTCGGATTCAACAAGGACGGCACGCTCGTCGGTCTCGATGCCCAGATATATAACAATGGAGGCTGGAGTCAGGATCTGAGTCAGGCCGTACTCGAACGTGCCATGACGCATTCCGACAATTGTTATATGATTCCGAACATCCGGATCCAAGGCAAGATTTGCAAAACGAACACCATGTCTAACAGCGCTTTCCGAGGATTCGGTGGTCCGCAGGTGAGTCCTTAAATCCCGATGCGACTACAGCAGAACAAAGTCTGACTTTTGCCGCTCTACCGCAGGGAATGATGATGAACGAATGCATCATGACTCGAGTTGCTGAAAAGCTTGACATGCCCGTCGAGACGCTCCGTGAGAAGAACATGTACAAGGAGGGCGACAGGACACACTTTGGACAAGAGATTCTCGATTGGAACGTTCCAACGCTGTTCAAGCAGGTGCGAGAGTCGAGCGACTTCGACAAGCGCAAGGCTGCGGTCCAGGCTTTCAACGCCAAGCATAAATACAGGAAGCGCGGTATAAGTATACTGCCAACGAAGTTTGGGATCAGTTTCACAGCCATCTTCCTGAATCAAGCACACGCGCTCGTCAACATCTTCCAACACGATGGATCTGTCAGCTTGTGGCATGGTGAGTCAAGGTTGCCTTGACCCTGTTCTGCATAAGGGTGATTCTGATCTATTTTCCGGCTCCCTTAAGGTGGTGTCGAGATGTAAGTCAGACTTACAAGAGACGGATGCAATGGGCGAAACTGACCTTTCTTACACTGTATAGGGGCCAAGGACTCCACACGAAGATGGCGCAAGTCTGCGCTACTGAGCTCGGCTGCCCCATCGAAAAGATTCACATCATGGAAACCAACACAATGACCGTTGTTAATACATCTGCCACTGCGGCCAGTGCGGGATCGGATCTCAACGGCATGGCCATCAAGGACGCCTGTGAGCAGCTCAACGCGAGGCTTGCGCCATATCGAGAGAGGATGCCCAACGCGACATGGGCAGAAATGGCGCACGCAGCGTTCTTTGATCGAGTCAACCTGCAGGCGCACGGCCACTACCAGACGCCCGAGATTGGCTATTCATGGATCACTGGCGAGGGAAAGCCGTTCTTCTATTTCACTCAAGGGGCGGCCGTCTCAGAGGTAGAGGTAGATGTCCTAACAGGGGACCATATGATCGTCCGTAGTGACGTTCACATGGATATCGGGCGGAGCATCAACCCAAGCATTGATGTTGGGCAGATTGAAGGCGCGTTCACACAAGGTAAGCAAGAAGAGTCTGATCGTTATACTACGCTGTTAACTGATCGGTCCTATGCACGTAGGCTATGGATTGACCACCATGGAAGAGAGTCTCTGGCTCAACAATGGTCAACTCGCCACGCGTGGACCAGGTAAGTCGAGACTGTACCTCATAGGAGATCAGCGCAGCCAAAGCTGACTCGTTGTCCACCAGGTGCCTACAAGATCCCTGCCGCGCTCGATACGCCACGCGAGTTCAATATTTCCTTCCTGAAAGCAAAAGACGCCAAGACTGCTCATCTGCGGACCATCCAGAGCTCGAAAGGGGTAGGAGAGCCGCCTCTATTCCTGGGCAGTTCGGTTTTCTTCGCCATCAAGCATGCGCTCACATCGGCCCGAGCAGACAATGGAATCAAGGGGGACTGGACATTGGATTCTCCTGCCACCTGCGAGCGGATCCGAACTTCCACCGGGGACTCTCTGTTGGCCATGGCTGCGAAAGGATCTGAAAAGAAGGATGGGGACAAGTCGTTCTTTGTGTCGATTTCCTAGAGGAATCGCGCCGCTTTGTCGAATCGCCTGACCCGTTGTATCACCGCGAAAACAAAGGCAAGAGCCTCAAGTTGTATTGCATGACCTGCATCATTTACATATCACGGTGCGCCGGCTTTCAATCGCTATATATTCAGCGTTTTTACAGTCATGTCGTGCTCGAGTCGCACCGGTGGAGTGTTCAAGCAAAGCGCGAAGAGGAATCTGCCAGACAAACCTGATTGTGACGTTGTTTCAGAAAGGAACGTCATGTGTATGCAAATTGATCGTCAGATCGTCTGACAGCTATCCAAAGCAGGCGAATCAAAATCAGACGATTCTTCAGATTGGATCATCAGGTCAATGTGCTCGTCGCTTTGCTCTCTGGTTCGAGGATTCAAGCAATAGTTCTGCCTTGTTGAGCATGGTCATTGGGTTGAAGATTGCCGGATCTAAAGAATCTCGCTCCCTCCTGGGAGTCCCCTCGTCCTGAAGTTCCTAAATAAGAGGTGTTTGGAAGTTGCAATCAAAGTAGAGACTCGTTAAATCAAGAGGTCTAAAGAGTCGAAGTTCAAAGAGGGTTTTAAGTTCAAGCAGAGAAGGCTACTTTAGTGGCAAAGCTGGGGGGGACTCAAGCAGAGAGAGCTTCGTGGATGAAGGTCGGCATCGGAATAGTACTCTCAAGCTGGATCGAGACACACATATATAAATTATCCCTCCGTATTACCCTGCCCGCTTTTCATGTCATATGCAAAGGGCGCTTGGTCGCTCGCAGCCTTTACGGTCATCTTTTAAGGGGTATCATGGCCTTGTTGTGACATTCTCGTCACAAAAGCCAAACACGCTAGTATTCGATACAGCGTAACGCAAGCGTTGCATGTATTCTCACTCTGGGTGGACCTCTTCCTCAATTTGGACTCTTCGGGAATCGCAGTGCTCATTGTCCCATGCGGAACGACGACGACGACGACGCCGTCGGCGGTCCTTCTCCATCCTCTTCCACCTTTCTCGGGGTGGGAATCGCCAAATTGAAAGGCTTGCGAGGTACTGCGCTCGAGAACGCCTCCCGGTCGTCGTATCCGGAGTAATGATTCTGCAACGGCGGATGGCTCGACGACACAGGCATGAACGGCCGGGTAGACAAGGCTGGAGGCCGGTTGCTTGACCCGTCTAGCTGATCGTACAGGTTGTCAGCGTGCGGTGCGACTGGATTGTTGTTGTGGCTGTTGACCGGTGCGGCGAAACGCTTGAGGCTAAAGTTGGCCGGATCCGATGGTCCCATATATCCCCCTGGCGTGGTCGGCAAGATGCCTTCCGAGAGCATGCTCGGGAGACGTCCGAAGGACATCGGTGGAAGCCCTCCGTCGTCGCCACCGTACCGGATGCCGTCCTCAAACGCGACTCCACCGACCAGCCGCACGTCTTCGTCCGCGTCCACTGTTGACGTTGTCGTTGGCTCCGCATCCAGAGGTATCCCTGACCAGATAGAAGACCGTTTGAGGACCCTGCCTATCGGGGGCAACAAGACTTTGCCGTCCGCCCTCGATATCGAATGGGAAGGTTCTCCGCTCTCGTGCGTTGGTATCGGCTCGTCCCCTGTTCCATCCATATACCCGTCCATGTAATCCTCGGCACCGCCATCCTGTCGTCCCATAGCCGAGCCCGATGACCGTCTTGACTGCACCGGGTCAATGCGCATCACCGCCATCGCCGAACCAGGAACGTCCCCGCCAGCCTCAGCCAGTTTCGGCCTAGTCCTCGCTGGCGGCCGTCGATTCCCCTCGTTCCCTCCATTACCATCCGCTGCCTTGCGTTTCCGTCCTCCCCTTCCGGCTGCACCATCCTGCCTCAACTTGATCTTGAATCCTTGCGACGCGAAATGTCGCGTCAAGGCCGTGCTCTCTTTCATTCCCTTGAACTGTTTCGGCGAGAACACCTCGAACGGTTCCGAAACACACGCCGCTAATCCTCGTTCTTGCCCACTGTTCGAGAACGGTCACGTATGAGCAGTCTTGATCGTCGTCACGGGGGGACAGGTTGTAATCGCTCGCGCTCGCTCGGCTGACCTGATTGTTTCGAACAGTTCGAATCGAAGTCGAAATACTCCGGGGACTCTGACGCTCAACTTCCCAAACACGGCGAAAACGCCCATCTGGCCGTAGAGGTCTTGCAGCTGATCGAGACCCTGAGTCGTCTCCCCCGTCGTCGCATCTGCTCCCTGTGCTAGACGTCGTTCCTCGAAGTCGAACGGATCGGAATGGTCCGACGGCTTGTTACGTTGCACGGTGGGCGTCGCCGAGACGACGATGGCTCGTACCCTTACGGATGCGACTACCATTTCCCTATGCAAGGTGATCAGATGGCAGTTTGACTCCGAAACCTGAGAGTGTCAGGGAACTCACTCTATGCTCTGTCCTGATCGGGTCAGCTTGACGACGGGCGGTGGATCGACCGGCCGTCTGTCGACTGTGTAACGAGAGCATGAGCAAACCCGATATGACTGTACGATCTATACCCCAGCACGTACTCGTCTCGTTTTCCTCCTTGAAGGAACATAACCTCGCCCTCTCTGGCTGCTGTACCACGCTCAACTGCCATCCCTCCCGCCCTAAGGGTCCTGTACTGATGATATCCGGTCCCGAGATGCCATCCTCGTGGCCGTCCGCTTGCCGACGCGACCCACCGTCGACCATCCTCGAACCCGCAGGTGCTGCCGTTGAACTGCCTCTTCGCGACGATTTTGGTCCCGGTCCAGGCTCAGCCGATGTCGAAGCGGCAGATTCGAGCACTGGGGGTGCCATAGGAAACATGCTGATAGCGTTGCCATGCATCATGTCGCCGTGTCGTCGCGGTTGAGGGTAGATCGATGTCGGGTAAGGGTTTGGAGGGAGAAACAATCCCGATGTGTGAGGAATCAATGAGAGTCCTGATGCCGGTGGAGGCGGGGGTGAATGTCTGTTGAAATGTTGCGATCCGAGAGCGGATAATGGTAGTTGGCCGGGGGTCGATCCTGTCGCGAAGCCGTCGATCGATTCTCTCCTGAGCGGGTTCATCAACGTCAAAGGAGGTAATGGACCGTGTTGTCGATCCGTCGGGGGAGGTGGAATCCATCTACCCAGATCAGGTGATTGTCCGATGGTCGGGAAAGGCGATGTCGAGTGAGGCGGAGAAGAAACGGGTCCCGGTTGAGATGATGACGTAGTGGACGTAGATGAAGGAAAACTTCGCAAACGGGATGGCACACGATCGGGTCGGGTGTAAGAATGCGACGCTGAGGATGCAGCTGGCTTGATGTAGCTATCGTTTCTATGGTAGTAGTGATCGCTAAGATGTTGAAGATTGTTGTTGGTGTTATTGTTGGACGTCGAGAGCATCGAGGACGATTGTAGCGACATCGAGACGTCGTCGTCGACGTTGTTGTGAGGCGAGGAAGGCGACGCGAAATTCAAAACGGTTGAAGGCCTTGAAGGCGAACCTCCTCCTCCTCCTCCTCCTTGACCTCCTCCTTGACCTCTGTACTGGCCGTACTGCACATCATCGCGACGACGAGATGCTCTATACTCCGTCGCACCCTCGTCATCGTCATCTCGCATGCTTGTCCTATGATATGGATTGGCCGGTCCTTCAATCTCGGCGCCATCTCCATCTCGGTGGTAAGGTGGAAACGAACGACTCTCGGGATTGGTAGGAGACCGGTCCATGCTAGGTCGATCGGGTAGATCGTTACGACCTAGACCTGGTTCGAGAGACTCGACTTCGACCCGCAGATGATGACTATTTCAGGAAGAGGCTCCGGGCCAGATCGTCCTGCGTATCCGGGCGTCTATGTCGTCGTCGATTTTTGCTAGTACGAATGTCGAACCTTTACCAATCGAGTCTAGCTAGAGTACGCGAATGAGGTCTTTGTACGGTACAGCGATCGTCAGACCTGGCCGCGTCGAACGATCTTGCGATGTATTGTCGACGATGGTACCAGTGTGCAAGAGTGTGACGATGAGACGCAAGGGATGACGACGTGAGAGAGGTGGGGGGGGGTTCTTTCGGTCCCGACGATTCCCTTTCGCGGGTGCGTGTTCGATGGATACGGTTTGTCACTCTAGATCGGACTTTTTTCCCTCGCTTGTGGTTTGGTGGGTGATGGATGGATGGGGCGGATGAAGCACGTACGCAGCGGAACAAAACGACCGGTGACCTGACAGGGAGACGAATCGCGAATGAGAAACCGACGAGTTTTGTTGTTTGCCAGACGTATGAGATGACCGGTTCCAAGAAAGTGATTGAGCGTGGGGAGAGAGGTACACAGATCCGAGGCTGACGCTGCGGTGCTAGATTACGGTTGCCGGTCTCGCACACTCGGCAAGAATTGTCGTGCGTGTCTGAGGAAAAAGCTTCGAGCTAATCAATCGATCATTCGTTCCGACCTTCCCGCTCGCCGCCTGGTTCACCTCATGAGCACCTCGCCGGCCCATGCAACCCCCAGCGAGCAGGAGCGCAGGAGACGATGATGTGAGCAACACGAGCGGTAGAGGGAGCAGGTCAGTCTCGGACCGCCGAGCGAGGGGGCTATCGTTGTGGTCGCTCAAGACTGGCAGGCAGAGCTCGGCGGTCCCGATGGAAGCGGGTCTATCGGTTAGTATCCCTCGCGTGGATGACCTCGTGTACTGTACTCGAACCTCGGGTGCTCGGTAGAGACACACGCGTTTCGATGATCCACGCCACCTCCCTTTCGGCGGTTGAAGCTGGTATGAAACGAAGGACGCGGTCTCATTTGACATCACCGCTAGCAGTTCGGTCGTCCCGATCGCTGCTGCCGGCAGTCCCGAAGACGAAAGCTGGAATCTGGGATACCGGATTCCCATTTCATTCGGTGATCATACTTGTCGCTTGTCGCTGGATCGCTGGGATCGGTGGTTTCTGGTTGTGCGAGGACAAGAGAGCGTGTACGCGTTGGGGCTCTCGATCCACCAAAACTCGCATCGCCCTTCTTTTTTGTACTCTTCGGGGACTGTTTCGCAACGAGGCGTAGAACAGTTGAAAGGGTGACAAACCCTTTGATCGGTTCGAGCCCCCTGTGTCGCGTGTACGAGAAATTGCTTCCGTCACACACCCTCGAAATGGGCTCAAATATATCTTCGCAACATCATAAATTCATAAACTATACTTTATGACCAGGGGCCAAATGCCGGGTAAGACGAGATGCAAACACAGAACCACCAGATCCTAACAGACAAAATTTCACTAGCGGAAGCTCGCGTGCGAGCATTTGTCGTTTCAACAGGGCTGGTCGCCCTGAGTGCAGTAGATCTATCGAAACCTGCAAAGCCGACGCCTCCAGAGGCGATGTTGTCATACATCGTAACCATCTTTCCATTTTACTGTGACGAACATAGAGGACCTGAGAGTTTGGGAATCTGATGATCAATCAACGATCGCGCCGGATCCGTCGATTTTATTTGGAGGCTTGGTCATTTGCATTGTGCCCTATGAGGCTGTGTTCAGTAGCCGTGCCAGACGCGTATCTGCTTTGCGCTTTGAAACATACCCATATCTGAGTGGAAATCAGCCCGTTTTGAAATTTGGTTTGGAGTTGAAAAGTTGATAAATGGTATGAGAGCCTGATATGGCGGAAGACGAGAGCTCGCAAGCATGATCAAATACCCAGTACGCAGTTCCGGAGGGTTCTTTGGCAACCTCATATCCATACAATCGAGAGCTTGGCAGGCATCGAACGCTAAAATATCGCGATGTCTTGATCGCTTCACCCTGTCATGTTGAAGATATGCAATGTTTGTTTGCATTGCCTGTTTAAAGACCTGGACTCAGTAGGCTAACATAAATACGTCAATTAACAGGCGGTTGGACCGAAATGACAACCAGCATATGTGAAAAGCTATGTTTGCGTTGTTCCTCAGCCATGTCAACCAAGGTCTGGCCGCCTACCTCGGCTTGTTGTCTGTCAAAGTATAAATCATTTGGGTACATGAACTTAGGGTCCCAATGCATACCAACGTGTGTTCCAATGAGATGGGCATTTGCACAGAGTTTGCGTGTGAGATCCGTTAGCGGTTTCACCTTTGACAGAGTACAAAATATGATTTCAGACGAATTTTTAACGATATCAAGTTGTTTCTTCCTAATGAAGCGACGCAACCGGTATGTCTTGATGAATCCCATGATACGGAGCTGCACCTGAAAGCCCAGACCGAAATCGGGCTTCTTCTGTTTTCTGCAAAGAACCGGATGGACATGATAACCAGTTCTCGAGTCGTCGAATCAAACAGTTTAATTACCGATGCGCTGAGCAGTGAGGAGAAGACGTATTGCTTGTATCCAGAGATCGAACTGTTTGCGTTGCGTTGGAGGTAATAGGTTGGCGAAGTTGAATGGGAGTGATAGTGTCAAGCTGGTTCGGTATCTTTGAAGGCAAGCATCACACCTGGATGAATCGGCGCTTCGGCACGCGTCGACACCCAGACGGCGTCAAGCTCAGTATAGTAGCATACACATGATCAAGTGCGTTTTAGTACCTGATTGTAGTCGTCAGCGTCCTGATCGGAATGGAAATGAGAAGAGCGATCTAGCGAAGGTAATTTGGCGCATATCACGATTCGTCTTCAAGGAAGCCATCGTTGGTACGTGTTTGCTTCCGCGTCGACACCACAAAGTCAACAGATCGGTCTCGCACCTCTAATAATAATATCTGACCTGCTCTTCAAGCCTGCATCGATCCACCATACTACTCTTTCTTTCATGTTCCAGGTATACGCTGATCAATCTGGGAAGAAGATCGCACATTCAGATCCACTACTATGGGTGATCATCTCCTTCATCCCAGCATATTTCTCAATTCCCCGCTAATCTGACCGGACGACCCCCGCCATGACAGGACTATTGACGATCATCCGAAAGAATCGACTCAAGGAGAAGGAGATGAGGATCCTCTTCCTGTTAGTACTTCCCGATATCCTTCATAACTACAACATACTCTCTCATGATAGAAAGCTGATGTACAGCTCTCGGGAAATGCACGTTGTAGCGGACTGGATAACGCGGGGAAGACGACGATCTTGAAAAAGCTGAACGGGGAGGATATCAGTACGGTCAGCCCGACTCTAGGATTCAACATCAAATCTTTCGGATACAAAGGGTCAGTCCCAGTACCGCCTTGTTCTCTGACAATAGTTGCCATGTATTGTATAGGACTGACTCAGGCTGATGTCAAGCAAGTCTTACGCCCTCGCAGGTACACGCTGAACGTCTGGGACGTAGGCGGTCAACGGACGCTTCGGCCATATTGGAGGAATTACTTTGAAGCGACCGATGCAGTGGTCTGGGTTGTGGATTCATCAGACCGGCTGAGGACCAAAGATTGTCAGGAAGAGTTGAAGGGGTTGTTGCAAGAAGAGGTGAGTGAGGCTGAGGGGTACGTGGACAAGCGGGGCGGATGGAAGAGGTTGCTGACAATACTGAGTCGCGTTTGACTGTGGCCATATCCAGAGATTGGCAGGTGCGACATTGTTGATCTTTGCCAACAAGCAGGATATTCCCGGCTCGATGAGCTTGGCGGACATTCGGGATGTAAGTCTCAACCCCGTTCGTCTCGTGGCACCTTATTCGTTGCGGGTTTATTGCCATTCCTCTCCGGCGTAAATACTCATCGCATACGCACATGTACTCATCCTTTCACACCCCCCTTTGTGCCGTTGCCTCGACCCCGACCCGGATCAGGCTCTGGATCTCCCCTCGATCCAGTCCCATCGATGGCTCGTGCAGCCGTGTTCAGCGTATACAGGGGACAAGCTCGTAGACGGGCTGGACTGGTTGGTGCAAGACGTGGCGGACAGGGTGTACTACTCGAGTCCTGCGATACCGGTCGAGGAGAAGGAAAAGGACACCGTGGCTGCAAAAATCAACAAGGCTGGATCCCTGACAGCATGAATCGCCGTCCATACGGGATGCAGAGCAGTACTGAAAATGGTGTCTACGATCAATTCGACGATGATGCCAAACGGACCGAGTTATTCGACGATCCACCTCAAGGTTGCCGATACGAGCGAGCCCTCCATGTGATGAGGCATCACATGCTATAATTACTTGTTTGCCGTGTTCGACGGACGGTTAGACGACAAGCCTGTCGTTTTGAGGGCCAGCATGACCAGGTGAAAAAGTAGACCTCCTTTGTCTGGACTGGTCCGAACCGTTGTAAGAAACTCTTATGACTGACTATATACTACCCCCTAGTACCCCCTAACGTCCTCAGTTAGTGAGCTTGCTCGCACACACAAATCAGATCAATCTATTTACTTCCGTCCCTTTCTTATCAGCGGAGAGCAGGGTAATTTGCATCCGAAGACTGTAGGTAGCCCACCGGTCCCCTCTCGCCCACCTCCGTGTGGGAGCTATCAACTCGCTCATATCGAACCTCATCCTCATCGAGATCGATCAAGCATATCAAGCTCACAAGCAAGACGATCTTGCACCCTCTACATTCTCTGCGATACCCTTACCATCTTGCCTGGAAACATCGAATCAAACAAACACGCTGTCCTTGCATACCGAGGCCGGCTGACCAGCTACATTCCGCACGTTCGCCAGACGAAAAGATAACGCTCAGACCCGACATTTCACTATCGCCTTGACCCGAAACGTCCAGGCTACCAACGCCCAATATCAACCTCTTGCATCCTAATACAACGAGATAGTATGGCAGTATAAGCAGATCAGGTCATCGTCGATATGTTGAGGTCGCAACCTACGACATCACCCCTGGCCATCAGGCTAACCGAGCCGATAACGTATCTCAAGAGTCAGTTCAAGGTCCCAGACTTGCTGCTTCGAATAGAGCCCAACCACACTCATATTGATCAACCTCGATCGTCTGCAGGCTCGGCGACGGGAGAAGATTTTCGAGGTCGACGCCAATGGGTACAGGAAGACGCACCTCCGGCAGTGTTGAGAGGGATCTTGACGTTGCGGTTGAACAAGCCGACGAGGATCAAACGCATCGAGGTCAAGCTCGAGGGAAAGAGCCGCACAGAATGGCCAGAAGGTGAGGATCATGGATTTCTGACTGTACAGGTCCTAAAATGGCTGATAATGTATGCACGGCGTCTCGCAGGGATCGGTCCAAGGAGGACAGAGACGAGCGAGGAGAACCTGATCATCTCCGAGACCTTGACCTTTTTCAACGCTACAGCCGATGCTCAGCTCGCAAATCAGCATCGTCGAGCGCTTTCCATCGGTCCGGGAATCCGTGGAGACGATTCGTGGGACGTCGAGGAAGAGGATGACGAGGATGATTTCCTAGCCGAACGGAGTGATCGGATGGAACAGCTCGAAGAGGATGATCGCGGAAGGGGAAGGAACATGACCCGAACCGGGCCTAGGTCGACGAGTCTGATGCCCATGCCTGGAGCTCAAGGACCCGGATTCTCGAGGATGCAGAGTGGGGACATTACCTCGGCATATAACCAACAACCACCTAGTCCTGAAGTTGAAGCGGGTCCGAGCGGCACTTCAAGTGCATGCCCGCCTCCACGAGTCGTCCCGGCAGACAGATTCTCGCAAGCAAGAGGTCCGTCTCCGGCATACGCCCTGCGGGATCCCTTGCGTGTCGAGAATGGTAGTCTGGCAAGGGGCAGGAAAATGTCGCCCCGTCGCAGGATGCCTTCGGGTGATCACAGTGGCGATAACGAGGAGAGGGACATCACCGAGTCGGCCTTGAGTCCTATCGCCAGCGTCGAGGGGTCTCGGTTCCCAAGTCCAGCAGGGGAGGTAACAAATGGTACGCACCGGTCGCCCCGAGCATCAACCAGCAGCATGGGTGTTAGACTTGATGGCACCAACGGAGGCTCGGGTCCGTCCGACAGCGATGAATCTGGATCGGAACATCGATCTAATGGAGCGGGCTTGAATGGCGCGGACGCTTCTTCGAGTCCAAGGTCATCTTTGTCTCAGAGGAGCCATCTGAGAGCAATGTCTCCTATTGGGCACGCCGATGGCACGGCATCGCCTCATCCCTTGCATGCGGCCATATTCTCTGCACACCCAAGCACAAATAACAGCCGGACTAGTATACAGCAGCCAAGTGCGCCGACTCAACCTCTGGTAGAGGTCACCAGGTCCGGGTCGAACCGGTCCAGCTTGGTAGAATTGACCCCTGCTAACATGGTCGAGACAAACGGCACCAGCAGTGCTGATGGACGAGGTCGACGAGACAGTACCAGCTTGGCCGGGCATTTCGCAAGTCTGAGACATCGTCCGTCACAGAGCTCTCTCAGTCAGAGAGCACCTAGCGGGACGGGGTCGCCAGCGGATTCAACGCATGCGGTACATCAGTACGGAATGTCGCAGCAGAATTCCGCTCCGAATGGTCAACCCGAGCGAGGGAGAAAGGGGAGCAAATTCTCCATTGCCAACGCGCTGAGGAGTATCAGTCGAGCGACCTCGACTTCGAGGACAAGACAGCCCAGTCAACCGCCTCCTTCAGCGCCGAGCTCGCATTTCGTTGATCATGTCAACCGATCGAATTCGATCCGAGAGTCGGGACCGATGGATGGGAGGATGCAGATGCTCGCGGTAGAGGATCGAGAGCTGCGACCATTTGGACGGGGAGGAGCCGGAAGATCGCCTTCACGCACGAGAGCGTTGAGTCCGGTACAATCGAGTGATCGGAGTGATAGTCGAGGTCGAGGACGCGGCATCGGAATGAAGGTTCTCGGGCTGGGTAGTGACGATGCGGATCTCGCTGATGGCGGTTCGCATAGCTGGAAAGAGTTCAAGAAGGGTGAGCGAATGCCATGGTCGACACTAATTCCATCCGAAGCTGACCCTTCCGTTATTGAAAGGCGTCTACAACTACCCAATCTCGTTTCCGATCCCTCCAAATGCGCCACCAACGATCCATGCTGATTTCGGTTCTGTCTCCTATCGTCTTACTGCAACGGTGCATCGACCCGGAGCATTATCTCCAAATTACATGGAAGAGATTGAGGTGTCTATGATAGCCACGCCTCAGGAGGACGACATGGAGGAGACGGAGAACATCCTAGTCGAGCGGCAATGGGAGGATCAGATGCGGTACTTGATCGCGCTGAGTGGCAAGGCTTTTACCATTGGAGGTCAAATGTGAGTCGAACAAGAGACTAGATTTCGTCTGTCTGGTGCCTCGAGCTTACTGGGAGGAACGAGGATAGTCCGATCAGCATCCGTATCATGCCGATGTCGAAATGCAAGATTTTCCGACTGTCCGCCACGATCGAAGGTGAGTTCTCGACTCGCGTGACGCTATCTGGCACTGTTCTAACACACCGCGTGCTTGCAGAGAAAATCGACTACTTTGCCATGGAACGTAAAGTCGCCCGACACGAAGCGCCTAAAAAGTACCCTCTAGTCTCGTTCAAGAATGCCGACGAGAAACATGGCGGCGCTCCTCCCCTATTGCCCATCATCTCCGAAAAATCTGACGCCGTATGGACGTCACCCTTGGCAGCCATGGCCGTTCAAGCGAGGGAGAGAGACGAAACCGAGGACGATGCCGTCTCCCAACTTTTGAACCCGTTCGGGCCTTGGTATCTGGAGACGATGCTACAGGTCCCGGATTGTCCCTCGCGGATCAAGTTTTCGACCAAGCACGAGACTACCAACATGACGATCGCGCATTGGTTAAAGATTGTCATACGGGTGCAGAGAGGGGATGACGAGGCGCTTGACACCAAGGGGAAACGAAAGCAGGTAAGCGCGCTGGTCTACTGAAGTTTTGTGACCAGATTCGAAGCTGACTCTCCGGCTATCTGCAGTTTGATATCATCATAGAGACACCACTTCATCTGCTGGATTGCCGAGCGACGACACAGAACAACTCGCTACCGTCGTACAACCCGACAAGCCATTTCAGCTCCAATACCATGGCAGCCATTACGCCCTTGCAATCTACCTGTCGCGTACATCGCTCGCAGAACGGCCTGAATGAGGTCCCCATCGATCTCGCCCCACAGTCGAGCCACTTGACGACGACCATTACGCGTTCTGGCGTCTCACCCAACCCTGCGACACGTCGAGCTGGACGATCCGTCTCTACCGCACGAGGTCGAGGTTCCGAGTCTGTCGGCAGCGGATCAGGATCGGCACATGGGAGCGAGACGACCGCCGTGCTGGAGGCACCGGATACCTTGCTCGAACGCAACATTGTGTTTGACCGTCTGATGAGCGGGCAAGAGTCTGAACAGGGCGAGTCGCCGCCGACGTATGATGAAGCGCTGCAGAACCGGTCGAGGTCGAGGAACCCTAGGGGTCGATCGGGATCGAGACTGCGTACCGAGATATACTAGCAGCTTGTCAGCGTCTTGTCGATGCATTGCTATCTCATATATCTCATCGATAGATCAGTGGTAATGGACATGCATGGGTTTCATCTTGCATCTTGATACGTATTGGGTCGATCGGCGGGATCCGATCGGGATTGAGCCGGTGAAAAGCTTCCGAGACTCGATCGCCGACGACGACGACTACGACGACGACTCCACTTTCTCCGCCCCCGGCTTTGCGAGGGGGTGTTCCCCAAAGGAATACATGCAATACGACGACGTCCCATCTCTCGATCTCTCGAAACGTTCAAGCTTATCGAGGCGCAAGGCGAGTCGTAAACATATCAAGAGACATCCAGGACCACCCTGAGTATACCCTTAGTAGTAACTCTGCCTCAGCTCGTGTTGTGAGAAACGGTCACCCCAGTTCATATACCCATTTCGACTCACCAAGACGCAAACGTCATCACTTGGCGAACCAGACCAGACCCAGATCAACAACGTTTCATCTCGACGATCACACGACCTCCGACATGTCGAACCTCTTCGCACCTCCATCTCCTAGCGTCGTCAACGTACGACCCAAGCCGAACCGACTCGATACTCCGGACAAGGCCAAGGCTTACGAAACCGTCGTCGCTCATTTCTCTGACCCCGGATATCAGCTGGAATGGCACCCTACACGACCGGGTGAAGCGCCCTTGAACGACAAGCACAGGGCTTCGGCTGGAAAGGCGGGGGCTCAGGTTGGACCGTTGAACGACGATGACAAGATGTTCTTGGTGAGTCCGTTTGAGAGGACGGTCGTTGCATCACATGGCCTTGCTAATCGTCACGTCATTCTGTCGATTGCGATGAGCTCAGACGAAAGAGTGCATCATCAGGTCAGTGAGAGCATTCCTCTGCTAACTACAAGTCGAGAAAACGACACTGACAAAACCACCTCTCTGTCTTGCTGCAGATTCCTTGTCGGTACGAGTCACATTACTTGAAATACTACTGTGTAGACTTCATCGACCGGAACTGATCTATGACATATTCCTTGCCGTAGCCGACGACTTCCACTTGACCAAGACGATCCCTCGGTTAGAGGAAGCCGTCCGATGGAGAAAGGAGATGGGGATCGATGATGTTGCGAGTATGGGCCAGGAATTACAGGATCTCGTCAGTCATTTGCCGTGATTGGTCTTTCTGATCATTGCTACCAGTCAGCATGATCATGACTGACGCTTCATCATTATCCCTGTTTCCTGTAGGGTGCCCTGGGCAAATTCTTCACTTTCGGATACGGCAACCAGGGTCAGCCTCTGGTCTTCTGGGATGCAGATACCAAGAAGAGCGATCCGACTCCCAGCTTTAGGACCGTGAGGAGCATGTTTTTCATGACCGAACGAGCGATGGACTTGATGGTCGGTGGGGTCGAGTGAGTTGAGCACGTCGCCCGTCATCCAGGCGACCGACAGCTCTCGCTGATGAACCGAATCTGAGCAACTGAACGCCTCGTCTCGTGCTTCGCTCTGTAGGGAAGTCGGCTTCATCCTCGACCTTGGAGGCAAGGTCGATCGATCTTGGGCCGCGATCGAACAGTACAAACATATCTTGCACGACGTACAGCGATATTACCCCGAGAGGTTAGGATTCGCTTGTGTACAGCATTTGGGAATGATGAGCAAGTTGTTGGTAAACGTCATGTGGCCGTTTGTCGAGTGAGCACAATCGATTTGTTTTTTAAGCCGCTGAAGTCTCCATGCTGATACCGGAGCTGGCAATACAAACAGCCCGAACACTAAATCCAAGGTAGGAGGCTGAGGCTGCCGCCGTATGATCCTTGTGCTGAACTCATCCGCTTCACTTGTTGCAGGTCTCTTTCGATGCCAAGCTGGCTGATGGCCACCTGGCTCAAGCCCAGATGATCCCAAAGAATTTCGGCGGTGCAGCCAACGTGAGTCGTTCACATTTCCAACACATCGTGGTCTTGGCTCACAAACTCTGATATACACAAACAATGCGGGACAATTGCGTAGATCGCTTGGGACGGGAACGTTCACTATCGCGAAGTCATCGAGGAATCTATCGCTCGAAGGAACGCTCGGGCTCAACGATGGAGCCAGTTGGGCGGTGTAATTGGGCTGAGCGAGTTGGACATCGTCTTGCCCTTGCAGTAGAAGAAGATCGATTCGCGTAGACTGTATCCCCGTGTGACTATCCTTCCTCACAAGCATTTTTGCCACGTCATTATGATTTTGACATCCGAGTGTTTTATCAAATAAATCAGCTTTCCCATGAAATCGGGTCTGTAACATCCTCGCAGATTGACCTCCAACTTATGATCAAGGCTTAATGGTATCCGAGATAACGGAACGACGTCAGTTCTCGACCACCTATCCGATCATGCCACCTCTATCTCGATCACTACTGGCGTCGGCCGCCCGGACGTGTCGTACGCAAGTAGCGAGGCGATACGCTACCGCAGCCGAGACCACTGCGAGCTCTTCTTCCAACAATGCCTCGGCGCTCTACATGGATGGACCACCCGCTCCGAAAGTTCAGTCCCAGGTGAAGATGGTACCTTATGCTGGAAAGAGGAAACCTATCACTCCTGTAAGCCGGCATCGTCGCTTGCGTGAGGTTATAACGCGCTGATCGTGAATCGCTCGATCTGCTTCAGGGGGTTCGACACTCGTTGGCTGCTCAACATCCTCATTTACACAAGGGCAAGCCGCTCAAGGATCTGACTCTAGCCAAGAGGAGAAAAGGAGGGAGGAACGATACCGGTCGAGTGGTCAACCGATTTGTTGGAGGAGGACACAAGCAGAGGATCAGGATCGTCGATTTCAATCGATTCGAGGCTGGGGAGCACGAGGTCGTTCGGATAGAATACGATCCGGGTAGGAGCGCTCACATTGCGCTCATCAAGAGCAAAAACGCTCAGGCTTTGGAAGAAATTGAATCCAAGTCATCGGTCCAGGCATCCGATGCGGTTTGGTGGGGACCCCAGCAGTTCAAAGAGGACGGCAAACCCAAGGAGAAGAAAAAGACGATCGGGGGATACAGCTATATCCTCTCTCCAGAGGGTTTGAGGGAGGGGGACACCGTCTGCTCTTACCGATCCGGTATCCCTTCCGAGCTCATCGGCGGAATGGACGAGTCCAACGCTAGTACCGACCCTTCGTCGCCCCAGACCGTCTTGCCCCCTGGATCCGGCTCGACGACATCGTCATCGCGTGCCCTCGGTCTGCTTCGAACGTTGACCTTGAAGCCCGGGAACGTCCTCCCTCTGTACCTTTGCCCACCTGGTACGATCGTACACAACATTTCGCTCTCGCCCTCGGGCAAGATGCAACTGTGTCGAAGCGCGGGCACTTTCGGTCAAATCGTCTCCCACGGAGTGGGAAAGAAGGACGTTGATGGGGAAGAGGGGAATACTGGCGTCAAGCTCGAACGCGCCAACATTGACCGTGGGTGGACGTTGGTCAAGTTGCAGAGTGGAGAAGTACGAAAACTCCACCCGAGCTGTGTAGCGACGGTAGGAACGGTTAGCAAGTGAGTCCATTGAACTAAGCCCCTTGAAATCAATCGGTCGGCTGATTACTTCGATCGCCTTTGCAGTAAGGAGCATCAGCAAGAGCAAATTGGAAAGGCGGGAAGGGCTCGATGGATGGGTCGAAAGCCCCGTGTCAGAGGTCTCGCGATGAACGCCTGTGACCATCCTCACGGAGGTGGGCGAGGAAAGTCGAAGGGTAACAAGCACCCTCGATCCGTCTACGGTTGGTTGACGCGAGGCAAGAGGACGAGGCGACCAAAGGACAAGGATGGAAACAAGATGTGCGTGCGATCTCTTCTGACTGGCGCGAATTTCAGCTCTTGAGCTGACGTACAACCGGTTCTTTCCTACTTTTCCTACTTTTCTTCTTTTTCTATCGTTTCTATCTACAGGGTCGTCACAGAACGACCGCGCGGACGAGCTTCGAGATCGTAATCGTGGCTTTCATAACATTGTATCAGCAGACGCCTTCGTTACGATTTCATCAGTTGCATCGCGCCGAATTCCTTATGGAGGTGTAATCGAGGATCGGTCGTCATCGCTGGCCTTTCGGTAACGGCATGTCATGGTGTGTCGCTTGAGCTGATCGGACCGGCAAAAGGCCCGACCGCACCCGTTGAGGGGACAGCTGAATGGCTTGTCGCCGGTATCTTCAAGGGGGCGTGATCAGCCGATTGAGATGACGGTCTCAATCAAGTCACCGTTACTCACGAGTTCGTATGTGTTTGGTAAGGCTATAAGCGGGAACAGCAGGCGCGATGGATCAGCTTGGAAAGGGAAAAACGGTACGACCGACAGCATACTGACTTGGAGAGTTCGATGAAACCGCTGAAAGGGAGACAGCAATTCGATGAGATGGCAATGCCAGGTCTTTACAATGACAGATCGACTTACCGGTCGCAGTGAGGGCACACATGTGTCTTGGTCCCCACATGCGCGCGCTGCGTAATAAATGGTTACAGTGCGCCACGTAATTTGTTTCAGATCTGCCGAAACTTACCTTGTGCACAGCTAAGGAAGCCGCGCTGGCAAACGCCTTGTCACAATCTTCTTCGTCGCATTTGAACGGTTCTGCCGTTCAGGTCCATCAGCACCTTTCGCCGCTTGTCTCCTCCTTCCCTCTTTGCCGAGCTCACTTTCTTCCGCATGTCGCCGCAAGTGAGCGTTTAGAGTAGCCTGTTCCGACACGGATTGACCACAGAGGTGGCAAACAAAGGGACGGTAGCCTGGTCGACGGGGTAGGAATTTTAGCAAAGCCGCCACCTTCAACGAGGCGTCGGATCTGCAACTCACCAGTGTGCGACTGTATATGCCGCAAAACCTTTTGCCTAGTGGCGAATTTTCTCCCTCGCTTCTCGCCTTCCTCCGTGTCCATCTTATCACCTTCATCGCAACTGTCACACTCGTTGTCGCAACGCACACATCCTTCCCACAGACACTCGTACTTGCTCTTTCCTCGCCCGACGTGGATGTTGGAGATGTGTTCCGTCAGAGCCGTGTTGCTATCGAAGACATTGTCACAACCGTGCCAGCGACATTTAAACGTCATCGCCTTCTCGTCGGTGTCAGAGGATCGCGCTTGAGCCGATGGGGGCCGCGTTTCAGAGTGACTCGATTTGCGTGGCGGAGGGATCTGCGGGACAGAGGAAGCGACGGCGGCAGCGGCCTTGCTATTTTCCTGTTTATTGATGGCCGAAACAGAGGTGTAGTGGTTCTGGGCGATATTCAGCAAACTGTTCGTAGCTTCAGTCCCTAGATGCTGCTCGAGAAGGTGTTTGAGCACGGCACTGGCCGAATCGAGGGGGTTGTCAGTCTGTACCGGCACAGGGACATGGCACGCGCGGTGCAGATGTTGCTGCGAGCTGTCCAAGCTTGGAGTGCCGACCGGCAAGACGTTGTGTGCGATCCCCGGAGCGACGGAACTTGTCGCTGCATTGGCTTTTTGCGATAGGAGCCGAAGTGATTCGAGATCTTTGGCGAACTCGTCACTATGCTTTGGCACGACCGTGCCCTCCGAATCGTGAGCAAAAGCACCGGTAAACGGTCTCGCCGATTCGGGACCGGGGATACAATCGTCCCAGAGACAAGCCATAAGACCGTCATTCTTGGGTCCCGAGGTGTTGACAGTGCCGAAAAATCCGTTCGTCTGCCCGAATCCGTTTCCGCCGAAAGTATTGGCGAGCGAAGAGTAGACGTCTTCGTTGCGGGGTTCTAAGGCGCCCGTGCCGGAAGTTGAGCTCAATCGACTTTCCAGGCCGCCGCCGCTTGATGTCGTTCCGAACTGATAAGTCGGGGGTTTCTCGTGCGGGCGACTAGGCGCGATCTTGAGATGCTCCGAGCTAACGTGCGATAACAACTCTTGCACGGTCCCGAAATGGGCGTGACAGTTTTGCCAATGACAGATGTGTGTCTCGAGCGGCTTGCCTTGCCCGACGACATGTCCGTTTGCCATCGTCGAGTCGGCGTGATCCATCATCGAGTCCCCACTAGCATGGCCACCGGATTCGACGTTGCCGTTCGAGACGACCGGTTCCTCGGTAAAGTAATCTCCCTTGGCGACGGCGGCGAGAAAGGCCTCGAGCTGCCCATCGTTGGGAGGGACCGCTAAACCCGTCGACGAAGAACCTTGTGCAGGCGGTCCGATATCGAAGTCCTGCGCTTCCCCATTGCCCGGCTGGAGGAACGGAGACGCTTGAGCGGAAAAGGCACCACGAGGAGTGTTTGTGGTCTGCGTGGTCGAACCCATTGTTATCGGTGTTTGACTTCCGCTATGTGCCATTTGATAAGGTCGATACGGCTAAATGTGAATAAGAAGAGGTAACGCCGACGCATCAGTAATCGTTCTCGGCCGCGCATAATATCGTAACTCACGTATCCGTGGAGGTCCATTCCATCAGTGCCCGTACACCCCCAGTTTACCCCTTTCATCAACAAGTCCATCCCGGTCCCGTTCACCCCGCTCTCACACGGCGCACATTGACCGTCCGGTGCCGCACAACATTCGGGCAATCCACACTGCTGCGGATGTCCTTCACATCCGATGCTATCGACGATGGGCTCGTGACAGTCTGGTCCTCCTCCACAACAATACGCCGGGTCCGCCACACCCATCGACGTAGGAAATGCCGTCACTGACGTGGTAGTCACGCCAGGGAACATGGCTTGGAACATGACGTGGTCCATGCCGAGACCATAGGTTGACAGCGACCCGTCCATCGCTGGATTGACATCCTTTGACGTCGCGGTCACCCCGCTCGAAGCCGTCGCAGGCGGAAATGGATCCACGCAATCGTCCTTGTCGCAACAATACGTCATCCATTGAGCCAACTGTGCCTCTGCGCTCAAGACGTCGTTACCAAAACCACCACCAACACCGCCGTTCATGTTCCCGTGCCCGTGTATCGAACCCGTGGGCGAGGGCCCTGGCGTGGGATAGAGCTGATTCTGCAGCTGGATCTGCGCCGAGTTTGACGCCACACCTCCAGACGGGTGATCGTAATTATGAAGCGAGACCGGGGTGGACGATCTCGACCCTTGTGTTGTATCGAAAGACCTGACGCTGCGATGTTGGCTCTTCCACCCGGAAGCCAAGTTTTGACGATCATGTCTTTGTCCTTGGCCTTCTAAAGTCGCCCCTGCCGTCAGAGGCACGACCTGTCCATCGATCCCACTTCCTCGTCGAGAAGATGGTTTGAGAAAGAGGGACTGTGAATGGGCATGGGGTCTCGTCATCGTGTTTCCCGGGATCGACATCACTTGAGGAGAAGCCAGAGAAGCAAAGGCAGGAGAACTCAACCTCGACCCCGGCCTCGACCCGGATCCGGACGAGTTCAGGGATTGTTTCTTCTCCCTGCCCGTTCCGAACCCCGCTACCGGCTGTCCGTTCATCCCGTCCGCCCCGTCACTCGAACCCGCTATCATCGCTGGAGCTGACATCGGCGCTCGGGAGGTGACGGTCGCAGTCGAGGACGTCCCGTGATCCTGCTCACAACAGATCCACTGCCAATTGGGCGGCAAGGTGGGGCCTTGTTGGTGTTGTCCTTGTTGCGTCGAGGCTGATGGTAACGATGAGGCAGGTGTGGGTATGGCCGGGAAAGGGATGTCCAGGGACATGCTATGCGGTACCACTTTCAACCCGTCTTTTTTCCCCTTTCCTTTCGCCTCTGTCTATCCCTAAACCCCGGCGGTCCTATCTTTTCTTGTGGGGCACTCTTATGATGATCCGATCAAATCGAGTTCTTGTTCCTTCTTATATCGCTCGACGGGCGAAGTCTATCGGCTTCTTGTGAGCCTGGTCGATTCACACGATACGATCAGCTAGGAGGTCGGAATTCGAAAGTCAGCTTGCTTGAGATCGATACGAGTGAGGTAAGGGGCATCACTCACACGGATGCTGGCTCCCTTCCAGGTCTGTATCGACCTGTAGCCTTCAGACCGATCGACGTCTGGTCGCTTCTGATCGCTCGAGGTATATCTTTTCGAAAGTCGAGGGTCTGCTCGCCTCTCACTTTCCGTTTGTCGAGGCGTAGGCGACGTGCAGACGAGAGATGCGCTCGGGGGTCCTACCGACGACGATAGCCTGGGTGAATGGCGTGATGATGGCCCCGACCGAGCGTATGGAATTGAGTGCTAGGGGAGAGGAGAGAGGGAGATGGGGGTTGCATGCGTCTGCCCGTGTGAGGAGCGGTGAGATCCGACAGGAGAAGAGAGCGAGAGCGAGTGGCCGAGTGTGAGTGAGAGAGAGACCAGAGAATCGGAGTCGGAAATGTTGAAACTCGGGGATGAGGACTTGCAAGGTCACCCACCGCCCCGGGTCTCGGAAGATACATGATCATCAGCTTCCGGTGAAAGGAATGCCGTACTTTTACATAAGTTTGTACGGCATCGGCTTTCGGTTTCGTCATCGCTGATCGTGATATCACGTGATGTCATGTCAAGACTGGGGGACATCATCATCATGCATCTACGAGTGCGAGTCATTGACTTGTGTGATGCTGAGAGACCATATAATTCATAGCTTTATACTCTCAAAACTCGAATCAGGATATCGCCTCAAAAACGAATACCTGGCTGTTCTTTGACACTCGTACGTCTTTCCCTTGCCCACAACGATAACGACGACCACCACGGACGGCGATCACGATGACCACCTCGACCCCGACCTCGACCACCACAACCTCCAAAGCTTATAGCATCACCTTTCCCACACCCTTTCATACCTCGCCTTACCGCTTCATCGTACAACACACCACCATCGGACCTAGTACTTCGCTGCTCTACGCCGGGTTGGGGACCGTTGCCGGCGAAGACGACGTCGATCACGAGGGGGATGAAGGGTCGAAGAAGGATGGAAACGGTAACGCTGATGCCTACCAAGCTGCGTTGAGGAATGCGGAAGGAGGACCGGATGATATGACGGTAGGGATCGAAGAGCCGTCGTCCTCCCCAGAGTACGGATCGAACATCAGGGTAGACTTAAGACCTGGGTCAAGACGTCTAGCATCCGACTGGGCATGTTCGTTTCCATCCCGTTCGGTGAGTGTTACTTTTCTGTCAGCGTCTCGATCCTTCCCTTTCTGCTTCGTCCCTTCTTTGCTGAACTGACATCACTGACCTTGGCTTTGGTGTCAATCCTGACCTGGTCACTCGACTGCTTGATAATTATACTGTCGTTGTCCCTCGCGCGCTCTGTAGTCAACGATCCCTAATACGTCGACTACCCTCCTTTCCATCTCGAATCCTGCCAACAACTCTTCTTCTTCTCAATCAGCCGGACCTGGACTCGGAGGGTCGGACACGGAAAGGGGAAAGAACATCGCCAATCGACTAGGTACGTTTGCTCAGTCTCGTCGAACGCGTCGGAACAGGATGTGTAGAGCTGAACACAAACCTTTCTCCTTCTCCCTCGCCGTCTTCTTCTTCTTCTTCGCTACCCCTGTCTTTATCCCTGTCCGTGATTCCCGGTACCTCATCCCTCTGTCCTGTCAAACGATTGTGTCCTCATCCTCATACTCGGACGTCGGATTCTGGGCCACTTTTATTAGCCCGCCGAACGTCCCGTCAAATCTTCCTCAACCTCAACCTCCCTCATCCGCTCCCCACAGACCTCTTTCCCGCCTCCATATCCTCTTCCGCATTCCCCGGATCATCAATATCGAGAACGGGCATGGGCATGGGGCCGAGCGCAGGGTCAGCGGGAGGAATGGGAGGAGATCCGGTAGAGGCCAAGCTGGTTTTGGCACTCGAAAAGGCGTTGGTACGGGTCTTGCAGGGTGATCTATAGCCTTCCATGCTGCGAGGTCGAAGTTACAGACGGAACCGATATCATTATTTCTCCGCGGACAAAAAACGCATTGAGGTCGGGACGGGGCAGCAAAGACCTGTCAAGACGCTCTCGACACCTCCGAGGCAGATCAGTCCACAGCTCCCTCGAAATCCAGGGTTTCTCATTCGACCACGGAAAACAGGAGCATCCATGCCTAAGTTACCTTGTACGAATGAGCTAAGAACAAACCGAACACAAGAGGTTCTGCCTGCATCGGAGGCCCTGTAAGGCGCATTTCCAGGAGTTTAGAAGTCTTCCAGTTGATCACACCTCTTCTCGCTGGCTGAGATGCAGCAGTAGCACATTGCCGTATAAGATTCCGAGCCATCTGAAAGGGTTCATACGTCTTGTGCACAGGCATACATTATATGAGATTCATGAACAACGAAACAAGACTAGACAACCTGTGCAAGATACGAGCAATCCTCCTCCTTAATCGAGAGAGAACAAGTGGACGAGCGCCCGACTGCAAGCCCTCCTTCCCCTGGCATCTTTGCCTGCGGTAGGGCTACATAGATCGTGCCCTACATTACCCTTGATGACCTGCCAGTCGACTCTTCCGGTCTCGCTCGTGATCTCTTCGGCAAGACTTCTCTGCCCCTCGGCCCAAGACTTCTCCTTTTCCATCTGTTCCCTGCTGCTGAGGATGATGGCTGGGGTGTCCGAGGGATACTTCGGAGGTTGTGCTTTAAGGAGATCGGTATACGACTGCGAATCGTGCGTGTGCGCCTGATACGTCTCGGCCAGGAGCGTACGTAGCATCTTTTCCGACAACTTTGCCGTCGATGGGGGAGGTCGTTTCGAAGCCAAGATTCGGGACAACGAAGGGTCGTACTGGGTGAAGAGCGAGTAGAATCGGTGCAAACCGAGAGGGGAAGCCAGCGAGGGCAACAAGTGATCCCACAATCGGTGAAGGCGAAGGGTCAAGAGGTTCCATCCGGGAGGGAAACGGAAGTAGGTCTGGGCGGTTTGCGCATCGATGTGGAGGATCGAGTGGACTTGCTTCTTGTGTCGAGAAGCAAAGACTCGAGTAACCATGCTATCGAGATGAAGCAGGTTCGATCAGCATACAGGCATATTGTTACGTTTGTGACGCCATCCAGTACTCACCCTCCGTAACCATCTCCGACCAAGATGTAAGGTCCCTTTTCACCGGCCTTTTCCAAAGCTTGTTGCAGGGAATCCGCGACCATGCCCAGCTCGACAGGTCCGGAATCCGAGAAACCATAACCGGGTCGATCCCAAACACAGACCCTGGCGACCTTTCGAGCCTTCTGCAGGCTCAAGATCCAGCTTCCAGGATAAGGCGAGACCTGGTTGATATCGGTCCCGTTATTGGGCGGAGTGGGCTGAGGGAAAGGGTTGTAAGGGTTCTTGACTCGAGCAGGTCGGACGTGGGCCAATGACCCGGGGACACCGGAAGGTGCCTCGTATATGATTGTCGGATAGTGGGTGTGGTTGTTTCGGGGCGCTTTGTGGTCCGAGGGGAAGGTGAAGGGGACCTGAAGATCCTCGCTCAGGTCGGCCATGGCGAAGGTAGGGTCCGATTCGTTGAGGTGAGGAGGCGCGTCCGTACACAGGAGATGTACGTTGAAGGACCATGGGTAGCCAGCAGGGTGGACCCTGATCAGCTTGCTCTCCTCGGACAACAGGGGCACGGTGTTGTCATAAGCCCGCAGACAAAGGTTGGCGATCAGCAGCTAGAAGCGAAAGAGGTGACGAACAAAGTTAGTTCTGATTCGTTACTTCTCGTCGGCCGACGCTTAAAACTTACGGTGACGACGGTGACACCAGCGAGACTCCCGATGAAACCCGACACGGCCTTCAGACCCCTAGCGAGTCCCTTCCAGAACCCATTCCCTTGCATGCCCACCAAAGCCTGAGCGATCTCTTCCTCGTGCTCCCGCTGAGCCGCCCTCCTCTCGGACGCGTTGACCCGACCACGACCCTCCTCGCCGTGTCGTTCGGCGAGGACCTGCATCAATCTTTTGCCCTCGGTATCCCTAGCTCGACGAACGGCCCACGAAGACAAGAGGGCGAGCAAATAGATCAAGGCAGTGACTCCGAGAGGAACAAACATGAGTGGGTAGTGTGCCGTTCGCAAGGGGGGCGAGATCATGGTCATGAGGAAGAGCACGGTAAGAAGCAGGAGAGAGAGGAGGTTGACGAGGAAGATGAGGTAGACGGGCGAGGCAAAGAAGAAGATGGTCTGGAACCCTGTCCATGCTCCTAGACCGGCGATCCAAACTTCGAGCATACCTGATCCTCGGTAGGGAAGTAGGGCGCTGGAAAAATCGTAGGCCGCGTTGAGAGAGAGGACGAGGACCATGGCCAACGAGGCGAACGTCGTGGCGAGAACGGAGAAGAAGAGGATCTGCATCGGTATCGACGTCAAGATGCGCTAGGAATGTGAATGACGGGTTTCAAAATCGATTTAGCCACGATGGCCACGTTGTGGGTTGTGATAATGGGACCCTGTACTTACCCTCTGCCCTTGCTGAACCTTGACAGCTTCTTGCTCGACCGTCGCGGGACGACGAGCGGCGCTGGTGGGTTTAGCGACCCTTCCGTGCTTGCTGTTGACATAGACCTTGGGGGCTGCAGAATTACGGGACGTCGTTCTCAAGAGGGACGTCCTCTCGTTGGCATCTGAAGGGTGATCCTCGACATTGTTGTCGTCCTGTACTTCGACGGTATGGATCGAAGCGGGGGGCGACGGTGTGACCGTACGTGCGGCCGGCATGTTTGATAAAGTGTCTAACGCTGGGATGAGCGGAGACGTATGGCACGGATTGTTACCCTGTCAGTAATAGTTGTGGGTGGGCTATGCGAATCACTCCATTCATATTGTTACATGGACGAACAAGAAGAATGGCAAGATAGCTGGTCGCTGGTCGAGGTAGAGTCCTGCCTGCCGAGCTACGCGATGACATCACCGACGACGGAAGCATATTCATCGATAATTGCTTCCGGTCGATCATCGTTCCGGCCTCTATCGTCGCAAAGATTCGAATGACCTCGATGATAACGATGTGTCTGGCCCGATGATGTCGCCCTTCGATATATACGTCTTACAGAGGTTCCACATCTTACTTGTACACGTGACATTCCTCAGATATGGCCTCCTGGTCCCTCAGTCCGTCTCGTCCTCCTCATGCACTCTAAGCCTCAACGACCCGATCCCAGAACGACTTCAACCACTTGGTCGAATCCTTCGGGGTCCTCGTCCATTCCCCATTCTTCCTGTCGACATGAACGGCCCCGAAAGCGGGGATATAACCTTCCTTCCATTCGAAATTGTCGATGAACGACCAGGCCATGTATCCGTCGCATCGCATCCCCTTGGAGATGGCTTCAGTGAGCGCTTTGAGGTATCCGCGGTAATAGTCGATCCGCTCGGTATCCTTCAAGAGCTCGGGGAGGGGTTTGAGGTGTTCGTTCTTGACGGCAAAGCCCTGTAATTCGGTTCGCATGTGATGAAAGGGGTCAGACGCGAAGGCTCAAGGATGGGGGCTCGGACAGGAGATGTCGGCTCACCTGCTCAGTCACGATCAGAGGGATGTCGTTGGGCAACATGTACTTCTCGTTGATATAAGCCAACAACTTTCCGAAACCCCAAGGTACTGTTCATACCGAAACCGAGACACCGCCAAAGAGAATCAGCTCCCAATTCCCCCTTGGTCTTCTCCACCACCCCAGACTCACCATCACACAGCCACTCCAAGTGCCCCTCGTTTCCGATATGAACGCCGTCCTTCTTCCTTACCGCACGGGTGTTTCCACCAAGATGGTCGTCAGGGTCGGATTCGCCGTTGGTATACAGGGTCGAGTACGAGTTCAGGCCGAAGCTGATGACGATGTCGAAATTGAATCAGTCATGTCGTCAGCGAGAGCAGCGTCGAATAGAGCGGAAGAATGCGAGTGAACCTACAATTCGGAACTGCCCTTGATCAACTTCCACTCGTCTTCCGTGAACTTGGGGGCCTTGTCCTCGATCGACTTGGGATAATGTCCAAGGTCTAGCAGAGGAGCAAGATCGAGGAGATCAGAATCGTCCCGAGAAGGCATGCACTGCAGGCACAGAGAGGGTCGCTTACAGATGGGGTCAGCGTACTGCAAAAAGATACGTTCCATTAGCTAGACGATCAAATCTAGACGGTTACGGGTGAATACACTCACCCATCCAAGGCTCTGGTCCATTCGTCGTTGAGCGGCTTGTTTGGCAGCGGGAGAATCGTCAATGGGCTCACACCAGTCGCAGTTCTATGTACAACCACACAGGTCAGTCGGCGAGTCCTTCTCAAGAACAGATTGTTGTTTCTTTCGCTATCATGACTGACCAGAGTGATCCCGATGATACCCTTTTGTTCGGGCTTGAACTCTCGACGGTAAATGTCCACCGTCTGCGCGTGAGCGAGAATCAAGTGATGCGCAATGCTGCGACATGGTACGTTCGACATCAGTCAAGCCTGAAGCCGCAACATACCACCAGTGCTCATCAGGCTCACGGGTAGAAGTCCTTCTCGTGGTCCCAATCAGGCTTCAAGCCCAAGCTCGAAAACATGACCACGCAGATAGGCTCATTGAGGGTGATCCAGTTCTTGACCCGGTCCCCAAACTCTTTGAAACAGAGTCGCACGTAGTTCTGAAAGTCGTCCAGGACGTTTCTCGAAGTCCATCCTCGGTAGCGTTTCTCGAGACCGGAAGGTAGGTCCCAATGGAAGAGGGTGACGAAGGGAGTAATACCGTGGGCCAAGAGAGCGTCGATGAGCTTGTTATAATAGGCGATCCCTGCCGGGTTGATGGGATCGTCCTTGCCGCCTGCAAGATCAGGAACGCGCGCGCCGCAAGGTCAGCCAGCGTTCGAAGCGAGCAAGCGATCACGACACCGCGACACTCACCTTGAGGGATCAATCTGCTCCAGCTGATACTGAAACGATAGGCGTTGACTCCAAGGCTCTTGAGCAAGGGAACATCGACGTCGGTCATGTAGTACGAGTTGCAAGCGTCGTCTCCGCTGCTACCGTCGGCGATCTGACCTGGGACTCGACACATGTCGTCCCAGACCGAGGGACCACGGCCGTCCTTGTCGTGAGCACCTTCGACCTGATAGGAAGCTGCGAAGGCCGTCAAATCAGCAAGGATATATGTAATAGAAAGCATGACAATATTCTGAATATCATGTCTTACCCGTAGCATATCCATGCAGAAAAGTCTTGGGAAGCAACCCGGCAGGAGGCTGCCATTCGGCAGATTGAGTTTGAGCCATTTCGCTGCGGGTATGAATTCTGTGTCTGATTGATCGTGTGGGACCTGATAATTGCGTACTTGCGTAGCTCTAGGTAGTCCAGCTCCGACGACATGGGGGGCCCTCGAAGGCACACCCATTGGTTATATAGGTTTCGGAACGGCGATGATGTGCTGATTCTCCGAGTAATGCTACTCTCTTCTGTTTACCGAAGAAACGCCGGGACTCGGTAGCTTGTTTTCCCCGAGCGATCAGGCGAGCGCAGCGATCACATGACCGCAAGAGGTGGCGGGCGGTCGAGATCAGCTAGCCAATTGGTCGCAGGATGCATCGCAGTCTGGGGCAAGAGACAATTTCTTGAGTGCGAACAAATGCTGGCGATAGAAATGAACGTGGATGCAGTGAACGTCGGTTCTGGCAAGAATTTCCCGGATGGACGACCTGCGAACTGCGCGATCTGCGGGATCTGTTTACGGCGTTCACGTCTGAATCGCGTGGAGTCCCGCTGGCCGTAATCACCTGTGCGCCGCGTCGAGGTGCCGCAGTTGAGAGGGTCGCTAAGGATGACCTTGCGACCCTCAGCTATCTACAAAGCACGTCCATGTGGTATACTAACGACTTCTGACCGATACAACTAAGACCTCCAAAACTCCTTGCGTTCCCGCCACTATTATCCGTCCAGGTCGTCCTCGAAACTAGCCCTCCTCCTCTCCTGCTGTGACTTCATGCCCCACCTCGAGTCCTGTCCGCCTCTCATTCCAAGCACCAACGATCCCTTGTTACCCATCAAAATCGGCGGACACTCGTTCCCGTGCATATCGAGCACCTGTATGATCCGGCGACCCGAACCGGGCCGACGAGCGCTCGCCATCCTGCTCGAGAATTTGCGCAAGAGACCGTTCACCCCAGCACCCAGGGCTGCAGGGCCCAAGTCGGGTCTGAGCCACGTGAAATCTTGGAACCGGATCACCTCGAGGTCGGGGAGGATGGTATTAATCATTCGGTCCGGCGGAGCTGCCGATAGCGATAACGATGATATCGCTGGCGGGCTAGAGAATGAGGTGCGACGTGCAACATCTGATCCTGATCCTAGGGAAGCGTCCGTGACGACGGCCCGGAAGATGGATTGGAACAGTCGATCGACCAATCCCTCGGGAGTGATCTCCCTAAGGTTTGCGTTCGTCGACCATTTCGCGATGGTCAGCTCTTTCAGGGGGTGTGGACCCATCAGCGAGCTCATATCGTTCGAACCAAACGTCTCTGGCGGCGGAGGACACGTCCTATCCAGGTAGGCGACTGAACGCAGATTGGGGCAGATTGATAGGATGTCCGGATGGGCTGGGATGCGGACGGGAGGCCAATCGATCGCCGTGTGAATCGTTAGAGACGTAAGCTTCGGTCCGTGCGCGACCATGAAAGGGTGCGTGAGATCATTGGCGAGCAGGTGATATGTATTGGTCTGCAACTCTACCAAAGCCGGTAGTTCGGAATCCTTGAGTGCTGCTAGGAGTAGCCCATTCCGGATCGCCGAGATGTGCAGCTTTCGTAGCCTCGGCAGCGAGAGCGTCGGTTGCGGCTTCGACAACATTCTCGCATCCAGACCTTCATCCTGAGCTCCAAGTCCGCAGATCTTGAGGGACTGAAGCTCTTTCATACCAGCCAATAGTTGTACGAGAGGATCAACCCCTTGCGCGTTGATCCGATGCGTCACCTCCAACCCATGTAATACCCTCAGCTGAGGAACACAAGGGCTCTCTTGAAGCGCTTCCAAGACGCTTCGAGGCAAAGTTCCACATCCTTCCGGAAGATAAAGCTCCTTCAGGTTGGGTAGCGAGGCGAAGAGCATCGTCAGGCAGGAGTAAAAGATCAACCTGGCTTGCGACCTATCCATCTCCGTACGTCCAGCCAGGACCTTGCGGAGATCCAGCACGGTGACGTATCGCCCTGGAGTAGAATATGGAGTGTTCTTGAGCGAGTCCCATCGGGATTCTCCGAGCTGGACGGATTCGGTAAACTGTCTGAGGGAATCGATGTCCTGTAGGGAGGGCGATAGGTACAAGGCTCGCTCGACCATGCACTGGGGACGACACATTGTCAACCTGTTAGACGCGATATTCAAACGTAAGGACATTCTCTCACCTTGGTAGTCTTGCTCAGAGACAAAAGCCCGAGCAAGAGTTCCTGGTTCGAGCCCGTCCTCGCATATGTTTGTGACGACTCTCGGCTGACGGGCGGTCGGGTCGCATTATCGTGCTTGACAGAGGGAACAGCTTCTTGGACCACTTCCATGGCCAGATGTTCTAGGATGGCTTCCAGAACCCTGTCCGGAAGAGCGAGGTCCTGCTCTACGGCTGGTGTCTGGAATCCTCCCTTTGAACCTCGACGGTATGGCTGTCTCGGGTTCTGCGTCGATACCGTTGGGGATATAGGTACGGTTGTCGATCTTGACGTGGTAGGCGACTTGAGAACGGGAGCATACAGGACCATGGTTACAGGACCATGGATACAAGCTACTGATTCCTGAATGATGGTCGATGCGATCTCTATTCGAATCCATTTCACTTCGGGTCGTCGATCGATGCAGCGGGGGGAGGAGGAACGGCTATGATGATGCTCATGGTCGTCGTCTAGTCTATGCTCTCGGCCCGATCCGGCCGAAAGATAAGATTACGTCGAAGCGAGGCCGTTTCGCACGCGAGGACGAGTTTCAGGTCACGCGGTGTCGACCTGGTAGCGACTATGACTTCGGCAGGCAATCCTCAAGACATTGTCTCTCGTGCTTGACCTGTTGTCGGTGGTGACATTTGTCGAATTCATACCATGTCAACCGAGGCGCCAAAGTCACTCACATTAACAATGAGGATCTCAAAGCATGATTTCGAGACTATATCTTCCTGACCCAGACCTGGAGGCGTTGGCTGAACAATGATTTGAGCAAGCTGTTGGCTGCTGAACAGCCAAGTCCAAGTGGTAGTTGACGGAATGAATTCAAAAGAGAACGCTTTGCAGAGAGGATATCCCAGTCACTATGCGTTGCGCGTCACCTTGCTTGGTGTCTGCAGCCATTTTCGTTTTTTTTTTCTTTTTCGCTTCTCGAAAATGTTGCTGACACAGAGGTATCAAACCGCGGGAATGAGACAATACCTAGCAGCCGCTTGGCGCAATTTGCAGGCACCAACAAGCTTTGAGGATTTTACAGTCCCCCTAACTGGAATTTGCTAACCCCCAAACAAAGGATGCTCACCATTTGTGACCGTTCAAATCTCAAAGTCCGCTCCTGGTCTTCGAGAGAAGCCAAACGAAGCCTTGTCTTTGACATCAGAAAAAGGTAGATAATCAGGAAACGATTCGATCAGGGCGGAACAATCCGATCGTCTTTCACAAATACTACCATACACTCAAGACGTTTGCTACATTGACCCCTCGATCTGCATACCCCTGACGATGAACCAGTTGACAGTCGAAGACATCCGAAAGCTTACCCCCGAACTGCACTCGTTCATGCTATAAGCATATCGAAAGCTCTTTGGACATCTCGACGATGACCCGGACGGTCCCAGCGATCTCAAAAACTTCAACGGCACTTACATGATACCAGGAGCAAGGTTCATCGTGCTCCGAGCTGCGGGAGAGATTGTCGGCATGGTCGGCTATCGACCGTTCGATCGGCGGTTCACGATTGACGACCATGTTCGGAGCGAGTTGAAGTTTCAGGACCGAAACGTTGTCGAGATTCTCAGGCTATTCGTCGAGGAAACACACCGATCCAAGGGACTCGCTTCCATGCTCATCGCAGAACTTGTCGACAGGGCCAAGGAGGATGCAGTCGACATCATGTACCTGCACACGCACACGTTTTTGACCGGTGCGAAAAACCTGTGGGAGAAGAACGGCTGGACTCTCATAGTGGCAGATGAAGAGCCGCCATGGAACACCATCCATATGTCGCGGGATGTACGCCTTCAGTAGGGTTGCAGGGAGAAGGTCAACCCTGCTTGAACGATCACACGGTGTGGAAATCAAGCCTCGCTGGAATGATACACAGGAATCTTTTGTATTTGACAAGCGCGCATAGTAGTATACAGAATGTGGACATGACTGATAACATCCTGATCTCACGATAGAGGTACTGACACACACATAATCTGGCACAGGCTTGGTCTGCTGGATTCCAAACCTTCAAACAGGCCTCATAGGGCTCACGCATAGACAAGCTGGGACTAGGTAGGGTCGCTCGCTTCTACCCATCCATATCTGCCAACTGCGGAGTCCAGCGCAGAGACAATGCCAGCAACAATGGTAATAAGCTACAAAAGAACAATAAACCCGTACAAGGCTCTAAAGGGAAAAGTAAATCCCTCGCCCATATATATAACAAGCGCAAAGAACGTGATGAGAACGAGACGTAAAGAGTGTTGTGTATGTAACGTCCTTTTTCCCGCGCAATCAGAGCGAGTGTCGCCACCTTACTTGTGCCCACCGTTCTTCTGATGAGCGGGATGGAACAGCGCCGCTCGAGTACCTTTCAACGCGCACCGCGTCATGAGATGTGCGGTCGAAGCGCGCGCTTGAACCCTCTCTTTTCGAAACATCCAAAGACGAGATCATAGTCCTCGAATTCGTACCCGATCCTGTCCTTCCTCACGTACGCGTCCCCCAACAAGCTCTTGGAAAACGCCGTCCAGGCTCGTCGGGTCGCCTCGGTCTCATGAGCCGGTTCGAGCACGCCCGAGTCGGCCAGGATCCCCGAGTCTGCCAGGGAGGACGATTCGCTCGGGTTGGAATAGGCGCCCGAGGCAGAGTTCAATAGTGCGTTTTCAGACTCGGCGGAGAGGAAGAGGGTGATGCTCAGTCTGCCCGGCTCGAAGATGTCGACGACGCGTCGAATGAGCGTCTTCAGATCGGGTCGGTGGGAACGCTTGCCGTTGGCAGCGAACCCTTCGTTCTTGAGAGGGAGCGGTACGTTGCATTCGAAGCTGGCGAAACTCCACCCTTCCTCCGGGGTCACGTGGATGGTCCAGTAACCTCCACCCTCGCGGTCGTCTCCCTCTGAACTCGGGTACCCGCTCCCGCTCCCGATGATCCCGTTGGCGCTGTAGCCACAAGGCTCGAACCCGAAGGAATCGATGATGCTCTCGTCCTTGTCGAAAAGCTTGTCAATTCCCAAATGCTGGGTGATCAAGGATCCGAGGTAATGTCCCGATCGGGCCGAGGGCGACGAGGAGGTAGCTGGGTCCGCTGAGGAGGATGAACCGGACGAGGTTGCGTTCCCGTAATTCATGTCGAGCTCAGGAGGGTGGAAGAAGGGAGCCCTGGCGTCGGGCGAGAGGTGGGTCATGAGGATCTCGAGCGTCTGGTCCTGATGCTCGTGCGAAGGTCGCTGAATGTTGATCTCCAGATCGCCGCGGGAACCGTCCTGCCGTGACCCATGTCCGTGTGCGTGCCCATTCGCCTGTACGCCGGCAGAGGTCGAAGAGGACGACCCGTTCGTGATTCCACGTTTGACGTCCTTGACCTCCTCGTCCGACGTGGTGCCCGATGGTGGGTTGATCAGGTACAACAGCCAGTGATCCCCGTTCATCGGCCCGACCGTGTAGGCGTTTCCTTGGTGGTCTGTTATCATCAGCAGCGTTGCGATTAGTCCATGTCAATCCCTACCTGGGCATTTCCTCTTCCTACCCAGGACTCACTGAACACCCCGTCCAAGAAATCCACCTCCTCCTTCCACCCGACATGCGGTCCGACCTGTCGTTCGGGGAAGAAGAACGACTTTCTCGAGTAAAAGCACCGGTGAACGTGTTCGAACCCGCAGTATTCCCTGGCGATCTCGATGATCCGGGTGAGACCTAGAAGGTTGATGGTGGTTCCGCAGGTTTTGAGGATGACGAGGTGAGGGGCGATGAAGAGGGATGATTCGCTATGGGCAGTAGCAGTGGTGTGGGGGAAAAGGTTAGCGGAGATGAACAGGAGGAGCTCTGTAGCGACTGTGCATATAGAGAGAGAAATCCCGTGCTCACCTCAACAAATAGGCGTCCAGTTCCTCCCCCTCGATGACACTCAACACCTGGCACTTGACGACCTTGAGCATATCCTCCCAGACCTCCCTCTTGACCTTTCTCAAGCCTTGCCAATCGCGCTCCTTGCCATCCTCCTGCTTCTTCTTGGGTCGATAGTCCAGTCCATTGCCCAGGTTGTGGGTGACTTGGGGGAGTTGGTTGGGAGCAGGGGCGAACCAGATCTCGAGCAGCTTTTCGGGGCCTTCGAAAGGGCCTGGAGAGGAATCGGCGAGCACGGCCGAGGTGGTCGTAGGTGCCGAGACGGGGGGTTGATGTTGCTCTTCGAAAGCGCTGAGGTCGGTCATGGTGATGTTTTGGTCGTCAATCTATTTGGTTGTCGATAGTTCTCACAGATCGAGGCAGTTGTGAGGAAATACGCTGCGTGATGTGCGAAAGATGATTCGGCCGCAGCAAGAGGTTGTGGTCGGACGAGCTCAACGACGCTCCGAGGTTGAACAGGCGCGTTTTTCCTCTATTTGTATGTGGAACGGAGATCTCGCTGTATAACGCCTCTCTTTCTATCTATCTCTTCAAGCCCAGGACATGACTGAATGATGGGGGTGACGATGACGGGGTATGGATGAGATGGTATGGCAAGAGCTAGGATGTCATCATCATCATCATCCCGCATCCACCCCACCTGAACCCTCGAAATTTGGGAATCGGGGGAAAAACGAGGGCAGGAAGAGGGGAGACGCGGATGAAACCAGCGCGGACATCCAAATTTAGGTGCGTATGTCCGCGTATCATCATCGTCGCGAGAGGGTCGACATCGGTCATGTTCATGAACATCTAAAGGTCACGACCTCTATCATCAACCACTCGACATCGTATCTAGAGGCACTAGCCCGTTCTTGCGATAGGTACGATAGTCTGACCTGCGGAGAGTTGCCAGGATGCCGACGTCATCCCAAGCTTCCTCGTCGACGCGAGCAGCAGCAGCTCCGGGCTCAGCGTTAGGTAGACCCGTACCTATTCACAGGGGTAGTAACAGTAAAGACCGGGTCGTCCCTTCCGCAAATTCGATATCAGCATCGGCAACGCCTGTAACACCATCGTCCACATCTTCGAAAGGTCCTGCAATAAATCCAACAGGACCGGGATCGTTCGTCGAGATGCCAGGGATGTCCTCGGACCCGTTCACACCTCGAGAGATCTCCTCGGCCGTCGAACAACTCCTCGACGAGCTAATCGGTCGACAACGTAGCGTCGTGAACGATCGGGAGAACCAACTGGTCGATCTGTACTTGATGGTCCGGACGTTGATACGTGGACAGGGTTTTGCTACGATGGAAGATGTTTTGGATGGGAATACGAATGGGACCATCGAGAGCGGGGAAAATGAAGCGGACCGGCGGACGAAGGTGAAGCAGCGGCTGGAGTTACAAGATCGGGAAGGACTGGGCATGTTCCTCCAGGAATACCTGATGAATGAAGGGTCAGTCCGGATCTCTTCCATGTTTTTAATTCGGGTGTGTTGGCAGATAGCTCATGATGGTCTCGACATAGCTCGGAACCAGCGCATATTAGATTACCGGACTTGTCGCATTATGACCTCAAGTCGCTCTACCCTGCTCCTGCTCCCATACCCGAGCCTGCAATCGTGCCCGAGTCCGGTCCTCAAACCGTCGATCCGGCTGAGGCGCAGCAACAACCTATGGACGTCGATACCGAACCCGAGACCAACCGAACGACTACATCCGTTACCCCTCTTCCTATGCCCACGCCGACGACGCTACCTCGTCCGCCCTCGTTAGGTCCTCAGAAGAAGGACAAAGACAAGAAGAAGGAAACAGCGGAAGATGTCGCCGATTCGAAACAGGTCCAAGATCTGTTAGAGGATGACCCTGGGAAAGTTGAACGGCCGATGAAGGTGGATAGTGGGATCGTCGTTCCCATCCCCGATTTCAGTGTCCCGGTGGTCTACGAGAAACAATTCATATACACTCCACGGATTGTCCAGAGCTTGTTCTCCAGAAAAGACGCTGGTGCCGGCGATTCCGACGTGACAGTCCCCGTATCACCGTTGGACGAAGGGAGAGCCAAACCGTGGATCGGAGCCGATCGAAATTTGACCCTCTATGAACCGCCTTTCCACCCTTTACTCTTCCCACCCGCTGGGACCGGGTTCAACGTCCCAGAGACGGACGATTCGGTCAACCCGACCATCTCGCCCTTTGGGATACCCCTATCAGAGAGTTTGCCGAGGATCCCTTCCGCGGAAGAAGCTGCGCAACAGAGGAGCAGACGGTTGGACGAGCTGGTCCCCCTGGAAAGCGCTTATGCGGGGACATTGCATCCGCTCCCGAGTGGGGTGGTAAATAGTTTGGGAAAGCGAGGGCATCGGCATCACCACCACCACCACAGACGGGATCGAAGACGGTCCAGCGTGGGCGGTGCAGGGGAGCCGGCAACAGCGCCAACGGGAGCGGCCGGTGGTGTGCAACCCACGACCAGTAGCGCTAATGCTCAGACGGTCAAGGTCGCTTCGAGCGTGATGATCCCCGGTACATCCGCCTACGCCCTTCCTCCTGCCTATGCGACCAACCGAAAGATGGGTGCCATGTCGTTTGACCAGATACAAGCACAGAATGAGGAACTCTCTCATCAACGCGCTGGCCAGGGCAAGGACCGCGAGGAAGTCGACCTCGTCGAGCTCGGCGTCGGCTTCACGGTCAACCCGGTCGCCAGGATGATCAAGCGGAACAACAAGTGCATGATGTCCCGGGATTGGAAGACGGTCTGGAGAGAGATCCAATTCACCCGAGCGCTCGAACGGGTTGAACAGCTTAAAGACGAGGGGGCTTGGAGTTTCAGGCAGATGAAAAAGTTTAGAGGACCGCCCTTGTCCGGAGGGAAGAGTCATTGGGATTGGCTGTTGGACGAGATGAGATGGATGCAGGCGGATTTCAAAGAGGAGAGGAGATGGAAGATTGTCCTTGCGCAAGAGATGGCGCAAGAGGTACGACGGTGGCACAAGGCGAGCGACGTCGATCGGGCGAGGATGATGGTTGGTGGTAGAGGGTGGGGTCAGAAGCGTTATCACAATGGACGGCGGGGTGGCAGTGGGGACGGCATGGACGTCGACGAGGACGCAGACGGTGCACAGCGGATCGGGCAGGCGAACGAAGCGGAGGGCGCTGACGAGGTGCTGGAAGGTATCTTGGAAAGGGATCGTGACGTCGAGGTCGCCAAGGAGCATATTCAAGAGGCAGGCAAGGCGGAGCAACCCGTCGAGAAACCCAAGGAGGAGGCGGACGATGATGCCGAGGGCGAAGAAGATGGTGATGGTGAGCCAGATGAGGATGCCGAAGGAGAAAAGGACGAGGAAGATGAAGATGCCGCCGGTGAGGTCGATGACGAGATGGCGTTCCCTGGCACAGAGGATGTGGTGATGAGTGAGTTCGGTGAGGGCATCGAGCAGCGTTTACATGGCATGGAAGTTAACACAGGGACGTCGTCAACCTTGCAGCTGAAGGCGTTGATCCTGCCGTCGGGGACCGAGCGCAGTCGGCCTTGAGGAATAGCGCACTTGGACCCGCAGCGTTCGGCCAGAACGACACCTTGATGGCAGAGCAGGATCCGCCGAACCCGATCGATGACCGGGAAGTCTTTGTGGCGGCTGCTCCTGCTGTTCGGAAACCTCTCCTCGATATCGATCCTTCTGCCGTCGTGGTGGACATCAAGTCGCTCATCAGCCAACAGGCAGCAGCCAAGAACGTCGCCGTACCCGAAGACGTCATCCTGGCGGATCTCTTCCCGGATCTCAGTGTCTACACTGGCCCGGTCATGAACGAGAACAAGGTGGAAAAGCGATCCGATGAGAGTGCAGGCCGTCTCACCCATACGACCAGGCTCATGGATATCAGGCCGGTCATTGTCAGCTCGATCCAGCCTTCGCTTACCAGGCGCCCTGACGGGAAATGGCAGCACATTGACCAGGGCTTCCTGCACGAGCCTGAAGACGATCTGGAAGAGTTTCGGTTTGATCCTGCCGCTTACCCAGCTCGTAAGTCGATGTCGCTGGGATTATGGCCGGTCTGCTTATTGACTGACTCTTTCTGTTTGCTCTTCCAGCCATTTTCGAGGGCAAAAAGGCCAGACCCATCGTCGACGTCTCTCAAAACCGAGCCCCTGAACAGCCTCGGAACGCTGCCATTCGCAGCGCCACCGTTCTTTGGGACGAGCAGGACGACGACATGCTCTTGCGACTCATTCGCGACTATGCCTGGAATTGGCGGCTCATCGCAGACTTGTTCAATTCCGCTCGAGGTACCATCTCGACTGACAAGCGGAGTGCTTGGGACTGCTACCATCGATGGGACCAAAAGTGGGGACCGACATCCAAAGCCACCGCAGCAGCCAATGCCACAGCTCAGGGTGAACCGGTCCTCACGCCGGCTCAGCAGGAGTTTCAGCAAGCACGAGCTCAAGCTCAAGCCATTGCGATTGCCAATCATGCTCAATCAGGTGGCACAGGCCCACCACCTGTACCTGTGCTGCCGCCAGCTACCATGACGACACCTTTGGCAGCACCAGCAGTCCCAGGCGCGGTTCCGAACACGACTCCCATACCGACTTCTGCTGTGCCGGCTTCTGCGGTAGCGACGTCGGTGACGGCCGGAGACGAGAGTGTCGATTTGAGCGGGGTGACTTCACCCGGAGCTGCCAGGAGAGAAGCCAAGCTGCAAAGGGAAGCTCGATATCAAGGGTCCAAGCGAAAGGTCAGGAACAACACCATGCGCGATGCGATTCGGAGGTCACAGAAGAGGCGAGAGATCAACCGAAAGAACAACAGTGAGTTTCAAGGGATGACCGGGGTGTTTTATCGCCACTAACACCGAGTTACGCCGCTCTTCGCAGTCCGCGAGACTATCGACGGGCAGCAAGTTGTCAACGTACACGAGAGTCATAGCGGTTTCTTGCCTCAGCGAGGTGTGCCGGTTCCGACGCCACAGGAGTTGAGCCAGTTGCAGTACGAGCGCGTCCTTGCCGAGCACGAAAAGTCTCGCATGACTTCGCGTTTGGCCGAACAAAGACAGCAGCAGCTCGTACAACAGCAACGTATGCATCAAGCTCAGATGCAGCAACAGCAGCAGCAACAACAAGCACAGCAACAGGCTCAAGCTCAAGTTCAAGTTCAGGCTCAAGCTCAACAACAGCAGGGTCAACCTCAGAACCAGCACCAACAACAGAATCAGCAGAATCAGCAGCAACATCAGCAACATCAACAGCAGCAGCAACAACAAGCTAGATCGTCGCAAACGCCACAATCTCAGTCGAACGGACCTTCTCCCGCGCCTCGACTTACTGCTCCCGCTCCTGTCGGCGCAGCTGGCCATCAACCTCCGACTCCAGGTGCTGCTCAGCAGATAGCGATGCAACAGACGCAAATGGTCACTCAGGCGTTGCAGGTGGCTGCTCAGCAACAGCTGCAGCAACAGCAGGGCTCGAACGGCAATGGCGGGCAGGCGAACTCCACCGGACAGGTCCCGATGCCCGGGCAGATCCCGAACCCGGTCGGCGGACCTGCAGGTCAGGGTCAGCAACAACCGAGAGCACAGATCACAGGACCAAACGTGATCACATTGTCGAACGGTTCGCGATTGACGGTGCCCCCGCAGGGATCTCCCAATATGCAACGTCTTCAGAACCATCTCAACCAACAGAGGACCACTGGTGTACTGGCCGGCTCTCCTGCGAACACGCACCCCGTACAAGGACAACCGCAAGGGCAACCCCAAGGTTCTCCTCATATGCCACCCACACCTCAACCAGGCGGATCGAGACCTGCCTCGCGCACGAGCCAGACCAGCGGACCCAACCAGGCCGGCCAAGGTAACCCTACAGGACCCGCACGACCCGGTCAGAATCGGCCCACCGGTGGACCTGGTAATCCGACGGGAATCCCACCTGTTCCTAGGCAGATCATGGCCATGGGCAAGAACCCTATCCCCGCCTCGCCAGACTTTATCAACAAGTTGTTGGCCAAGGCTGGACTGCAGAGTCTGGCTAATATACCTCTGATCCCGCCCCCGGAGGGACAACAATGGACTAAAGATCAGGTCACTCAGCTACAAGTCGAGTATCTACACGTAAGTCGTACGGAAGGCGAATACGAAAACGCACGATTGAAGTTGACATCCCTTCTGCCTTGCTCACAGAACCTCGCCATGGCGCAGACGGCCAAGGCGGCAGAAGACGCCGCCAGAGCTCGAGCGGCGCAGCAGGGAGGTCGTCCGGGAACCCCAGGGTCTGGTCCAGGCAGTGCTGCGGGGAATAGTTCAACGGGAGCCAATACGCCAACCTATGGAAATCCGAACAACGGGGTTGGGGGCGGGAGCGCCCACAACGGTAACAGCAACAATCATAACGCTGGCGGTTCCAATACCTTTACGAATACCAATTCCAATACCCGCAACAATCCTGCTACGAACAACAGTGGAACCGCTAACAACACCAGTGGACCGCCATCCACCGCCTCGATTCCCGTTCCCAATCAGACGGGCAACGTAGCCGCGCCCAGCAAGCCCGTGACGCAGATCAACCCAACCCAGACTACCGGGAATGCTAACCAAGCACCTGGGCCGAAGAACGCTGGCAATGCCAAGGCTGGCAGCAGTAATAACAGCAACAATGCGGCGGTTGGCGAATCGACGTCCACCTCGAAACAGCACGCGACCGCAACACCGACCGCCACGCCAAAGCCCAAGACAACATCGACAACGTCGACATCGACATGAGAGAGACAGACACAATATACTCGTCATCTGGCATCGAAGCGTTGTATTCTGTCGAAATTATAGATCGTTGTAACAACCACTGTAGCTGTATAGCTGAGAGTCTGATTGCATCGTGTATACTGCGCTCTCATCGGGCATATTCCGGGTTGACGACCGTGTGACGCCATTTCCCCTCGGGATCGTTTGATCGCTTGCGGCGAATTCGACATCGAGAGAGAGTGGGGTACGGCGTGGAGCATCCAGAGAGTACGAAGTTCTCTCTCTCCAGGCCAACAGGCAGTCCTCACAGGCGCTCACGGCTTATATAGCACACTTACCAGGGTTTCGTCGTTGCGCAGCGACACAAAGACGAACCAACTTGGAATTCGCAGCTCATCGTCTCGGTACCCCCGCGCATAGAGAGCCAAGCCCACGTTCCCGCTCTCCCTTCGACTTGAAAGGAAGGGAGATCCCCATCGGTCGCCATTCTCTCATACCACACGGGCTGCTAACTGCTGGACATCCTAGGCAGCATCTCGCAGCAGGAACTCCACTCGGAACATTCCCAATCTCCGCAACTCTATCTATCTTTAGACAAGATCTCGTCGACATCAATAACAACCCATCGGCAGTCGGCTCGTAATCTAATCTTTCGCACTCGACGGGTTTCAGCCTTTTGATCGGGACCCTACTCGGTCTCTCCGTGGATCCGTGATCAGCAGGATAGAGGTTGAAAGGAGAGCAGTCGAGAGCCCTTCCCAGCAAAGGCTCGGACCCACCTACCCCTATATCGATACTTAGAGGGAAGCATCCCCCATTCCGCCATGTTTGACGGTGAACGACCCCTTCTAGATTCAGACTCTATCGACGAGTTTTCTGGCAACATGGCTTCCATCCGTGTCCTCCCTATGCAACGAGATGTCTCTACTGCTCACCACAAACGGAACAGCAAAGGAGAGTTTACCGGCAGGTTTCACAACCCGTGGCCATCATGGAGAGGTCTCTCCTTGAAAGACGCCTACGAATCGTACATGGACGGAGCGACCCTGAAACCGCCCCCCGAGGCAGGGGAGAACGAGTCGCCTGAAAAGAACGGGAGGATGGTCAAGGTCCGAAGGCCGGAATGGGAGCAGAAGCCGCAGAATGGTGAAGAGCTCGAAAAGAGTCGGGCGAAAGTGTGTTGGTTGGGCCATGCGGGGACGTTTGTTCAACTTCCTTGGCCCGATCGCGAGGGTGCCAAGGGGGTCAGGGAGAATGAAGGGGTAGGAATTTTGTTCGATCCGATCTTCTCCAAGAGGTGAGGACGTCGAGGGCGTTCGAGATGGAGACTCGGCGAGCTGACCCGGCTTTCGTCACTATAGATGTTCGCCTGTACAGTGGTTTGGTCCGGCAAGAAACCTGCCTCCTCCATGCAGAGTAGCAGAATTGCCCCGAATTCACATCTGTCTGATCTCACATGATCATTGTGAGCGTCGACTCTTGCTATTTCACCGAGGTACAATGTGCTGATATCAAGCCGAACCCCATCTGCATATCAGATGACCATCTCGACTACAACACGATCATGGAGTTATATCGTACCAACTCGGAACACATCCACTTCTTTGTTCCTCTGGGTGAGTCTTCTGATATCTTGCGGTCGACGACAGTGCTGGCAGCTGACCACAGGGACACTGTCTTGCAGGTGTCAAAAAGTGGTTCATCTCGTGCAAGATCCCGGCACACCAAGTCGTCGAGCTCGACTGGCATCAAGAAGCCTTGGTCAAGATCCCCCGAAGCGTATCCTCCTACTCGGACAATGGTTATCCTCCACGAGCGAGCATGGCCACAGAGTCTGATGACGAGGCGGCACCCTTGACCGGCGGGGCTGGTGATGGTGATCATTACGACGATCAGCATTTCGGCAAGTATGCCAATGGGGCAGCCTTGACGCTCAAGGTCATCTGTACGCCTGCACAACATCGGTCCGGAAGAGGGATCTTCGACCACTTTAGCAGTCTTTGGTCCAGCTGGGTGGTCGGCGTGGTAAATCGCGGAGACAACGAAGACGATCCGTTCGAAGACGAGGCGTTGGAAGATCGGGATTCGGAAAGGAGGTTCAGGCCTGAGGATGGCTTCAGAATGTATTTCGCTGGGTGAGTTCCGGGTCAGAGGTTTACAATCTGGTCATACACCGTGAGGACTGCTGGCTGATTGTCACGTTCAACTCTTGTAGTGACACTGGATTCCGATACGCCGGCGCACCCAAGCAGGAGTCGCACTTGGCAATGTGTCCGGCGTTCCAAGGTGTGTATATTATTAGTGAGGCCGCTATTATACCCGCTGACAAGCCTTCCCCCGCCTTTGACCACATCAGAGATCGCCGACCGATACGGACCCATGGACTTTTGCTGTCTTCCCATCTCTACGGGATCCTCCCTCTCCTTTCTCCGAAGCATCCTGGGCATCTCGTTGAACCATTACAAGTTGACTTCGACGCAACACTTGAACTCGTGGGATGCTATTCAGATCAGCAAGGTCATGGGTAGCAAGGCCTCGTTGGCTGTGCATCATAGCACGTTTTCGCCTGAAGATGAGAGTCGCGGGAATCTCGTGAGTCTGGGCCGCCGGTCTGCCCGTTTTCCTCTTCTGCTATATACATTACGAGATCGCTGATTCCCGTGATCTTACTGCAGTGGGAGTTCCGACGCACGACCGAGTCTGAAAACGTCTCGACCGAATGGGGCGAACGCGGCTGTTTCAAGGTCTCTGACGTCGGCGAAGTCCTGTACCTGTGAGACCGCCCTATCACCTCTTCTTATCCCTCTCTCCTGCTCCTCTCCTGCGTTTCTGTGTGTGGCTATCTGTACTAGGGCGTTTGGCTTGAATTGGGATGGTCTTGAGAAGCGTATCTTCAGGGTAAACACGAATCACTCGTTGTACGGTACAAGGCTGTTCAAGCCTGATCATGATTATACCCATCCTCTAACTTCTACGGAACTGCGAGCTATATTATCTGAGACCTTACAGTCAAGGCGACGTATCTGCGCAGTTGTCGTGTGCAGTGGCGATGCTAAAGCAGCAACGTGTGCGTCGTTTCGGGGGAAGGAAGGAGATATGCCATTATCGACGAAGCCGTGCGTAGCCTGATCGCTCTGACTAACAGTGATGTGGTTCGAACGGACTTCGCATCCTCGCGTATCCTCGCGCTGATCATGGAGGAATCGCGGCTAGATCGCCTCGAAACGGGCCCTTTGAAACGCAGTCGAACGGTTCGAACGTCGGGACCGGATGGATGGTTGCCGAAACCGACCACCTGACAAATAAATGCAGAGGTGGATACGGGTGACAACCTGCGCGCGATCTCCATGTCTCCCCCTTTCGATCGAGCGGTGACGGTCCGCACGATCGCCGAATCGCCAAGCCTCCGGCCTTTTGTTGGGCACCGGAAGCGACGTCAATTGTATTTTACGTCAAGGGCTTTATCGACGTTGTAAGCTGGTCATTCGCGCTGTCGATTTAACGATTCTACATAACAGTTTAAATTCTCGGTAAATCGAGTTAAATTGGCTTACGTAAGCGCGCGACGAACGGACTTAGGTGAATCGTCGACTACTTGCACTATAGACATCGTAAACATCGATCAACATCGACGAACCTATGTATCACCTCCTTTAGACTCTCAGATCACTCGTAAACTCTACTATCAGTGCTATATAGATCCTACAACCTTCCCGTAGACTTATTACTAGTCAAACCCACGAAAATGGCTCAATACAACCTCGAAATGAACGACCTCGACCAGCTCATTGCTGGGTTCTTCGATCACGAGAACCAGCTCGATCAGGCTAGCCTGCAGGCTTCCAATCCTTCCCTGAACCTCCCTGCGTCCTGGGAGATGCAGTTAGACGGTGCGGAGTACCTCGCTCCGGCTTCAGGAGGCACATTCGTCCCTCCGGGGTTCATCGTCCCTTCAGTGAGTCTTGGCCCGGCTGCACCGAGCCAGCAAATCGACCCGGTGCTTCTCGAGGAGGCTCAAAGGCCTGCTACCGCTCCCAGTAAACGGGGAAGGGGTAAAGGCAAAGCTCCAGCGAAGAATCCCGCTGCTGCACCCAAGGAGAAGCGTCCTCCCGCCCCCCGCAAGAAAATCGACAGGGGTCCTTTCGCTCGACCTACCGAGGTGTCGTATTCGGCTGAGACGCTTACTCAAGAGGCTCAGACCCAGATCAACGATCACCTAAGGGCTGCCACCACCACCAGGTCGTATGCCGGTCATGTCAAGGCCGCTAAGGCCTGGCTTGAGAAATATCAGCAAAATCGATCGATCAACGACCCTGACCTCGGTGATGCGTTCGACGTCCTATCCGATCGCTCTGCCACCGCTATCAGGCTTCACTGGGCTTCTAGGATCAAGGAAGTAGCCTTTCCGACGATCGAGGGCTCCCGATCAGGCTTACGAGCCTACTTCCGGGAGAAGTTCCCCGATCAGTCTTACGTGAGTGAAACTTTGTTCACCTTCACTGAACGACTTCGTGCTTACGATCTGATACGTATCTCCAGGTTGAGGAGTTCCGCTTCCTCAATGGCCGTTGGGAAGGCAATCCTGTCTACTACGGTCTTAATCAAGACCTTTATACTGCATACAAACGAGATCATCTACGATCGAAGACTCCGAAGCAGGTTAGTGAACGTCGGTGATCCTGCACTTGACAGTTTCCAATACTGACACCTCCTCGAGGACTCCCTCCTTCGTTCTTATAGTCTTCGCCCTTGCTGCTTCCTGCCCTCACCTACCTCATGCAATACATCGACGCTCAGCTGGCTGAAGAGAGGGACCCCCAGACCTATGCCGAGTTGATGTTCGCGTCGGCGTATGTTACGGCGGAAGTCGCTAATGGGCGATAGGTCCTAAGTCGTAAGGCGTAGGGTGCTTAAGGTCGATCGCAGGTAGTCGGGAGAATGTCGCAAGTTCGCTTAGATGAAGCGGGTTCGGGTGCGCGATACGAATCCAGAGATGTATGGATAAGGAAGGTGATCACTCGGTGTAAGGTACCGGATTCGGTCTAAGGTAAAACGATGAAGCGTAGATACTTAGCGACGTCCTTGAGTTGTAACCTCTCCGCAACACGTCTTGAAGATGTTGTAACAAGTCAGGTAGGCGTGTATTGAATGTGATATCGGAACTTGACCTCTAACTATTACAGAGCGTCCTCTAACGAATTCGGTCAAGTTCCTCTAGCTATTCATACGGAGACGAGTACGGAGACGAGGCTGGCGAACACTGAAAAGACCCAAGAGAAAAGAATGGCGAGAGATGGCGAAAACTGGAAGAACGAGATGGCGAACAGACGAATCCTGTCGAGAGCAGCCGGATTCGGTAGAGGAGGCGAGTTTGAGTTCTCATTTGTCCCTAGGTACGTCGAGTAAGGTTGTCGAGGTCCTGAGTAGAGTGTCGTGTACCTCGAGGTCCCTGTACCTGTTTGTGATATGTGTCGGGAAGGTTTGTTGTTTCGGTGAATGGTGAAGGCGAATGGTAGGGGCGACCGAATCTGCTCCGAGGGAATCGGATTCGCCTCGTCGAGCCGGACTTAGGTGTATGCTGATGTCCGTAGATCGAGCCTGTGTGTCGGTAGTCGACTCACGTGATGATCCCGTAACAGTATATCCCCCTCCGGAATGGCGCGCCCCGAGCCATCGTGTTTCAAGTATTGATCGCATCAATTTGTTTGATGATTGTCTACGACGCGTTTGTTTTGATTTGATGGCGACCGCATTTTCCATTTCGCTAAGGCCCATCGACTCGCGCCGAGTGGGGGGTATAAGCCGGATCCGTTTCGATTGAAGCGAATTGTGCACTTCCTTTCTCGAAGATACTCAACGATGCCGTCTCCTGACGTATCTCCTAAGATTGAAGAGCGCTCGACTCCTTCTCGAGCCTCGACCGTAAATCCAGGAGACTCGGCTTCTCGTTCGTGCGATTCGAGTCGATTCGGTTCCTTTGCGTAAACTGATCCAATTCCGCTTTGTGTATAGAAGTCAACCAAGTCTTTTCCGGAGGAATTTTTGATTTCGAAGAACTCCGCAATATGGACGACACGGACGAGGTCGACCAGAACCTGGCCTCGAATATAAGGGGGCTGTCGGTGACCCGATCGGGGTTGGACGGTAAGCAGATTCGGTTCCGAAAGGCGGTTTCGTTTCGCTGAACTTGTTGGGTTCTTTGCAGGTGGTGAACCGGCTCGACGGGAAGGGCTCTACGGGGAAGCTCGTAGGCCGACTGGACGCCCGATATCGGGCGAGGACGTTGCCATGACCGGGCAACCTTTAGACTCGGTCGACGAGGAACCGGTTGCGGGGCCGAGTGCGGGTGAGTAAAGCGAATCTGCTTGGATTCTGAATCGATGATTCGTAACCTGATACTATGTCTATTCTTGCTCGATTGTAGCTGTCGTGTCGCCGCCCAGGACTCCTCGAGGGAGGTCGATTCAGCGGAGTCGACAAGGACGACACAGCGCGAGGTCGAGTCGAGGGAGAGGAGCCGCATCGGCGGGTGCGAGGGTCGATGTCGAGAACATCGATTTGGGGGGTGCTCTTGTGCGCCAACGGTCGGTGAGCCCGGAACCCGGTAAGCGTTTTTGTTTGGTTTCTACCGGATCCGGTTCGACGAAGCTAATTTGGATAATCGCGTTCCAGCTCGGCCCATCGACTTCGAGGGCGTACAGCCGACTCGGCGAACGGGTGCAGCGCCCGCCAACTTCTTTGACGACCTGTCGGAGAAGAAGAAGAAGAAGAAGAAGGTGGTGACGTCCGAGGATGAGGATTCGGACTACCGCGACAGCGATGTACCGGGTGAGTCGCCCGACGCGTCTCCAGGGTCAGCGTACGAACGGCAGATCGAGAGTCGCTATCAAAGAGCGTTCGGGACTCCTGAAGTTGCTGGTTCGTACTCGGTACCCGTCGATCGAACTCGCTTCGCTGAACCAGATTTGCTTGATTTTAGCCGAAAGCGAGGGGGCCGATTCGATCATCGACATTGGGGACGAGAGCGTGATCAACATCGGCACGGTCGGCACTGAGGGAGACGAGTTGGCGTCGACCCCTGAGCCCGAGTGGTGGGATAGTGAGTAATATTCGTATTGTTTAAGCGAAATCGTTTGCTTCGAGCTAATCCGCTTTGTAGCCCACGCTGGTATCGTCAACGCTACCGACCAAGAGATCATCGATCACGAGGCGAGGCCCGGCGAGCCTCCTTTCTCGACTCGAGTTGGGACGGCCAGCGAGGTGAAGACCAGGAGGACGGTGGTAAGCTCGTTGCGCTTGCGTTTAAGCGGATTCGGCTAAATCTTGTTCGTTTCGGTAGTTGCAATCACGTCGCCTAGCTCGCGCCCAAGCCAAAGAGGGTATCGTGAACGACCCTAAGTGCGAGGACTGCGAGGGCCTCGGGGACGAGGGGTTGAGTTGGGGATGTATCTCCAAAAGGTCTGGGACCTTGAAGGGTTGTGCGGAGTGCACTGGTCGGCGAAACAAGTGTTCGCTTGCCGGACAGCCGATTCCGGAACCTCCCGGCCGAGTCCCCAGCCCCGACACCGCGGCTGCTGCGAATGCCGCACAACCGACTACTCCTCCGGCGACGAGTAGTCTGCTTCCTCGAGCTCGATGGGAAGCGCAGATGGTGAGTCGAATTTGTTTCAACGAACCGAATCTGTTTTAACGCAACCGAATTTGGCAGCAATCGGCCAGAGACCGTATTCAGGTCTACGCCGACATGCTCGAAGATGCGGGCATCAAAAAGGGTCTCTCGAAGGCCTTGGAGGACCTCGACAAGGTCCGGGAGGCGATCGCGGCGGAAGGTGACGCGGCCTTCAAGAGGGTTATCAACCCGTTGCCGGCGCCCACGCCCAAGAAGAGGAAGACCGGAGTCGTGTCGACTCCGAAGGATTCGAAGAAGTCGGGGGGTAAGTCGACTCCGAAGGGTAAGGGGAAGCAGAAGGAAGCGGATCCGAACGAGGACGAGGAAGAGGAAGAGAATGATGGTC